ACCCTAACCCTAACCCTAACCCTAACCCTAACCCTAACCCTAACCCTAACCCTAACCCTAACCCTAACCCTAACCCTAACCCTAACCCTAACCCTAACCCTAACCCTAACCCTAACCCTAAAAGTTTAGTATTAAAGCATTATATAAGTAGTGTTATTTTAGTATAGTTTTAGCAAAAAGTATTTACTTAGTAGAAAATTACGTTACTATAATCTTCTATAAGTACTTCTTTCTATTTATCTATTTGTTGTTTTCTACTTCTACTAGCATCCACTTGTTACCTATAGTACTATCTAGTCGCACCCGCTTCCCCTTGCAAAGTTCTTGTGCTTCTGACATCTTTACTACGCCTCCTATTCTTCTCTGCAAGCCTGGGTCGAGTGCATGTAGAATTGCTACCCCAGAGCTTTTCCAAGGCGCTATGCCCCTTAATGGACTTGCCCTGTGGGAAGTTATAGTCGCGACAAGAAGGCAAAAGCTAAAGAGCGCAAAGCAGGCGTGTGCTGTAATCCAAGGCCAACGAATATGTACTAATGTAACTGGCGCAAGTACTGTTCCGTTGACTGTGAACCCGCGCTCAGGGGCGCGGACTCGGTTCGTCATGCTTGTTGCTACATTGTCAAAGATGAGACGCAGACCCTCGCGCTCTGTCTGATACAACTGCTTGCTGATATTCCCCTTTGGACCCCCTGTATCTAGGTCCATGAAAGGCTCAAAGAGCACCTGCGCAACGTCAGAAGTGGCAGTGCGTGCCACACGAGACTTTTTTTCCTCGCCGCTGAAAAGCTGCATAAGGTACCACTGCAGAGAGGCGTGGTGTAGGCCGTCAACGTTCCAATGTCGCCTGGGATGGCCTGGGTCAGGAGCGTCGTTGACGAGGGCATACAAGCCTTCGGACCAGGTGAAATTGCGGTTCTCTGAAAGTTTTTGTGTGATTGAAGTACCATTGATGACTTGGGTGGTATAGGATTGTATACACCATGAGAGGGCGATTTCAAACGCTGCGTACTTGATCTCGATAGTGCCGATATTCTTGTCTGGCGGGGCTGGAACACTGCCGTTGCTGGTTATGACGAACATGTCTGCGAGAGGGAACGGGAGATCTTTGAAAGAGATGGACTGATTGAAGTTTAACAAGGTAGGACGTCCCTTTTTCTGCGGTGTCTGGAAGCCCGTGGCGACTGAGCTGATGTTGATCTCGCCTGCTGCGTCGAAAAGATCTTCATCTCCGCCATATCTCACGAGATAGTGGTCATCAGTGAGTAAGATTCGCTCCTTAACTTCGCGGAGATGTTCAGTTACGTCTGCGAAAGAAACGCAGACTGCGAGCGACGAGTAGTCGCCGAACGTGCAGTTGCCGCCTGGACAGGTAGCTGGCAGTTCGGCAATCCTTTTTTTACCACTCGCGAGGCCGGACTGAACTGCACTTTTCATGCCGATGGAGATGTATGAGTAATCGGTGGGGGAGAGGTTTCCCCCCTTTGGCAGATCTTTCCAGCCTGGACCAACGATGGCCTCCGCATTGGTTGCTACATCGTGATAGAGCACTGCAATAGGCATTGTAGCATTTACATCAGTGGGTTTGCTATCTGTGCGGTACACAATGAGTTGTTGCGAAAGCGGATCAATCGCAACCGCAAAGAGGGTGATAAAAGCTCCCAGAGAAACGAGACTTCTGTCAAAGGTTTCATTACTATGAGTAGATAAGTGACCAATCATGGGTAACGGCTTACCTTAGTTTTGTCATCCACAGCACCTCGAATGCGCTCCATATGCTCCCTCTCACAGCGCGATCGAACGCATCAAAATCATTCAGATGGCGGTTGCCGCGCGCGAACCAGATCCATCTAAGTTGGCCCAGACACTCTGCCACAGGCAGTACCAACAGAAGTTTTGCTGCAGCAGCGATAATCGCAACGATAGTGTTGAGCGTGAGACTGCTACCAAACGCGGACCCCAGAGTCGGTGCGATTTCCCCATCGTAGGCGTGGAGGACGAGGCAGAGAACAGCGATGAATACGGCGCCGAGAGCCACGCAGATGATCTCCACTAGCCAGTTATCCTCTGTGTGGCTGAGAGCAGTGGTGAAGCCTCGTTTCCCATTGGTTATCATTCTACTTTTTCGGGATTGATCGTCGTGTGCGCTCTCGATAGGAGCATAGGAGGTTTCCATTGCAATACAGCATCGAGTGAAGTTTGGCACTGAGTTGACCTTTACAACTGTTACTGGTGAGGGCAGAAAAAATTGCTTTTTCACATTGCTAGGCTGGGGGCCTTAAAACTATTTTAGGGGTTGCGCTAACCATGTCTAGACGTCGTACATGGAAGACGATGATCGCGGCCTAAGACTTAGCCCCTAAAAGCCATATAAGGGAAATACTATGTATGATGTGTCTAGCCAAGACAAGCATGGATTGAAATAAGCCTTTGATCAGTAAAGCATGTTTGATGGGTGCACAATTCCAGTACCCCAGTAAATGTTCATCGCCTTTTTTCCAGCCTGATGCGTTCCAGGAGTTGAAAATGCGGGCTATACAATAATTTTACTTCATAAGTGTATGCAGAACTTTCATTAACACCTTATGTTTACACAGCAATTCACGTTCTTCTGTTTAACAAACTCTAACATTCTCTGTCTTAAGCGGCGCTTAGTTGTCTACAAGCTCAAACCTTAAAGCTGCGCAATAATTCCAGAATAAGGAGTAACATCTCTAGAAGGCTGATGTTCTTGCTAATGCATGTCCTAGACCTAGACTTAAACTGCATAATGGCATAAGCGCAAAAATAGAATAGCGCGCCGCATTATAGATGAGAGACTTACTAGCAGCCATGGTGCATTCATTTCCTTGGCGCGCTGTTAGCTTTTGAGCTATCTTTTAGGTCTAAAGCTGCTAGCATTGTCTCTCAACACGGCAGTATTTCAGTGCACAACCTACGTGTTTACGCTAACGACGCTCTAGTTTCTGCTTACCTATAATTGACGAGTGAAGGGTACTACTAACCCCTTGCGGGAGATATTTTCCTGCTACTACGGTTCCGCCTTAAGGAACAACGTGACCTAGCGGCAGACCTGTAGCGGGATGCAGCCTGAGTGCCTCCTTGATGACAGCTTGGAGATGTGATAGATATCCTTTCGCCTGCACCAAGCGTGTACGATAAAAGTGGCAAACTTAATGTATTAAATCATAAAGATTATGATGTCGGATTACACTATTGTCTGATTGGTGTTCATGAGTGTGTTCATCTAGGTTATAGTTCCTCGTTTATTATAGCCATTTCAACGTGTTTGATAGCCACGTCTAGGACAACCGCCCTGCGCTTTAATTCCCTCTTCAAATATCTCTTCGCCTATCTGAATAGATCGCTGCTTCGCACTACCCTAGCTGCACTCACCTAAGGTGTAATTAATCTTCAAACCACTCAGTCCGCGCCCTGCGCAGAACCCACACTTACCTACCCACTACTTCAATGTCGTGCGTGGAAGGAAAGCGGCCTCGGTTTTAGGAACTAGTAGACATAATAGCATCAAGAGAAAATGTATAAGCAAGCTATAGCGTGACAGCAAGAATTTTGATAATGCATACAGCAAGCATGTATAGCTATAAACTTAATTTGTAAAACTCTTGGTTCATGCATATACTCGCTCTAACTCTAACCCCATAAATCCCAACATCCTTCACTTTAACTAATGACACAAGCTATAGCAATACAAATCACACAGACGGTGCATTAGAATATCGAAAATCATATACTAAACGTTTGTGGAAGACTATTTAAGAATGAGAACGCGGCACCGTCTGAAAACACAAATTGAACATGCTGCGATGTACGGGCGTAGGTGTAGTAGTAGTAGTAGGGTCCTATTCCCTAAATCTGAGGATCGCGGCGAAGGTCAGCGCACCGAGCATCCTTTGAATCGACCTGCTGGCCATCGCAGGTGCAAACACAGTCCGGATCTATAACCCTGCCAGGAGCAGCAAAAGTACAAGCAATTCTAGTAGGCAAAGTTAGCACAAGTCTGTTTTTGCAGATTTGCAGCTCACCGGTCTGAACGTACGTCAAGGTGCAACCCGAGGGAGCTTTAAACTCGGTCACGTTGGAGCAGTCGAACTCCTCTTCTCCTTTGGGACCCGTCGACATTCTGCAACCCCCGGTAGCAAGTCCGATGTCAGGGATCGTCACGTTGTCGGCCACGTTTAGCTGTCCTGGTCCAATACCTAGATCGGCCTTTTCCCAAGCATCATAGATTGACGATGCCAAATCAACATCCCAGCCCCAGCCATTAGCAAAGGCTTGATATGTTGCAAACAGCGCGTAGTTGTCGGCATTGAGTACTGTCTTAGGATTGACTTCGTCCGGTGTTGAAGGTGTGACGAACTTCCATGCATATTTATGGGCCAAGAACGAGCCATATATATTCTGTGTGTGGATTAGCACAACCAAATGCGGCGCCAAGGGCTTCGGGGTGAAATTGGCCTACTTACGTGCATGAAGGGGGAACCCACTTCGGTACTGTCGTGGATATCTATAACTTCAACGGTTTTTAGAATCTACTGACCCGATTGAGTCAACTGCTGCAAACTTACCCCTACCGAGAAAGGCTCTATAGCCGTAAGCGTGAGCGAGTTCGTGGATCATGATACGCTCGAAATTCTCCAGATCGGCGAATCCCTCAGGCTGCGTAAAGCTGTGGTGGATGATATCGCTTATGTGTCTTGGCTGGATCTCGTGGTCCTCTCGTCTGAAGAAACGAGGGCAAAACCCTATGACAATGCAATCGGAATCTCGTATACTCTCGCACTCTATCTGGGCTGTCCAAGCTCCCGTGCTGTCTTTTTATTAGCTTAACCCGCAACATGGAAATCATGGTAAAAGGCACGTACCCAGGGGTGTCTCGACATTCATGATACGGCCCGGCATCCCCACAGAGAAACCCTATTGAATATATTTCACCCTTCTTCGAGGGGCTTGGTCCAAATAGGGGGTATTGGCGCATCTTGTGCAGGATAAAAGCTGTGAATATATTAGCGTTAAAGACAAAACGGCGGCAGTGATGAAACACTCTTACCGACGTGTTGATATTGTGGCGCATATTTGCCTTCGGGTGACTCCCGAGAGTACTGTTGGCTGTTCAGGAAGAACTCATTCCAGCCACTGTACCCATTGTTCTCATGTTCTTGACCTCTCAACAAGTTCACTGATTCCTCTAGCGTCTCAAGAATGGTCAGAAACTCACCCCCTGTACATCCTTTGGTCACGCGCTGGGTCTCCAGTTAGTTCAAATCCACAAAGGGGTCTGCCAACACTTCGCAGAACGGCTTGACTTACATCCCAATAGATGCCCTGATACTCGGACTTGGCGTAGTCCAACCGATCTGTAGGGAAGTCACCAGTACCAACACTGCCACCGGGAAGAGTAGGGAGGTTGGGGTCGAAGGGCTCCGGGTAGTCATCCTGACCCTCGCCTTGGCGCGAACAATCGTTAAAATAGGTGTCGGATATGGCTGTATCAGGCCAAACAACATGGTAATCAGCGCGGCCGCTGGTTCCGATCTCTGAGAAATGAATGTTCTGCCCACGGCCGTGACCATCAAAGCGGAAGCCTTGATAGTCCCAGGTCATGCTGCTGCCGGCAGCTGGTGTAAATCCACCGTTTGTCCAGAGGCGTCCCTTGCCGTCGAACTTATCAACCCATATCAAATCAGCCTTGCCGTCGCCGTCGACCTGTAGCGGGGTCTTTTGATCAGCAAGGGGTTTCTTGTCATGGAAGGACATGATAGTTCATGTTCATTGTTACTCACATCAGCCCACTTGAAATTGGCTCGATCAAGAGTACCGTTATCGGGGGCAAGCTTTATCTGGTCCTTCCATTGAAGCTCTCCCGCCTTATTCAAGGTACCGAAGACACGCATGTTTTTCTCCATACATATATAGTCGACCCTCTTGTCTCCATCTTACTAATGGTCAGTACATTGCAAAGTGGTCGTTCTTCAACAGGCACGCACCAAGATCGGCAAATTCAAGGCCATAGTCGTAAACACCATTACCCCAGCCTTCAATACACCGGTGGTCATAGGCGGTATCGACAGCCCATTGAGGACCAGCGAAGGTTGGCACCTTATCGCCAGTCTTATGGAGATTTCGCCACCACTCAACACGGCCGGTGTGCCGCTCAACCGCGAGGATGTCGCATTTTCCGTCACCGTCCCAGTCACCCTTGTTATAAAAACATTAGCTTCCCCGAAGACAAGCGTCTTATTCTTCAACTTACAAAATGAATGCTTTTTCGATCTCTCTTGATGTCGATGATCTCTCCAAGGGGACCCCACGCAGGCGGGGAGTGGATGTTTTGGAACAGGGTTATGGCGCCTGTCGAAAGCACCCAGAGGTAGTCTTTTCTAATTCAGTCGCCGTCATGGGTGATAAGTGCAGATAAGAAGTTCTCACCGTCGCTGCCGCTTCCAAACATATCACAGTAGAAAACACCATCTCCTTTAAGCTTTGTGCCCCCAACGCCTAGATTAGTCTGAATTTTGAGGTCTGCCGAGTAAGATTCGTCAACTTCGTGGAATCCTATTCTATGCAGGATGATTCGGTCAGCCCTAGTGGGACCACCATCTGCCCGGAATGATCTGGGTTTCACTCGACCAAAGTAGAAGTTGTGCCGGTAATCAATCTCTTTATACGCGGTGTGTGTCGATGACGCCTTCGCCCAATGAGGTGCAAGGCCTTTGCCGTCTTCACTAATGCTCCCACGCTGGTTGACATAGATATCGCTAGTTCCGTCATTATGGAGGTAGACCCAGTCGGTTCGGCCATCACCATTGATATCGACGAAACGCACTCCATCGATGCCTTGGGTCTCTCCCTTGGCCTTGAAGGTGGCTCCGCCAACCTAGCAAGGGTTAATTATTGTCAGATACATCAAGACGGGAAGACAGAGATCGCGAGACTCACAAGTTCCTGCCAATAACCGTTCTCTTTGGCGACTGGGGCTCTACCTGAGCCACCATTGCGCCAGCAGTAAATGTCACCTTTGCCGTCAATACAGCAGTAGTCCAGGCGCCCATCGCCGTCCATATCACCCAGTCTGACCTGGTTCTGGGAATCGCAGGTCTGATCATTACCAGCTCCCCGGATGAGACCCCCGTCGGGAAGGACGTCAAAGGTAGGAGGGTTGCCGCCTTTGTTAATAGCCGCATACATCTTCGCTTCTAAATTGATGCAGATTACATCGTCGAGACCATCTCCGTTGATGTCGCCGAAATGGAGTCCTCTCAAATGACAAAACAGACCAAGTTCCAATTTCCGGAGGTCACTCTTATCGTACGAGCCATCTGTGTTCGTAAGGAAAGAACATCCTGCCCCGTCATGGTTCGGGCCCTCCGTGCAGACAATAAGCTCGTCGAGATAGTCGCCGAAGTCGGCATTGCCCCCATTAACCAGCTGAGCAAAATATATGTCTGATTCGTTATCTCTCTTGGAGTCCCAAATGCTATTTTTAGTGGCGAGCCCCTCAACCGGTGCATCCTTATGGGCATATGTGCCGTCGTCGTATCCCCAGCCTGACTGCGTTCTAACCGGTCCGCGTAGAGCTCCGCGAACGACGGGGCAGCGGCCGTCCGTGTCGTCGTCACCATCAATGCTAACATCAGGAATTCCAGTATCTATTGGTGTAGTAAGAAAATTTTTATTCTCGGCCTCAAGAATGGCCTTATCCCAAACTGCAGCAAACTTAGCGGCACCGATATCGTTTGGGTGAAGATCGTCGTGATAATCCGACCCGGGGTCCAGCACGTCGTCAAGATCCGCGAGAAGGATCTTCCTGCCCGATGCAGCATTATCTATAACCAGTTTGCGGTACTGTTCGCTGATAACTTCGCTGCGCCTGGTGTTCTCACTACCGTCTAGTCGCGGGACGACGGTTGATAGGATAATGGTAACCCCGTCAACCTCGTTGAATAGATGGTCTATTACGCCTTGCATCCTTGTTCCAGTAGTCTCCCATGTGCTGAGGGGAACGTCGTTGGTGCCGCAGTTGATGAGAATCAGGTTAGGCTTGCGGTACAGGCTGCCATTCGAGTCATCAATGGTTTCACTAACTGTGTGGCCACCGTGGCCTTCGTGTTGATTGTTATGGAACGTCTCTGTCTCATTGCTGCGTTGACTTCCGATCATATTGACAGGCCACCCTTCGAAACGCAGCTGGTCCCGGAGGGGTTTGCGATAACCCCGACTTAAAGTGGTTCCGTAGCCGGCAGTAATGGATGCACCCAAGGGCATGATACGGAGAGTGAAGGGCTTTGAGTCGGCTCGGGGCCGGAGGGAATTAGCGTTCGTGGAGGTGGTATCAGCTTCATCTGGAAGTCGAAAACGCGTCTCATGATTGACAGCGAGTGCATAAGATAAACAGTCACAAAGCAGGCAGATCAAAGTAACCCATCTCATCGCCAATATGGGCGACAACACGTTATAGCGCCCCATGATGGTGCGGTCTTGTTACTGGTTTGCTTGCTGGATTGCTTGCTGGATTGCTTGCTGAAAGAATTGAGGATGAGCCTGGGAATTTCTACACCTTCCTCCAGTCCTTCTGCTTTCTGAGTAGGCACCCCATGTTCAGCTTTACATGAACGAAATGCGAGTCTCGCAAAAGATCCGAAAGCTTCGTCTCACGAGGACCTTTGCAAGACTGCAAGACGGACTCCAAATACGCTTGCTGCGTGGTTCTGGTCAACGTTAAATGATTACGCCAGTCTTTCCAACAGACTGGAGAACGGGTGGGTGGTGAAGAGCGTCTTTGATAGGCTGAGTTTGCTCATATGCCTTGCTCCAAGGTCTAGAACTCTAGCAACAAAAGGGCTATGCTTATCCCGCACCGCCCCAAGGGCTCTTCCGCCGCACATGACAATCGCATGGCCGTAAGGCTGACCTTGGAATACGCTCGCTGTATTTACCCTGTTTATGTTTAGCGACGCAAAAAATTTGCGAGATACTAGAGAACATCTGTGTATTGGAAAGCAGTTTTAATGGGCCAGCTCTAATAGTAGGCTTTTACTATGAAGTGGTGCTCTAAGGTGCTCAACAGTTTTCCTTGCATTAGTTTCCTTGCATCTACGTCCCAGCGGACAGTTGGACATATAATCTAGTATCCTTAAAAATAGTAATGAGAGAATATGAGTCTAAACCTTAATAGAAACACCACTGCGGGTTTTAACAGCCGATCCCTTAGCTATAACAACACTCTAGCCTTCCCCTCATTCTACGCACTGCCACACCAATGGCTTTGCGAGATCCGAACGAATACACAAAACCGAGGGCCACTACGAAGTGACGGATTGGCTAGACCCTTGCTGATACTTAAAGCCCACATGTTAAGGTCGCACAGGAAAAAAAATAAAAGCTTCCTTAATAACCATGTCTAGCATTATTAATAGGTGACTGTTGTTGCTCGCATAAAAGCGAGTGTGCTTCTTTACTTAGTATACTAATCCTCTTTGTAAGCTTATTTGCTTAGTAGGCTTATTTACTTAGTATATCTCTTTTTCTAGTGTGCTTATTTGCTTAGTGTGTTTGTTCGCTTAGTAGGGAATTACAGTACAAACGATCCCCCTACTCTTAACAGATTACTAATAAAGTAATATTACTGTTTCTTTATTATTTAATCTATACCCCTAGATAAGCACTTATAGTTACCTCTATTATCTTTGAGTGTTGAAGGATTTCGGTCTTAAAGTTGTTAATGATTGTTTGTAGGTGAAGTACAAAAGACCAACCTTCTTCGGTGTTCATCCAAAATCCCCGTTAAAGCTGTGGAAACCACAAGACCACCGAGACAAGAGGATCGCCGCCGCCGCAACGACTCATAACATCCGTCCAAACATCACTCTGTCGGCATCCAACATGCTCGAATTCACAGCGATGAAAGAAGACACGATGTCACGGAATGGCCAGAGCGAGCCCGCTAGAAAGCCGTCAGCCCCGAGCTCGCAAATATAAAAGAACTTCGATGGCGTCAGGAGCAGGAGCAAGAGAGAAGAGTAACAGAACAACCACCACCGCCACCTCCAACTCTTGTCCAAGACTCCGACCGAGAGTGAGCTTGATCCTATCCCGTGCTCTTCAAATTCTCAGAGACAACATGCTAAACATTCTCCCCTCATCAGTCCCAACGCACCGCATCTCTCCCTTACACTCAGCAGGCCACCACATCTCTCCCTCTGCGGCGAATACCGCCTCGAACTAACCATCCATCACCACGTTTCTGACTAAGCAAACCCAGACAACAACCCCATCACGTTTAGACAGACACATCTCTCCGACTTTCTCGCGGGCCGTTACATTTTGCTGCAGCAGAGACCACGGGGCGGTCTAGAATGGATCCGCGAAGAAGAAGAAAGCGCTCGCGCACTGGTGGTCAACGAGCCTGACGACATCATCTCCGTAGGTAGGCAACGCAGCAGCAGCAGCTTCATAAGCCTGGCTCCAGGCAAATCCCACACGATCACGACCCGCATATGGCCCGACACCGAGTTTGTAGAGGATCTGGAAGTTGGGGCGAGTTACTCGTATCAGTATATAGATAATGAGATTGCTTGGTGGGATTGGGGCACCAAAGAGGTGAGTGAGTCCTTGACTTCTCATGAGCTCCCCCTTTCTCCGGCTCCGAATACGTTCGCTTTCATTCATCATAACTAGATAATCACTCACACTCTGTTAATGCAATCACGCCAGTACAAGAATCAAAACCAACGAGACCAGCCATAATAGGAGGCCGAGGATTGTGCTACTCACATCAAATCCGGTGGATTTTGAGATAATAGAGTGAGTAAATAGAATGAAGGTAGAACTATTAAAAACCTCCCTCGTTACACCATCAAAGATAACCCTTGCCGCTAAAACCCCACCTATATCTTTTGCTTCCCCGAAGTCAGCCATTGATACAGATATACATTAAACATTTCCATCTCCACCTTCATTTCCTCTCCTTCAGCGTATGCCTATCTCCATCCAGTGCCTGGCCCGTATGTTGTTTTAATGACGTGCGATGTGATCGCGGGCCGTCCGCCCCTATACCCTACCCTCCGGTACCTAGGTACATATGTAGTTCACGAAGGGCATAATTTTAGTCGACTACTGTACCACACCGGAGGGAATAGTGAATGTGCGGAGACAAATTCCTCTATTTGATACGAAGAAATAACAGTAGCATCCTCAAGGCAGAGTATCAACGTCACAAGGCTACACAACAACTACCTAGGTAGGTAGGTGAGCACATAGATATTCTTCAAACCCCGGCTTAATGACGAAATTAGTGCGCCTTCGCCCCCGAAGGACATGTGAAGCCTAGCAGTAACCCGGGATCCTCCATGGTCTAGCGTTGCCAAGTTGGCTAGGTTTGCTCCGCGGTCTAGCAGCCGACGCTGAGCTTGCCTAATTCGGTGCCACTCGTTTCTTGCTTCACGATGCATCTTGACAGTAAGTAATTTCCGGGTGAAAATCCTATTCAGAAGTCGGTATTTAAAGATTGAAATTTCGGGACTATCAGAGTGTTCACCATCCTCTGTCTTCCATCGCTGCAGCCACCGGCAAGCCACTTGATCACTCCTGCTTTGTTACGATGCGCTTCGCCACTGTTATCCCCATCATTCTTGCGGCCCTGTCCGCCACTGCGCAAGCAGAAGTAAGTCAAAATTTTCCTTTCATATACCCTTAGGTGAACGAGTTCCTACCTCTGAGCAACATGAGTTTGTGCAGTGAGACACCTACACCTATATCCCTAGCTATTCAAAATACACGGAAGATATTCTTCTCTTGTTCAAATCAGGCATAGATATTGACAGTTGATGTAGACTTGTCAAGCGATTCTGGACGCCGAATACTCTCTATTTTCCGGGACCGATCTGTGCCAGCGGTGCGACAACAGATGCACTCCCGAGGACGGATGGTGCTGGAGACAATCCCTTGATTTGGTAGACTACACCAGGCGGAACTGCATCAACTATGGGCTGGAGGCCGGATACTGCAAGGACTATGCCATCAATGATGTTTGCAGCAATTAGCGGTAATGGCTAGAGATTTTAGATCTCGTCGACTGTCAAGGCTTCAACGTCAACAAGCAGGAGCTTTGGATCGTGCAAGAATCGCGTTGGAGGACGAGTATTGGATAATCAATCGGTTGAACTTGGAGTGAAATCCTTTTCGCATTACAGGCACAATAATTCCAAACACTCTTATGTTGTACGCCCAGATATAATGCACCAGAAAAAAGATGATTGTCATGGAGTCACCATTATTGTGTGGGTGGTGTCTCGCGTATGCTCCGGGCAGATCTCATCGTGTAATTCCCATGTTAGCGTGTGTGATTTCTGGAAACCACAACTTCTTTGAAACGCCATTTCGTAATTAGTCTACCCTATGGTTTAAGAACCAATCGCCCATTGAATGAGCGACACAAACAAAAAGTCAATCTTCGGCTGTGCTGCATCCATCTTGATGCTGGTCCTCCACTAATTCTCTGTCAACTGCGTGATTCCACTATCATATACCTCCATGCCGGTTGATTTTTAGAGATTCGTCCCTTTTCTGTGTTCGCAGAAGAAGTCTGCATTAAGTCTGATACTACCTTTGACGTCGATGTAGTGGATCTATTCAAGGTCAAATCCTCTGATGAAATGATGTTGAATGGCGTTCTGCGTCACATACTTCCGCTTCAAAATCTGTTCCAACTCCATGATGTTCGGAATCTCCTGTCAGCCCCTCGATCGACGTTATGTCGTGAGCATGTCCCTAATCTCGCAATAACCGGGTTGGTTAGGCGATCTGTGAAGATTCGATATTTTGGTGTGAGTCATTCACTCTCACAGTATTGATGCTTGGATGTTGATTATATAAGATGAGTTGCAGTGAATTATTCAGCAACCTATCTGCATCCGAACTCTATATGACTAAACTTGGTGGTGTTGTTGTCTCCAACCAAGCCATCGGCGCTGCCTCGGCAGTCACAATTTCCTGCCGCCGTCTACGCCGTCGGTTTACCACGTGCTTCAGCCGCATCAAGATTTCCAGGAGCCTCACTGCGCTCGGTCTTCGTATATTCGCGCACTACATGAACTCGGTCCAAAATGTCGCCCGAAACACGCTGAAGCGACTCTTCATATTCCTCTGCGCTAGATCCATCCGTCAGCTTCGCTATCCACACCCATGAATTCTCTCCAACAAAGAACTCGGATTCAGTGACCAGCGCCGAAGTATCAGATTTGGTGACATATGACAGCTGCATATGCTCTGGCTGGCAATCCTGTAGTGGTAGTCTTTGATAAACCACTACGACCCTCCCCCCTTCCAGCTCGCTGGAAGGGTTTGACGCGTCGGTGCCAACTATGACCCGAAATTGGTTGAACATGTGGTGGCGCGAGTGGTGCATGATTCCAAGATGAGTGGAGTTATTCCTCCATCTGATAATGGCGTCTTCGTCAACGAATTGTGCAAATAGGAGCGACGTCTCCGGATGCGTTGGGTCGGCGAAGGGCGTCTCCTTTATGAAGCCTTCAATGTTATTCAGAATTGGTTGAAGTGTGCCATAGTATCGCTCGGATAGTGCGTTTTGGCCTGACCGTAAAGTTGAGGTGAAGATGACATAAAACATATTGATATTCTTGGGATGAGTATTGCGGAGAAGTTGAATACTGTGAAGCTGTACTAACTGTGGAAAAATATCTCTTTTTCATCGCAATGAACTCTATAGCTTTATGTGATATGGTACCATGACGCGATATTCCCATCACCAACACAACAACTCAGTTGTGTTGCGTTCACTGAGATTCCTAATCTTGGTCCTAGTCTGGATTCCAAATCAACTCTATTGGGTCCAGAAAAGTGGGGGATTGGAATGAGTAATCCCCACACCAGTGTGCCAAGACTACTTAAACAGTGCAGCCAAGCTCAGCCTTTGACTACATAGTAGGACGTTCGTAATAAAGTTTCTTGACTAGTATACGTATTGCGCACTAGCTCTCGTATCGTCTTGGTAAACACTATAGAAGCCAACCCATCAGCAATCCAGGCGATCCCTATAGTAGTTATGATTAGCAACAACACGGCACACTAAACACTACATCGACCAATTGCATATAAATTCTGATGTAAGATTTTAGCTCAACGACGTCGATGTTTGCATACCTAGAAACTAGTGTACCAGTGGGTAGTAAGTTCCCCATTCAAGCCAGCGCTCTATAGTCCCCTAAGACGACCTAGTTGTTGAGCGATTAGGAATCTTCACGATCCCTATTCTTGGCCTTAAATTATTCATCTTGATTCGAAATTGGAAGAAGTAGATGTGGAGATATGTGAAAGTGACTCATTCACCACCCCGTCTGCGCACCGTACTTATAAGTTATATAGAGGTACGGCGGGTTCTGTCTTCTATAATCTTTCAGATACAAACTGAGAATCTTCAAGAATTTTGAAAATCCCCAGAAACCCTCCTATCATGCATTTCAGCCTACGCAAAGTTATCTTTGCATCGTCAATGTCGCAATTGCTGGCCCTAGCCGCATCCACCATGCACTCTCCACATCTACCCCATGGATACTCAGACCGAGTCCGCCACAATCTTCGCAGCTTTCATCAGAACCTTGATGCAGGGAATTTTTCCGCCATCGGGTCTCTGATCGCCGCGGATTATTACTGGAACTACGAAGGCAACATCATTCTTACCCGAGAAGGCGGCCAAATGGCTCTCGAATCATTCGTCACTAGTACCCTGAACGGGATGCATGCCCGAGATATCTACAACATCGTCGACGGAGACCGGGGAGCTGTATTGTTCCGCATTTCCGGGCAACAGAGCGGGCCTTTCGTGGGTCTCCCTCTCCAGCAAAACGGGCGCTTCAGCGTCATGTCGGCCGAGGCGTTTACTTTCAACAAAGGCGCCGAGGCGCGCGAGGTCGTGACGATCACGCCCTTGGGAATCATGCAGGATCAGATGCGTGGGGTCCTTGAGCCTCCTAGATTTACAAACGACACCTTGCAGGAGGCAAAGACGAAAGACGCCGAGTATCTACGACTGATCAAGCGCAACTTGGCATCGATACACTTGGACGCCAACAAGGGAAATTTGAATGCCATTGCAAACTTGGCTATCGAAAGCACTGAGGTGGATGAGAACGGATCCATCTCCCACGGAAAGGACGCCTTTGTGAAACTGGTCACTGCGCACAATGCAGGCAACGGGTCATTCCCTGGCAAATTGTTCCACGACTTCGACGTTCTAGTAGATGGGACTTTCGGGGCAATCAATTACGTTTGGCAGGCTCCACAGGAGAAGAAATACTTGGAAGTCGAGGTTGATGATGAAAATCTGGTGAGAATGAGAGGCATGCTCTTTTTTGAGTTTAACAACGTTGGCCTGGTTACAAAAGCGACTGGTGTGTATGATGAGAGAGTGGTCAACACTACGCTGACGGGTACTGGCGCGTATCTGTACCCGTAGATGACATATCACTTCGGGGAAGATACTGAGGTGATTCTATTTCCCTATTGTTATTCTCATTGAAGAAGATTGTACTGCAAAGAGCAATGTGGGGTATTGAATTGTTCTAGATATTCGGTGCATTACTGGTAGCGCGTGTTTGAATTGCATTGTTTGTGCTTCTTAAACACTGGTTTCGCAATAAAAGTATTTGGGGAGTCTTGACCTATCTGATGTGCTTTCTTTCCGCTCTCAGCTATAATTTTCAATTACGGAGCAAACGATCCCATTATTGAGTCATCCCCCTCCGTTGGCGCCATGACAGTTCCGCGAGAACCTTGTGCCAGAGATCATATTGCTAGGCACTTGAAGAGGTGCTGTCGAATAGCATCGATCACCTCTAGCCAAAATGACAGGGCAATTTGATGATCAGAATTGTTCATTCAAGAAACTTTTCTTTTGCAGACTCGCGCACATCATTCACTAGATATTTACTTGATTATAGGCAAGTACTGCTTTCTCTAGAAGCCGTCACTAGCATGCACGATTTTCAATGCTCTAACTCCTTCCTCCTCCTACTTGCTAAACCGCCGCACTCCCTTCAAGTACAGCTCATCCAGCTCATTAGCCACTGTCATGTTATCCGTTGCTAACTTCAGATAGCGCTGATTCATCACACCCTCGTCATCAACCCAAACGTTGGACCCGTTGGCAAACACGTGGTTGTACCCGGCAGTGTTGCCATACTCGAACCACGAGCCTAGCCCCATGACGGCATAGGCAACTGTCAATGGATCCCACGACATACGGGTGCTATTGTACCCCACATACCACCCATACGCGGCTTTGGTCAAATCACCCTCCGGCCCTTCGGTCGTCAACTTGGCCCCGCTCAAAACCGCATCCCCAACTTCGGTCCCCAGAAACGTGACCGGGACATCGCGCGGCCAATTGTTCACCACATGAGCGGTTGTAAGCGGATTGTCGCCCCAGAAGTTGTATTCGTGACCAGAGGGATAGCCGCCGCCCATGACGGCCAGCTTCTTGACCTTCTTCGCGATGAGCTCAGGTCCACTAAGCGGCGAATACGCATCGCCGGTCGAATTCAACAGCCCGGAGAGATTGTCGAAGAATCCGATGGACGCGATCGTCACACTGGAGTCCGCGCTCTCGGCCAGCGTCTTGCGGTATAGCTTCACAGGCTCCCAAGATCTCTCCGGTGTGAACCATGGCAACGAGCCGCCCGAAAAGTGATATGCCACCTTGGAGGTGTATTCACCGAGCTCGTATGCCCAATCGTCAAAGAAGCTCTCGTTGGTGTAAGGACGGCGCAGGCCGATGGACGTATTCGGGTGGCCATAGTGGTTCAGAACGGCGGAGGCTGCGAGCGGAGAATAGGCAGACGGATAGTTCACGTTGACGGCGAGGAGGGAAACGTTGGGGAGGGTAGCGGCAAGGAGGAGGGCCGCGACGTCACTGTTTGCTCGCCGTGTTTAGAAACTCGTTTTGTTCGGCGCGAGAGGAATTGAAGGGTCGGACGTACTCTACATCGCTGAATATGTCTGTGTCAACAACCAGGTTCGTTTTTTGGCTGTCTGCTTGCGCGCCGCCAATGGCAGATATGGCGAGGTAAGTCAGCCCATAGCGCAACACGCGCTGCGGAGAGAGGATGTTGTTGATCAGCATGGTCAGATTCGACGATTCGATTGCGAGGCGCGTCAATGAGGAGCAGAGGTTCGACGACATGTCGCAAGTCCCTGCAGCGAGGAAGACATTTTCCTTGAGTGACGTCTGCCTATGCTCAATGAGGGATAATCACATTGCGGAGATGGCCGTGAAATAGATAACAAGGAGAGATGAAGCCGAAGCGGCCGAGCGGCGATGCACTCACTGGACGCAATGCCCTCGTGGGTCGCACGTGAGCCGTTGAAAGGTGGGGGTGGGGTCGCTGACTAAGCTTGATCATAGTAAGCATGAGTCTATCACAAGGCAGGTTGCAGGTCTTTGCAGCTTTACCCGTCAGATGGAATGTCAATTTACAATTTTGAATATCGTGCTGCACCAGATGTCATTCAAAGCAGTCTCTGCATCCACCTCCAGACTTTTTAGATGAGAGTGCGGTTGACCGACGATGTCCTGCGTTGATATCAATTCATGGTATCAATTGATACTTCAACAAAATATCACGATTGACTACCTAGATTCCTACGCCACTTGCAATACAATGCTCACTCTTTCGCAAATATGCATGTTGAGCCGGATAGGCAGGGATTTAATTGATTGACTCTTCACTAAACAATAGCGAAACCCTGGTCATGCTTCTAAGTTCAAAAATTCCTGTCGAGAGATCTTGGGTAGCTTATTCCCTCACTGTCCTGGGCCGTCCCATCTTGTTAGCACAATGAACTAGTCATGACAAAATCGGCATAGTATCAACGGCCATCGGCCGCAAACTTCCGCTCGAGGTGATGGTTTGCCATCAATTCTTATTAGGTATCGCCCTCGAGTTTGATAGTACAGCCTACACAGCACTGGGCTAGGCGTAATAACTCGAGTCTTGAGTACTATACCTGGGTACACGGGATTGACAGACACTTCTTTGACGTTTTGGCTTTCATGTATCGTCTTCGGATATATATCCACACTTTCTAGGCGGACGTACATCTACATGGAGGTACCTGTTGATCATTGCCCACATCAAGTCAGTTCAGTTACGGACTACGCGAGTCAGTTATACCTTTGTCTCCGCTGGAACTCCGAGAGGTTTCCCCCATGTCTGTCGGAAATTCACAGCAAAATGTTTGTGCTGGGGCCAGCTACTCAATGCTGGCTGCGGGATATGTTCAGACTGTAATTTCCCAACCCATTCGATTTTTCAAGGACATTCCCCCCTTTCTGTAGGCGGCCACTAGCTGTGTTTTACACATTTCGTATAGCCATTTTGAAGAAATTGAAGATAAGGAAAATTCTCACTGGCCCACTTGGCCCGTAAGACTTATGATGTAATTCCCCCCACCCTCGACAGGTCCGGGGTACAGCCCGCCCCGCAAACGCGAATCCGCAACTTGACATAAACTCGACTTGATAAAAATACCATGCAACCCCCATCTCCCCAGTGGTGTTTCACGCACGCCTCTTCCACCAGCCAGTCAACGTCAAGATGGTGTTTCGTCGATCCATTGCCGTAGCATTATGCTATGCTACCACGGCGTCAGCAAGCTACGCATTCTACGTTGGCAAGAACCTCACCCAGGATGGCAGCGTCATGGTGGGAGGCACAGGTGAAGAAGTATCAAGTCACTGGCTCGAGATCTTTCCAGCAAAGGACCATCCGCCCAACGCGACAATCACTGTGGGCGTGACTGAAGACGCGTCCATGCCGGGTCAGTTGATGAACATTTCCCAAGTGCAACATACGTTCCGGTACCTGTCCATGGAGTACTCGGATTTCGAGGGGTTCCCAGCTCCTTTGACCAATGGTGGAATCAACGAGAAAGGCGTCGCTGTGCGAGATGTATGGGCGCAGAACAGAGATGACTTAATCGCCATGACGCCTAATCCGCAAACCGGCCTGCAATACTCTGACCTCGCACGCGTTGTGCTGGAGCGCGCAAGTACTGCGAGAGAAGGCGTTGACATCATCGGCCAGTTGATAGCTGAATATGGCTATGCTGACTACGGAGGTAACTCGCATCTCATCGCCGACGCCAACGAGGGCTGGGTGGTGTGGGAGATGTCGGGTGGGCAGAAGCTGTGGGCTGCGGAGCGTCTAGGCGACAATGATGTCCGTGTTCTGTATCCTGGCTACATTGAGGATTTCCCCGTCGATTTCCACAATCACACCGACTACGCTGGTAGCCCGAATATTGTCTCTTTTGCAGTAGAACAGGGATGGTGGAAGCCAAACGGGACGGAACCTTTCAATATATTCAAAGCCTATGCTTACCAGGCCGATGACTACACTGCGAGAGATGGAGGAGCGAAATACATGTCTCAGGCTGCACTCGAGAAAGCGACGCGCGACATGGCTCCTGTTTCCGAGAAAGACTTGATGGAGCGAGTGCGCGATTATCGCATCTCCGACGACGAGGCTGGCTATGGTCAGGTCGTTTCTCTCCATGCAAACACCGATCCTGATTTATATCGCATCTGGGTGGCACCTACGGGATCCGTCACTGCGCCGTTCAACCCATGGTGGCTTGGTGTGAAGAGTGTTCCCGCGGAATACGGCCAACATCGATACCTGACGAAAGATGCACCTTCGACATTCCTGGATACAGACTTCCAGTATCAAGAGGCGACCCAATTCGCAGGTCGCATCTTCAAGCGCATGCTGTACTACACCTGCTCCGATCCACAGGCATTCCTTCCAATTGTGCAGGAGATGCTGCACGGATTCGAAAACGCGTCATTCGCAGACATCGAATGGGTGGAAAGTAGCGCCCAGAGCCTCGTGAAGATGGGGCAACGCGAGAACGCCATCGAATTGTTGACGTTTTTCGCGCACTCGAGGGCAGACAAGGCCCTGGCTCTGGGTAACACAATGGCTGAAACTCTGGAGTCGTACATCAAGTTGACTTCGCGTTTCCGCTATCCACAGGGATCGCGCATCAACGATCCGGGACTCGGGGCAGAAACAGTCAATTGTTTAGTAGGATGGGATCCCGATCAGCCCGCCGACAAACAGAAACTCAGGCGGAGGCATTGAACATCGGACTTTGGGGCCGAAATGTCAGCTATGCGGTAAAGACCATTGTTAATCATAAAACTATGTACCACTATCAATCGAGCGCGCATACAGAGGCGCGATATATACTAGACATAAGAAGAAAGAAAATCATAACCCTTGAGAACAGCCTTCCATCCCTCCGACTGCGCATTGCCGCTCAAATCGCAGATGTGCGGCGCGCCTTCAACAAGCGCAAGCCCGGCAGGAACGCCATTCCTGACCAACGTCTCATATGTTTCCTGCGACTGCTGCCATGGGATCAAATCATCACTCGTGCCATGCACCAGGAACGTCGGTGTATTGTACTGGTTTCTCACAATGTGTGCGCGAGGACTAGCTCGAAGGATTTCCTTCAGTTCGGGCTGGGGGAGGTTGTTCCAATCGCGCACCGTCATTGTATTCGCTTTGGCCCTACTGGGAAGACCGCCGATGATGACGGGAAGCGTCTGGGCTTTCCAGTTGATGTGTAGCACGATGCGACAGCGTGGATCAGTCCCTATCCGTGGATCCGAAAGAGGCTCCCATGCTCCGACGAGACCGTAGTTGGTGATGGGTTCATCTTGGATCGACTCCAGTACGTCGTACTGTAAGCCTTTGTCCTCGGCCCCATTCGGCTGAATTGGATGCTTCCACCCTGGAAAAAAAGAGTCAGCTTGGTTGCCAATGTATATTGTGGAAATAAATGGCGACTTACATTCGTCTTCATAGTCTGTGGGACAGTAAAAGGCGAGGATCGCCTCCGGAGGTTTCAGTCCCTTCTGTGGCGCTGTCCAAGCAAGCGACATGGCCAATTGCCCACCAGACGACCACCCTACCACGACCACGGTATCGCCATCGATCTCCAACCCAGCAGGAGCTTTTGGCTTCGTTTTGGGCAATACATTTCTGGTCCAGTCCAGTGCGTCGCACACATCAACCATTGGCCCATCAGCGAGTGCAACTTCGGGGCACAAACGATGATCAAGGCTGACCGGGAGGAACCCTCGCTCGAGAAGGAGTCGGGTCTGCGGTGGACGAATGTCCTTGCGCGAAAAGATGATATGGCTGCCCCCGTGAATCATCAGAGCGACAGGCAGCTTTTTTGCTGGGGGATCCAGGGGGTAGTATACATCGGCGTGAATCTCCCGATCCCCAATTCTCTTGTACACCACCGTTTCCAGCGCTGCCTTGGGTGACTTCTTCACCTCGACTACTCCATTGGTAGATCCCGAGGCTGGCGCTTTGGGAAACGCTCCAATTACTCGAACCGTTGCTGACTCTGGCGTCTCACCGTCGGACCAGAGCACATCTTGGAAGCCTGCTGCTTTCATCTTGCGCTGCCATTGCAGCTCGTCGATCAAGGCGTGGGTTCGACCGTCTTCAAACAACCACCACCCTTCGAATAGACCAACCACGATGTCCAACCAGAACATGTTTTTGGTGATTTCAACAAGTGTCAGGGCGCCGTCCTCTCTCAGCATCTGTCGAAGATGCTTCAAAGAAACGTCAAGATTGCGTGTGGCGTGGATGCAGTTTGTCGCTACAATGACGTGGTATTCGCCCTGCTGCGCCGGAATCGGTGGTTTCTCAATGTCGAGGACCTCGAACTTCATGCCCTCGACATTTTTGAATGTCTTCATGGCAGTACCCACAAGCGATGTCGAGATGTCGGTGAACGTGTATTCGAACGGTATGCCATGAGCTTGAAGGTGGCTGATGAGATACTTCGTGGTGCCACCAGTCCCCGCTCCGACTTCGAGAATCTTGAACTTGCCACTTCCCGATGCGCTAGCAAATGCTTTGATGAGGAAGTCTCCGAGGACGAGAGTGGGTGTCTTGAGCAGCGGCCAGTTCGCATACATGTCTTCCAGCGTATGCTTGTTTTCTCTGTCTCCGAAAAGGAGACTGATGCAGTTTGTCTCGCCCACTAGACAGGATGCAAGCTTGGAGCCCACAACTTTAACAAGCTTGTGTACATTTGCGCTTTCCGGGTACCGGGGGAGAATGGATTGGTAGATGGTTTCAGCAGACGTCGTGTCGACTGGCACGCTGGTGCGATAAAATGTACCGTGGGAGGCGGAGATGAGCTTTCCGTCCTCCAGGACGCGGTAGAACTGCTGTACAAGTTGCTGGTGTGCAGGCAAGGCTTTTCCGTGAATGTCAGGCACTGCAGCGCCCGGGCGCAATGACTTCAAGTCGCAATCCAGCTGCGCAAAAGCTTCTACAACGTAAGCAAGAACGAGCTTCGCCTGGTCGGGGTATACATCAGACCAAAATCCTTGAGCTTTAGTGCCGACCGCGAGGTCGTCGTAGTTAGATCTAATCTTGCGGAAGGAATCATAAGTCGACGGGATTGATGGCCGACTCTCTGGAGCGGTGGATAGCGAGGAGGTTTGGTGTGGCACCGCAGTACCATTCGTCACAGGCTCTGGGGCGGATGGGGGCCCATCCTGACTCGTGCTAGGAGTGTCCTCGCCTGAGCCGCTTGTATCGCTGTCATCGGAATCGAGGCCTAATTTGGCATCGACATGAGCAATAAACTCTCTGATGTTTGCGAAGAACAAGAAGGTTGTGAGATCAATGGTAAGCCCTAGTACCACCCGGATGTCGTTGAGGATCTCAGTTGCCATGAGTGAATCGACACCAAGATCTTCGAGAGACAAAGTATCATCTTGTAGGCGATCAAGCGGCACATCAGTGACCTCGTGTAGTACTTTGAGGACACGAGCTCGTTCACTGGAAGACTTCTTTGCCGTTGCTGCACCGTTCACAGTTGTCTCAACCTTAACATTGTTGCTGGGGACGGACACGACCGGTTCATCCTTAGCACTGCTGCCCTTGTTTACGCTCTTGAGCATACGGGCGAGAAGCGCTTGGGACATCTTCGAGAAGCGGAAGCCAAAAGCCGCCATGACCATTCTCTTCGTTGTCGGATCAAACACATACGCATCCGCCGAGGCGTCATTGTTGTCATCCTTGATCATGTTGGAGTAAACAATCCATTCTTTGGTATCAGGGTTGAACCCATCGCCAATCTCGATATGCTCAATCTTGTGGCAAACAAAGACGTCTTCCAGGCTTGGATTGTTGAAGTAGTTGACCAAGAAGCCCGCAAATTGCATGAAGCTGTCCGTCATGGGCGTGTCGGTGAGCCTCTGGTCAGCGGGGTCCTCGGGGTCCACAGCCATGACCACCTTGCCGGTTGCCTCAAATCCAACACAAGACACTTCTTTGATCCCACGGAAGTTCTCCCCATAGTGCACAATGTGGTTGAAAGCGCGGTAGATGTGGTTCCCAGTCATACTCTCCGCGTCGACGTGCGTCTTCAACTCTTCGCAACGGCGCAGACCGGTTAGCGATTCGAAGCGCTTGAATGCTTGTGCAGCCTTTTTGTCTCCTCGTGGGGTGAGGTGAACGCGGCCTGTTGATTGCTCGAAGGGCTCGGCGCGCACAGCGCCTTTGGGTTGTGTGGTGATGGAGTATGACCAAGAGGGATTCGAGTCATCGGCACGCTTCAAAATGAGACGAATGTCAACTTCTGTATTGAGACCAATGGGGGACATCATGGTGAGATCGTCAGTCTGTGGGATATATGTGGTACTCGTTATATCATCGGCAAGGAATAAAGCAGCACGGGCCACGACCTCGAAGTACAAAGACGCTGGTGCGAGGGACTGGCCCGCCATAACGTGTCCACCCAGCATTGACTTGAAGCGTTCGCTATGAGGGTCGATGTCGAAAACAGCCTCGCTTTTGCGGTTGTCAGTGAAGTGGAGGAAGGTCAGCAGCTCGTGAGTTTTGTTGTCTTCGATGGCAATTGGTGCAACCTCTTCCTCTTGTTTTCCTCGTCCCGTGAATGGGAGCCAGTGACGAGTCTTCTCGAACTGATATGGTGGGAGAGCGAGGTACTTGTATTCAGCACGTTGGGTACGGTGGAATGGCCAGAATTGTACCGCATACCCAGCTTTCCAAAGGTCGGTTGTGACAGTTGTCAATGAGTCCTGTCCACTCGGGGCAGCGATCTGTGGCGAAAGCACTGTGTGACCGTTGCTATCCGCAATGCAGCCACGAACGAGTTGGCTAACAGAGGAACCACGGCCTGCCTCTAGCCAGGTAGCCTGAGGGAACTTCTGTGCTAGGCGGCTTATAGCGTGCTGGAAGAAGACTGGCCGTCTTGTGTGATGCGCGAGCAAACTGTGATCTGGAGTTGAGATGCTTTCATACTCGTCGCAAGTCTCCAGATGGATGGTAGGGGCGTTCCATTTGAGCGATTGAGCAAAATCATCGAGATGTGGTAACAGTGGCTCTGTGAATTGAGAGTGAAAGCCATTGGTGACTTGAAGCCCCTTCGTTCGAATCGAGGCTTTATACTGGCTGTCATTCGCGATCAAAGATTCCAGTTGCCCCATATCGCTTGGTGAGCCTACAACCACATGACTCTTTGGGCCATTGTAGCAAGCTATCTCAAGGGTGTTGGATTGGTGTCGGGCTTTGAGTGTGTTCAGAAGCTCCGAAACCGTGGACTGATCAGCCTGGAGGAACATCATCTGGCCAGGCTCAGAGCCCCAGTACTTGAGCATGAAGGAAGCCCTTTGCGCAACCAAACTAATTGCATCTTCTAATGATAGAACACCAGAGATGCATAATGCAGTCAGCTGGCCGAAACTGTGCCCAACCACGGCACTGACTTCCACTCCACAGTCCATCCAGGCCCGCGCAGAGGCATACTGAACGGCAAACAGTGCGGAGTGTAGTACAATCAGGCTCGATATTGCCGATCGCTGGAAGATTTCGGGGTATATCGACTCGTAGCCTAGCGTGCGCAGAACTTTGTCGCAAGCATCAAGGTGGTGACGGAAGATAGCTGAGCTCTGGTAGACTTGTTCAGAGAGACCGATGAACTCGCTCTCCTGGCCTCCAAAGACCAGCACAACTGGTTTTGATGCTGATACCGATGTGATTTCCTTTCCTGAATCCAAAGATCCAGCAATAGATTCGAGCTCAGATATACTCGAGACAGTTGCGGCGAGAGTTGAAGTAAGAGAGTGGTTGGCACGATCGGCGAGGTTGAATGCTAGATCGCCTACCCGGACAGGTGTTCCCTCTGATTGTAGTTGCCGCACCCATTTCAGAAGCTTTTGTGCATAGGCCGAGAGGCTGCCATTAGACCCTGCAGTGATGATGAGAGGGTATCTTTCAAGGGCGGTTTGGGTCTCCACCATTGCGCTTTTGTATTCTCGAATCAGTGCGGCAGAATTGCTTCCAGCGGCACCATAACTGTTCACCATCGCGATGGCGGTCTGAGGCTTCCAGTCCAGATTACTCCTTGGTATAGCCATATGATCAGTCTCATGCGTCTCAATCTTCGGATTCATGGTGTTGTGGCTAGCTTGCTGGGGTATCTTTCCATGTTGCATCATAAGAAGAACTTTGAGAAGACCGGCGATTCCAGCCGTCGCTTCAGTGTGACCAATGTTACCCTTGATGGAACCGAAGTGTAGTAGGTCCTTCCTAGTCGGTCCAGCAAAGGCATCTCGAACACTGCGGTATTCAACAGGATCGCCAACGCCAGTGCCCGTGCCATGGGTCTCCACATAGGAAACTGTCTTCGGGTCGACGCCGGCAGATTTCATGACTTTCTGGTACAGATCAACCTGGGATCCGGAATGAGGAACTGTAATGTGGCTGAGGTTGTGATTCTGATTGGCTGCCGAACCAACGATCACGCCCAGGATATTGTCTTTCTCGGAAATGGCATCTTCCAGCTTCTTGAGAACAATGACACCAACGCCCTCCCCACGACAGTAGCCATCAGCACCAGCATCAAAAGGCTTGCACTGGCCGCTAGGACTGAGGAAGCCTGCCGCACCAAGATTCTGATAGTCAAAAGGGCTAGTGATCATGTTCGTTCCACCAGCGACCGCGCGTGAGCATTCTCCAGACCAGATGGCCCGACAAGCAGTGTTGATCGCGACCAACGAAGAAGAACAAGCAGTATCAATCGTCAAAGCAGGGCCTGTCCATCCAAAATAATGGCTCATGCATCCGCTGATGAAGCAGCGAGAAGTACCAAGAGTTGCATACGCGGTGGCTGGGTGACACGACACATTATCGTAATAGTTGTTCATAACTGCTCCCATGTAGCACCCATAGTCTTGTGGTTGTTTTGTCGATCCCGCGCAGAAGTATCCAGCGGATTCGAGGGCTTCGTAGACCACTTCAAGTAAGATGCGCTGTTGTGGATCCCAGGCGATTGCTTCTCGAGACGACTTCTTGAAGAAGCGGTGGTCGAAGGTATCAGGGTCGTTGAGAAAATTGCCCCACCACTTTGTGTTTTCGTAATCGCCGGTCTGGGGTAGGTTCAGCCTTTCGACAGGGGCCCGTTGAGCCATCACTTTTCCGGACAATAGTAGCTGCCAAAGCTCGTCGAGAGAGTCAGCTCCTGGGAAACGCCCGGACATGCCAACAATAGCGATTGAGTTTGGGGGGTAATCTGGTTTAGCGACTCCATTGGTCAAGGGGACATCATTGCGGGGAGAAGTGCCAGCTCCAGTCACATTGCCTAATGTGATCACCTTGAAACGCGAGTCTGGAATCAGGGAAGAGGGTGCATGGCTTCCCGTACTGACAAAAGCAGCAACCGGAGATGTATGTCCAGACAATGATGATGTGGCTGATTGCACTGTGGCATGCCAATTGACTGGTTTGGAAAGTGTGTTGTCCAGAATATGCTCCAGCAGTGTTCCATCTTTGATCAGTGCACCATCAATGGTAGACCTCACAGGAACCTGCAGCGCATCAATCGTGGAGAGTTGTAAGTCATTCCTGCTTGCAGAAAATGTCTTGATCTTTTCCACAGCCTGATCATGAACGCTGGAATGGAAGCGGCCTGTGACGTGTACAGCGGCTACGCGGTATCCGCGGGAACGGCAACTCTCGCCTAGTGTGTCGACGTCTGTGTGTCTTGCGGTGATCGTGACACTCGAAGAATCGTTGACGCTCGATATGTAAGCCTGCGGTGATTCGTGTAAGCTTCAATGTCACAAAAGCACGGTGTTGCAACTTACGTCTTCAAACTGTTGGACTAATGCAGCAACACTATCCTTTCCCTGAGCATTGTCGTCCTTCCAGCGAACAGCAATACAGGCGCTACGCGGGAACGTCAAACTGTCTTTATCGACGTAAGCACCTATGCACACGGCTAGGCGTAGTATATTGGCCGCAGTCGTGCCTATGTCTGCGTCATTGCGAGAAATGGCAATGGTGATGGCTCCGAGAAAGCCAATGCAAAAGCCCTGGACGCCACCATTCTGAAGTCCACCTTTAACTTTCAGGTGGGGATCTTCTGATCTGAGTCCATTGAGGTAGGCAATGTATTGGGTGATGTGAAGGACGACAGTCGCAGGTACCAAGAGAATGTTTGGAGAAGTGCTGCTTGCAATGGGGAAGTCTCCACCATGAATGACCCAATGTTGAAAGGCACTCAGGGACTGAATTCCTGCAACCTTGTCCAGCTCCGGGTCAAATTTGACCAATTCTTTCCAGAAATCGGGAAGATTCTTTATTGCTGTGACGAGACTAGACAACGACTGCTGGTTGACTAGCTGTTCCCGGAGACTCGATAGAGCGCTTTGGGAAGGGAGATCTGTCTGCGGCCCAAAGATGAGCAAAGAAGGAAGATGATGTGTTGAACTCATCTCAAGCGTGAACAAGTTGTAGCATTGACAGTAACGAATAGTGAAAGACGAATAGACAATAGAGACCTCGATACATCAATTCATTGGAAGGTCTTATACATGCTTTCAGAATACTACCATCTATCTTATGACGTGCTATAGCAATTTCTCCCTCCATACAAGCTCCGTTGATCCGTGAACGCAAATGATAGGTATCATGCTAGGTGTTCGTGGGGTATCAGTGACCTTTCCTGATGGGGAGGTAAACGTTCCACCCACAGCTCGTGTATACTTCCCCTAGTGCCGCCATGTATATGCTGGGTGAGTGAGGTGCATATCCAACATCGTATTACAAATGAAGCAAGTAATGCGAAGCAGAAATGCAGGTTAGATTTGAAGTTTTGGTCAAGTCGGCGACTCGACGGTCCAATCTTGCGTCTCTAAGTGCTCAGCCATCAGTTTGGAAACACATAATTGGAAACATGCATGAGTTCAAAATAGTTGTAGATCAATCTATGCTGACTCCGCACTTGGTTACACGGGGTTACACGGTCCCTGAAACGGCAAAACGGCTTCGCTACCGCCTACCCATGTAAACGCCATCTCGCGAAGTTGCATGGATTGACTACCACACCCGCGCTTAGGGTTAGCACGTACATGTAATACGGGTACGGCCGTTGTTGGACCGTGCATTTAGTCGCAACTTAGCTATCTCATCTCCGTGCCCAGACGCGGCCCGCTAAAGCATGTCAACATGCCTGCTCGATGATCGGTGTGGGTCACAGGCTGCTGCCGCTCTCTATCATGATACGGTGTACGGTCTAATTCGCCGACTGAGGCAATGTGGCTTCTGCAGATCGTCATGGTGCCAGCCACGGAATCAGTGGGAATCTGAACTTTGCGATAGCAAGTTATATCTTTTCAAAGTTCCACGAAGTCAGCTCTGCGAACTGCTTCCATTAAGGTAAAGAAATATAATCAATCAGATTGTTCACTTTTCGTCCACAATGGAGTATCTAGTACTGCTGCTCTCTGCGTTGGTTCTTTACGTGGCTTACGGGCTGTTCTGGCGACTCTATCTTTCTCCGATTGCGCATATTCCCGGGCCAAGAATTGCTGCAGCTACTCGACTGTACGTGTCTTATCGCAGATCATCAGCCATATGGTGACTTACTGGGCTCCAGATATGAGGCCTACTACGACTTAGTTCTCGGTGGACAATACACCTTCAAGATTGGAGAGCTACACAAAGAATATGGCCCCGTCATCCGAATCTCCCCTTGGGAGGTGCACATTCACGATCCGGTGAGGCTTCCACGTAATTAGAATGAAATCTTGAGGGCAAGCCATTGTGCTGATACGCAAGCTCGCAGGACTTTTACGGCACAATCTACGCCTCCGCTACGGCACAGCGCAAATCAGACAAATACCCCTTTTTTACCAAATTCATGGGACTTGATCTATGCGTTTTTGCAACTGTAGAACATGATCTCCATCGAAAGCGACGAGCAGCATTGCTACCTTTTTTCAGCAAGGCTAGCGTGAGGAGGCTTCAGCCAGTCATTACTGAGAGAGTCGAAGTTCTGCTTAGTCGCGCGAAAGAATTCCGGGGGACTGGGCGTGTCTTAAACGCCAGTTGCATGTTCTCCGCACTCACGAATGGTAGGCTCCTCATTCAGCCCTCAACTACAGTTCAAAAGCTCACAACCTCAGATGTGGTCAATCTCTACTCGTTTGCGAGATGTGATTACCGGCTTGGTAAGGAAGTTTCCGTGTTTGAGTGCAACCTAAAGCTAATACGTGATTCAGAGGACCCAAACTTCGATCCATGGGCTCGCGATGCCTCCTTACAAGGCGCTAATTCCGCCAACTTCATGAAACACGCGCCCTGGATCAACGATGTTGTGAAAAGATTGCCCGACGCAATGGTGGCAAAAATTCTCCCCGCTCTTGCCACCTTCACGACTCAGAAACGGTCTTCTGAAGCCCAAGTCGTGAAAATCATAGAAGGCCAAAATGAAGGGTGGAAGGAAAGGGAACATCCCACGATCTTTCACGAAGTTCTCAGTTCTAAGCTTCCACCCGAAGAGAAGACCGTTGCCCGCCTTGCCGATGATGCGCAAATGGTAGTCATGGCGGGGACGCTCACAACCGCCGCTGCCCTCGAAGTGATCTCATTCTGGCTTTTATCTCAGCCAGATACTCTACAAAAGCTCAAGGATGAGTTGAGTGCGGCGATCCCAGTTCCAACTGAGGCGAGCAATGTGCCCTTGCCTACATTGGAGGCTCTTCCATACCTCACAGCGGTCATCAAAGAGGGCATGCGTCTGAGCTATGGAGTATCGACCCGACTTCAGAGAATTGATCCAAACAATACTATGACCTACACGGACAAAGACACCGGCAAAAGTTGGGCAATTCCGGCGGGGACCCCCGTCGCAAGCACGAGTGTACTCATACACCGCGACGAAAGCATCTATCCGAACAGCGAAAGGTTTTCACCGGAACGTTGGCTGGACGGTAGAGCGACAGCACTCGAAAAGTACTTGGTCAGTTTCTGTGCCGGCAGTCGCAGGTGCTTCGGGGAGAACCTTGCATATGCAGAGATCTATGTTGGTCTGGCCGCGATTTGGAGGGTGTGGGGCAGCTGTGATGAGGAAGGTAAACGATTGGCATGGGGCGAGGACGATGTGGGGGCTTTGAGCTTGTGGGAGACGACCAAACGGGATGTGGAGATTGAAAGTGATCAGTTTGTACCTGCTGCACAGAAAGGTTCCAAGGGAATCCAGCTTATGGCTTGGCATCCTCAGGCAGCATAGTCGTTCGAGATTGTTGACAGCATCCGGGCATCACGGCGTTGATGTGCAACCACCCACGACCATACAAACATACTTAGTGAATTGTATTCCACGCGTTACATCCGTTAACATGCACTTGCAAGAACGAAACATGTTAAACTACCTGGGCACCTTAGACAGCGATAACACTTCATCCATTCTCGTGTTCGCTACGCTACCGATGACGTGATGATCGCTGACTTCGCATGCTTTCACTTGAATAGTTTTTGATAAGTTTGCTTTTCTCTGCCTATCCATTACTGCCTTCTACTTTCAAATTAGGTCGTGGCAAAAAATAGCATAGTGTTTCGACATACGAATTATTCGTGCCGCGCTCAACGCGGTGGAGCATGGGAAGCTATGAGAAGCTCTCAAGTAGACAATAGGTCCTACAGCATATACTCCATGCGCGAATATGTCGACTGGCCAAGCTTTTTGGCGAAGTCGCCGATCTTTTTTCCGACGTCGGCGAACTTCCTGGAAGCATTGTGGGGGTTATGGTGTGGTCGATATGCAGCCCCAGGTTTGTGTAGATTACGATCCGCGTTGAGATTCTCCGGGCCTGCTAGGCGCCATCTCCTCGTGTCCAAAATCAGTACGGCCAGCCTTGCATAGGAGTATGCAAGCCGTAGCGCCCTTTTCTTCAGCCTACCGCGGACACCCCTGCACGAACCGAGCCGAACAGGCGGCTATCGTCTAACCCTGTAAAACGTGGGACTCCTGTCTTCGGCCTCAAACCCGCCACAACCGGGAGGCCAGTCCACTTTTTCAGGGTCTCACCGTCCCCCCAATACCTTTGTAATCACTCCACCTGCTGGGCATTGGCTCAGCAACATTCCCACGACTCGATTTCACGCTTCAACTACACCATTCTGCAGTTTAATTCCGACAATATGTCTTCATCTATCACACCATTCAAGATATCTGTCACTGACGAGAAGCTCGCACGTCTTCAGCAGAAGTTGGCTTTGACTGACTTCCCCGATGAATGTGTCGATGCAGTGAATTGGTGCCACGGAACACCACTCTCGGATGTCAAGCGTCTTATTCAGCACTGGAAAAACAGTTTCGATTGGCGTGCCTCCGAAGCAACTCTGAATGAATTCCCTCAATACACCACTCGAATCAACATTGACAGTTTTGGTCAACAGGAACTGCACTTCGTTCACCAACCAAGCCAAGTCAAGAACGCAATTCCCCTTCTTTTTCTCCACGGCTGGCCAGGCAGTTTCATTGAGGTCACACGTATTCTGCCTCAGCTCGTTCAAGGCGGTGATGACTTCCCCGCATTCCACGTCGTTGCTCCGAGTCTCGTTGGCTTCGGCTTCTCCTCTGGCTCAAACCGCAAAGATTTCGGCATAGACCAACAAGCAGAGGCAGTGCACAAGGTCATGCTTGCGTTGGGGTATACCCAATATATAGTCCAAGGAGGCGACATTGGATATCTAGTCTCCCGTTTCCTCGTCCTCAAGTACCCGAACCACGTTAAAGCGCACCACATCAGCAACGCTGCACCTGCAGAGCCGAACGAAGAACTGCACCCCAAACTCCACGCCAAAGTCAAAGATACACCACTTAGCTCGGGCGAGCTTGAGGGACTCGGGCGTACAGAACACTTTTCGAAAGAAGGAAACGGGTACTACAAGAAACAAGCCACCAAGCCACAGACAGTCGGATACTTCATGGCAGATAGCCCATCTGGACTACTGGCATGGCTTCTTGAAGCTTTCCACGATTGGGTGGACGACTACAAATGGACTGATGACGAGATCTTGACCTGGATCTCCATTTACTACTTCTCGCGGGCAGGTCCTGCTTCCTCGAGCTACATATACTATGCAATGGAGCATGCGGAAGTGTCACCGTTTGTTGCTGCTCAGAAGTACTCTGAGGTTCCCCTGGGTACATCTCGATTCCCGAAGGACTTGATTCTTCTTCCGAAGCTGTGGAATCACACTTTGGGCCCGATCGTATATGAGAAGGAACATAAAAATGGCGGTCATTTTGCGGCATGGGAGGTCCCCGATGCCATTGTAGACGACCTGCGTACCATGTTCGGCAAGGGTGGTGGGGCTTTCGGCGTTGTTGCGGGAAAGTCGGGATTCGACGCTGCATAAAGGGACATACCCGCTACATTGTTCAAGAATTTGGGAAATACACAGAACTTGAAGGGCATGGGTCACAAAAATGAGAATACTATACTGCTCAAGTGGTCAGTCTTTACTACATACTCTGGTTCCATGATAATTTCCCTTATTTTTTCCGCAACACACACGGATGTATTACCATCATGCATGTGCTCAGTACGAGGAAATGGTGCTTTAAGGAGTTGTTTTACTATCTGTTTCCAGACGTGATCCACTTGATCAACTACTAAGATTCGGATTCCAGATCTACCGAGCATCTAGGAGAGATCGAACAATGCCGCTTCAACAGCTCCACGCAAGTGAATCTGTACATCCTTTCAACAGGATGTTCGAAGGGTCCATTTTCTCAACTTTGATTGCATTGACATATTCACTCTACATAACACTTGAATTCTGTTCCCTAAGTTTGAATAAAATAGCCAAATTCAATACCGCAGTGCTTTCGAATCGAGCCCAAAGCTGGCGTTGAAGCCGCTCCATAGAAAAATCGCTATTCCTGTGACTGGCGTTGAAGCCTTCAACATCGCGATTCCCTCGTCAGACCACTAGCTTCCAGCGTTGAGATGAACCTCCAACAACCCAACACCAAGTGGATTAGGCCAGACATTCACAACCGACAATCTCGGATCTGCCTTCTTTACCATATCCCTAAACTCCTTCTCTGTGCGCTGCTTCGCTCCCAACGTAACCATCATACAAATATCTACCTGTCGCAAGTGGTACTCCTCACTTCGAGTCGTAGTTCCGCTTTCGGGCATGATGACATCGTTGATGAGCAACGGAGTGCCAGTCTTGCATTTCTCGAGAGCAGGAATGATAGCCTGAATGACCTTGATGCAGTCTTCGTCGGTGTTGTTGTGCAGACACTGACGGAGGAAAAAGGCATCGGCGTCTGCTACTGGCTGTATATCGAAGAAGTTGTGCTGCTGGAATGTGACACGCCCGTCTAGATCTTTGATCGTGTCTTGAGCTTGCGCGAGCATCTCCGTGGAGATGTCTTGGACCACGAATCGTAAAGATTTGAACCGCTAAGACAATTTTCAGAATTCTGATGGATATCGCTGGAAGGTTGAGACTTACACGTGCGAGTGCGATTGAGATATGACCGCTTCCACCTCCGATATCCACGATTTTTCCGCCTTCCAAAGACTCCCATGGGAACGTATCTCGGAGTTCCGATATCTGTCGGTCCACTGTGATAGTCAGCCGTCATATCATTGGTCAGAGAAGTGAACATGGAGCACTCACGCTGGGAATAGCTTCTCATGGCTTCTGCAAAACGAGCTGCCTTCGATGGATGTAGTTTGTAATAGTTATACATGCTCATCCCGTACGCAGTATTGAAAGGTGACAGTTCTTGACTGTACAACATTGGGGAATGCTCGATCGCAGCCGTAGTCACAGCTACTGCGCTGAGCATATCATCCATTCTATATACAACCTTCGTCAGTTCTACGTAAAGTTGTGTTTTTCAGTTTCACTTACTGCATATCTGCTGTCGCGTGTAGTCCTTTATTTCTGGCGAATGCCGCCGAAGCAGCCGTGTGTTGAAAGCTCTCGCTGTCTCCAGGCACTTCTTGAAAGATGCGCTGCGTGGCCAACATTCGCATTACCCTCGCAGTTCGGTCAACATCCATCTCAGCCCGTGCTGCGATTTCATCGACAGAAGCGCTGTACTTGCTGTTCCCGTTTGTTGCGCCGTTTGTTTCATGCGACGGAAGAGGAACATGGTTGAAAAAACCGCGACCAAGCGCAACCTGAAGCGCTGCTAGATCATAGTGCGAGAAGAAGAATGATCGCAGAGTGTTTTCTGGGCCATTCACAAGACGAATCAAGTCAAGCGCAGCATCGTTTAGTGTTGCGCGCAAGGACTCATACTCGGCAGTCTTGGGGACAGATACAGAATCTGGACTGAATGTGGGCTGAGGCTCAGAAGAAGTGCTCAGATAACTCGAGATCTTGGCACTCAAATCAGAGATCTGGTTTCCCAGAGACTCAATTGAAGGCTCAGTTGGGTTCAATGAAGACATATCTCCCATTTCGGTGATCTGGACGTTAACGAAAAGCGTTTAGAGGCCACAAGTTACAGTGAGAATAGTATTTCAACTTCCACGATGTTCATTCTCTAATTGCGCATTGTCTCCCAACGTCAAATGTTTGCCGATCTTTGTCAATTGCTGTTGCATTACGGATCCCGGCAATGTTGTTCTCGTAGTGGTGTGCTCGGGGATGTCGCGTATTGCATGCAAGGTCCATACATGTTCACCGCATACACGACTGCAGACTCCAAGTCGTATCTGCGTATCCACATGCAAGGGAATGCCAGTATGTAGTGTTAACAAGCGTAAACGTTGAGCCGGATTACGTTGCACGGCATAGCGGAAGCGACATGCAGTACTTAGCGAATATTGCGTGCCTCGTGTTCTTATCTGTGCCAGTGTGCCACCTCAGAAGACACCGAGCCGGCCAACTCCGACCAGCATGCATGCAAAAAATACGTAGTAAATATCTTCCACCTATCAACTCCTTATGGCATGAGTTGGTCGAGTTGGCTGGCATGCAATCTTACATAACTCTTGGGGATCCAATCACGCGGCGGGATGGGAATACGGGACTAGGGCGAAATATCATCGGATTTCGCTTCACGAAACGCGTATTATCAAATGCCGCATGGAAAATAGTATAGAACTTCGCCGACCGCGCATCATTTAGTCCTAACATGAATTTCTGGGATTTCACTTCGCCGAATCCCCCTCGAGTGTTTTGCGTGGAACCTCCCCGACCGGTGAATGGCCAACTTCTATACGACCATCCTGCATGTTCTAATCCTTTTTCGAGTGTTGATATTCAAGTATCGTTTGATACATCCGGTTACAGAATGATAAGGCCACATGGCGAGTACCTTGGACGAAATTGTTGAAGTCGAGATCCGCGGAGTCTGCCGACGAGAAACGTGGAGTAATGGAAACGAAGAGTCCAGATGTCTAAATTTGGGCTTTCGCAATGAATTCCTAAAGGGGAGGTCGAACTTGTTAATTGGACGGCGAACATTACGGAACATCTTGAATAACTCGAAGGACCGATCTTGAGAATAGGGGCAAAGCCGTTATCCTACCACGCGGCCATGCGACAGCCACGAGGGCGCCATGGGCTGACCAAACCTTGCCTCCACGGACACTGGCGTCAAAGTCAGGGTCTTCGTGCGGAGATCAATATTCTCGAGTTGCCGTTAGGGCTTCGACGCTCGTGTCTTCGGTATAACCATACTCTTCACATGTTGGGATGCCAAATTGCACGTTCAGAGAAGCCGAGTCCAGAATGTTTGCAAAGGTACTTAAGAGGTCGTGGAATCGCGTAGAAGAGTTATCAGCACCAGCTCTGACAGCAGGGTTATCTTCTTGTCCATCTTTGACATCCTAGATTTTCAATTCTACAATGTTTCTCCTCAAGTCACTCCTTTCTTTCCTCTGGCTCGTCCAGACGGCGAAGGCCTTCGCCGACATTGACTTCACCAACTGGGCTCCCCCAGGTCCCGGTGATATCCGTGGTCCATGCCCGGCAATGAACAGCATGGCCAACCACCACATCCTTCCCCATAATGGAAGAAACCTCACTGTTCCCATGATGGCCGATGCTTTGGCGGCAACGTTCAATCTCAGTCCAGAGATGGGCACTATCGTCGCGACAATCGGGCTTTCTACCACTCCCGACCCATCGGCTGGCTTTATGGACTTGAACCATCTCAACAAACACAATGCATTCGAGCACGATGCCTCGCTTTCTCGTGTCGATCATTACTTCAGTGGTGATGAGGGCATAGCCAAGTTTGACAATGCTACCTTTGGCCGATGGTTCTCTCACTTCAAAGGCCTGGAATACATCGATATCGAGATTGCTGCCAAAGCTCGCTATGCCATGGTCAAGCATTCACGTGAGAACACACCAGGGTTCACGTATGAAGAACAGCACCGCATCACCAGTTACGCCGAGACTATCAAGTACCTCAAGACTATGATCGATTCGACCGGCAAGTGCAAGACGGAATTTGTCAAGATTCTTTTCGGTAAGTGAGCCGTTTCACTTCTTTGTGGAGTAATGCTGACGATTGAGTAGAGCAAGAGAGACTCCCGTTCCTCGAGGGATGGCGTCCACCGACTGAGCAGGTCACTGGTTTTCTGATGGCAGACTTTGTCCTGCGCGAGGCTTTGGCTACACCCGAGAAGACGAGCTGGTTTGGCGAGACGCCACAGGACAATGCTACAACTCATGACGTTCCCACCAAATGCACAGCTAGTCGCAGAAGCACCCGTGTCCGAGTTTGATGAGCCATTGAAGTATATTGAGTGGCACGCTTCTTTCTTGTACCATCATTCATTCAAATACAATCCTTATGTTTCAGTTACACTCGTCTTGTGCTACCGTGTCTCTCCCTAATGGAGTCAGTCCATCCGCAAATAGACTTTGCTTATTCCCGGCAGAATGTAGACTAGGCCAGTAGCGTTTAGCGTCGGCTGGAACTGCCCTTGATCTATCAAGCGCTAACCTTTTCTGTAATAGACCGTAGAAGTCCCGGCTTAGTCACTCAACTCAACTCTTTCACACGCACCAGCACTGGTATTCATCAATGCAATTGCGAAAAGTTCTACTAGCGACACAAATTGACCGCTTGGCGCTCTCGGGAGCCCATCAGCTTGAAGACTTAGAGTAGAATAGGTGCTGAACGACTGTAGTATCTTGTGCACAAAGCGCGTTGTAATTAGCGAGGATGTGGCTCCTCGAATGTATTCCGTGAATTATTCTATACAGTATGACATATATTTAATCAAACATTAGGAACTCATGGGATTCCTGTTAATGAAGCTTGAGACTACATGCATTAGGCGATGCATCATGATATAACAATCACGTTTGATAACATATAACCGCAGAATCTCTAGACAGCGTCCAGAGGCTCCACTTAATCATTATTCCCATAATGATAAGAAATTGCTATCAATCATCATCTAAGAGCGTTCAAGTAGCTTTTCATATTTCCCTTACACATTGAATATCACCGCTCAAATGTGGCTTTTGTAATGGTTATTTTTCCTGCTTTTTCACATAATCATATTAGACTTCGCGAAGAAAGAAATCTGAATCTCCATCCCGCATTCTCCTATTCCAACCTGAATACCTCATTTTTAGAACTTTTCCTGACTTGTGTGAGAAACAGGATCTAATTGAAATGAATTGCTGTCGCGATCTAGCAATGAGATCAGACGATTGGCTTATAGGCGGCACCATCATCTTTACTTTGCAATTCTTAAGGACTACACGCAATCGTTGAGAAAGAAGAGGCCATATTTGGGACTTTAGAAAATTTGATGAACCAGGATGATCTATGATTACGCAAGCATAGGAAGATCGTATACAGGCAAGGGTTGCTTTTGTCGCTAGAGCAACAAGGTATCAGATTGGCTAGAGACAGTTGATGTGGAAAACATACCAAGACATAAAGATGACCTATATGATTCGTTCCCACAGATCTGCACACTTCTCCTGTTTCGGCCAGCGGGACACATTTGCTGCATCGTTGAGCCAAACAGGATGATTGTCTAGACGAATACGAGGCGATTACTCGGCCTTCGCATGATTTTTAGCTTTCGTAAAAATACTGAGTAAATTTATAGGCAGTTGTATTACTGCGCATGGATTTCAGTCTCGGAGTGGTTGCAGAGCGATTGCATAAAAGGGTACTACAAGCTGAAATACTAATTCTTGCGATACAAGATCGCGAGGTGATCAGCTTTACGGCTAGTTTATCACTTGTTCATGATCATATTATCTGAGAGTCTAGGATGCGCTTCTACGAGCTTGATGAATGTATGTTGAGATAACGTTATTCGGCATCGACGGAGAAGGATACGATTTCATGTCCGCCATCATCCGGCTCGGATCAGATAGTGATGAAATGACCTAAGAGTGGTAGGAAATGGACGAAAGATGTTACGGGGCATCGAGCGGAGTCACCGGTCCGAACTTTCTCGCCTGCAAAATGTGATTAATAATCGATGCTCGGAAACTACTTGCTTGAGCGATTATGTTGAGCGAACACCGAACGGACATCTTTGTATCAAATGCTCGTGGAAGTATGACAAATTGAGAAAAAGACAAATCGAAAGGGGACATTGTCCTTGAGACAAAGGATATCCTGAAGTCAAGAGTGCGGCGATCTACTGCGACCACTCAACTGCGCATGAATCAGGGCATGTTCCACGATGTGCGCAAGGGTCCCGATTTCTCCGGATGCAGCCCTGTGCAAGGAACAGTGTCGTCATCTAGACCAATCGTGTATTCGGGGTGCAGTACTGGGGGGGCTGAGAAGCGTGCCAGAAATGTGGTGAACTCACAGTGGCGCGAAACTGATCTCCCGACAGCGTGCATGCATCGATGTCGCCTCCCACACGCACACGCTTCAACTGTTCGGCAATGCAACAAATGCCCCACAATAATCGTGATCATTACAAGGTTGTCATGCCACGCGCGAGAGAATGTCTGTACGAGCACACCATCTTGCGCTGCAGGCCAAAGGCTAGCAAGGGGACGTCATATACAGGGAATGTATGCATACAATGACAGGCCTCGCTGACCAATTAAGCTACCAATCACTATGATTCCCGAAGGTACTCTAGGAAAGCACTCCCTTTGATCATAGATAGGTTTCATCGAGAGCTAGACGATCACTTTCCAGGCGATAGAAGCAGCGATTCTCAATCTCTTCGCACCATGAGCGCGAAATGGTCCAAAGATTTTGATAAACTCTCAAGACGCCAGGATATGAAGGTCACGAAAATACCCCATAGATATTCAAAACGCATAGGCGGACTTAGACCGTATAGTGGAAAGGAAGATGTGTAGGGCTACATAATACTGTTTCTCGGTCTGTGTGAGGACCCCGACCGCCCAGCCTCCCCGTGTCTTCACGATTAGTTTCCCCACAGCAATGAAACACATACAAGGCAAAGAAAGTAAACCATGCGTACCGTTTTCCTCTTGCATACGCGCTGCCTTGGTATACCGTTACACGTTAGCCAATATGCAGCTTGGAATTGAGGCATGAACCTGGTAAACACATGCAGATTGCTTACACCCGGCTGATCGGAACGGAGGGACTTCAAAAAATTGTGAGTCCGTACTCCTCAGAAGTGACTACTCGCGTATCGGACCCAGGTCGCTCTCCCCCGAGAGATCTTCATCCCGACTGTGAGGGTGCGAGCCCACCCACTCCGCATACATGACATGAAGCGCTAAGGATGCCCGGTCAAATCGTGCAGCGATTGGGGCTAAGCGATTCCGGTATACACGTTTACGAAAGACGGGTATGCAGCATGGGGCTATCGATTAGGCAATGAGACATGATCGAATCGCAGCCGACGAGTGTTATGTGAGGCGAAGAGGCTGGGGATTTGAAACTGCCAATAACTGCCCCCTACTGAATGGCCAAGGAACAATGTTCAAAGGGAAAGCTATAGATTTCAATCAAGCAACTAAGACGTAGATTCCACATACGTTATTCATCAGCAACTCTGATCAGGACTTGTCCGCTAATTATGGTAAGTCGACATATCTCCATTCCTTATGACGAGCATGTACTTCCGGACGAGGCCATTGCAACGAATGAATTATACAACACCCAGCACAGCTATAAACATTGCAGGTCACGGTTTCCATGCAAAAAGACACTTCACGTACCATGACGATCGGAGCTTTGGGTAGGACAAAATTTGTAATCACTGGCGCGGCCAAACCGGCTTTTGTGTAATTCTCACCGTTCCCACGTTAGAGCGACCAAGAAATGCCCAAACTACCATGACAGTCATCACCCGCCGACGCATTTTGCAAAATTCAACGGTATCCATCCACATGCGCAACCCTATTGCATTCCGCGAGCCTCTGATCGAGGACGATTTCACTACCCGATTGGGCATGGTCGGATCTGACGCCATTGGAGACGATCGCGCGCCAAGTGGGGTGGATCGCGGGAATTCCCTCGTGGCTTCAGTGGGCCCAGGGTCCTCTAGGACTAGCTAGTAGAAAGTTTGTTTTGAGTGCGCCAGGTTAAAACCACCACATTACAATCTACGCACGGCGTGGTACATTTTGAAGGACACGAGTGGCGTCTTTGAGACTCCGTAGCTCGCTTATTATGCAATGAATTTTGCGATCCTCGTGTGTAGGACGCTGTCTAACACTCGTTTAGGTACAACAATGCTTGAATGCCGCAGTTTAGAATATAGATGGCAATGCGTATCTGAGATGGTATGGTGCGATTGATAAGTTATATTGGTGAACTAGGGGATTCCATATAGCCCGAATGTCATGCAGGTCTTCCAGCTACGGCTAGACCAATCTAGGGCTTAGCCATCATGGAATATCCATTTTACCTGTCTGTTTAGAACTTAAACTTTGTAGAGAAAGCATGGCCTAACTCGGAACAGGGAGTGCAAGTGGCAATAATCAGAAGTAAACGCTCCGTAAGAGGTAAAATCTCTGTCCCGGGCGTACTGCGGGACTTGTAGGTAGTCGTCCATCACTCAAAGGCTTTGGAGTCTCCAAGTTTGACTTGCCGAGCCAAATGGCGCCCCCAGCTGGTCGCAGTGTAGACGTTCTTCGAACCCCGTCTTGTTGATTCAGCAGAACAGCCTTTTGCTGCACACAAATATCTAAACTATTTGTATATCTTTTTCTTGAGTCAGTAATTCTATCTGCTTACACCTTTATTTGCACCTCTACTTACCTTTTACATAAGTTTTTATATACATTCCCGCGCGTTTTTCCTAGATTGTTTCTTTCCGCGTACAACTATTTGTCCTTTTAGTTAGATAAGTGCAGCTAACATTTCAAGGCGGCACAAGAAACATTGTTTAAATATGTCTTAGGTGAGTGAAAGGATTTTGCAAAGTCTATACAATGTTCTTCGGATGATGCATTGTTGTACTACATTCATTTTATTGCAGTCACTTAAGACCATGATACATAGCAAGGTAAATTTAGTATATTTAAGAAACTCTACAAAACATGCTTTGTATAGAACTTAATGTCTTTTTTAGTGCATGCTCACTTGTAGCAATCTAATCAACTAATTGTAGACCCAGTTATGTCTTGAGTACTTGTTCTACCTAACGTAAATCTTTTAAAGATGGGATGATTGCGATGCACAATAGTTCAACAGAAGATCAGATAGTACAAGCTAGCGTGATTCGTTTCAACATATCTCAGCATGTAGTCTATGATTTGATCATCGCATATTCCCTCAAATAAGGCTTCTTCGCGGACGACGATCTCTAATAAAGTGTATCAAATATAGATACTTTCCTCTGGCTTCCTTCCTAATATCGCTCTGCCGATCTGTTGCACGCCTGCCACTGCCGTATTCTACATATATTCTGACAAGTTGCTCTAGTTCCCCGCCGAAAATGATCCGACGTTATGGTCACGACACTAGAGCAGCATAATTATGTCCCTCGAGTAACCTGATCTTTCAATCTAGTCCTACTTACACAGATAGAACTACATCATTGGAATACGACATTCCGATTCTATAGACATCCATGCCCATGGAGCTACTATGAATATCTTAGGAAACCGAAGTTCTAATCCAAGCGCGAGAGATAATCACCTCTATAATACCTCGTGGCGGGAATGCTTCGCCAGTCCTGAGTAAAAAGCGCCTTTTCAGAACTAATATACGTAGCCATTTTGCTGAACATGCTTCCCCATGGGATAACCAGAACGCAGACCTACTAATGCATCTCCAAACAATTGATAGCAGACTCCATACGCCTTGCCGCATCACCAAGTCTTTCCCCGCGACCAATAATCTTGCCCACCTTCAAGCCCAAGAACCTTCTCAAGAGCGACCTTTGAAAACTCTGTCGCAGTATTTCTTAATCTTGACCCGGTGGTAATCCGCTGCAGCCTCGTCCTCCCTTGCTGCATTATGAGCAGCATGGGGATTATTGTTGAAGAGGTTGTGTTGCATCACATAATTGACCACATTGCTCAGGGGCTCGTGTTCGTGATCGTTCTGGATAGCGTGATTGATTGCTGCCGTTAATGCCAACGCCCCGTGACCATCCTTTGGAAACTTGTCCGGATCCACCCCCTCAGCCAAGTCGACCAAAAAGTAGTCCATCGAGCCGAGGGCGCCTGAGTGACCACCCGTGGCACTGTCGTAGGTTGAAGGTATAGCCGACCTTGCGGTTCCAGCGGCGTGGCTTGAGCCTTGAGCGTTTTTGAGCCATTTTTTCGCTTGTTTAAGTTGGTGGTGTACCGTTGTGCGTTGAACATCGCGCTCATCTGTTATATTTCGCGACCAGTTCTGAAACAATGTTAGTGAGTGTCGGTAGCAGTATCAAATTGGAGATGGACTTACGATAAACTGGGCGATAGTACCTGGCGTCCAGCCATGGTCCTTGAAACGAAGACTAACGTCATGCCAGTAGGTATGGCGAGGGAAGAACTAATTGACTGGTTAGCTATGGGTAGGATATGGAGGGTTAGAGGGGTTCTACTTACTGTCAAGATCTCTTCGGCGCTGACTGGAAAAGTGATAAGTCGAATGTCCGCACTCTGAGCCGTACTGTGCGACACGTACGCGTGGTCATCGGCCGCCGAATCATCGCTGAGCTTTTTATTGTTAAAGTGCCACTGTGCCCTGTGTTCCCCAACCGAAGGTATATGCATACCTTTACCTTTCCCCCTCCTGGTGCCCCGCGATCCACCAGGTGTGCCAGATACGCTGGGCGTACCCTGTGTACTGGAAGGAATTGTGGGCGTATTGGATGCCCCGGATGACATCGCAGTATCTGCTGACTGTTGCCCACCTACCGACAGAGACGCAGGCAAGTCAGTCTCCGGAGGGCTCGCTGCTTCATCTGTAGAGGATGTGGCAGACAAGTCAGGCTCCTCGGGGCTCTCAGATCCACCTACCGTGGGCGCGCCCCTACGGCGAGAAGGAGCAGGGAGCGGTGTTCGCGTTTGCTCCAACTTAGGCTTCTTCCTGGACTGCGACGCACCCGCTGGTCGACCCCTCTTACGGCCCCCAGTCACGATGGGGAAAGACGCTGGCTCCGACTCGTCATTTAACAAGGCAGGGTCGATGCAATCAAGATTTGTAGCTCGCGTGGGGGGCGCCATTGAGCCACTGTCATGTGTAGGTGGTGCTCGCGGGGTTGCAACACGATCTATTAAACTTTAGTACGGTACAGTGTCACGGACAAGAAAGGGCGAATACTGACCTGCCACGCTTGAGGGCGTGGGAGTCGAAAAGTACGGCACAGTTGTGGGGCCAGCGAGATAATATGGCATTTGTGGGTCGCCCGTCATCTGTTGTCTGTCAGCGAGATGTTCGAAGTGGATAAGATGGGAATGAATTACCATATGCATATTGTGAGCACCAAGCTCATGCGGTCCCAATGGGGTGAATGGAACTGGAGAATCCCACCATGGCATTTCTGCCAGCATCGGGGAGGGCACCGTCGGTGGTGTCGGAGAGGTAGATCGACCTCTCTGCTGTTTTCGGCGTGGTGCCATTGCGAGCGGAGAGGGAGGAGAGTCCGGTCTGCTTTGGGGTTTATCTAGAGAAGATTTGGGATAGAAAGAGCAAAGTTCAAGTTGGTCGAGGTTGAACTTTGAAAGAGCAGGTGGTGGTAGAGGGGAAGAATATTGGAAGCGTTGGTCGTGAGCATTTAAATAGTGCGTGGATGAGATCATTAGCGTTATGAATGTCAAACGCTTCATACCCACAGGGAAAGAAAAGGGCACCCAATCAAATGAGGCGTGCTATAGTTTAGCTACGGCGTTGCGGGCTACATGCATTGTGTAGAAACGACTGTGTAGCCTATATACAATATGGGGTGTTGTATGATTCTATCTCTCACAGTGGAGCAAAGGGAGAGCTCCGTGTGTTGATATCCTCGTTGGCCTGAGCGAAAGCGTGCGAGCGTTCCTCATCAATAGTGTTCCACCAAGAACGAGCTGCAGTGGCTCTAATGCCTCAGCACCACATGCAGCTATCATCTTTTCTTCTGGACACTTAAATGATACCCCTAACTGTGTACTAGCCACAGAAGTCATGGTCATCTGCTACTCAAGATGACCACAGAGAGCGGTCCGAACTGTCGGGCAGCGGGAAGCGCTCCCCTGGCTGACGGAACCGCTTCGAGGCCCTTCTACGACCATCTGACGGGCCATGTGGCCAGACTACTTACAACTGCTCTTTGCTACACAATGCCATGGCAGATGCTTGCCAGAGCTCGGCGTAGATGCGCAGACCGAGCTCGCCGGTTGTCCAGGCACGAAGAGTGTCGTCACAGAGACAGCGTCCTCTGGCACCCCACGCCCTATGCCACTGTAGCCTACAGCTCCCCCTGATATACCTAGCGCTCCACTATCTATTGATTGTTGTACTCGCCGTTGAGGTGGTGACGGCTCGACAGAAGAAGTGTCGATGCAGGAAATTGAGTACCCTTCAGGGCCGCGGAAAGATATACTCCTGTAAGGTTGCCCGCAGAAGCTACAAAATATCACGGATGGCATTGGGAACAGAATTCTTCTCTATTGAGTACTCGTCAGAGCTTTCTTGTGGCATTGCTATACATGTAACTCGAAGGCCACGGTGCCATTAGGAGATCCCCACCATCGGGGCTATTCTACCTCTACAGGAGCTACTTGAGTTTCGTAATGCCGGCCGATCACGAATACTTGATCTTTACTAACAGCCAGAAACAGCTATTCTACACCACAAAACTATAAGACAAACAAGCGCGATATGCCGAGGTCGTCGTCCAACACGGCGTCTCGAGTAGGTATATGGATTAGGCTTTGGCGGGCTCACTACTCTTGCTACGAGCCTTGCGTCCAAATGCCGCTAAGATTGACAAAAGGGCACACAGAAGAAAGCAGTGTGAGACCCGTGATGCTGAATTATGGTAACTGCTTGAAAATTCATAAGCAAGCGTCTGATGAAGCCCGGGGGCTCCCAAGTCCTCCCCATGATGTTACGCTGCTACGCTAGCAAAACGGCGCTGGAGAGACACCACGCGATGTTCTCAAAGAAGGGAAGTGCTTTACACTATCGCTGTAGTCTAAGGGCTGTAGTATCCGGATCAGTAGTGTAAATTACCGTTGCTCTTCAAGTTGACCAGCAGGGAGTGTTGGGTAAGTTGGATGACGGGGATTGTTAGGGGGTTCAACTCAAACGTACGCCGGCGTCTAGAAGACGTATCCCGGACTACTAGTGACGAGGCTTTGGCGTCGCTGGTTACGGTCCACTCAATCGTAGACGCTCCCATGAGCTGGACATACCATCTGCTCATGTGCCGTCTGCTGCCGTTCACGCGCTGCCGCCAAGCAATCCGTGCACGAGAAGAGAACCCAGAGTAAGTACACCAGGACCGCAATCGCATTGAAATAAGTTTCCAACGTATTTTGGGGCACTTGAAGCGCGAGAAAGATGCCACACATGGTCTTTAGTTTCAATTGCCTCAAGCGTCGCGTGGCTACGCTTCACGCGCCGCCAAGCGCGCAAGGCCGACGGACACCACGCACAGCGTAGCTGCCACACCAACATCTCCATGTCCCTCCACACGTTATTGTTCCTCCACACTTTATTGTTTGTCCACACATTATTATTCCCATAGATTATTATAAGAGCCGGTCGCATTAAGAGAGGATCGGGGAGGTCGGCGGGTAAGGTTCAGCAATGAGCGACGTTGGTATTAGGGACGAAGAAGCGGCGGTTCGAGGAAATGGTCGTTGCGCGATGCGTTTTCGTTCTCTAATCAATTTCGAGGTTTATAAGAGGGGCGGATTGAGTCGAGGATCGGGTCGTGGAAGGCTGCTCGAGTGGGAACGATGCGTAGGGACGGTACCTGTTGACGCGCAATCAGATGGTGAGACGATCCTGTAAGACAATCGACGACGAAATCCCAACTGATTGTGGGGAGAATGTATGGAGTCCCCAAGTGTTTTTGGTCCGTAGAAGCTCATCTTGACTGCTGAAGATGGTTGTGTCCTCAGATAGGCCGAGTGAAGCGGTCGCTGTTCGAGAGCGGCAGTTGGCGCGTGCCTGCGATTTGCGCATCTCTATGCCACGAGATGTCGTCTTGGTGAACGAGAACTGAAGTAAGCGTCAGTTTGCTCTTAGAGGGGTGGAAAAGTCTGTGAAAGACGACGGTCTCGTTGCCCTGTGCGAGGGTCGACCCTCCTAAACACACCGTACTTCCCTAGGGGTATTCCTGGGAACAGCTGATACATCGGCGTGAGGCCATCTCGAGCGTTGTATTTCCCGCTTTCTTTTAATTTCAACAGGCCCGCTTCCTTCGCATACTCCGGGGATTTGAAGCTAAGGCAGCTTTGCAGTCCTTCTCTGATCTATGACCTCTGGGTGTATTGTTTGTTATCGCCCGGCTATTTTCCAATTGCGCAGTTGTGAGACGCGAAGCAATTGATTTGAATCGAACAAACAAGGTCTGGGAATCCCTTGTTGAGATTTTGGGCGAAGGCAATTGATGAGATCCGACACAAGGTCCACTTAGCACTATAGCAGGTTGCCCCGAAAGGGTGTTCCCTGAGGCGTTCATCAGCATTCAGTTCGGCCTGCGATCCCTACCTAAGGCCAGAGTCTTTCGAGTATCGAGTGCCCGATGGGGCACAGATGATCACCAAGTAGCCATTCCGTCTCTTTGTCGAATCTCGATTGTGAAACAGTAGTGTGTTGTAGGATGAGAGACAGTGTGCAAGCCACGAGACTGCGGGTTTGGTATCCCTCAAGCAAGTGACTCAAAAGCTGACCTTTGCTTCAGCAAACAATCCATCAAGCAGGTAGTCGCCTGCTCTCATGTGGCTATAGCTGGGAATGATGGTATATATAACGGATATCCAAAGGCTGGAGAAAGTAGGCATCCAAAATACATCACTGTCCAAAGCCCACAGGGAAGGAGGACGACGGTCACCGAAGTCGAAGTAGCGACAAGCTTTTATCGGCGTTGAAACTTCAAAGCGTATGAGGAGGGCGAGGTCCTTCGAAAGGCTATGCGCTCGAGTTTCGACCGACGTGGCAGCGAGTGCGATGGCTACATGGTTCTGCGAATACTTCCACAAGGGGGACGTGCAGATGGCAAGTGGTAGACGACAACGGGCCGAGAGGCATGCTGGTCTGGAGGAAGAAGTGGTCGAACGACGCGCAAAATTCATCACCAAGGGAGGATTCGAGGACGATGGGGATGGCAAAGTGGTAGAAATACTTACGCAAGTGAGAAAATCGGCGAGGTCTTTACCTCTGGTGCAGGCCGGACGGCACTCTTCAAGGTGCCGGTTTCGAGCGAGGGCGGCCGGCGCACGTCGCTCGCTGCTTGCATCCGAAAGTATTACCCTCATTCAGCGCCGTATATTGGTCGATTTTCCCATGGCCAGATGGTATGTCGATCATTTGGGTGGGGTTGGGGGGTGGAGAGCGGGGGTAATGGGGATGATGGACCGCAGGTCTGCGCAGTAAGGTCATGGGCAGTGCACTAGCGCAGCTAATGGAAGACCACACACGCATTGGGACATGTGTCCGCCGACCTTCCTTTTCTCTTATATATCCCTTCTTATGATTCTCGCTCGTTTCTTTTCTGCCTTATCATGCATGCGGCTTCTTCTACTCTACTGCGTTGTGCATCCATCATCCTCCTACCATTCGCTGTACGTCCAACCCCATGCAACCCCTTTCCTCGCATTTACCTTCGCCGCTTGGAACTTCGAAGACTCAGTGAAGTGTCTAGTTCCTTGCTACGAATTCTTGATGCGCCGACGAGGCGCAGCTCACGTTTCTTCGAGGGCGTCACATCAGGGGCTCGTGCTCGGGTAGAGGGCGACGGCGAAGGCTGCTACACAGCAAAAGACAAGCAGTCTGGGGAATGCATGTGCTCCCTGTGACAGATCATCTCAAGAAGCCAGTGTAAACACGTACCCTGCTTTCGGCCAGTTGCCCTGTTCGGAGCGCCCAGCTTTCTTAAAATCCTCGCAATTCGCCAGTTCCTGCGGTGATAATCGGGCGACCGGCAAGAACGCTGGTATCTGAAGGTTGGAGAAGCACTAAGACGAGCAGAAGAAAAAAAAAGTGTTCGAAATTTCGGGGTTGAGGGGCACATGGTAGGGAGAATGCTGTTTATGGGGAGCAGCAGGCTGACATCATCGATGCCTCACAACATTCAAGCGAGAGATCATCGAGAGAGGGACAGGGATTGAAAGACTTGTTTTTGTGGCGTTGCGAACGGAACGCATGCATTGCTGCAGCCCTACACGCTCTGTCTTGGCGTTCCAACTTCCTTCACTACAACGCACAGTACCGCAACTCAAAACCTTCGTACCTAACTTTAAAATCTTGTTCTGGGGTTTGTAGTGCCTTCCGAACCACTAGTCTTTCGTTTTCGAGTATTGAGGGTGGCACGTCGCGACGCGGCGTTGGGTATTTCACATGTAGCACCAGCGAGCAGCCGGTTGACCTGCAGAAGCGATCAACAGATCAAGCAAAGGGCTAATTTCCCGAAAATGGAGGATTCTAACATGGACGGTATTCATAGATCAATATATATGCCTTTCGATTCTATACTCGGCGATGGGCACTCCTACTCAGTCAGCTGCGGCTCTGTCCAAGAAGTAGAAACCATCCATGCAGATGAGAGGATCCCACATTGTATATACAAAAAGTTCTTTCGATCGTATATATGTGTTTAACTTACCCACAACGTGTGAAGCACCGTATGTTCTGCCCGGAATACAATGTGCAACCATAATCTGGGACCTCGCGCATCGAGGCTACGCTTGCAAGCTCACATGCGGACCTTCCACTATTCGAGAACAGTGCGTAGTGTTTTGTTTTCGATCAAAAAAGCTGTTGGGTGAAGGGCCAGCCAGTGGGAGAGCGTTTTGCATCAAACGGATACAATCTGCATTGTGAGGCCAACCCTAGGGGTTTTTAGCGTTGTCTTTCCCACGAGGCAACGAGAAAAGCCCTCCCACTCAACTGCCATACCCTAGCATCGCACGATTTTACCGATTTTCAACCAAAGATTTGGAACCGCAGAAGTAAGATTATCTTCGCCATAATTAGCTGCGGAAGTTCTTGAATATCCTTTCTCTCTTGTTAGCTCGCCTGCACTACTCGCTTTCTCAACGAGCTACAACCAAAGCACAGAATCGTCCTCCTAGGAAAATGAATCCCTCCCACCGAGGCTTCATCCCGTCGGATGGTAGAGCTCATCCCATTCAGAACCCGAACGCAAATGCTGCGCGGTCGAACTCGACCACGACCCAGTCCTCGAACCCCCCCACGAACCCTCGCACCGCAATCGTCCAGCCACGGGCGGTCGGTTCTCAGCTGCTACCGTTGGGAACATGGCCAAATCATGGCGCGGTTCCTAATCCGTTGATCGCAACCACGACGGCCCCAGCCGCGACGCATGGGCGAAACCCAAGCGGCACCTCGTTCCCACCCGTCAGTCTTCGCAATCTCTCAAACTTGACCCGCGATCCAGTCGTCGGCCTCCTAGTGTCGACCATCATCGAATACAGCACTAGTCCAATAGCTTTCAGGGGCAGGATTGCAGATGACGAGATCAACGCTGGGCTTTTCTTCTGGGGTCCAGCGACTGTTCCGAATATGGTGTCCGTGGTAAATCGAGGCTTCCTTTTCGTGGAATGGCTATACCTTTTCACCCTGCGCCCGGATCTTCTCAACGGTGGCCCTCCTTCCGTGGTAGAAGCTTACATACAACAGGCGGCGTACCCTTTCGAGACCTGGTCCTCCATGGGCTCCATACTTCGGCAAGCGCGTGGAAACGGCTTCAACGTGCAGACCGTCAACTCTGCCCTTGTCCAAGCGCCGCGGGCACCTCGGCCGCTAGGTAACATATATCAGGGGCACACCGAGGAATACTGGGCGATTGATGGCAGCAAGGGTTGGGCGGACGATGCTCCGAGTACCGTTGGAGGTGGATCGATGGTCCAAAATGGCCACGCTGGGAACATGCCGCTCCTTACGGCTCCATATGTCCCTCCGGCACCACCACGTCCTCCACCGCCACCACCAGCTGCAGCAACGAATTTCCGGGGGAATTTCCATTTTTCCAGTGGAGCACTTCGAATGTGGGAAAACCTCATGTCTCGACGGTTTCGTCTTCCATGGTATGCAAAGGATAGTCCCGTGCATGACATCTCCAGCCATTGTCCACCGATCATGGTCGATATCAGCCTGATGGACTTTCCCGTGAGCGCGGTCGAGCTGATCACTTTCTTTCCGGAGCATACGCGGTGGCCGAGCGTCGCGTACCGCCTACACGAGCACGGATGGGGTGCAAGCGCCATATGCCACATGCTGCACTACACCCGCGACTTGAAGAGCGCAGGATGTATGCAGCGGGGCACAATGCAGAAGCGGTTCACGTTTGCGAATACCTGGCGTCGCAGCAACTCCAGCGCCGTAGTATCGGCTTTCCCCTCACGAATGGACCGTTCCTACTCAGGGAAAGATAGAGAGGTGGCTCATACCGATTACTACGTAGTCGACCTTGCCGAGGGTGTTGTCAAGTTCCCAGAGGACGATAATGCCCGGACGTTGACGCATGTGGTCCGGCACGCGATGGCCAACTCCAACAATTTCCTGAGGCTGAGCGAAGTAGCGGAGTATGCGCGGAACAACGATGTCTTCCAAGAAGAGGTTCCCTACGACGTTGCGATTGAAGATCGCCTTGCTGTCGAAGAGCTGGAGAAAGAGATCGAGCGCCACTATGAACGGAAGTTCCACCGGCGTCTGTTTTAGAGTTGTGTTAGGTCAGCTGTGGGTCCGCCCACACCACTCCGTCTCCAACCATCTTTGACTAGTGGTGATCGACCAACCACAACCTCTATTTAAACGGGAACAGGTATTTCCGCGCTCCGACGTCAATGTTATAACGATTTAATATGATTTAATTGGTACGCTCCATTTTTGAGTGCGAAAAAGGGTGACTGTGAAGGGTGGGCGGAGTTCGGAGCGGAGAAGCAATTTTCACCTGAAGAAGCCGCTGTGTGTGAATATAGGCGGGTCCTGGACATACAATCGACCAAGGATCTAATCATATATCTACAAATGGTATCATCAGCGCTAACTACACTTGGGGAATCATTGGGAAACAATAGGGGCTTGGGTTGGTGTTCACACATCTTAGTGGGTGAATAGACGTGTGAGCGGATGGCGGAGTTTGAGTTTTTTCACGTTTACCGTGTATGAAATCATACTTGTCGACCTGCTAGGAATGCAGAAATATTGATAGAGGGCGATAGAGGTAGATTCGGACACCGACATAGATCTAGATATTTCATTCCATCCGAAAAGACGGAAAAGCATCGCTGTACTACAAGAAATTAAAATATAAGTAGAAACAGGCTTCTCTGGGGTCTCTACTACGCGACAATAAGACAGCCTGGGTGGTTCTTAACTCATTCCTAATTTGATTTCGCTGAATCCAAGTAGCCCCATGGCTGATGAAACATCAGATGATAGGCTGCTTTCCTATCCTTGAAGATCCCCCTCCGCCATTTTCGACTTCGGGCCATGTGAGGTTGTGGCACGGGGCTTCGGTAAGGCAAGTACATGATTCCATCACTAGAGATTTGCCGTCCCACAATCCTTTCCTGACAAGCAGTATCCCTTATCCTGGTGAGATTGTCGCAATCCAAATGGTCCGACCTGGATAGTGATGGAGACGATGTGGGCCGATATATGGCGAGGAAAAATACAATCGCTCCATGTCACAGCCTGTTCGGTCCGGTCGAGTTCATTTTCGTAGCACATCCGCAAGCCACGTACTCCTCCCCCCGAGTATAGGTGACATTTAGTCCTTCTATTTGCCCTCTCGAATACTGAAAATCCCCGTGGTAAAAGGGAGCAATCAGCTCCTGCTTGCTGTTCGACTTGATCCTCGCGCCTGGGTATAGCACATGAGCTGGAACAAACACGAATGACCAAGAAAAACAATCGAGGTACCATATATCAGCTGGTTTCAAGTCCTCGAATTCTCTGCCGTCTACCATTCTTTTACTCCTTTCCTGGGTGGCTCGACGGTACTCGGGATCATAAGAGCTGTGTTAAGACCCGACGTAGCGACCAGGAGCGTCAGCATGCGCCTAACTTTGAAGAGCTAATCATTTGCACTGCTTCAATCTTAAGTTGTCTTTGTTTTAATTACCAGACTCACAAGCTGATTTGGCTGCTTTATGAGGGGGAAACGTAATACGCTATCCTCGGCGGTCCAGTTCCCAACATTGACGTTGCCGCACCAACAAGATAAGGGCACTCTCCAAGATTTAAGAAAAACGCTTAGCTGTTTACTCAAGTGCAGAGGGAACCTCAGTCTGCACCAAATCGTGTGGTGAATCTTTCCTGTGGCCCCTAGTGAACATCGTAAGCTTCACCCGATTTCATCGGCCTACAGGCAGAGCAAATTCAGCTCCTTAGTCATTAGCTTTCCCATGCGTAGTCCAAGCGTACCTCGTCAGATTTCATATCTCGGTATCTTGTAAATTATGCCTCTTATTCTCATGGGGCAAGGTAAATGAAAGCTATGGTTTTGATTGACCCGGAGGTGGGGAATGGGCGTGGCCAGGTGGGAGATGCGGTACCCCTCCTGCGTGGACGATGATCGATCTGTCCCTCTCTGCCCCCGATGTGCGTCAGTATGCGACTATCTTTACTAGTTTCACAGTCTGGCGGTTCTGTAGAAGATCTTCATGCGCACAGCGGGCTCGATGGGAGCTCAAGGTTAGTCGAGGCCGATCTGAGGCACGCAGTCGTCAAACTAGCGGTCTATTACAGGAATCCACGGCTGCTCTGATGAGCACCCCCAAGAGAAAAAGCGCTCTGAATATCTCTTCTTTCTATCCTTCTATATCTCCACTGGCAGAGAATTTCGAGTAGTTTGGGGTCACAGTGTGCCGAGTATCTCGTGCCGAGCATCTCGTGCCGAGTAATTCGAGGCTGAAGTTCGATTCCTTCTTCTGCCAGATATTGGCCATTCACCTTTATATTATGCCTTCCGAAATGCCTTCTTTCTTAGTCACATCTGTGATTGGTCTCACCCGTCCCTGGGGGAACGAAACAAACGCCCTGCTCCCATGACCGTTTTCTACTCAACGCTACAACTTAGACCCTCACTCCATATCCGCCCGCCACCAATCCCTTGGATCAATCGCCATATCCCCTGTCCTACGACATATACCCATATATACATACGCCCTTTTTATTGTATAAATTCTTTCGCTGCCGCCATGGTGTCTAGCAACGCCAGTAGCCTGCCGTCGACACCGACGCAGTCTGCCCCGTCCAGGGATCTTCTCTTATCGTCCTCTTCGTCGCACTCCATGTAAGTACAATCCAAGAGCTGCGTCGCGCAAGTATCCCCTAGGTGCCTCGAAGGCTGGAACACCCCCATAGAAAGTTTTTTACTTCATTTCAAATTTACTGACTTGCCGCGCAATCAGAGCCGGGCCAACAATTATGCCACATGCTGGAGCTATACCGATGACCTCGACGACCGCATCAACTACTGCTGCGGAACACGTCGCTGCGGGAGCCACAAGCGCTGAGACTGGCCCAACTGCCGATTCCTTCCTTGGTCCCTCCATCACACAAGAGCAGTTATCCGGAAGCTTTTCGACTGTGCAGGAACAGCCAATCCCTGTGACATCTACAAGCCTACAGGCAACCCCTTCCGTCTATTACGAATGGGAAGATTTCCTGAAGCTTTCTTCATTGCTAGGTAACCCAAAAGAAGGGCCGATAGCTGAGCAGATAATCGAGGTCCACCGAGACGGAACGGCGCAGCGAGCACGCCCGTGGCGAGATGAGGAGTTGCAGTCAGACCTCATGTTCTGGGATGCAATGACCGGAGAGTTTCTGTACGAGCAGTGGGTGAAGCTTTTTGACTATCGGCCGGACTTCTTGGAACGAGTTCCCGATACCGTTTTCATCGACTATTACAACCAGAAGATGCCCCCCGGGCGGAAGAGACCTTCGATGTTGTCCATGCATGAGGAAGTATTGTGGCCGATGGAATCCCTTGACGCGCCCATGGTCCCGCAGCAGGAGGTGTATCAACAAACGATCGGCACTCAGCACGTGCAGGTGCCTGCGCCTCCGCAAACGGCACCATTACATTCTTTGAATACGAGTACATCGTCCTCAAATACTGCGATGGCTTCCAGACAAGGTTCGGGTGTTGGCGAGGGGTCGTATCAAGCATTGGGGTTTATCTCGCAGGGTCAGCCCGTCGCAAGCGCTCCCACTTTGCCAGCAACCCCAACTAGCGGCCTCTCCTACTACCAATACTCTGCTGGGGCCATGAATGTGTACGGTATGTATTTACCTAGACCTCAGGTGATACCACGCGACCCAACCGTCCAACTTCGTATACTAACTTGAATTTTGAACAACAGGCCAGATCGTTCTGCGAAATCCCCCGTGGCATGCATATGCCACGGATATTCACCCACTGGAGTCATTCTGTACTTCAGTCAATGCCAAGATTACTCTACTGAACTTCAATGTCAGCATAGAGGAATTCATCACAGTGAGTTACTTTTCACTTCAGTAAAAGTGGGGATATCATGTAGGCTAACAGTGATAATCAGTTCTTCCCTCGCCACACATTGTAGTATAACTTTGCCCTGCGACTGACTTCGCATGGCTGGTCCGCTAGCGACGTGATTCGATACATTGTGCGTAGAGTCCTACCTGGAGCCAATTATTGGATTTTCACTAACACTCGTAGCACTCAACACGGAACTTACCAGCCTTTGACACTCTGAAACGCCCGACCATGGAAAAGCGATTTGCTACCGCCAAGAAATGGAGGGATGATCTCTAGAAGCAAAATCAGACTGTCCCAATGTCAGCTAATCCAGCCAGCATGGCCAATGACTTCTCTGGCAAGGACAAGGCAGAGGGGCAGTACGACTATTTTGTCGTGGACCTTGCAGAAGGTCGCGTATCCTTTCCCCAGGCGCCTGGCCGACTGACCTTGACCCGAGTGGTAGAGCATGCTCTGGCCAACCAGAATAAGAGGCTCCTTCTCAGCCAGTGCCAGAATTATGCAATCTTTCATGGCCTATTTGTGACCGACAACAACTACAACGTCGCTATGCAAGACAGAGCAGCGTTAGCGAGGGTATCACAGCAGCTACGAATCGATTTCAACAACAAATTTCACAGGCGGCTGGCATGAAAGAGAGACAGCAGTGGTATAACCATTGGTAGAAGGTTTTTGAGTGTTCCTGTGTCGGTTACACGATACACCATTCACTGGCGTGGCGGACCGCATCGAGTATTTTTACAAAAGTTTTTTGGGAGGATAGCGATAGATCTTGTTGTTTTGAAGATTAACCCTGGTCATATTCAGGATGACTGATATTTTCAACGACAGTAGGGCATTCACGGTGTCTATTTTTCACGCCGAAACCCTGAGCCTAGTTACATCATTTCAATTGCTAGCTGCGATATTTGGGCGTTTTAGACCATAGATTTCGTCGGATTCATAATCAGCGAGCATTGACGTTCGAATCTCTTACGATTACCGAAGAATGACTACAAAGACGAGAGAGTTTTTGACAGTTTTGCGGCAAAATAACATCTATTTCTCGCATGATATCAACGTGAAATACCCATGAAAGCTAACTTTGAATTTACATCGAGGGGATGATAGAGCGGGAAAGTATGTCATCTCTAGAGAATACTTCCTCATAATCTGCCGGGTTGCTTGTGACAGTCTTCATCTAGGTCTTCGACCGTTACAGAATAGTTACAAGGAGACTGAAGCCTCTCGAATACCACTTCTCCACTGTCGCTTCAGGTAGTATAGGATAGTGATGCTCCGAGTATCTCGAGGCTGAGGCTCTAGGGAAAGGCTGCGTGTCTCCACCATCACTCAGACACTGAGCCATCGCGTATTCACTCCATCTGATATGTTCCTACAATGAACTCGATCCGGTAACTGCCAAAATCCGGATCGCTAAAATTCGGGAGGAGTCCATGCAAATGTCCCACTCTGAAAAAGATTTCCCATCCAACACAATCCACACAGCCACCTAACCACCGAACCACCCATCACCCTCAACACCCTCCCACCCATGGGCGATACCGTTCCCCTCTGCTCTATCTTAAAAGATCATCGCTCTTGTTTGTTTATACAAATGACATCGTACGCTGTACCCACGGCATTCAGCACCCTGCGTCCCAGTCCACGACACCGTCGCCGCCATCGCAAGCCCTTCCTTTACATACTTTAGATATGACGTCATCGGCTTCTCGGGAGGTACCTGCGATGTTGAATCGTCGTAGTCCAACTCAACCTTCTCTTACGAGTGAACCTGATGCAAGGTAACCGGGAATGCGTCTTCCGCGGAGGAACGGTGTGCCGAATGCAGCATGCACCACGTCAGTACGACCCGCAACTGATACTCATTCGATCCTTCTGCGCTCCGCGTGTGCAGTCGGTGTATCCTGACTTTAAACCCATCTCGAAATGGCGCGACAGCAGATTAAAGTCCTCTTTCGACGTCCCAACAATACCCTCTACCGCCACTTCTTCCAAGCCTCCTTTGTTCCCTCGATTCAACATGCGTCCTCTGCGTCAACGAATATCTCTCCTTCGCCGAATGAGACCTCCAAATTCGGTACCGTAGCCGACTTCTCCCGTGCGAACAATTCCAATTCGACAAATGTCTCGACCGACTGACTCGACCCCATCGGGCTTACTCTGTCGCTTGGCAACTTTCTCGAAGGACCCATTGTAGCGCGATCCCATTAGCCGGGCTCACCAAGATGGTCGTGCACAATTAGCACGCCCGTGACTTCGAAAAGAAAAGGAAATATGGCGTGATACTCTGGGACGCAGAGATGGCAGGACAACTGTACGATGAATGATGTGCTCTCTTCAGACTTCGACCCAGCTATTTGAACATGCTTCAAGGGCTCTTACATTCAGAACAACTTCGGTCGGGAGTATTTTAGTCTAGAAATCATGCTTCTGCTGATATCTCATGGTGCTAATTCCATCTAGGTCTCTTTTCTTCAGCGGGTAAAGGAAGGTTAAAATAAGAATACCGGTGGCCCGCTTGCAAACCCCTGCATAGCAATTTCTCCGAATTGCATTAGATGATGTGCCGCTACCCCACATCGGCACTTGCGAATCATACGTCGCTAGAGATTTGAAACACTCTAACAAGCGGCTATGTATCCCCGCAATACGATCTTGGAACCTGGGGTAAAGACACTGCGATCGTCAAGACGGGTATATTGTCGAGCCTGGAATAGACAATGGAAGAAACCCGGCTCGAATCAAGATACCCTAAGCTGACCACTATAGACTATAGCAGCTATATATACGCCGTTCTTCCGCCTGAAATAATGATGTTCATCGCGCAGTAGAACTTGACGATCGAAATCGAAATGCACTTCTCCACGCTTACCACCGCACTGGCACTCGCCAGCAATGCCGTCGCTATCCCCTCCTTCGGTCTCCACCCCCGCCAAGCGGCAACTCTTAATGCCGCTATGAAGGCCCGTGGGCGAGAGTACATTGGTACCTCGCTGACGATCCGTAACGATAACCAGGAACAGAACATCATAAAGTCTGAGTTTGGTTCCGTCACCCCCGAGAACTCTATGAAATGGGACGCGACGGAGCCAAACCAGAATCAGTTCAACTATGGTGGTGGAGACCAAGTTGCCAACTGGGCCACGCAGAACGGCAAGGAGCTCCGATGCCACACTTTGGTCTGGCACAGTCAGTTGCCTGGTTGGGTCAACAACATTAACAACAATGCGACGTTGATTAATGTCATGGAGAACCACATCAAGAATCTCATGAATCGATGGAAGGGAAAATGCACCCACTGGGATGTTGTTAATGAGGGTACGCGTTGTGCACAAACATCGAACAAGGGTTTCCATCTAACATTCATTGACAGCGCTCGAGGAGAATGGCTCGCGTAGAAATAGCGTCTTTCAACGCGTGATCGGAGACGCATTTATCCCTATTGCCTTCCGCTTTGCTGCGCAATACGACCCCAACGCTAAGCTCTACTACAACGACTGTATGTCTTGCCCTCTCCGCTATCTCACCATTCCAAAGCTGACTATCCCCCAGACAACCTTGAATACGGTACAGCTAAACACAAGGGCGCCATCGCCATTGTCAAGCTCATCCAGCAATACGGCATCAAGATTGACGGCGTTGGTCTCCAAGGCCATCTTACTTCTGAATCCACCAACACCCAGCAAACTCCCACCCCGAGCGTCGCTACCCTTACCCAGGTTCTCAAAGACTACACCGACTTGAACGTAGACGTTGCCTATACTGAGATTGACATCCGTTCTAACAACCCAGACAACTCCCAGAAGCAGCAGGCCACCGCTTTGGCTTGGGCTCGCGTTGCACAGAGTTGCATCAATGTCGCCCGCTGTGTTGGTATCACCATCTGGGTACGTCTAAATTCCCGGGACGCTATAATTTGGGTGCTAACAAAACAATAGGGTGTCAAGGATGGCTACTCCTGGGTTCCGGGTACATTCAACGGCGAAGGATCGGCTCTGTTGTGGAATGACAACTGGCAGAAGAAGCCTGCGTATACAGCTTTCATTGATGTGCTGAACGGCAAGAACACAACCCAAACTCGATAGGCACCTGTCGACTCCGGGATGCATCTTAATGTTTATAAGGCGATTAAGATTAGTTTATAGAAAAGCACAGTATCGAAGATGTTACTGACATTCGGTTTCTCCCACTTACTCTTTTCGACCGGCTATACGTACCATATTGCTGGCATTCAACTACATTCTTGATCCTGCGGCAACTCTCTATTTGTCATTTTTCTCGTCTGCCGGCAGCGCGAAGGCATCTCTCCAGTAACCACACCAAGGCAACTCGATTGAGCCATCCATGCGAAAACTCCATCTCCATCACTTAGCCGAGTCCTGCGAGAAGCCCATTAAACACCCCTGCTCACTCTCGTATACAATCAAGATATTCCATCATTCGCACCCCCTGTAGAATGATCTCGTCGGCATCATCGCGATGAGTCATTCCTCGTGGCATGAGTGGCAACCGCCTGATGAGTTAGTCAATTCCTAATCCGGAAAAATAATAATAAAAACATCCATCGTTTCTACGGTAACTATTGGCTTCTCCCGAGTGAATGGCATTTGTTTGCCCTGACCCCTGTCTTTGCGCCCTTTCTCTGCGCCCTTAAGTATTCACTCTCTCAATCACTCATCCGTTGGAAACCTCCACTAATACAGATACGGTTAGATCTGTGACGTCATCTGGCGAGAATGTACCGTGAGTTTAGAGACTCCTCAATGGCAGTTGTACTCTTCGCGTCAAGGAGAAGAAAGCAACGTGCGGATTCACGCGAGGGAAGCACGACTTAGACGCCCACTATCACTGTGCAATTCTCTCCCAGGGAAGATGTTCCCAAGAAAGCTGGCCATGCAATCTCTCTCCTTCGGGCAGGGGATGAACAAGATCACAGATCGAACGTTCTCCATTCGTATTCAGATCCGTTGTGGACAGCCTCACATTATCCTACGTTCTGTGAGTATCTATGCTCTGAACCACACTCTGCAGCATCAATTGATCTTTGCTGGGTTTCTTGTTCTCCCACCAGGGAATACTGTGTCAGCCATCTTGCTGTCCTGAAGCCATGGGTCGCTATTGTCTTTTGCTCAACACTTCTGCCTTTGAGACTCTCAATTCATATCCTTGAACCCTCCACATCCTCTATCATCTGGAGGCAGATTATTCTTTGCGATAAATTTAAATCGCTATATATTACACTGCAATTGCGCGGTTGACACCCAATTAGCCAAGGAGTGCGTCGGTGAAAGATAAACAGAATCTGCCGCGTGCCTTCAAAATTACAACCTAGACGTGCCTCGAACATTTCATTCCGGCCTCGGTACCCGAACTATTCGACACCTCCATCGGACTCGACTTTATTCCCCAGTCCCAGAAACTCCGACTTGTGTCGAGACCTACGCACGACCCATTTCCCAACAATATCATTTGGTGATAGACACCGCTCTCCCAGGTTTGAATAATAACGTTGCTTGCAAAGTGGAGCATTGCGACCGCAAAGTAGCGAAAGGGAAGCGCAACCACTTATCTCCTCATCTGTAATAATTGTGTTACTTCGTTCTCCTGTTCCCAGTATAACCCTTTTTCTAACTCTTCTTCTTTTTGTCGGTCGGGATAGAGCTGGTATCCGTTCAACTCCATCAAGTCGGCGACCAGACTCGGTGTCAAAGAAGGACGCACGAGTGAGCCGTCGACGAGATGATTCGTCTCCCCCTCCACGTCCTCGAGATTAGCTTTCTGATCACCAATCTGGAAAGCTATCCTCATGGCTTTGTCGATATCGCCATTGGTTGGCCCAGCCGGAAGAGTTATTGACAGGGGTGCGGACATCTGAGCCCGAATCTTCTCCCTACAAAGCAGAACGACCAGGTCGAATAGGTCTTGAAGCTCGGGCACAACCGTGCACACTGAATCACAGTACAATCGGCGATGTACGAAGAACCCAACGTTCTGTTCATCATACTGCTCTGAAGTCTGGAGCGGAGACTTTTGGAGAGCCTGGGGGACATTGCTGTATTGGCTTTCCGTTGCAAAGTATAAGTACAGAGAAAATTCCATCAGCAAATGCCTGGAAAAATCATTGCCGGGACTCTCAACTTGCTCTATCAGGGTATGTAGAGAATCACGCCATTTCTTCCTATGCTTCTCACGGGGCGGCATCAATTTCCGAGCGTAGGTATGTCGAATGCGTTGTCGATGGTTTTTGGTGACCCTGGCAAACTTCCAATAAGACTCCAGTGCGACGAGATCCTCACCAAAAGGGATGCCGAGCTTGGAATTAAACTTCTCTTCTGGTGGAGGCCGCGGTAATCCCTGGATCATCTGTGCCAACCCAGCATCGTATACCCGGAAAAGCTCATAGGTTTCTTGAGACCGACGTCCTTCATCCCTAGTTCCATGGACCATATCTCGATCGATGATTGTCAAGCCCAGCAGTCCTAGGTCGGCAAGCTGGTCTCTCAGGCTCATCAAGTCGTCGAGACTCATTTTTCTCAATGCTCGTGCACTCACGCAAGTGCCACTGACCATTTTTTCTAGCCACGATTTAGGCATGGCTAGAGGGTAATGTAAGAAAACCCAGTGTTTGCTCGAAGGTTGTGAAATGAATGAAGCGATGTGGTCGAGATAAAGTTGGGTTCTTGACCAAAGCCCTCATGATCATTGTTATAGTACCTTTGTACAGTTTCGTTGAGCAAAACAATGACAGCTGTATTTGACCACTGCTCTCGAGAACTCCTGCATATTGCGAACACGCCCCCTGACCCTCGATTAGCCCCCCGATGATCATTTTCATTGAGCTGGGTCTGCATCTTGATGTTGTGTAATTACAATGCGCAAAAGCTCTCGAGTTCAAATGCTGCTGGGAAGTCCAGGGGGAATTTGAACTGCACAATGGTAGCTGGCTGTTTGAGACATCACAAATGTGCTGATTCCATGCAACGGTCTTTAGAGCAGAAGCTCTCTACAATGCATGATAGTATTGTCTGCGTCGACTGGTACATTCATTGATGCCATATCCTCGTGACCGCAATCTCAGTCAGTTAAGACTTCCACGCCGCTTCAGACGCTACAGCAATCTTAAAAAGGAAGCTAAAAGTACTGTGCTGACGTTCGATAAACTAAATCACTATACACGACCGTAGTGGAGGGTGTGCAAAACTACCTAGGCTTAATGTGCAATGATATGTACAATATAGGGTTTAGCCTACTCTAGAATTTGCTGTCAACGCTCTGTTAGTATTTAAATTAATGTTTACAGCTTTAGGAAGGCACATTAAAAAGTTATTAAACAGTGTGTTAAACTAGAAAGAGCAGATAACAGTCTGTTCCAAACTTAGCTAAAACCTATAAGGTACATACTGAGTGCATATCAGTTGGGTCATGTGCGACTTGTGACTTCCCTCATTGAAGACACACCCGATGACATGAGGGAAGCCGCAACTGGTAGTGATGAACGCGCCGGTCGTGCGTGCCGTAAATGGGCAAGTCACTATCAACGATAAGAGGGCTTCCGGCGAAACCTTTACATCCACGCCTTTGCAACAACATTATCACCATATCGAATGCTCTCCCGCCATTCGTTCCAGACTCTACATCTGCATTTCCTAATCGATTACCAAATACTGCTATTATGACTCATAGAAACTGTGATCATCGGCATAATGACGACTCCAAACCCGCGGATGTCCTACGCAATGTACCTGGCACTATGTCGGAAGCTGATGGGATCATACGCCAATTCTTTCACCCTTGACGACGCCAAATTCATTGCCAACTATATCACTATACAAAGACGACGCCATTGCCGTACCTCGGATGTGTTAGCACTCAAGGACAAAGTCCATTAATCTGGCACCGCGATCTCGGATATGGAAAAAGGGATAAACATATTGGGGCGTTTGTGGTTGAGGCATGCGATCAACTCAGCCAAGATAGAGACTTTGCCTTGTCGAGCAGCGAGTTTTTCGTCGATGTTTCGCGCAGCGTAGACAACATTCTTTGCACTATCCCAGTAGGAACAGTTCCCGTCGATCTCAATACTAGTACGCCTCTGCTTCAACCACACCACCCGATTCACCCTAGTGCACTCATGGGAAACGTTTCCCTCAATATTTCGAACGCGGGCATTTTTATCAATTTCGACACCGGTGCACCTGTACCGCCATCTTGTCGGCCCGCTCAAATTGGAATTCATACCAATGGAATCTCTCAGACGACCACGCAAGCATTGCAGCAACAGGAACGTGTTACTGAACAAGCAGTCAACGTGGACGAGAGAGTGAAGAATGAAGTGCGAGGAATGAAGTTCAACATGCAAGCCGCAGAATCAACGAAAGACGACGGCTACAAATTCCATCAACTCGATCTCGGCGGCTGGGGGAAAATCTTTCGTCGCAAAGATGACGATGGGAAGATGAAGTTATTCATCGGCGCCATTGAAGAGATCCACTCAATGGCGGTTAATGAGAAATCTCAGAATACCAGAATCAAGTGCCTCGTGGAATTACTCGGTCTGAAAGATTGACATGCATGGTCGACGAGGAATTAGCAAACCTGTTGAGGATTGGGTACTGGGGCAAGGAAACGTATTCCTTGAACAGCCGGTGTGCGCTACTTTAATATCAATGAAATATCTGCAGCAGCTGATTCCTCCAGACTGTTAATCCGCCGCTTCTCGATTGCGACTCTCTCCACTCAATGATTGAGCATTACAGACCTACTAACAATAGAGTATGCATTGTGAGGACCTATTCTTGCCTATAACCTTTTAGGCAAAGGGAGGTGTTCACATTGCGTAATGTGTAATGAGCACTAAAAATGCTGTCCTTAGACACATTACGAAAATGACCATCTTTCAAGAAGTCACATCAATAGCGATTATCACGATCATTGCTATGCAAAGTCTGACAAGGCGCTCCAGGAAAATGACAAACATTCTCTACCGGACCCCCGCCATACCTAGAGGTCGGTTTCTTCATCCCCTAAAAAAATGTTGACCCTTACCTAAAGTGCTTGAAAAGGGAAGCGTTTTGACCTCATATACTTATGTTTCAATGTCTTCGCAAGTGGAGGTCGAAAAATTTGTTGACAGTCTAAGCCGCACTGACCACCTGTTTGCAGCGATTTGGTCATATAAGCAGAATAAGTCAACGAAAGCAGAGCAGATAGACTCCACAAAGACAAATAAGTAAAAAAGAGAAACCAATGGGCCAGCTGGGAATCGAACCACAGGTCTCTCGTTGCCGCCATTGCAACGAGTGTACTGCCACTGTACTACCAGGCCTTTACTCAGTTTCAGTCATATTCTGACTTACCGGGCATATAAACCCTGAAGGAGGAGTCCTGAGATTCTACACATTCCCGAGATTTCACATGGTAGATGTTGGTGGAGGGTAGTGTTGTGTGGTGTTTTATTGTTTTCCGAGGTCACCGCGAGTTGGTCTATTGTGCTGGTAGTGGTAAATTTGTACGGTAATATGACGCACAATCTCTCCCGGGCCTGTGCTTAGATTAGTGAAAAATCTAAAATTCGGGCAATTATATATTTCTCGAAGTCTGTGAGGGTCAGCGCGGCACGGTTGGATAATTGCGAGCATCTTGTTAGTAGATGTTGCACGGAAGTCATCTTGTACCTCAGAAGACGGGTTCTGTATATGATTTTCGGTGTCATCTGTACACGCGGTATGTTAGAAACTGTACATTTTGATAACGATCACGACACGGAATGGTTCTACGAGGTAGAGGCGACATGAACACAGTTGATTTATTGTAATTCGGCTTTCGCGTTGAACGGCGTATCTTTATAACTACGGGCTCAAGGAGCCATGTGGATACCCTAGATAAATACTCAGTAAAGGTCAATCTTCCTCTTTTATATCCATCTGCGCTGTCAGGTCAGTTGTTCTATCAGAGCTCGCGGGCTCCAGAACCAGCCCAGTGGCACCGAGGTCAGAAACGTTGCACGTCAAATTGCTTTATAAGACTCTCAAAATGTGTAGCTAGGAATTGGTGGTGATTGTGCGGGCGTGGCGGTCGAGGGACGGTAGGAGCCAGTGGAGCGGGAGTCATGTTCAAATGTTTGCTTGACGCCTCCACAGCCACGATAGCGCGTCACGTGATCCCCCGCTTTCCAGATTCACCCACCTAACGTTCACATTGTATTACATAAGCACAGTCATTGTTTGCAAGATATCCACCCTGTACTTTGCTTTCCACCGCCAACACCCAGTCCCTCCGCTCGTCCTTTCTCAAACCGTCGCATACTCTCTGGATTTGCCGAGTTTGAACAGTCCACTCCTCACCAGAAAATTCTTCTCTACCAGTATACAGCATTCGATACAAATTCACCGGCGATTCCTGTTAGCTGGCCACCTATCCTGGCTGCATATGAAGGCTCGTATACGTACGAGACCATGCCGACTTTGGTCGACCTGGCAATTTCGCCCTATGTCTCGGTCCCCATAGTATGTATAACGCATGCACCTGTTTCAAGCCGCCTGCTCATGTTCCCAGAATAATTAATTCTTCGTCATTCCCTCGAGAGTACCACCAACACAGCAGAGTCTGCCTGCCCGAACAGCCGAGCCCCTTTCAGTCGATCGCGACAGTCTCGCCTATAGGGCTACCCCGGCCGACGGCGAAGGTTGGGTCGTTCCCTCTTCCACTTCGGAGAGCGTCGCTTCGGATACCCTCGAACTCAGTCGACACTAGATACAAGAGTTGGATCAACCGAGAGAGTCGAGGAGGTCTTGTCGCCACTTTATGTTTGGGACGTCAAAGGTGTGGAAGACGAATTCGCTTCCAAATCAGATGAGGAACATTCGTGGCGCCAAATACCGTGTGGACCGCGAATGCGGTAAATTTAATAGCCCGACAAGAATATTTATTCATGATGGCTGTTTAGAACCACGGTTGTACATTTACTTTCTTGTTGACCCGCCATCATCAGGAACGGGATCTGCAAGTAGGATAGGCAGTACTGGCACGAGCACGTCTTGAGAGAGTATGTCGGCCCACGTTTCGCAGAAGAAAAAAGAATCCGCGCCGCATATTGGCGATCTCGTAGGACTTGATGTTGCCGGAATCATCACTTGTCACCTCTCCCATTGCATCGTTTGGGGGCTGAGTCTGGGTCTCCTTGAATACGCAATGCATTGTTGGTGCCTTTGGCCTATGAATGCGTCACCTGGAGAAAATAGCGATAAAGAAAGAACTGTTGAACTACCTCCATTGAACTGATTTGGGGTTCAGCTCTTGTCTTTATGTCAGGGCATTGCGATAGATGATGAGATCTTGCAGAACAGAGTTCTACAAATATATTAAACTACCCGGGGACTAATATAATGTCGGGGATAAGCTCGATCTCTTATATTCAATGGAGTGGGGCCAATTTGTATGACAAAGGACGGTGGCAGTTGATCAGGCAGACTGACGACACTAGATAATCGATGCGAATTTCGTTGAGTGTTTAGGATATGAGTTCATGATCGAGTTTCTAATCGTGTTTAAAACTACCACGCCCCTCCTCTTCAAAGACGACCCAGACTGCAGCAGTTCACCGGCGCATTTAATGCTCAACACAGCACTTTAGCCGGTCAATCACGACGTGTCTCGTCTCTTAAGCGTGAAGAGGCTTCCTGGCATACACAATGTAGATACTCTGAACTGCGCCAACGCGCCTCATTTCCCTCTCCGTGTCCTCAGCTAGAGTGTCAAGTTCGGCACGAGGCATCGTCACCGGTAGTCCTTTCCGACGTTAGTACAGTGGCAATCATTAAAGAAAGGAACAGAAAGGAGGAAAGTAAAACGAACCGCGTGCAATGGGTATGAAGCCCTTGATAGCATTGGTAACCTGCTCCACGCTCTTCTCCGCCATCTCTGGGTTAGGGTTCAATGGACCCACGGGCACATCGAAGACTTGCTCGTGTATATCCTCCATACCAGCATCCTGAAGCCATCCCTTCATGCGAAGACCGTAATCGTGACCAGTTCCTTGAATGGTGAACATCTCGCAAATCATGGCTTCAGCTTTAGCCAAACCTCCCGCCCTGGGCGAATTGTGGTTTTGCTCCAAGAGTTCGATCCAACCTCCGGGCTTGACAAGCTCACACAAATTCTTGACGACATCTGATAGTGGCATGAATTGAATGCCGGGAAGGACTAGCCTTTGATGCACGTAGTCAAACCTGCGCAACCAGGATCTTGGCCATGGGCTGTCAGCCCGCTGGAGGTGAAGCTCGATCCCATCGGGGGTTGGTCTGGGGAACATCTTCGTGAACGAGTCCGCGCCGACGAAAGAGCTGTTTGTCCCGCTCGTATTTTGGCGGAGATCAACGAGCCAGTGGCCTAGATTTAATATCAATCGATGAGTCCTCGAAAATTGTCAGGGAAAGGTGTTACCATCTGCTGTTCCGCTGTCCATGACTTGAAGGTCATCCTTCTGCAGGTCTACCGGAGCAAAAACGATCCTCTTCATTGCATCTTTGAAGATTTCATGCTGCGTTATCAAGCGGCCTGCCTCGATGGGGTGGTATTGTACAAAGATTTCACCCTTGGCTCTTGCTTCTTCGGCTGGATCTGCGTACTGAGGGGCTCCCGAGTCACCCATTTTTACTATTGCTGATACGAATATTGAAGATGATAAGGTATGAAATCTAGCAGCTCTTAGACTACAAAAGTTCCGGTGGCAGCAACATACACCCTAATAATTTATGTACTTCATATAGTTCTTAAGAAAACCCCGTTTCGAAGCTTTAGAATGATGAGACTGGCAAACACGTCACAGATTCACGATAATAATCCATGCCCCTCGACGTTTCCATTCAACTCGCGCGTATACTATCTAGAAAACTGTAGCGGGGTATGTAAACAATGCCAACGCGGAAACGTTTTCGTGGTTCCTACTCACTGGTGGAGTCCTTCGGCTCGGGGCGTTCACCAAATCCGTCGCCAAGAATGCAGAACCTTGACTCACCGCTTAGATCGTCGATCTCGGAAAGTTTGGTCATGCGGTGAGCCTGAAACCTTAAAATATAGAGTTCAATCAAGCTTCCGGAGCGGAGTACTCGTTGCGGATCGTCCCGCATTTACTGAGCCTAGCCATGGAAAGGTGACTACACGCTGTTATTATCTTTCTGAGGAAGTATCACATTGGCCGATTAGCTAAAAACACCGAGATCCATTCCGCGTCCCTCTGATGTCGGAGAAATCGTGAATGTTGCAGGCAAGTAAGCTCTAATGTCGGAAGAATGTATTCGTGTACGTGTTCGTCGGAGCACAACTTGTTCCGATGTCTAGAACATTATCGCATGGGTCATGGATCATGCAGGGAGCGGTACCATCGAAGCTCTCGATCACCACAGGGTTAATCCAGGACCTGAAGATCGAGACATACTAATCAGTTCGCGCATCTTGTGGTGCTCCTACCACAACCGCGGGTGGCTGGAGTATTGAACAAGATCCTGCGTTTTACAATACTTCAGATTCAAGTAGACTTGAGTCGGCAAGAGAGAATTTGACTGAGGATACCTCAACTTTCTATTTCGCACAATGTTTCACATCCTTGATAATGCTGCGGTCATCTCAATGCCGTCGGGGGTGATTCTGGCCCCAATCGCTATAACAGTTCTCTCATTTTGTTTCGCGTACGCTCTGAGAGAAGGGACTGTCGGCAACATTGTAATATCTTACTTTTTGAATGTAAGGATACCATATGACCAGCCATGCTATATCGATATTCACATCTAGTTGTAGAACTACCTCCGCTGGCGCTACCCTATCAACTCCACCGATGGATCTATTGCCCTTCCGAGTGCGGTTTACAAGTTCCCCAATGGACAAGGGAATATCGCAAAGTTTTTGGATGGAGAGGAAGAGTCGCGAAGATGGCAGGAGCAGCTAGGGCCAATTTATCGGATATGGGCTGGATTCCAGTCGGAGGTGTAAGTCAGACAAGTTGACACTTCAAACATACTTCCGCCATGCGCTAACATGTACACAGTGTATTAACACGGCCAGATCAAGTACAAGCCGTATTCAAAGACTCCCATCAGCACTTGAAAGGCAAATCCATAAACTCTAGCTAGCTATGTGGGGAGCTTCTCGGCTATTGCATTAGACTATTAGATCAGGACAAATGGAATACTACTCAAGCTCCGTTCGCGGATACGTTTCATCAAAATCAGTCGCCATTCTACATTCCACTAATGCAGCGACGAGTCAAAAAGCAGTTTCAAGCATTAGCAAAAGCAAAGGAACAAAACAACAAGTTCATGCTCATCAAGCCGTCCAAAGACTTGAATCGCCTACCTCTGTAGATATTATGCGACATTGTCTATAGGACTCTTTCTAAATCAATAGAACAGCAATTCAAGGAAATCATACCTCTGCGAGAAAGTCTGGAAAAATGTGATGAGCGGCGGACTTTCTCGATTCACCTTAAGTCAATTCTTACCCACGGCTACCAATAACACACTCTAACTGTTCAAAGAGAAATAGACTTAGTTCAACGATAAAGCCTACAAAAGAGCGAAACAGGAGTACCCAAACCATCCTATTATAGGTTTATACGCGGCGGTTGAGCAAGGCACTATGTCTAAGATCAAGCTACTTCACACTCTAGATAAAGCACTATTCGCAAATCTAGACGTTACAATTAGGAATTTCTCGTAGAACCTAATCTTCCTCGCGGCTCATCTAGAGATTCAAAACAATTTAAGGCAAGAGATCAATGCCGTCAAAACGTTTGGTAACAAGAAATTGTGGACAGATTACATCACTAGATCTTCAACGCTTCTCAACGCATGCATGCTAGAATCAGCGCGTCTTAAACCAATAGCTCCGTTCTCTATTCCACAGGCTGCGCCCAATGACCGTGTAGTTGATAACTTCAACATACTAGCTAGAACCAATTACATTGTTAACACATACGCGCTCAACGTTCTCAATCCCTATTAGGGAAAGGATAACAAGGAATACCAACCTAGCAGGTTCCTTAAATCAAAAAGCGCAGTTAAGATGCGCTACAGATTTTGGCGTTATAGATTTGGCCCGAGACAATGCTTGGGTAAGAACGTCGCCGATATTCTGATCAAAGTGCTACTTGCGTACATGGTGGAAGACTATGACTTGAGCTGTGCAGTGGGAGATAAGTTAATCGATGGAAAGATGGATCGTGTGGCCGATACATGGATTGCCTCGAGTAACGCTACTATCGCTTGCGATAGATTGAGTCCAAGCGACAAGTAGGGTTCGAAAATTAGATTTTTCAGGTTGAGAATGAAGAGCGCAGTGGATATGAGTTGAAAGCCTTACTCATTACTCTTTATCTTACATAGCGCACGCAGCCATCCAAATTGAGAGTATTTCTCGGACACATCAATAGCCATATCGTGGAGTTAACACGGGTCGCAATCTACGTAGACCAGGCCCGGTATCTGGTGTTGATTCGGTTGATTCTCGAACAGTGGCGCAAATTATAACTCCAAGAGGCATTTCGCTTTGATTTCGCTTTAATCGCCCGTTTCGTCCATTTCTATCGTCCAAATCCATCGTCGTGTGTGAGAACACCTAAACTCTTACTTAAAATTAAAAAATAACTGCAAGAAAACTTACATCAGTGTCAAGAATCGATTTGCGCCAGGTTAAGTGAGAAGCATAATGTGAAACATGGCGTACTCGACCCAAGCAGAAGCACTGTCGCACATACTTATGTATATTGTGAGCCAAGGCTTCAATGGCTCACCCCGGCAACAACTTCATCAGTTATTTCCAGGAGTACCATCCATCCAAAATTCCGTACTTGAAATACGCATGGCAGCAGGTTATTCGGTCCGAGCCTATCTTCCAATCTGTTTTCGACGAAGAATTTTGCTGGGATGGCGGGATGGTCTATTTCTCGTGGACCGAAAGTATTCATAGCGACAAGCGCCGGTTTCAGCGAGAACTCGAATCCATTAGCGCACCTAAGACGACAATTCCTACCACCGAATTCAGAGTCGTCACGCTTGCCAATCAAAAGAGCGTTCTGGTATGGCAGGTTCATTATGCTCTTGTTAACGGATATTCAGCCCGCAAGCTCTTAAGGAAAGTGAAAGCGGTCATTGACGGGAAACAAATCTGCGAAGGGCCGTCTTTTCAAGATTTGGTCCACGGCTGGAGGATCTACCAGACTCTATTTCGTCAGGAGTCGACACAATTCTGGTGTATTTACCTACAAGATATAGGCAAAGTCAACGCAGATCTCGCACTGCCACCACCAGAACGGCAAGGTCCGGACGAGAGACCTCGACCTGGCGTTATTACCTTTCTCTCGCCCCTTCAACAAACCATTCAATTCAGCAAGGACCATGACCTCCCCCTATTATCTGTATATTACGCCGCTTGGGCGTTGGTCTTATCTCTTTATACAGGATCCAATATAGTCATGTTTGGCGTATTGTTCGCAAACAGATCGCTCCCTCTACCGGCCATTCGGGACACGGTGGGTCCGATGATGAACACACTACCGCTCTTGCTCTCACTCGACCGCACCAAAACACTCCAAGATTTCACCCAATATACTGCCGCCCGTTTGTCGGAGCTCAGTGAATTCGAATGGAGCATTCCCAACCAGCATTGTTCGATGACTTCAGCACTTTCCATGCAGTACGATTATGAAAGCGATGCCGGGGAGTCTTCATCGTCGTTCACAAGAATCCAGACCGGTGTTCCAATTAGTCTCTTTCTCGGCCCCAAAGACAACATTCAGATCAACTATGACGGTAACATGTATACGGAGTATGATATTACTAACCTTGGTCGGATGTACGTGCACGCCATCGACACACTAGTAGGACTAGGAACACAAACATTGCATGAATATTTCCAAAGACCCCTACCATCGAAGATGTGGCAAGAAGTCATGCTCAAGGGCAATTGCTTTTCGGATTCAAGCAAGGGTCATGAACAAGATACCCTGCAAAGCCTTTTCCACGGTTGTGTCAGAGCCAATCCCAATTCTACCGCCGTTGTCAGAGGTGATGCTTCGATATCGTATGCAGAGCTGGATGCTGCTGCTTCGAAGGTTGCTGCTACTTTGTGCGAAATAGTGCGCCCTGGGAACGTGGTATGTGTCCACGCGGATCGTTCTATCAATTGGATCATCGCCATATACGCGGTTATCAAAGCACACGCCGTTTACTGTCCAATGGATCCCGCTCTCCCTGCGAGCCTAAGAGACAGCTATTTCCAGACTTCTCGAAGCCAGCTGTTCTTAACCACCTCAGAAATACACAAAGAATACAAGCCGGCATCGGCGCCTGCATGTCATTCAGTGGAGAAACTCTTGTGTCGCAAGCAAAACACATCAGCTACAACACCGGTAGGTATCTCCCCAATTCATGATTGTCCCATTTCCCTCAGTTTTAACTGGTTTCTCCTACCATACATATGCTAATATGTTACTCGACATCCTCAGACAAAAGAAAACATTTCCAAGAAGGCGCCGGCTTATCTTTGTTTCACCTCCGGATCCTCTGGCCTCCCTAAAGGAGTTCTATGCACCCACGAGGGAGTCGTGGGATTTCAAAAATACTATGACGCGCGTATGCGCATGCGTCCAAATCTCAAACTCGCACAGATTATGTCTCCCGCCTTCGACGGTAGTATTCACGAGATCTTCTCGTGCTTCTCCTATGGAGGCACACTTCTGCTTAGCGAAACGTCTGACGTCCTTGACAACCTCAACTATGCAGACGTTGCAATCATCACGCCTTCAGTTGCTAAACTCCTCAACCCCAATGATTACCCGAATCTCCAAGCGGTATGCTGAAGCCAGACCATCGATTAACGTTTTGTCCATTGCTGACTTGAAGCCAGATATATATGGTTGGTGAACATGTTCCACAGTCTATATGCGATTCGTGGGCAGCAGTCATGCCGGCTTTCAATATGTACGGCCCAACTGAGTCGAGTTGTGGTGCTACTCGAAAGACGATGAAGCCAGGTGAAAAGATCACCATTGGAGTTCCCGTCCTCTCAACACGCATCTATATTCTCGATCAAGATCAGCGTCCGTTACCCCCTGGAGTCATCGGCGAACTCTATACGGCTGGTGTTCAAGTATCTCCCGGGTATGTCAATCGTCCGGATGAAACGGCTAAAAGCTTCCTGGACGACACTATTCTCCCCGAGTTGAACCAAAAAATGTACCGAACACGCGACTGCGGCTATTGGAATACCGACGGCGAGATCTGCTTGCTAGGTAGATCCGATCGACAGATCAAGTTGCGAGGCTTCCGCCTTGACCTGGATGATTTGGAAATTCGGATGGCTAGATGTTCTAGCGCCACTTCTGTGGCTCTTGTTCGCAAGGATGACATTCTCATGGCAATGATCGTACCCGAATCCGCGAATGTTAACGATTTCAACAAAGACATTAGAAAAGCACTTCCACCGCAAGCGCTACCAAAATTTGTGAAGTCCGTTGCGAAATTTCATCTCAGCAACTCAGAAAAGCTTGACTACAAAGCCATTGCTGCAGCGTTCTCTGTCGATAATCCAACACCCCCAACCTTCGATCGCACACTTACATCCCCTTCGAAGACAAACAAGAGCTCCACGAGGGATGCAATTATATCGGTGTGGAGGGGTGTATTGAACCTAGATGATGGACATGAATTGAGCAATAACTCGAGCTTTCTGGACCTGGGAGGTCACTCCCTTCGGCAAATCGCCCTCTCAAATCGTCTTTCCTCATTCATGGGAACTCGTGTATCTCCAGCCGATATCATGAAGAATGATCTTCTAGGAGACCAAATCCGAATACTTTCACCTACCTTATCTCCCTCGAGCGACAACCATGAGCCCATTCTCAGCGGTTCGGGAGGACAGATCGAATCTATCTGGCGTTCTGTACTTTCTATCGACTCTGCAGAAGATCTGCATATCAATTCGAATTTTATGGAATTGGGCGGAGATTCTCTCCTCCAACAGAAACTCGCGTCGCGGCTGTCCACTATTGGACACAGGAAAATAAGAATGCTAGACATCATAAACAACCCCCGTCTCAGCGATCAAATCTCCTTGTTCAGTAAGGCGAGAAATACGTCCAGCATCGATAACGGTTCAGAGCTTGGTCGCGACGCGCTGTCGCCTATTGAACAGGATTGGCTGGATAAGTACTCCATCGAGAAGGGGACTTCATCATTTAACGTCAACCTTGTCTGTGACTTGGATCGAGACTTAGATCTCCCGAGGCTAGAAAATGCATGGAACAATGCGTTGGAACGCCATAGTATTTTGCGCTCTATCTTCACGACTAATAGCCATCGCACATACGCCTAAATACCCCCTCGCGTAATTCTGTCGAACGAAATCAACATCCAAGAAGAGATCAACCGAGACTTTTAGTTAGATAAGGAAGTTCCTATTCGCGTACTCATCGCACCCACCGTGCTTATTCTAGTAGCCTCACATATCGTCCTCAATCTTACAGCCGTGAGCGTGCTGTTGTCTAACGTTGAAGCATATTAGAACGGCAACACACCTACATCAGTGCCGACAGAGTACAGTGCAACTACAAGATAGAGTCAGCCTATTCCTCAGGATAATCTCACTTTCTGGAGTCACCTCGCAGATATAGATCCGTACCGAGGCGCTACCCGCTGTGATTACGGTGGACAGTCCCAGGTCAGCAGAGTACTGCCAGAGACCTTCCAGGCCATAGTTCAGTACTCAAATCAACACGGTATCACACTGCACCAATTTTCTTTGTCAGTAATTGCGTTGGCGCTTCGTCACGGCGATAACCCAAAAACCCAAGACATCATCCTTAAAGCCCCTTACCTGAATCGTAGAGAAGAAGAGATGGAGACAGTCAGTCTTTTCTTAGAGCCGCTTCTTATCCAGATTCCAGAGCCAAATGCCAACGCAACTAAGTCTCGCAGAGAGACCTAGGGCTCTGCATATTGCAAAACAGTAGCTGCAGCGAGTCAACAGGCTTTGTCCCATGCCATCCCCTAGAACAAACTGTTAGATCATCTTAGAGTCAACACCAATCACCCTAATATACCCTTCATCGATGCAATGGTCACATTCCATAACAACCAAGGGAGTCACTTCATATCTATCAATGGTGTTCATCCTCGCTGCAGCTGGTGCGAAGGATCTAAATTCAAGCTCATGTTCAAGTTTATGGCTTTGAGTGACAATACGGCGTTACTTAGAGTCGAGTTTGACAGCAAGGTCTATAGCGAGATTGAGTGCAGCCAAATCCAGGCCCGGATTATGACTGGCATCGAAGGTCTGACCAATGGGCTCGACGGGGGAGAAATGGAGGTAGAGATGAAGCGTGCCACTATGGAACAAGAACACCCCAGTGACGATGGAAGAATCTACCTGGGCAAGAGGCTTGCTGACCTTTGAAACGTTAGATTAGAGTTCGGTATACTTTTCTTTTTTTTCTCGTAATCTGAGATGCTCTCCTTTGGTTGGTTTACTATAATTCAAAATAATCACATAGAATATAACCTCCGTAATCAGGGAGAACTTTGTAAAATCCAAAGATTATGTCTTTGCATTATACGCTACTTCTCAAATTTCAGCGGGAGGTAGTTCTTGCGCTATCTAAGGCTGGCGGAAGGCCTCTGTCCTACAGATTGTAAGATATCGAGCTGGTTAACCCAAATGTCTCGCCCGAAGATCCTGTGCGAAACACGGCTACTTTATGTCTATACACAGCATTGCGTTTGATCTTGTGTCCATGTCATCCAAACTATATACAAAAGCAAACGAGAAAAGTGGGAAGAGAGGCGGGAACAGTAAAAAAACACTCTAGCACTTTCAAAGATCATCACACGATATGGCTTTTCCAGCGTGACCCAATGGCTTACTTACGATGGGTTATGTTCCAATGTCTCATTACATCTCATCTCCATGCTCCGGATGCACTCACCCATATTCGCTGGGCGGCTCGGCCCCCCTTTCAACGCCCTTCCAATGAACTCCTGGAAATTCTGAACATTTCAAATTCCATTTTAAAAAATGAGCAGACAGTGAGGCCTGCTCAAGGGAAAGCAAGTGCCACTAATTTTTTGACATTTACGCGGTTGAACGTCACTGCACGCAAGTACCTTGCCCGACACCATAAAATGCTAACGATCATAAGCACGGAGAGGATTCCGAAAACCTCGGGATAGTGACTGAATCTGATGAGTTCTCTTGTAAATGTACTTTGCGACTTACAAGAAAGTCTTGGCCTTCCTAGAAGAAACATGCATGAGGACAAGCGAGAAATTGTCAGGGATTGTCAGTTAGAATGTGCTATACTTGTGAAGGAATATGTAGGGTGAGAGGGTGTCGGAACAGAGAAAACGAAGCGATAAAGGTGCTTACACGCCGTACACAATTACATTTTTCGGGTATATATTTTTAAGATATCGCATAGCATGATTTTATCCTAGCTCATTCCCCTCAGAAAGGAAGGGAAAAGAGGACAGAAATGATGTGACAGGTCTTGTGTTAGATCGTACATATGTAGAGATCTTGATACCCTCAATGAGCTCCAGGGATGCTGTGTTTGAGATTAGGGCATATGCATGAGAACAACAGATAGAAGCAAATACCGGATATGTTATTCTTTGATGAGATCAATGGCAAGCGAAGAGCAGACGCGCCAACTTATACATCACGTGACCATAGAATCATTCACAACATGGTGCGCGGAAATCACCAGGCCTTTTGTCTCTCTCTCATTTAGCTAGTTAGCGCTGCACCTCTGGTAAATTGAATTTCTATTCGACCCCCGCCGTTTCTATCTCACCTAGTAAGGAGCAGTCGACCAACCCTCTACCTCTGCCCTGCATTCAGTCACGACTTTGCTCGCGCAACCCTTCTATCTTCGCTCGTCTTCACCCACAATGCCATCCACACCTGACCTCATGGAGCAGGACCCAGCCTCTCTTTTGCGATTCCGACGACCCTCTTCCGACGACTCGCGGGGTTCGTCCGAAGCGACACGTTCACCTGCCCCTCCCGTAATCGTTGTTGATTCGGCCCCCGAAAGAGATAGCACACCACCAGTCCCCAAATCCCCGCCTGCTTCCCCAGGTCCTCCTTCCCCCAGATCACTGACCGTGGACGAGGAAACGAAGAACCACAAGGAACGCTGGGTGCGCGAGTGGCCTAGCGAAGCGCACGCCTTGCGCGACATGGAATATATATGCCTCCGCGATATTCTCGGCCAGATTCATGATTGCAAGCGAGGAAGGAATTGTCCTGCCGTTTTTCATATCTGTCGGGACTGGTTTTGGCGCAAAGGCGAGAAGGTAGTGAATCCCCATGTTCTAAGTATATTATTTGATCATCGCATATTGCATGCGGCACAAACACTGAGTATTGAAAATCACACGATAAATCTGCCTTGGAGCTCTAGACACGACACACGTGTTCCCTATGTTCATCCTCGCGGGTGATCATTCGACTAACATATCGTTGTGTAGACTTGCAATCACAAATTCCGCATGCACCTCGACGCAGAGGAGAATCTAGTAGTACATGTCCCGACATTCTGCACGTCACTGTTGAGAAATGGGAAATGTCAGCGCGGTGAGGGACAATGCCAGTACGTTCACATTGGGGAGGATATGGTGCGGAGGAGGTTGGCGGAGAAGAACAAGGCGAGGGAAGCTGAGGCGCGCGCTTGGGAGGAAGAACGCGAAAAGAATCGACACTGACTTCTGATGGGCAGAACTGAGCTTGGAAGCCATACTGAACGTGCCTTAAAGAACATAAGAGGGTGGGTTAGCGTGATGGATTTCCTCTTAATAATGTCACAGCTCCACTATCAGTATATTCCAGTATGCGGTTCTTGAACTGAGCTTTCGGCGGTAATTGATGACTGACGAAGACATAAAATTACGAGAATCTGTTTACTTGTTTTATTGCCCCCTCGCACAACCTCTTCTTTCTCAAACAGCTGCCGTGATTGTTGGGGTTCCCGCTGGGCTACTCCATCCATCTTTCATATTTCCTGAAGCTTCTATCTATCGAGACCAATAGATAAATAAGAATGAATATAGCCTTTGAAATTACTGAGCGGCGAGCTAAACAAATCAGCACGCGACAAGTTGCAACCGCATGACAACTTTGCTGATATGCAAGTAGCCGGTAGCGAACAACACCCATTCTTGACCGAGGAAATTTGTCAAGAAGGGAAATCTGCTGAAGAATCAATGCACAGAAATCGAGAATCTGTTTGCGTTCATGATATTAGACCTGTATCTGCGTTGCAGTCGTTCTGGAAGATGTACAAGAAAGTGGCTCAAAGAATTGGGCAACACTAGAAGGAAACTGGGATTAGACAACTGGGTCCCAAGAATACATACGATGGTGATCTTGAATTGCAATTATAACAGAATTGTCACTAATGCTCATACTTTGCGTTGATACCCTGATCTGGGTGCATACACAATGATAGTGCGAACAAACCATCATGGATGTGTGTCTGAGGCTAGGCGATCGCGATATGCTCAAAAGCTTTCGCCCTGCGTATCGGGACTAATATTCAGCCCCACGTTCCCTGAGTACCTTTCGCGTCATCTCGACAACGGCAATCTTGACATGTTCTTCGGCAACACGAGTTGCGGTCTCCATGACGATTTGCTGGTAGTCCTGTCGGGTACTCATACGGTCCACCCGATCCTTTATTACTACCTCTAGCCAGTCTGAGTCACCCATCATAACACGTTTCATTTCGTCCCGAGCGAACCCCTCCATTTGCGATTTGATTAGCTCACTGAAGAACTTGCTGCGAATGAAAGCGCCGATCTCGTGGTCGATGATGCTGCTGACGTTCTGTGCAGATTCTCGCCTATCACTCAACACTCCTCGAGTTTGGGTGACGGCTTCTGTCGCCACGTTGGCAGCCGAAGGGGATCCAACAGCTGAGCGTGAGGAGGATCGATCAATCGATGAGGTCGATCGTTTGAAGAGAGTGTTGATCAGCCCTTCCGAGGGATCGCCGTTCTGATCGGCGGAAGCAGAGGTCTTCGACATAATGGAGTGCGTCGGGACTTGCAGTAATCTCGACGGATCAAAGCTATTGCACGTTAGAACGGATCGCCTGCAGCCTCTGGATATCCGTTCTGACCTTTGAAGTTCCGATTGACCGAGGTTGTAGAGCTTAACGTGCCGCTCGTGTTATGGTATGAGATGAGGAGCAAAGGAAATGTAGGTGTACGGATCATGGGTTGCGGGAAGGCAGGAGCGACAGAGGACGAATAGGAAACAGCCACCCCCAATCAACGTCCGAGAACGAGCGATACACAGACTTATGTACTACTAGAATAGGTTATCAATGCTCTTTTCTGAGAAGATTCACACGATCGAGCAGCAGCCAACGGAAACTCGAGCAGGGTCTTCATTCACGACAACATCGAAGCAGTGCAACTGAATATCACTTAATGATCATTCGGCTACTTAGAGCGCCCAACCTGTACTTTAGAAATGACATTACAGCATCCTTCAGTCACTATGCTGCCATACCGTGCGAGGTGGAAGGTTCCTTGTCTTTTGATGGAGGTGTGAACATGATATCCGCCAGCTTCTCTTTCATATTATCCACCACAAGTTCCTCCACAGCCATATTGCAAGCTCGCTGGATCAGATCATCCTCGTCCATATATTCAATTCTCTCACGAATCATCATCTCCACCAAGCCCATTTGTATCCTCTCTGCGACATATTCCTCGATCCGTTCATGAATCTGTTGATTAATCACGCTTTTGAAGTCTCCCCATTGGCCCTTCGCGAGGTCAAGGATAGCCATGTCGATTAGGGTGCCGAGCTTGGTTTGCAACGCGTCAATGACGGTTATCATCGATACGAGGTAATCGACTTCCTGGGCGTTGTTTTCGTCATCGCATGCTCGTTGGAACTTGGTGAGTATGTGGGCGGGGACTGCAACCTTGCGTCCGAGCGGTGGTGCCAAAGTATTGTCCTCCGTTTCGACATCTGGCATTCCCATTGTTGTTGATTAAACCCAATAGAGAGTACTCCGAATTTTGAAGTGAAGAATGGATGTTGCCTTGAAGACTTGCCGTACAGTTGAACCGCGGTTCTTCCGACTTTCCCAAAGGTATTTATACAGATTCATCGGACGCAGAGAGGAACAGCTGCGAAAATCAGCGCACAGTGCTGATCATTCCGACCATAGCAAGTGACGCAAAACGGTAGAGGGGCTGGTGCTTTCATGGGAGTTCCGGCGATCATAGGAAAGCATTGGCGGGAGTGACGGGCACTCATCCACAAAAAATAACAAATGCACTGTGGTAAAGTGCTGAGTCGGTATCGCGTTGTAAGGAGCAATCACGCGAGCTTACCATCCAACACAAACACAGTATTTGCGCGTGTCTCGTTGCGTCTACTGACTTTCAAAAATGACTCAACATCCAATCTCATGACTTGCATTGTTATGACTGTGATCTCTTCCAAAACTGTCCATATCTTTTTCCTGCCGAGCTCGAGAAAGGAATTCCCGCTAAAACTCACGAGATAAGTTGCTAGAATCACTGAGATTATATGATGCCCAATATTCTGCGTGCAATCTCGACGAAGTGCTCTTGAATATTTCGGTCTCTGGTAGAGTATGTTGGCCTTGAGATTCTTGGGTAGAGATGCGGGAGCCCCGGGAAGCCCCCCAGCCCACTTAATGGCGAATCCATAATCTCCGATCGTGAAGCGCTTGATGTTGTGCAGAAAATATTGGAATTAAATCAACCGGCGCAACGCACAGACAAACTGGATCAAATTTTACACTCATAGTAAAGCGAGATAGGCATTTTACAGTGGGATGAAGTGTCGCGCTTCCATGGTCGTGACTCGCATCCATCATTCACGCGAATAATTGTCGGCATATCAGTGCGAGCTTCACACGTATTGATGGAAAGCGACTCTCATATAGTCAATGTGTATCAGAATTTGTATTGGGATTGCTGTCCATGCTGTGTGGAGATGTGGAAGACTTATCCCAGCACAATTATATGTTTATTCGCTGTCGCCATCCCTTAGAAGTTCCAAAAAACGCCAGGTGAGGAAAGACATCTTCCTCGACCGTGCCTCCACAAGAAAGTGGCGTATCATCCAGGGGAGCCAACTCAGTTCTGCTGGATCTAGCTTTGAAATAACTCGCTCTCCGTCTGGAAAATCAGTTTGATCCTCCTCTCAATGGCCTTGTTCATCACCTCGAAAAAGATTTCTTGAATGACATCCGACAATAGGATCTCCAAGTCAATGTCTTGAATGCCTTGCCTGACTTTGTCGTGGAACCATGCCTCTTTTTCGGCTTGAGCAACAGCCTTCCGGGCTTGGATGCTCACCATGCCACCAATAATTTCCTTCCAGTCATCTTCTGAGAAGGTTGATAGCTGATCTTGAGTGAACTCGTCACCACTATCCTTAGTGGTGCTGATCCATGAGTCGATCTCATGCTTGACAGTGTCTTGAATGGCCTTGGTTGTGCGGCTACGGCTATAATTTTCTGAATCATGAATAGCTAGTGAGCATAAACCAAGTCATCATCAATCAACCAGAATAAGTATGAACAGGGAATCACTCACCCAGATCCTCATCCAGAGTGGGGCGAGCGCATGGAGCAGCTGAACCGGAAGATCCATTATTCTCCTACAATGGCGAACCCGAGGTCAGTATTCTCCGCGAATGTGATTATCGGAAGAGATGAAAAAGGCTTACCTGAGCAGGCTGAGACTTTGCAGTGTCGCCAGCGGCTGCAGCCTCGTTCGTGGAAGTCATGCTGGACAAGATTGCCAAGGCGTATATGCAGATGCTTGAAGTGGCTCGCGAGCCTTTTGAGAGAGTAGCGCCGACCACTTATGACGAAAGACGGCTGTCAGACGAAGGGTGGTGGGATGTGGTGGGTAGAAGAAGGGAAGAGGTCGAAGCAGCTGGGTGGGAGCTATATGTAGTCGCGCGGGCGCCAAGACCGGCAACACCAAAGTGAGAGAGGATACGAGTGGAGAAGTGTCAGAAGCCAGGGAAAACGAGAAAAGTGTGGGTGAAGGTGAGTTGGACTGAAGCTATCTATAGTCGCGCAGGCGGCGAGGTCGGAGTCACCGGACAAAGAAAAAGTAAGAGTAGATACAGAGGGAGGCGCATTGAAAGACGGTAAAGACGAGAAAAGTAGGGGTGAAGGTAGTAGAGGTCGGCAAACATAACCGATAGCATTGAGGCTACTGTGGCGTGGGTAAGATCATATGAGCGGTGTCAGGTTCATCGAGGGAAGTGCAATAGCTCGACCGATCTCACACATTGTCGCCACGTTGAGTGCTAATCGAACCATACACATGATATGAGAGTCACTTCATTTATTATTATTATGTAGTAGAAGAGATTGATGGTTTCAAAATTCATTTTTGACTGATTATCCACCAGTTTCTGGAAAGGACTGTCGCGTCCACGCCTCAGATTGGCGGGCAAGTGACATGGAAGGATGAGGGTCGCAGTTGCTTATGCATGGATGCAGTGTGGGAGATCTTCGAAAGGTCCACTCTTCCTCAAGTTCCCAATTGAGACCATCCTTTAGATCTCTCCTCTGAACGCATTCTTGATTTCCTCGAAAAGGGCTTTCCGCACCCCCTCAACGATGATTTGATCAACCAGCTCATCGATTGCCGTATCGAACCACTCTTCTTTCACAGTTGTGTCGAGAACACTCCGGACGGTATTTTTCCAGCCCGGTGTCTTGGTGTATTCCGAAACTTTCTTCTTTGCCATTTCCCGGACCTTATTTCCGATGAGAGCCTCAAGAGCCGGGGGATCGTCCATTGCATCCTCCACTGCATCAGCGAGATAATCACGGACATGATCGACGATAAACCTCTTGCGTTTCTCTTTTTCGTCCATGAACTCGGTAACCTTTTCATGAATGAAGCTCGTCTGAGGCAAAAAGACAGCAGTTTGACCAGAGACATCATCCTGGGCGTTCTTGATAGTTGCGTGCGAGTTGCCTTTGGAGCGCTTGTTCGACGACGACGAGCCACCCGCTGGTCCCGAGAAAGTAGTATTATGACCAACGGTGGTGTCCGTGCTGCTGTCAGAAGCAGGGCGCTTGCGAGAGCTTCCCTGGGTAGCCATGTTGTCTGAGGGGCAGCGTGCGGCCAGCGAGCTATATCGGTATTAGCGACTGCATATTTGTTTGATACAAACAGTTCAACCTACCAGTATCTGGCAAAAGACAGCCGCAGATCGATGCTGGGGAGAAGGCCAGTAGACAGCCAGAGGTTGGTGAGTGAGAGAGCGTTGGGTGGTGGGAGGTGAGGTCGCAGTAGTAGCAGCGGACCGCGCTAGTCCAGAACTGGTCACTACGAATATGGCAGTCACGGGCAGAGAGAAGAAGTGCGGGTGACAAGCGGCAACAAAGGCAGCATGTATTTTATACATTCAAGTGCTGGTTCTCTCAATATGATGACGGTGGGTGAGCACGGATTAGACCTGAGTTGCACTTCATCCTCCACGGAGCACGCACAAATCACGGCGACACATTTGCAGGCGAAACTTGCACATTGAATCCATGGTATAACCAAGAAGCATGTATTGATGAGATGTACATAATTCCAGAAAAGCCTAAACAAGTCGAGAGGAACATGCCTCAGACACCCCGTATATCAAGATGGTATCTACCAGATTCCCATCTCCATCTAGCCTAACGTGCTGAAATCGCTGCGAAAAATGCAGCTAAACCTCGAGCGGCTAATCATAAGGGAAGTATTTCACTGTAAAGTAGAGAACCAAGAGGAATACCACAGCCGTGATGAATAGCGCAGGGCGCTCCTCGCGAAGCACCTCGCTCAAAGTCGGGTGATATCCCGGGCGACGGGGACCAGGCACGATACCATCAATCCCCAGATTCGCGAACGGGCGTGGATATATCTTGCGTCGCTTGCGTTTGCCTGATCCGGTGTTCTGGGTAGGCGGTGGCTGGCGTTGAATGGACCGAACAAGCTCAGAGTAGAGTGACCATTCATCTTCGCTGAGGGTATACTGTATTCGATTTTCCCCTTGTCAGTTGAGTTCAAGCGGCTTGCGATCAAGAATTGCAATTAGTTAAACTTAAATAGAAAGCGTACCATCAAGGCTGGCGCATTATCCACGCGATTCTTGAATGCAGCGAGCTGTGCGTGGTTGAGATGAGCAGGCCACTCGTTACCCAAAACGCGCTGCAGATGCTCCTTTGTGGAAATGTGAGATCCGTCGCCGTTCATATCGGCGTTGCGGGTTATGCTGTTACTATCCAAACGGAAAAAATCGAACTCAATATCGAGCACAGGATCGTCCGGGTCGCCGAAGTCCATGTTTGGCGGTAGGTATGATGGACCCCGGGCACTTGCGAAGATGGCTGGGATTGCGGTCGGACAAGAGAGCGGTAGGGTGGTGGAAAGTGAGCAAGCAGCAGGTGAGGGGAATTTATAGAAAGGTGCGTGGGCGACCACGCTAGCCGCCTTTTTCTTACTAAGATTGTATTTGCTAGGTGTCGGCGGGGTCATTATTTCATCTGAAGTTAGGCAGATTGTTAAAGCGGGTTTGAGTGAATAAAGAGGGAAGATATGGGGAGTGTGACATAGCAGCGTTTGCTCCTGTGAATGAGACTAGAGGTGCCTTAGTCTCTATGATTCTATATGCTTGCTACCTTTTCAACTATCCAAGAAATATTTTTCATAGCCTAAGTTTGCCAAAGATGAGAAATATTCCCGCAATGCATATCAGTATACCATCGCGTCCGTTCGCAGTAGATTATCGCTCCAGTCTCCTCCACGTCCTCGCTATCTCTTCCTCCGCAATCTCCTGTAACTTCTCACGAATTATGCGATCTGCAAGTCTACCACACTCGGAAATCTCAGAAGCACTCAAGTGACTAAATCCTTCTCTCACACACTTCACAAATGTCTCCACGTGGGAGTCCCACACAGACAAATCATACAGTTCAACATCGTCATTACACAATGTCTCCTTAGCCATATATCTTAGCTCCTCTCTAAAACCCTGCTGTCGCTTGAAAAGTTCGATAGCATCATCTGCTATCTTGGTGATCAGACCCTGTTGGGGGTGTTCCATTTCGCCGCAGAACTCATCGGACAGCCTTTGGATTTCTGCTATGTATCTTGCGATGCGTTCATCCGCTTCCGAAGTATTCAGGTTGTCTGAGGCAGGCGTATCTGGACTTGTGTCTTGCGGGTCGTCCGACTGAGGTTGTTTTTCTTTGCCGCTTTCTGGGGGCATCGTGATTCTATCTGATCGATATTGGGTTGAAGGCACTTGATAGACGTGGATTCAGATGACGTTGATCTTTTGAGAAAGAAAGTCTGTGATGAATCGCGGAATATTATATCATTCATGGGTGGAATGAATTGCACGGGTGAATTGCAGGTGATGAAGGCACACGAATCTCTGTAATGGTCATGGGGATTTCCGTGGCAATCATATGATCTCGGGAATGCCCGACCGACGATCCAATATTCTATATGCAGCTCCATCTTCCTGATCCTGATCTGTTTGACACACACGGGAATGCCGCGTACGAATAAAGATAGGCCCTACTGCCGAAGGCTGTGTCGCACATCGCCTTGTCACCAGAACGTTCGCACCTTATTTCATATTCCCAGCCAGCTCTTTGACGATGATTTCGACGTGCTTCTGCACCCACCCTTCCATCTCCGCTTCGAGCATCTCATTGCACTTGCGCTTGATAAATTTCTGAAAGTCCTGTTCACTAGCCACCTTCCCAATCTTCTCAACAATCATGCGTTCGTAGCGAGAGTCGCTTGTGAAATGCTGCACCTCACGAGTAACCATACGTTTCAGGCCATCTCCGAACATATCCATCAACTTATCGCTCTCCATAAATGTGCGAACCTCTCGCTCAATCATCACCTCGGACATCTCGTAGAAGGGTCCGAGGCTGGCTTTGTCCAATTCGTTGTTGAAAATGCTCTCCACCGTAGCCTTGAGCGCCTTATCTGTAGTTGGTTGTGTGTACAGGTTGGTGCGAGACGGCATTCGCTTGACTTGCTGTCGATCATGTGCGCGCGAGGTGGAATTGTTATCGTGGAATGGATTTTCCTCACCCATCTCTTCGTCGGTCATCATGGTGCTTGAGAGTTGTCGGGACTTTTGGTAGTGATGGACGCAGAGATGAAGGAGCGGCGGGCCTTGTGACATAAGACGGCCAGATTGATGCGATATAGGCAGAAGGTCGTCGAGGATTGCTTCTGGGCGAGACAGCAATGTTCGATGGCAATCTTGAGCAAACCGCGCTAGTAAGCTGTGATGACAGGGGTCTGGCTGGTGGTAAACAAAATGCTCTTCTTGGGCTCTGACATCGTACCAACCCTCAAGGACTTCAGTTCTAACTTTGAGAGATGTTTTCCGGCAGCAGTATGCGAATTTCAAGTCTGACAACCACCTAGTTCATTTTATCTACAAATCCAATCCCGCGTTCAAGCTACAAGAAATATGATCACTACACCTGTCACCAGCTCCGCACAAAGTTTGCAACTGCGCATTGCCCGAGAGCTGAATAGGTAGACTGATTGTGACATAACTCCGGGAAAATGATGCTCGTACTTCGATGGCAGGATTGAGACAAATCTGCGACATGATTATTTGGCCCTGTCGAAGGGATTTGATGCCATTTCCCGCGGGAAACATGCATGACTCAGCCCCTGAATGTACGACATAAATGCAATTTTATACGGAAATACCACCTCAGAAGCTTTTGAGCATGACCAATACCTACCCAGTACAAATGAAGTGCGCAGCCTCACGTTCTCACAGACAATCAGGACAGTCACGTGATACACAAACAACCTGGATTTCTTAACTGTCTCACACACCATCAAACGCCTAAGGTAGCATATACAAATGGCTATAGGCCACTTACATCCTTGAAAATTGATAGGTTGCGGCTATTGTTCATTGTATGTAATAGGTCGCAAACGCGGTCTGCACTCAGTACAGACTGGTGCATGATTGATCCAGAATTGATCTTGATCAAGGTCTTATCCTCCAATAAAAGTGTATATGAGACACAAACTGCAAGATGAAGTCCGAAACATACTCAGACCCGGAGTCAAGCTTTGTTTAAGCCATCGCTTGCTCTTTATTTGAAGATCAGCTAAGCCTCTTCTGTCATTTCTTGCAATCTGATTGGCTGGTTCGCCAAATGCGCAGCTGAACAGCCATGTTCGCACTGACCGCTCACTGCCACGCACTCAACTCTCTATTCAAAGATCAGCTTGACCCTTTCGGGGTATGAGACGTATTCGATTGGCTCAGTCGCGAAGGGTTCGTATCAATTGCGCGGACGACGACTCTGGTCTCATCCGCGCCTCAAGGGATACGCAAGTTAGGGAACGATTGACGGAGATGTATATGCACAGGAGAAGAATATTCAGCTGTGATTCATCACTATAAGACTAGTGAGAAATCCTCGTAGCTACGTAACACCAGAGCAAATCATTCATTACTTCGTTCTATCTACATTAAACGCGAAAGTCCTTGTACCGAATTTCCTATCTTTTTCAACAACATTCCAATGGCGCCAACTTCCACCCAGCCTCCGACTTCAACGGAATCAACCCCACCAGCCTGCATAACGGTACCGCCAGAAGGCAAATATCGATACATCCCACCAGAAGCTTGCAACGCCAACTGGGCATACGCTCCCTCCTACCCCGCCGCAGTGGCTATTTCAGTCATATTCGTCATCATCACCGTTGCACACATCGTCCTAGCCATACGTTTTCGCAAAGGCTTCTCATGGGTCATGATCATGGGAGCGAGTTGGGAACTCGTCGCTTTCATCACGCGCGCTCTAGGTGCTCACCAACAAGACTCTCAGCCGCTTGCGTACACCAGCTCTCTTCTGTTCCTGCTGGCTCCGCTGTGGATCAACGCGTACATCTACATGACCGCCGGGCGTCTGATATGGACGTACCATCCCGAGAAGAAGATCTGGTTTTTCAAAGCAATCAGTATCGGTGAATACTTTGTGTGGCTAGATATCTTGTCATTCCTGGTCCAGGGCGCGGGAGGTAGCATGCTTTCGCCTGGTAGCGACGCAGAGACAATGAACAGGGGAAAGAACATCTACATGACTGGGATCGGGGTCCAAGAGTTCTTCATTCTGCTTTTCTCTGCTCTCGTCATTAAGTTCATGTTGGATGTCCGGAGGTTCCAAGGTTCTAGCATTGGGTACTTCGGCGCGCGTTGGCAGTGGGTCACCTACGCTGTGCTCGTATCCCTGGTTCTGATCACCATTCGTATCATCTTTCGCATCGCCGAGTTCTCAGCTGGTACAGATATTTCCAATCCGCTTCCGTACCATGAGGGCTATGCTTTGGGATTGGATGCTGTACCGATGATTTTGGCTACTGGCGTACTTGCGATCCTGCACCCAGGCCTCGCACTTAAGGGTCCCGAAAGCGAGTTCCCCAGTAGAAAGGAGAGAAAAGCAGAGAAGAAGAGAATCAAGGCTGAGAAGAAAGCAGACAAGATAGTGAGAAAAGGGTTGAGGGAGGACCGCGGGGGTTATCGGGAGATGGATCCGTCCAGCAGTTCGAATGTAGAACTAAGCAGAGTTTGATTGGAGAACTTTCAGGATACAAAAATGGCATTGAACATGAGTTGGGTGTCTAAGAGGGGATGGGAAGGTTGGAGTCTTCAAATATTCAGCGTTATCTCAGATTAGTAGAAAGTATCCCGCACAGAACTAGAATCACATATTATCCTCATATTGCTGTCTTTGGGCTGATGAATTCCGTTATACCTACAAGATATTAATTCTGTCAATTTGTAGGAAAACATGAGGAAACACTGTACCAGTATCTACAAGACCAGCGATTAGTAGAACCGTATTCTATCTATGTGTGCTAGATAGATACATCATGCTCGGAACCGCCCCGTGGTTAGTCCCCTCTCGCCGTCTTTCCTAGTCCTGCCTTTCCCTAATAGGTACGGTGGATTTGTCGCGCTTCTCACTCTCGAGAACTGGACCTTCCTTCTCCTTTCTTCTCTTGTCAATATAATTAAAACACCTCTCAGTAGCAGCCACAATTGATTCGTTCGAAACATGCTCCACAATTTTGTCAATGAATGGCTTCAGATCTCTGGCCAGTATTTCACGGGACAATTTCCCATTCTCAAGATATTCTTGGCACATAAACACATTCGTTTCCGTCGAGCCAGGGGGCTCGTTCAGACCTCTTTCGATGGACCGCTTCATGATGGGATAAACGACGTTTTCTGAGTGTTCATTAAAAACCTTATTGATGTCTGCGATAAATATTTATTGAGTATACGGCAGGCGGGTTGATGCCGTCCGATACTCAGAGGGCGCAGGTGGTTTCGCAACTTTTGAGGGTGGTTCAGCTTTGGGGTCTGAGGCAGACCTCTTGTGGGGGCTTTCTTTCTCGACCATAATGAAATTTGAAAGAGAGAGTCTCCACTGGTTGGGTTTTTCCCAAGTGTGCTTAAGGTGTAATTTTGGGAGTGATGCGCGGAAAGAAGCACTTAAGCAGTACTGAACGACGATACGTGTAAGGGAGGCTGGCCCATGATATAAGTTGCGGGTACGGAGACAACCACTGGAAGGTTCACGTGCAACATAACTGCTGTAGCAAATGACAGTGTCAGTCTTGGTTGTTAATCTAGACGTGATACATGTTGACCTTTGGGGATGACGTTTTGTCACTCGATGACTGAACACCTCACCAAGATCGCATCCCCCGAAATGCATAAAAATCCACCTTTCGCGGCCATCACTCATGTTCGCGATGGTCATGATCAATTAAATTGACTGAAAGCGCATCGCAAGACGCTCAATCTGACTATGCGCAAAACTCCCTCATCATTCCGCGCGGGCATGTGATTTGTGGCAAATGAATGCAAACCGTTCGAAGGCTTTCTTGTGCGATTTTCAGCTACCTACGACTAGAATGTTACCCGGTATGCACTTTGAAGCATGAGAATCCACTTTTGTTCCGCATTACGCGCCGCCTCAGTAACCCGGCTTTTTTTACCAGGCCGAGATCAGAATGACTGGACGTGGCTTTCTTTTACATGTAGATCTATTTCTTACGAGTAGTTGGAATCCAATGATCGCAACTACTCACAAATAATCTGTGAGAATTGAGATTTGGCCGAAGTGGTGGTGAGAGATAACCTGAAGCTTACTGCAATAGTAGGAACACATGAAGTTGGAATAGGGTCCTTTTTGGAGAAATTATTCTACTTCGGCAGCGAGAGTACTTTTTTGGGTCAGCAACCATAAAGTGATAGCCAGACAGGTGGCGTTATTTAGGAGTCATCGAAACAATCAACAAACAACTACCAAACTACAAGTAGCAAACTATTTTCTTTGTTCATGTTAAAAGATGAGATATAATATGTCTCACTCTTTACGATACATAATAATTAACTTTTCCATCTCATTTCATGTCTGTTGTGGCCCTCTTTCACCAACAAGTGGTAAGTCCTGGACATCGGCTAGAACGATTAGAAATTACCATAAGTAAAAGACAGCTGAAGCTAGCCGCTTTCTATCTCGCCCAAGGTATATATTCCCTTGGTTTCCTTCCTGCTTCGCTCTCCACTCCACACACTTGGCTTCTTGTCCCCCTGTTCTGAAGCAAAGGGTAAACAACACCTAATTACGCCTATCAACATCCGAATCCCGTCCAACAAAACCTTGATTATCGTCAACCCACCCCTTGCATCTTCTGGAAGTGTCCTGAACTTGGTATTGGTAAACCGTCCGCCGGATCATCTGGAATATCTGCACTGTGCGCTGGTAAGTCCTCCTCTGCCCCCCAAGACGGTGATCGTGTAGTTGGCCATGATGTCAGGATTCGATGGTTGGGTTTTTCGTTTTGCCGGGTTTGTGTATACTGATGGTTCTCAGAACCTTCACAGTGTTCGTAACTGCCTCTTGTGTCGCAGACGACACCAACTTTTCACTAAAACATCTGGTTTGTCTCCGGCCTTACTTCTCAGATTCTGCGTCAGTATTGATTCTCCCATACGCTCCGAGACTAATTCTTCATTCTAGTAAACATTGGATGAGACATGGCGCGAGTTCCTAAACCACGGCCAAAGCGAGAGCGCCAGGTTCCCATCATACACAGAGGTCGCAAAACCGTTCCCGTGAATCAGAAACCAGGACAAGAAAGATCGTTGACCTCATTTGTGAAGACAACTGTCAACGAAGGCGAGGTTGCCTCGTACTGCGGATTTGGCAATCGGCCCGAGTTCCGTGAGTTTACAATGAGTCTTTGGGTTCTTCCACACTACATGAATGCTTTCAGCGATCATAGCGTTACGCGTAGCCGTCAGGAATATGTTCTAGGTGCTCTTCGTAGCTGCCAAGAGGATGCTCAGCTGATGGCAGCGGTCACATTGAACACGAGCCCCGTGGATTTGTATCCGGTGGAATCTAATGGCAATCACTCTCCAAAGCGCCTTGTTCTTGCTATTCTTCAGATGTACCAGGGAATCAGAAAAACGCTTTCCGGAGAAACAAACTACTCACAAGAAGCTCAAGATGCAGTTGAGGCGCGTTTCGAAGATTTCTCCGGCAAAACTCCACCTCACATACAGGTGGATACATGCGTCATTACTAAGCTTGGACCTTTCCCAGATTGGGGTGAAAGTCCGCTCGAAGCTTTCAACCGATGTTTTCTGCTGCTTTGCTATGTCAACGGTCTAGTGCGTATCCCCAACACTTGGCTGGGACGTTCTAGTAGAAATGTTTGGAATACTCGATGCGAATATCATGTTTTGGAGACACCCAATTGGATGAGGGGGCTCATTCCTCAGCGACCAGCGCCCGATATGCCCCTTCATTACTATCCACCTCAAGACGTCAGCATTGTTCTTTCGATCGCGGAGATCCAAATGATGATCAAGGCACGTGGTGACGGAAATGTTGGCGGTCGTTTGTCACCAAATCAGGCATTCAGCGTCATGAGAACAAAGCCTCAGACACCAAATCCTGGAGTCACCGTCATTCGCTCATCACGGGGTGCTCGGGTGAAGAGGATTATCAGTGAAGCACAATTGATTCGTCACCACCCTCCTGCTCTGATCTCGCCAAGACCAGACAAACCTCTCAGCAATTCAACCAAACGATCTTTGAACTTGATCCTGAGGGGACGCGAATCGCAGACACCTACAGAAGATGACGAATACCGCGAAGGAGACCCCGATATATCATCGGATGGAAATAACGCGCCAGCCTGCACCGAAGATGGACCGATCGACAACAATGAAACGGCTCTACCAACATTTCCAGAGCCATCTGGAAGCATTCAATCAAATCAAAAATATGTAGCGGACGACGATAGAAATTGGCCTCAAAATCCTGTCACCACATCAAATATCCTGGATAATGACGGTGAGCATAATAACACACAGCTATCATCAGGCATTCTAACTGAACATTACACAGGCGATCGACTAGCTGATGAGAATGACGGAGCTTCCAAACAACTTCCAGGACCATCGAACGAGATAATCGAACTATCCGACGATGACGACTTTTCTTCCCCAGCACCAAAGCAAGAGCCAAACGAATTTTCCTTTCTGGGGCCCGTCTCCGATCCATTCCGCGAAATTACCATCAATTGGGCCTTGGATTCACACGTCCCCTGGGCGCGCGAACTCAAGCAACTCCTTGAAAATCATGGGATGTTGACCACGCTCACAACTACGAAACGTGTCAAGATCCGATTTGCAGATACTGTGGAGGAGGTACGAGACCGCATTCGGAAGGCTTTCGGCATGGAAGACTTGAAGGCTCAGATCAAGACTTTGCTTGTTGTCCCTGCTCGAATCGAGATGACTGGGGATGAGTGGAACAAGGCTCACGCTGCGTTGTGGGAAGGAGGTAGTGAAGCAGCAGCTATTCGCATGACCTTGAGAAAACGGGCTGAAGATGAAGAGCTATACGAGATCTGAGGTGGGCGAAGGAGGGATTATGGGCTGAAATTCAAGGTTTCCTTTGTTCAGTGTTCTTAATCGGGTAGGGAAATTGTTCAAAGGGTCCAAAAAAGCGCATTACTGATGTCTTTCGGGACTGAAGGGTGTGGCGTGAGACCCTTCTTCATTAGCATTGGCGTGCGTCTTCTATGGAACGGATTGGCAAATCCCCATTCAAAACTAGATCAGTACCAGATCTACTATGAAATTTTCTCTAGTCTGGATTTTTGTTGGTGAAAGCATATGTGTTTGCGCTGTGCAATATCAATGTAGTGTATCGTGTGCTTGAAATGTGCCATTGAGTAAATTGACCACCGGTCACTAACCCCTAAACTCAAGTTCTCGCTAGGTCAATCAGTTACAATGCTTGCTCTAATACGGAGTATCACTATCATCAAAGATCATACTATGGCGTACTTGGCTTTCATCCGAGAAAACACAGCCTAGTCATCCAAATTATTTGCCATGGCGAGACGTAACGCAAGCACGCAATGTCCTTTCCACGACCACGTGCTGTAGAAACGGTACAACTCACTCAAAACGGGGCGTAGAGAACTCGAGCACGATGCTCAAAAGACACTATTCTCATTTCCACTTTAGTCTGTGGTGGATTCCGATAATCAGAAGGAACGTCCGGGCTCAGTGAATGGACCAAGATATTAGAATCATGAAATCTATATTTACGGTGGGGTTCGGGCTGTCGATCAGACATCTCTTGTGGTAAAGAGCTGGTACGCTCTTCTGAATCCTCTTTGAAGCCCTGAATACACCCCCGTAAAAGTCCACAAGACAGTATCTTGCCTTGAATATACGAAACACACCGCTGCCAATCCAACCGTAAACCATTGATCCAACTCCGACAGCGTATTCAAAGTTCTAGGCTTCGGGGCCCGCAATCGAAAAATCTCAGACCATTTCTCAAAGTGGTTTTCCTCTTCGTCCATCCCTAAAAGCAGTATTTTGAATGCGAGAGAAGACGATGCAGTGATCGTCCAAGTCCAGAATAGATCTATCCGTCTCCTCTTGCTCTTACGATCCCAAAGCATCAGCGACATGAATAGAAATGTGGTGAGAACAAGCTGTGATACCCTCTGCACGCGATTCGAAAATTCGCGGAGGGCATTATATGATGCTAGCCACAAGGTCACTGCGAAGACGGTTTTGGTGAAGAATACGATGGTAATGCGTGGTAATCCGGGCAAGCGGAGTCCGGTTGGGAAAACGATATCGATGCACGGGTATGCGACGACAAAAACTGTGTTGGCGATAAGATAGAAAGCATCCGTATGCGCACCGTACGCAGTTGAGGGCATCTCCTTCACGACCATGATTCCTAGGTAAATCAACGCAACGGCGGCGTATCCGGTGAAGGCAAAGACTTGGAGCACAGCTTTTGGTTTTGCCTTCTCTTTTTCTTCTTCGTCTTGCTCATTCTGTGTGTCTTGTTGGCTCTCGGGCAGATGTTTGCTAGTATCCACGCGCCACGGTACGACTTCCGCCCATTCATCCCAAAACGCGTCGATTCCTGTTATGATCCACGCAATATACGTTCCCGGGCCAAAGAAACTCGGCATCGTGGATAGATCCCATGTTTCGGAACCTTGGATATCGGTATAAGTCCATCTAAAAATCGATACTGCGAGAAACACGCAGAGGAAAATTGTTTCGGGGATACTCTTCATCTTCGTAGGCGTCGAGAAGGAGGGGAAGTTCATTGGTGGGGTCGACTTTGGATACGGATGAGGTTGCGGCTGACGATTGTGGCTATGCTACGATGTGTTGTACCGTATGCGATAATTGCCAAGGATTTTCCGGCATCGCCACTAATTCGAAGTGAGATGACGGAATGCTGACAAGTGTATGAAGGAGATATTTCGACTGATCAAAACACGAATCCTCATCCATTATTGATTGCACGTGATCTGCGTACCGAAAATGTATGAAGTGCCTGAAGACACCGACGTCTTCGTCGCCTCGTGACTCACAGTAGTATTGAACCTTGGGAGAATCCACGAACTTAGAGTTCAAGTGTTGAAAAGAAAGTGGCTGGAAGAAACCACGCAATTCAGTGATGATGATGCCGCCAATAGTGAAACGGCAATTACAAACAACGCGAGCCAATCCAGCAAGTCGTCGGTCTTCTGGAACTTGATCGCTGTCTATAGAAACATCTTAACTCGTCAAGATTATATTTCAATCCGGTTAGTATTTTTGGTAGTTTAGTGAATCAACGGTTATGATGTCCCATCACAACAGCTTGACCATTCAAAGCAGGCTGATTCCATAACACCTAGCCACCTTGAATTTATTTATTTATTCTAGCCACCTTGAAAAAGTTCTCATATAAATAAGGGAATGTCTCTAGCGGATGTTGGCGTCTCTCTTCTAGTCCGCCGTTGTACATATTTCCTCTTTACAGCGCATTCCAGCGAAAACATTTCCGGCTTTGCTCTTTGGAAACGCCATGGCGATACCGGCCATCATCATCACGGTAAGTATCACCGAGCCTGATACACGCTCATGTACTGATGTCTTTAGCCCCCGTCACCAGCCCACCACGAATGTATATGGGACTACTTCGAGACTTTCGGAGATCTCCGCAATTTACGCCGATTCTGCAGAGATATCTGCCCCTGCGATGTGATGGCTGTTATGGGATTTCGCCGGCCATGTTCTCGGTGGCATTGTGGGAAGCACCATATCTGTAGGAAATGGGCACCGGTATTGCCCTCTGTAAGTTCTAAATTGATATAATTCTTGCCACTCAAGCTTCCTGACTATTTTACAGAGTTGTGGAGGTGGCGTGATTCACCGCGACCCTGAAGGCTACGGTCTGGTTATTCACATACCTCGGAAATCCGATCGAAGATTCCACAACGGCTGTCTGATGCTAGTTGACTTCATCAAAAGTCTTCTTCGCAGCCGTCGTTCCTCGTCACGCCAATCCATCGTCGCTAAGCTGCAATATTCCACAGCCTGAAGCCTTCAACTGGATCATTTACCTAACGTATGCCAGTTGCCCCAATGAGCAAATAATAAATTTGAGTGGAAAGGATTGGAGAACAATCAGGGAAATGTCTTTGTTATTGGTAATCGGGAAAATCGCAATCGTTGAATCTGATCCAACACAAACACGACGATTGTGATTTGCACAGGAACCCTAAAAAAATACATGATACGTGATGTCGCGCAACTGATAAGGGAATGGTTGTAGTCTAGTCAAAAATTAGTAAAAACCAATGCATTTGACCAGAAAAATACAAAGACAATTTGCTGATCACTTGAACACTGGGAAAGAATGCGACAATAATCTTTGGGCTATACATCAACATCCCCCTCTGTATTTCGAATGTTAGATCCTGTAGAAAGATGACAAAGGCTGGTTTCGCGTCGATGATGATTTCTTGTGCTGTTTGTACTTAATACGGTAACGATTTCCGCTTGTTTCCTCTGAATGTTTTGATCCTCGCTCTAGCAATATAATCTGTATCAGATTAATATCCGTAAAACTAGACAGCTGTCACATTCCTTTTCGTGGGAGAAGAGTAGTGAATACCTGAATTGCAAGCGGTTGGCAGTCATGCATAGACTAGGCAGACAGAACAATTACGCTAACGCAGAGGCGTCAAATATCTACAAAGAGCAAGAGACAAGAGAGGGTATTTTCGGCACCGGAAAATCGCCACAACAATGCACAATGCAGGTGTGTGATCAACATCATGCTTCATCAGATAGAACGACACAAGAAATTTAGGCAGGGTCCAGCTGTCAATTCTCCGGCGCAGCTTCGGGCAGAAACAACTTAACGGCGACGAAAACTCTTATGACTAAACACTTCGCCTATTGTAGCAAGACCTCCGGTCCACAAGTAGACAGCGAGTCACGCTTGCACAATCTAGGCCTCCGAAGCCGCTTTTCGCAGGTTTTGGTTTTTATCAGATCTGCTGATAATTCCTTTTTACCCCATGTCCCCCGGGGAAGAGACCTTATCAGATTATGACTGATCAGCCGCTACCTTAGATTCGGCGCTTCTTCGCTCGCTTACTGTGAGCTCTTGGTAAATAGATGGGATGGTTCTGTTTTCTTTATAATTGCTGTGTTTCTTTGCAACTCATTGTTCGCATTCATTATCAATAAACATGGCTGAGCAGGCTGGAAACACTATCAAAGGTATTCGAAAGAGTTCACGCAGTTTCACACCATGAACGTTCGATTGATACGGCGCAGGCTTCTTCTTGGGCTCGACTCCAAAGGCTAAAGATGAAAGAAAGCTTGTGCAAAAAATTGGTATAACTTCTTTCCACTATTTCACTTTGCGGCAATGACTGATCCGTTCTCACAGATTTCTTTATCCTGGTGAGACTTGAGTGCCTCGATCATCTCCGGGATATTTTCTAATGCGACTGAAAGACTTTTTGTTGCTTCGCTTACTTCTTCAATTTCCTCGACCGGGCCGCATTTGCCAATGCCTACGTGCGTACTACCTTTCCGCCCTGGTTATCTCATACTGTGCATTTCGCTTACCATGCAAAATAGGTTGCTGGATTAAGAGAGGGCTTGAAAATGAAGGGGCAAGATTATAACACCGTGTTGGCAGTCACCACCGCAGGGTAAACAATCTCTTTTCAGTCATTTGTCGTCCGGCCATCCGCTGATCTTCCAAATTTAGCATGGCTGTTGGTCAGATCCCACACGGCCTCATCATCCAGAAAATCCGCCCTAGTATCTGGCTTCCGTCTATGGTCACGGTCTGGGCCCTGTTGACGGTAATACTCTCCACTATCGCTTCAAAATCTTAAGCAATTTGAGTCTCATCATCGCATTTACTGACATTTGACACTGGGCAGATGGTCAGCGCTGCGGTCAAGACATTTGAGCAACTCTGCGTTATCCGGTTCTTCCTTGGTCTCGCTGAAGCAAGTACATACTCTGGAGCCATGTACATCTTGGGATCATGGTACAAACCTCTGGAGATCGGCAAGCGCACGGCAATCTTCAGCGCCGCTGGTATGGCAGGAACGATGTTTGCTGGAGTCATGATGGTAGCTATCTACAAGGGCATGCACGGAATGGGAAACCTAGCCGGCTGGCAATGGGTGTTCATCATCGGTAGCATCCCCCGCTCAGTTTAAAAAGATGCGATGTGTACTGACACTTACCAGACGGAATCATCACGCTTCCTATTGCCGTTTTCGGTTTCCTTTACTTCCCTGACATCCCCGAAGTCACAAAAGTCAGCTACCTAAGCGAGAAGGAGAAAGAGATAGCAGTCGCACGTCTACCGCCCATCAAAGCAGGTGGACATAGCATTCATCCTTGGTCACTAGCTAAGCGCGTGCTTTGCACCAAGCAATTGTAAGTAATCGCTCCCTGTACTGAATGCGCCGGAATTAACTAACATACTTAGCTGGATTCTCTTCTTCTGGTCCCCCGTCTGCGCCACCCTCGAAATCTACAGCGTCCAGAACAACTTCCTGCTCTGGCTCAAATACCAATCCGCGAATTTCACACAATCACAGATCAACACTTACCCACTGGGTGTTCAAGCCGTAGGTATCGTATCGAACATGTTCGCGGCCTGGTACATGGATTTCACAGGCACGCGCATTCCCATGGCCATCCTCGCGGTCATACTGCAGCTTGTTGTTGCCACCATGTTACTCGTTCCTACTCTGCCCTTCGCGGGTACCTTCTTCGCCTTTTACTTGTCGGGGACTGCGTATATGGTTCTTCCGCTGATCTTTGGTTGGGCCAATGTCATTCTGCAACGCAGTGGTGACGACGCGGTTCGTAGCGTCACGCTTTACTGCATGAATATTGGATCGATGGTTCTCTATACTTTCTGGGGCATTATTCTTTACTCGGCAGAAGACGCGCCCTATTGGAAGAAGGGCTCTATTGCTATGATAGTCTGCTGTTTCGTTATGTTGGGTTACATGTGGTTGGTTTGGAAGGTTTGTGATGCCCTGTCCAAACTCTGGGCGTGCCTACGTATGCTGACTCTTTTTTTTTCTAGCTTGACAAAGAAACACTTCAGAAATATGGTGATCGTGCAAAAAATGACCTTGAGTCGCCTTTGCCGGAGAATGACGCAAAGGAGGAAGGGTTGAACACAGCCGTTAAAGAGGTGTCGCCAAAGTAATTGTAGTCGAGCTTATTATTCATACGAATCGGTGACACGACAGTCCCCCGGATGATTCACTTATTGACTGGAATTTTGGAGTTATACAAACCTTCAAAGACGCCTTCGACCTTACACACTGGTGACGTTCTACCCTTATAACTGAGCATTTCCGCAGTATTTCCCATCACGCTTGCTCTATGACGGAATCGCGTCACGAAGTCTAGTCACAGTCATCCACATTTAAGTATCGCGGACTCTTTCTATACACTGTACAATCTTCATATTGAATTTGGCAGTCTTTAAAAGTTTATACACTTATTAGTATAGTGTCGAAGCAGAATCTTAAGCAATACAAACGAGGTTTTTGCTCCGTGGCCAGCCAGAACTTAGGCGTCAACAGCTGATAGCAAAAGCAGCACTCCTACCCCATCGAATATCAGCTGCTACTCATCGAAACATATTATTCTATCCGAATGAAAAGAAGAAATATGGGTCTCGATTCCTCGCCATCAAAATCACTCCCGACCATGAGACTCCTCAACCCCTACCCTAACATCTACGCCTACTACGACGGCCGCACAGGCACCCGCTATCATTCTGACTCACCAAACTGGCTCGACGACGGCGCTTTCAAACTTGGAGTCGCAACATACTCCATCATCAATGGGACTTCTGCACTTCTCTACGATGCTGGTATCACTCCTGAGCACGCCACCTATATGCTCAATCACGTGAAGAGCTTGGGTGCGACAAAAATTATGCTCGTCTACAGCCACGTGCATAATGACCACATCGCGGGCGCCTCGGCTATTTATCCCGCCAGAGACAGAATCAAGAGCGTGGAAGTGATTGCGCATGAGAAGACGTACGAAGATCTCGCGGATCCACTATCCGTTGAGGAAATCGCGGAAGAAGACCCGACTTTCCAGATTGTTCTGCCGACGAAGACGTATAACGAGGAGATGACACTTCAGATTGGGGACGAGGAAGTGAAGTTGATGAATTTCGATATTCATACGCCGGATGCAACGGTAGCATGGTTACCCAAGCGGCGCCTGTTGCTTGCGGGAGATGTGTTGGAGGATACGGTGACGTACCTTTCGCCTGAGAATGCGAAGGTAGAGCAGCTACGCACTCACATTACTGAGCTTCGTCGCTTAGCGTCACTTTCTGGATTGGAGAAAGTGCTTCCTGCCCATGGGTGTCCGAAAAAAATTGGGGGAGGAGGATACGATGTGAAGAGTTTTGTTGACGCGACCATAAAATATATCGAGGCGATGGGCGAGGATGTTGACGAGCCGGAAATTTGGACGTTGCGCCTGGAGGAAGTGGTGAAAAGTGAGGTGGAGAGTGGGGGTTTGGGGTACTGGGATGCGTACGAAGCGGTGCATCAGGAGAATGTAGATAGTGTCAAGAAGGCTCGGAAACAGACGGGTTAGACAGACTGAGAGTCGCACATGAGACAAGTCTTCCTCTAAGTTGGTAGTCGACAGTTTAGTTCGCACGGAACGCGTGGCAAACAATGTTAGACGCTCATGAAGGTTGTTTAGATGCCAATAGCAATCATCTGGCCATTATCACATATATAAACAATGCGGTCCTGCGACTTACCCCAAGAAACGAAGTGCATCTCTGCAAAGCTATTTTTCCACATGAATCATCTTATTGCTGCGGATGTGAGTCTTAGAGAAAATCAACACCCGTCGTATGAGGTACAAAGGCGTCTATTGAAAATTCGGAATAGCGGATCGTGTTTGCATATGCTGCTACTAGTGAATGCTTTCATTGGCCCTACATTAAGCATCCAATGATGTGATGAATTTCCACAAACAAGCATTGTTGATGTTCCTGATTAGATTATGTGTTTAAAAACGAACCATTATGCTTTCACAGCGAACAACTGATTGTTCAATATATAAAAGTTCACCTCAAGAGCCATAATACTCAACACAAACATCCAAAAACCACAACCACAAAAATGGAATCCCGAAATTCAACCCCAACTTCATCTTACGAATCCGCTCTCCGAAACAGGCTTGGCCTTGTCGAACGAGAGTTAAACAAATTGATCAGCCTCCTTTTCCTCACTACGGGGATATTTCTAGAAGCTGGTCTCAGATTTCCAACGATGGACCAGATGTTCGAAGAATGCACCGCGGAGGCAATGCTTCTGGATGAGCCAGAGTGTCCAATCTGCTCATCGGATTACCAACCCGACAACGATATCGAGATCAACCACGAGATCGCAATTCGCCTCCACTGCCCGGCCGGACACATCATCGGCAGGAATTGCATGAAGGAGTGGATGCAGCAAGATAAATATTCTTGCCCAATCTGTCGCGGGGAGGCATACAACCAGCTGCTGTTCCGGCCGACTGCTGGCGTCAGGATGGCAGAACGTGTGAGATACGCTGATGCAATGCGGCTAAGGCGGCGTAGGGATTGCACCAATTTTTGCCGCTTGTTGCCTATTATTCCCGAGGAGCAGTGGAGCGTTAGATACAATCTCGGGAATTTTAACCTCATGCACAGTATCATACTGGAGAAGATGGACAGCACTGTGCGATACATCCAAAGCCAAGCTGAGGTAATCTCGGAGGCTTGCTTCATGGCTTGGATGTTCCATAGGCGGGATATGGAATACTGAGAAACTGTTTGCTTTCCAATCCGCACGCATCCTAAGAACTGTTCAAATTCACAAGGCGAGGAAAATCATGGCGTCTGGCGTTATATTACCATTCCATTCAATTTAGTCAACTTCCAATTAAAAAATCCAAAATCATCACCTAACCACTTCATACACTTGATTGTGAGTACTCTTGTAGTAAAAATGTTACGCCACTCCCTAGGTTCTAGGATCTCTACGATGATGAAACAAAATCCTTATACTTTGATTTAAGAAATTACTTTTCTGCTTAAATAGCTTAGATCTACTACTATCCTCTTTGCAAAATCCCTCTGATACTCACTACCCATCCATCATAAGTTTTTGAACAAGAGCAATTCAGAACTGTTCACCAAATGGTCAACTAAAAAATCCCGACGGTTGAATATTGTTTCCATGGCTTTTTTGAAGAGAAATAGACGACCTTCTATGTGGCATGTCGCGAACTCCGTGAATCTTCAACCTACATCAGTGATATCAAGTCTATTATTTGATTATCGCATTTCTGCATCAGCAATACATTTTATTGCTGATGCTCAAGTGCTTGTGGAGATTGACGGTTCGAGATCATGTCACGTGACTTCAGACGGCAGCGCCCAGTACTCGTCTGCAAAGCGGTCAAGCAGCTTCTCGAGCTTTCTCATTGATGCATTGCGACGCAAAATTCATGGAATACGGCATTCAATTATCCGTTAGAGCTAAGATCTGAGTGATGAAGGACGGTCAAATCTTCGAAAGTCAGCTCAGTTCATCAGTCCACCAAAAAATATGTGTTCTAAGAAAGCATCCCTTTGTTGTGAAAGGTACATGTATGTTTTCAGACTGCGTAACACAAGATCCGACTTTGTTAATCAAGTCTTTCTCCCTGAATCCCACGTGTACATAAGCTTACTGGGATCACAAACTCCTCGCTAAAGTACGATGCATGTAGATCCGCAGTCGGGGGCACAGTGTACGCTAAGGAGCACGAATGCATCTGGTAGAACAGCACGTACCGTCCGCATTTTCAGTTAAGTCAACAGATCTTGATGCCTGAAAGGTATTCGCCTATGACTGAGATCATGTAGAGCTGATGACGATAGACCTGATGACGATCACTGTGGCTGAGTAGCGCGGGATGTTCAGCAGATGGGGGCCAAGAGCGAATAACTCTTCCATAGATACAGTTATTCATCGTGTGAGGAGTTCTATCAGCGATCCTCATCTAATATTCCGCCAGAAGCCCCAACATTTATGCTTGCCCGCCAGAGTCGATGTTCAATCCTTTTTTCAAGTTCTTTGTTTCGACGTACAGTGTTCACTATGGGTATTATCTCAGCCTCTGTGATATCGCCCCTATCGCGTATTTACACTATGAAGCTGCAGCTTGGCTTCACAGCCACCCAGCTACAGCCACTCAGCTCCCGACCCCGCTTGTCAGCCTGATCGCGACAGTCCTCGAGAATTCGAGCTTAAGTGTTCAGCCTCTCTCCTTCGAACGCAACAAAACAACCTATCAATACTCTCATATATTCCATGTTGACTGCCTTACTTGTCGGCCACTGTTGACTTACGTCTGACGTTCATGGACAGCGCTTACAGAGCCTGATGCGCCAGGTATTCGCCGCGTCTAGTGTCGATCATTGGCATGGTCTCCACGTGGTAATCATCGAATCGAATATCCCGTGCCCCGTAGTAATCATCGACTCCTTCGAAAATGGCGCAACTTGCTGTGCGGCCAGATCATCCGTACGTGACTCCACATTATCATCTACATCTCAACTCACTAATGCTGTGCCCTGCTTCAGTATTGACTTCTGGGCTCGCGCAGCTCACAAACTATCAGATCGCGACAAACAGCACTTCAATCTCAACCGACCCGACAAGCTCAACATCCTTGCCGAGCTGTATGCAGATGCGGAAAGATGCAGGCAGCGCTCTTTAGAGAATAGATGGAAGTATACTCGCAAGAATGGGGAGACTGTCATCATACGCGACGTGCTAGAGAAGATCATCCGGTGGGTCGACATGTTTAAACAAGTTGGCGATGTTGCTGTTCAGTATGATCCCGTGCATGCTTCCTTGCCGTGGGCGGGCGTCCGATTTCTGTTGCAGGTGAGCTCTAATTTAGTAGTCCACAGGATGCGACATGCTGACATGGGCAAAGATTGCGGTCAACGATATTAACAAGTATGCTTCGGTAGTTGAGGACCTTGCGCGCATAGCCGAATTGATATGTCGCTTTCATCTCACAGAGCAACTGTATCTTTGGGGTACTACCACAGCTGTGAAAGAGCTGGAAAAAGCTATCATTATCTTGTATACGAAAATTTTGGAACTCTTGTGCAAGCTGAAGCGCTATCTCGAACAGAGAACTCTCAGTACGTATAGGCAAGTGATACCGAACAAGCAACTAACTTTCGCCAGAGCGTACTATGAAAAGCGCCTTACTCACGGACAAGGACCTTGGTTCAAATTGGAAGGAGGTCGAGGAAGCAGAAGGTCATGTCGATCGATGCATCAGTCTCGTAGACAGGTCTGGTGAGTTGTATCAAACCACATCCTTCATAATACTAACATCAGTCGCAGACGACATGAAGAATCATGAGAAGCTGTTAGACTTACTAGCACGCATTAACCAGCCGTTACGGAGAATGGACAACAACTTAAGATATATGCATGATGACCTCGAGAGTAAGTACCCCGAGAACTTGACTCTGAACCATGACTCACTCTCAAAAGCGATGAAACGGACAAGAATTGTCCAGTGGCTCTCACCGGAGCCATATCTACAACACCATAAACAAGCTCTGCAGGGCGTCCTCCCAGGAACAGGTCAATGGCTTCTATCCGATCCCGTATTCAAAGCATGGATAGACGACAGCGCATCTTCGATTCTATGGCTACACGGCATCCCAGGATCCGGCAAGAGTAAACTTGTGTATGTCTCTCGTCTAATCTTCCACATGCAGCAATAAACTAAATGATTCAGATCCGTGGTAATCCAAGACGCCATGGCGCGTTACGAAGCCGGAAATACCCCTCATCCGGTCTTCTTCTACTGCTCGCGGAACCCTACAGAACCAACGCGTTCCGACCCCCAGGCGATCCTTGCCAGTCTCGCCCGACAGCTCTCGTGTATAGAGCCCGGCAAGCCCCTGCTCAAGCCCACCGTCGATCTCTTCAGCAAATCGGAGGATGAACAATTTGCGTCTGGCTCGCTTCAGATGGAAGAAAGTTTTGACCTCGTACTGCAGCTCATCGAACAATATCCAGTGGTGACAATCGTAATAGATGCCATGGACGAGTGTAACCCTGACAAACGGCATGAATTGCTTAAAGCTTTGGAGCAGATATTGCAGAGGTCGTCTACGCTTGTGAAGATTTTTGTGTCAAGCCGGAACGATCAGGATTTGGTGTTGCGTCTGCAGCACTATCCCAACCTTGAAATCGACTCGCGCAGGAATAGTGATGATATTGCGCGGTTCGTGGAGGCTAATGTAGAGCAGCTGATTCAGGATGGCAATCTGTTGCAGTACAGCGATTCCAGGGTGGATATGAAGAAGCTTATCGTGGATAAAGTTATTGAAGGTGCCGACGGGATGTATGTTTCCCACATTGCTCTACTCGGCATATTTTAACATTAGTATAGGTTCCGTTGGGCGAGTCTTCAATTACAATACCTCTGCTCGTTTGAGTTAGACGACGACATCAAAAGCAACCTAGGACGGCTCCCACCAGACTTGAATACTCTTTACGACGAGCTCTACAAAGTCCTGTCTACCAAACCCGGCCGTTTCTCCGCGATCATACTTAAAAACTCCCTCTCCCTACTACTGTGCGCCCAACAGAAAATGAGTACAACAGAGTTTATCTCCGTAGTATCAGTCGACACTGAGTCCGGCACCGCGGTAAAGATAACCTCCAAGGATCTAGTCCTAAAAATCTGCGGCAGTTTTATAGTCTTTGACCAGCAGATGGATACTTTCCGTCTTGCTCATCTGTCGGTCCGCGAGTACTTGGAACAGCAACCCAAGTTCAGCAGAACCATGGTCAACGCTCTCGCTGCGGAGATCTGCCTCTGGAATTTGTTATCATTCTGTCCTCGTGGCGGTGCTACCGAGCATATCATGAACCACGTAGGCTGGCAAGCTACAACACTAGATTCCCAGCCCGACAAGCTCAAGACGTACTCAGATCGATATTGGGTCGAACACTGTGCTCGAGCGCGAGAGCAAAGAGACGACAAGAGATTGAGATGCATACTCCGACATGTCTTGAGCGGATCCGGTGGACTAACATCTCCCATCGCGTTATGGGCAAGGCGTATCCGTGGTTTAGACCTTGACGACGATGATCCATCAGGGAGCAAAGACACTCAAAACCCACGTAGCTCCGTCGAGAGGTGGGCTGATCAATCGTCATGGAGCTACGCTACAAGAGACCAGGTCTCCACAAACTCATTGTGGAGCAACCACACTCAAAACCCGCATAGCTCCGTCGCGAAGTGGGCTGATAGGTTTAAACCCGAGTTCTGGGGTTACGATCTTAGTCCATGGCGGCGTATGCCGCGCTCGATTCGATCCGAGATGTGTGTCGGCCTTCTCGTCGCTTGCACCTTCAACCTCAACGAGTTCATACCGGATATGGTTGAGGCTTCGATGGGATCGATGCAAAATGAGGTGCTATACTACGATATTCCTCTACTCATCTCCATGCATCAATTCAGTTACTCCAGCATCGAAGCTTTGTTAACAACGAATCCAGACCGCATGAGGATCACGGAAAAAGTCGTCGATGAAGCTATCAGAAAGGACGACGACGCCAGAGCACTCACGCTCCTTTTCCAGCACCACGAGCGCGATATACCGATTACGGAAAAAGCTTTGATTGCGGCTGCTATGATTCCAGACGGCCGCGAGGCCATGTCACTTCTTCTCGAGAAAGGGAGAGACAGGATTTCGATTACTCCAGAGGTGGCTACTGCCATTATTGGCAATCCTACGTTTGGAAACGACATCTTCAAACTCCTTCTCAATCAGCGTGGAGAAGGCACGCATGCGCAACAAATCGTGCTGATTGCGGCCATGAAAACAAGGGATAAAAGTGTTGGTATGGACATCGTAGCCATGATCCTCGACCAATACGAAGCCGAAATCAAGGTCACAAAAGAGCTAGTATTAGCGGTAATGAGATCGGGTCAGGGCCATGACCCAAACCGCAGAGAGTACTACTACATGTCGCTGCTTCTCCGTCTGGCGAAAGCAGAGCAAAATCTCGCAGAAGACGCGATATCCGTCGTCGCCGAATCTTTCGACGAGAGATTTGTAGAGGAGTTCCTTGGAGACAGGCCGACGACCAAACGGATCGCAAGGGCAGCGGCGAGGAACCAAACACATGCCGTTGAGGTCATGACCTATCTGCTCAATCGCAAAGGCGGCGCAAGTATCCCAATCACCGAAAGCATAGTGAAAGCCGCAGCACGCAACGAAACCCTCGGCGACAAGATCATGGTCTACCTATTTTTCCACAGCAACGAAAGCATCAAAATAACCGAAAGTATCGTCAAAGCAGCCGCGCGCAACGAGAATCTCGGCCACAAAATAATGACTTTCCTACTGACTCGAAGCGGTCGACATTTTCCGATAACAGAGAAAGTCATGACGACAGTGGTGCGAAACAGCAATAGCGGAGCGAAAATGATGAACCTTCTCATCGAACATAGAAAGAAGGATATTAGAATCACGAAGAACGTCCTCGATGAAATCTCGTCGAATCCGTTCCAGGGGAAGTTTATTATGCTGAATTTATGTCATAATGGACTTGGAACAACTTTGCCTGACCACCCCACGGTCCGTCAATACGAGAAGATGACTCCGCAACTGGGGAGATTTAGATTCGGACATAATTGGGTGTACTTTGATAGTAACGGCATGTACTGGTAGATGGGTAGATTTCCAACGTTGTGCTGGGCGTTGGTGTGCATTGGGGATTTTCTGCGAGTATCATATTGAATAGTTAGAATAATACCCTACTTGTTCCACAGGGCTGCAAATCCGTATTCTCAATCGGTCGGGTTGAGATTAAGATGGAGTACCACAATAGTGTCGGCACTTGGTATTGAAAAACACAGTATATCAGCCTTTGAGCACAGCGTGGTCACAAATCCTGCTACCTCACCCTGGAACTCCCCCGTACAACACCCTTCTTTCCCAACGCAATTTCGACCCAGACGTGCCTCGACGCCGTTTTTAAAAAGATTCCTCACCCGCGAAACCAATGTCGCCAAACGCACATCCTTCCCTTAAAAGACGAAAAGAAAATAATAAGGGGATTCTCACTGGGAAGCGCACAAATCCCGAATAAAAAAAAGCTCCAAGAAAGAAAAAAAGAATGAAGAAAAAAGGGAAAAAAGATAAACAGAAGAAATCATGAGTTCCCGCTCATCACACCATGTTACTACCAGACGCAATTTTTAGACACTTGAACACCCATTGTATAATCACCCTTACATCAACAAAGAAACATGCTGGAAAAGAAGACATTACCCATTATGTAAAACTTGCCGCCCTACATACATGAAAAAGAAACGAAGCGAACAAGCAGCTTAGCGCTCCGAAGTTTTTGAACGAAGAAGAAGAAAAGAAAAACGTGACATGGAATAAGACTACACGACAGGGCCAAAGGGCGAGGCCTGCGGCGGCGGCGCAGGTAAAGGCGGCGGCGGATGTTGCGTCTGCCAGCCCTGTCTCAGCGGAGACGTATCTCGATGGGTATCCCATAGGGAATTCGAGCGGCCGCGAAGTTGCGGGCGCAATTGCCGCTGGGACGCTTCATCCGCAGCAGCTTTCCCACCACCCACCACCACAGAAGCAATCGGGGCAATCTCGCCCTCGGCACCGCGTTCCCTCCTCTCCTCAGCCTCCTTATCAACCCCCTCCATCTCAGCCCGTAACCTCTTCGCGCGCCGCTCGCTCTGCTCCTCCAACAGCACCGCCTTGACCCCCCTCATCTTCCACCACACCCATCCCCCCATCGCAACACTGACCACGAACACGGCTGCGAAAACCACGTTCTGCACTACATTCGAGTCTTTTTGCTGCACGAGCAACACACCCACGTAGACGAGGAAGATTTGTTTCGGCAGCGAGAGAAACGTCGCGACGAAGAAGTGCCAGAACTTGACGTTGCAGGTTGAGAAGACGGCGGTGGAGAAGTGCGTGGGGACGGCGGAGAGGCGGATGAGCAGGACGAGGGAGAAGCCCGAGTCGCGGGTGAGGCGCGCGAGGGCGCCGTAGTTGAGGTTGGTGCGCTCGAGGTGCGTCGCGCGGCGCCGCAGCGTGTGTTTGAATGCGTACCAGGTTCCGACTGTTTATTGTTGGTCGTGTCAGTATATCAGTTCTCCTCCATTCATTGTATACGTGATGATCCATATGTGTACACATATACACACACGCGCAGGTACGTGTTCAAGAAAAAGGATAGTGAGATGGGATGGGGATAACGTACTTTCACCTAGAAACGTGCCCGCCGATAGAATCGCGAAACCGATCCAGAGGCCCCATACAACGCCGCACAGCACGCCGACGATTTCGTGGCCGAACAGCGGAGGGAACGATATGATGAAGAGAATGACAATGGGTATCAACCATCCCGCCGGTAGGTCGTGCAGTTTTTCGGAAAAGGGACGGAGGATTTCCACGACTTCGTGGTGTTTTACTGTTATGAAGATTGTGAAGACGATGAGGGCGATGGTGATGATGTGGATTGCTGTTTGGAAGTGGCAAGTTAGTTCAGGATCGAATTGGTGCGGTCGTTGTTGGCGATGGGTAGATGGATAGATGGTGTACAGAGGGAGGGGAAACCCACGTATGTATTTGGGGGTGAGGAAGATGCGACGCCAGTTTACGGGCTTGTAGTCTGTTTCTTCTGGAGGCCCGCCTTTCTTTCCCACCCGCGACGACATCTCAATGTCGTTTGCCATGATGGTGGATGGGTGGTACCGCTGGTCGGTACGAGGGGCAGAGAGGGAAAGTTTATCTTTGGTGTCTAGGCCGCATCGGTGGGTCGCTGGAAGGGAGTCCAAGCGTGGCGTTGTTCTATTTTTGTGTGTGAATGTGATGCGATATTGGGTTTAAACGAGGTGAAGGATAGCCTGGAGAAGAGATGTTTGGAAGAATTAAGGGGACATGGAGAGAAGGAAAAGAAAAAGCAGCGATTGTAGAGAAGAGGATATGGGAAAAAGACGTGTGGGATAACAGCAGGAGCTAATGAGTGGCGGTGGAGAATCAGAAGGAGATGAAAATGGATTGGAGGTGACGGTGGAGAGTATCAAAGTCTTGGACGAAAGAGAGGGGGGGAAGTTTGAGGGGGGAAACACGGACATTATAGTAATTTGATTACAGCGAATGGTGTAGCCAATCAGGAGCAAGGAGGCGACCATAGCATGCGCCGGGACGGACGGGGATCTGCGACGTCCAAGCGTCCGCAAAGGGCTTAGCGGCCCCGCTAAGAAGAGCCCCTGGATGCTTATTTCAAACATCAGCTCGCCAAACCACCGTCTCATTCCTCCATCCGTTCCATCCACCCAGTTATCATCGTCATTCATTGCCCTTTGTGCATGGCTGATGTTCGAACCGGAGTCAGCATGGGCCCGGCTACGGCTGCGAACTGCATCTTCCTCACCACATCCAGGACCCCTATTACCCGTCTCTCCATATCCCAAGAACTACCCTTCATCCTGCGTTCCCCAGCCAAGGAAACAAACAAGCAGCGTCAGGCAATCATCGGAGAATACACAAGGTGATAGTCAGTCATGTAAAACATGCGGCAACCAACCAATGGTAGCGCCTACATCCGTTCGCGACAACCCGTCCAGCAGCTGCTGGCAAGCAGAGGACCGGACATCCACTCATCCACTGCGCTTGCATCGGACAACCAACCCACCCCCAACAAGTACCACCTTTCCATAACGCCAGCGCGTATGGCGACCGCCGACAATCAATCAGTCGTTCAATCATGCCTGTTGCTCCGACACACCCGGGTGGCGCAGCACTTTCCATCTTCGCTCCCCCATCCATCTATGCCGGGATGACTCCAAATCTCAAAACACACGCGCGTCGCTTGTATATTTGTCAAGCCTATCCCCTTCCTCTCTATTTATCCATTGCATCGCTGCTACAGAGCAGAGTATCACAGTCCAGGTAATGTGCACAAGCTTTCTGACAGCTGAACCGGCTGTAGCAAAACAACCCGAAAGCGAAAACAGAACAGAGCTTCCTAACGGACGGTCCAGAACATGCCGGATGCATTTGGAATGGCCCGAACCGTCGTCCCAAGTTGCAGATGGTGGCGCTGTAGAGAAGCATATCGAGTGCGAGAATGGAGGGGGCTCGCGTGTCATGTTGCAGGGGTGCTACTGGTGCTTTTTATTGGCGAGCCTTAGCTTGATGGGGACTAGATGTCTGGTTCTTCCCGACACGACAGCGACATCGACGGTCGTACTTGTACACATGCGGTGATGATGATGCGCACATGATTCGACGGCCATGACGAAATTCAATAGGTTTGTTTGATGTTTGGTGATTCGTGTTTATAGGTGGGTAGAGTAAGTATATAGGTATATGCTACTATATTCCCCTCTTCTATATGTTGCATGCGTGTCCGATGGAACTGACAGCACTTCAAGCCCCGGATCGGATACAGGCCGTCGATGGATGACTTCCAGTTAGCACCGCAAACAACTATGGACTGTACCCTGAGTAGTGTTTTCTAGCATCACGTCCAACCGTCCCATGTCCTGACGTAGAATTAAAAATGAAAGAGTAGGATGACATTGCATCAAATAAACCCCGGCCACAGCATCTTTCAATATCAAGTACCATGTGGTGTGGCGTATCCAACGACCACAATAGTTTTCGAGCATGTCCGAGTGCATGTTGATCGCCCGGTACCTGCAGCATATGTGCCATCCCGTGATGGGCTTGTGTGACTTGTAACGCCTGCAGAGCTTTCTGTACGACCAGATGAGGCATTGTCCAACGTCACGTCGGATAGCACAAACAGTCAATACCATGTCACGACCAGCACTACAGACCGCCCCTATACACGGCATGTGACTAACAACCCGATGGATCGCTTGCGATGAACACAGAGGTGTTCCCTCACTTTGGTCGTTCAGTACAGCAGCCACCGAACCCCAGTTGCTCCTACGAGAATCGAAGGCACGCAATTGACAGACCTCCATAGTTGCATCACCAATTCCCACCACGTGGTCGGAGCAAACTGCGGTCATTGGGACCGTTGTCTAGCGTTACGTGAATGCACACAACAGCAAACAACCAGTCCCCTTTATCTGGTTGGACAAAGCAGCAAACGCGTGCTTGCTCTCACTACGGATTATATTGCCTCCGCCCGCCGGTCTTCCACAAACAGAAGCTTCTATTTACCTTTTTCTATCCGCTTCTACGGCCTAGCGTTTTTCCCCTCTTCACCTATACAACAACAACAACAAAGCGCCTACACTCGCTCGATTTGCCCCACTACCGCGACTCTACATACCCTCTAATCAACAACCCACATACTCTCTCTTTCCAACCTCTCTTACCTGGTAAATACTACCACACACTCCATTCTCCACCACCAACAAGTCAAGTTAACTAGGTAGCAATGGCTCCCCTCCGCACCATTCTCGCCATCGGCGTCTTCGTCCTAGCCGCAGTCAGCGCCGCCACGGACGACCGCACCGCAGAGTGTGGAAGTAAGTAACTCCCCTCGCCTCACCATCCCCCGCCATACAACACACATATACACCATCCACCTCATTACATCCCTCTAAACATCCCTCCCACAGCCATCAAATGCGTCCCCGGCCTCCAGAACTGCAGCAAAGACCCTACAGGCCAAGACATCTGCGTCTACGCCGGCGGCTACGGTGATCACCACTCGGGCAGCACCTCCGTCGCGTCCAACCCCAACATCACCGCTTCTCCCACCGGCCCGTTCGCCAACTCGACTTCGGCCGTCGTCACCCTGTCGACTACCACCACAGCCTCCCAGGGCGGAAACTCTAGCGTCCATGTCACGTCGACTGTTACTTCCACTTCCGTCAAGTCCTCCGCTTCATCCTCGTCTTCGTCCGAGGGCGACAAGCCTGAAGCTACGCAGTCGGAGTCGGAGCCGCCTAAGCCTTCCGAGTCTGGTGGCGTTGCTGCTGCTGGGGTTAGCGTCGTGGGTGCGCTTGGTGCACTTGCGGTGTTTGGCCTTTTCTAAGATTTCCCTTTTGTCCCTTCTTTGGTGCACGGCGCTAGGGGTTTCGATATCCCTCTCTTTCTCTCTATCTGATACGGACTGTGGTTATTGGGTTTTCCCTTCTCTCTCGCCTCATTTCGGGACTCGTTTTGAAATGGTTTGAAGAAGGATGCTTGAGCCTGGTTTTTTCTGGTGTTGGGATGGCGTCTTTGCAGGTATCGAGGGAATCAACGGCATCGGAGGAACTGGTGTCTGTTTGGGACGGATGCTCACTTGATTAATGGAATCGATTGTTTTCGATTGAATGGCGGACTACTCGAGCTACGGCCGAGAGCGAATTTGAAAGACCGCTTGATGAGTATCGAGTGTCTGTCAATGGATATGAAGTTCAATTGAATCCGTGTCTCCCTACGATTGTATCTTGTCGTTTGAGTGCTGTGCTACCTAGCATGATTTTGAGACATCTAAACCTGCGTAATGCTATCTCGTCTGGTTCAAAGCTTATAAAACCATGCAGCCTCCAACTCAATCCAAACAGAGCTTTATAAATTCACTTTGGTCTTTCACACAGGTCAACATGACCCATGAAGTGGTCGTGTATGATTATCTAATGATTACCTAGACTGTATACAGACTAGCGCGGGTGGACTCTTGGCAACCGCGGGGCGAACAATATTGGAATTGACTCAAACGAAACCTCGACGACGACGACAACGACAACCACCAGCACCCGCACTTACATATACCCTCCCGTCCACACAACCAAATACTCCTCTTTGACTGTCGACGACCAAATCACAAATATCTCCAGTCTCCCCGCGACACGCGCGAACCCACCGCCCGCCATGTCGCTCACAAACTGCCGGTTTTATGAGGAGAAGTACCCCGAGGTGGAGAGCTTCGTCATGGTCAATGTCAAGCAAATCGCCGAGATGGGTGCTTATGTTAAGCTGCTTGAATATGGTACGGCAACACCCCTGTCAAAAAAGAGAAGCAGAAAAAAAAAGAAATACAGAAAATATGAAAAGACAAGCACTCACATATCAACACAGACAACATCGACGGCATGATCCTGCTCTCGGAACTGTCCCGACGACGTATCCGATCGATCCAGAAGCTCATCCGAGTCGGTCGCAACGAGGTGGTCGTGGTGCTGCGTGTGGACAAGGACAAGGGCTACATTGATCTGTCCAAGCGACGAGTCTCGCCCGAAGACATCATCAAGTGCGAGGAGCGGTACAACAAGTCCAAGATGGTGCACTCGATTATGCGCCACGTGGCCGAGAAGACGGAAACGCCCATCGAGGATCTGTACAAGAACATTGGCTGGCCGCTGAACAAAAAGTACGGCCACTCGATTGACGCGTTCAAGCTGTCCATTACCAACCCGGATGTGTGGAACGATGTCGTCTTCCCCAACGACGTGGTCAAGGAGGAGTTGCAGTCGTACATTGGCAAGAGGTTGACGCCGCAGCCTACCAAGGTGCGCGCGGACATCGATGGTACGTTTGTTTCTTTGCTCTGTGCAATTCTGCATTTAGCTAATATACATTTTTCGCAGTCACCTGCTTCGGCTACGACGGTATCGACGCCATCAAGACTGCGCTGAGTTGCGCCGAGGCCAAGAACACCCCAGACAACCAGGTCAAGGTCAGACTCGTTTCCCCACCGCTCTACGTCCTCACGTCGCAATGTCTCGACAAGAATGTGGGTATCGAGACGCTGGATCAGGCCATTCTGGATATCAAGGCGACAATCGAGAAGGCAGGAGGCCACCTCAAGGTGGTGGCCGCGCCCAGGGCCACGACAGACAACGACGATGCCGAGTTGGCGGCGCTCATGGAGAAGAGCCAACGGGAGAACCAAGAGGTCAGCGGTGACGAGGACGAGAGCACGAGCGATGAGGGCGGTGTTGCCGATGCGGATGCTTAGAGCGGTTGTTTCGACATGTGTGGAATAAACGAGCACGGGGATGGGGAAGCAGGGGAATACAAAAACAGTGCATATGGCGTTGTGTATTTATTTTCTTTGGGGTGGATTGGAAAATGGATGGATGAATGGATGGGTGGATGTCCTTGATGAGTGGAAGATTGTACAACAATCAATGACGCCTGAAATGTCACAAATCATGCTTCATCTTGGTACACAATTCTCTGGTGCTTTTTCACATGCAGTCGATCAAAGCGATAACAAAAAAAAAAAAAGAGTGAATGGATGCATGCATGGTGGTTAGCGGAGAAGAGGGAGCTTGGACCCCAGCGAGCGGGGCTGGCAGGGGAAGATGACGCGGGAAGCTCTTCAGAACCTGGAATCCCTCAACACCAAAAACAAGGTTTGACGTCTTCTTCATCCACCCCTCCTACCTATCCTCCCTTCTGTCCTCGTGAATTCTCTCCTGGTACTTTGAATATTGCTCCTGGCGGTTGTTGTGCAAGTTTCATATACATTCTTTGTTTGCGCGACTCTATCATCGATAGATAAGCAGCCATGGTCAGGTGGAGAGAGCTCTTCAATGCCGACGGACACGACCGAAGGCATCGCATGCAGGATGAATTCCGCTCACGCAAGTCTTGAACAAGTCACCAATTCTCGCATTGTATACTAATCGAGTGACAGTCCTCCCCACGCGACGCGATACCCTCCCTCCGCCACCAATCCCACCCAAAGACGTCACAAAGGTAGCCCTCCGCCTCAAACACCAGCTCGAACAAGTCGTCCCCTGCGAACTCGAAGAAGCCCTCATCACGAAACCCCACAGCCACATCATCACCCGCGAAGTCGTTCAGACCGCCAAAGAAGCAGGTGGAAAAGACCACAGGGCTTGCGTCGTCTACTGTCTCCTGGTAGTCAAGCGGTGGTTTAAGCAACAAGCCCTCGTCGAGCTCTGGGATGCAGACCTCCACGATGTCCGCGCAACCGCCGCCGAGCAGCTCGCCAAACTCATCATCGAGTCCGAGGAAGACACCGACTACCTCATGGAAGAAGTCCTGCTCAAACGCTACTCCATCCTCGTCAACAACGAACCCTCCGTTCCCGCAAACGCCATTGAGCGCGCCGTCGACCTCCACGCCCTCACCGTCATCGGCTCATCCGGCTACCAGAAATGCATTTCCTATCTCTGGAGGGGGTGGCTGGTCCAAGACGACGAAGACCCAAGTCGCTTCGTGAACTACGACAACAAGACAAACACGGATTACTGGTCGCATCTCGACCCGGATCGCATGCGCGTGCCCCGCTACCAGAATCTCGTGCAAATCGCAATCTCAATCATCTTCCTGGGTCTTTACACGGGTGCTATCAACACCGTCAACGCAGATGGCGACCTCGATATTGTCGAAGGCCTGCTCTACATCTTCACCCTCGGCTTCATCTGCGACGAAGCGTCCAAGCTCTGGAAAGTCGGCCGCTACTACATTGGCTTTTGGAACGTCTTCAACACCACCCTCTACGCCATGCTGACGACCTCCTTCATCCTACGCCTCGTCGCCTACGGGCGCGGCAGCGACCTCGAGATGCGCGGGCACTACAACAAACTCAGCTACAACTTCCTGGCCTTCACGGCGCCCATGTTCTGGATGCGGCTGCTCCTCTATCTCGATACTTTCCGGTTCTTCGGCGCTATGCTCGTCGTGCTAAAAGTAATGATGCGCGAATCCCTCATCTTCTTCGCGCTGCTCGTCGTCGTGCTCATCGGCTTCCTGCAAGCCTTCATCGGCATGGACCTCAACGAAGACAACCAGATCCAAGACATGGGCTTCGTCATCCAAGCCATGCTCAACGCCGTCATGCAGTCGCCGGAATTCGACGGCTTCGACGTCTTCGCCCCGCCCTTTGGCCTCATCCTCTACTACATCTTCACCTTTGTCGTCATGGTCATCCTCCTCAACATCCTCATCGCGCTATACAACTCGGCGTACGAGGACATCACCGAAAACGCAATCGACGAGTACATGGCGCTCTTCAGCCAAAAAACGATGCAATTCGTGCGGGCCCCAGACGAAAACGTCTTCATCGCCCCCTTCAACCTCCTCGAGATGTTTCTGCTCGTGCTGCCGTTTGAATGGTGGCTCCCGCAGTCCACGTACAACCGCCTCAACGATTTCGTCATGGGGCTCATCTACTCCCCGCTCCTCGTCGCCACCGCCTTCCTCGAAACCCGCCAGGCCCACAAGGTCAAGTTCAATCGCAAACGCGGCGAGGAAGACGACGACGTCCTGCACGAGTGGGAGCAGGTGCTGCATGAATGCGACTTTGAGGCCGATGGCTGGGATAAAAAGGTTCAATCTACGCGGCCGAATGTCGAGGTCGACACTGCGGTTTTGGAGGTTAGGGCGTTGAGGGAGGAGGTGGGCGAGCTGAAGGAGCTATTGTTGAAGGTCACGCAGGGGGATAAGGGGGGTGTTGGGTGGGGGAGCGATACGTTGAGGGACAGCCAGGTGAAGGATCGAGGGGACGATGGTGCGAAGGGGAAGGCTGATGATAGTGCGGAGGGGGGGCAAGCGGGAGGAGACGCGGGCGGTGATGAGTGATGATTGAGCACGAGAGTTTTTGTTTCTTGTTATATGTTGTGTTTAGGAGCTTGTGTCTCTTCCCCCTCTATTCAAAATATTCTCTCTCTCCATCCTTTCTGCCTCTTTCTTCTTCTTTGTTACGCTATGGCCATCCTCTTTAGTTTTTTCCCCGTTTTATTTTTTGTAGGTTTTAAGTAAATGAACACATAAACGTTTATATGTTATATTAACTTGTAATTCAATTGTAATTAAGATTATTATTTGCTATAAGCTAGTATGAAGAAGCAATAGGCAGGATGCTTCGCTAAGAGGGCTCTATAACTCGAATATGTAATCCCCCCGATCCCTCCTTTGGGTGAAGGCAAAAATCGCAAGTCTTTTTGGTAATCGCCCGTCATTTTGGTAAATTCCTCGTTTTAAACCATCGCTGTGTGTAGGATCACCTAACTCCAACTCAAAAAATAAAATAAATACTCGAATATGTAACCCTTTTGCCTTTTGCGGTATCAGTACAAAAAGCAGTGCACACGCTCTCAGCTAAGGCGTCCCTTACACAGACGCAATCCTGCAACATTTTATCTATAAACGTCCTACTGTGTCCTTGGCAGGGAGTCCCAGACTTTTAGCTTTATGGAGTAATCAACGCGACTGCAAAAACCTCTTTCATTTGTTGTATCTACCGGTGACTTACCTCTTGTCTAATATAATCAACGGTCCAAGGTCCAATGAATCGTGAACTGTAGTCTTGGACCCCACAGGGATCGCGCCCTCTACGTCAAGATAACGTTCGCAGACACGGTGTTGTAAGAGGTCAGCCAAAGTCACAGCCACGTCCTGGTTTCCGCCCCCAAGAATATAGAGTTTCTTTTCTTGTTTATTGATGGTCTTAGGTCCTGGCTCTACTTGCGACCCGGCATATTTCCTCGTCGTCAACTTTGGTTCTTTAGCTCTGCTTGATCAGAGACACAGGACGCCATTCAGCACCATGTCTGGCGTGCCACCGAAAACACCATACGCCGAGTCGCGAGGCAGCGCCGACCAGGAGACGAAGCCTCTGCGGACTAACATAAAAGAGACGGATGCACGGCAAAAGAACCACCTATTTGCCCTTTTCCTACTTTTCGTATATATCCCCCTTACTACAGTGCCCTGGGCGTTGACATGTGTCATGTCTAAACACCCTCTAGGTACAACGTCGTACCACGTCCCAGGTGGACTTGCTGGCGAGCAGATCCGCGGCATCGAGAGATGGGTAACTGCTATCCGGGTTCTGAATTCCATCAGCAGTGTGGTCACGATCCCGACGCTTTCCGCTTTACTGGCACAGGCGGCGGTAGTGTACAGCGAAAGCCGCGAGCCGCGGCACGACTTCCAGGTCAAGCATTTGACCGTCCTCGCTGACCGCGTGTGGACGAACCCGGTTGCGTTGGCGGAATTGTGGAAATGGGAGGGGCAGGAGTCGGTGAGGGTTCGGAATCTGATTTATTTTGCTGCTGGGATGATTTTGCTTGGTAAGGACTGTGTTGAGATTGACTAGAAGGATGCATTTGGCTGATTTTATCACGTTTTGTAGGTGGGTTGCAACAACCGCTCTACCAGGTTCTTGTCCCCATCGAACCAATGCTCGTTCTCAACCACGATGCCAGGTTCCCGCAAAATGTTGGATGGGAGCCCGACCCAGAGGGGATATCCAAAACGTTCTTGGATCCAGTCGTACAGCGACTTATCCGAGAGATGGCGATTGCCAACGTTGAAGAAGCAAAAGCGAACTGGTGGGCGAATATGTCGGCGCCAGAGGTGGCTGACCAGAAACTTCCGGACCTGTACAGCGAAAACTTTGTCAGTGCGCTGCCTCAAGGAACGACGACGGGTGTCTTGCGCGAACTCGTTTTGCGCTTTAATTCATCCGTATCTTGTGAGCGTATCCCGCGCTCCCAGTTCCCGTCCCCATGTACGGGGGAACGATCGTTCAACACATCCTTCACACACGACGGCAACTCCACGCGGGTCTGCGTACCCGGGGATTTAATGATGTCTCCATGGACGCTGTCCCGTAGCAGACAGGATATCGGAGAAGATTTGTACCTTGATGTTGTGGCGCAACTTGAAATGGTTATAGATGGGTTTCTGGAGGACTACCCTATCGACTTCACTCTGCATTGCAGCGCCACGACGACCCGGGGCTACTTCGAGCCCGGCAACTACTTCAACAACTACACGTGGGGACCATTGTTAGAGCGCTGGCCCAGCTCCGAAGAACTCAAAGCCTACAACGGCTACCCCCGCACAGAATCGTAAGTCCACTCCCCTCGCATACCCAACAACACTAACAACCAACTCTACTTCCCAGCACCGACTCCCCACGGCAGACACATTTCAGCACTCTGATGTACACCCCAGGCCCGCTAGCAACAGCAGCCATCGCGCTATTCGGACGCAACACGTTCTTCGACCTAGGCATCCAAGCATGGAACGACACCTCGACCAACAAAACGCACCCGTTCAGCTGGGACCAAGTCTGCGCCACCCTCCCCTTCTCGCAATACGAGTCTCCCCTCCCGCTCAACACGACCGACCAATTCCCACCATGCGCGTTCGACGCGATGCGCAGCAGCGTCGACCAGGGAACATCGTGGAGCAGCGCCCTCGCCATCTGGCTCCACGGCTTCAACGACACGGCCGGCGCCACAGAGGTCCTCGGCATCGCCGTCGCCCTCGCCACCGAAGCGTTCCTGACCCCCGAGACATATAATAAGATGGGGACGAGCAGGGCTACGGGGCGGTTCATCTACTCGGGGACGGGGACGACGATCCACAAGCCGCGAGTCAGTGTGGTCGCTATGGCTGTGATTTCTAGCATCATAGCCCTCGAGTTGGTTGGGCTGGGGTTGCTTGGTTGGATTATCTTTCGCAGCTCTTCGACTGTACGGGCGTTGGATGCCATGACGTTTGCTAGTGCTAAGGAACGGATTGAAGGGAGGTAGATAGGTATTTTGGATACCTATCTTGGTTTTTGTTTTTTCTTGTGCGAAAGCGCGCTGATAAGAGGACTTGTTGGACTTGTGATGATGTACATACTTGGCTATATATATATGTTGATGTGTAGTGTAGTGTATGTTATGTATGCTCATCTCTGATTGGGCGTAGAAACTGTGGCGTCGGCCAGCCAGCCACTACAAACACGTGCGCGCATCTGTGGCGCGTATCGCTCAGCCGCGGGCGTGGGTCTAGTCCCCCTCTTCCATCCATCCACCCATCCATCCAACATGAATGATCGACAGCCAAGTGAGATTAGCTCGTGTTGATCTCTCCGCGCTTCCTTTTCCCTTGATTCTCTCGAAACCCAGATTCCCTTTTCTTTTTCTCCATTTCCCATCAACTCGGTATCCGACGCGTCTTTATTCCTCTCTACTTACCCGCTTTTCTTGTGTCGCTGGGAGCCTGCCGTGTCGAAATCTTCCTTTTGGGTTGGTCAGGTGATGTCATAAAGGGGGAAGACGAGAATACTATTACGATTACGCGCGCGACAGCAAGCGATTAAAAGGAGAGGGAAATGTAAAGAAGAGGAAGAGGGAAAGACAACACCGAGAGGGAGTTCGATCGCAATTGTTCATTGAAGTTGCTCGGGATCGAGATCGAATAAAAGTACATCACAGACGGAGTCGCCCGCCACCAAGGAAGAAGCTGCTGAGCTGAGCTGAGCTGAGCTTGAGCATACACCCCGGATTCGAAAGCATCGGAGTCGTTATATCCTAGCGCTCTCTTTTACTATTTTAGAAAGGCAGGGCGGGATTGGGATCGGAAGGAGGATACGATATCCCTTATACATTGAGTTTGAGATTGGGTTTGGGGGTTCCGTTTGGTTTGGTTTTGTTTGGATCGCCAAAGTCAAAGGCAAGAAGGCGGGGAGTTTTTTTTTTTTTGGCGGAAAGAGAAGGGCGGGTTTCACGAATCTAGGAAAGAAGGGGACCAGGGAAAGAAGAGGAGGAAGTCGCGGTTGTTGTGGAGACTTGCGCTTGACGATATAGGTGCAGCCAGCACGATTCGATCATCGTCGGCTTTTGTTTCTTCGACGTTGTTGTGTGTGTGTGTGTGTTCGGCCATTCGACTTCTCCTACGACTTACCTACCTACTTACTTACCTGCCATCGAATACTCCCGCGCGCATCGTTATTTTGGAATTCGGCGAGATCGATTTTCCGATCACAACCTCTAGTACGCTTTATTATTATTTTTTTTTGGAAGAGGAAGAATTGAAGAGAGTGGAGCATCGCGGGTGGCGTTGTGGGATCTCGACGGTACACTACCCGTCTTAGTTGTTGCGGGGGCGCGTCCAGCCCGCGCGTTCCTTTGGACGCTCTGACAAGACAAAACGAAAGACTTCCGTTTGAGAGTTCAAACAAAAACATAGACTCAAACTACAAAGCTATTTCTTCTAGACGGGAATAGGGATTGGATTCGGGTGGGAAAAGAAAATGGTGGATTCGACGATGGAGAACGGGATGATGGGGTTGGACCCCGAGGGATACACGGCGTCGAGGTTGCATCATTCGACGCCTGAGCATTTGCATGTCACGTCGCGACGGTTTTTTGTTGGTCCTATACCGGTATGTCTGTCAATCTCTCCCCAATCGCGCCATTGCTTTTATTTAATCTTTTGTTTTGTCGTTTTGCAATTTCGGATATGCGCATGGTTGATCAACGAGCTGACTGTTCCCGCTGCGCTCAGGAAGGCTGGCTTAAGACGCATCGCCGCGACTGGTATAAGCACCACCTGCACATCAACTACTCGTCCAAATCCGCATCCTTTACTTCGTCCTCTGATCGCCGCACCACCAAAAATCGACGCTTGACGGGTCTCGACGGACCGAGTTCCTCTGCGCTATTCCAGCGGAGTTTTCCGCAGCCCGAGGATTGTGACGACGATGATGACGATGCAGGGTTGCAGAACCGTGAGGCGAGGGCCGAGAGTGCGCGTGGAATTTCGAATGGAGACGCGGCTGCGGATACAGATGCGCATGCGCGTGCGTCTTCGGGATTGAGCATATCGCTGCCGGAGGGGCAGGTGACCCACAAGCAGGTGGTTGCATCGCCAGAGAGCGACGTCTTTGTGGATGCTGAGTCGGAGCCTGAGACTTCGGATGATGGGGAAGATGGAGATGAGGGGTTGAAGGTTTACACACACCAGGAAGAAGCAGATGCTCCGCTCGAGGAGCCTGCGGCACCTGCTCCGCGACCTCCTGCAAGAACCCAGTCATCCACAAAGTCCTTCGTCACCGCATCCTCGATGCCCGGAGTTATAGAACCGAGCGACTCCAGTTCAGAAGAAGCTAGCGAACGGCCAGATGAAGAGGAGATCAATACAGCAGACGAGGGCAGCTCGCATCAACCCACTAAAGACGACCAGACCAAGGCACCTGGTGCAATGGTAATCGAAACACAACCAGCAGAGCAGGCAAGTAGTTCACAACTTCTCGCTTCCGCAAAAGGGCAAGGCAAACGACCCGTATCCACTATAGAGAGCAGCAACAATGACGGCACTTCACCTCCTTCGGCCGAGGCCACTTCTACCACGTCCTTGCTACACAACACTGACCGTGACAAGGCACCTGGCCGTTTCGATCCAAAGGTCCGCCTCGAATCCAAAGCACCACAGGCCCGCGGGATCCTCACCAAAATTCGTGGCTTGTCGGAAAACGAAGGGTTGTCGTCAGAGCCATCCTCACCAAATGATGGAGCTGGGGAATCCATATCCCGCAGGAGATCTAATCTTCGAAATCTGGTCAAATTCGACATCCCCGAGGACTCGAAGCGCGCTACCATCCATTTGCGAGCCAAGCAGGCCCAGATGACAGTCCAGCGAGCCTCGACCAAGCTGAAGCGCCGCAAGATCAAGGATGGCCTGGTGGTGAAGATGGAGCGCATGCTGATCCGCGTTGATTCTACGGCTGGAGATATCCCGGAGGACTTTGACGAAAATGCAGCACAGAAGATCGAGTCGAGGGTCAAGGATAAGTGGCGCGAGTACATGGTCGTGTGCAGACACAGCTCTTCGGACGACGCAGAGTTTGTGCTGCAGATGTACAAGACGCGGGTACGTTTTTTTATCTTGTCGATCTGATAATCGTGGATACGAGGCTAACATGATACCAGGTAATACCCGAGATCGAAAGCCCGGATGCAAGCAAACGTGCCGCTTATCAGATCCCGCTCGGTCGTAAAATCAGCAGAGTCAATCTGTATTCGTCATTAGACAAGTCCGTCGTGGTCTGGATGCCAAGCTCACGTGGCACACGCATCTTCATCATGCAGGGGCGCACTTCGTCCAATGCTGTCGAGTGGTACACGTTTCTCCGTAACATTATGGGCTGGCGGCGCTCTTCCCAGCTTCAAGTCCAGGTGCCAGATATGAGTGTCAGCCTGAACATTGCGGATCCTTTCAAGAGCCTGGAGGAGTCGCAGATGGAAGCTCAGGAGGCCTCCGACTCTGACAACGAAGAAGCCATTATCAAAACCATGCAGGAGGAACAAGCTGTCGCGGAGAGGCTGATACGAACGTGCCTAGAGCAGCTCGGGGATGCGCCGGAATGGGCCGATGTCTTGAACTCGTGGACTAACAACAACCGCATGGGCCTTGCGTGGAAACGATACGATCGCCTGGAATGGATCCACGGCGCGAATGAACGTAAAATGTACGGCACCATCGCCATGTCCAAGAGCCACGATCTCGAGTTGAGGCCAAAGTCGCATTACCCTACCACGGCCGTCACGCGTAAGAAGCACAAGACATTGACCGAACCCGTCCCTATCGAAGGGTTTCTGGTCCGATTGACTAGTCAACGAGGTCAGGCAAAGAGACTAGGTCTGATGTTTCACAAACAGCTTTACTTTTCTTCGCACGATGAGTTTCTCATCTTCTCAAGACCTACCAACGCCACACCACCGCCGCCCCCGAAACTTCGAAGCATGGTGAGTGGCAGAGGCAGAGCAAATACGGCAGGTAGCGGAATCTCAGCTGCATCACTCGCGGAGAATGCTCCAGATACGTGGGAAATCGATCCGTACCCCGTTCGCGATGGGCAAGTAGAGTGGCTGAGGGAAGGTCATACCGGCACCCCCGAGTCCACGCGCCTCCACGACGAAGAAGCCGCGGACGAAGCCGCCAGAAAAGCGACCAACCTCCTCAACTGTGACGGCTACATCAACCTCGCTCACGTGCTCAAAGTCCGCAAAGCGAAGCGCGGCGCAACCGCTGCCGACGCAAACCTCGACTCGGGCTCCGACGTCGACTTTGACGACATCCACGACTCGGACGCCGGTGAAGACGGTCTCACCTCAGACCTCGACCTCGACCGCACCTTTGAACTCGTCATGCGCAACGGCCTCATCATCCGCCTCCAAGCCGCCGACCCGCCCCGTCGCAAGCTCTGGACCAAACACGTCCGCGCGCTATCCAAGTACTGGAAGTTCCGCACGCAAGCCGACATTGCGCTCCTCCAAACCACACGGGCGCGCAACCTGTCTGCCCTCAACATCGACGAGGAAGGCGAAGCGCACATTGGCCAGTTCGCCAAGAAATGGGAAGTCACGCAGTCGTACGCGTCGCCGCTGCTCTACAACATGTGCGGCATCGCCGCCTGCCGCTCCATCCACCTCAGCGGCACTTTATACCGCAAACCGCGCATCCACGCCCCCTTTACGCGGTGCTCGGTCCTCCTCGCCGCGGGGACCCTGCTCGTCTTCGCCGACACGCTGCGCTCGTCCACGGGCAAACCGCTCGATCACATCCACCACGAGCGTGTCGCGAACCTCGATCTAAGCAAAGGCTGCTACGTCTACTCGGGCCTCGTCACCGAAACCGACCTGCTCTACCAGAACCAAACCTTTGACAACAACAAACCGGGCCACCACGCTCTCCCGCGCATCTACCTCGACGACGGCGGCTGGACGAGCTCCGACGAGGACGTCATGACTACGTTTGTCGTGTGGTATGGGAAGAGCAAGAGCTGGTTTCGCAGCAGCGGCTACGAAGAAGCTCACGGCGCTCCACCCGATCCTACTAATACTTCTGGAAATGCAGATCACAATGGTGCTGGTTCTAATATTGCCACTGCTGCTACTGCAGGCAGGAAAGGAGAACAACCCCGCAAAGAAGGCAAACGCGGGAAATTGAAGAGGGTTGCTAAGCTCGGGAGTACGGGTCGCAGTCTGGTGTTTCGGGCTAGGAGTCGCGCCGAGAGGGATCATTGGGTCCTTGCTGTCAGGAACGAGATTGAGCGGTGTTGTGGGATCGGTGGGGCGCTGGGGGCTTCTTGCGGTGTTGGTGGTGGGATAGCGGGAGCTGTGGGTGATGGGGAGGATGTTAGGATTGAAGGGTAATGGGTTGGGAAGTGTGTGTTGTGTGGGGTGGGAGGGAGGTTGGTGGGATGGAGGTGGGTTGGAGGTGGGTTGGTGGGCGGGAGTTGGGAGCGTGGGGGAGAGGGACATTCTTTTCTCCCCCCCTACTTGACTCTTATTTTTTTTATTTCCTCTCCCTTCTTCTTTTCTCTTTCTTCTATTCCGCGGTTTATCAATTGTTGCAGTAAGGTAGTAGTAATATATATCTATCCCCTAATGCACATCGCGCGCGCCCTATGTAACAAATTACACTTTTACTTTCTCTTTTCTCTATTTCTTGTGTTACATTTCTTTTTCCTTTCTTTTCTATTATCTATAGTAGCTACTCCTCTTTTTAACATTTTATAATAGTATTTTTTCTATTTTAATTATTTTGTTATAGGTAGATATATGTCTTAACGTTACTAATCTTCTGCTTTTAACTTGCTGACTTAGTTTAGTTTGTTATATAATGCGCTTTTCTGGATAGATGTAGGAATGTGTGATTTCTGTTCTTTGTATACGTGCGTGTGTGTGATAGGAAAGAGAGGATAAGAAGTCAAGGTACATTTTGTAGATGCTATTTCTTAGATATGTGATACAACAGAAAAAAAAAAAGACTTCCAACAAGTTCTTGTCATGCCTCCTCCCCCACCCACCCCCTAAAAAAACTCCTTCCAAACCCTATACCAAACAAACCCCCCAACACAACCCACCACAACACTCATCCCCAAATCCGCCTCCCACCCAAACTCATTCGCCCCACCTACCCCCTTCCCCTCCACCCCCATCATCTCCACAAGCGCCGAACCCCCCGAAAGAACAGGAACAACAACCGTATCCGCCATCCCAAACCCCTCTTCAAACCTCGTCCCAGCAGCCCCCGCAAACGCCTTCGTAAGCAGCAGCGAAAAAAGCTCAAGTAATCGATATCGTGGCGCGTTGGAGAAACAAGGAAGAGTAAGGAGAATAAAGCGGTACACGGCGTGCGCGAAGATCCACTCCTTATCCACGGCATTAAAGAGGAAGATAGAAGGGTGGAGGGTGATTGTTTCCCAGCGGGGAACGCGCCGGCGGCCTTGCAGGACGATCCACACGCTCAGCGCTGCGCAGGTTAGGCGTGCGACGGCGCCGCGGAGCGTGCCGCTCGTCGGCGTGAGAACCATCATGGCGATGTTGCCGTACACGGCGAGGTTCACGTATGTTGTGAAGGGCTGCAGGTAGCGTTTTTGGGTGGGGTAAGGGAGGGTTTGGAAGATGAGGACGGAGCCTAGGCCGAGCGGGAGCTCGCAGGTGAGTTTTATGAGGGAGGATGCGGTCGAGGTTTTGTCGTAGAGGAGGATTGTTGTGCTTGTTAGGGCTACGAGGGTTAGGAGGAGGGGTTTCGCGTGGAGGGTTAGGTGGTAGGATAGGAGGAGGAGGAGGGCTATGGAGATGTTGAAGGGGATGTCGATGTAGGGGGGTTGTGGTGGTGGTGGTGGTGTTGTTGAGGGAAACATTGTTCTTTAGTTTTATTTGTTTTTTCTTATGTTTTTTTTCCTCGTGGAGAATAAACGGGGGTAGGAATTGATTGTGGTTCCTCCTGGGTGGTGTAATCTCCGGGTGGCGTTCTCTCTGGGTGGTATTCTCTCTGGGTGGTGCTCTCTCTGGATGGCGTTTTTCCTGGGTGGTGTTCTCCACGTTGTTCCTACACTCGTACTTGTTCTTTGCTTTTCAGAGGGATCGGGAATTGCCTTCGTTTCTTTGGAGATAATGTATTGTTGATGGCGATGGTAGTGATGTGGTTTGTAGTTTTCGCGGTGAGTTTTGGAGCTTCGGCTTGGTACGTGTGTCGTTGCAAGCTTAACCTGATTCTAGATGGCGTGCCAAGCTGTGCACAGGGGTTGTAGACCGTCAAGAGGTGATGGACAAGATAAATATGCTTGTTATGACGGTAAAGAGTGACACTGAGGCTGTAGTGATGGAATAGCGATAGTTGAAGATATGTGTCGTCTCAAGTCGATGATGAGATTGCGTTGGAGTCACGTGATCGACTAGTTCACCACCTGCACATGTGGGCAGTCAGCCAGCGTACTCACATGCATACCTTATGTACCTGGGTAGTTACATCTTTACCTATCTAGTATAAGAACCCTGAAAGTGTTCGTTTGTCTGGTTTTGCGTGCTTTCTTACAATTATTTCTTGTATTGACTTGTATAATTTCTGTACTAGGCACTTTATAGAATTATTGCATTCTCAGGCGGCACAAACAATTAGTGCAGAATAATACGATAAAGCTCCCTTAAGGATCGGAGCAGAATAAATGTACATGTGGATTTGTACATCCTTTTCCTTTGTATTGTACCTATAACTTTCTCGCTTTAGCCTATCGGTACATACCTATGTACATGTGCATGTAAGCTTGCGATACCCTAGCAAGCGAGCCTTGGCAGTTCGCTGTACCTACATCATCTAAACATACATTCCTCTTCCCCACCAACCTCCACCGCTGCCACAGTTCTGGGACTTTCTGAAAATGGCTATATCTAAACTCAGTGATGATCTCATCATCGAGATCGCGAAACAACTGAAACAGACTGCAGACAACAACCAGAGTCTATACGCTTTCATCCAAGTATGCCAACGTTGGAATCGTTACGGCTTACCCATGTTCTACGGCAATATTGCGATCAGCAACGAGACTCTCCAGCCTTTCACACGTTCTTTCAATGCCGCTGCACATGGTCCATCTGTTCGTTCTCTGACATTGCATATCAAACAAGACCTCGGCATCCCCCCACAGCTTCGGGCTTCGAATCCCCTTCTCTTTCCTAAGAAGGCAGATGAACCGGATTCCATCGAGAATTCACTTCCAGAAAGAGTCGCAGAATTTGTGACCCTGATTCCACATTTCAGCAATCTGTCCTCTTTTAGCCTGAAAATGGACCTGTCGTCTTCACGCTCCGTTCCACGAGCAACATTAATCAAGCTGCTGGAAGCTCTGCCAGCGAGTTGCACACATCTTGAACTGGATACAAACGCCCAGGACCATCGCGAGGAGGGCGAGGACGCGCACGTTTGTGACGCTATCCGCGACGTGCTTCCCCGCATGCAGAACGCGCGCATCCGCATCAGTGCAATGTGCTGTAAGATGTTCGGAACCAAAGACACTGCGTTGGATGAGTTCACCCCCCTCCAGCTACCAAATCTAAAATCCCTGGTTCTCAACTGCGCGATCGCGAGCGGCCTCCAAGTTCAAAGCTGTGGAGGGCTAGACTGGACGGGTCAAGCAAAAGGCCCCGATGCGGGTGTAGAGTTGGCTTGGCGACAGGTTACCTCCAGCCTTATGAACCTTGTCGCACACGACACCGAGGGAAACCTCGCCGACGCATGTATATATGCTTTGAATGCCACCCTCATCGCCGATGTCACGCAGACTACTATTCGCGCCAATCTTGTGACCCAAGAGACAAGCGCGTTCCCTATCTTGCGACTTAGTAGACCGTTTCAGGACCCCTCGTATTACTCTGTCCGAATGCTTGATGGTTCAGCACAGGTGGTCAACTTGTCCTCCCAAATTGAATCACTCGTGGAAGGACATATTTGGAGGGACATACGAGGTGGTTCCCGATTACCCACCGTGCTCTCAAAGGCAGGGCGTACTGTATTGCCATCCTTCGCATGGGGTTGTGCTGTCGTGCCGCTCCCAGGACAGACTGAAGAAGAGTGGATTGCAGAAAACAAAAGCAAAGGGCTTCCTTCTTTTCTATGGGATGAAGAAAAAGTAGGAAGGCAGATTATGCGTGCAGAGATCAGGACAGGAGATAGGTTCCTCGGGGTCGTTCCTATCAAATTAGATATTCCCGAGGGATGGGTCATAGCGCATGGGCGTCTGATTTCTGCCCCGGATTGAGATAGCTGTCTTTTGGATATTTCCTTCCACGAGAACCTAGCTGAGACTCATCGGGACTTCACTAGTTTCCCTTCTATCTAAGTTCTTTGGCAATGCTTTTATGCAAGCTGAGATTGTTCCATTGCCGACTTCTCCTGTACTCACACCTGTCATCTGAATACCATGACAATTTCAAATTTCCTCTCATGCAAAGTATTGCACATTCCGCAATTTTCTACATTCACTCATTGGTCAAGTATATCTCACACTATTGTGCTGAACAAACAGCGATTCGTATCATGGCTATTTGCAGACTAAAACACAAATCAAGTCGTCCCAACACAAGCATAAGTCTTCGACCACAATCCAGTACAATCACTCTTCGCAGCCGGATTCCATCTTATAAAGATCTCAGAACTAATCCCATGCGCCTTCGCAATGCTATCACACGTGTCATCATCCTTGACAAAATAGAACCTGCCACCCGTTAGTCCTTCTTTATCACCCTAGATTAAGAATTGCGGCTTACTTATTACAATTGCTCACCATCCCGACTTGTGTAGGCGTGGGCGTAGAGATCCCATTCCCCGTTGTTGTCGTCGAAGGTCTAGTGGTAGTTGTGGTAGGTGGTCTAAACCCAATAACACGCACGCAAACATACGCGTTAGCCCACATCTTCGAACAGTCACTTCCCACGCCTGGATTCCACTTCACAAAGTCGGAAACGCTGATGCCATTTGAGGTCGCTATTTTCTCACATATATCTCCACTGTTGACAAAGTAGAAGCGGTCGCAATCAGAGACCATGCCCGGCTGTGTGGGAAGCGGTGTCGTGACCCCATTCGTCGGCGTCGGTGTAGTCGGGGGAGAAGTAGTTTTCGAAGGCGTGGAAGTGGGTGTTGGGGTTGAGCCAATGATACCAACGCACACGTTTGTGTTTGCCCATAAAGCTTCGCAGTTGGATCCGATGCCGGTGTTCCAGGCGAGTAGCTGGGCGAAGGTGATTCCATTCAGTGCGGTGATTTCGCTGCAGCCTTGGTCTGGTTTTACGAAGTGGAATTTGTTGCAGTTGCTGACCATGCCTGGTTGGGTGGGCTGGGGTGTTGTAATGCCGTTTCCTGCAGATGATGTTGGGGATGAAGATGGTGTTGACGTTGGTGTTGGTGTGGGGGATCCCGTGGGCTCGTTGAAGGCTTCTACGCAATAGGATTGGAATGAGTTGTAGCCCGCGCAGTTACTGCCGATTGTAGGATTCTGTTATGGGTTGAATCAGTGCTCTTGCACGTTAGTGACTGTAGATGGATGGATGCTTACCCATCGCAGAAAGTCCTCCTTGGAAATGCCATAGAGTGCAGGAACATCCGCGCACGCAACAGAGTCATCGGCGTTATCATGGTACCATGTACAGAACTTCGATGTAGACGGGTCGGTGAAATACTGTGGTGTGTCACCTCGTACTCTGAGGAAACTAGCAGCATCTGCGCTGCGAGCGAATGCCGCGAAGGTGACAATGATCCCGTACGCACGCATGGTATTTCAGAGTGTCCTGAATATCAATTGCATTCAGCACAGTAAAATTACAACTGTTCTACAGCTTTGGGTAGATTATAATAAACTCATAGTATTGCTATCTGACTGTGTACCTTGTCACGAAAAAAGGCAACCAATATTGCCAAGCAATGTACGCTGACCACACACTTTTGGAGATGTAGGTAGAAAACCTGTATATTAACAATCTGGCCAAAGTAGGCAATCGAGCTTACTACTATAATCCCTCGTAAAGTCATCTATTTCTCCCGCGTTTGTTCACCGTCTAGATGTTGCACGACATTGGAATTAGCCGGCTTACATTGCGCTTCCCGTTCCGGTTTGGTTGCACTGTCCAAAGGTAGGCTGACTGCAAAGACAAAGTAGTCAGCTCGTATTATTATGTCCCTCGTCCCTCATCATCTCCTGATCTTGTTCTAGATCATGCGGGCTTAGAGTTTGTAGACTTACCAACCAAGATACTGTGAACACTCGTATTCAGTATCACCACTATTCAATCACTGTTAGATAAACGGTACGCCATAAGTGTAGTAATGGGGCGTACCAATATCCAGCCGCAGAGCAGCAGCTTCCAAACTTGGAGCCTTTGCACACGAATGCATCATTATAACCACACGTTCCATCGGGACTCACTCCTCCTGGACTTGTGGTGGGGGTTGGTGTTGGGCTCTGCGAAGCACTTGTCGTTGAAGCCTCTAGACACGGGCCGCTTTGGCACCCTGTTGCGCAAAAGGCTGTAGCGTTACCGCATCTGATTTCAACAGTCAGCCATAGTGAATATCTGATTATGTCGGGATGTGGTGTCAAATTCACCGACTTACTGTCCGTTCCCCCCGCAACAAAGCCCAAACTTGGGCGGGCAAGGGAGGTAATCATGCTCTCGACCGCACTTGCCATCAGTTGAGTATCTTCCACCTTCGCATGAGCCTTCTTGACAGTTGCCTTTTCCGCAAAAGTCTTCGCCTTTGCCACACCTATTTCTCTAGTCAGCTCTGTTCTCTTGAGTTGTCGAGTATGACCGATGCCGTACTTTCCGCTGGGATTGCAGCAATCTCCAAACGTGCTTCCCACACAGGATGCAGAATAGTTGGCTTGAATTCCACAGTTCCCATCAAGTGAAGTCGGCCTTGTGTTTGAATCTGTGTATTTTCTTGAGCATAGTAATTTTCTGAATTCGAGATTTGCAAATTCACTCACCCCGAAACACACAATAGGTTTCTCCAGGCTTGAAGCCGTCGCAACCCTCTCCAAGCTGCGGGTTTGCATATAAAAACTCCTCTAGCGTGATTTCAAACTGAGCAATCACATCTGCACAGCCAGTCCAGACATCAGTCGTGTAGTTAAGTCGACATGGAGGAAGTGAGGTTGCTTGTCTGGCAAACACCAGTATGGAGTCGGCTTCAATGTCGTGAAAACCCGCGATTGTCCCCCAAATTAGCATCGCAATAGCCAGAACACTGGAAGTCTTCATTTCAAGTTTGGAGCTGTGGAATGACTGTTGGGGGTTGTTCTGAGGTTTTCGATGCGCGTCGATTAAGCTGTGGTTTTTGAACTTGAACAGAACTGTACCAGATATTCTCTTCTCAACAAGTAGGTTGATGTAGGGGAGGTTTTCTTTCTTCGGCGGAATGATTCTCCGATGAAGTTCCAGTTGTGAAAGGTCAAAGGTCAATATTGGATCTTAGAGTTACTTCTGCTCTCGAAAACTGCAGATCTCACTCTCACCCAAAGTATACCGATCATGTATTGTATCTTCTAAGCTTATGAGTTGAGGGACTGGGCTCGGAAACCGAATTCAATCAAATCTAAAGTCTAGATCACTCGATAGATTGACATGTTACACCGGTCATGATCACCCTCAATGTTGGGGGCCACAGAACATGCAGTAATTGTGGCTGCCAAGTTATCAGGCAAACTTGCATGACGTCCCACGTTGATTGCAAATGCATGTGAGATGCAGTCTTAGATAACCGTGAACGAGGGTATACATTGATTGTAAGGCTTTGCGTGATATATTTTCGGGCACTCAATTGAACGTGTATCTCGCGACTGTAAGCTTGGTACCAGTTCAAGCTTCTCTAAATTACGTGGCACCAACATAGTAGCTCTCACTCATCAACCTTTTCTGTGAGTTGTGGTGAGGTCTTCGAGAGCTCTCTTTTTATCTTTTCTTCAAACCCGAGGAAAATCCTTCGAGTCGTACGGCACCATGAAGAGCAAAAAGACCATAGCCGACACGGCTATGACCCTGTTTTTCCACATAATTATACTCTTTGTGACCATAACAGATGCTCAAATCTCAATGGTTCAAGGGCAAGCCCAATTCAGCGGAACTGCCGTTGCAACAGCACCCGCATCCCGGCCGACTCTCATCTACAACTGCATGAAACTCCCCGCCATCTGTCAAAATGTTGCGAGACGCAACCAACTCTATCAAGACTACGATCTCCATTTCGACAAGAATGCGAACAGAAAAAGGAGTCGTAGAAACACAGCTTGTCCGACGCGATGGAAATTCACACATTCATGTCCAGAAGGCAATCAACCTGATACAGTGGGCCAGGGCGACGTACTCGGCAATGGAGCATTTGCAGCTAGACCTTATGGACGTACCGCAGGTGCGACTCAAGGCTCTGCTGGGTGGAACAGGATCGCAGACCAATTCGGAGCTTTTTCAGGCATGATGTGGACATGCGATGAGTGGCCGGCAGCATCGTAAGCGACCCTTCACATTACAATTCAACGATTTTCTGTGTTCAGAATAGTTGCTCCCCATTCTACTCTGAACCTCCTTTTATTTGATGGGATTATTGCACTATTCACAGTCTATTATTATGATCAGACCCATTCAAGAAGAACATAGGGCAGTCTCGCCTCTTGAGTGGTTATAGACTGGCCATAATCTTTAATCAGAAACTGAGTAGAGCAGGTTCATCGAAGGTGGTGTTAATGCGAATACGTATTGTGCCCCGCAAAATTCGAAATGCGCTCGCCAGCCCGGTATACGTCGTGACTCGGAACAAGACTTTCAAGGTACACTGAAATAGCGCCTACAAAGTAGTACGAGACTATTAGTAACATCTACTAGGCCGCGCACACGGTATTCTACGCCGAAGCACACCAGACAGTATCTTTCGATTTCGATTCTCAACGACTGCCGCAGGTGGGAGAGGGGACCCAGCCACCTATGTCGAGTGGATTGAGAACGGGGCGCCCAGATGGACAATTGTTCAGAAGAGAGATACATCTGGAGCTGAAGATGATTACAACGTAACTCTAGTAGTCGACTCATACAATCCGCCCATTCCGGATGAGCCCTTCCGGGTCAGGCATAGCATGCATCTCAATGGAACAGAATCGGTCGAGTATTTTCCATTGTCGCATGAAGAGGTCAGTTGTAGAATGTTATTACTATAATTCGGTCTCTGACATTCTCCGTAGCGAGAGTTGCATCGCAGAAGTTTGGAGGAGAATAATTTCGTCCGCCGACAAAGCGATGAAGCCCCACTCAACGAGTCGATGCCTTCGACTCAGCAACAGTTTGAACGACTTCCTCAGGCGCCCCCTTTACCTATCATTGATATTGCTCGCGAGTTTATAGCGGAGATGGATGGCGAGTTACAGTCTAATTCCTACATTGAGCGTGTGCTGGAGAACAGCGATGCAGGCAATCGCCCTCCACCGAGTAACGACACAGCAGCTGCAAAACGGTGGTCTTCCTATACTGAAAGAGATCAGGATGGACAGACTACGTCGTCCAATCGTCCGTCGCTTGTAGAAGCTTTTCTGGCTAAGCGACAGCAGAAGCGACAGTGTGATCCCTCAAGCCCCTGTCCAGATGATAGTTGCTGCACTAAAGCTGGCCGATGTGGTTTCGGTAAAGCAAATTGCGACGCGTCTGTTTGCATCTCGAACTGTAAGTTCATCATCGGAAATGGGATTTGCAATTTGGTTACTGATGTATCCGTGAAGGTAATGCGACAGCACTTTGTGGCCGAGATAGTGAGGGTGGTAAGGTGAAATGCCCTCTAAACGTTTGCTGTTCAGATTCCGGTAAGTAAGGGTGTAATGCTATGGCTCGAGTTTGAAGACATCTGTGGATACTCACAACTCGCAATAGGTTACTGCGGAGTTGAGCAAGACTATTGTGTCGGCACTCCAAATGTACCCTGTCAGCAAGGCTTTGGCTCTTGCCAGGTCATCTCACCACCTTCATGTGGTGGAAGCTCGGCTGCAGGTCGGAGTATAGGCTACTATCAATTAGCCAATGTTCGGGACCGGCAGTGCAATCGGATCAGCCCAAAAGACATTGACACCAAAGGACTAACGCATCTCTACGCCGCTTTTGCGACAGTCAATCCTTCTACCTTCGAAGTCAGCCCTGCCCACCCGGATGATCCGGCACTGTACAAGGAATTCACGAGTCTTAAATCATCTACACTCAAAACATGGATTGCTATTGGAGGTTGGGATTTCAATGACCCTGGCGCGACACGCACAACATTTAGCGATTTGTCTAGGACGGCGGCGCGACGTTCAAGATTCATCACTTCCCTGAAGAACTTCTTGACTACACATGGCTTTGAGGGAGTTGACATAGACTGGGAGTAGTAAGTTCTTTAATCCCATTTAACCAACACCCAGAATTGAGCATTAATGAGTTTTAGCCCAGGAGCGCCAGACAGGGGTGGAGTCAAAGAAGATACCGACAACTACGTTGCATTACTGAAGGAGATGCGCGCAGCTTTCGGAACCCAATTCGGCATCAGCATTGCCATCCCATCTAGCTATTGGTACCTCCGATGGTTCAAACCAAAAGAGATGGAACCATATGTCGATTGGTTTGGTGTGATGACTTACGACCTGCACGGCCCGTGGGATGAAAAGGTGTCACAAATCGGTAAAGTCGTGCTAGGCCATACTAATATTCCCGAGATCTACAATTGGACCCAACCTCTTTGGTATGATACAGTGAACCCCGCCAAAGTCAACATGGGCCTTGCGTATTATGCCCGAGGATATACAGTCTCTGATGCAGGTTGTAACGCACTTGGCTGCAGCTGGAGTGGCACAAGCAGGCCCGCGCCATGTACAAACTTTGGTGGTGTAATGTCTCTCCAAGAGATTGAAAACCAGATAATTCCACAACTAGGCGTTCAACCCCGCTTACTAGAAAAAGACATGATGATGGAACTTAAGTGGGGAAACCAGTGGATTGGTTATGATAACAAAGAGACTATTGCTATGAAGAAGGCATGGGCGAGTCAACATTGCTTTGGTGGTACTATGATATGGAGTGTTGATTTCTACTCGGGATCCGGCAGTGGAGATACTCCTGACGGTGGTGGCTCAACTGATCCTGGGAATCCTGGCCAGGGGAACCCGGGGTCGGGGTCAGGAAACGTATACATTGACCCAAGTATCTACAAAGACCCAAACCCAGTAGTCAACTGTGTGCCTCCTTGCACACTTATTCTACCACCACTTCAGCTATCTACCGCTACGACTATCAGATTTCCGCTTTATACGACGTCTTTGGATGTGGCTTGGAGCGCTTCAACAGGATGGACTAGTATTGTGCAGACAACAGTGTTGACTATACCCCCAGTAAGACACCATCCTGGATTTCTTTTCCATTCAAGCACAGCTAACACTCACAATTTTAGGTGACAACCACAGCAATCGAAGTATGGGCCTATACGGTAACGGACACAAGGACGTCTTCAGGTGTTTATTCAACTTTTGATATCACACCCAGTATCAGGCCAACTCCATTCACTATAACGAATGACCCCGATCCTCTTCATGAATCCACCTCTCATCCTGTAGTAACGCGGGTCATCACCCCACCGCCTTACCCATATACGTACACTCCACCAGTGGCACAATCTACTACAACGACAACCTCAAGCGATGCCGCTCTATTCGTATTATTTCCAAAGGCTACATGGAAACCGGGAAAGCCTGGACCATTGTGTAAGATCAGTAAGTACCAGGCCCACATCCTCACATCATCAAGTCACAGTGCCACATATACTCATTTTCATCACCAGACTGTGGCAAGCCATGCTTGATTTTCTGCAATCGTCCTTGCCTTCTCGACTGCACAGACGGCCCAAACGACTTCCCAGACCCCAAAAACCCCAATCCACCTCCCCGCCCAAAGCCCAACCCGACACCTCCAAGCAGGCCCAAGCCAACAATTCCCGATACCCCCGAACCAACCCGCAAACCCAATACCAACGGCGATGATCCGAACGACGAAGAAGAAGAGGACAACGACCGTGAATGCGCGCTGGAATTCGACCTCCCGATCCCAACCTTCCGCCCTGACCCAACGTCAACAAGCATCAAACCTCCTCCGGCACCACCCACATCATCCCCACCGCCACCTCCAGAACCCCCGAAACCAAACCCTAGTACCGAAAAGAGAAAATGCTACGATTCTGGCGCTACAGTTACTCGCGGTATGATGATCGACGCGCTCAACGCGTTTTGCTCAGCCTACGAAGGCACGGTCCTCGATGCTTCGAGACCAGGTACGCAGCGTACGCTCACCAACGACCCTGGATTCGGCGCGCATTGTATGTGCTGCGATCTTGGCTGCTTCGATATGATTCACATCAGTGTGACAGTCATCAATGGGTGTAAGTTTGCGGTTGGCGGGAAGGGAAGTAACCAGGAATGCGGGAGGATTTTGAGGAGAGCGATTGATGAGTGCGATACTTCAAGCACTGAGTTTAAGCAAGGAGGGACTGTAGAGAGCAATTGTGCGCAATGGCGGATCGATCCTGATGTCTATTGGGGGTGAGGGATTAGTAGGGTGGGATGGAGAGCTGCAGGTGGCAATTTTTGCGGCCCGAGACGGTGATCGTCTTGTTTTGAATGTATTCGGGATGTTACTTCATGTGATCTCCAATTGACTCTGTCCGCTTCTCGGATGGGGATGTTGGAATCATCTGCAATATCCTAAATATTGTCGTTCACTGGTGACGCCTCTAAGTACTTTTGTTATTCCTAATGTTCGTGCCGCATCTCATATGCGATAGGCCACCTCAACTCAAGTACTCGAACACAACTTAATCTCTTGTCGTCCGAGGCTGGCACATACATCGTATGGAACCCAAGATCATATCTCGGTATCGTACTCCTTCACCTGATATTGGTTGGAAATAACAGGAATATTTCTGGGCATTGACTGCGACTCTGCTGCTAACTCAAACTTGGGCGCGCAAAACCCTTTCCAACTTGTAGAGTGTACCAATCAACGGATCAAGAAGGAAAATTAAGAAGCATAGAACCAGTGAATGTAAGACAACATTACGTTGGGCTGCAACTCGCCAAGCTGCTGACTGCAGTACACTGATATCTGATTATCAATCAATCTATGAGACGTATGTGTACGTCGTGCATGGACATAAGAGATCAACATATCTCCCTCTCCATAGGATGTGTCACAAACACACGAGGCGCCCAATAAAGCCGTGCAGGAGAAGATTACCAGTACATCACAAAAAAGGACATTCAAGTCTAGCTGTAGACGCCACAACAATCTGATAGCAACGCGATAAGCGATAATTCACACCTCTGTCTACACAAGCTCCATGATTCGCTCGAAATGACTGCATACCAAGGAGAGAATCCTCTACGGCTGGTGTAGTTCCGCGATAAAGTGAAGATGACAATGACGTTGTAGGAGAGAAGAAAATAGAGGCGAATGATTATTCGGAAGGAGGATGTCCATCATTGCTATTCTGGGACGGGGCCATCTCAGAAGGGGCCGACGGGGCTGTTACAGCCGGAGGAGCCGCATCGCGAGAAATTAGTCGATCGGCCTCGCGCTGGACATACATTTTCAGTCTGCCATCGGGGCAATCTGAATGGCGTCCAACAATCATCATTAGATCGCGCATGTCGCTCTTGAGGAACTCCACTTCGGCCTTGAGCTGCTTGTTCTTGCGCTCCATGTCGCGAGCTGTTTCGACGAGCTCCTGCTGCTGCATTCGCTGCTTGCCTCTGCACTTGCTGGCCGCTTTTCTGTTCTTCTCGAGGTATATAGCACGCGCGGAGCCGGGTTCGACGTTTTCGGACTGGCGACGTCTGCCGGTTGGCTTGGCGGTTGGCGGAGGAGATGATGGCGTTGCTTCCCCTGTCCATGTGTTGTGGCGCCGGCGCTTGATGGACGATTGTTCCAACGCGTTAGGCCCGGAGATGGAACCAAAAGTTGAAGACGTTGCTGAGTGCAAGCCAGTGTCGGTCGAGAAGCCTGGACTGGAATTGAAGGATGGTTCGAATCTGGTCTGTAGAGGAGAGATCGTGTCCGTTCTGTTGTGCGTTGACAGCTCGGCGCTGGGTGTGTTGAGTGCCGTGAAACCTGTCTGAGACGCGTATATATCGTGTCCATTAAACTGCTGTGCTTCAGGTGATTGATTCAACTCTCCTCCATGCGTGAAGCCGTCGTAAGTCGGCATGGATGCATCAATCGATGCCCGAGCAATCCTTGCATCGTTTATGCCATGTCTCTGTGGAGGCCCCCGCCGTTGGTTGTGAAGTTCTGGAATGGAAAGCTCAAGGTAGTTGGCGTTTGGTCGCTTCGTAAACGAGTGAGATGCGTTTCCCCATTCGTTTGGGCTGCCGAAGAGGTTGGGCATGTCAGATGTCATCGCCATATTGAGATCAGGTTGATAGTGTGGAACGTGAGTAAGGGTCTCCATCTGTGCTAGGCACGCAATTGTATTGGAGGCTGAATAGGACACTAGTAGATAAGGGAGGCCAACTGTTGTGGAGAGACAGCTGGAAATACAAATTTAGGATGGATGATCATAAGTGTGCTTGTAATGACAGAGGAAATCCGCCTTATAAGGCCGTTCGGCACACATCAAGCGTGATATGCGTTGCCCATAGGAGTGTGAAGGGCCCATCCACTCCGTCATTTACGGAGGCAAGACCGACCTGTCTCAACGGTTTCTTAGCACCCAAATCAAATGTAGTACTGCATGGCGATGCATACACGGATTCGGGACTCCTCTCTATCGACCTATCGAGCGTAGCCGATCAGTTCCAGACTAAGAGTCTAGTTCCACCGTCGGGCTGTGGATGATCCAAAAGCTTAGGCTATCCCCGTGTAAGCATCGTGGGAGTCGGTAAACTTAACCGCCTCTTCGACATGGCGCCCTTAACACTCTGATCCTCCTGTCGGCCAACTTTGCCGATGCTATAAGCAGCGTAAAAGCAATCTCTCTTTCTCACTTACAGGCTCATGGATATTCCCCGTTGTTGCAGCATGCAGTCCATGGCCAGAGACGCAGGAAAATAGGCTCACAGGGGCTTTTTCGAATATGCATTCTCGACAAGTCGATCAATACCTATTTAGCAGTAAGTCGTCGAGTGGGTTGAGATGCTGGTCTTTGCTAGCGAGGAACATGGGAAGGACAGGGCAGCGGGAACCGCGGTGCGATCTGTTCACCAACTCGATGTTGAGTTTGATAGAGTTTCCGTCTCGACTTGGACGATAACAAGTTTCCAAGGTTGAAAAAGAGGGTTTAAGAGTGGTTCAAACTAACTGCTTCAAGGTTAGATTGGTAAGTTCAGGGTGCATGCAACGTTGGCATGGGCTTATTTATGTGATCTCGAGCGACGTCAACACCATTTTTCACTGCTTAATGAACTTTTTTAATTTCGTTTATATGACTTTGACGTGCTTTGCCTCTCCTCTCTGCTTTTTTCAATGTTTGATCTGCTCATATAATGGCTAATTGAAAGCAATCAAGGACCAAACTATGCCTTTGATTCCAATGGATCTTCGACGTTCCCCAACTAAAGCATGCGATTTCTTTGGATTTCCGCAAGATTGGAAACATTCAATAAATCTATCCCAATTCTGCAGTGACAAACCCCGCGTCTCCTTGACTAAGAAGGCCACGGCTCTAGCTGTCTTTCCGGGCCGTCAATAGTACTCACGATGGCCCTGCATCCCCACCCTATAGCCCCTCCAAACTGAGGAACATGAAAGTACTACACACAAGTTAGAGTCATCACAATAGCCAGTTTGCGCGAGAGACAGCTGCTACACGTTGTAGCATTGCGCAGCTTAACGGCTATGTTCGTCATCCATTGGCGCACGCCATGCTCTAAATTCCCAAGCACATTCCTAGTGTCGATTAAACTTCGACCCCCCACAATTTCTTCCAAACTCCAAGGGCCGGCATGTAGATCATCCCTGTCGGCCTGAGTACTGTCCAGTCAACGCCCAGTAACGATGCCGCGGCAAGTACAAAATCGCCGGGAGCGGCAGGGTCCTGAGAGGAGCTTATGGTTGGCAAGAAACGGACTCACAAGTCCAATTCACTAGTATGTGGTTCACGCTCGAGATATGAAGGTGCATGTGTCAATCTCTAGGATGATGCAAGGTGTTGGGGAACGAGAATAACTATGGCGTCGTCGATAAAGAGGAACCGAAATCCGTCCATCGGCGCGCCCACACAAACGCATGGAGATCGAACATTTCTCAAAACCCATGGGGGTGGTTGCGGGGGGATGTAACGCGCGTGTCTACATGCCATGACGTTTGTACCCAGGATATCGATTCTCGACACCAAACTACTACCAAACAACGTTTACGACTACCTAGAAGAATAGCCGGTGACTGAATGGGAACAAGCATGCACAACGGGACTATGGTACTGTCCCCTCATTCAATTCTCGCTCCAATCTTTCATCGCTCCTCTCTCTCAACATCCCGCGCACCACCATCCTTCTTTTGACCACCCAACCCCAATGAGCCCATCAATCCACACTACACTTCCACGACCAAGACCGCGCTCCCCTCTTCCAGCTTCATACTAGACCAACCCTTCCATCAGCTCCCGCATCCCCCATCCAACAAAACCGCCCCGTCAACGAACCATCTCCACATAACCTACAAACTACGCATGCTACCCACGCCGCCGTCCCATCGACCAACAAGCAGCGTGCCCACGATCCCAAACCGCATTCGTCCCAGCCGATCAAACATAGCGTTCCACGTTTGAACCACACCACACCCCTCACCCACTCGTTCCATCGCAACGTTGCCTTCGTTCCCCTCTTGCACCCCCCACAACCGGAAATAGTCGTCAGCCACCCAAAGTTTTCGGTCGCAATTCTTTCTCCTAGCGAAGCCGAACCTTCACTCCAGACTGATCTAGCGGTTTTTTTCTCTGCTGGAGACGCATGCATGTGTTCTACCACCGAACTGGTGGCTTGCTGCAGAGCTGATGGCTAGTTGAGGGGTTGGTAAGTTGAGGGCGTAACTGTAGCATTGCTACCTATCGTGATCGCGATCGTATGTCCCCTCTTTTGCCAACCTTTTACGCGAGTGTAAAAGATGAGGGGGGAAGTTAGCGTTGGTTATGAATCTGTGCTTAGGGGTTCGATGGAGGGATATCCCGCCGACTACCGACCTATCGCTGTTGAAACGCTACGATGGAGTGAACTTCCAACAAGTAAAAACTCTCTAGACATCGTAGACTAGGGTGTGGATCTGGAGTTTGATTCGTTTACAGACTGTAGGTGTCGTTTGCTTGACTCTCCTGGGAGCATGGGGTGTTGAACGGTGCACGTTCCTCTTCTCCGCTCGGTTTGCAAGAATCCCTACGCACAGCTTGATGCCTGAAGTTGAGCTCCGCAAATCTACTGCTGCTTATCATTGATTGGATTTGAACCCTTCATCACTGGTCTCATTCTAGCTTTAGCTCCTTCCTACGTAGTTTCTCATTTGCTAAGTGTAGTAATATAGAATGCCGATCTATCAACGAGATTTTCTAGATCATAGACTTCAAAAGTAAAGGCTTCTCTTTTGCCGTGCAATCTCCTTATTTCTCACAGAGATAGGCTTTACAGCTTGCATCCACACCGTAGTCTGCTAGTCTTTCAGTGCACAGACATCAAGGATGCCATAAATTCTCATCTAAATCTAGCCAATATTCATGGCCAAATAATATATCATTATAAAAATTTGTCTCTATCAATTTAAAAGAAATACGGTAATGACTGTGATGAAAACAAATGAACTACCTCCCCCACCCCTCCCCTCCAGAGTCCGGACAGCCCCAGAAACACGCTAAGATCGCTTTAAGAAAGAAATGGAAGTGCTCTTTTCTCTTGATACTCCGGAGGCGCCCCCTCTTCGTACGCTGGAGGCGAAAGATCTCCAGGAGGTGCTTGACCTTCGGGATAATCAGGGATGATCGGGTGGTCTACCGGCGGTGGATACGGTGGGGCTGAGTCATCATCGGGGATGCGGTTCACGGGGGGCTCCGTGTAAAAACCTTCCTCCTCAGGCTCTTGGGTATATGGTGGGGGAACTGGACCATCTGGAATCTGTATACCCTCATCTCCTGGGTGAGTATCTTCGGGATTTCGAGTTGGGGCGGGAGGAAGGGAAGAAGTTTGAGTGGGGAGGTCTGTATATGGTGGAGAGTTGTCTTCGGGAGCTTGAGTCGGGACGGGAGATTCAGATGAGGTTTGAGTCGGAAGGTCCGTGTATGGCGGAGGGTCATCCTCTGGAACCTCAGTTTCGATGGGAGCTTGGCTTGAAGAGGTCTGAGTCAGAATGACACTTGAAGAAGTCTGGGCAGGAAGGGTACTGGAACTGGTCCGAGCGGAGGAGCTTCTAGACGAGCCCTGAGTGGTAACTCTGCTGGGTGAGCTTTGAGTGGACTGCCCGTTGGATGAAGTCTGAACAGAAGAGATTCTGGAAGAGCTTTGAGTAGAGGAGCTCCGAGTGGAATCTCTGCTAGATGAGCTTCGAGTGGACTGTCCGTTGATTGATGTCTGGCTAGAAACTCTGCTAGACGAACTCTGTGTAGCCTGCACGTTTGATGAGGTACGACTGGAAGACACTCTAGAAGAGCTTTGGGTGGATTCCCTTTGTGTAGAATATCCTTGCGTAGATGCTATCCTGGAAGAAGACTGCGTGGAAGATCTGCTAGACGAGCTCTGGGCGGATGGCCTGCTGGACGAAGACTGTGTTGATGAGGCTCGCGTGCTAGAAAATTGAGTAGAAGTCACTCGAGCGCTGGAAGATTGGGTCGTAGGCGGTTTGGTGCTCGCAGATTGAGTAGTTGGCGGTTTAGTACTACTAGCTCGAGTAGTAGGTGCACGACTTGTGGCAGCTTGAGTAGTAGGCGCTCGAGAATTACCTCCACCCTGACCTCCGCCCTGACCTCCACCATTTCCACCCGATCCACCGCCTCGACCCCTATCCTGCCTCTTCGAGACAGCCGCAGCCTCTTGCTCAGAGCCTTGCATAGCTTCCTCAAGTGCATTCCGAATCGCTTCCTTGATCAGAGGCCCGAAGATATTGCCCAATCCGCCCCGGGGATCTCGCTTAGCCACTCCAGCAGCTTCAGAGTCTTCCGAGCGAGCAACATTTGGCACCACACCCCATGTCTGAACCGGCGCTGGTGAAGAATAGACGTTCTGTCCTACTTCCTGCACTTGGATGGATTGCGTGGGCGCTGCAGAGCGAGAGGCGTAGGTTACCAGCCACCCTGGAGATCTCGACGTCGAGGTGTAGGAAGAAGTAGATTGCTTGCTCGTAGGTGGTGCGCGATCGATGAGGGGTGCACCTACGACTAAGGCCGGGAGCAAGAAAGGGGTGATTTTCATGGCGTGGAACGCTGGACACTGGTTTGCGTTTGAGTATTGTCGGTGGGAAGGTAAACAAAAAAGTGGATTTCTAAGTTGTAACGACTGGCTCTTGCGAAGAGAAAAGAGTGGATGGGGTAAAGAATGAAGTGAAGTTGATGCTAGACTATGAATTCGCTTTGGAGAGACATATTTATATAGAAGAAGCACTGAGTTCAGGGTGAGTACTAATACTGGGTCTTCGTCCATGCTCAATCTCAAGTTCTACGACACTGCCGGACTTGATGAAATGTCAACATTCGTCAGCCTTTCTTTGCCGCAAGTCTTCATTGCTGATCCTCAGGAACATTGATCAAATTTCAAAAATATCATCGCTTGTTAACTTTTCCTGTTATCTAATTCTACCCACAACACTTCGAAATCGCCCATATTTTTTTCTTGGGGAAATCCTGTCTTCGAGAGATTATTCGGAAGGACTGCATTGGCTATTTTACGAAGTTTTTCTTTTTATTCCCTACAGTGGGAAAGCAGGATCGCATCATTACCTCGCTCTGAGTCCAATTTGGTGTTGATTACTGTTTGCAGTGCGTCGTATATGTTGACCCGATCAGGTAGGCTAGTTTGAGCCAAGTATGATTATTAAGCGCGCGCCTTGTGCTTTGCTCAACGGAATTTTCACGATACGGAGACTGTATCGCTTGTTTGGAAGATAATAATCAAAGTTCTAGTTGATCTATACACGTTCTTGGGCTTTATTTTTATATGGTGATGGGTTGCTTCTGAGCCCTATCTAGTTGTGGCGTAGATACCCTGCAAACTCACAATACCGTGGGCGAAAAGTAATTGAAGTTGATGTGTGCCGACTTTGAGATATCGGAGTTGAGTTATTCAAACTTTTTTTATCGCTGTTATTTGCGATAGCAATGACATGTCTCGTGATTATTCATGAACAAAATGCCGGCTGGCTTCTACTTTCGGTGATGTTCGTAAAGTACGACTCAAAACTGGTTATGATGACGATGCTGACGATGATGAAGAACTGCACATACCGTTCCTATTTTTGCAACTATTCATAGTAAACACATACCTTTCCAACGCCGCGTATTATTAGAAAGTGGGCTGTGGCAAGAACTTGATTTTTGAAATAAGTTAAAGGTGGATATGGGATTTGTAGCCCACGAGGGAGAAGCGCCGGTACCGCAGTATCGTTCGAGCCAGACTGATAGCATTCCGATGAACCATACAAAGTGATCAAGTGATGTGCATTAGCAAATGCAGTGAATTGATAATGTCAGAGTAGAGCGAGTTTAATAACATCAAAGCCCACCAACGAACGTCCGTAGGTTGACAGCAGCCCCGCGAACAAAATCTCTTCTATTGCAGCATCATTTCGATGATTCAGGAGAAAGGCCAGCCACGGCGCTTCCCACAGTAGCCGGATCCCCAGTCGTCCTGATAACCTTAACCCTCCACTTCTGAATCTTCCACATCCCATCCCCCTCATCCTTGACGAGATCAATATCATACAAGCTGTACCCCGTAAACGACGTCTCCTCCATCTTGTACGCATTCTCGGGCTCCACATGGTAAGACACAGTGTGGCAGGTCAGGGACGCCGTGTTGGCGCTCTTTAGTTGAACGCGAACGTTGCTGGTGATGTGCATGGTGACGAGCTCGAAGACCCGCTGCAAGTGCGTGTTTACGTTATCCCAGCCCTGAACGTTCATAATTGGCTCAGCGACAAAACAGGTTTCTTCGGATTTGGACATGCTTGATTCCCAGAGCGGGCGGTCGTTGCTGTCGAGGCCTAGGATGCAGCGGTGGAGGGCGTCTTGAACGGCTTCGCGTTCGGCGAGGGCTTCGGCTGTTTGTGGGGTCGACATTGTCTTGTGAGGAAGTTAACGAGGATAACTTATTTGATAGACTTTATATGGTAGATGTGAAGATGTTGTGTTCTGATGCTCGTACACAGCTATGATGGCCACGTTTTATAGTGTTTTTTGAGCGGGTTTATCGGACTTAGCGAAGGCTGCAGATGCGGGGGTTCCAAGAGCCTCTGTTTGTCTCGTGCTTGGAAGCGGGCGTAAGTGGATCCGCATAGAGACAGTAGAAGCAAGAATTTACGTCTATCGTGATGCCAAATGATACAACGATAGTACTCGCACGGAAAAGGTGGGTGCTGATTGGCCAATAGATGTAGTGAGATTGCTAGTCGGAAAGCGTGATATCTGATTGGATAGTCTCACCAAAACTTTCGTCCGTTGGATTACGGTATACCATCTCAATGATACTTCTGCTATGCTCTGGTGATGCTGACGGATATGAAGATGCTGGATTTTTGCACACCGCTGACAATTGATGTGGAAATTCCAGAATCTGCATAATTCACGTGACAGTGGTACTTTGTTGCTGTTTACATACTACTCCAGTATCCCGATTTCGGTGGGGAAGTCAGCAAATGGTTTTCCCATACTTCCGGAAATTCGTATAGAGTTACCTTATGTTGTCTGACATTGAGTTAAGAGGGGACGCTTAGTACAATGTGTAAGCTGATCCTTCTCACCAGACCTCCACAGGCTCCCCTCCAACCAGTCACACACTATAACACCACCACCGCCATAAGAACGTCAAAATGATTAGACATATATCAATCGCATTCCTTGCCATGAGGCGAATTTCTAATGCTAAGGAGAGACAACTATCTCCAACCAGAGCCCGGCACTCTGGCAGAGATCAAAAGAACGTGAAGCTCCAGCAGCATCTGCCTTCACTATATCCCTCCACACCTTCTCTACCAACACCATCTCATATACCCCCCTTCATCTCCCCCACAACTCTCTCTCAAGCTCTCACACATTTTCATCTCTCAAGCTTACAAAAACTTGGCAGACTTGACCTGCTGAGCAAAACAGTTCAACTCCTTCGGCGCCAACTCAAAGTGTCGCCCACTCTCATCGCACCCAGGCTCAGAATACACCTTGACTAACCCAAAACATGAGCATCTCGTCTCGATTTGTTGTGGATGAGGAGATTGAGGGTTAACTTACGCGTGCGAGTCGCAGTGTTGTTCAAGAACCCAATGCTGCCGTATGTCGCGGCAACGTTGACTGCAATGCAGTCGTTTGTGTTCTGGGGGAACACGACATCCTCGACCCAGTCGCCGTGGCAGCCGCCGTCGGGGTAGAAGCGCGCGTAGATTGTGGGGGTTGCCTGGCGGGGGAGGACGGGGGAGCCGGGGGCGGCGAGGACGGCGGTGGTGCCGGTGAGGAGGGTGAGGAGGGTTGTGTATTGCATTTTTGCTGGATGTAGGTGATTTTTTTCGAAGATTGGAGTGTTGATGAAGTTTGTTGGTTGGTTGGTTGATTGTTTGCGATGGGGGGTGGTGTTTGACGGTGGGAATTGACGAGCTTTTATAGCTTTGGTTTGGTGGGGGGGTGAGCTTGGGAAGTGTGTCAGGTGAAGGTTGATGTGATGAGTTTGTGGCGCTTTTGGTGTAGATGGGGACGATGCTCTCACTCATCAGCGATCTCGTGTTGTCTTGACGAATCGTGGCGGGGAGAGAAGAGGTTTTGCGACTGAAATCACATCTTACTGTGTTCTTTTATCCACTTGAGGCATACGTAAGATATGAGCTCAACGAATCATACCCATAGCAAGGACCATGACCAACTTCAATAGTCTGTGATTCTTGAACGTGGCGTACATATACGGTTGTCAAAAGTATTGGAACTCGCGGTCTAACGTTGCTACATGGCTTCAAGGTTGTAGTTGCACGTAAGCAGTGCCTTTGAGGCGTCAAAGGATGTCTTTTACTAATGAAGTTGCGGGGCGAAAGCCGAGTTGTGAAGTGACTTATACTAATCACAGGACACAGTAATACACGGTAGTTTGAGTAAGGTCAAATGAGTAATTACATTTCACCCGATCATCAATGGCATTGAAGGAAACAAACCGAGCTTTGTATTCTCAAATCCGGTATAGAAATCATGCGATAATATGTATGCTCAACACCAACACTGCGTTCAACCTCACCAACATAGCACTAAGACGTTGATACGTGACGCCACTTTATAAGCAAGAAAGCTTCACAGATGTCCATTTTAACCGGCCTCACGGTATAGGTACATTTTACGGGGTAATCAGTACGCTGAGGCCATATAAAGCACAATGACTAGTGGCGTTCCTCGATCCAGATGATCCTTCGAAGCCATCTTGCTCCGATCCCACGAATTCTCTCCCCCTTCTATCAGTAACACTAAAACAGATTTACGATGCGTGAGCATCGTGATCAATGGGCCCGGCCCACCACCACGAGAACAAAGAGCCAAATACAAAAGTCCAAGAAACGAAGCGTTGATACATATTCAGCATCTTTGAAAAGCACAGCTGATAACGTACCTGAGAACCTATATGCCACCTTACACAATCGAAACCCGACATTCCACACCTCTTCCAGAAGAAAGAAAACTAGGCCCCCAACCAAATAACCAACCAATGACCCGACTCATAGCGGCGATATCCGCCTGAGTAAGCCCTACAACAAGGCAAATCGGATGACATGCCTTACCCACCCACCGGAGCTACCTAGAACAACGAGAGCTATACAAACCACACTAACACAACCATCCACACGGCAATCACGAAACGCGTCGGCTTCCAAATCACACCGCTGGATCCCACACCAGCCGCTGTCTTCGACGTAATCAGAAAGTGTAGAGAGCGGTGATGGAAAAGTGCAGTAAGCATTGCGAACCGATGACCTACTTTGAACAGAGGATATAAGCTTCGGGGGGGGGGGGGGGGGGGGGGGGGGGGGGGGGGATGTGACTAGGCATGTAAGTAAGATGACACGACGCTTATAGCGGAGGAAGGAAAAGAAGGTATTATGTAAAGCTGTTTTTTTTTTCTGGCTCCGATGGAAGACGGGAGGTGCTGATGGACCTGGTCCTCGGGACATCCCAGCGCGCAGGTGACATGCAGGGAAGAACAAAAGTGCCAAAAAGAAAAAGGTCATTTGCGTGTTAGAGAGGGGCGGTCGTTGGCAGCAGGCAGACTGATGACGGGATTCATAAGCGTGCGGCTGGGGGAGAGGTGCGTGGGTGACATAGCTAGACATAAATGCTGGTAGGCGGCTGTCTGGCTTCGTGTTAGCGGGGCATACATACAGGCTCTCCATACGCCAGGATGTTGCATTCTAGGAGGTCTGTCTTAACTCTTTTTTTTTCTCAGTCTATTATATGTGCAGCTCATCTCTTCTGTTTAAGACTAAGTAGCTTGTGTCTAGTAACACAGCAAACCTCCTTATATGCAACATCCCGATGTGCGTATACCATGTACATGGCTGCAGAGCGCATTGGGGGCGGAGAAGATCTGGCCCAGCTGCTTGCTCGTGCTTATCCCATGTGGCGTGGCACGTGTGCGCGTTCTAGAAGCTGGAGAGAAAAGAAAAAATCGAGGGTTCGGGAAGCCGCTGGGTCTGGTGTGCTATGCTATGCTGGAATGGGGGTTTGATAGATGGGGAGGCGTGCATGGGGATTCCGTGGATCGGGACGCCCTCGCTTCTTGGGGGGTATGGATCGGGAGGTGAGAGGACTCGGATGGCCGTCTTACTTTGCGCGTCCGATGGGGCTGATGGATGGTTTTGAGCTGCCGAAGGACAGTGGTTTGAGATTGCGGCTCTTCTACGTGTATTTGAGGGGGGTGTTGATTGTCAGTAGTGATGATGCTGGAGATGGTTGCGCGCGCGGCGCTTGTTTTTTCATATGAGTGCGGCACGACGACTTTGTTCTTTGTTTGCACGTTGATGATGAAGCCATGAGCTGCTAGGGATGTCAATTACACTGTGGTTTTGCATCTTTCACGGCAGCGTGGAGGGAGGCTCTTACGATCAGACCTCATCCATCGAATAAGCACCAGATCCGCCATCCCGACCATGCTCCCTACGTGTGTGTCAAGACTCGCGATAAATCTCGCGCCACACCTCCATCTCCATCCATCCGAACCCTCCCCTTCCTTCTATCGCACCACTTCAACCCACTCACTCACTCACTCACTCATCCACGTTTCCCAGCACTACAACATCAATCACCCCCTTTCTCTCCCTTCTCATCCCAACTAAACTCATGTCTTAGTGCGCCTAACACGCCCCCATCCCCTCCCCTCCGCCTAAAAAAATCCCACCTCATCAGCCACACCCACCCACAACACAACACCGCAACAAGTCGATCCGATTTCTTTCGCGCTGGTTGAGGCGCAACTTCGAAGCTAACGGAGCCGTGATACCCGTGCTACAATCCACGGTTCCACCCTCGAGTTACTGAAAAAGGTGTGTTGGCCATGGCAAGCACGGCATTTCTAGCTAAGGGTAAGAAGAAAAAACGGTTTGCTGGGTCCGGAGGGGGTTTGTGGTGTGGCGGGTGCGACGGTCTGGAACGGTCGCGGGGTTTTTGATGGGTTTCTTTTTGGCTATGGTGGTGGGTTTAGATGTGGCTGAGGAGGGAGATGGTGGATTAAGGGGGGAAGAGAGGGATTCATAATGGATATAGTTCGTTACATATGTACTTTGTTCGATTTTTTTTTTCTGTCGTCAGAAGAAGGCAAGGAAACACTATAAGAAATCCAACTTCTTCATCCCATATCCATCTTCCCAGAAAACCCAAACAAACAGTAACCCAGCGCCATCTCAACACACTTTCTCTCCCTCCCTCCCTTCCCCCCATCATCATACAGAAACCCAAACCCCCCATTCATCCATCCACTAAACCCTCGCGGAGATTTAGTCCGCCCGTACATACACGATCCGAACCCGCTAGCTCGATCCCAACCAACAGCAGCAACATCACACAATAGGTACCACTGCACAGTTGTACCCAGCTTGAGTACCCAAACAATCGACATGGCCTATATATCTGCAGCAGAGTTAAACTATATGCAGACCCAGCGGGTGCGTGCTAGCACCTGACGTGCATGATCGCAGTCGTCAACGACTAAGCACTGGAATTACCGAGAAGGGAAAGTTGGGGGTAGAATGGGGTGGGCTTGGGTTGTAGATTGGAGGGTATTCGTTTATTGACTGTTGTATGTAACTATTTAATCGTGGGGATTGGGATACACTTTTCTTTTGTTTTGTGTGCACTGTGGTTATATGGAGGGGGTTGTACAATGGCTTACTTCCCCATGCCATTGTATATGTGTATATATACGATGTGTGTAAAAAAGCAATGATTTTTTTTTTGGCTGGCTGGCTGGCTAGCTACGTCGATGCGAGTAGTGCAGGGTAGTGAGTGGGAGGGGAGACGGTGTAGACCGGGTTTTACTCGCGATGCGCGTACTCGTGCTTCGCTTCCACCTCTTCTACGCGCCTCTCGAGATCGTGCGGCGAGTAGTCTTGGCCCTTCATACCCGGGACGAAGAACGGGGCGTTGGTGAAGAGGTATTTCATTTCCTCGAGGGGGCGTTTCGCGGTTTCCGGGAGGACGGCCCAGAAGAAGATGGCGTTTGTCAAGTTGCAGACCTAGGAAACAAATTCACAGTTAGTGATGGATTTTTTTTCTCCCTAGATGAGGAGCTGATGGAGGGAAAGAGGATTGGCAACGTACCACGAAGAGAATGTAGAATTTGTATCCGACGGCCTCCATGGCGATTGGGGTGAGTTGGCCGATCATGGTGTTGAAGGCAAAGGACAGCATGGTGGCCATCATGACACCCTTTGAACGCGTCTTGGTGTCGAAGATCTCGGCGGGGATGATCCATGAAAGCGGCCCGCACGTCGCGCTGAAGGAGAAGTTGTATGCCCATGTCACGACGATGAATCCCCAAGCCGCAGCTTTGTTTTGGTTGGCGCCAGGCGGGAATACTGCTAGCAGGATGGTCGCGATGATGAACGTCACCATGTTGCCGAGGTTACCCAGAATCAACGGCCAACGTCGACCGAACCTGTCGATGAGAAGGATGCACAGCGCTTGGGCGATGAGGGCGATGATGGAGGAGATGGCTTGGTATTTCAGAGTGTCGTCGCCTTCGATGCCCATCAGACCGTAGATGGTGACGGAGTAGTATTGGATAGCCGACACACCCGTCATCTGGATCGAAGCCTGGATGGAGCAGGCGAGGAAGAGACGGCGGAACGAAGACTTATCGGTGAAGAGTTCGAGGATGGAGCTCGCCTCGTGTTCATGTTCAAACGTGATTGCATCTTGGATCTGGTCGAATTCGGCGCGCACCCAAGGGTCGTTGATGTCGCCATGAGCGTGGAGTCGGGCCAGGGTGTTGAGCCCTTCTTCCGTGCGACCCTTCGATAGATTGTTAGCCAAGTACGGATTCGTCTCGGGTGGTTTTGCAACATACATGGTCGATCAGCCAGCGCGGGCTCTCGGGGAAAAGCAAGATCAATGCTGCAAGGAAAACGGCCGGAACGACCTGAATCCCAAGACTGGTCCGCCATTGCCCGTCGTTTGTAGGCGCAAACCCAGTGTCTGTTCCATACGAGATCCAAGCAGCCGACAGAGCTCCGACTCCCAGCATGAATTGCTGAAGCGCAGTCACACGTCCACGAATGCTAGGATGCGCCAATTCAGCCTGGTACAAGGGTACAATCATGCACAGCACGCCAACACTGCCAAACGTTAGCCACTGATGATCCGCCTCCCAAGAGGTCTGATAATTACCCGAGGCCCGCAATGCTTCTGCCAGCATAGAGATAGGACAATGCCTGCGCACCCGTCTGCAAAGCCCCACCCAGACAGAATACCACAGCACCAGAGAGAATCGTCAGGCGACGACCGATGGCATCTGCCAGAAACCCTGCCGCGAAGGCTCCGAAGAAAGCGCCGCCCGTGAAGACGGAGACAACAGCGCCCTCTTCGGGCTTACTAGGGTTGAATTTTGCGACAAACGACTTTGCGGCAATGACTTGAGCGATGACACCGAGGTCGTATCCGTAGAGCAGTGAGCCCAGCGAGGCGAACACGCCGACGAGAAACTATGTATCGGTGGCATTGAATCAGTATAACCACTCTCACTTGACTATTCCACTCCCCAGCGAACAACATACCTGATACCACTTTGGAGGGAGCGCCATTGTTCACAGCAGGATATCCACCAGTTTCGAACAACAAAAGTATCAATCAAATAAATATATATATAAAAAAAATCGAAAAATGCCCAGCAAGCTGCAAGAGCAAGAACCGCGCATCCAGACCCACACCAGGCAGATCCCACCGAGTCTTTATACTCGAACCCGCTCGCATCAATTGTCGCGCTGCACTGCACCAACCGGTACATGTCCCCCCCAAAGCACGCCTAAACAAAACAAAGCAGAAAAAACCCCTGTTCACGCGCATCATCATTCCCCCCCAGCCCCCGTCACCCTCACACCACGCAAGCTCGAAGCGATGCGCGCGTTCCCCAGATTCCACTAGCCCTCCACGCCATCCACCCCCGCTGCTGACTAGCATTCTCCGTCTCCGTCCAATATAACCCCAGATCGGGCCAACGTCGACCGAGGTACGTTGGCGATCGGGAGTCTCGAGTAGCCGGACATGTTGCTTCTCCGAGGCTGGTGGGCTTCATGGTCCATGTTGGATGGCCATGGAGGGACATGATATTTTTTCCGCGAATCGGGCGGGTTTGACGTGGCTAGGCTGGGTTGGGGCTAGGGGCCGATGCATATGCGGCTGGGGCGCGAAGCATCTCGTCATGTGATGGGAATAGAGGGGAGCTTCGAAGTACTGCCGATGTTGACGGTGCGTTTTGGGATAGCTTGGTGGTGGAGGTGGTGGGGGGGGAGTTTCTTGAGGGGCTCTTTCTTCGATTCTTCTCCCTTCGTTTCACTTTGTGGCTCCTTCATTGTGGTATATTCATATTGTTTTTTTCTTTTCTGGTGGATTCGAGATTGATACATCACATCTGTTGGAAACATGGCGAGCTTCACGAGGATCCCCGACGATCAGACTCCGTCCATCATTGTACATCCCGATCACGAGATTGCAAAGATCAACGACAACATCTATGGCGGCTTCACAGAGTACGAGCCCCCCTCAGTCCCAGCATCGTAAATTGTACACTGACTTGTGCGTAGACACATGGGCCGGTGCATCTACGGTGGAATCTACGACCCGGGAAACCCCCTCTCCGACGAAGACGGATTCCGCAAGGATGTCATCGAAGCAATGAAGGACCTCAACGTGCCAGTCGTGCGATACCCAGGAGGAAACTTCGTAGCGACCTACCACTGGCTCGACGGCGTGGGTCCCAAAGAGAAGAGACCAAAGAGGTGCGCGATACCAACAACCACTACAACACCCCGCAATCAATTGATGAATCTCATAGACCGGAACTCGCGTGGCTGGGCATCGAGCCGAATTCCTTCGGCACCGATGAATTCATGAAATGGTGCAAGGTCGTCGGCACCGAGCCATACCTCTGCCTCAACTTTGGCACCGGCACTTTGGATGAAGGTCAGTCGCACGGGATTATCCCCGCTACTTCCTCGCCATGGAACAACACTCATCTGATCCATATCTTTCTCTTCTATAGCCCTGGCCTGGCTTGAATACTGCAACTCCACCCAGGACACATACTACGCCAACCTCCGGCGCCAAAACGGCCACGAAGAGCCCTACAACGCAAGTACCCCCCATCCCACACTCCCCACTCCATCCACCTAACCATCCTCCAGGTAAAATACTGGGCCCTGGGCAACGAATGCTGGGGCCCATGGCAAGTAGCCCAACAAACGCAACAAGACTACGCAAAGCAAGCCTACCAATGGGCCAAAGCCCTCAAGCTCCTCGACCCAACCATCACCCTGATCCTGTGCGGCGAAACCGGCTACTCTTCCTGGGACCACTACGTGCTCAAGGAATGCGTCAAATGGGACGTCCACGGGCTGTCGGGCGACTCGACAAAATCGCTCATCGACATGCACAGCATCCACATCTACACGGCGTCAGCGACGCACCTGGCCAACGCGACGGCGCCGCGGGCCGCGGAGCGCGCGATCCAAATGGCGAGCGCGCTCATCGACCTGGCGCGCATCGAGAACGGGGTCCCCGAGACGGTGCCGAAGCAGACTGTGTGCTTTGACGAGTGGAATGTGTGGGATCCGGTGCGGGCGCCGGGGGAGAAGGGCGCCGAGGAGTCGTACACGCTTTCGGACGCGTTGGCCGTCTCTGTGTTCTTGAACGGGTTTGTTCGCCAGGCCAAGGATGTCGGGATGGCGAATATCGCGCAGAGCGTGAATGTGATTAGTCCGCTCATGACGAGTACTGAGGGCGTGTTGAAGCAGACTACGTGGTGGCCGTTGCTGCTGTTTAGCAAGTACATGCGCGGACACAGCGTTGCGGTCAATGTCCGCTGTCCAGAGTATACTGGCGTCACGGATCCCAAGTGGGTAAGGGCTACGATTGAGACGCCGTTTTTGGATGTTTGCGCGGCCAAGATGGAGGATGGGTGGGTTGGGCTGGCGGTGACGAATGTGAGTGAGGAGAAGGACTTTGAGGTTAGGATTGACGGGGTCAAGGAGGGGAAGGTGGATGTGTATGTTGTTGGTGGGGAGAATGTCAGTGTGGTGAACAAAAAGGGCGATGAGAAGGTTAGGATTGAGGAGAGTAGTTGGGATGGGAAGGGATTGTTCAAGTTTGCGAAGCATTCTTTTACGCTGCTGAGGTGGAAACATTAACATCGCCTGGGAGGAAAAGAAATTGGGAATACCCATAGATAAATAGATGACATGGGCAACACTCCATCCATCAGCTATAGAGACATTATATCCAGAATCCATCCTCAGAGTATCCCGACTCTCCACGAAGAAGCAACTGCGCTTCACCAACCCGCAACGCGCCAGTCATCCAATACCAGCAGCCATAACTCACGCAGCATCATCAAAGCTATCCCTCCTAGCTCTTATCCAACATCGACCCAGCACATGTAGTCTCCAAACCCCGTATCCATCTAAAAAAACCCGCCATTACCATCCAAATAAAAAAAAAATACAGCCAAACACAACCCCCCCCCCCAAAAAAAAGCCCAGCGAAACCCCCGCCAAAAACAATACCTTCGCCCAATGAAATCCGCAAATTTTCTATTTTATTCTACAGTGAGAAGAAAAAAGAAAACTTTCACATCCTCTCTTTACCCCCAAAAAAACCCGCTCCAACTACATCACCATTCCCCCAATCCTATTTCTACCACAACAACTACATTTCTCGCTTACCGCACACCAACGCATCCACCCATGTAACCCCCACCCACCTTCTAGCTCTGCCCCACTCGCGCAACTCACGCTTCATCTTCTCCCCCTCCTCCTTCCCGCCTCAATCTTTTAACTATATCTACGGAACACTGGTGAATTTTCACATCAAATCAGATCTCAAAAACGGACCTATGGCGCAACGGTAGCGCGTCTGATTCCAGAAATCATCAAATTCTCGGAATCTCCAGAAGGTTAGCTGTTCGAATCAGCTTAGGTTCAATTTCTTTTTTTTCTTTTTTTTTTGGCTGCTGCTACATACGTATGTATACACACACACATACACGCACGCACAGAGTAAAAAAAAAAAAAACATGCCACGTTTTATTTTATTATTTGTTTATATATGCTATAGGATAGAATGGGATGGGGATAGTATGCGTGCATGCATGCATGCTTGCTCTATCTATCTATCTATCTATCTTATACGAGTGTTGAGTAAATCATCCACCTTAATTAATAACTTCTCTTGGGGGGGGGAGGTCTGGAAATATAGGTAGAAGGATGAGCTGCTTCATTTTTCTTCCTTCTCCCAAGATGCCGGCGCTGTTATATATATAAATCTTGTTGGTGTCTGTATGACAACGGGAGAAACGAGATTCCAAGGGAGGGGGAAGGGGGGGAAGCAGGAGTTCTTGCAAGGTTGTTAGAGCTGAACGAACTGGTCTACAGTGACGCGTGATGATAATCTGATATCAAGGGATGGGGATGGCGGGGCTGTGAGGAATTGAATTTTTTGACGTGGGGATTTGTTGGGACGATGAGATGGATGGATGGATGGATGAATGTATCACCGTTTAATCAAAGCATACAACAGGTCAAGAGCATAGTCATGATGGAAGCTTGAATTTTGTATTTTTCTTCGCGGCCGTGAGAATAGGACATGCATGCAGTACATAGAGCGAACAACAACAACAATATATACAAATTTCAAACATGTACTACACCTGCTCGTTGACGAACAGACCAGCCATGCCCATGCCGGTGCCTATGCACATGGAGGTCAAAAGAATCTTCTTCTTCTGCCTGCGGGCCTCGCTCAGACCCGTGACAATCTGCCTTGCGCCCGTGCAGCCGAGCGGGTGGCCCAGCGCGATAGCGCCGCCGCGCACGTTCAGCTTCTGGTGGTCGATCTTCAGGGTTTCCAGGCAGAAGACGGCCATGGAGGCAAAAGCCTCGTTGAGCTCGATGAGGTCGATGTCGTCGATGGTGAGGTTGAATTTGCTGAGGAGTTTGGGGATCGCGACGGACGGACCGATGCCCATGATTCTAGGCGCGAGGCCCGCGACGGTCGCGCCGACGAATTTGCCGAGGATGGGTTGCCCGAGCTCTTCTGCCTTTGAGCGCTTCATCAGCAGGATGGCGGCCGCGCCGTCGGTGACCTGCGAGGAGTTTCCGCCCGTCGACTTGTCGCCGTGGGGCAGGAACGCGGGTCTGATCTTCTGCAGCCCCTCAAAGGTGGTTCCCCATCTCGGGCCCTCGTCCTTTGTGAGTGTGACTTCCTTCTCCTCGCCCGTCTTGGGGTCCTTGACCTTGACCTGGATCGGGACAATCTCGTCGTCGAACCAGCCGGCCTTCTGCGCGACCTCGGCACGCCTGTAGCTCTCGGTAGCGAACTTGTCCTGCTGCGCGCGCGAGATGTTGAAGTCGTTGCCGACGTTCTCGGACGTTTGCCCCATGGGCTGCATGCAGTCGGCGGCTTCCTGGTTCTCGAGGATCTCGTCGAAGAAGGGGCGCTCGAGGCGGTCGCCGCCCACGGTCATGCTCTCGGCGCCGACGGCGAGACCGACTTCGATGGCTCCCGTGGCGATTTGGTTGGCAATGTCTTGCACGGCTTTGAGGCCGGACGAGCAGAAGCGGTTCACCGAGGAGCCGGCGGTGGTGTTGGGGAACCCGGCACCGAGCATGGCGGCGCGGCAGTAGTATGCGGCTTTGGCGTCGGAGACCTGGGGAGGAGTCGTGTTAGCTTCGCCATCATCATCACTACTGCAAGTAGCATCTTTCTGGAGGGGTCGAGCACTTACATTTCCGAGACAGATGTCCTCGACCAGTGCGGGATCAATGTTTGACCGCGCAACGACCTGCTTCAGGATCTTGACCACAATTCCATCGAGCGGTGTGTCCTTGAATCCGCCCTTGAAGGCTTTTGTGAGAGGTGTTCGGATGGCAAGTGTGATGACGATGTCGTCAGGGTTCTTGGTCGTACTGCAATTTCCATTAGCTACCGTCCTTCTCATCTGCACCACAGTTCTCAAAAGCAACCTCGATGATGGTCTTCTCCAAACACACAGGATTGCTTACATGGCGCTCAACCCGGACTTGGCAGGGGAGATCTGCGAAACGATAGACTTGAGACGCTCCGTCATGTTGAAAGTGTGGTGTGATGTGAAGAAGAAGGTGGAAAAGAAGAACTGGTGAGGAGAGCAGGTATGGAAGACGTTGGGGTGGGGAGAGTAGAGTTGCGGATGGCAGAGGGAGACGTTTTGAGAATGCGGAGGAGGCGGAGGTCTCGACTTCGGGGTCCTGAACGGTTGGATGTGGGGCGTCCGGAGAGCCGAGGTGCCTCGGGACGATGTCACGGGACCCCGGCATCTGGCTGATTGGATGAAGCTTCTGCACCATGACCGGCGGTATTGTTCGTCTCTCCAGTCGGTAGAAATACCCTTGATTAGAGTTGAGGATGTTGGATCTGTCTCATCTTGAGGGCTGCATGTCTACTTCGTTCGATGTCTGAGTGCTTCTGGACCTTTCGTCACAATTGCCACGGCGTGCCTGATCGAGAGTCGAAGTGTTTGTCGAGAGATGGACAATTGTCAAGTACATATATGTTTGCGTATTTCTTCCTCTCGTTCCATCTTCTTGACTAATTATGGGTCCTGGCGGTGAGATCTGAGTACCCAGGTAGGTAGGTATGAGTCCTGGTCACATCTAGTATTTTGATCCACTCATGGAAAGCCTACCCTCAAGCAGCCTCGCGACGAAGATTTTCACTCCGATTCTAGCCAGCGATGGCGGAACACCATCTCACAGACTGGCTGTATGTGAAGATATTTGGAGTTCGTGACACTACATGATAGGAAAAGGCTCGAACAGCCGTTGCATCTCTAGACCTTGAAAAATTGGAGACAAAGCAAACTATTAAGGATGCGAAACAAGCTGACAGCATTTCAAGAACCGCGCTGACATTGCGATTCCAACATGACTATACTTGGTATTTCGCTGACTATGTCCACCGGAAGTCCTTACCAACGGTCCCGGCATCCTATCCTATCCGCTTTGCATATTCGGAGTATTTAGAGGACCAATTACGAGCTCGATGATGTGTTCAAGGCCACCCGCAGTTCTCGTTATAGGTCAGCCCTATCCTACTTTCGTGAGGGACATTGATGGGATTGGGGGCTGGATTGCTTCAGGCGCTCCATAGCCAGCAAACAGCCAAGAGAATGCTGATGGAAGACCAAACTGTACATGCTGTGAAACGGGTTGATTCGTTGAATCGAAGATACACCGTGCCCTGGAGATGTACTGATCCGAGATAGTTTGCGCGGCTCTACGGGCTCTTGTTTTTTCCAGCTTGCATATATGACTACTTTCCGATCTGTTTTCTTAGGGAGAGCGAATATTATTTCCACCGGTCGCGTCATCTCATTCCTTACGCTCTAAGTTCTCAAGGATCCCTTTTTTTTTGGATCCGCAGTTGAATTGTTTCCTGACACTCTTTCTATATTTGATCGAAACAAAATGATGAAATCCTCTTACGGCATGTCGAGCTGCTATTACAGCAGCGGCATCCAAGCCAACAGCAACATGGCAAAAACCGCTCTGCGCAACTGCCCCGAAGACCCCGTCACCGGTCTCTGCTGCTCTCTAGCATCCATCGAAGTCGACGGAGCAAGGAACGAAACCTGCCTCAACAACGGTTCGTAACATCCCTACCCCCAAGCGAGAAATCCAAGGTACTGATACTGGATATTAGGACTCTGCTTGAACGAGTACACGTCAAACCATACACTGCATAGAGAATTCTACACGAGCCTGTGCACGGAAAAAGACTGGACAACGGGGAACTGCCTTGATATCTGCAAGGATCAAAGAGATGGGAATGGGACTGCGCGGGTGACACCGTGCTATGGGGAGACGGGGACGACGTGGTGTTGTGGGGACAAGGACGATTGCTGCTACAATGGCGGTGTGCAGCAAGTGACGTTGTCGACGGAATTCCGGGTGAAGCTTCCTCCATCCACACTGTCGCTATCCTCTTCCTCTTCATCGATATATGGATCGGGTTCGTGGCAAACGGATTCTTCGTCGCCGGGGATCATTTACAGGGAGACGTCCACTGGTCTTTCGCCGGGCCAAGCAGCGGGGATTGGGGTTGGTGTTGGTGTGTTTATTCTGGTGCTTGCGGCTTGTGTGGTATTGCTTATGCGCAGAGCGAGGGCGAGGAAAGAGGCGCGGAATTTGGAAGGAAGAGGGTCTGCATCTGGGGTTATTTCGGAGCCTGCAGTTGTTTGTGAAGCTTCTGAAGATAAGGCGCTGATGGAGCTCCCGTCGGATAGAGGTCGTGTGGAATTGCCGTTTCGTAGAGAGGCAGCGGAACTTTCGTCTGAAAATAGATATTCGCCACCAATGTTTCATGGAGCGGCGCCTGTGCACCCTCATACGGCCTTGTGATTAGGTGTAGGAGGATTCGCGGTAGTCTGTATAGCTTTGTGGGAGCTTGTTGTTTTTGTAGAATCATATTTGTAGACTAGACCCATCATATAAACAAAAGTACTGTACTTTGCGATCAAACTGGCGAGGTTTTTATGAATCCCAATTTATATCGCCGAAGCCCGGATTCCTTCAAAGTTCTAATGTGTTTATAATATATCATCAACAAAGCAAAGTGAATACTAAACCCAGCGAGGACAGCTGCTAAAGCCATGCCTTTTCCGGTCAATCTCAACGCCTTTTCAGAACCGGTAGGCAGCTTGATCAGGAACACGCAAAACTCCCGAAAGAGTAAATTCTTCGCGGTAGGCCTTACAGTAGCAAGGCTGACAAGGTTAGCAACGCTCCATCCTATGGTCCCCATGCATCTATACCCACCCGCACATTCGAGTGAGCAATCGCATTCAGCATATACATTCGACGAAGCCCAGCGCAGAAGATAAGCCCATAGCTCGAATTGGTTGCATTCACCAAAACAGCTGGATGAATGAGCAATCGAGTCGCTGATGCCTGCGCTCTTTACCCACCTACTCGTATCAATCTACGCGAAGGCGAATCTCGGCCCCCACATGGGGCGGCTAGGCGGATTGCTGCCTTGAGAACGAGCATCCGTGCGCCGCGACTACAAAAGTCCTTGTTTAGACGGCGCAGCTATTTTGAGAAAAAGGAGACGACCTCTATCCCTTTCTCCGGTTTCTTCTCTCAACTCGCAAACTCTGTCTACATCTTGACCAGGCAACACGCAGTGTGAAGAACAAGAGCCGGTACAGTAGTCCATACGACACTCGAGAAGCGCGACCGGTGAAAAGAGGCAACCGAGAGCCAATTTCCGCCTTGCCAGCGTAACGAGGGAAACCGGCCATAAGCAGCGTCTGCCTCGCTCATCGAAAGATTCTACATCGTCAATACATATCCGACGACAACTTCTCTACCAGGTCCAGCAAGAAAACCAGCTAGGATGGGCCAAGGACAATCGCAAGCGAGCACAAGCGGCGGCCGCACCCTCGGAGACACACAACCCCGAACCTCCCAGGAAGGACTCCAAGATGAGCAATCCAACGTAGTCTCAGCAGAACAAGCAAGATTGGTATGTCCGCAAACTTTTGTTGTTAGTTACGGGGATAAAAGACTGATGGTGAGGATGCAGGACCGCGAGCGACGTGCCGAAGCGGCGCAGCAACGCGTCAACGAGATGCAGAAGAAGAAGCAGCAGCGGAGCGCTGCTGTTGGTGCGAGCACTGCGGCGCCTAAGAAGAAGACGGCGCTGGAGGAGTTGAGCGCGGAGAATCGCGGGTGGAGGGCGGCTGATGAGCAGGCGGACTTGAGGGCGTGGAATTGAGGCGAGGAGAGGCTGGGGAGGAGGGAGTGTCTGGTTGTGTTTGTGGGGTTGGAAGTTTGGAGATGGTCCACGAGTGGACGCCAGGGCGGCGGATGATGATAGTCACGTGATACGATTTGTCTTGCCAGCATTGAACCTGGGTTCATTAGTGTTAGCTTGTTTTATGATGCCCATGTAAAGCTAGCTTGAAAGCGACGGTAATCGCAATGGTTACAAGCTGAGTAGATGTGTTTTTGAATGACCAGTCAGCTATATTCCGGATCGTCAGGTCGCCAGTGCAGCATACATTGTTGTTGATAAAGAGCAGAGTAGACCACTTTCTGCTCGTACATGTAAGCTTCAAGTCATGATAGGTACGATGAGTACAATATCGCGAGAAACTCCCTCAGTATTGCAGTATCCATACATGTAACCATTTCCTACTGCTATTGAAATGATAGCGAACACCCAAGAGTGCTTGGTTCGGGAGCTAAGGCGGGTCTCGGGCCGAGTCCACGGCTATTCCCGGTCGGGATTACCGGCGGTGACATAATCCAAGCATCCCAGTCACCTCACGCAGGCAGGATTCGCTCCCATCTAGATTCCGCACCATCCATCATCGATGCTGCCGCACAGCGATCCAGAAAGCAATGGCAAGCCCTGCAGATTCAGCAGAGCAGCGGGCTGCGAAGAGGAAATCCCACCGGAAATCCCGAAACGGGTGCTTCCAGTGCAAACAGCGCCACACAAAGGTATGTACGCTTACTCATCGTCTCCGCGCTGTCTGTCTTAGCAAGTTGGTCGATTGCGCTCTTCAGTGCTGGTGGGTCTCGGCCAATGAGATGCCACACTTGCTCGTTGTTGGGGACTCGCTTTTGTTGATTGTGTCTCCAGTGCAACGAAACACACCCGCGATGCGCAAACTGTAGGAGACTCGACATTGAATGCACGTGGCCTGCGCGCGAGAGGTTTTCGTCGACTTACCCGACCCCGCCCGAGAGCCATGGAGCTGTGCTAGTTGAGAACCAGCCTTTTGCCAATTCGGAACTTTCGGTGGACACTTTTGGGTCTGAGATGAGCATCGCTGATCTACGTCTGTGTACGTATATTTAATACTGAAACACATTGCATGCTGGGGTGTCTTGGACCTACCTGTGTGGATTGCTTGAGATATCAACTGACATATTACTCCGAATATCAGTGCATCACTGGACAGCAAAAGCTTGCAACGACATGAGCCCAAACTTGAAAAGACGCGAGGCCTGGAGAATCAGCCACGTCGAAATTGCATTGGAGCATCCATTCCTTCTTCGGGGCCTCCTTGCTGTTGCTGCAGTCCACAAAGTACTGAGCGACACAAACGCCGATAAAAGTAACCTCCTCCTCCAGGCAGATAGCCACATTAGCAAGGCTCTTACGACATACCGACAAAACCTCGAAAACCCGACGACCGAAACAGCAATTCCAATGTTTATTCTATCCACGGTCCTGGTAGTCTACCACCTTGCGACTGCACAGCTGGAAGCACCAGAAGATCCTGTCAATGCAATGACCCATTGCTTTCGATTGATACAGGGTGTTTTGGTAGTGGTCGGTCCCAATTTGGATCAGCTCAAAGCTACACAGATCTTCAAAGACATGGTAGTCATTCCAGCGACACCCGTAACAGAGCCTCCGATAGAAGAAATCGTCCGACTTAAGAGACTAACCGAGACGAAAAAGACGCCTGCAGGAGCAGTGTATATAGAGGCGATTGACCAGCTGCACCAGTGAGTAATGCCAAAACTCTCGTTCCTGTTTGATCGGCCGCGATTGGACATGGAGTTCGAGGCTGAAGTTTGAATTGACGCATTTCAGATCATATCAGCATACTCGCCAGATTGCAGAAGGCGATGATAGGCTGTCAGTGGCCTTCACTTGGACAACAGAACTCTCTGATCCCTTTACGCGTCTTCTCACTGCGCACGACCCCATCGCCGTCTTGGTACTTTCACATTTTGCGGCCCTATTATCCGAGTGCCAACGAGGCTGGTGGGTTCGCGAACTGCCGCAACGTATAGTGGGAGCCGCGCAGAAGCTGTTGATGTCTACCCCAGAGCTTCTTGATTACCTGGATTGGCCTCTGCAAACCATCAACGCTAACATTATTTGATGAACCCACTAGTGCGTGGAACAGAATCAACTATAGAAGACCACTGTCATTCGAATTTCGTGGCTGTGCGCTCAGCCCCTATCACCCAGCCGGCAACCAACGTTGGATGTATGGATCCTGTACACGTAAGCACGTCGTCAAAGTCAGTGCAATCTGCGCAGTGACCGGTGCCTCTATCGATACGAAAACGACGTTTATCTCGCATACGCCTTGGCGCTCTCGGATAGTGTGTACTCGCCTATGTCTTTTTTTTTCGGACCGTTTGATTGACTCTGGCACTGCCCCGGAGAAGAATGTGGGCTGTGGCGCTATTGGCCGCTAGACGACGATCGGCCCCCATTCTTCGCTTACTGGATCAATCAAATCTCGTTGTAAACGCGTACGCATTGGCTACGTCTAACAGCCAATCACTGTGATTTCCATACGTCGTATTGCTATGCGATACTTGCGAAGATGCGAGTACGCCTCGTAGATGAGAGCAACGAGCGAGACATAAATAATACGCCCCGCCAAAGATGAGAAAGAGGCATCTCACTTCTTTTGCTTGGTTCTGTACAACACTGCGACTATTTCATTGAACCCAATATCCTTTCTCCTTACTGTCATCACGGTCGAGAGCACCTATCCCGCTACCGATCGCTACCTAGACATACCTCGACGCCATCCGAGCCTCAACATGTCGGAAAAGTCTCACGACATCAACAGCACCGCCCGCTTCGTCTTCTACCGATACCATCCCTCATTAGCTGCTGCTGTCGTATTCATCGTCCTCTTCGCAATCACTACAGGTCTGCATGTGTATCAGATCATCAGGAAACGAACATGGTACTTCATACCGCTTGCGATTGGTGGTATATGTAAGCTTGAATTAGTTCTTGCGCTAAGCAATCCATCTTGCTGACCGCCGCGCAGTCGAAGTTGTGGGCTATATTGCACGGGTCATCAGTACTAGGGATCAGTGGGCTCTTACACCGTATATCATACAAAGTCTGTTGACCCTAGTGGCGCCAGCTCTTTTTGCGGCATCCATCTATATCAGTATGCTCGAGCCCACTACTGCTGTATCACCATGATGTATACTAATCAACGGTAGTTCTTGGTCGTATCATCATCCTCGTTGATGGCGAGCGGTATTCACTGGTGCGGCAAAAGTGGCTCACGAAGACCTTTGTAGTGGGTGATATTCTGAGTTTTCTGGTTCAAGGTAAGCTTCATTCTCTGGAGTGGTGTGTTTGGCGATAGCTAATCAAACTGTGTAGGCGCAGGTGGTGGCATCCAAGGCTCCAGCAAAGGCGACCAAGACAAAGTGAAGCTTGGTGAAAACCTCATCATCGCCGGCCTCTTCATCCAACTCGCTTTCTTTGGTGCGTTCGTGATCGTCGCCGGTATCTTCCATTTCCGGCTGGTCCGCTCGCGGGCCTCCAACTCGCACTCCTTCACCGTAAACATCGACGCTCTGCCATGGAAACGCCATCTAGTCACTCTTTACATCACCAGCGGTCTCATACTCGTGCGAAGCGTGTTCCGTGTTGTCGAATATCTCCAAGGAAACGCGGGGTATCTGTTGCGACACGAGGTTTTTTTGTACATTTTCGATGCACTCCTCATGTTCGCCGTCATGGTGGCGTTCAACTGGGTGCACCCGAGCCAAGTCACCGAGGCGTGGCAGGAAAGGGTCAAGAGCGAGGCACATGGTGAAGCCTTGCACTCTGGACAAGGTCACGAGTTGCGGGGTGTTAACAATGCTTGAGTCTTGGGGATTCTTGGTAGCGAACGAGTACATATGTATAGATACAGCAGAGATCTGGGAATAGAGTCGGGCGTTGGGGCGAACTCAAGAAGACTAGATTTGGGCAAGCTGCCGACGCATTAGCATTGCTGTTGAGATGGTACATTGTATTCTACTTACTAGTATATGGCAGCTGAAGAATCGAACACGCCATTGTCTCCTTGGAGAACCTGTTCGTCGTCACAGAGAAGGAACATGCCACCATGACGCATCACCCAAGGCTCAGCAGAGGCTTGCCAACGGGGCCTGTTTGCTTGTTATCGGCCACCCAACAGCAGGTTGATCAATTAAGAAACCCACGAGGCGCTATGCCAAACGTGGTTCTGCCAATTATAGGAGTGCACTAACCGCGTCCGGCTACCTCAAACCCTAATTTCCTCTCCTTTTCTCTCAACAACACGGTTTTTTTTATATGCATTGAGCACGATTCATCTACGTTATAATCCAAATCATTATTGGGGGTGGCTCTGTTTCCTCAACAGGTAGGCATTTGTCTCTGGCCAAGATCGACTAACCATTGCACAGTGGCGCCCGGCTGTCAGCTGCGACGATCTTGCCTCTTGTCACTCTCTACAACAGCAGCAATGTCCGTGTAATCTATCTCATCACACTCTTGGTGACGGTCGGATGTCTGATATAAGAAACCCGGACACACTCAGGCTAACCAGTCAGGCTGCTGCCGACATGCGATTCTCCATGCCCAGTGCACCTGAGGCACGTCGTGGTTCAAAACGCGCTTATCAAACCGCCAAGGTGTCGCAGCATCCGCGACCGGCCAATCACCACCCACGACCCTTAAACGTCACATTGCGGGCTCGAAACCGATTTGCTGCTTTTTGGAATTGAGCGTTGTCTTTTGCGTGAGGCGGAAAAGAGGCTCAGTTTCATGCGCGGCCCTCTACCGCTCCTCCACGATGCTGATTTGCCGCTCAGGCACCGCCCCTCGGATTCCCATGCATCCCGTCGCCGGTTGGAGAACGCTCCCCTGCCATTGTGACGTTGGACATGTCCTGGATTGATCCACTATGGCGAATGCTGGGGTGCCATGGCTTTCCAGTATAGATCTGGTCTTGGGTCGCGTGCTTGGTTTGGTTCTTCTTTTCCTCCTTCACTCTTCTTGGTTGTTCATGCTTTGATCGCCTTGAACCACCTTTTTCTCCTTGGGTTTCGTTCTTTTTGTTCTCTTTTCTTCCTCCGTTGAGCGGATTGATTGATTGTTCGGGTTTTCATTCTATCTAGTCCTGGAGACTTTTCTGTTCGCTCTGGGTGCTTTTAATTGTCGTGGAATGAGCATTCTTTCGGTCCTTTCAACCTAGACATTGAGTTAATAACTACCTACCCCTCTCATCATACAAGATGGGGATCCAGCGTCGCTTTCGGCCAGCGCCGATCAGGGTCATCAGGAAGAGACAGGAGCCTGCTGCCACTGAAGAAGGAGGGGAGCCAGATTCCCCTGAGTCGCCAGATTCTCCCGGCATGTCCAGCGCATCTTCCGTCGATTCCAGTGACAGCGAAGAAGAAGGAGAGGAAGAGAAGGAAGAGGAAGCTCCATCGCCTACCGCCACCGAAGCCGTAGCTGCACCGGCTGTATCTGAGTCTGGTGCTCCTGCTGCAATCAGCTCGAGCGCCCCAGTGGCATCGATAGCCCCCGTGCCCCAGGAAAGCGCCTCTCAACCTCCCCCACCGGCATCGAGCAGTTCAGCGGCCCCGGCAGCCAGTTCAGCAGCTCCAGCAGCTCCGCCAGCCAGTTCACAGCCTCCTCCACCGATGCCGAGTTCCTCTGTTACTTCGTCCACAAGTTCACAGCCTGCCCCGGCAGCATCGAGTGCTTACTCGTCCGATATTGTATCGACTATGGTTACTTCATTCCGCGCTTTCCCATCAGCTCAGCCAAATCAAGCAGGTACAGATCTAGGACAACCAATTGATGCAGATGAAGGGGAGCCGCCTGACTCGCCTGACTCGCCAGACTCGCCAGCGAGCAGTGTCGGGTCCAGTCCACCGTCTAGCCCAACAGCTTCGGAATCACCTTCAGCGAGTCAGAGTGGAGCAAGTGGTGAACTCACATCTTCTGTGGGAAGTTCTACAACCGCACCTGAAGCTACAGGAATGCCATCTGGAGCAGCACCCGCGTCCTCATCGCAAGCCGGTCAAACAGCCATGAGTACCAACCTCGGCCCATCCCCCTCCAGCACTGTCAACCCGCAACCCGACACAGCGGGACCCGGCAGCGGCATCAGCGAAGGCCAAACCCAAAAAGTCGACCAAAAATCCAACCAAATGAGCAAAGGTGCAGAAGCAACCCTCATCACCCTCTCGGTCCTAGGTAAGCTCCCCCCTCCTCTCACCCCTCAATAACCCAAGCTAACCCCCATCCCCCAGGCTTCGTCGTCGCCCTCGCAGCAGCAGTCTTCTTCTTCCTCCGCCGCCGCCGCCGCCGAACAGAAGCAGCCCACCGCCACGCCTCCGACGCCTTCAACCCGGACAACACCGGCTCGCTCCACACCCCCTCCAACACGCACACCTCCACCTCCCCCCCAGCCGCCGCCTACGCCCCGCCCACCCAACACATGACGCAGTCGTCCACAAACACCACGTCCCTCTTCGGCGCCGCCCACTACGTCCGCCCGGACACCGTCTCGACTTCCGACGCCCACTCCCGCATCGCGAAACCCCAGCCCACGCCCAACCCCTTTGCCGACCCCGGCCGCAACAAAGCGTTTGATCAGATCCGCGGTCGCCCTCGTAGCACTACCCTCACGGATCGCGGGAGCTGGGTCGATAATCCGTTTAAAGACCCCTTGAGCGATCGGTTCGATCCGTTTGGCGAGTTGCATGAGAAGGCTAGGGCGGAGAGGGTTCGGTATCGTGAGGAACTTGAGCGCGAGAAAGCCAGTGGCGGTGGTGGCGTATGAAGTGATTCCCATTGATTCCAATCCAGTTCGTTGGTGGGTAGATTGGGAAAATCGGGGATTCGGGGACTGTAGTTTAAGACGGATTCGATGACGATTCCGTGTTTTTTGCTATTTTGTTCGTTGCTTTGTTGGGCAGCGGATTGTTTTGCCCCCTTGCTAAGATTACGGGGTTTTTTTTTCCTCTGTTTGGTTCGTGATCAGAGTGAGTAGGCTGTGGGGGGAGGAAGGCTGTAGGAAGCAGAAGATTATGAATGGATAGTTTTATATACCACTCAAGCCCGTTGCGTAATACCTTGTCAACAACGATTTATCTTATCATTTCTTTCTCTCTTCCTCTCTTCCTCTCTTCTTCCCTCTCTTTTCTGGACATAGTGTATGTTGTTGTTGTTGTTGTTGTTGTTGTTGTTGTTGTTGTTGTTGTTGTTGTTGTTGTTGTTGTTGTTGTTGTTGTTGTTGTTGTTGTTAAAGAAAGAAATCAACATAACGGATAAATATATCTGCGATACTTTCTGGAGGTGATACAATAGAGTGAGGTTAGAGGCGTAGGAGAAGAATTAGAGTAGTAGAGAGAAGAGTGTAGGGATTTTATAAGGGATGTGGGGAGGGGTTGGTACATGTAGGGTATTAAGCACACTTCTTTTGTAAACTGTTCTGTGCCTGTCTACTTTTTGTTAACACTTTTTATTAGCTTTTTTAGGTGTAGGAAACATTGTGACTTCTAGTCAAAAAAGAAAATGTAGGGCATTGGGTAAGGGCGGGAAGGGAAGGGAAGAGGAAGGGTTTGATTAGTGGTGTAGGGGAGAATGAGGATTAGGTATGTTGGATGGCAAAATTCGACTTCAGGAGAGTGGTAGGAGAGGTAAGCTTATAGAAAAATAAAAATAGACGTGTAGTTTGTAAATCCCAGCCATGTATAAAATCAATGGGTTTGCAAAAAACAAAGCTATGAAATCTCAAGAATTTTCTGTTTTTCCCTTGCTCGTCAGACCGATGGGGGAAAAAAAAAAAAAAAAGGGTAACAACAATTCTACCACGGCCTAGCAAACGTCGAGACACCATTATACTGCCTACTAACCTCGACCAACCGCCCACAAAACTCCTTATCCCCTTTACTCATCTTCTTTCCCTTCTTCTTCTCGCAATGCACCTTCTTCAACTCTTTCCCAAACTTATCAATCGTCTTCTTGAATTTCGCCGTCGCGTCATCCCACTTCTTGTCCATGTGCTTGTTCCACTCATCTAGCAGCCCCTGTTTCTTCCACGCTTTGTACGTCACTGGATTCCCCGCCGCGTCCGTCCCCACATAAGGGTGGTTCTCCATCTCGGAGTCGAGTTTATCGATGATTTCGCCCATGCGTTCCTTTTGGTCTTTGAAGATTGTGGAGACTTTGGGGGAGAGGAGGTAAGTGCGAGCGCCGATTAGGAGACGCATGCGTTCGAGGACTTTGTTGCGGTTGGTTTTAGTGTAGGTGAGCATTGTTTTTAGGTTCCAGATGAAGGGGATTGTGTCGGTGAAGAGCTGTGCGAGCAGGAGTTAGTTTGCGCGAGGTCTTTTTTTGGGGGGTGGGATACGCGGGGAGTGGGAAGGAAAGAGGGGCTTACGTTTGCTTTTGCGGGCGCGTTGATGTTGGATTGGAGCCTGATCATTTCTTGTTGATGGACTTTGGTGGATGGGTACGCGCGCGCAATGTGCTGCCAGGGGGTGAGGTCTGGTCCGTTGTCGATGGAGAACTTGATGGCTTTGTCGTCTCGACCCCATGAGTTGATCCCTGCAAAACACTTTGTCAGAAAACGAGTCCCCGCAATTCTGTAGAGGGATGGCTAACAGTATGTGCAAAAGTCGACCTGGCCTGGATTCGACGGGTCCGGCGAGTCGAATTGCGTGGTCCCGAACTTGATCTGCATCTTGGCCCAGAAATCCGTCACCGTCTGCCATTCCATGACGTGCTCGCTGTGGTACTTGTTGCCCTTGATTTGGACGGTGCCGCCCTGCCAGCTCCAGTCGCAGTAGTCGTTTTGCTTCGAGTAGCCGTACGAGTCGACGTTATCCTGTTGTCCATGATGAGCTCGAGTTCGAACCGCATGGAACAATCGAACTAAGAGTGAGGGTACTTACATCAAGTTCGCCATTCTGGTCAAACGGGTCGCTTTGCAGAACAAACTTCTCGTTTCCGGGACTCTTGGAACAGGGCTTTCCAGATTTTCTGTCCGTCCGTTTCTCAATCGATCGGTCTTCCAGCAAGGCGCGTCGAGGGCTACGATTCTGGCTGGCGGGACTGATGTCCCGTTGGAAAAGCCCAATGAGGTCGACAGCACCTTCGAGATCCCCACCTTTATCCGGATACTTGATGCTGCATGGCGTAGTGTCTCTGCACCCTGAATCCCTCTTGCAAGAGTCGGAACCGGAGCTAGTAGGAGCCGGGCTCGAGGACGATTTCGAAGCTGGCTTATCGGGGGATTTGCTGGCGGGCGGTGCATCTTCCTTGGGGGGCTCTTTGTCGGTTTGCGACGGCTTCTCTGGCTTCTTCGACTTGGGTGGGTCAGGGACGGGATCCATTTTTTTGCAGCTAGACTTGTTCTTCTTCTTGCATCCGATGCTAGTACCCAGAGAATTCGGTGCTCCCGAAAGGTCACCTGCAGATGATTGTTAGACGTTTTTCTTCTACGCTCTTGAAGACGGCTCGTACCAAACATATCAGTGATGTCGAAGTTCCACTCGGGAATCCCGCAGGCCTTGCCAACCCAGTTGTCGAAGTAGCTTGCAGCATCCAGCCCATTCTCGACAAAGGACTTTGCACCCTTGACGAGACGTGCCGCTGCTTTCAATTCAATGGTGCCTGGAATAAAGTCCATGCCCACCTCGGCGATAGTCTTGAAGGTCTCAACGGTCACAGCACAGATGACTTCATCCAGCTTTTCCAAGCCCTTGATGACAGTATCCAGGAGTTCTTGAATGAGCTTCTCCGCATCTGCGTTCTCGCAAATACAACTGCACGGCACAAACGAGTCGCCATCCTGATCAAGCCAACATCAGCACAGTACAGAAGCCAAGAATCGATGGCGGACTCACCTCGTCTTTGAGAATCGATAGACTGTTTTCATTGGGTATGTCAATGTCTTTGTAGGCAGCGACGTCGCACTGGGCATAGCCGTGGTCGTTTTGCCCTTCGCAGTATTTGACACAGGTCTCCGTCAGAGGACTTTGCTTCCCGAAGTTGTCGAAGTAGTAGGCGCAGGTTCCGCTCTCCTCCCACGAGGCGGCTGTTTGTTTATCGGTCGTTACGTCGGCGGAAACAAGCGCACTGCTTGCAAGCAGTAACGCCCATGTCGGTGATCTCATATCGAAGAGATATAAACGCGGAAACCAAAAACGAAGCGAATGGAGACTGTCCAGCGAAATGGCAGTATCAAACAACAGAACGAATGTATTACTTCAAGATAGCTGTTTCCACGAGGCAAAAGAGTGTAGCCTCGACCGCTGTACCAAGCTTTTCTCTTCCGGAGACGTCGCAAATCCTTTATACATTCGGGACGATTGCATACAGCGCACGCCTCGAAATGTCACCACGTCCCCATGCTCGCCTCGTTGAATCAGTAACTCGAGAAGCGGGGCGCGTACCGGACCCCTAACTGCAACCTGTGCTTGTACATCCCGAAGGAGCCGACATAGTGGAGTCGCACCCACGAGCAGACCCGCATTGTACACGCGACAGAACCACCGTGCAGCAGAAACAGTTAGCCTGATCTTCGAGTTATATAGAGTTTACTCCCCGGATTCTTTGTTCGAAATAGTACAGGACATAAGGAAACGAAATCGTCTCGAAGAATCCAGTCACTTGTTACAGCTGTGAATCTCGCACGCTATACAAGCGCGAGGGAGCAGTCGCAAAGACAACATTGCCCTCCCTTCGCAGATTCCATAAGACTGAGAGCTTCGCAGCCCTCAGGGACCCCAATACTTCTATCACGCCTTATCTCCTCCAGCATGTTCCCAGCCGTCAAAAGCTCGGTTCAGCCTGACCTCGCCGATCAATCTCCCATCCTAGGGCTGATGCAAAACGTCTAGTCACCTGTCTTCTGGGGCTTGTATACATTAGCTTATCCAGCGGGACTGACACTCGGATTCCGCGTCTCTGTAGTTCCAACGTCTCCAATCGGCGCGACGATACAACACCGTCTCTTTCTAAACCGCTAAAGCGGCAATTCGGAGAGTCTGCACGTTACAATTTCGTGGAGAGATGTCTGGTATAGAGAAAGTAGTGCTGAACATTTCCAAACTCCAAGTCTTGTTGTGCATTCCCGCTCACACAGTCACCCCCACGTAAGCATAAAACCGCAGCAAACAAGACGCAAGTGCCGAGTTTCCCACGGGAAAACTCTTTTGGAATCGGTGCTCGAGAGATACTGTGGAGCCATATCCATCTACCTAAGTGGGAACGAAGTTGTTAGTGTCGAAGGGCGGCGGCCTTGCGACAACTAGCGCAACAACCTCGAAAGGGGGGACTAGTGGAAAAAAGGGTCAAAGTACTGTGCAATCAGAAACAAAGATGTGCATTGCCGACGAGAGACTTTGTGTTATTACCGCTTTCAATGGGATGGAGTGTCACTGGCGATTTCCCTTGGCCAGTAGATGTTTCGGGTTCGGGGAGCGATGACGTTTGGGGTTGAGTGGGATTAAGAAGCTTAGAGGATGGATCAGGCTAGTGACTACTATCTCGCGTAGAACTGGGTAGATATAGAATGGTGTTTCTGGGGTTGGGGGAGTGCATTATAAGATGCTGTGATTTAAGCAAGATGCTTGGTCTACCGACTCGCGACTTTGCGTTCGCCAGCTTATGACATACGGTACGGAGGATAGCATACCTACTTAAGTAGATATGATATAATGGCGGCAATCTAGCAAACTCAGTCAACACATTCTGCCCCCCACGAATTGCCGATTTCCAGCCGTGAAAAAGAACCCAATTAGATCTCTTAGAATCACCATCCAAGTAGATACGTTTCTCCCAAGTCCACAGCGAAACCCGACGTCGCTCACCATCACACCTTCCCAACCCTCCACGCGTTCTCAGGATCTCTCCACCCAAACACCTGGAACCGATCAAAAACAGACCGTGCCGCTAATTGATCCTCGCCATATCTCTCGTGTCCCCAATACTCAACAAGCTCTACTTTCTCATCTCCAATCCCCTGAAAGAGCTCCCGCACCTGCTCGCTGGGCCGCCACTTCCCCGTCGTCCACCAAAGCTGGCGCACAGCTGCATGATGCTGGCCAGGGGACGTATGCAGCCCATACGCTCCAGGTGCAGCGTACGTGATACCCCACGCCAAGTCACTATCCGGGTACCGCGACACCGTCGCCGCGTCCCCGTATTTTCCCTCGTCTGCATTCCACACAAGAGGGGTCCAGAGACAGGCTTCTTTGAGCACGGGCATGTTCCGCGCTGCGAGCGCGAAGGAAGTGAGGAACGGCGTTAGCATGGCGGGGTTTGGCTCGACTCTGAAGCGCTCGGTCGACACGTTTTCAGTGACGAGGCCGTTGTCGTCGATGAACGCGTCCCACTGTTTGTCGGAGGGTGTGTCGTGGAGCGGCGGGTATGCATTTTGATCTACTTCGAGCACGCTGGTGTTGTGGCCTTTGCCGTGCGGGCCCTCGAAGTACCAGTGTCCGGACGGACTGGACATGTGTAGTGCGATAGTCACGCTCTCGAGGTTCGGGTAGGATGTAGTGCGGCCGTCTGTAGGCCACAGCAGTGCAGCGTCCGCGACGGCTTTGATTTCCAGTCTCCGCAGATTGTGGGAGAGGAGGCGGAGACTCGTGCTGAATGGGTCGTGGGCTCGCGATCCTGCTAGATTCGGCAACGGCTGGCTTTGGTCGATTTCCTCGGCGTCGTGCATGGAGCCGAGGAGATCAAGCTGAGCCTGCCGTAGCGTTGACGGCATCTCAGCTTCCGCAACAGCCTTTGCGAAATCTAATCTAGTATCTCGCAATGGTCCTGCCCATATCCGGCGGTAATGCCGCGGGGCGTCCCCGGATATTGCTGTTGTCCATGCACTTCCGCCGTGGAGTTTGCATCCGAGGAATTCCAGGCGCGGGCATTGTACCGCTAGGTCGATGAGAACGCGTAGGTCGATATGCAGCAGCGATTCTGGCGAGGTTAGAGGATCGGCTGCGCGCGGGTTCTCGATGCTTAATGCGCGGACCGAGCGCAGTTTAGGAAGTGTGCTCGCGGAGAGGAGGTGCAGGCGCCAACTCACGCATTTGCGATGGGGACATGTCGTGTGTACTTCTCTGACAGGCGCGTATATCGTCAACTGCAGTCTTCCTTCCGACACGTCCTGCTCGACGGTTTTGATGGTGTCGAAGAGAAAACGGATTTGGTTGCTGAATGTGTTATCCATTTCTGCGAGTTCCTGCGCCGATTCGCGGCAGTCGTGTGTCTCGACTGATTCCTGGCTTTCCATTTCATTGGCATCGTCGTCATCGTCTTGGGCGTTACCATTTCCGCTCTCTCCGTCGCTATCGTCCCCGTCGTCCTCGTTATAGTCGTCCATCGTAAACCCCTCTCCATCATCACTGCCATCCTCCTCTTCACCCTCCATATCATGGTCGCAGCTATCCTCTTTGTACGCAGGTATGCGGACCTGGAATTTTACATGTCTGAGATATCCCCATCTCCGCCCAGCATACCGTTCACGAAACTTCTCCACATTATCTCGATCCAAACAAAACGTCGCAAACGCACCACAAGCGCGTTCAGAAGCATACCGAAACTCCCTCGAAACGGTAAGAGTATTCTGCAAATCCTCGCGCGGCAGGTACTCGCAGATGCGCTCCACCAGTTCCAGAGAGAGGTCTTCCATAACCACACGCAAAAGCTCGCAGAAAATCCGGGAAGGTGGACTGCAAAGGGGCAGTATAAGCGGGTAACTCTCTCAGGTAATGTCGCAAGATCCAAAAGACAGAAAAAGTAGAATATGCAATGATCACATAACAGACTCTAGAGAAAGAAAAAGTGGGTTTCCAGGCTCCTTGCATAGTGGGTAAACGCGGATTCATTCTAGTGCGCGCGCGGAGCTGCAAGCAAGCAGCAACCTTGCTTCACTCGAGCCGCGCCATGTTCCGAGGAGGATCGATGCATTGGTGGAAAGGCAGCAGGAACGTTCATTCTTCACCGGTCGGCGGACTCCTCTTAACGTATCGCATCCGCTAACTGCTAGTTTGATATCCGGAAATAGATGGACACGTGTAGCGAGGCGCCTTGCTGTGGTAGCGTCACTCGCCACGCGACGGGAGCCAGGTACCGGGAAGCTAGCCACACGGTTACCAGACTCACCGATTAGGGTGATATCTGTTCTTTTGGGGGCGATGTTTGTGGGGTGTATGGGAGGATTGGTGAGTAAGGAAACTAAGTCTATTATTTGATCATCGCATATTCCATGCAATCATTGAGAGTGCGTTGGGAATTGGGTTTGTGCACTCTCGCGAGTCGGCTGCCGGACAGTGGTAAATGCGCATATCATGATAGATTTAAGGAGGCGATACCTGTCTGCCTTGCTATCGGTTTCGGGGGAGAGAGAGATGAGAGAAGCTGGCTGTGCTTGTTGTGCTTGCATCATGACTGCCGATCCACGGGCTAACTATATACATATGAAGTATACTTTCCGCGCACCGTTAATCGACATGCTTCGATGACGACGGTCACGATATCGGATATACACATTAATTAATACTTTTCGTTGACACCGAGGCAGAACTCATCGATCGGCCGGAACTCGAATCAACAACAGAGAAGCCAAGGACACACACACACGGTATCAGATGGCCTGATTTCGCCATGGAACATGCACACCAAGACTCTCTGCGACCCTCATGGCAGAAACAACACACCCCTCCAACAGCACCATGCCATCCCAGCACCAGCCCCCAACCACCCACACATTCTCATCTCCATTCCTCCAGGAGCTCGGTTTCTCATCAACAGCGTAGGATGCAGCGGTGGGGTGATCGTCGAACATGTCGTTCACAACACGTCTACTCCGCGTCGTCCTTAGACCTCTGTGAAAACTGGCGGATTTGAGCACATTCTGCGCCGAGGAGAGGTCGTTGAAGGGACATGTTGTCACCATTGCCCCTGAAGGATACACGTGGATGGACTCTGTTTGCGCGAGGGTGGCGGAGGTGCGGAAGTGCAGGGTATGCGGTGCGTTGTGGCCCGGCGCAGGACATGTTGATTGACGGCGAAGTCGCGCATCGCCAGCTTGCACCACGCTTTCGACGAGCGTGGAGGGGATCTGCGACATGGCTTTCTCGAGCGGCTGGTAGATTTTCCCAACGATGCCCGGGGCGACGGCGAGAACCACGTGGTCGAAGGTTTCGTCGCGGCTTGCGCCATTCGAGGTACTCGATAGGATCCTGACTTTGCTGTCTGGAGTCGCTTCGACTTTGTTGACCACGGTGGAGAATCGGACGGGTATGCCAGCGCCTAGCTTCTTCTGCACTTGGTCCAGCTCCGTGACGGTGAAGTGCTGCTGGCCAGCCGATCGTTTCTTATACTCGATCAAGTCGGCGGCCGGGAATTGAAGGAGCGCTGTATGTGTGCATGTCGCCACGCTCGCCATTAGAGGTAACAAGTACAACTGCACGAACCGCCGCGGAAGCATGATACGTCGCATATACTCTTCCAACGACTCGCATTCGCGGTCCCGCGTCGCGGGATTAGGCGCAACCCAGAAACAGCACAACGCCCACCAGAGATAGCATACCGCGACATAGACGATGTCGAAGAGCCAGGAGACGAAATTCGCGCTTTCGGGCCGAATAGGCGGGAGTCGGTGGTTGTTGGAGGTGTGGATGAAATAAGGGTCCGGAGCAGCGCTGGTGGATTTTTCCGAGAATGTGTAGATGAAGCGTTGGCGATTATATTGAATGTCGAGGTATTTGTACATGCGAATCAAGTTGTTATAGTAGCCCAGCGCGAATGCGCGCATGGGCACGTCGATGCGCTCTACGATGTGTTTTGAGGATTCATCGCGGATTGCGACGGAAGCCGAGTCGAAGGAGAAATTCGCGGCCTTTGAATTCTATATTAGACAGTGGAATGGATGGAAATGACAGAAAAATCAGGGTCGACGCACGCATTCTAGCACAGTGACTGCATACCGTTGATGGCGGTCGCTGTGAAGAAGATGGGCGGTAGCCAATCCAGCCAGGCCGGAGCCAACAACGGCGACCGTTTTCTTTGCGCTACCGACGTTGCGCTCCGTGGAAGCCATGTCGAAGAGGCTCTAGAAGGTTTATGCTTGGGTGCATATAGTCTCGTAAAGCAGATCCCGTGGTGGGGGGTCCTTTTTTAACGGTCAATTGATCACTGCCAAGGAGGAATGGCCGGCCGCGTACTCTCGTCAGCTGTCACAAGCTTTTCTTGTTTTCTTGTGTACTCCGAGGTTCGATTTTTCTTTCGCTGATTTGATCACAAATCAATGCTTTTATTCGACATTTATTGCCTGTAACCAGCCTTCAGGTGGGGGGGAGTGGTACAATTACGTTGTTCAATTCCGAGGTTGAATTTTGTGGGAAGAAAATCCTGGCGGATTATGTAAGCATCATGGGGTGATCCAAAACGGCACCGGTTTTGTTTCATCTTCTGATTCCCTCAATCGAGTCAAGGGAAAGACGGTATCGAAACGAAAAAGATGGACGAGTCAAAGAATCCCTTGTTGATTGTCTCGGTGACACTTGCAGTGCTCCTCGTGGCCAGATGGATAATCCGAACGCGAACCATGGATGGACCCACCAAGAAGCCTCTGTACCGCGTGGACCATAGCGTGCTGAACATACCCTTACCACTCCAATCCTTGTGGATGAACATGGGATATTGGAAGGTGTGAAATACTATCCGGGTCGACGCCCTGACACGTTGTTCGCTGACACGTCGTGGCACACAGGACACGGACGATTTCCCAACCGCATGCCGTGCTCTCCTCGAACAAGTCTTGAAGCATGCCCACATCCTCCCCGACGAAGTCTCGGAAAAATCAACCAACCCCAACGGAAATCAATCTCTGAGCATCATAGACCTAGGCTATGGCTGCGGAGACCAAAGCCTCTACATCCGGGATACCTTCAGCCAATCCGCCCAAAACGACCCCCAAAACACCAAACAAACCCACCTAAAAGCCTACATCGGCCTGACCCTAGAGCCCTCACACTTTGCCACCGCGCAGAAAAGGCTGGATTCCACGACTTTATCCACACCTCACACGGCCCCCTTCACCATCTTCTGCGCCGACGCCGCAAACCCCTCATCCTGGACCCCCCAAATCCACACCGCCATCTCCCACGCGTCCCAACCCCCCAACGACCCAGCGCATCCCCACCATCTCTGGATCCTCGCCCTAGACACCCTCTACCACTTCCAACCATCCCGTTGGCCCGTCCTCCACTACGCAAGCACCACCCTAAACGCATCCCTCATGGCGTTCGACCTCTGCACCGCTGACACCCTTTCCCTCTGGCAGCGCATCGTCATCAGGTTCCTCACCTTCATGGGTCAAAGCCCTGCCGCGAATTGGGTCACCGTCTCCGAGTACCGCGATCGTCTCGTTGAAGCAGGGTACGCGAGGGATAAGATCGCGATCCACGATATCTCGGAATTCGTGTTTGGGCCTCTGCATGGGTTTATGGAGAAGAGGGGGAGAGAGTTGGAGGAGCTGGGCATGTCGATTGGGAGGTTTCGGTATGCGGGGGGGATGTTTGGGTGGTGGGGGAGGTCGGGGGTTGTTAGGGCGTGTGTTGTTGTTGCGAGGAAGTAGGTTGAGGTGTTGGGAGTTGATTGGCATTTCTTAGGGACGTGTTTGGTTGGTGTAAGCGTGGTATATATACCTGCTATTATTACACACTTGTGAACTTTGTTATTCTCGTCGTTCATTCCTGAGAATCTGTAAATTGGCCACGACAAGTTTAGCCACAGAACAGTGGCCAATGCGGTACGTAGCCCTCCGCTTCTACCACGAAGTCCAAACATCAAAGCACGCGAAAAATTTCACAGGATACTTAGAACAAAACTAGAGCATCTTGCTATAGCCATTCCCTACAGTGTAAACCAAACTAAGCAAAAACACTCAAATTACCTATCTTTCTTTTAGTAGAACGAAAAGTCCAAGATGAACGAGTAAATTAATTCTTCTAAGCGAGAAAAAAAAATTAAGAGGGAAACAGAAAAAGCAGATATTATCTCTTTCCTCTTTCCTCTTACTAAGAAAGAAACGTTAGAAAAATAAAACAAAACAGCATCCTCTACATACTTGTTATCCCTATTACATTTACAGGACTATATAATAAAATTAAACACACATTACTTACAACTACTCAAACATACACATACGTATTATAGAAAACATGCTATAACTTTACTCTAAGCTAGCACTATAAAAAGCAAAAAACAAAGTTTAGTTCTTATTAGCTTAAAACGATTGATAGCAGTCATCAATAATATTAAAAAAAAATAAAAACTATTACAAAGTGAAAAGAAAGAAAGGAATGAAAAAAAAAACGTATTATTATTCTATCCATCTATCTATCCTTCCTCCAAATTTCCTCAAAAAGAAGAAGAAGAAGAAGAAGAAGAAAACAATTACTACTTCCGCAGTGCATTCGTTCACGCTATAGTAATGTTTTAGCAACAACAATGGACTTGCATGAGTGTAAGTGAAAGCTCGTTTAATATAGATAAGTATATGTGTGTAAGAGAGAGAAAAACTTACCTACCCTACTCGCATACATATATGAGTTTAAGCTGGAGCGCTGGAGCCTAAACAGCTGAAAGCACGAGCTCTGGGTTTACCAGGGGGTCCGTCAATGAGATTTGTCGAATGAGAGGAAGAAAAAGACGCAATGGTCTTCCTGATTAAGAGCATGTCGCGGATGCGTGATAGGACCGATGGTTTGTTTTTGTGCAGATTACATGGGGTGGCCCTGCAGTGAGACATGGGTGAGTGATGGCTGGCAAGCATTCGCCGCCTTGTAGCGTTTGGACATGGACAAGGTGGGTTGTTGTGCTGTGCTGTGCTGTGCTGTGCTGGACATGGTTGTGAGCGGGATTTACTGTGTAGAGAGGTTTTCGACGGGATGTCTTACGGGTAGCTAATTGGCTTGGACTTTTTCCACGCGTGGGCTGCATGTCTGCTTAGTCGCGGTGCGGCGGTGTGGGATGTTGGTTAGGTAGGTCGCAGATAGAATGCGCTGCGTCAAGGAGGGCCGCGTTCCTCGTAGATGGAATCGACCATCCTAAGCAGCTGGTCCTCGTCTAAATCATGCTCGACTCCGATTCTCGCCATGACGTCGAGTTGTTGTCGTATAGGGCTTCGGTGTCGAGGACGAGTAAGGAATACAACGAGGTTACACGCGGCGTTGTTGACTCTTTCGAAGATACCGACGTTTCGAGCTTCTTGGAGTAAATAGCGGTTCTCTTCCAAGCGCAGCCAGTCTCTGTAGGGAACCTGCATGAGCACTTTGCGATTGGCGAAGTCGATTTTCATGCGGAGAGTCGTTGCGAACGGTCGTCCATTGAATTGTACCCACGGGATATATCGAGGCGGCTCATCGAGATAAGTCTGGAATTTTACGCTTTTGGTTTTGGGGACAGGGATGTCGCCGGGGGCGTTTTCGAGCTCGTTGGCCAAGCGAACGTTGATCATGTGGATTAGCGAGGCTTCGTCGTGTTCGTGGAAGAAGGTCGCGTCGCGTGGATTCGCTGGCACGCGCTGGATGGTTCGCGCGCCGCCGGGGAGCTCGAGGTATCTCAATTGGTCTCTGAACTCGTCGCCGTGCATGTTGTGGTAGGGCATGGAGGTGACGGACCCGCCCAGCGGGATCATCATAGCCTCGTGGTTGCAGCTGAAGTCGATCACGACGCAGAAGGAGTTCGCCAAGAGAGCCGTTATGCAGTGCGTCAGGTCGTTTTGATTGGCAGAGCCTGCTCGCGCAAGGGTCCGGACATGGCTTGCGTAGTGCTGGAGTTCAGGTACGCGGTACAGTGCGTGTCGTAAGGCCGTCGTGGTTTGCAGGGCAATATCTACGCAGGATCCGTACGGTGCCGTTGCACACCAGCTCTGCGCGGCGCTGACGGCCTGGGCGCGCTCCGTGCCCGTCGCTTCATCGCGGAGGAGGGGGAGTCGCCGGTAGTAGTCCCAGAAATGCCATGTGCTCCAGTTGGTGCGTTCGATGTAGTACTGGGCAATGCTGTTTGCGATGTAGTAGATGTGGTCTTCTGTGGAGGGGAAAGGGGCAGTCATTGGAAGAGGTGGAGGCAGAAATGAACAGATGTTCACGGTCCGATCCTGCCATCTATATCTCTCGTAGGGAGCCAGCACATTGTCGTCGGCTAGTGAATGGCTGATTACGGACAAGGTATCCCCACACTGACCGGTGTGGCTGTACAGACTGGCATCTTGGTGTTGGAGGCTTGGACATGACGAGTTGTACTTGCCTCAGGCTTCAGGGTAGGTATGGCCAGTATGAGCGGCAAAACTCGACGTCATCCAGATCTAGATTCTTCATTCCTCATTATGTGCGCGTTTGTTTCAAAGACCGAAGATCAATTATATACAAGTAGCCACCCAAACTCGATCGGGAAAAAAACAGTGTACGTATGAACCATATACGGAATACTCAAGGCATACACAGCAGCCTGCATCACACATCTGTACCTCCACCTCGATCACTAGTGTGCAGCTTTATACGAAAACAGTTCCGGGTGTACGGCGAATTTTTCTTCCTCGTCCAAGTGATCGTAGAGTTCTGCCCAAGTACCGCGCAGCTGAGGCGGAATCTCCCAAGGGGCATCAGCCCGATCATCATGCAGGATAAGCCGAAGCAGATACCTCCGAGTGGTGTTCTCCTCCTCGTTACCGTCAACAAATGCATCACGCGAGTGCATCATCTGTAGATTGCTGAAGAACAGCATATCGCCGGCTCGCATGTCGATGCGCTTTGCAACAGTCTGGCCCGCTGCGTGCAGAGCATCTACTGCCTCACTTTGCTTGGGGGTCAAAGGGGGCAGTGAAGCTGGGCGTGGCCGATCCGCCGTACCGAACAAGCGTGAGCGCGATGCTTGCACAGCCATTCGACCAGATGGCAGAGTGAAGAGGAGTGGCCGCTCATCGTAAGCACCATCTTCCTTGGCACTGCGCATTCTCATTAGTGCCATTCGCGCGCTTTGAGGAGCAAGAGGCCGCACTTTATGTTCAAGAATGGTTTGCGCAACGTCGCTAGTATGTCTGGTCTGCTCGAGACGATTTCTCGCGCAATGTCGTGGACGTCTGCCAAGTAGATATCGCCACCAAAAGCTGCCTTGGACAGCAGGTAAAAGGATAGAATTGACCCATAATCGGTGTGGAATGGCTGACGATTACTTTAGTAGCTGTGGAATGGAGGCTGAGTTGACTGGAGGGTTTGTGCCTACCAATGCAATACTCCTGTTAGCTGGTCCGCGGTATGATTCTGTGGCGTTTGCGCACGAGGTCATTTCAGTTACATGGTCTACAGAAAAGCTCAGTACATGCTTTGGGACATTGGATATAAGGCGCTGTACGGAGAACGTTTGGGTCACCAGGGGCCAGTGCTCGTTTTGTTCCTACATGGCTGGCAATACCCGTAAAAATCACTACATTCTTGCGCTTATCGAACCACTGAGGCTTCAGACCTCGGATGATAAAATATGGCTGTGTAGAAGGAAGCAAAGCGCGTTGTTTGCTGATTCTGCCGGATAGAGTTGGCAGTGGAAAGTTCTCGGCCTGCAGTTTGTTCAAGGGCAAACCAGACACTAACATTTTACGTCAGTCTACATCAAAAGCATCGCTGTGATGCGCTTACGTTCGAAAACGCTATAAGCCTCTTCAATCTCGCGCAGGTCTTGAAGCGAGAGCTGTAGAACCGGGTGAGTCTCTGTAGAAACGGCATTGCGCGGATTGGCAGGTTGTGGCCCCAGGTCTACCCAAGAAGCCCCCGGAAGTGATTGCGCATGGCCAACGCGCAACTTTTGTTTGAGCTCTGCGATTTTCTCGGCAGATGGCGTGTACCCAGAGGAGTCGGAAAAGGTCGTCTCGACTCGTGAACCCATTGTACCAGCCTGGAGGCAGTCTGAACGGTATTATTTCACGGCCAAATTCTCGAGCAAGCGCAAGGGTCAGCGTGCCGAAGTTGGTCTCAGAGACGGCTCGTCAGCTCGTCCCCTCTTAACTCGCCCTACGACTTGAGCCTCAAGCGATCCGTCGCCTGATCAAGCAGAGCGGGGTGAGAAGGCAAACGCAAGTCAGGGTATCAATTTGATAAAGCTGCAGAAATGACCACACCAGAGCTCTCGCTTCAGGGATGTAGAAGTGGGGGACGGCTGAAGGTGTTGAGCTCGCCCAATGAGACAGTGCAGCCAACACCACGACGATGGAAACCATTTGGAAGGTCGGGTGTTCTGCCTTATCAGGGTGTGGAGTGCGATATCATGATTTGTCTGCAGACTGAGCAAGCAACTGGATCGCATCGTCCCAATCCTCCCTCGTATTGGCATTGAACAGGCTGTGGTCATATAGTGGGGGGATTCTATTTCCCTCAAGCCTATCGACCAGTTCAACGAGGTGTTGTCGGGACGACAAGAAATGTGTGGCGATATGCGAAAGCGCCATGGGATTCCAGATTCCCACCAAAGGTTCCGTGTGTCCTTGGGCGTTCTCAAAGCAAGTGACGGGATCTCGATGCTGTTGTAGCAGGTGTCTCAACTCGGGAGCTGTCAGCAGCGGATAATCGCAAGGAATGAACAACCAATGACATGTGGTGTTGGAGCTGAAAGCTGCCAAGAAGGTCAGCGCAGGCCCTCTTGGGCGCATTCCTCGAGCAGAGGCGTCTACACAAATAGTCCGGGCATTCAACTCTGGCGGAATCGGTGTGGAAGAGCACTGTGAGCTGTCGCGAAGAAGCAAGCACAAATCCTGTACATCAGGAAAGGCCTGGCGGAGCATTGTTAGCCGACTGAGGTATACCGGCGTTCCGTCTGCATCCGGCAGAAGATGCTTGGAAGTACCCATGCGAGCAGAATCGCCAGCAGCCAGCAATGCGATACTTAGCCTCGGGCTTGAATCGACGGACACTGTCATAATGTATACAGGTGTGGTGGTGTATACGGAGGATTTTACGTGGCTGGTCCCTCGCTCTTCTACTGCGACTCGACGTGCTTCGGGCCTGATAAAAGGCTTCCCGTCGGAGATGCCTTATTGACCGAAAGTGTATTGTCTCATGCAAGATTCTCGTGATTGACGTGTCGTCCGAAGAGTTCGGTGTAGATCTCGGTGAGGGTTCAGGCGAGCGTATGTGTGCCGTATGTGTTATGTGGTACGTAATCATCCAATCACCATCTTGAAATCGTAACAGGGGTAATACCGAAGAAAAGCCTATACGGTGGGTTCGTAACCAGGCCCGTAGCCTCATAGAGAGCGGGATCCAGCCTTCGAGTTGAGGGCTGAACGAACGATGGTTTTCGCTCACTTCGAACGGGAAGGACCCTTATGTGATCCCGTTTCTGACGCCCGCCACTTGTTCCTCCCAGACCGCTCCTCGGGCGAACATGAATCGCCGAAGTTCGCTATCAGGCGAGGGGGCGCCTGATGCGTTCAGAAGACCAAAAAGGTCCCCGGATCACCTTTCGCATGGCATGACTTTGCCAACTTTGCCAAAGCGGAAGAGAATGAGCCAGGACCTAGGGGATTACAATGCCGTGCATCAATATGTCCTCCTCGCGGCGGCCGATGTTCTCCATGTACCCGTGGAAAGGTTGCTCTCCATAGCAGAATCGCCCTCATCTTCGGACATATTTGAAACTTCATCTAGCACGAGTTCAAATGACCATGGACATGGATCTACTCCGCCTGATAGTTCTGGTTCCGAGAGAACCTCACATGTCGTCAGGTCGCGACTTGTCAGGAGACCAAAGGCCCACCCAGCATTCCACCAAGGCCACACCTCTCTGGCAACCCATGGAAAGGCATTTACTGGTGGCGTTGATAATTTCATGTCCGATCAGCTGTTCGAGAACTTGGATACGGAACCTCTCGATGATTTATTTGCCACTGAAGAACCGACACCTGCCATGTCTCAGGACAGCGGGATAGAGATGGGAGACAGCAACATCTGGCCGGAGTCTTCGGTATCTGAATTTTCATTTACTTCATACGATCCTCAAACCACCGGTCATCAGTCTACCACGCTTCTACCAACCGTAGGACCGCTAGCTGGAATGGACGATTTTTCCTTTAGTAACTACGCGGAGATTCCGTTCCAGATGAATCAAAGCTTGCAGGACCTTAATGAGCTCAATTACTCAAATGGTAGCTGGAACGTCGCCCCCTCCAACGCTATTCGACCAAATGTTGACCTATTTGCCCTTAACCCTGGTGTTCAATCTGATCTCAAGTCCTTCCCCAAGGAGAGTGGCTCCAAAGGCAGACGGCGTGGTCCATTCCGTGCAGAAGAGCAAAGGCAGGAAACAGGGTTGACTAGGAAGCTTGGGGCTTGCATCCGCTGTAGCTTGCATCGTATCAGAGTAAGCGTTCATCTAACCCATCGACTTTCTACAGCGGTTAATGAATGAAGTGTATTCCGGATCCGAACAGTCCTTCGGGCTGCTGTAAGACATGCACCCAGGCTTCACATACTAAAGCACGCTGGCTGCCATGTCTACGCTACAAGATCATTGACGCGGAACTCTTGGCCCATGACGTCTGTCCAAGACCCACGTGGACTACGAGATGGAAGAAGATGGAGTTGGTCGATATTTCCACGTGGGCATCGAATTCCATCAAATCCATTCAGTGTACTCAGGATGTTGGGAATACATCCTACACGCTCCAGGTCCGCGAGTTTAAACCAATCGAGGGAGACGCTCTGTCTCGGCGCTGGAAGATTGACGGCATTCCCTACACGTACAATTGCACCAACTATGCTGTTGCAGACATGAGAGAAGCCGGGAAAACTTTGATGCAATTCGCGAAACAATCGCTTCCAGTGGCCATTAATCATTGGGTCGATGGCCAAGACTCGTTACTGAGACACACGTATAATATGGCTTATAGTTATTCAATTGACGCCGGAGTACGTTTTCTTTCTTCTTCCCCCGATCGATTTCGCTAAACCGCCATGAAGCTTAGAAACGAAGATCGCGAATTGCTGAGCGCTACTTTGCAATTGTGGGCAGCATCTCGTATGATGTCCAAGGCTGCCCATATCTGCGGTCGGGAGACTCTAGGCATGACGAGGCAGGACTTTGGCCCCAAGTCTGCCAGCACCAACAAGATCCTGATGCCTCCTGTCTTCTCCGCTCAGATGGAAGTCATATTCGTGACGATGATGCTCCAGCCCCTCAAGAAGGAAATTCTCGATAGACTCAAGGTGCTCGTGGGCGAGAATAACCGTCGTTCTTGGCTGGCGATATATTTATGCATCTTCTTGTTGCTCCACAGCTGCGCTCTATTAACAGCAAGAGATCGAGAACGAGCAGTCATGCAAGGATTTCCCGTATGATCGCTGAATAATCCGAAGTGAAAATCATAAGCCACTAACAGATACGCAATAGTTACGTTTCTACCGCCCTCGAGTGATTGACGAAATCCACAACGGCGCCAAGATACTCCTAGCGTACTTCCACTTCTGCAACAGAGGAAGTTTCCCGCTACACATGGACTGGACATCCGCGGACCAAATCGCACTGGCCGAGCTGAAGCCCGAGCAGATCAAATTCATGCAGAACAACGTCAAAGAATACGAGAAGAAGTGTATGTACTATCCGCTGAACTAAATTCGCTCATCTAACAATACCGCCAGCGTCACACTTCCGACACATTCTTGAAAACAAAATCTACGAGGATGAGTTCTACTTCATTGCCCAACTCTACGAGAAAGATTGGAAGCCCAGACACACAGTGTAACAGTCTCAGAAAATCTTGGTCAGACTTTCTTTGTCACCTTAATCGGGTATTTCTTATATTCAACACGAGTTGTCAGCACACGGGACTAGACGTAAAACTCCTAGCTGAAAGCGAGGTTTTGCACATGATACACATAGAGCATTGTTTGGAGTCGGTCATTACTAACGACGTTTACGATCAAATTCCAATCCGGGGAATATACTCTCGACGGCTAATGTCCGTCATCTCAACTTTTTAACGGCCACCGTACATTCCAATACTCTTAATATTCAATATGTAATGGTACATTTAAAAATCTAAATTCATTGAGTTGTATTGTCTTTCACTTGGTACTTTGAAATGAACATTGCGCAGAGACTATATGCCCAAGTGATGCATGATCTGTTCCCTGCGCAGTACCTTCCAATCATGCAAAACCGAGCTCGACAGCCCATATATCTTCTGTTTCCCCCTACAAAATAATCAAGGTGTGTATATGGCCATGGTAATTCAAGTCCCCGTTCGACATCTTTTCCCGCTAAGTCCACCGACAAAGTACCAGTAATCATCACGGTATCACCTCTCCATTACACCAAGTCTCTACATCATACCAAGCAACAAACTCCCTTTATTTTCTCAATTTTCTTTTTTTTTAGTAAGTAAGTCTCCCACCGCATGCGCAAAAAAAAATCACGCAAATCTCACGTGATCCCCTTCAACCCCACCGCACACAAACAACCCCCACATCCCCACCCTCCACCATCATCCCAAGATCTGCAAACCCAGCCGTCATCCCCCAACGCCACGTATCCGCCTCCCTTCTCACTCAACGAGGATTTCGGTGAAAATTCGAGGACCGCGCGGAGTGATCCTGCGAGAGATTCGGTGACGCATGTTCGGTGTCGAGACCGAAGGTTTCGGTGAGAGATGGGATGGAGGGGATTCGGTTAGGCGACCGGGAGAGGGAGGGGTTGCGTTGCACACACTCACCGAGAGGATGCGCATGATCTGACGTGCATTGCATACGAGGACTCGGCGGATTTTTGTTTGATTGCACACAACACGGATTGATGTGTACGTGGAACTCTGCGGGAATAATCACGTGTGTTTTTTTTTAGTGGGGGTAAAAAGTTTGGACGTGGGGATTTCTGAGGTTTTAATGTGGTGAATGTTTGGATTTGGATATTGGATCGTTCTGTGACTACGGAAAACGGTCTATATAATCTATCTTCTGATTATGATGTCTAGGTCGTGGAGTGATGGAAGGGGTGTTTCGAGATAGTAAAGTCGTGTTATTTGCACGTTGACGCTACTCCAGTCTGAACATACTCTGCGCTCATCACTACGCTAGGCTACAGCCCCTTGGCATACATACACCTCTGGAACTAGCATGCAGTCCCAATTCACTGCCGTGGATGCTCGGGCAGCGTATGCAGGTTGTTCGCTCGTACCTGATACAGCCCTACCGACCCATCGACCTGTTCCCGAAACACGTATATGTGTTGTTCAGAGTTCGGTCGTCGGTCAGCACCGATTGGGTGGGCGGTGCAGGTGGGTATTGTACATGGTGACTGGGGTGGCATAAAGATACTTCAGTTTATATGAGGATTTATATAGTGGAGTATGTATAACCCTTGACTAGTTGTTCAATGATGCGGGTAAGAGAAAAGCTTGTTCGGATTCGTTGGAGGAGCGTGTAGCGGACGTGTAAGCCTGGTGCTCGGGAAGGCGTTTTTCTTCTTTCCTTTTGGCGAGAGGATATGCGGGGAAGGACTAGGTGAGTAGGTAAAAGGGGTGGAATCTCATCAGACGGCTGTTGTTTGTTGTCTAGTTCGAATGTTAGTCTGGAGAGTAGATTGACGTGTTCATTTCGCTCGGTGTGCAAACGTGTAGGTAGATGGTGGGCAGTGGTGGTCACTCTTTCTCTCACTCACTACACGTATATATACATACACATGGCTACAAAATCACAACTTAGCATCTCTTCAAAATCCATACCACCGCAAACAGTAGAACGAGATCTATAGAAAGTCATCGTACACGACCACCCTTCCTCTATCTTCTTAGACAACTACGCCTTTTTCTTCGAGACCCCAGCAGAGACGGCTCGCGACACACTACCGACGCCTACCCACCCTGGTCGACCGCTGGATCCCTGCTCCATATCACCACCCTACTTACTCCCACCCTTCTCACCGACTCGCAACCAATCACAAACCGCTTCTACAACTGCAAACATGGTCGCCCTGCCCACAACCGTCCAACCACGACCCACACACCTCGAGCACACGCGGCCATACACAACACTTCTATCCTACAACGGTACTTATTCACCCTCCTCCCCTTGACCCTTTTCTCAAATCTTGTCTCTCTCAATACTTGCTTTCTCGTCTCAGCAAGATAATTGACAAACCCTACGCCAGACTTTGAAAGCAACTCTAGTTTCCAGCTCAGCAGCACAACCTCCAACACCTCGTCATCACGTAGCGTCAACACCAGCTACCATTCTTCTGCAGCTGGAACATACGGATCAGAACACACGCAATACGCGAGCATGAGTTTCGCGGAGAGGGTGAGGCGGGATACTACTGGTGTTGGGGCGCAGTTTGAGCGCGAGGGCGGGAGGAGGAGGTAGATGTACTGTGTTAGATATTGATGAACAGATTATAAATGGACGATGAGCTGGCGGTAGTAGATACCCAGGTGTAGCGGTGATCTTTGTTTCTTTTGGTTTGGGTAGGTCGAGTCTGTTCTTTGGTGTTATGAGTAAATTGGGAATCACTGTTATTCTTTCGTTGTGGGCGTGGATGGAATGTTTTGATACAGGGCCCAGTTGGTACATATACGTAGATCTAGATGGAAAAGTTACATATAGGCTGTTAGCATAAACAATGGAATTGAATTGCATCACAATCATGACCCATGAAACGGTTCGTAGCTGTGAGCCTGTGACTCGGTGCTTCCATCACTCCGAGACCAGACCTTCAGACTGCTAAACTAATCTTTACGCTCCCCAATCACCGGATGTCTATGCTCATCTCCATAACTCCCAACTGTAGGCATGCCGCCTCTATCTCTCGGCAATACGCCATTCAAGAATACCCCTACAATAGCCGCAACGACAAACGGCGTCTCAACCGCCAGGTTGATCCCCTGCTCAAACCCCACTAAATTAACATTCGGCCCACTATAATCCAAAATGCTCTTAAACCAATCCGGCTGGCAAATATCCATGAACCCAATCCCCAACGCAACAGTAAGAATAAACCGATCCCGCCTCGTCCAAGCAATAAGCGCAAGAACGCGAATCCCCGCAACAGCGATAGTGCTGTAGAGAAAAACCTGCATACCCCCGAGAACAGACGGCGGCATGCTAGCGAAAACAGCGCCGAACTTCGCAATGATACCCATGAGGATGAGGAATGCGCTGGCGCACCACCCAGCGCGTCGAGAGGCGCAGCCAGTAAGGACGATGACGCCGTTGTTTCCGGCTTGTGATACCATGGGGGGTCCGGTGCCTAGAGCGCTGAAGAAGCTTCCCAGGCCGTCGCAGAGGATCCCGCCTTGGATGCGGGAGTTGAAGTCTGTTCCTTCAATGGGGACGCTGGAAAGTTCTGCGGTGGCGAGGATGTCGGGGATACAGCTTACAGCCTGACAGGCGAACATTATAATCATGGGGAGAACGAGGGCGCCGTCGACGGATAGTTTGAAGGTGTGCACCCAGAGGAAGGTGCCGGATGGTGCGCGGTTGAGCTGCTCCGTAGACCAGTAGCCTGTGGCGCCCGAGACGATGCAACCTACAGCTAAACCGATAATGACGGACGCTGAACGCATCAAAGGGGCTCCGATACTCTCCACTAGAACGATTGTGGCGAACACGCTGAAGCCGAGGCCGATTAGTTTCGGGTCGCCCCAGGGAAGTGGCTTGGGCGCAGAGATATTGGGACAGAGTTCGTAGAAGCCTTCTCCGCCGTGGCAGTTGGAGCTGCCGCCCCAGTTCTGCAGGCCATTCCCGACTAAGTAGACGCCGATGAGGGTGAGTAGACTGCCGGTAATGAGTTTGGGGAAGAGTCTGTTCAGGATCTTCGGTGGAACAAACGCCATGCCGATTTGGATCCAGACGCAGCAAAGCATGGTCCCCAGACACGCGCCCCAAGCTTCAGGACACGGTCCTTGAGTCCCGTCTTCGAGACTTGGACATGTACCAGACTTGTATCGGAGCGCCGCATAATTGAAAACAATGGGGAGAATATCGAAAGTGGGACCGACAACTGAGAGTAGCCCTGTACCAATAAAGAAGGGGGTTTTCATGATATGGACGCGGGTGACTTGAAGCGCTGTCGCAAGACCTGTGGTTATGAAGGCGGTGGACACCAAATATTCGGTCATAGCTGGGTCAAGATTGAAAGCTCCAGAAGCGATGGCCAGAGGCGGAGAAACGATGGAACCGATCATACACAACGCATGTTGAAGGCCAAGTAAGATGGTGAGCAGGACAGGAACCCGGTCGTTCAGCCCATAGAATGGAGCTTGATAGTCTCGGTACTTTTTGTTCAGAGGCCAGATATTAGGCGTGATAAGATATAGATAATCCTGAACACTGTAAGTCTGTTGGTAGCAGTGATTTTTGAGTCCCTGATCGTACGTAGTCGCCTATCCAACCATCTTTGGTGGTGAACGTATACTTGAGCTCGGCAAGCGTTTCTCCCCATCTAGTGCTGACGGTTCCCTTGCTCACAGAAGGAGAGTATGTATTCGGCTCTATCGATTTTTGCAACACGCCAGCATCCGCAGACGTCATCTTCGATTGTGATTAGCGTGCCTTGGACTTGGGAGTGAATGGGTGGAGGTCCGAGGAGCTGCGTTGGCGTGAGATCTCATCTTAAGTATATACATTGCATCGTAGCCTAGATAGTTGATGATAAGCAATACACCCATGGCTGAAGATAGGCCGCACTGAGTCAAGACCAGAGTCACTCGGTAATCGCCATAATCTAGATGGTAGCCAATTAGAAATATGCGATAGAACGACATGGGTCAGCATCTCGGCCGACAACAAGCTTCGGCCCAAAGCCGAAACGCCCCCGTCGGCTAGATTAAGACCAAAACCGTAACTAGACGCTCACTTTCACCTTCAACACGACTACGATATTCGCCATGGCCGATTTTGAAATGGGGAAAGAAAGGTGTCGATTGTTTACACACGCGACGATTGTGACGGTCAACCAAGACCAGGAGATCATACTCGATGGCGCCCTCTTGGTTGAGCACGGGCGTATCTCACAAATCGGAAAAACAAAAGATCTGGAGACGCTTGTCGATAGTAGCATCGAGATCATTGACTGTACCGACAAGATCATCATTCCCGGACTCGTCAATACGCATGCCCATCTGGCCCAATCACTGCTTCGAGGGCTCGCCGAGAACCTCAATCTTCACAATTGGCTCTGTGATGCTGTATGGCCACTGGAAGCGAACTATGCTGAAGAAGACGGATATATCGCGGCTATGCTCACCATCGCCGAAATGCTGAAAACAGGAACGACTTGTTTTCTGGAAGCTATGCTGACTCACCGAAGTGGACTCAGCAATGTTGTCAGGGCCGTCAAAGAAACGGGTATTCGCGCGTGCTTGGTACGTCTACATCATTATATGTTGCGAATAGGGCGTGGAGTCTGATAAAATGTACAGGGTAAATTGATCAAGGCACCCGAGACCAATTCAGATTTGAACATGAAGGATGCGCGAGACCGAGACGTTCATGCCATGTCACTTGAGTCGGCACTGGCAGCACACGAGACCCATCATGGATCCGTCAATGATCGACTGCATATTTGGTTTGCAGCCGGCACCCCGAGGGGATCTGCACTGGAAGCTCACACGGCCATCGGAGAAGCTGCGACGGAACGCAACATTGGTCTCACGATGCATTGCGCAGAAGCCCCAAAGGACCTCACGATCTACCGTCAATACTACGACTGCAGCCCCGTTCAATTCTGTACCAAGACCAGTTTGACAGGTCCCAAAGCCGTTTTCGCGCACATGGTGCACCCCGACGTGGCAGCTGGAGACTTGAATCTCTTGCGGGATACGAAAAGCACAGTTTCGCACAATCCCACGAGTAATCTGAAGCTTGGCTCCGGTGTATCTCCAATCCCAGATATGGTTGCTGCGGGAGTGAATGTGGCCCTGGGAACTGATGGCGCGCCATGTACGTATGACCGCCGACACAAATCTACACAGAGTTGAGACACTGGTGACCCGGCGCAACATATTTCGAGGTGATATACTGACTTTTAACCGGAAATAACAGGCAATAACACATACGATCTCTTTCGTGAGATGCACTTGGCCGCAGTCCTTCACAATGGACTCAGACAAGACGCGGGTATCCTCAACGCGTACCATGTGCTCGAATTTGCAACCATCAATGGCGCCCGAGCTCTCGGTCTTGAAGAGCAGATCGGAAGTCTGGAGGTCGGTAAAAAGGCCGATATTGTCGTCGTTGCGCCCAGAGGCCTGGGTGCAGCACCATGGGATGCAAGCCAAGTAAAAAATGGTGGTCTGGATCCAATAACCGTTCTTGTGCACAGCTCGGGGGTCGACGTTGATATTGTGTTGGTGGATGGCTGCATGCTCGTGGAGGATGGAAAACTGTTGCACCTGGATGAAACGGCGATCATAAAAAAGGCCAAAGAGTCTGTGACCAGCATTAGAAAGAGGAGTGGGGTCGGTGCGCTCCAGCACATGGCCACTAAATACGTATAATACTGCATGATGATTAAAAATGATAAATATTTACTTTTCCCGATTAATCGACTAGAGCAGTGGAGGAAACAGATCATCGAAAAGGTATTGCGCATCGAACCCGGTTTGGATCGGAAACAAATTCGTCAGATTGTCCCACATGGTTTCATTGACGTTTGCCAATGCGCTTGATCCAGGTGTGGCTACCGCAGTGGATACTTCAAGATTATGCGATATGTCTTTGAGAAGTTTGTGGACGTCCAGTGCTCGACGCTTTGGTGCTGGAGCTTCGCCACCATCATCGGTTGGGTACTGTCTTTTTCTCGACTCCATAACTGCAACATTGATCTCGTGTTCAAGTGCCGAAAGAAGCTCGACCCCGCGTGTTGCAATCTTGCTTTCTTTGAATTGTCGAAGATGGGAAATGGTTTCGCGAATCAATTTGCCATTTTCTGAAAATTCGGGCTCGTCAGGCCTTCTGTGCAGAGCATCGAGGCTGAGTATGATACCCGCAGCGATTGCAAAGGCTTGCTCGATCCAAAGCACTGGCGCATCAGCTTCGATTGGAGCCAAAACTTCCCGAAGTATAGTCTTGGATGCGGCGATGCATGTTCTTCTTGTGAACACGAAAGCCGAGTTGGTAAAGGACAGTACTAGAAATCTGCGATGTCTGGAAATATCAGTATCCCACGATGCATCATAAAATTAGTCCAGAATGCTCACATCATCATGATTTTGTGTGCTAACAATGATCAGCATTGGCGTTATGCGTTGCAAGAACAGTACTCACATGCGCAGATTGTCAGTGATCGACGAGCCCAACTAATGTATCTAGGCCATTCGGTATCGACGGGACCATTCTTAGACAAGAATATTGGTATCGAAGCGGTGGCGAGGTCTCGCATCTTCGCATCATATTTCATCACTTGCTCGTACTTTGTGTACAAGGCGTTGCAACCCGCCATTGCTTCAAGAAGCTGAGGCATAAGAGCGGCAATGTCGTATCGAAAGTTACAGTAGCTGGCTTGTGTAGGGATCGAACTGTCACGGACTACCATATCATCATCGTTGCAATTCAATGGTTTAGCCGTGGTCGCAAATTTCGGGTTGTGGGTGAAGGTATCAGAGAACGGAATCTGAAACCAGTCTTGAGTGCAGAGCTGAATATATACACGCCTGCCAACTTCGCGCCTGCGGAGCTGGTTAGGGTCCAGAGGTTGCGATTCGGGCGCCAATTTATGCAGCCCAAGACTTTGCGCAATTCGACCTGCCGAGCCGAGCAAGATAGATTGACTGCTTGACTTTCCTAGGACATGAGCTGCAATCGTCAACGTAGCTATGGCTTGTACGGCATGAATCGTATGCTTTTCAATGTACTCGGACATGTTGAGGCAAGTTACTGTGGCTTCGTACCATCGAAGAGACAGACTAGTTGCTTCGAGGTCTGAAAACCCCCAATCCTGGCGCGTAACCGTTGAGGCACAGGTCAAGCTTCCCGTCAAGATGGCGAACAATAGTGCCAGCCACTGAATTTGCAGTCGTTCGTGTCGAATGTTTCCGGCGAAGTCTATGAGGAAACTGTCGAGGTGTTCGGAAAACACGGTTGACGAGTATGACCCATGATACCAGAGTATCGAGCTATTATGATAGTCAACAAGCTTCGAAATCATTTCTTTGCTTGGTAGAAGTGCTTCCAACATGTCAAGCTGTGCAGATTTGGTGCTTTCGGTGAAGAAATCAGTTGTTGACGTCTCATTTCCTGACTGGCCCGGTCCACTATAATGGTCTGTTTCATGACCAAAATCAACAACTTTCTTTCGTCCCCATGCCAGAAACTCCAGAACAGTTGCCGTTTCGCAGGCTGTTGGATCAGAGAGGGAGGTTGTGTTCTCAACGACCTGCTCCGTCGCGGTCGAGCTAGAGTTATGCCCGTGGACATCTACGTTCGCACCTAGAGGCGCTTGAGTTTGAGCTGAAGTCAATTGCGCTTCGAGATTTGCCACACGCTGGAGCAAGACCTGGACCACGTTGCTTGTAACTTCTGATTCTCCCTGTCTGTTGTTCGTAGAGTCTAGGACGGCATCCTTCCGACAGCATAGGTGAGAGATACCTCTGATTCTCTCTATCAGTATCTTTCACAGATGCTAGGGAGATAGCTCCGACCTTTTGATGCAAGTGCCACATGGTACATTTTTATCGCATTTCGTTTTCCGGCGATGACATTCAGCACAGGTCAATCGTGCACGCGGAGTTCTCGTGGTATCCAGGCCAGCTACTGCTTCGTCGCCCATCGCACGCAGCGTCTATCAGAAACGTATTGACCTCCTGATAATAGTGGATACGCGGCCGATGATGTGTGCTTTGAAGAGTCGATGGGTTGATACTTTTCCGTGTCGTCGGCCGCCGATATCAGTATGGCTGATTACTCATCACCATTGGCCAATCAAATCTTATCGACTATCTCCCCTCCTTTTAGCCTTCGGCCGAAACTCCGCTTCGGCGGCCGTCACCACTATCTCCACCACGTCTTCGCGAATGAAGAAGACTGCAAGAGACCCAATGCATAAAAGCATCTTGAGAATCCATCCGCTATAACTCATCAAAAAGTGTACAATTTTGCAATACTTGCTATGACACCCACAAAATACGTCGACCGAGCCATCCCCACGATATCACTTCGCGATTTCGAATCGCGGGTGGACGAGATCACATCCGAGCTTGTCGATGCAGCGGAGAACGTCGGATTCTTCTGTATTGTTGACCATGGCATTTCGCGCGAAACATTCGATGACATTTTCGATCAATCAGCCCGTTTCTTCAACCAAGATGACGAAGTGAAGACCAACGTGCCATTTTCTCCGCAACATAACGCGGGCTGGGAGAAGAACGCCCAAATTCGGCCTTCGACTGGTGCCGTTGACCGGAAAGAGTCGTATCAGATGCAGTTCGGTGCTGGCATGGACGGTTCGTATTCATGTTAGTTGACATCACCATTCATCGACATGCTAACGGTGCCTTAGGACGATGGCTGGATGAGAACACGCTACATGGATTCCGACAAAAAGCGTTGAGCTTTATGCACCAAGCCCAGAGTGTGAGCGAAAAGTTGATGATCTGTCTCGCTCGGGGACTCAATTTCGAGGATGATTATTTCGTAAAAGCTCATGACGTTTCCCGGTCCGAATCGCAGACTGTTTGCAGACTGCTGCATTACTTCGAGACCCCTAAACTATCGAATCCGACCGGCGAGGTTTTCCATCGTGCTGGCGCGCATGCAGATTGGGACTTTTTAACTTTGCTTTTCCAAAAAGCTGGGCAGTCAGGACTTGAAATTTGCCCTGGTCGTGAGGTGTCTACTTCGTTCGGATATGGCGATGCCTGGACCAAAGTCGAGCCTGATGCAGACCAAAATGCCATTGGTAGGTTTAAAACGCTGAAATTCCTGTTTTCTAGAGACTAATTCGGTGGTTAGTGTGCAACGTGGGAGACTTACTCATGTCATGGTCCGACGACCGTTTCAAATCGACTTTCCACAGAGTCAAGGCTCCATCTGATCCTGACGACTTTTACGGTGAGCGTTACAGTATAGCATTTTTCAACCAGCCTTGCACAGATGCCCAGATTCAAGGCCCTTTGAAAAAGTATCCTCTTGTTACCGGTGGGGAATTTACGCGGAACGCTATGAATAGGAACTACAAAGCTTTGCAGGATAAACTTAGGAGAGAAGAAGAGAAGGTCCTCAACGCTTTGACGCAAGTCCAGGAAGTTGGCGTGGGAGCTTAGGGCTCTCTGTTGTGTACTTTCAAATCTTGAAGTATCTCGTTGCTAGTAAATATAAGCTGGGGACAGACTTGCCTTTTCATAATGACATTTATTCCAATCCACGTGACCACGTCTCCGAACCATGACTCCTGTCCTTCTGAATGGCTGTCTCACAATGACATTGATATCACCCTCAGAAATCGATAGTGGCGATCATGTTCTAGCATTAAGCTAGTGGTGAGTAATTTCTCTAACAGATTGCAAAGGTGGTCTCCAGCTCACTGGCTTCTGTCCGCTAAGTCTATTATTTGATCATCTAATATTCCATGCGGCACAAACACTCGGTATTGAAAAATCACACGATAAATCTGCATTTGAGCTCCAGACAGAGCGTATATCCACAACTATACAATTTCAATGATACAAGAATCGGAAAGCCAAAAGTGTTCCCTTACCTTACCCCGTGTATCCTGAATTCTACATATCCCTATTCGCTTATAGGTGTTTCCGGTGCTAGTTGTTTTCACTAGGAGCAGTGCAGATACGTACTCCTCTTCCTTCCAGTCGGTATATGCGCGTAACATGTAGACTTTTGACCAGCATCCCGTGTTCCAGTACACGAAGTCGCTTTTCGGAGCGTCCAAGTACATGTATTCACCTGGTTTCTTCGGCTTCCAGGTCTTCTTCTCTTTTCTCATTCCTTTCTTTCGACTGTAGGTCTCGAATATGGATGCTAGATAGGGTTCCGAGGCTCTTCCATCTTCGGGGGAATCTCTCCCCAGGTAAAAACTCCCCAGGTCGCACTCTATTCGGATTATTGCTGACCCTTCCTTCGCATCAGCAAATGGTAATCTCCAGTCCTCGGGCTCTACGGTAATTGACTTGATACTCAGCACAGTCGCCTGTTTGAAGTTTATAGCATGTGCACTATCAACAGAAGCCCAAGACCAGGATGGCGCTCGGTAGGATCCTTGGCGCACATTTCCAGTATGCTCTGTATAATGCCATAAAAGCATTTCGTCCAGGGTGTCGGTCCAAAGCCCAGCTGCATATTTTACTGGCGGTGACACGTCAGTCTTCGTAGGGCCAGATTCCCGATCCAACTCTATCATGCGCTGCTTCTTTACTTCATGCCCGTGCCGATACGTTTCTGCTATTGCTGCGAGAGCCTTGAGCCTGTCTTTGGCGAGGAAAAGCTTCCTTTTGCTATATTGTTCGACTATCACGTCCCAGTTGTTTTTCCAACCATCCAGTCGCACGGCACCCCAGGAGAGCTCTCTTATGTCATCGCTCTGGGGGTATAGTAAATCACAATCATGGTATCGCTCAGTATTACAGGACCATGTGGTTGCACTAGATCCATATATGAGCAGTCGTGGCGATACCATCATTTCTTGTAATGTCCAGCCTCTGCTATGTATCGGATCATCAGGGGCTTGTTTATTGAGATGGTGCAACATGATGCTTCCCTGCTTGGATTCGTATCGACATTTGAGTTGAATTGGCGCCGATTCCCAATTCTTCTCGAAGTTGCGCGGGTTGAGGAATCCTTCTGTGACTTTGGAAGCGCTCGCTGCGACCAGCGTGACAGCAGCGTCTTGATAAACCTTTGCCATGCTTGCCAATTCTTTTTGAACATCCATAGGATCATTTTGAAGAATGCAGAGCGAGTCTATCCATATATATTCGACCTCAATGGAGTGCGCGACGAGAAGAGCATCGAGAATTGTACGCGGTAGTTCCCGCAAGCAGATAGTCCTTTCACCCCACCTGAAGTTCTTAGTGGTACTCTGCATGTCCTGGCTTTCCCCCCAGCAGTAGCTGAGACTGCACCATTTGACATGCTCTTTTTTTATTTTGCCTTTTTTCACAATCTTCAACTGCTTTTCGTGTTTTCGAGGAACAACGATAAGTCTAGTCGGTATAAAGGAAGATCTTTCCGCCGCAGGCTGACACATGTGATGGCGAAAACCTGCTTTTTTATCGCACTCTTGATACCAATATCTTGCCCAACTTAACATACCCTCCGAAGATGGGGATACCACCCACATTTTTCGAAGCCAGCCCGGGCAATCCGAATTAACACCTCGACCCAAGCTGTACATGGGTGAGGCCATACCTTCGACCAAGAGGGTCCCATGGTATCCGTCCAAAAGTTTACCAGTGACGCTATTCCAACGCCTCTCGCCTCTAATCAAGTCTATCTTCAGTTTGACGTCCAAATCTCCCATCCGTTGTGCTACTTTGTCGGGCATATCCTTAGCGACTGGGGTAAATAAAGGGCAGCCATCATTTGCCCCGTCGATCAACGTGTTCGCAGTGACGCCTTGAATGGATACTTGTATGGACTTCCCAGGTGGATCGTCATAGAAATGAGGAGGTCGATCGGGCATCTCCACCACGATCTTCTCGCAATGCTGACAGGTATGCGGTTTGAAGGGTGGTACACCTTCTACTTTCTTCTGAAGATGTTTTTCGAGTTCGCATAGGGTCTGTATGCTGTGTCCTCCAATCATCGTGCTTATATAAAGGCAAATGTAATCTATGAACGGTGTCTTTGGGGGATGATGTGTGTTTGAGAAATGCAGCCTCCAAAGGTGCTGCCTACGAATGCGCGCCAAGAGCTGAGGTTTTGTGTAACATCACGTGTCTTTGCCAGCTGGCAATGCGCCCTACACAAAGCGCGGCGAACCTCGACCTTCTATAAGTCAGCTGTTATATACCCTGTCAGTGGAACAGATTTATACATAGATGTGATTTAATTTCCAAGTCTTTCGAGTACATGATAGCTAAGCTAAATATTGATAGTCAATTGCAACGGTCAGACTTTGCCCTAGCAACGGTCTGCCTAAAAGGCAGTAAATGCCTTGGGACGATCATATATGTTCATCATGAGACCTGGGGCGACTGAGGGGCACAAACTAACTCATTTGCCCCTTTTCTGTGTCCTTTTCACCTCTTCCGATGACTGATTAATGGGAACCTGAACATGTATATTTTGATCCAGGTGCCTTTGGGACTCTGTATCATTGATATTCGCAACCGTCGTTGTATGAAATTTTATTGATTGTTGCCCCACCGCCTTCCTATAGCTGATGAACGTCGGAATCCATGAGTTGAATGTGAGTGTTGAATCCGCCGAGAACCTGACTGAGCATGCCTCTCACCCGGGAAGATGTCGATGGGATATTGCAAGCTTCTCTAAACAGTTTGATGTTAGGGAGCGAACAAGCTGCCGCGATACCCAAAGTCTTCATAGGCGAGATCGTACGCTAAGTCCTTCATACAGTCTAACATCTCGAGTCAGGGCGGTTGCAAGGTCTACGACATCGAACCGAGGGGCGTAGGTCGGTTCCGCCACAGCAGATTGTGCTTGGCATTTAGGCAAACGGTCAGTCGGATCACACCCTAGTAACGTTACCCTGAGCCTAGGGAATGTGGTAGGAGAACGCATGCGCGTAAGCTGTGGAATCGGCTAAATGCAGTGGGGTCCCAAAGCTCACAGAACTCGATAGGGCAAGTATTAAGCACAGTAGTGAATCATCGCATTTCCATGCGGCACAGTTACTTGGTGTGATAAAAGACGATAGATCTGCCTTCCAGCTCCAGAAAGGATAGGGCAAGTATACTATTCGAGCTAAATCATGTAGCAATCAAGAGAGAAAACGCTTTATCCTCTGTCATTCAGCAACTTTGTCTTCTGGATCCTATCCATTATGGCTCGAAAAATCCCTCTGATCGTCAACGATTTCAAGCTCACGACATGGCTGATCGTCGGAGCTTTTCTCCAATCGTTGACCATGCTGGTCATGCCCAGTAGTTACGCGGTCATGGTTCCCTCCCTCCTACTTGGGGCTCGTCTGATCGCAACCTACTTGGAAGCCAAGGGTTACCTCCCATCTTCTAGCGTGATCTATCGGGGCAGATGGACCGCGCACACTCTCGATAACCTATCCGAACCCCCCAAACGGGATGTTATTGTATTCATTTTAGGAGCTCGGACACTCCAGTATGTTTGGACTGTATAGCTCAAAAGCATGGACTGACTGAACAAACAACTTAGTCCGATGGGCCGATTAGCAGGTGGATTCAAAGAATCTCGAAACGATTTCGCAGCGATGTGGGATGATGCCGAGAGTAACAGAGAGAAGTGGGGCTGTGAGTTATAGACCCTGCCTGTAGCCATCAAGAAACGCAAATTCTATGCTCACAAGGTCTTTTAGTTCTCGGGAAATCCGAACCACTCATCTCAGACACCCATGGGGGAATGAGCATAGTGTGGATCACTTATTGGCGAGATATCCAAGGTCTTCGAAACTTTGCTGCCGGAGACGCCCACCGCAAGGGCTGGAGTGCTTATGTGGCAAACAAATTCCCGAATCTGGGAATTATGCATGAGACATACTGCGCTCCTGAAGGAAGCTGGGAGAACATTTACTACAGTTGGCCACCGTTCGGATTTGGTGAGTAAATCGAGTGGGATATGCCTGCAAAGAACTGTAGCTGACACAGAAGAAGGTGAGGCAGCTCTCCATCTTCAGAATGCAGATCTTATTTTGAGAAAAGCGGATGGAGCGCTGGACACATCCTTGATCAGTAGAATGCAAAAGGCCAGCCAGAAAGACGCGGTAGGCAGTTGATTGGAATTCGGACGGGAGCAATTGTGTAATGCAGGGGACGGATAGGTAGATCATGTAGTGAACTTCATTGGCGCGCTGGTCTATGCGTAAAGAGCTGCAGCCCAGACAATAAACATTACTTGATAGTATGACGTCCACAAATGAAAGTCGGTGTTTATATTGTATGTCACTCAAGCAGCATGTCGCATAAGTGGTCCCTGCGGCCGAATGATTGCCCTTGACTGTCCTGGATCTTCGGAGGCCGAGATTATATAGACCAGTAGCGTTTGCTGAGGATCAGAGCTAGTAGTGCTGTCAGTCGCCTCGATTCCTATCAGAATGTCACTGTCAACTAAGAATCTCGGAAGCCTGATCTCGAATGAGTATATCGTACGTATAATGATGGGCCACAGTGAGTGAGGATACACGAAATTACGATCAGATATTGGCTGCATGATCTCCGAATACCCGATTGAAAGTCTATGGAACATATTTCTCGAGACGGATTGTTTGTTTTGCGCCATTATGTGATGATGTTATCTAGCGCCAATCCTGGGTGCATAACTATTAAAAAACAACTAGGAGCGTTCGACCCACGCTTCTTCGCTAGATTCCCAAAAGAAATCCTTCTAATGGATCCATGAAATTGACTCATTCTCGAAACTTCATCGAGGACTTTCAAAAATGGTAACGCACCTCTCTTTATCTGATATTGCTAACGTTGTTTGCTAAATTTCGTCAGCTGGCGTGGTATTGGAATATCCGCCACTGTACCTTCTCACTATCAATACAGTGCATGCGTCAGGCGCTAGTAGTAAGAGCATATTTGATCATCTCATTCTCACCAGACACTCTCCAGTCGCTTTATTGCATGGGATCTCTTCCTTCAGACGAAATCGGTTATATCATCGATAATCGCAAAATTTGTTACGGTAAAGGCGAAGGGAGTGTTGCCCTGACTAATTCGTGGCTTCGACAACATCGACAGTGCAGCACAGCACCTTTTCCTCTGCACCATTGATGCAAACAATCTCGATCACCTTGTCACCAAGGGCTTTGCTGATACACTAGACACTAGGGGATTGTTTGTTACCCACAGGATGAAAGAGTGAAAACCGAATTGCATATATCGGACTTTTCATTGGAAAATTCGATAATGATCCATCATCTATTCTTAACCGTCCATGACAACGAACCCCACCCAGATTGGGATATCCGATTTGAATGAACACTGAGTGCGATAGTCTGAGAAATTCCGGTAGAGTGGTAAGAAAACATGATAAACCGCCAAACAGCACCCTCAAACCCCAACACACAGCAAATTACTCCTCCCACCAACGACTCTCCCTCTCCTCTCTTTGTTTATCAGTCAGTGTCTTAAGACTGTCATCACCATAATCCCCTTCTACCAGGCTCAAACTCTCAATGAACTCGCGATAGATCCACGGTCTCCCAGAATTATGTCTCGACCCATCACCGTGTTGCATCTCCGCTTCAAACTGACTATAAGACATGTCGATAACGTGTCTTCTTTTCCCCTTTTCGCGCGGTGGGTGCGAGACACCGCTGTTTGCGCTGCCGAAGGACGATGCTTGGGAAACTGGACGAGGCGGGCCAGAAGAGTTGCCATGAAAGTTGTAGTCCTTCCAAGATGGAAATTCGTTATCCAAGGGGTAAGGATCTGAGTATTTTTGTGCCAGTGGAGAAGTCATGGGTATGGATTGATGGGTGGTGTTTGGAGGGCTGGCGTTCGAGGGATCAGGCCAGTGTTGGTGGGAAGGTGGATAGTCGAATGGCTGGTTTGGTTGGGTATCAGGCGTTATTCCATCAGGGCGGCTTCTAAGTTGTTTTGCGGGGCGCTCAGGGTATGTGACTTTTTCTTCAATGGACCCCGTCGTTGAAGATTGCAATAATCGATTGGATATATTCGAACTCGGGCGCTCCCGCGAGGAACTGTTGCGTTTCATATTATAGGCAGGATCGCGGGGACTGGTCGCGCCATGCTTGACGTCTTTCCCAGTGCTGGAATTCTTCTCGTGAATCCTTTTACACTCTTCTCTAGTATAACAGACTCGGGAATGGTAGCACGCATGAGCTCCGTTATCGTTGAAAGGGGGAATTAGTCCTCCACAATTTTCAGGACCATGGCCCCAGAACATCTCCCAATCCCAAAATGTCCCTCGACATCGCCAACATTTGTAGCGACGAGTATCGCAGTCTGAGCCAAGTAATCAGCTTTTTTTTTCTTCTTCTCTGTTCCCTAATCCCATTAGATCTATATAGACTCACTTAACTGAACGTGTTGTTTAACATCCATATATCGCACAAAGATTTTCAGACACCGTATGCACCTATACCCATACCTATTCTTCTCCTTCTTCAGCTCATGGATAACAGCTCTGACATTATTATGAGCGAGCAACGTTATATCTTGTTCCTCTTTGCTCCGCCGAGCCCCATCTGATAAAGATGGCTGCCGCAAGTCAGACCGGTGTCCAGAATTCGGCTGAGGCTTGCCTGCTTTGGAACCAAGGTGACGGATGGCATCTTTACTGATGTGAGATTGCCTCGCCTGTAATAGCATAGTCTGCGGGTTGGATCCCTTTTCTATGTCGTTCGGGCGTGTATAGGGCATGGTAATGTTTTCGATAGCCTTGTGCACACGGCAGGCTGCAACATTCGTTGACGCCTCAATCAATCACTTTCCGCCGATCTAACGATAGCAACAGGAAAATCACGGCCGCCCAAAGGGTTTCGAAGATGGAATGGCAATATCGACTGACTGAGATGCACTTCTGGGATGTCGCGTTCTGATGATGGATGTTTGCGGGGTCGTTTCTTCGCTGGGGCTGACGCGAAGCATGCGAGGCTTAGTTACGAGGTTTCGTGGCCGACAGACAGGGTAAGTCATTGGCCGTCTTGTCGATACAGCTCGTATTTCGGGGGCGGAGCTTGAACCTTGTAGATAGACATTTTATCTATTCTGAGTTGGAGTTTAGGTGATCCTACACACAGCGAAGGTTTACAACGATAGATAGGCTAAACAACGAGCGATAACTAAATTTAAAAAATCCGAATTCTACCTTCACACAAGCTTTTGAGACAAAAGCAGTAGATAGACATCGTCGCGACATTCTTGTTGTGACCCTGGGATTGTGACGGAAATAAATTGCCGATGGTGCGCTGCGATATATTCAGATATATTAAAAAGAATATTTATAATTGTGTTAGATACAGTGGAAGATGTCAGGCTGCCATATCCATATCTTCTAATTGCTAGAATACTAACAATCTCGGAATGTTCTCTTCATGAACCGTGAGCGAGCTTGACAACAGCTCTCTATAATTACACAGTGATCGACAGAGATCAGAACCACGCACAGAATTACCCGATTAAACAGGTTCGTGAAAGCAAGTCAATTTTTGTTCATACCTGCTAAGCACATTGGTGAATCATCGCATTCCTTTGTGGAGTAATCACCTGGTATTATAAAAAACGATAAATTTGCCTTTGAGCTCCAGGCACGACACATGTTCCGTGGTTATCACGAACCCGATTGTATTCATACCTACACACTTACGCAAAATCAAAAGGGTGACGATCCACCGCTATATCTTGCACGCAAACCTCGATGTCTTAGACAAATAATCCACCAAACACTGTCCACAACTTTCCCCTCCTATTTCCTGCTGTTCCTTCTTCACAGCCATTCAGTAGTATTACCCCAGTAGCTCAAAAACTGCCCACTCTGCTCAACCTTTGCATTCGCCACCACATCAAGAATCCTCTTAACGCTCTCCACAGGAGTAATAGGACCTTTCCACTCTGGATACTTCTCCATCATCCTCGCAAACATGCTCTGGAACTTTGCTTTCTCGTCCTCGGTAACTACAACGCCATGATTAGTCTCATTTCTCCTTTCCCGGAAAAACAGCCTCATAAACGAAAACCCCAACAAAACCGTGAGAAGGAAATGAGAATATATATGTATAGGAGTGGGGAGTGAGAAGGGGAGCGAACTCACATTTCGAAGTATCCATCAACGTCTCCGTCGCCACCCCTCCAGGCGCAATACTCAAAAACAAAAACCCCTCCCCCCTCAGCTCCGCCGCAAACTTCGCAATAACAATGTTCCCACCCGCTTTACTCGTCGAGTACGGCACAGAGTTGGACAACTGCACCGCGAGCGTCTCGGGCCCGTCCGCGGTGCCAGAACTCACATATGTGACTTTCTTACCGTTTCCGGCGCGGAGCAGCGGCAGGAACGCGTTGATCGCGAAGAGCGGGCCCGCAACGTTGGCTTGGTCGCTCTTGTGGAGCTCGTCGAGGAAGAGGGTTGGGTTGTGCGCGAAGTCGGTGGGGTTCATGCCGCCGGTTGAGGAGAGGTATGCGCCGTTGATGACGAGGTGGTCGATTTGGCCTGAGACGAGCGGGGATGTGGTTTTTGCGGCTGCGGTGAGGGAGGAGTAGGATGTGAGGTCCGCTTCGACTACATGAGTATTTGAGATGTTGTCTGCGTTTACTTTCGCTTGGAGGGCGGTGGGGTCGCGGGCTGTGGCTATCACGGTGCTGTTTTTTTCTGCTGCCAGGGTTTTGATGAATTGGTACTTGAGTTATGTAAGTCTTTTTCTTCTCTTGAAAATTGCGGAGATGGGGGGATGGCTAGAGAGATTGAAATCGGGTTTGATGTATACATACCCCAATACCACGGGAAGCGCCGATGACCACAGTGACAGCCATTTCTTGGATGAATCGATTTGCGTGGATAGTGCTGAGAAGTCGATGATTCTAGTCACTGAACGATTGAACTGTTTGATAGGTAAAACTGCTAACAAGTCGACCTTTATATACCACACACGATCAACATCCCCTCTCTACACTCCTCGATGACTTTCTCGTACGCCGCAATTTCTCAGCCCCAAGGCCCCCACAGCTCGTTCTCCAGCATGGCATCACACCATCTCTGCTTCAAAAAAAAAAGTCCTCCAACTCACATATCGTCCGTTCATAGACTGTAGTATCCCCGAAACCCACCAATGAAAGTCTACCATACTGTGCCTCCCCCCATCTCACCTCCTCCCCACCAAAACCAACTAAAAGTGGAGTCTCCCAAGCACACACCCAAACATAAACAAACAATATCTCGGACGAAAAACCCCCAAAAAAAATCAAAACAACAAACCCCCAGCCCGCACGAATCCAAACCCTCGGGTCCTCAAGTGCGTGCCTAAACGTATTTCAGTATTCCATGCTAAGCCGCCAAGCGAAACCAAGGATGGAAATGTTGACTAAAAGACAAAAAACAAGTCAGCATTCGGGGTTACGCTAAAGTCCGCTGTTTCTGATGGGTGCCTTACATAACTGTTGCTCGTCGCGAAAGACATAAGGCGAGAGTATTTGTAAGCGCTGTTGTCTTATACGAATTCCCCCCTGTGCATGACTGGCTGTATTTGGGGGGAGAGGAGGGGGGTGGAGAAGGGTTATGGGGTTAGTGGACTTCACATAGAGAGGTATTGAAATGGGATATGGCTCTATAATATGGCGATCTTGAGATGAAGGAAAGATATTAATCGCTAAGTACTACCTAGCTAAATACAAATTTCACAAAAGAGAGGGAGAGGAAGGACGTTGTAGAACAGGATCTATAAAAATAAATAGAGTCAAGTGCAAAAAAGGAGACGAAAAAACATCATCGACTTTTTATACAAGAAAATAAAAAGTTCAAGGCGAATGAACCAATCAGTTTGTTGAATTGACATAATGGGGGTCTGAAGAGTAGTACCAAGCTAGCTATCCACACAAAGGTCGCCCCTAACCAGCTCGTAACGCCTTCAAAAAAGATGAAGAGGAAGAAGAAGAAGGAGAAAAACAGAGCTTCATAATCATCATCATATCACTGCCCCTCCACCCCTTCAACTTTGCGCAAAAACTCTCGAACCCGTCCAACCTCGACACCATCCAACGGATCGCTGTCCAAGGCCTGCACCAACCCTTCCAGCACGCCATCGATACGGTGCTCGTCGACTTTTGTGCACAACGACACTACTTTTCGGTACATGACTTCGAGCTGGCCATCTTTATCTTTGAGCTTCCGGCTGCGGTCTGCGAGCATTTGATTATTCTGCACATACACTTCTAGACGGTGCCCTAGTACCGCCGTAGATGGCAGGTTAGCGATCGAGGCCGCGTGTTGTTGGGTAAGAAGGCTCGGGTCGACGAGCATGGGGAGAGGTGTGGAGAGGTACTCGGGACCGTCTGAGGATCTATGTGGGAAGTTCACGGCAGATTCGACGAGCTCGGACGGGAGGTCGGAGGGAGAGAGAACAATGTTTGCGCCTTCGTGGTCTGCGTGGCCGATCTGCCGCTTCTCGTGCAGATCGGCGTCTGCGGTGCCGGTGCTGACAGCGAGGTTCTGGCGTTGGAGGTCAAGCCAGCGGCGGAGGTTTTGGATGCGTTTGGCACGATCTTGCCGGGCGCGCAGGCGGGCGCGGAGGGTTTCGAGTTTATGTTGTTCGGTCTTTTGGAGAGCAGACAGCTGCGCGATACTTTCGTTTGTGCGGTCAATGGTGTCTTGTTTTAGACGGGCCTCTTGCGTAAACTGCAAGCTTGCGCTTTGTAGGATGCCGCTCATCACTGGGGGAGTTAGTATGTCAAAATGCTTTAGGAACAAAAAAAACTTACATGGCTGTATTTCTCGACTCGTTTCCTCGACCTTGCTCAACGGCGCCTTGCCTTTGCTGGGGCTGTTGGCTACAACGGGCGTATCGGCATCGGCATCACTACCCACCCCAAAGTCGAGCGGCCGTGTGCCTTTGTGATTAGGTATGGAGGGATCGGCTTGAACTTCCACCAGCTGCGATATAATGTTGCGGTTTCCGATTCTGGCCGCGAGATTCAGAGCGGTATTACCCGCCTTATCACGTGCGTTTACCATCTCTTGCATGAAGCGCATGAGGCCGATGGGTTTGGGATTGTTGCCATTTGTGTCGTACAAGTTCGCCTGGTTGTGATTGATATTGCTCCGCACCAGGTACTCCAGCAGAGCTTCCAGGTAATATTTACTGGACGCGGCGCGGCCTTTTATAGCGCACGTGACTGCGATGTGGTGGAGGATGGTGCGACCTTGAGCATCGCGAAGTTCGATGAGAGGGGCCAAGATTTCCAACGTCTCGGGAAAACAGCAGTGGTCCATACTGTTGTTCACCGAAACGGCGCTCATTAACGGAGTTTGCCCGGCGGCATTTCCTCGAAACATGTTGGCGCCTTTTGAGACCAGCAGGCGCATGAGTGACACACGTGCAAGAGTTGCTGCCCAATGTAGAGCCGTGTTGGAGACATTATCTATGGGCATGTCCAGATCCGAGCCGGAAAGATGGAGGATAGCTGGGTGATTAGTGAAGTCTGTGCGCGTTTGGTCCGCGAAAAGATCGGTCAAAAGAGCTTGCTTCTCTTCAGAAACTTTGTCGTTCGGATGCGGGAGAGGGGCTTGGGCAGTAGAAATGTCGCCGTCAAGCGTGGCGAGGCGGTGACCAGCCGTATAGAAAGAATCACTCGGTTCGGTGGGTGAGCCCGGATCGGCCATCATGGCGAGCTCAGCGCCGTTAGGACGTGCGAAGGATTCTTCTTGGGAAGGGCGCATGCGTTTGCGTGGTGGTTCCTGGATATCGTCGGCGCCGGTTCCGTAGGCAGAGTCGGCTTGGCCGTTGTTTACGGCGCCGAAACTCTTCTCGGAAGCTAGACTAGGCACGCTCTGCTGGCTACTAGCGCGTAATGAGTCCTGGCTGCCAATTGGCGCTTGCGAGGGACGACCTATGGAGCGGCGGCCCTGCGACGAGCTGGCAGGACGAGGAACAGGGGAATTGAGACGGGCGACCTTGTTCATGGCCTGCAGGGCGCTGGTGGCAGTCGAAGAAATGTTGGAGAAGAAGGTGCCGACGCCGTTGCGGCCGTCCATGCTCTGGGTGTAGAAGCGCTTGCGGTTGGCGGCCATGGCCTGTTCCTTGGTAGGGGTCTCGATGCCGTGGCCGGCGTTCCCATCCGTGTTCATGTCGTAGTCGAGCAGCGGTCGCAGGATATCCTCAACGCCATACTGGCGACAGAATTCGCGGCCTCGGCGGTAATTGATCCAGGTGCCCTGATACTTGCCGTACCCGCCCTGCACCTTCTCGTGCTCACCCGTCAGAATTTCCTTCTCCAGGACCTTTGTGCGCTTTCCCTTGTCGACACCAGCAACCTTTAGGATCTGGGTAGCGTTGAGCCAGCCATCGGAGCGGCGGCGCATGACGGCGATGCGGTTCACTTCCATTTCGTAAATGGAGACTCCCGAATATACGGCCTAGAAGAAGGGGTCAGTGAGAATTCCAAGTCCGAAGGGAGATGAGATGGGAGCTTGGCAAACGAACAGTGTATATCTGAGGTTTTTCCATCGGAGGCGGGGCGAAGGAGGCGACATTGTCAAAAGTGCGGTTGATGGCAGGGGCCTGCATCATCTGGTGCGGCGAGTTTGCGTACATTTGCGGCGGCTGAGAGGAGGAATGCGACGAGGGGGAAGCGGCGGGGAAGGACTGGGAGATGTGATTCGGCGTGCGCGCAACCTGCATGTTCACTCAGGAGTGACAATCGGGGGAGGGTTGAAGCCGAATGCCTGGAGGGCGGCAGTACGGGGAGAGGTGGTGCAAGGTGGGGAGGCTGGGGGCGGAGGTGAGGTGAGGTTCTACAGGACGTCGTCGGCGGGCAGGGCAGGGCAGAGGGAGAAGGAATAGCAGAGTCAGGTCGTCATTTCCCCTTTACGCGGAGCAGGAGGACATTGAACCAGCGGGAAAAAGTGGTTCGTTGTTTAATACGGCGGTGTTGTATAGACTCGGGCGTGCATATGTATGGGGTACTGGGTGGGTGATGGGAGTGAACGGGTGGTCCCGTGGTGTCGTGTTTCGTGTCGTCGTGTCAGTCGTGTCGTCGTCGCGGCCAGAGTGGTGTGTGCGCGCGCGTCCCGGCCCGAGGCTTGCTGACGTAATCGCCAAATTCATCAACAACACCGTCGATATATTGATTCCCATGTCCACTTGCATGTCAATGTAGTCGGCATTGATTGTTCTCACCCGCCATCAACACTTCCAGGCATGCCGACGGCATCGCAGCTCCATTCCATCCATCTGCTGCGTGCCCTACTCCGTGAAGCCTCGTATCTCCCGGATGCAAACGCCCGCACCTACTTCCATCGCTACATCCTCAATCGATTCCGCACATATCAGCCCCCGCAGAAGAATGCCCCTCGTCGAGCATCCCTCATCGCCCAGCGCGCTCGCCCGCTGCAGCGCAAGGCCCAAAAGGCCCTGAACCACCTTCGACGCGCCAACCTCGGTGATATGCGTTGCTTGGAGAAGATCCTCCTCTTTACCTATGGCCGCCTTGGTCCACGTAAATACGCCCTGCAACAGTACTTGCTCACGCCGACGACCAACTGCACTGCCGATGGAACTGCTGCTCCACTGCAGAAACTCTACTACAGCAATGACCGGTGTCTAGCTTTCTTCAACGCTCCCTACCGCAAAGACAACAACAACTACAAGATCGATTTTTCCGACCGTTATCCGCGTCTCAAGGCCATGGTCATGTCCCAGCACACCCAGGACATTTCCATGGTCCGCTCCCTCAAGAAGCCCAGCCTTGTAACCCCCATTCTCAACGCCTGGCACCGTCCCATGCCTATCCGCCGCGCCAAAAACAACGTCAAGAAGTACTACGCCGGCATCATGTCCGTATTGCTGCCTCCACTGCCGCCTGCTGAGTGGGATGCCCTCTATGCCAAAACACAAGGTCAGGGCCAGATCGAGCTTGTTCCCCGCCGCAAACCAGCTTTCCAACGTCATCCCGAACCCCTCGACGAGCAGTCGGCCTTGGCCGCTGTCATTGATGCAGCACTGGCCCTGAAGAAACCAAGCAAAGCGGAAAAGGATACCAGCTCCAAGGGCCCTCATAACATCACTGCCAAATTCATGAGACGCATGTACGCCCGCCTCTTCCCGTTTTGCAGCAAAATCGAGTTCGACTCGGCGCGAAACAAATGGATTGTTACTTGGGGGAAACCTCAAGACCTGCATACACAGTCTTTGTTTCAATCCCCGGTGCCCAAAGAGCTCTTTGCTGGTGTGGACGAGCACGGCTGTAAACCCAGGGCACCGAATAAAGCACAGGGCGACGGGGACCACAGAGGGGTAAAGTTGAGGAACGGCAAATATGTTCCCATACCTTTCTATTTCGACCTTCTTCCCAAAGACCATCCACGCCGCATTCAGGTTGAACAAGCTTTGCGTGAACGAGATCAGAGTTGAGCCGCATGCACGCCATGGCCGGACTAGTTGAACCCACTACGAGGACCATCCCGAAAACAACACTAGTTGTTCCGAACGCCGACCCCGCAGCCCCGCCTTTGACATGGCAGGGCGCGCTCAGAAAGCTATCCCGGGGCCTATAAATATCGTCTACGACGAGACGAAAGAAACCAATTGCTTCTTCAATTCACCCTCGACCTACACACTACAGCAACAATGGCTTCTGACGACGCAACTATCCGCCACGCGACTCGCGATGGTACGCTTTCTCCTCTCTCCACCAATCCCACCACCCAACCACTGACCCAGAAACAGACGTTGATACCATTTTCTCCCTAATTCATGAACTCGCGGCCTACGAAAAATCCACCTCCGACGTCGCCGCCACCCCCGAGATCCTCTCCCGAACCCTCGCCCACTACGACCCTACCACGGACTCCTTCTCCCAAGGCTACGCCCGCACCTTCCTCCTCGTCGCCCCCGACTCCTCAAACACCGTGGTTGGGATGGCTCTCTACTTTTACAACTTCTCAACCTGGACCGGTATCCCTGGCGTCTACCTCGAAGACCTCTTCGTCAAGCCCGAATATAGGGGCAAAGGGTACGGCAAGGCGCTCATCAAGGCTTGCGCGAAGGAGAGTATCAGGCTCGGGGGTTCGCGGATGGACTGGACTTGTTTGGCGTGGAATGAGCCTAGTCTGAAGTTTTATGAGAGCTTGGGCGCGAAGAGGAAGGATGATTGGGTCGGGTTGAGAGCAGAGGGGGAGGCGCTGAAGCGGTTGGCTGAAAGTTGATTCTTACATGGGTGATGTCAAGTGGTGGAAAAAAGATCTAACCAAGAACAAGATATAGACAGAAAAAAAATGCAACGTTGTTCGCAACAGCCACACAAAAACTGCCGCTATAAAACACGTCGACTTTGGGAATCTACAAATACGAGCCGTCGTCGATTATGTCAACCAATCATCCACCTCTTCCGCTCACAGCCTTGTGAACCTCGCGTCTAGGCAGTGCACCGCGTCAGCTGCGCATGGAAAAGCCCCGCGATCTCCGCAATATCGAAGCAAAGGCCTTGACATGCGCAACCGGATGAATCGCGTGGATTCAGGATCTCGATATTTTCGCAGGGTCGTTCCATCTCGCCAGATTGTTGCGCAGTGATCGACTGGGGCCACAAGGTTGGAGCCCACTGCATGCACGAGGCTCCCACCAACATCCACCACGTCGTTAGCCCAGGGAAAATCGAGCACAACCCGCCAGAACAAGGTGCCAGCCCAAAATCCTCGTACCAGAGTGACCGAGCCCCATCGGTTCCAGATCAAGCGGCGCCATTCAACATCAAAGACCCCCTTCCCTCCGCCAGGAGAAAAGTATGGATCGCGCCGCCGAACCTCGGTCGATCAAGTGCAAAGGTACCACATTCCGAGCAAGACGCAACAACCACCACTACGACCACTTCCTTATCCGACGTGTACGCTTGCAGAACTTCTGGTTCGCCTTCTTCAAACCTCCTCCACACAGAATACAGCCAGAAATTTCCTCGCCGCCGTCTTCTTCCTCGTTCTCCACGCAGTATGATCTCGACGGCCTTTCCGATGCTCAATCTAACAGTCGCGAATTCCGACGCGCAAGACGAAGACTCAAACCTATATCCACGCGCAGACTTAGTCATGATTATATCAACGCTTCTTCATCTACTGCCGCGGAACGTTTCCATTCCCCGGGAGAGCGCGGGGGGGATCTATGTGACAGCTCCACTCCATGGTCGAGCTCTTTCCTCGGAGATGGCCATCTCGAACGAACGAGTCCAACGCGGGACGTTGTGTCCCCAAACCTCACCCACTCTCCGCCCTGGTTAAACTCATTCCTCCCAACCACCCCTACTAACCCCCCTCCCCCATCCCAGCCAGACTCCCCGCCCTCCCCCAACCCCCCAAGCCCCATCTCCCAAACCTCCTCCTTCGGCAGCGCAAACAGCGGCTTCTCCCACCCCCCACGTACAAATCCCCTCAGACACTCCAAACACGTCCCCTTTTCCTACTCGGAACTCGAGGAGCAGTCGCAGCAGTCGCAACGCGCCGCACGGATCTCGAAATTAGCGGGCTTGGAAACACCTAGGAAACGGAAAATCTCGCCATCCCGCCAACGGCGCAGCGATGCTAGGAAAGCTAGTAAGAAGCAGAAGAGGAGAGAAGAGAGGGAGAGGTATAAGGGGATTGAGAGGGACGTCGCTGCTATGGGACAGGAGGTTTTGAGGGGCTGGGATAGGGTTTGGGATACGGATCGCGTTGGGAGGGTTAGGGAGTGGATGGCGGGCTTGGAGTAGGAGCGATATGTATGTGTCTATGTGTGAGATGCGGGACAGGGATTACGTATCTTGTGAATGGGCGCAAGATCTTTGCGAAGGGAAAGCTGTTTATGTCATTCTCTGCGTCTTGGTATCTTTTGTCTCGGTTGCGCTTTTGGTGTCTGGATATGTAGTGAGCGCTGTATTTGATACCCTCTTCCCCCCCCCCCCCCCCCTTCAATTAGTATTGCAAAAATCGGGCTACAACGCTTTTTGTGGGTAGTGTACCATGCATATTCCGGAATGCAACTCCAACTCTAAATCATTGTTATAGACTAATACGGTTTCTGGCCGTGGCGCCTTCTCCTTCTTTTTCTTTTCCCCCCTGTGGAGTCCTGAATCCTTGCTACTTGTGCCTCCATTGTCCTCGCTGCGATTTTCTCGTGGGGAAGATGGGGTAGCGCATTCGTTCTTTTTTTTTCCCTCCTTCTTCTCTCTTTCTTCTTGTTTAAAAGACGTTTAGAAAGTAGTAGTGTTACCTACAGTGCAAGGTTCATACATATATACATCACATAAGTGCTCAACCGTATTCGAGCACCCAATCTGTTTTTGCAGGCTCGAGGTAAAATTTCAGCAAGACTTGGGTTATGCTTTGACGCTTATCAAGATCGTTGGGTGATTGATTATGTGGAGTTCTTGAACGGTGGAGTTGGTGTGGAAAGACTGGTTAAAAGACTGAGTGCGATAGAGTAATTATTAGATGATAAGAAAAACAAAAGCAACCTTGCAAAGGGGAATGGGGAACGGATGATGAACACTAGTTGATGATGGGGTAGCTCAAGGGGGTATTGCTAGGGCACTTTTGAAAACGAAACCATATGCCCTGCAGGATGATAATCTAGGTATTTATTTCTTTAAAGGTCATATGGGAGTCTATCCATGTTCGCAGTATCTGTGCGTGATATCATGTATTTGACCTGGGGTATTTCAGTGTTGGATATACCATGCTCTCGTGGTCTAACTCTGTAAAAGAAAAAACAACAGACAAACATTCATCAATAACTATTCGTTATCACAGTGTTGCTGATGAGGCGATTGTCGTTTGCTTTCTTGATTTTCTTGATTGATCGTCAAGCAGAGGCTTCGTATAAAGACCGTACTATTTAAGACCCTAATTCCCTGTGGATAGCTAGATTCGATATTAAGGATTTACGTATGCATTTATCACTAATGATTTAGTTGTATCCGGCGCAGATAGGCGATTCCAGCTGTAGCGGCAGGAAGTCTTTGTATCTGTGGCGACAGAAATGCGATGAAGTGAGCTAGGTAAACTAGCTCTGCTGATCTTTAGGCGCCCGGGATCTTGAGCCATGCACTATTATTTTATCATCTATTTCTCAATGCATAAATTCATTGTCCGTTACTGTGGAAGTTTACATGTTCTCAAATAGAATGAAATACCCAGTACTAAGTATATTATTTGATCATCGCATATTGCATGCGGCACAAACACTGGGTGAAATACCCATTACAGTCAAATACCGTATTCACGTGGTATTCGTAATCCACATCATGCACATCCTTGAAACTCGCTACATTATCGTGGATAGCCCGTGTATAAAACCCCTCTGGTAGCCGGTAACCGTAGCTAGATCTGACGAGGTACCATACTCCGATAAAAATCTCTCAAGTCCTCGGCGCATGTGCATCCAGCTCGAAAGTTGTCGAAGCCTTCGAACTTGACCTCGAACTTCTTAGGGCATGGGCAAACACCATCGCTCTCCAAAAACCTTCGCAAGTTATCTACTGTCGAACCAAGACACGTATGAGGCCCATGAAATCTATCATGGCATCTCGACAAGGTAGGCGGCTCGAATCGGACTGTCAAGCTTTCCATCCTCTCGGCAACTGCCAGGAAGTCTCTGACTTCTATAACTGCGGCGCAGGTGTCGGCATTCCGCGCTCCATCATTGAGAAGACCGGGGGTCCAAGAGCGAGCGAGAATCGAAGGAGGGTTCTCGTCAATGGAATATATCAAGTGGCGTATACGGCGTCTGTTTTCCGGCGTGCTGCCTACTGTATTGAACGTTGACGAGACTTGGAAAACGTTTTTGGTGTAGAAGGATTCAAGTACGAAATCCCCGATATGGTGATCAAAGGTGAGCGCAGCTTTGTTCACCATGGGCTGAACATCTTCCTCCATGAGCCATTCGTGTTCGGGGTAGGCGATGGGAAAGTCATATGTGACCCACTCTGCAAGAATGGCGAGTATGATCTCCTTTGGAAGATGTGGGGGAGGCATCGTGAACCCTCGTTGAGCTTGGTAATGGTATTGGAGGTGTATGCGGTTGTTGTAGACTCTGACGATTGTGTCCTGTTGCGCAAGTGTTTTGTGGTTGGGTCAATGTGGTAGGGTTGATGCAGTTGTGTAAATTTGGTCGACTAGATGCGGTTGAGGAGATGCTAGTTGAGAGGATCTGGTCGCTGGAGTGCTTTGTAGTGGGAGTAAATGTGGTGCGGGGGGTTTATATAGAGAAATCACTCCGTACGTTTGTTCTCATACCCACTATTCACTTCCTTGTTTGCAGATGCTGACCGTTTCTCCTACTAGCAACTCGGTAGGATGGTCTGTCATACCTTAATTCACATACTTTTTGCTTCTTTCACTCCGAGTTCCTGAAGACCGTCCAATAATATAGCATTATTTGAAGCAATGGATTATTTTTTGTTATCCATCTATACTACAGTTTCTAATTGAAGTGGTTTATAGGGAAACGGAAGAACGATCTCCGGAGTAACTGATGGAAATTCCATTCAACCATTGAGTCAATATTCATCGGTTCTCAATATTACTATCATAACCACGTGAATAACGTAATTCTACTAATATAAGTATTAGGAACAAGACCCACAAAGACCTATAGTTGAGTACAGAATACAAACAGATATGTGTCTGCCCTCTAGTAATTCTCAACTTTGCTTGAAAGGTAACAGCCAATTTTCTATGCAGAAACACATTCATGAATCACTCTTTGATGGATTCTTGACTTCAAAAAATAACAAGACGATCCCCTTTGATTGGCTCACGACGGAACAATGTGTAAGCTTTCATTAGGAAGCTGTTGGCTCAGGTAATTATTGAAATTCTGGGGAAGGGGTCAAAGACCATGATCATGGAAGCATACGACACGTATAATGAGATTCAGCCTTCACAAGCAGAATCGCAATTTCGCAAGATGGGCTAGCACGACATTGCCACTCTGTACCCATGCAGCTTGATCAGAACTACATGGTTTCTGAGCATCGATCTCTTGACACATCAAGCACTTCAAAAATCAGGCAAATCTTTCTCCACAGATCTTCCAGCCTCAACATCTGAAAGAGTGTGAGAAAGACGTGTCATTTGTGGGACGCTTTTTACCGAGATATGCTCATATTCTTTGTATGTCTATGTTACATGTCCGAGCAGTTATTTACAAGTTCTCGCGATGGAGAGGAAAAAGAAAGAAAGAAAGAAAGAAGTACTGCAGTTGAAGAAATGACAGTGTATACAACAAGATCGACAAAAAAAAACCCAACCCACGACCTATTCACAGAAAGACCGCCAAGCTGACATATAACATGCGCTTTGGGCGATTAAATGCCAGAACCCAGTTTCATCTGGTATGTTCGACACTGTTGGATTTAGTTACCCTTGCGACCCTTGTGGTGGGGGGAGCGGGCAGCCAAATCGGCATCCTCGTGCTCCTCGTCCTCGACTGAGCGGCCGTTCTTGCGTCCCTTGTGATGAGGCGCCCGAGCTTCAATTTCTACTGAGCGGCCGTTTTTGCGTCCCTTGTGGTGGGGCTCACGGGCCTCGATCTCGACTGAGCGACCGTTCTTTCGTCCCTTGTGGTGGGGTTCACGAGCTTCAATCTCAACGGAACGGCCATTCTTCCTTCCTTTGTGGTGGGGTGAGCGGGCAGCCAAGTCAGCATCGTCGTGCTCATCATCCTCCTCAACTGCGCGACCGTTCTTGCGTCCTTTGTGGTGAGGTGAGCGGGCAGCAAGATCGGATTCCTCGTCGTCCTCGTCATCATCTGCCTCTATGGCGCGACCGTTCTTCCTTCCCTTGTGGTGAGGCTCACGGGTCTCAAGATCATGCTCGTCTTCCTCATCACGCTTTCCGTTCTTGCGGCCTTTGTGATGGGGCTCGCGGGTTTCAAGGTCGTGCTCATCCTCTTCTTCACGCTTGCCATTCTTGCGCCCCTTGTGGTGAGGCTCACGGGTCTCAATGTCATGCTCTTCTTCCTCGTCACGCTTTCCGTTCTTGCGTCCTTTGTGGTGGGGCTCGCGGGCTGCAATATCGACTGCACGTCTACCGTTCTTGCGACCCTTGTCTGCGATGTGTTAGTCGATTGGACATATGATAATATAAGAAGTCAGAGGAACTTACGGTGAGGCTCACGGGTCTCAACGGTGGCAGCCTCAGCTTCACGGCGACCATTCTTGCGGCCCTTGTCTTCTAGGAGTTAGTATGACTTCAAGTTAACAAGCTGTACGAGCACTGACGGTGACGAGCTACGATGGAAGCAGCTAGAGCAGGCCCAGATCGAGCCGCCAGGGCATTTTTGGGGGCGTCCTCAGTGACCACATAAGCAGCAGCTGTAGAGGCACCAAGGGCCAATAGGGCGAGACCACTGAACTTCATAGTGAAAGGTAGGGAATGTGTCGATCAAACGTAAATTTATGATAAAGTTCAGAGTAAGGAGGTGGTCCGGCCACTAACGAAGAGAATGAATGAGAGAGAAGAGAAGGAAAGGCGGATGAGCAAGTTTGAGAACGATTGTTGTCTGAGGATATAAGGTGATCGTGTCGTGAGCACCTTATATTCACTCTCCACTCTACAACCCATTCTCCCGATCCCTTGTCCTCGACTGGCGGCTATCGCGATTCCTTGGGTATCAAACCCGCCATGGCAGGGAATTTGCGGAATCTGAAGGCGCAAATAGTATGCGGCATCGATGAGGCCAGGGCATCCGACATCTGCTGCTTCATAGCACCCCGCTGCGGGGAGGAAGGGAAGATAGCACAGTGGAAGATTCTACGAAGAACGGGTACAGCGGCATGGTGAGGGAGCAAAACGACACCTCGGTTCCATACGCTGTGGACTTAAGTGTTTGAAATGCCCAGAAATCGCGGCGTCTTGGAAGCTGAAACGATGCTTGATGGGTCCTCTTGTGTGGTGATTGGTCTGATGGCTGTGTAGAATAATGCCGCCACATCAAACAATACAATCTGTCTCCAGAAATCGAGAGCAGGTGGTGGTGAATGCGCCACCAGAGTGTCAGACTGTGTTTCTGACCCTGGTGCGGAGGCTTTTCCGCTTTTCGCCAAGATGAAACGATGGTGAAATACCAAAACACGTGTGAGCCTATGTTTCCAGTGATTTAAGCATCCACTATTACACGGCTTTCATCTTTCTTTTGTACTAGTTACCGTCGCTTAAAGTCTTGGTGAAAGCTTGGTACATTCGTAGTGCGGTGTCGAAGCAATGCGAGGTGTTGGGATACATATTGGCTCATGCCCCAGTACTGAATCACTCACTGCTTTTTACACGGCTGAGTGCGAAATGAAAAACCCCACATGCCAATTTTTCTCTCCATGCGATTTTTGCTCTTTCCGGAGGGACTAATTCTACTCAATTGCTTTATGAATACCAAGAGAACCCTTCCCATTATTATCATTCTCATCCAAGCCATCGATTTCAAATATCCCACCATCATTCGTAGATGATCCCAAAATCTGACTCAAAGTCTCGATGGATGTTTGATCGGCTCGACAATACCAAGAAGCAGATTTGAGAGACGGCATTGATGTGCTTGTCTCACGCATCTACATCTGTATCTTGTCGGAGTCATGTATAATCTGAGAAGTAGTTTCAACCGAGTCAGGCGCAACTAGTGAACAGCCGTGACACTGTAACTCTCAAGTCCAAGTTTAAGGATACCAACACTAATGACACAAGTTGTCGCGGTGTACAAAGAGGTTCAAGTATTTGAATGGCATTTAGAATCTCTCTGAATCATAGGTACACTACCCCGTTCCAGCTCAATCGATATGAGCTTGGATAAGTAGGCCATCCAGTTGCTTAGGATACCTTCAGCAGTGGAAAAAATTGTGTGATCACCGATCGGAACCTCAACATCTCAACTTCACTTCACTAACATCGCAAGATGTCTTATAACGAAGGTTCAAATCTGTTCTCCAAAGTGTGTGTCGTAGATGTTCGCGCATTCCACCCCATTCTGTGTGGCTAGTCATTCCGACAGATCTCGCGGCATCCCAATAGCCCAACCTTAGACGTCAGGGATCATCCTCGCGCAACGCGTGTATATCTTTTCTCAGATGTTTATAATACAACCAACGTCACGTCACGTCACGTCATATCCGTTCCCTTTGAATTTCAAATCGATGAGTATACTTTATCTTCCCTGTTATTCCATAGAAACTGTCAGCATCATGATTGCTGTCTAATAAACAGACCAAATAATCTTCATCTTGTTCCTCTACCTAGTGAGTTTACACCTTATCAAGAGTTGTTACTACTGCACATCCGTTAGATTTACGATCCGTAACCACACAAAAGGTTTGGAGCCTCCAAGAATAGTCACTTCTCACGAGGCACCATATAAGCGGACAGTCTGTGTATTCAAATATTCGATCAAATCCCACATTCACTCTTCAGTACAAGACCAACTGATCGCGCAAAAGAAGAGTAGAATAGTGCATCGAAAAATTGAACTTGAGCGAATTTTTGGAATACACAAGGAATAAAGATCAGAAACACTGACATATAAAACAGAGTAAATTATACCAAACACACATGCAAGAGTCCGACTAGGAGGAAACAAACGTTACATTACCCAACTTTTGATCTATAAACAAAAAACAACCAGTGATGCCATCCACTCAAACACACGACCTCATTGGATCCGTCCATGAAAGGCTCCATCCACCCACAGTACCATCATCGCCGTTCCAACCAGGCACATCCAACCTCGAACTCCACCAACATCCCCAAGAACAAGACATCCGATATCCAACGACCACCCTACCTTCCCAACGCCGAAAATCTTCCTCCCCCCGAGTGATACCACCGCCCTTCCACCCCAACGCCTCAATCCCAGCGACCCGGACTAACACTCAATCCTCACTCAACACTACACAAACGTCATTCATTAGCCATTATCTCCATTCTCACCATCGTCCCCCCTCTCTCTCCCCCCTCTCTCTCTTGCTTCCACAAATACCCCCACGCACCTTACCAACAAAGAAAGGAAGGAATACTGCATACCTTGAGAACAGGTTCTTTGCATCCACCCCCCGAAACCTGGAAACACGTGATGTCCTGATAATATCTGAAATGGCATTTCTGTATTGTTTTTCCCCCCGCGGAAATCGTCAGCAAGCTCACTTTTTCACACACACTCTCTCTCCCCCTTCTTTTTATCTTCTTCTTATATCCCTCCCCCTTGATCTCATTCCCTCCCCAATCTCGCACACCCCCACCATCCCACCCCCTCCCTTCTTCCCCCGAAAAACCACCCAAAAGCGCTTAAACAAGGTAGAAAAAAGAAAGGGTATTGAGAACACACATACCTCCTTCTCACTCAACATCCCCATAGGCATAACCGGTTTAACGCACTCGCAAGCCTTTTTAAAGCGAGGAAGATGCTCATGATGTTTATTCTTATGACCTTTTTCTATCGCCGACGCTGTCGCAGATGGTGCTGCTTCAAGGGGGGACGCGAGGGTGGATGTGGCGAGGAAGAGGAGGAGGAGGGAGGTTGGGAGGAGCATTGTTGTTTTGGGCGGTGAGAGAGGATAGGTAGGGAGGACGGAGACTGGATTAGATGAGGTAAGCGGAGCCAAGGAAGCAGGAAAAAAAGAAGAAAGGAAGAAGGGGAGGTAGGATTTTTACTTTCTTTATATAACACACCCATACATACATACATAGGTATATATAAATATAGATAGGTAGATACTCCACGCAAGCAAGCATGCATGCACATGCACGTACACATACCCCGCAGATCCCCCAAATCCGACCTCGATGCCGATCTAGACTTTAAATACTTACCTAGGTACATAGATGTAGGGATGTGGCATATTTTACCCAGTATTGATCGTGGCGTCATGTTCGCACATAAGCACATAACGACATGTAGAAATGCCATGGCATGCACACAGCCACCTAGTATCACGAATTGCCATTTGTCATGTAACCTCTCTCTTGTCTGACACTTGATGTATTTTTTTTTCCAGCGAAGCAGAAACTAGGGGAAAAAAAATGGAAATGTTGAACATCCTTTGTATTCCCCACACGTAACTCACATCGCAAGCAAGACAGGAAATGACGGCTTTGGAGAGAAAGAAAGTGTTGCGCGGCCTTTTTTTCTAATATCGAAATAAATGAAGTCTCTTACATGGTGCATGCATATACGAGGGGAGGAGGGGGGTGGGACCGGGTATATGGGAAAAAGCGGGTAAAACCAAACAAAAGCAGGAGATCGAAAACGAAAAGAAAGGAAACAAAAAAGAGTGAAGCGTAGCAATTTCGACACGAATCCCATGCGCCACAGCTGTGGAATATGCAGAATTTGTTTCTTGCCGGGGTAGAACGTGGAGTTTGAATTTTTGACTACATACATACGCGTACAACAACAGTCCAACAGTCAGCAGCTAACCGCTACAGCAACCCTCACCAACAAATCACTTTGGCAGAACACGCAATGTTACATCGACTCCTCGCAATGCGACGACGGGCCAAACGACACCAGAACATACAATCGAGAACAGGACTTCAAAGTACAAGATCGAATACACGCATGAATGAATTATCCTGCATGCTCGACAATCTCGCTCACCAACTTGCCGTCTTTGATGTACGTCTTGATTTGCTCGGGCACCGCGCTTTCCGCAAAGTCCTCATCTGGCGTCGGCAAGTTAATGTTCACGGCAGAGCATTTGCTGGTGAAGATTTCCGTGTTTGTCGAGTTCTTGGATAGATAGACGGTAGCACCGTCGACCTGGTCCAGGAGCAGGGTAGGGAGAGTGTCAATGACTTGGAGCGCAAAGCCAGGGCACTTGATGACGTCGACCGAACTGACCAGAGAGTCAATTACAATCGACGTCTTCTCCGAGTTGTCTATCGAGATGGCATTGCCTTTGCCGTTGATACGGATAGTGGTGTTTTTGCATCGTGAAATGAGGATCGAGTGTTGCATTTCCGCATCAATCTCAACCATTTCGCCGGGGCTGTCGAAGTGCTCCTACTAATTGTCAGCGCGAACCAAAACTTCGACAGCATAAACGTCACTCACAATGATCCATTTGTTTCCATCAAGCTCCTTCTTCGGCGGCTTCTTAGTCCGCATGCTTTCCGGCTTGGGCCTCCTAGGGGGCGCTGGGCTCTTACTCCTCAGCGAACCATTGCTATCACTCCGGGTGGGTACAGCGGCGCCTGCTCGCAACGACGGGTTCTTATGCGTCATTTGACTAGCGTCCACCTTCTTCAACCCCTTGGTGACGGCGTCTCCTCGGTTCAGATCGTCAAACACAGCGCCCATGTCGGGAGCTGACTTCTTCGGCGCCGCGCCCGGTGGTGGGGGCAGACCTGGGGGTGGGGGAGGTCCTGGAGGTGGGGGGATACCGCCTGGCGGCGGAGGTGGCGGAGGAGGAATGCTAGAGGCTCCGGCGCCAGAGGCTTCGTTCTTAACCTGCTTCGCGGCTTCTTTGGCATCGATGCCATCCTTGTTCCACGCGACGGCAGTGGTGTGGAACTTCTTGGTGTAGTCAGACAGCGCCTTGAACAGCTTGTAGTAGGCCTGGACCCACTCGACATTGGTCTTCTCGGGCTTGTCCCTGTACTCCTTGAGTATCTTGTTGCCATATATTTGAGCTCCACCAAAGAGCTCGTCAATGTACTCTGGAGGTTTGAGTCCGTGCTCCACAGTGACCCAGCCAAGAGCTCCCACGGCGTCCGAAACCATGGTAAGGGGATTTTTCAACTGGGGCTCGTGGTTGTCCAGGCGGATCCCGTCGACCTTCTCCATGGCGGCTTGTAGATCTTTGAGAATCTCCATGCAGGTCGCAATATCCGGCTTCTTCGCTTTGTCGGCAATCAAGAGAAATTCCCTTTGAGCCATGAAGGCTTGTTGCACAGCTTTTGCCTAGCATGCGCGCGTTAGAGTTGATGAGGGCGAAGGTTCCACATCAGCCTACCTGGCTATCAATGACATTGCCCAGCTTGCTGCTGCGATCAGCCCAGTCCTTCAGCTCTGTGTTCAAAAGGGTGTCGAAAGCTTCGATGGACGGTGGCAGGGTCTTGACGACTTTGGGAGGGGGGGCGTTCGGGGCAGCGTTGGCGGGGGTGACGGCGACAGCGGGCGCGCTGGAGCCATTGCTTTCGAAACCGACGGACGAAGAGGCGATGTCTTCGAGTCTCGAAGTTGCAGCTTCCAGCCTGTGAATTGTAGAGTGATTAGTTGTGATGCGGTATGCGACAAAGGAAAGGCGGGTCGGAGAAGGGGGGTCGGATGGCGTGAGGTTTACCGTTTTATCAGGGTGGTCAGGTTATTCATGTTGTTCTGAGCCATGAGGATAGTTTTTGTTCCTCAAGCGGACAGATTGGGGGAAGATCAGATGCTTGTCCAAGTAAGTGGATAGGATGGAGGTGCGAATGTGGAGGTGAGGCCAAGTAAGACAGGCAGCCGGGCAGGTGCGTAGCTCTTGAGTCTTGACACTGCCGAGACGTCAAGGTCCAGGGTTGTAGCGTGAGAGTGATAGAAATAACAAGGGTTGAAGAATAAACACAGTCACACTCAGCTGTCGAAGCATTCGAGTGTGTTGTATTATACTTGAGTCTGGAGACGGCTGGTGGTTCCCCTGCATGCATGCATCTATCCACCTGTGCCAAGCCAAGGCACAGCTCCCCCGTCTCTTCCCGCACGCTAACTCAACCTTTCCGTTATATTGACTTCAACGGCCTGCACGTCGTTCAAACTGTGTGCACATGTTGTATAACTTTATGTGAAAGACACCGTTTGGATAAATTTGGGAAGCTTGCCAACATGACTGCAAACAGCACAGCGGATGTCGACTTCTGCACCCTTGGCATGTTCATCATCGGTTGGTACAATGACTTTGATTGATATCCGTCTGAAAATACACATACACCCCACTACATCACGTTGCATGGCCAGATATGGTGCTAGAATCCATGCGCTTACCACAGAACCTTAGATGAAATCGAATTCCCCCCTCCCAAGCCACCTGTCAAGGATATCCTCGGTGGTGCTGGCTCCTACTCGGCACTGGGCGCACGTCTATTCTCCCCACCTCCGAGATCCAAATCGGTGGGGTGGGTCGTGGATTGCGGCTCCGACTTCCCGGGCGAGCTCAGAGAGACTATTGCCGCATGGGATACTGGCGTAGTGCTCCGCGAGACCCCTGAACGCCTGACGACAAGAGGCTGGAATGGCTATGGCGACAATGAACATCGAGGTGACTTGAAGCTCAACTCCTCACAAAGCGACGCCGAATTCGGTAGGTGCTGACACCACCCAGCTTTTCGATATACGACTCCCAAGCTTCGTTTGGATCACCATGCTCTGGCCGATACGCCCCTCCTTTGGTCCAAGTCATTCCACCTGATCTGCTCCCCATTGCGATGCATTGATTTGGTGGTAAACATTCTTGCTTTGCGCCAAACGGCAATATCTGAAGATCCCCAGCCTCGCCCACTCTTCATTTGGGAGCCGGTCCCTGACCTGTGCGTACCAGATGAGTTGGAAAATTGCCTCAAGGCATTACCGTTCATCGACGTCATCAGTCCAAACAATTCGGAGCTCGGTGGATTCTTCGGCGCAAGCACTGACCTAAAAGATCATGTCAACCATCGAAAGATTGAAGCATTGTGTCAGGAATGGTTAGATAGTGGCATCGGTCAAAATGGGAAAGGAGGAGTAGTCGTTCGCGCGGGTAAAGATGGATGTTTCCTTGCCTGTCGCGAGTTCCGCAAGTGGCTGCCCGCCTATCATCAGTCAGGCGACTCGGTAGTCGACCCTACTGGAGGCGGAAATGGCTTCCTGGGAGGTTTAGCAATGGGGCTGGTGAAAGGTGGTGTGAGCAATCTGGAAGAAGCTGCGGTTTGGGGCTCAGTGTCGGCCAGTTTTGCAATTGAACAGATTGGCGTGCCTGTGCTGGGTCGCGACGACAAGGGCGAGACGTGGAACGGCGTGCATGTCGAAGATAGAGTGTTACAATTCAAAGAAAGGCTGGTTACGTATGTACAGCCATGAAGCGCTTCCTGCGCATACCCCGAAACCCCTGCATTCCTAGACCGTTTATTGTTTGCCTTCACTCTCCTTCTCTTTCAGTTTGCGGTCGTGCTCGATGATTTGCTTGCTCCAACTATTCCGCAGTCAGTTGCTTGTTTTGTGTGCTTGGCGAAGGTCTGGAAAGGAAGGGTTCGTACTATCGGCTCGGGTAGAATCTGCCTGGCTCGGGCATGTGCTCTCGGTGCTCCAGGTTCGCACTCAGTGTCCAGACTCCAGCGAGAAGCAACAGTCCGACAGCACCCATTTTGGCGGTATTGGCCTTCCAGTTGGCGGGTTGGGCGTACCAGCCGCCGGCCGGCGACCAAACGTGCTTGGGGTACCTGCAGGCAAGGAGCAGTCAGAACGGGCAATGAAACGACATTGACGCGAATGACTCACGGGATCTTTCCTCCTCCACCCATTGTGAAATTTGGAGAGTTGTGGTTTGTTGGGGGGTGTTTTGGCGCAAAGGCAAGCAAGCTGGCGATGTGCAGTCGTATGAGACGAGATGGTCGAGGTGCGGAGCGAGCCCACGTGGTCCGGGCGCGCTTATGTAAGGGGCCAGGAAATTTTGGAGATGTCGGAGCTCCTGGCGCTGGCACCAGACGAAACGAAGATTGGAAGCACCCAACCAACCACCGAGTTCCTCTCTTTCCATTGGAACTCCCAATTCCCGTCTCTCCTCCTCTCTCTCCCCCTCCCTCTTCCCTTCGCTCTCTTTTCTTGTACCACATCACCTTTTTTAATGAAACGAATACGCTTCTCGAGATGCGCCACAGAGCGGCTGGCCAGCACCACCAGCAACACCACCACTCCTCGCCGACCCTCGTGCATTCACAATGTCGCGCCGAGCAATTATAAAATCCGATTACAAACACGCTTCCAGTCCACCGCTGCGGCCGCCAGCGATGCAATTCCCGCCGAGATGGATGCAGGGGCTGCAGAGCCTGTAGCCCCCGAATCGAAACCATCCGCGTCTTCATCGCGTGCCCACACCAGGAGACGCCTCCCCCTCGAGCAACTTCCTTCTCCACATCCTCACTCCGCCTCTCAATCCATCAAGCTGGCCGCCCTGCGCTCTCGACTTTCTTTGCCTGAGCGTTTCCCCCTCCAGACCCTCGCCCGTACCCTAGTACATCCCTCCGCAGATGCAGATCCAGCCTTCAACAACGCCTCATTGTCAATACTCGGAGCCAATCTCCTAGGCTATTACACCACCGAGTATCTCATGTGTAATTATCCCCGTCTCCCCATGTCGGTCATGTTCGCCGCACAAGACGCATACATTGGGCCCAAGGCGCTGGCTTTGATTTCACGGGAGTGGGGTATTGAGGCCGCCGCTGCGCCTGGTGGCGAGGTGGACCCAGGTCTGTTGCAATTCAAGAGACTTCAGGCTGGCAGCGGCATTCCTGGTGTGTTAAAACAGGAATTGCCATGGAAATGGAACAAGACAACCACCCACAAGATCCTCGCGACGGATGAATTTGGCTCCGACCAAAAACCACCGAGTCCCCATGACCTCGCTCGCACTCCTGTGCCTGTGCAGGAAGCAGCACAATCATTCGTGCGTGCATTGATCGGATCGCTCCAATTGCACCTCGGAACACCGTTGGTCAAACGATTTTTCAGGGACCATTTCCTCAGCCGCCAACTCGACTTGTCCACTCTTTTTGACTTCCGCACGCCTACCCGTGATGTTTCACGACTTTGTGCGAGAGAGGGCTTTGAGCCACCAGTCGCGCGCCTCATATCGGAAACCGGTCGGTTAAGCAGGCACCCAGTGTTTGTGGTGGGGATTTACAGCGGCAAGGACAAACTTGGGGAAGGTGCGGGAAGCTCACTGGACGAAGCAAAAGTCAGGGCAGCCGCCGCAGCATTGAAGGCGTGGTATCTCTACAGACCGCTGGAAGTCACAGTACCAAGTAGCACGGAAAACGAACTCGACGCGAAAAAATGGAGACCCAATATGGTGGACTGCGGTGAAGTCATTGTCTAAGAAAATAGAGGTGTACCGCGAACTACGGTTTTGGGCCTTTTCGCCAGGCTTTCGGTTCGATTCGCATCTGAGCGAAAGAGTTTCTCTTCAATTTTGGTATTATTTTGTACAATTGCATTGAGGGAGAACCAAGAAGATTGGCGGGGATGGCAGGGAAGACACGAAAGAGAGGGAATCGGGCTGGCTGCCAATGCACCACCAATCAGCCATGCCGCGTCCATGCAGCACCCCTGTATTATATTTGTTGCGTCAATAGTATGTGTGTGGATAGAGTCGAAACCAATTTAGCATGTACAGTACTGAAGCCTCAGCACGTCTCATTGAGTCCAAGCAGAATGCGAAAAAGCTCACACGGCGGCATGGATCGCTCGAACATCAAAACACCATCCTAGGAATTCAGGCAGTACATATTTTGTTTTCCGAGCCGTTTGTATAGTATTTCCATCACAATCGAGCTCATCGCGGAGGGCTCAATACACCTCAGCAATTCCCCGCCCCCGACCCAGTCGACGCCGCACAAAAGTCATCGCCATCGCTATAGCGCCTGCGCAAGGGATATTATAAGCTAATGTCATGATCGTAGTCTATCCGCGTTGCATAGATATAACCTTGGAACTTACATATATCCCGTGATCAAAGCAGCATAATCAGGAGCACGCTGATACGACCCAGCAATATACAACCCACAATACCGCGTGATTTCCGCGAGATCAGCGCCAAACGAATTCGCTCCGAGCGGGTACGAACCGTCGCCGCGGTTGCACGCAAAAGCTACAACGTTGTTTCTGATAGCGTAGAATGCCTTCATGTGGCACAGTACCGTTAGTCAACGTTGCGGTTGGAGACTAGATAAGAACCAGTGGATCGGAGGTCTACTTACCATATGCCCTGGGATATAACTAAACACGCCATCCTCGTTTCCTGGAAAACAAGTCCTCGTTAGGAGAGGGTTTAGATGAGTTTTTGAGTAATGTTGTGCTTACTTAGCCCGTCTTTCATGCTGTCGACGGCGGCGTTGCAGTTCCCTGGGTCCATGTTATACCCGCACCCGCAAAAGATTTGGCCTTCGTAACGCCGGGAAAGGCCACGTGTGAGACTCTTTTTTACGCTGGGAGTAGGGATTTCTCTGAGCTTGGTATGGACTTCCACGCCGGCGGCATCCAAGTGTGCAGAGTAGATTCCGTTGGTGGCGCCGGTGGGTATTTTCCAGGAGCTGGCTGAGACGGCGAAGGCGGCGGCGATAACGATGGTAGTGATATGCATGGTGGGAAGATAAAGTCAGATATTCTCTATAATGGGTGGGGCATATAGCGAATAAAGCGATATGATAAGATGTTAAAGCAAGAGCTCTGCGGGGCTTTTTTCTTTAAATATTGGCCATGATACTTGGATGTATAACATGGTCAACGGGCAAGCATCAATGAATGCACGGATAGGAAAAGCATGGTGGCTACATTGTCGGCTTGATTGGTGTGTCTGGACTTTACCATTTGGATGGTGCCAGATAGAAAATACGAGCTGCTCTGGAAGGGTACCGAACAGTCGAGTCCGGCCTATTTCTCTCTCCTGCATGAGCGGTGACTCGTTTGCAATATAGTATCTTATCTGACGGACGGAGCCACTTTTCCAACGATCCAAGAAGAGTATTCCTTTCCAGACATTTATTGGACCTCTAGTGATCTGAAGAGTGAATGAATACTAGCCTTGATTTTCTTCCTACTGTTATCGAGTATCAAACTTCTAGCTCTGCACGAGTGTAAAAGGAGCAGCATCCTCACGCTCTTTATATATGCATGCCTCGCGTATGCAGCTAATATGTCTTTACGAGGCTGTTACAGGAACCTCGATACGAATGAATGATATGCTAGTACGAAGCACTATAACTTGCATATATCGAATGATGTGTATCCCCCGCACAAGCAAAGCCATGTATGCACGGGATCAGTCAAGGAAGTAAATCAGAAGGCGTCTGCCATATCCCTGAACTGAACGCCTAGAGTTCAGAGAGATCTGAGCATAACCTACTATCTCTTACTACGTTACAAGCATCACCGCGTAGCGATCTAAATATGGGTAATTATCCAAAGCAGAAATCCTGGGAGACTTGAACCGAGACAGCGTTTGTGAAAGGAGCAGAGGCCAGCAAAGTAGGCCTGGAGCCGGGCGACAACTGGACCGCGCCCTGGGTTTTCATTAATGAGTTTTGCCGCTTTGGATGGTCTGCCACTTGTGTAGATGAATGTTTGCACGGCGATATATTGCATGTCGGTGTGTCTCAGAATAAGGCGACTAGGCAATTGAATCTGGGGGTAGTTCTCTATCTGACTGGAAGTTCCGACGTCGTTTGATGCTCTAAGAATACAAACAGCTAGTCTCAATCATGCTAGCGCCGCTAGTCCGGATCTAGGTGCTGTCACGCTATCATTCACTTCGTCAATAAACCATTCCGGTCTAAGAGCGCTAGTCGTTGTTGTAGAGTCTCCCTCGCGACGACGCACCTGGAATCTCTAGCTTCGTAAGACGAGCGAATGACCACCATAGAGGAAAATGACAGTATGACGACAGGTATGGACGGGGATTGATTTGTCATCATTGGCGTACATCATAGCACTTGAGGTCTGCATATACAAGTTTGCTGCCGTACTGCAACACCATAGAAGATTGGTAATCGCATGTAGAGACAAAGTAAAGATCGTCGGAGCTGAAAAAGTATGGGATGCTGATGCTTATGCATCGGCTATTCTTTTCCCATATACATCAACTAGTACACATATAAACATGTATATATGGACAGCGAGCGTATTCCACAAATCTGGGTTTGAAAATCATCCTGATGAAGCCGACCGAGAAAACATAGAATCGAGGAAAAAACTCCAGATTCAACCATGTCCCCCAAGAACATCTCCATAATCCACATCCCCTCAGACATAGGTTCCCTCTACCCCGGCAAATCCCGCGCCCCAGCCGCCTTCACCGCCGCAGGCTTCCAGACAAAACTCCAGGCCGCAGGCCATTCTATCGTGGAATACAATGCCTTCTCCTCCGCTCACTTCTCGGAACCCACCCCAGTGGTATCAGCGACGTGGAAACCCTCTAGCAGATCTCCAAACGGAGCTCGCAACGAAGCAGAGACAGTCAAAGCCTGCCATGCCGTGAAAAACACCGTTGCACTCGCGCTAGCCAACAGCGAGAAGCGAGGTACCAAAGAAGATGAAAGCAAGAAGAAAAACATGCAGTTCTTCATAGGAGGAGAATGTCTCTACACCCCAGCAATCCTCTCAGCATACTGGCACCACTTCAACCCTCCCTCCCCCTCTCCCACCACAAGCAAAACAATGGAAAACCAAGCCAGCGAGCAGAAAATCGGCATCATCTACATGGACGCAGATACGGACCTCTACCTCCCAAACGAACCCTCCACCCCAGGCACCCTCGCCTCAATGACCCTCTCCCACCTCACCCTCCGCCCCGGCTCCCTCCCCTCCATGGCCCCCTTCTCCCGCCCCAACAACACCGCAGTAGTAACCCCGCAAATCATCTCTCTCTTCGGCACAAACGCCACCGCCCTCGCAAACGGCCCCCCCGCCCACCTCTCCTACCTCCTCGACAACCATTTCCGCGTCCACACTTCGTCGGCCGTGCAAGCCTCGCCTGTTGCGTGCGCGAAGGAGGCGTTGGCGTGGATCGAGGAGAGGGTCGATTGGATTGTGCTGCATTTGGATGTCGATGTTATTAATCCGGGGAGCTTTGCGTTGGCGAATGTGCCGAATTTTACCGGGTTGGGGTATCGGGAGTGTTTGGATGCTTTTGGGGTGTTTTTGCGGAGTGAGAAGGTGGTTGGGGTTAGTGTTGCGGAGGTTAATCCGGATCATGATTGCGAGGGGGAGATGGTTGGGCGGCTTGTGGGGGATTTGGTAGGCGCTTTGGGGGAGTGATGGGCAGGTGTCTGATGGGGAATCGAATGGTTTTTGTTGGGGTTTGGAGGGTTTGAGGAGATGCTTGGAAGAGCTGTCTATACTACTTTTTGTGGGCTGTGAGCTGTACTTGGGTTGTCTGCTCACGGGTTTAGTGGCCTTGTTGTTGGCAGACGAGCAGTCAACGATAGAGATTTGTATTTCTTCGTAAGGTACCTTTGAGGTGATTGTGAGATAGAGGTATGGAGTTAGACATACTATAGGACGTAACTACGCACTAACTATATTAAGTTATCTCTAGCTTAGAAGCCAACCGTGAGATCTGTTCGTCCTTTGCTTCACACTATGCTTAACATAGGAAAATCGATATAAAGGGAAAGTGCTTGCAGCAAAAACTGCTTAGATCTACTTGCTAATCTCGGGATCTTCATTTGAGTCTGCGCGTATTACCTTCCGAGTCACTTTTGCAGGTACCCCTACAGCAACACTATACTCTGGTATAGTTCCAGCAACTACGGCACCTGCTCCGATAGTACAACCCTTTCCAATGACTGCTCCAGGCAGAATGGTAGCGCGTGCCCCAATCCAACACGCGTCTCCGACTTCAATGGGCAATGCATACATACCCCCTCCCACCCGTTCAGAGACTTCAGTCGGATGATTAGTTGTGATGAAGCAGACTTCAGGTCCTATCAGTACATCGTTACCAATTGTGACAAAAGCGCTGTCGTCGATGCTCAATCTTGATACATTTGCTGTTAGTCGTGTTGCCTATAGGTCAGGGCATCAGCAGCGCGCTTACCCAACGTTGGCGAAAAGATTGTTTCCTATGTCGGTGTTGCATCCATAAAGAACGGAAAATGGCCTTTCAATCGTCGCAGACTCTGCTTTAACACCAAGCAAAGACATGAGAAGTTCGCTTCGTTTCTTGCTGAGGTTTCCACTGTCGCCGCTTTTGGGATTGTTTGATTGCAACAAATCATTGTACTCGTTGCATATCCTTTCGGATCTTGACCGGCCGGCCGCAAGTTCTGCTGATAGCCACGAGCGATACCTGTGTTACATCAGCACTAATCCTAGAGCTAAAATCACCAAAGACCAAACATCATGCCCGAGATCATCATCTCGTATTCTTCACACCAAGGAACATGCTCCTTTGATCTTGCTCGTTCTATCTCTGACATGTTTTTGCTGTTGGTATAAGTACTAGACTGATAGTTTCGTTCCATCGTTGAAAATTTAAGTGCATTCACTTTATCCAGTTGAGAGATGATCGTCAAAGGGGAAAGCAGACCTACAATATATGTTTTTCAAGTAGAAGATCCGGTGAAAGTTCAAGGAGACACAAGGCTGAAGGGCGCATGTGTCTTATCGGGGTGTCGCCCAATTAACCTTTGGGCATGATTGCACCTCATGCAAGACGCACGTCGCCACCAACACACAACTTCCCATGCAGCCATGTGATCGTGCAAGTGGTTCTGACTCGAGCCCAAGATAAGCGACACTGAAAGTTGAGAACAGGGCTCCAATGCTACGGTGGGACTTATCTAGACTTGTTTGTCCTTCAATTTATTCAGCCCTGTGCCACTTCATCGCCGGCAACATTCACCGGTGTTGCTATCCGAGGGATCGACTACACACTAGGATCCACTGATTCATATGGGGCAGACTTAGTACACAGCTGAAAAGGTTCTATAGATGTATCGAGATGTGTAGTAACTTACCAGTTGATCTGAAAAGGAAGAACGATTCAATCACAAGCTATACCAGAAGAAACGCCACTTCCAGGTTCAAGGCTGCGTATTTTTGCCCATAGAATCAAGTGCTAGAGTAGTAGTGGTGGGTCATACCGAAGGCTGCGAAAAACGCCACTTTACACTCGGCCGCACCTTTCTCGAGATTCTCACCAACATTTATTCACCGGTAATGACGTCGCCCTTCCACACCCTGGAATGAGGTTGAAATAGCTGCGGCTCTCAGCCTGAGCATGTCTGCAAAACAAGTTATAAATAGAGGGTCCAAGTGCGCATATGCAGATTGCATAGTGCTATCGTAACTACCTCACGCGCGGAAAAGTAAAATCTGGATTAAGACGTCATCTCCAAGCTCCTTCATAATGATCAGCCCCTTACTAGTAGGTCGACGCCGATAGTGCACGTTCTATGTTAACCGCGGTCAGTCTATCGGCGTTGCATTCGCCCAATCTTCTGTCGTTTTCGCACAGATGAGTCAAGTCGTATACGACGGCATGTTCATATACTGTATTCTGAATGAGTTTGCGTACCAGGATACGAAAATTAGAAGCGTGCACTTCTCGGTGTTATCTATCTATTTGCTATATCGGTTAGTAAATTTGTTCATCATTCCCAGTGTCAAATCCACGTTCTGACTCTTTTAGGTTTGTGTCGATCTTCGGGGCTTCAGTTTTCTTCCTGCCCATCGACCTTTTGGAAGGGCGACTCTGGAAGGCGGCCTTAGTGGTTAACCTTCTTTTTTACCTACCCTTTCGCTTAACCTCATGGATTTGCTGTGGTCGGCGTTGGCTCGAGGACCATGATGACATTCGGCTGAATAGCAGAGGAGTAGTGCCCAAGCAGACGCATCAAAACCGCCTCATTCATGGTCCAATACTTGTCATCATACCATGTCATAAAGAGCCATTAGATATCATTGTCGCGTCACTCACCTCGGTTTTTGCGACACAATATCCCAACCTACACGTGTTTGTCTCTTTCGATGGATCAGAAAACAAGGAGGCCTTTTCTGGTCTAGCTAAAAAGTTTGAAGCCACATTTCAAGATCGGTTCCCGTATGCATGCGCCGAAGCACGTGTCAATGGCACGATGCTGACCTTACTTCTATTTGGACACGGGGGCAAACCACAATGCCAGAAAAATACCTTGGATCACATCATGAGTGTTCATTCCAAACTTGTAGTAGAAGAAACATACGCTCTGTTCCTAGACTCAGACACTACAATACCGAAGTATGCCTTGAGTCTGCTTGCTGAACGCGTGGTAAGTTTGACAGGAGAATCTCAAAGACATTGGGCTGACTGCGGTAGTTCGTGCCATCCAGTGGTATGACAGATGTTGCCGCACTCTCACTGGTGCAAGGTGTCGAAAATGCGTCATCTAGTTTTCTCTCTGCGCTACAAGAGACAGAATACCTCGACTACGGCATACACGTGGAAGTCGTCATGTCATCCCTTGGCAATGTGACCTGCCTGTCCGGGACGACAATGTTCCTCCGCCTCAACGTCGCTCTCGATGTTTTCGATACGTTGCTTAAGGAGAAAGCGCTTCATAAAACATTGCATCATCATTGGAAGTATCATTACGGCGACGATCGACTCTTGACCTTACTTACCGAGAGAAAAGCAGGGTCAAGATGCAGCGACATTCATACCGGTATCATATGCAATACCCAACCGGCTCTTCCGATGATGAATCTGGTGATACAAAGAAGAAGGTGGTTTTTAGGCGCAGTGGCAACTGATGCAGCGGCCTTGTGCGACCCAAGTTACTGGCTCACGACGCCAATTCTGGCAAGGTACCGCCTATTGAATCACGCAGCGCAAACTACAGATTCTCAAATAATTTGTCTGGCGATTTTAATTACTCTCGGAAATCTTGAAGAGTACCGTTGGGTTGTTGGGGTTGTGATAATATCGATGGGCATGAACATGCTGTCGCTATTCTGCTTCGCTTCGGTACGACGCAGAAGCGTGGTTGTGTGGTACATGTATCCAATTTTCCTTATACTGGCTCCGATGTTCAATATTGTAGTGAAAATTTTCACTATCGCTACAGTTAGGGACAGAAAATGGGGAGGAGTTCGAGGGTTGCCGATGGTTATCAGCAAAGGAAGACAATGATTTATATCTGGCGCCACAATGAGGAGCGACCCATGGGATTCTTGCGATCAGTGGTAGCGACGATCCGGCAAGTCTGTTGCTTTCATCATCATTCAATAAGGTAATTTAGATTGTTAAGTTGTAGTGTTAAGGCCCTTGTTAAGACCTAATCTACACTTAGCTAATTTAAATAATAACTTATTAGTTTTATAAACTATAAAACATAGGTTTTGCTTAGAGCTTAAAGGCAAATTTATTGTGTAATTTTTTAATACCTAGTGTTTGTGCTGTATAGAAATGCGATGAATCATCATTGCGCTTAATGGGACGGATTTCTAGGGCGCGAAAGTTCCGTCTCAATCACACGTCTGTCTATTTGTTGAAGTGTGTCCGCTACTATTCGTCTATTGTTCGTTTACACTGCAAGGCTGAAAGTGGGGTACCACGTGCCCCTGTCAATGCTCGCACGAATTGTGATGATCTGATCCTGTCGCCTGATGTGCTTCGACCAGAAACAAGTTTCAAACAGCTGAAGGCGCTTTGACTAGATCTCTACTCTTTGATGAAACTAAGATTCAACCTTGAATGGATCCCCTTTCGATCACCGCGAGCATACTCGCAATTGTTGGAGCGAGCGAGCAAGCTGTGAAAGGGCTCGCAAAGCTAAGAGCATTGAAGGATGCACCAGCTGAACTTTCAGCGTTGATCAATGAGGTTTCCGATCTGCGAGCTGTTTTAGCCCAGATATGCTTCTTAGGCGTCCAGCTGGAGCAGGCTAGTAACAATGGTCCTGTTATCGCACTGAGAAGCCTGCTTGACCGCGCAAATGGACAGATTCTCGAATTGGATCAATGCATTCAACACGACATATCTAAACCAGAAGCGACCAACCCAGGACGCATCAAGGTTTCGCGCGTGAGCTGGACTTTGCATCAGAAGCGAGTGTCAAGTCTCCGACAGGATCTCAGGACGACGCGACTGAACTTGGGTACTGCTTTGGGTGTCATCACAACGTGAGTAACATTCCATAGTCTTAACAGTGTAAAATTTGCTGACTATCTTCTTGGAGGTCCTCGATAAATCGCGTGGAGCTACGCATTCAAGAAATATCGAGCACTCAAGCCTCAGATTCCGAACTTCTAAAACGACTTTTTGGTCAAATCAGCGAGGGCCAGCGACCTGTTGCGCGGAAAGACGATGAAAAGTTGGTGCAACGTTCCCTAGACCCTAGTACCACCCTAAAGCAGGCCTTACCTGATGAACCGGACGAGCTACAGCCGACTGGACTTTTTCCGCGGAGTTCTACCACTCGCCTTCTAGACCATCATATCCATCCGGTTCGCTCATATACTTATCGGAACCCACAGCCTGCAACGATTCAGATTCGGGCTCGCGCCCAACATTTCCGACCATCTTGCAAGCCATGGTGCAGCTGTATCTGCCATAGAAAGCGGTCTTTCCGGTACCCGAAATTGCTCAAGGGATTGGTTGGCACTTTGTTCGTTGGTTATACAGGACTGCCCGTGCTGACTCCCGCGTGCAATGAGACGGCATGTCGACAAAGATCTGTGTCTTCGGTAGATGTGACTTACTACTTTCCTCCATGGTTCCTTGCGCGTATGTTCTCCATGACGCTCACACTGTCGGCGCATTGTGGACCGGAACTCAACATTCGAGTGCCTCGAATGGTGAACTGGACAACACCGCTCTGGCGACTGTCGCAAATGGGGGAATTGGACAATGTTCAGAAACTATTTATTTCGGCCAAGGCATCACCATATGATGTAAACGCATACGGACAATCGGCACTGCACGTACGTTATGTCAAATTTGCAGAAGCAGTCATAGCTAATACATCGTTACGTAGTACGCAGTTGGTTATCACCGGACCGACCTCTGTCGTTTCCTCATTGAAAGCGGTTGCGATGTTCATCTGCAGGATGAGAATGGAAGGTTCGATACCCATGCTAAGTAATTTCGTAAACATTCGTAGCTGACGTGACATAAGAAAACCAATCGATAATGCCTGGGATATCGCATTATCTAAGGCGGCACCACCAGATGTCGTGAATTTTCTGATGCAGACGTTCAGCGATGACGATTACCTTGAATCTCGAGAATTCTCGGTGCTCCACAAGATTGTGCTTGGATTTGCCCACACTAATCTCGATCTAGCACTTGAAGATAGTACCGCGCAGATCAACTCGGTGGATGCCAATGGTCGCACACCCTTATCGTGGGCATCAGCTCGAGGCGACCATGCAAGCATATTGGCGTTCCTCAATAACGGGGCAGACGCACGAATACCCGACTTTGAAGGGGCAACCTCATTGTTTCACGCCATTACTTCAGGCAGCTATGAATGCGTGTCCACTTTGCTTCGATACCACGTGGGCACTGCCACAACAACTGTATACGGCGGTACCCCTTTGCACGCTGCTTGCAAGAATCGAGACGATCCAAAGATGCTGCGGCTGCTGGTAGAAGCCGATATCGACATCAACGCCATCGACTTCGACGGCGACACGGCGCTGCACGCGGTCACCTGTGCTGGTTTTACGAAAAGTGCATTGTATCTCCTTGGTGCCGGGGCCGATCCAAACATTGCAAATGTGGCAGGCGATACTGCGCTTCATATATCTATATACTATTATGCCCACCCAATCATGGAAGTCTTGGTTCACCGTATGAATGATTTGACAAGGGTCAATTCAAGAGGCGAGACATTCCTACACGCTGCTGCAAGCCATTATCATGCAGACACACTCAGGATTCTTGCTTCGGTATCTCTTGGGCAGATTGATGTGGAAAAAATCAGCATAGATAACCGAACTTGCAGGGAGGAGCTTGGTTCTAATGCCGGAAAAGCTACGGAAGATATGAGAAAAGGCTTTGAGGAGTTCCTCGACCGTATTCGAGCGAAAGCTCATGCTATTTTGGAGCATGAAGGGGAAGACAGCGAAGGTGATGAGACGTTTGAAGATGCACTAGAGAGCTTGGCTGAATAATGCTGCAGCGGAGAAGTCATGCTCGTAATTTTAATTTTTTTTCGGTGTCTTTTCTTTCTTGAATAAACGAATGTCAAGCGTGTGAGTACATGGCAACATTTTCTAGTCTCGTCTCCGGGTCGCACAGCTTATGCGTATATACCCCTGAATGGCTATAGAAGTTTGAGGATGGCCGCACCCTGAACATTCAATGTAGCTTTAGATTCATTGCGAGTATTAGTTGGCACAGTAGGTCAACGTCCCTCTCCCTTGTCCAACTCTTAGGAACACATAAGATTACCAAATCAACTTTAGTGGCACAATTATACCAAGTCATCATTTCTGTTCTCTACCAGATCTCCAAAATTGTAGGATGGTCGTTGGGGCAAGATTTGTCATTTGTATACTAGAACGCCTAAACTCTTACTTAAAATAAAAGTATACTAGAACGCATCCAAAAGCTACACTGCTACAGGATGTACAAAAGTCCCCATTCAATCTACCCCCGACCTCACCACAAGCCACTCGAACTACTCCCATCCGAAGAATCAGACTCTTCACTCTCTATATCCTCCCCCGACCCATCCTCACTATCAGAAGAAACCGCACCCTTCTTCTCCTCCCTAAATAAATCCACAATCCCGCTATGTCCCGTTGCAACAGCAACATCAATCGCAGTCCGACACTCCGCGTCTTCCAATCTAGGATCTAATCCCAACTTCAACAGCTCCTGGAACGTATTCTGCACTTCTTTCGCTTGGTCCTGCCATACATTCATTTCGTTCCACCGGCGTCCCGCAGTGAGATGTAACAATCCTTCGCCTTTGTCGTTGACGGTGAATAGGTCCGCTCCTGCTTCTACGAAAAGCGGGAGCATTTCAGTGTGTGCTGTAATTTTCTTGAGGTCGAATTCATGCATGTATGATTCTCCGTAGCGATCTAGGGTGGCGTGGTGGGATTGCTGGATGAAGATTGAAAGAGGCGTTTCGCCGTCTTTGTTGCGGGTGTTGATAGGTACTCCAAGAGCTACATATTGTTTGAATACCTCTGATGAGAGCGCAGCTGCTGCTTTTTTGGCGAAGAGTTTGGGGGAGAGGAGGTGGAGGACGTTATTTCCGTCGCGGTCTAGGACGGTAGGGTCGACGCCGCGCGCGAGGAGCTGTTCAGTTGCCCATTGCTGATTCGATCTTATGGCAAGGTGGAATGGAGTCTGCCCTTGCGAGTCGAACGCGTGCATCGATTCTGGGGATTTGGTTGCGAGGGCTGTGAACACCTCTCGCTCTTTATCGTTGAACTCAGTGGGCGATGTGCAAAGAACGTGCAGAGCCGTGCGTTCATCATCGTCTCTAGCATTGATGTCTGCGCCTTTGTTGATGAGTGTCATTGCGAGGTTTATACTTGCGCGAACGGGGACTTCGGATTTGTTCTTTTGCCAGGATGCTTGTTTTTTTAGTGGCAGGCACGAAGATATCAACAGCGAACGACCTCCTTTGCCCTTTCGGTTGATATCTATATCGGCGTTTTTAATCAGTGAGTCGTGCAACCCGTGCTTTTCGACGGCTTTCTGGATGATGGTAGTTCCATCTTCGTAGTGAGCCATAGGATCGGCGCCGTACGCGAGAAGTGTATCTACAATGTCTTTACATTTATTACCCCCAAAGGAGTCCTTCTTCATACGAGAACTCGGGCAGGCAGCTTTGTGCAGCGGGTAGCGCAATTCTCTGGAAAAAACCATTCCCAGCTTGTTGGGGTCTATTCCCGCCTCCAACAACGCTTTTACTGTGGCCACCCTCAAGCCTTGTATAGCCTTGAGCAAGGGCCGGCTATCTTTTATATCAGCACCGTGTTTTGCGAGAGCCGTGACCATTTCAGCCGAGTCTGCTAGGTCAAGTGGTGTGTTCCCTTCATTGTTGGCTTTGTTGGCATCGGCGCCATTTTCAAGAAGAATAGTGGCTATTCGATAGCTCCACACTTTCGATTTGGACGCAACCGCAATGGTGAGAGGGGTATCGCCAAATCTACCTGATTCGTCTTCGGCTTCTTCGCGTTCATTCAATTTCGCTCCATGGGAAACGAGGTACGATATCGCCTCGATATGCCAAAAGACGTTTCCCTGAGCAAGCACATGGAGGGCAGAGTGCGTAAGCCACCGAGATTGGAATGGACGATTAATGTCCACTTTGGCCTTCTCCACTAGAAATCTGATGACTTCCATATTGGGAAGTTTGCTTTCACATGCCTGGCCTAGCAACGTCATACACTCGTTGTCGTCCGAAATCCGGGTTGTGTATGCATCAACGTCTTCGATTCCCTCGAGGATTTCTTCCAACAAAAAGACACGACCCCATCTAGCAAGAGCATGAGCCGTCTCTACAAGAAACTGTTTGCTGTGCCGGGCCATTGCGCGAAGCAGGTCGTAGTTGTGCGTCTTGAACACTGCCATGACCTTTTCCTCGGCAGTCGATGTGACAGGCAAACGACCTGTGCCGGATGTGGTCCCTCTAGCTACACTATGTTCTTTGTCGGCTTCCATAAACATCTTGATATCCACGCTACTCCGGCTTTGATCACTCAATATCCCCTCTAGGAGAACGTTGCTTGCATGAATGCCTCTTTTCCTGAACGCGATCACGAGCTCCGAGCAACCCTTCGAAACAGCATAGTCTACAGGCGTATGAATTCCATCCGCGTATGGGTGCTTCCCATCATCCACTTGGTGGTGCATATCTGCTCCTGCACGCGACAGTATTTCAACGATGTCGTCAGTTCGATGCTTGGCCAGGGTATCTATCGAAGCTGTACGGATGTCTCCGTCAGACAGCTTGAATGCAAAAACCCGTCTTCCCAGCTTGTCTCGACTAGTGTAACGTGGTGCCACATTCTCCTGCTTATCAGCCAGTACATGTAGTGGGGTTAAACCTTGATAAGTTGTTGAATTGGCGTCTGCTCCTGCTTCCAAAAGATACTGTACTATCTCCGGACGACCCACAATACATGCGTGATGCAGTGCTGTGTGACGCTGGTACTCGCCATGCTTCAACGAAACCATGCGTTTCAAACTTCCCCTGTTTCTGTATTCCTGGAGTAGGACGCCTACGATGTTTGCTTGACCAGTCCTAGCTGCTAGATGCAGTGGAGACACCCCTTCATACGTCAAGACTTCCGGATCAGCACCATGGTCCAGCAGTAACTTCACATTTCTCTCGCTGGTAATCGCAGCATAGTGTATGGGTCTCGCTCCGTCGTGATCGCTGGCATTGACGTCGCCCCTTGCAACAATCTCGTTATCCAGTAACACCTCGATGATTGAATCCATTTGTGTGCTATTATTTCCGCAAGCGATATGAAGAGGAGTTTGGCCGTCGTGATTCCTCGCATCTGTTGCAACACCAAAGTCCCGCAACTTAATGATTTTCTGTTTGAAGGAGTAGTATGAGTCTTCCGAGAAGACTAACTCGTGTACCAGATTATTGCCTGCATGGCTTACTGACAATGGATCCACACCACGTCGAACGAGCAAGTCTACCAGCTTGTTACAGTCACTCAGGCTGCGACCCATACATCGATGTAGCATCGTCGCGCCGGCATGGTCACGCACGAGTGGACTGCAGCCGGATTCGATCAGAAACTCTAGTGTTTCAACATTTTGGTTGTATGATGTCAACATCTTATGCAAGATTGTGAAGCCGTCAAGGCCAGTGGTGTTCATATCCATACCCGCCTCGCATAGTATGTTGAAGATCTTCTGATAAGTCGCACGACCCTTCTCGTCAAATGACCATCTGTTGGTATTGTTCCCATTCTCGTCGATGCACAGAAAAGCTGGATTACCTGAGACATCATGTTAGCGTAGATCTATCAAGCTTCAATGTAGGATATATATACCTGCTATGTTCGGTGCTGCAACATCAACACCCTTGTCAATGAAAGCTTGAACCAAATCTGGTTCAGCCAATTTAGGAAAGCATCTCATGAGCCAATGCAATGCCGTGTTTCCCTTGTCGTCTTTTGTACTGGGATCTGCTCCAAGTTCTAACAGCTTCTTGATTGCGGGAACATCGTTTGTAAGCCATGGCTGCAGCTGCGCAATCAACAACGACCTCCCTTGATCGTCTTTGCTGTTGATATCCGCCCCATGAGTCACCAACATCTCTATGACATTCTTTCGTTGCGTGATCTGAAGCGGAACACCTTCGTTGCAACGCGCGTTCGGATCAGCCCCAGCTTTCAGCAACGCACTGACCAAAGAGTCCTTGTACTTGCCGAAAGAACCGCCAAAGAGGTCGTTTTCTGGCTTTTTGCAAGCACAATGCAGCGGGGTCCAGCCATCTCCATCCCGAGCATGGATGTCACCCCCTGCATCCATCAAAAGCTTGAAACACTTATCAGAGCGGCCCTCGGAGTCGTATGTAGTGCCCCAGTGAGTGTAACCGGCCCATGCATGCATAGCAGTCGGCCCCATCGAGTCCGACCATTCTTTGGAACTATAGCGCTTTTCGTGAGCATCGCCAATGTGGTTGCGCTTGATAAGATTGCGAGCATTCGGATTTGCACCGTGTTCCAAGAGTACTCTGACAATATCAACATTGAAGCTAAACGCAGCTGAGAACAGTCTCGTGGAGACCCCCATGATCCTGTCGACTTCGACCTCTCCCGTCGCCAAAACCAGGTCGATCTGCTCGACGTTTCTGGCCCATCCAAAGGCTTTTTGCTTCCACGTGCTGTCCACTAGCGGTAGAAAGATCCTGATAACTTCTGTGTGGCTTCTCTGACACGCATATTGGAAGGGCGTCTCGCCTTTATCACTTCCGAACTGCTCTAATATATTCTCTGGCGTATCTTTTGTTTTTTCGGTAAGCGGACTCACGCCGTGAGCTAGTAGATGCTTCGAAGCTTCGACCTTGCCGTTAGAAGCTGCATAGTGAAGCGGCTTTAGCCCTTCGCGATCGTCAGAATCAGGATCCGCGTGATGCCGAAGGAGAAGATCGACTACGTCAGCGTGACCAGCACCAGCCGTATACGAAAGTGGTGTTCGCTCTTCAGCGTCTTTTTGGTCGATTGGTCGACTTCCTTTTACATAGTGCTCCACATAAGCATACCATCCCTGACAACTTGCGACATGCAATGACGTGATGTTGCCGACTCGGTAGGACTTCCACTGCACGAGCAACCAAATTGCAAAAGCTGCTCTTTCAGGCTGGAAGAGTTCATCGAGTACATCCAACACGATTGTATCTTCGGATTTAACTTCCGATAAGTGGTGATCCAAGTTCTTGCTAACGTATTCGAGAAGAGGATATGACACCCGGAGCTGTTGTATGATATTCTCTTTCCTCTTATCTTCCCGAGAACGACCATCTCTCGAGTCAAAGTCGTCGTACTCCTGCATATAGTCCTCATTCTTTTCTACATAATCATTGAGCGCGCCTTCAGGAACTATGCACTTATCCAGATATTTCAATGACATGACTACCAGCATGCCGTGTGCGTTATCTTTATCCAGCACCGGAAACGCGCCGTCCTCGGACGCTCTCTCCCCATCACGGAGGAATTCTGTGAAGGAATGGTGTATCACGCTCACACTCTCATCTTCGAGAATCTCCAGCAGCCGGCCACAGCTGCGTTTCACTAGCTCTTTCCCCTCTTTTAGAGTCATCCCGCTATGCTCTTGGATCATCGCAACGAGACTCCCCAGCTCGATCAGCCGAAGAGGCCGACTCGAGTGTACTACGAATTGCAATATCGTGTACTGCTGCTCTTGTGTGACACCGGAGCGACGCGAGTGTTCAGCAAGCATATCAGTGTATAGCGCTTTCAGGTTCGGCGGCAGTCGCTCCAAACTTGTCGGCAGTGTTTCTTCCACGATTGTGCCCTCTTGGAGCCCGTTGGTCAAATTATCAGTCATTAGGCGCGCATGCAGGAACAATCCCTTTGCACGGTCGCAGATTGCTACCTTGACCTCTTGATACTTTTCCTGGCTCAAGCGGGGTTGCAAGCTATCCAGTCGCACCTCGACATAGCGGTTGATGTCTTCATACAGCGTCGCAGGTTCCAATTTCATGCTGGCGATGTCGTTGTCGCGAAGGGTGTCTTCAATGCGAGGGATCGGCCGTGAGGCTAGAAGCAGCTTCAGGTTCTTGTTCTGTCCGTCTGTCCCAAGCTCTTTCAGTTTTGTGATGAAGTCGGTGTGCTGATCATCCATCTCATCCAGTCCATCTGCAATACAATAGACCGGCGTTTCCATCTTGTGTAAAGCTTGCACTAGTATCTCCCACAACTCATCATCACTCCGTCTGCTCTTCGAGAGTCCATCCAGTTTTGCGTGCAGCCACGCACTATGCGGCAGCAATTGCGCCAACCAATCTCTGACAAGATACTTTGGATCATGATTCGTAGCCACGATCTGGCGGAAAAAGAAGAATACAACCACATTTCCCTCTCGCTGAAGCTCTTCCGCCGTTGCTGCAGAAAAAACAGATTTGCCGGATCCAGGGACTCCCTTGATCCAAAGACAATTAGAGCCGTGGTCGACAGCTCCGTTCACGCTCTTCCACGCCTCGAAAATTCTAGAGCGACGTATCTGTTGTCCTGTTCCTTGGACATGCGATCGGATGTGCTTCATGTACTCGTTGCCTGGAGACAGGTAGTCTGTTGGTTCCAGCCATGCCTGCAATTCCGACACCGGCCGCAGTTCCTTGGCTTCGACCATCACGAAATCGTCATCTTCCGAAGCCATGTTTATTGTTTTGTGTTTTGTGGTGGCGAGCACTTGAAGACTTTCGTGCGCTCAGATAGATTCAGTGGTATGAACCTGTTCAAAGATGGCACAGCAGCCGAGGTAAGCCGTCGAAGGATCGGTGTTGGGGGCGGATTCTCTAGGCAATTTTCTGGCATCCAACGGGCCATTGAAGTTTCGTTGGAATATTTTTCATAGAATGCCAAAATTTCGCAGCGGGAGTCCATTTAGTTAAACAAGCTCTGGACACCAGGCAGCTAGATAGTCACGTGACTTGCATCTATCGAACTTGGGCAAAATGCGACATTATTTTATTGTCGTGCAAGGATGATATCTCTAGTTTTCCAGAAGAAGCTTAGATGTAAGCCCTAAGAATACACGAATGAGCACGATCATCGTGAGTCATTCACTCCCTCTAAACTACCTCTTCATAAATAAATTCTAATTTGGAGTTTGGGTGATCCTATACGGCGATGGGTTTACAACAATAAATGAACCATAAAGCGAGCGATAACCCCTATAAAAAGCTACCTCGCTCCTTCGTGCACACATTATTAGATCATGATCACTTCTCGAAACACATGTTGACACTCATGTCTGCCATGTAACATGCATGCCTGAATATGAAATAGATTCAGCATGATTAAAAATTCAAACGTTCCCCACACTCAAAAACGCTGACCAAAAGCATTTTTTATCTACAAAAAGCAAGCTGTTTCGAGAAAAAAAGGTCTCACTAAAAGAGTTGTTCTACTATCAGCCCTAGGCAGGAGATGCAACGCTATGACAGAGAAAACAGTACACAACTATGTTCCCAGCCTTCCCAAAACACCGCTAATCTCCATGCAACAACAAAAGAAAAAATCTACATATATACAATACAACATCACTCTCTTAATATCCACATATAAACCCTACGCCCTCGCAGCCGACAAACTAGTCCGCCCACTAGTCATAGCAACGACCTGCGCATACTTGGAATCAGCATCCGTATGCATCTCGACAAGACACACCTCGCTCCCCATGAGCTCCGAAACCCCCTGACTCATCGCCTCGGAGATCTCCTGCCCAGAAGCTTCAAAAGCGCGCGTCATTTCGCGGTTCTTAGGTTTTGGGGGGCGGGATGAACGGCGGCGGCGCAACCACCATATCAGCGCGATGAGCGAGAGGAGAATGGTGATGCCGAGGCCGATGCCTAGACCGATGGCGAGGTGGTTTGGTGGTGGTGGGGTCGTGTGGGGGTCATTGTCGTGGGAATGTGGATGTGAGGATTCGGTGGAGTTGTTGTTTGTGTTTGACGATGGAGGAGGAGGGGTTGGGGGCGATTCGAGGGTAGAAGACGTAGCGGTTTTTAGATCCGGTGTTGAGGAGGTTGTTGGCGCCGTCGTCGTCGACATTGTAGATACGGTGAAGAAGAGCGATTGCGCTTTAGTATACACGACCGGATCGGGAGCTTTGAAGACCAATTCGTCGATCGCGCAGCATGTTTCGTTGGGCTGTTTGATGCGTTCTTCCAGCGGCGCAATGGCCCCGCCGTTGCAGCACCATTTCTCCGATTCCCTGCATTTCCAGACGAGCGTTGTGCTTCTGCTGTTATCTGATTCATCAGTTTTGGTGCCGTGGTAAGTGGAATGCTAGATGGAGAAGTACCGGGGCAGTAGTTCGCGCAGGCGGGGTCTTGGAAGGTTTTATCCGTGCAGGCGGTTCTCCAGTAGTAGTTTCGGGTCGCGTCTTGCTGTTCGTCTCGACAGAGCCCGTTGGTGAGACATTGGAGGGAATTTGAACAGCATGCGGTGTGTTTTCCTTCTGCGACGGCGGTGTTGTTGCATGGATATTTGTCGGTTACTTCGCGGCCGTTTTGGAAATAGCACGATGTCATTGCGAGGGAAGTGAATGCATCTGTAGGAGAAGGAAATAGGAAAAGAAAGGAGAGAGGGTGGATTTCAGTTTGCCTAACCAAAACACTTGAGCGACTTCGCGCTGAACGACAAGACAGCGTTGAAAAAAAATGTTTGCGACCGGGTACCCCATAAAATGTACCTAGTTTATGGATATAAAAGTAGACCACAATGTCCGTAGCGGAGCTGAGATGTAACGCAAAGTATACTTGGCATGGACAGGGTGACCAATCAGATATTCTCCGGTAGTGGTAGGGCTGCTTACAACCGCTACCTTAAGCTGAACGGAGTAAGGACTAGTCGAGATCGCGGACTACCATTGGCTGTTCTAGGATTATCTCAGACTCGCGTACATTACTCATCATCTAGTCGATAACTACTATCCCCAACTCTACAGACAGGGGCGTGTGTTGGTGTATGCGATTAATAAGACGGGGCTATGAGTATTCTCGCTGACCGCCGATTTAGCCCTTTAGCAATTTTTCCACTTGCGTCATTCGAGAGAGCTGGCTGGAAACTACAGACGAACACGCAAATTGATTATATGTATGACACCTCAACAATGATTTCAAGGAAAAGTATTCAACATGGAGACACGCGGACTTGCAAGACCTGCAGAACCCGGGGAATCGCTTGGAGCAATGTGGCTGTAGACATGCTACTTAGGAGACTAAGCATAGTAGTAAATCATTGCATTTCTATATTCTAATCTTCTACGTTCAATTCCAGATCGACCCGTTTCTACTACTCGATAAGAAAAGTAGATTGGCCTGTGATTGAAGGATCGGTTAACCAAAAATCGTTATGGGAGGTATTTATAACCAGCTCGAGCAGCCCGGATCGCTGCCACCTATTTGAACCCGGAAGAGACTCTAACACCATCACGTAGCCGGATACATCATCTCTGCCAATGTAAATGAATTGCCAACGTGCGGTATCTTGAAAAGATTCACACAATTCAGCATCATTTTGCGAGTTAGCAGACATATAAAGTATTGCTCTCCTACCGCTTATAACCCAGGGCCTGCGTTCTTGGGACTTAGGCTGATAGGAATCCGGCGCAATCGCGATTGTATTCGCGGTGACTCTCAATAATCTGTACTCTCCAACTACGTCCATGTTTTCCTGGGATATATCTTCTAGGCGCACACTTTCGTCGACTGGGCTTTGGAGGATGATTTCTCGTAAGCCACTTTCAAATGCAACACCGGAACCAGCCCAGAGGGGATACCAGACTTTGCCCTGCCAGCCTGCCCAGGTCCATGACGGGAAAAGTGGTCGGCGACGTAACCCCTTCTTTGTATTTATGTGCTTCCAGGTAAGCGACCAGGCGAAGTAATGCGCTCTGAAATTCTGTTCTGCAGGATACGCCAAGCCCCAGCTGTTGAGAAGCGAATGTTGTTGCTTTGAGAATTGCCGAATTATTCCCTTAAACGCATTGAGTGAGTCTTCATCGAAACGAAGATTTCTAGTTGAGTATTCCTCGACATTGGCTGCATACCACTCGAGCGTTTCAATCGGAGAGAATTTGTAGCGATCGACGCTGCCAGATTCTAGCCCACTGATGCCTCCGAATACACCGGCTCGGAGAAAATCGTATGTCATCGATTTGTCGCTTATGTGTAACTCATCAAGCGGGCAAGAAACACTTTCAAAACAATTCATGGTGTTACATTGGAAATAAACTTGGTCGTCAGTGAACACTAGTCGACGGCAGCTCAAGGCCGCTTCTTGAAAAGTCCAGCCGCGAGTTGACCAGTGAGAGCTTAAAATGGCTTCGTGGGGATCTTTTGGAGTCCAGAGCACTGTAGCACCGTCCAACTTGGCGACCAACTGCTTTGCCCGTTCTCGAACACCGACTCCTGGCAAACCATAGGTCTCATCCTGGCCAGCAGCTCCGATTATGGTAAGTTCAGAACTCTGGTATATCCTATCCATTTGTTTGATTTGTTCGTGTTTGAGGTCCGGAGCATTCTGGTCGATGCAGAACTTGTCAATCCAGAGATAACGATAGCCAAGAGATTTTGTGACTTCGATCGAGTCTGCGATCACCGCAGACAGTTTCTCTGGAAGCGACTTCTTCCCATCTATGGTCCGCATACTGCCACACGCATTTCCTGATGAAGCCCAAACATAACTCAAGGTGATATATGGTGTATCTGCTTCATAGTCTTCGATGTAACGCGTCATGCAGTCTATCACTTGCATGCCACTTACAGGTACAGCTTCTGCGTTACAGAGTCGTCGGTGATTCTTCAAGCAGTACTGTAGCCATGGCTTAACAACGTAGGGACTGAATGAATGACGAATCAATTGTGGTGTATATATCGTAGGATGAATCTCTTCAAGGAAGAGAGCTGCGCAGCCTTCAGAGCTGATATGGTGTCCCAGGCTATCGACGGAGAGATATTTGTGGGGCACCAGGACTAGATAGACAGATCTATCTGTTGATTCGATCCGAGGAGGCACCAGGGGACTCATGTACCTGAACGGAAAAGCCCATAGTTCATCACCTTCGAATTCACCAGAAGATTCTTTGTCCTGTGGGTCTACCCCAGGTTCTAGTCGCGATGCGGCAAGCACCCGACATATCATGCAGGTGGAGTCTTGTGATGACATATATCGAATTCCAACTGGAGTCGCAGCCCCATCATAACCAGGCCCAACGCCCACCCATGGTGTTGGATATCGCCTTTTTTTATAATCTGACTCTTCAAATGCCTGGGCTAAGGCGGGTAAATTGAGGTCACGACATTGTTGGCAAATATGTTGATCTCCAGTTGGTTCGCCAACAGCTATTGCTTGGTCTGCATCCAGCTTCGATCGTTTCATGTCCGGCGCAGAATGCTCATCCTGTGCATCGGTGTCTTTCGAATCATGCTGGATACGAGAAAAGTCCCGCTTTGTACTCTGTGTCGCTTCGTTTCCCTCATGCGGCCGCGCAAACTCTGAGGTCATCGTGGCGACGAACAAATAAATAAGTAACAGAGCCGGTGAAAATCATAGACGTCAAAAAACAATGGCGTATCGCGTTTCCGTGAAACAATCAACCACAAAACTCCACTTCGCCGGCGGGTCAGCGAATACATAACCCTCCAGCCAGCGAGGCTATGCGGGGGCTTAGTGCGTGCCACAGCATATGCAAGAGCAGACCGGTGAACGAGCAACGCAGCCAAGACCATCAACACACCAATACCATCGTGCAGGCGATATGCGTTATCGGTATCCGTGTCGCAGCCTGAGGTGTGTATTGGCGGTTCTAGGGCCAACTACGGTGCGTTGGCTGAAAATCATCCACGGATAGATGCCTTGCATCCTCAGTATGTTGCCACTGATGTCAGCTACAAACCCCTCCCCATCTCGGGGGCGAATGAAGCGGAACCTTCGCAGAAAAGAATAAAATGCAACACCGCAACAAATAAAACAAAACAGAGGGGTGAACATCAGCTGAGAGAAGAGGGTGGGGGAGAGGGGAGTGAAGTCCAGAAGAAAAAGCTGAGGCGAAAGAGGCGAAGTAAGCAAGACACCCGCGCCTTCCCCGCCAAGGATTTTCACACCTTCCACTTAGGAACGAGCACATGTGGTAAACACCTGGATGATACTACTATATGTATATCTAGGTACACGCTCTGTCTAGCTACATCTCTTCAAGATATGTATAGTGTAGACTGGGTGGAAATTGCATACAGCGAGCGCTTTGCGAGTAACTTTGCACACAATAAGTTGTTAGACTTACATAAAGATAGGGACTGGGTACCGCGACTACTTCTTCTACATACAAATACATATACATATCTATGAACAGCTTCAAAATCAACACAGCTTTAAGATCCACACCCAACATCCCCAACAAACCCACAAAAAAACAACCTAAATCTATTATCTTAATCAATCGCATGTCTATAATTCACCACCTCTACACTCTGTTTATCCCTTTCCTACACACCAAAAACCCTTATCAAACATCCTCCTCAACATCCCTCCAAGCCCGCAATAACTAAAAGCAAGGGAAAAAAAAAAGAACATGCAAATATCAAAATAGTACACAAATGTAGCATTTCCCAAGCCCAGACAGAATCCCACGTATGTACAAAAGGGTATATAGCCACACGTGAGATTCTGCACGTTGTGGCTAAAATAATCAGCTCAATCCGCTCCGCCCCCTCCCCCACCAAACGTTTTGCGGAGGTGATGTCAGAACATTTCCCCATCAAGGCCATGCGCAAGGGGAGGGAATAAACGTATACATCAATATATGCAGTTTCAGCCCTCCGCCCCCGCGGGCCCCCCTCTCACCTGCAGATGGAAATACGAGGCGTCCTCGCTCGCTCGTCTGACCCCGTTCCCTATCAATGCCAAATATAGATGGCGAAGAGACGGACGTAGTCTGAATAAAAGAACAATTCTCAACAACTCCCTACTTCATCACATTCCCTACACTTCAACGGTGACAATGGAAGTAGCGGGGGTCTCACTCGCGCTCCCACCTCTTCTAGCAGAATGCGGGAAGCTAGCAAAACAGTGCCATGACCTTCAGAGCAAGTACCAGCACGCTCCAGCGTCATTATCGTACATCATTACGGAATGCAACGCCGTGACGTATAATATTTCCGAATTGAAGGATTTGGATATACGACATTTGCGGGAATGCAAACGGGAGGCGTTTCGACGACACATCGATAGTCAGGTATTGGGCTGTATCAGCCTCCTTTCCACTATCGAACAGGATCTGGAGTCGTTCCGAGGTGTTGCTGAAGATGAGGGTGTGATTGTGGGTCCGTCGCGGCGGTTCAGACGGAGAGATCGGATGCGGTTCGTCTGGAACGAAGACCACGTCATGGGATTGCTGCAGAAGCTGCGGGGTCTGGAGACGAGTTTGCTGCTTTCGTTGTCGTTGCTGAAGTTGTAAGTCCTGATTCGTCGTGTGCATTCCAGCAAAATCCTGACTGAAGAGGAATTAGCCCCGAACAAAACGATATGCGACAGATTGTTGAGACGCAAAATGTAATCCTGGCTTCTTGTCTCCAACGACACCACAGTAGTACGGGGCAACACAATACGAGAGGGTCGTACAGACTCAGTCAAGACACCGTGTTGAGCCGGACGAGTGAACGAAGTAGTTTGCTGTCTGATACGAAGTTCGACTTCGACAATGAAGCTATCAACTCGCGAGCGTACAGACAAGCCATGGCCAGACGACGCATCAAGAAGATTGTATCAGCGCCGACAAAACAGCTACAGCAAAAACACTCAAGCCAGGAGATAGCATCTGTGGATGCCGTGTTTTCGTTACACGTGGTCCCATCTTTGAGGCAGTCTGTGATGGGTGATTTCGAGGATTTGGTGTCAGAAGTTGAATCGGTGTTCTCAGAAAGTCTTTCAACTTATTCTTCCGTGCTCGACCTGTATATGAGCAATGGGGGTTCTGCGCAGGAAATGCCCGAGTTTATTGCAGAACCTCTTGAGGGGGATCAAAGCTCGTTACCAACATTCTCTCACACAGAAGAATTTGGCGAGAGTGTTGCAGATTCCCTATCTAGCGAGACCAAAAACCGATGTGACGATACAAGAGACAGTAGCGTTCCCTCGTATTTCGGAGGTAATGATGCTATGGGAGATGGGCATGATTCGATCCCAGAAGTGACATATCGAACTGAGAGTAGCCGCTTCAGCATCGGAAGCTTTCGGTCTCAAGCGACAAATGAACCTGAAGCTCCGACAGTCGTATCTAGCAACATTTCAGCGAAGCGGCAGGATGCTTTGAAAGCTCTGTCTGCTAACGGCTCATCCGGGAGCAGAACTTCATTCGAACGCTCTCCGTCAGCAGCGACTCAACGGCGGAATTCCGCACCATCGCATTCATTGCGAACCAACAGTCTCGAGCAGGACATCAATGCCGGATTTTCAGCGCCTGAACAAAGAGATCCTTGGGACAAAACTTGGCGCTTCTCAACATCATCAGAACAGATCACCGCCCAGCGAAGAATCAGTGCCCCTCTCCTTGGAGGCTCACATAGAATATCTCTGGAAGAACAGAGAGATGACCTATTTGACCAAAAGAACAAAACCGCAAGGCCCCCATCAATCAGATCCTCACCTCAAGTGGTCGAGAAGTCAGCGGGGTCCATCAAGTAGGTTCCCAAGTCTTGTTATGTGTATATCTTATTACGGATTACTGATGAAATTTAATTTAGGTGTGTGCTTGTTGGTGATGCAGCGCGACTGAAAACAAAGATGCTCTTTGCATACTCAGAGGGCAAATTGTCCAATGGTTACGTTCCGACGATTTTCCATGATCAAGCATTGACTGTTATGTAAGTTGTAAGCCCAGTTACGACAGTAATATTCTAAGTCAAAGCAGGGTGGGCCGTGACGCCTACACAGTCGGTCTGTTTGATACCACCGGAGCGGAAGAGTATGACTCGATTCGTGCACAGACGTATCCAAACACAGACATCTTCCTGGTCTGCTCAGATGTCGAACGCATTGATCATTTCGAATCAGTGCCTGAATGGATGCGTGAACTGAATCAATACCCGCAAGCGCTCAAGATACTTGTAGGAGCCACTGACTCGGACGATTCAGAGGATGAAGACTCAGAAGCTCCGGCAGATAACCAAGAGAAGAGAAGGCGAAAAATTCTTTCACGACAAACCGGGGCGCTTTCATATCTGGAGTGTGATGTGCGGACCCCCGATACCATCGTGGATGTGTTCAGTGAGGCCATAGCAGCTGTGATAGAACAGCGACTACGAGCAAGACGACGCCGCGGAAGATCCAGCGGGGCGGTGAAATGGCTTCGAGAGATGCTACAACCCATCTCAGAAGTTGCCGCACACTAAACTATCATGACGATCTCGGGAACGAGGGGCCAATCGATTATCTGTAGAATGATCCGATATTGTTCCGAAATTTTGGTGAGGTCTGCATGTCCTACGTGTTCCCAATTCGTCGCTGGAACACAAAAAGCGCTTCATCTTTGCCCGGAAAACTGGGCAACGGCAATCGAAGTGTCAGCTCGAAAGCTTTCAGATTCTTCTCGACCCATTCATCTACTACGCAGTCTTGGAATCCTGTAAATCCGTTCCCGTTTTGCGTCCCTGCCACAACGATGAAGTCGCCCTTGAATTTTCTTATTACCGGAGCCGTGAAATTGCCAGTCGCTTGAGGGTAGACGAGCAACAGAATCGCGCCCTTTCCATCCTCATGCTCGCCGAGATACGTTAGGCCATCTTTTTGGATTGTATCGTTGACCCACATGATGCGGTACTCACTTGTGCCGTTGTCGACGGGGCGTACATCCAACGCCTTCATCTCGGGTAACACAAGATTCCTCAGCATGAAAGTCCAGTATCCATTCCCACTGCCCACGTCGTATACTGGCCTCACATTCTCCTTGGATGGTCGGGCAGGCTGCGCGAGTTTCGCAAGGACGTGCAGGGCGGCGTAGCTGGGGACCACGCAACCGAAGTGGTGGTACAGCACTGGAAGCATATGATGGGCCTGTTTTGTATATACAGTATTTGGCCAGGGACCGCACCATTCGAGTTCATGGCACGCGTACGACCACATATCGAGATACGGGTTGGTATGGTTGCGAGATTTCTTGGACGGGAGGAGACCGCTCACGGTGGAGGAGTTGTGGAAGCGGCTGAGGAGATGAGAGGATATTTCCAATTGCAGAGAAGCTGATTTTGCACTGGCTTTGAAGGCATTCAAAGCTTTGAGTGGTGATACGGAAGGGGAGAAAAGGGTCGTGTAGGCGATGATCTCCGCGGGCAGTGGATGTGGTGAGGGCGAGGATACGGCTTCCCCAGAGGGCGTATGATACCAGTTGTGCAACCCATGCACGCGTTTTCCACCAATGGCTTTCTGGGCGGTGGGAAGGGATGTCTCGCCTTGGGCGCGGTAAGTGTATGTGTCGTTTTGGGGGATGTCAAAGGTGCGTTGGAGGGTGGATGAGAAGGTTTGAGTGGGGGAATCGACGATTGGTGTATCATTTTCTGACGAGTAACCTTCAAGGTAAGTTTGCGGGTTGAAGGATCGCAGAGCCATGATGCAGGATATGTGTATCGGCTGGCATTGGTGGGTTGGAAGGTTTCATCTGAAGTAACTAAGACTGAATTGTTGCTGTGTTGACGATGACGACGTGAGTGGGGTGGAACTTCGGAAGCTATCCCGCGGGATGAACCAATCACGACGCGTTGATTTGCCGCAGCGCGGAACCGAGCTTGTATTACGTGCTCATCAGTCAGCGGCAGTCTACTCCACCACGCTTCGTAAAGCTTTGCTCACCATTGCAAATACCCATCACAGGGCAAAACGAAGCTCAAAGAATGGAAAAAGAGTAGAAAAGAACAACCTCGCTTCCCTTTCGAAGCCACTTTGATCCCAACCACTAACAACTATAAAGCCCCCGCACATCTCCATCCCCATCTTCTTGATGTCATCAAACAAACAGCAACACCCACCTCAAGCACCACCAGCAGGAACCTCATACTCCACCACCGCAAAAACCTTTACACTACTCATCGCCGTCTTAGCAGTCACCCTGGCCTTCGCAACTCCACTCCGCCAAACCCTCTCCTCCTTCCTCCCCACCCGTACTCTTCGCACCATGTCCACCACCGCCGCCTCTCCTCTCAAAATCACCAAGCAGGCCTGGAACGCCCGCGGGCACTCGGACCACGACTGGCTCTACACCTTCCACTCCTTCTCGTTCGCGTACTGGCGCTCACCGATCCGCGAGTCCTTCGGCCCCCTCCGCGTCATCAACGAAGACCGCGTAAAACCCACGACGGGCTTCGGCGCCCACTCGCACGCCGAATACCTCATCTTCTCGTATATCGTCAATGGCACGCTCGAGCACCGCGATTCCATGGGAAACCTCGAGTACCTGAAGCGCGGCGAGGTGCAATTCACATCTGCCGGCACGGGGATCCGGCATTCAGAGTACAACCGCGACAAGAACGACGAAGTGCATTTCCTGCAGATCTGGGCCAAGCCTAACATCCGCGGTCTTGCGCCGCATTACGAGACGAAGAAGTTTACGGACGATTTGAAGGAGGATAAGTTGGCGAGGGTCATGGAGTACACAAAGAGGTTGGGCGAGAAGACAGAGACGTCGCCGATTGGGTTGCAGGCGGATCTCAGCATGGATGCGTCGATTCTGTCGCCCGGGAAGAAGGTGGTGCATGATGTTGTTGCCGAGGGGCCGAGGAAGGTTTTCTTGCAGCTTGTCATGCAGGGGAAGACGCAGCCCAAGGAGGGTGGTGCGAAGATCAAGATTGGGGATACGGTGCTGGCAGAAGGTGACTCTGCGTTTGTGGAGGGTGTTCGGGGGCCGGGGACGGTTGAGGTGGAGAGTGTGGGAGATCGCAAGGCCGAGTTTTTGTTGTTTGATCTGGGCCCGGACGATGAGTAATGGAGGTTACGAGAGATGGGAGCATTCTTGTATAGAGGATTCACGAGGATCTGTACATAAACCATAGCCTGCGCATTTGTCCTGTAGATACGGTGCTTGTATAGAAGATTTTCTTTTCCAGCAACCACCCACTGAGTCCCATGAGGAGCGCACTTTGAGCTTCATAGTAGGGATCCCACTCCCAACAGCAATGTTAGTGATGTATCCAGACGTAAAGTCAGTCCTTCAACGTATAACCTTCGTATCCCGTATACAGCACGTTCAAATAAAGTGGGGGGTTCGTCCCTGTAGCGCCATGTGGGGTGCGTTAGCCACTATGGACATCGGCTATCTACACAGACCCTGCAAATCTTCCCTTGACCACAGACATTTGGCATGTGACAGACAACCGAAAACATGAAGCTCCAACGTTCCCATACAACCGACTCGTTTCGAGAACCGATTCGATCGCTAAAACCCGTCGAGAATGCAGGGCAAATCGCTCCACGAGTCACACTCTTGTAAGCGCACGGTGATGTGGCTCAACGGTGACAGCTCAACCCCCCATCCATCACCACTCATCCCGAAGAGAAGAGAAGAGGACATCCAGCCAGCCAAGCCAATCCTCACCCGTCTTACTTAGCTGAGAAGGCCGGCCGAGAAGCCGCAATCGCACTCATTACCCCGAGGAATCAATCCCTTTCACCGCCAAGTCGCTCGCGTGCCGCTACCGAACGGCGTCGTTTCTACCAGTAGCACAGCACAGCCCCTCCCCGCGACAATCAGGCATCCTTCTCGTCTCACCTGCGGGCTACCTAAACGTTTCCTTCATACTTACCTACTCACCTACCCCACCGCCACGAATTTTTTTCTTCCCTTGCTTGCTACCTTGGATTGTTTGTTATCGTCTTCTGCTTGCTGCTCTGGGAATCATGTGGCAATAACCCGGCTGTTTCGCATTTGTTTGTCGTTTAAATCTTGTTTTAGGTCGACGTTGGGCGGTACCTCTCCACTTTCTTCATTGTCTGAATCCAAAGGAGAAATTATCCGCATGCGCCATCGACGAAGGAAAGAAGTCTGAAACTTTTTTTGCTACTTCACCTCCACGCACGCATCTTGAGTCGACTCAATTGCTCCACCATCCAACATCGCCAGCACAAACCAACGCAGATCGAAAACCCGCGAAACTCTCCAACCATCTACTCCGGAACGACTCCATTCTCCAACCCCAGATACAACACACCTTCAGAACCACAGACAATGGCAAAACTCATAGACGCCCCCTCCGCCTCCTCCTTCCCCATCTCCCTCACCCTCCTCAGCTCCGCCCCACCCCGCCGCTCAACCTCTCCCTCCCCATCCTCATCACCAACCAGATCCTCCACATCCCCCCACCACCACAGCGCTACGCCATCTCTCCTCCCGAATCTGCGTACCGTCGCCCAGTTACTCCTCGCTGTCGTGTGTTTTGCCGCCGCCGCGTACACGGATATCGTGGTGTTGGCGGCAGGGTTAAGGGTTGTTGCTGAGGGGTTGCCGGGGGCTTGTTTGGGGATTTATTTGGGGGGTGTGGGGTTGTTACTTTTTGTCGCGAGGTGTGAGAGGTTGGATGAGGAGGGGTGGAGGAGAGGGATGAGGATGAGGAAGGATGTGGCGTGATGGGGATAGGGCGGGGTTTGGGTGGGTGTTGAGTTTTTTATACCCTGGGAGTTGTTGTGTGTTTGGGATAGACGGTTTTGTGGAGTTGGGGAAGGTGAAGAGGAAAGGGAAAGGCGGGTCCTTTTTCCTGTTTCTTGTTGTGTTGGGGTTTTCAACAATAACAAGAAGAAGAAGAAGAAGAAGAAGAAGAAGAAACGACCATCTTCTTTATGCTTTGCTGGGTCTACTGGTCGCGATGCTCTCATCTCATCAAGAACCAGCCTTTCCAACAAAAACGTTTGTCATAGACAGGTTTTGTATATAGATCGTCTCTAGCTGTCGTCGCAAGATGGAACGCAGCAATATCTTGCTTCTCTTATGACGGTGTAGAAAAAGCCGGATAGAAACAAATACAAAACAATAGATGAGTCTTCCTCAAATCGAAAGGCATATCACAGTCTCGTTGCATTGTGTTGTACTGCAGGTCCTTGATCGCGTAGGCTTCGATCATGTGAATATATGTTTCATACCACCAATTGACCAGTCGACTACTCTAACAGATCCAATTCACAATCGCGTTTCGCTCTCCCCGAGGTAAAGGCGTATCGTGTGAATCTACGCACCAATGAGATTACATAATTCGAGACTGGCGTGTGAAAAGACTCATCGATGATTACCTGAGTAGAGTTATGACCATATCAAACAATGTGACTCGTCCTCGAATTCATGCAACGCAGACACACAATGGGGGAAACCCCATACACAATGACGATCAGCAGAGGATTATATTCATGAACTTCTTCTTCATTGAATATGAAGCTCACCACAGATAACCACAACAACACAGTCTAAGATATCAAACCACCGAAACCAAATCTCACAAGATCTCCCCTTCAACCCGTCGCCCACAATGGTCTTCGGCCCGCTTCTCTCAGAAGCCATAAAATCAAAACTAACCTACCAAATCTTCCACACGGAACAAAACGACTCGGCAGACCTCGAACTCATCGTGCTAGCCTCAAACAACACCTTCTACCACACCACAATCCCATTCCCCAAACCCCCCTCCCCACCCCCAAAATTCCCCACAAACGACTCCATCAAATCCCTCCCCCTCTCGCGCCTCAGCACCCGCGAGCTCACAAAACTCTTCCCACGCTACCACCCTACCCTCATGACCCGCGCCCCAGAGCCACATCTCCTGCAAGACCCATTCATCAAGCGCCAACGCCTGATCCCAGATCTGCACATGCACGAAGGTCTGGACCCGGACTTCCCCATCGCGCGGGACCTCTTATCGAGCGAGATCGGCATCCTCGAGACTCTGCGCGCGCACCCGCATCCCAACATCGCTGAATACCACGGCGTGCTCTTACACCCGTTCCTCGGCGGGTCCCACGTCACCGACATCCTCTACACGCGGTACGCCACGGACCTCGACGACTTCTACGCCAACCCCGCTGCCCGCAGCCCCGCGAACTCTGCGTTGATCCTGAACGGCGTCAAGGCTGCGATCGCGCATCTCCATTCGCTGGGGATCGCGCATCATGATGTTAGGCCTGCTAATATCTTTTTGGATGTGGAGGGGTTTGAGGATGGGGGGATGCAGGTTACGAAGGTTGTGTTGGGGGATTTCGATGCTGCGGTTGAGTTTGGGAAGGGTGGGTGGAGCGTTAAACATGCGCCAACGGGGGTTTGGTGGGATGAGGAGTTGTGGAGGTTTGGGATGGTTGTTGATGGGGAGATGGATTTGAGGGGGTTGAGGGTGCTGGAGAGGTGGCTTGATGATACGGGGATTGAGGGGGTTGTGGATGCTTATGCGTAGATTGGGGATGGATGAATGGATGGATGGATGGAGGGTTTAGAGCTGGGGTGGTTGGTTGGTTAGTCGGGATCGTTGATGAGGATGTTGACGTGTTAGACTTTGCTTAAGATAGGATATTGGTAAATAGGCACTTCATTGAGTTGCCTATAAATGAGAGTAATTTTTGTGGCAGCGATTATGTCCCGTATCCAAATGCCTTTCCGTAGTGACTATAATAATCAATTCATGTGCAAAAATCACCCCAGATTGAACAATACACCCAAGCGAAACACAACTCCCAATCATCCATGAAACGAGATCAACATTCTTCGAGTGAAAGCAAAACATACGTACCATACTCACCCAAATCCCCAAAATTGAGTAAACATCTACTACACTGCACGTAAAACCCCCCTCTTCTCTCACATACAATCCCCACTATTCAATCGTAGTCGATAACGTCCTATATCCATCCGTCCCACAAGTGTAATGAAGGCCCAAAAGATTCAAAACCGGCCCCTTACACCAATCCTCGCCAACATAGCACGGTTCAAAACGGCAGTCGAGGGCGCCGCCGAATGGATTCGCTGGATGCGATGCTGTGATTGTTCTGTGTGGTGTGGAGGGGTTGTTAGTGTTAGGTCTAGAATGCAGATTTGTGTAGCGATGGATTTTAGATCTTCGCCACTTAGGAATCGTCGAAAAGACAATTTGTTGCGGAGCGGGCGTAAGCGTCTGTAGACGGTGTTGCAGGTACGAATAATACTCCTAATCCCACTACAATAACCTCGAACCAAAAAAATCAATGAATAAAACAGAACGAAATAAAACAGAATAATGAAGAGAAGAGTGGTCACAAGAGCTTAACATACCTATTCCTCCCCTCAACCTCCACCGTAGTCTTCACATCAATGCTCGTAGGTTCATACCGCCACGACCACCGAACCTCCGTGACACCATCCTCGCAAACATGCCACGACGGATCAGGCAAATCGGACACGTTCAACATCAGGTCGAATCCGTTGCATGTTGTCAATTTCCCGGTATACGTGTTGTTGACGTATGCGCCTATGTTGTAGAGATAATATGTGTAGCCGTCGTATCTGGCGTACAGCGAGAGCGATGGTTCGTTGTCGGTGGCTGGGGGTGTTGGGGAAGCGAGGATGTGTGGTAGTGATATGATCGCGGATATGGGGAGAAGAGGTGGGAGATGCATTTGTAGTGATTTGGATAGAATCTTATTTCTGGGGGATTTGGGTTTGATGGTGGGGACTATTGTGAGGTGATTGAGAAGGATTGATTTGGGGTTGGGACCATATTTATTTTCGGAAAGCTTTAAACTGATATATACCATCCCCGCTCGCGCTGCTGTCTCTAAACTATTTACAAGTAATTTGTGCATCTGTTCCTTCTTTGTGGCTCTTCGCATTGATACTGGCTGGTTCTGGTGTATATGCAGCAAACCAGGGTGGGCGCGGCGGCTAAAGAGCATTACTCTAGGTCGGCACTGCATCGCGGGAGCTAGCTAACCATATCACATTGATAATGTGTTCCTCATACTCCCACCCAATCATTAGCGACAGACAGGGCGTTCGCGGTATATGCGCTCCATAGCTAATATCTCTGCGAAAGATTGCAGATGTACGAGATAAGTAGCTGAGAGAGATTATAAATTCTTTGCTGCTAATACATATACTAAGAACGGTCTTGCCTGGAGTTCGAAGGCAGAATTTTCGTGTTTTTCAATACCAGGTGTTTGTGCCGCATAGAAATATACCAGGCACTTCATGAGATCATTGGATTTCGATGTGACGCAAACAATCAACCCACAGGGTGGAACTGCGTTCGAGCTCCAGTTTTTCTTGAAATGGAGGAATTGTATCTCGTTTACCAAACGACTGTGTTTCTTTTATGCAGTAGTCCAGCCGGATACATGAATCGTGCTGGCCTGGTATTTTCAAGTAGATGAAATTCCTTAGACACGGAATGCATAGACAATTCCTCTAGAACCATAACATCAGAGTTGGTGAATGTCATCAAGCTATCATGCGAGGGAGTGTTGTGAGCGTACATTCCATCACGTCCAAGTTCCATCACCCGGCGCAAATCAGCCGATAAATGCAAAGTTTGTTTTGCTATCCATCTCATTTAAGTGCGGAAAGGAACGCAGAACACCATGCCCCAGAACTCACGAGGATAATGGGCTGATGACTCTGATGACTCTGATGACTCTGATTGCGGCTATTGCTTGTTCTTTGAATAAGCCACCTCACTTCGATGCGCGTTTCCTTCGAACCTGCACAGCACACAGGCACTTCACATGTTGTGACAATAAGCTGACAACAGCAGGACTACGGTGGTGGAGATGACAACGAGGGAGAAGGTGATAAATCAACCACAGTAACGGTCACAACAACGTCTGTCAGCTCTTCTTCCCTTGAACCCGTTTCCACGACGCTTCCCTCTGAGCCAGCTCCCACATGCTCCCCGATCACATCAACAACCACCAAATACTCCATCCTCACGCAAACGGCAACTTGCTCCCCCATATACTCCACCGCCTTCATCACATCGACCTCCACCCTCCGCACGACACTGTCGCATACAGTCTTCTCTACAACGACGAAATATCTCACTGACTTCACTTGCACTTCTAGTTCGGTGAAGCCCACCACCAAAACCATCTACTCGACTAAGATTTCGACAATTGTTTCGACAATTGTTTCGACAACTGTCAGCTGGAAATACACCACTAAGACGACTACCACGACCAAGACGAAGACGACTACCCTCTCGGGAAAGAAGACTACCGTTACCAGCTACAAACCCACCAAGACTAAGACGGTCTACAAGACTACCACAGTAAGGTACTACTGAGATGGTGCGATGTGATGAGGAAGTTGGGGCAGCGACGAATACGCGGAAGCGCAGCTGCCGACGACGTGGTTCAAATGTTTCGACTCAACATTCTTGGTCGCATGGGGTAGGAGCTTTTTGAAAGTATTGGCTGTTCGTGATTGATGTTCAGATTATTAATGGGCTGAAGGAGGTTTATGGTTTGGTATTGGTTGTTGAAATCAAATTGTATTGCTTGGATTAGTGCATACCTACCTAAGTATTGTAGTAAGAGATAGAGAGGGTGAGTCGAGAGTTATGTACTTGGTCAAATTGATTCTGCTATTTCTTCGGGTTTTGCGACTTGTGTTTATCGTCATATCGGTGCAGATGAAAGTGAAATCAATCAGAGCAAGTGATAGGGTAACGCTAAGAGAGCGCTAGTAAGGACCGGAAAAACAAGAGACGCCGAATCGCAACCTCATGCGTCAAACGCGCTTCTTTCCATCGCGCTGTCACGGATTGTGTTTCGTCAATACATGATTCGATGTTATCATTTGTTTCTCACAGAGCATTATGAATGCGGTCGTGTAGAATGGGATGCTAAGCCCCCACGTTTTGTCGATTCCCATCGTTCTCTCTCCCTTGCAACATAGCCTGCATATTGATCGTTTATCCAATGCATGTACGACTTCCACCAACACGTAATAGAGGTTTTGTCCTTTTCAAGATGCTTGGACAAGAACCTAGATTGCTCTATCACTTCCGAAAACTGTACAATGGGCTGGAGCACATTGAGAAATCCCTTGCAAGGTCATGTTCGGTCTAGATCGGCTGTTCAGAGTGCCTCGACTCAGGGCGACATCGGTCGTTGCACCACCATCCCTGAGAGTGATGATAGGATGCATTCCATACTCTGATCGACCTTCGTTGAGAATGTTCAGAATGCAGTCGACGCGTCGGCTATCTGATGAAATCATCTTCCTAATAAAAAGTCTTCTTGCTGTCAAATCTCCTCCTCTCTCCTAAGCTCCTCGGACAACATCAACTGCTGACATCACCGACTAATCTGTTTCAGTTTTTTCTTTTGTACAACAAGCACAGCACACAGGCTATTTACTTTGACCGCGTTTTCTTTGCTAATGAAACTAGGACACTTCGAGCTCTAGCAGCAGCAGTTCTGTGCCCTCGTCAAGCAGTTCAAGTTCGTCGGCACCGCCGTCGTCGTCGAGCGTATCCAGCTCTTCTGCACCACCCTCGTCATCGAGCGTGTCCAGTAGCTCAAGCTCCTCTGCACCACCCTCGTCATCGAGCGTGTCCAGTAGCTCAAGCTCCTCTGCGCCGCCCTCTTCATCGAGCGTATCGAGCAGTAGCTCTTCTGTTCCGCCCTCGTCATCGAGTGTCTCCACGTCCGTGTCTTCTACGGTGGTATCGTCAACTTTGACAACCCTGACGTCTTCACAGTCGTCATCCACCAGCGTAGTAAGTACCTCATTTCTGTCGTCTAGCGCATCTTCTTCTTCGTCGTCGGATGTCAGCAGTTCAGCATCGTCCTCGGAAACATCCTCATCGATTGTCGGCACTTCGTCATCATCCGTGTCACCCAGCGTGTCATCAAGTGCGAGCAGCACATCTGTAAGTTCTTCATCTTCTGGGATAACTCTCACTACTTCTCCGAGCGACTCTTCTTCCAGTGTTTCCCAATCGTCAAGCGCGTCGCCTACTTCCAGTACATATACCTCGAGCGATCTATCGACAAGCGGGTCTTCGTCGAGCAGTTCGAGCTCAGCTTCTTCTTCTGTATCTACTTCTAGCAGCATCATTCCTTCAACATCATCAGTATCTACTTCTTCACGCTTCAATGCATGATCGATCATTTCCAAACTGTTCAATGACTATTTTAGAGCTATATACGAGGAGGTTTGAGCGGAGACATGTATGCAATACTTCAGATGTTGTTCACATGTTCCACGTGGTTTCGAGCCCACAGGAATGTTCACAAAATTATTCAGCATTCCGCTGGTCAGCTAATGGAATTCAATCATTTCAATGCTGCCGCGCTTGATAATTCCAGAACACGTAAAAGGAATGCACTCTGTTAACGCGTAAACATGGAAAGTTCAGTGATAAATATGAACACCCAACACCCTATGCAATCTCCATCATCACATGGACTGCTGGCACTGACTTTTCCTTTCATTGTTTTCAACTCACATGCACAACATATAGGTGTTTTGCGAAAGCAATTTATGCTAATGAAACTAGGATATAAATGGAAGCAGTTCTTCAAGCACCGCAACGCCGTCGACTCTGACGACAGCGCTCTCGAGTTCAAGCTCGATCGCCGCCTCGTCTTCAAGCTCAAGCTCCACCGTCCCATCGTCAAGCTCAATTTCGACCGCCCCGTCGTCAAGTTCAATCTCGACCGCCCCGTCGCCGAGCTCAAGTTCAGCCGCCCAATCATCGAGCACAGTCGTGGGAACATCCGCAAGTTCAAGCGCCGCATCCCAAACTTCTTCGACGGCGGCGACTTCGTCCTCCAGTTCCGTGGTGCAGTCGTCCTCTTCGACAACGGTCTCTTATTCGAGTTCGACAGATGGATCGAGCTCGCGCAGCTCTTCATCCTCCAGCACAGTGGCTTCATCAACCACTAGCGTAGTAAGTGACATGTTTTCATCGGATGCAACTTCTGTTCCTTCGTCAGTCGCCGGTAGTCCAACATCTTCCACGACAAACACAATTTCAACGACAGAATCCACTCCGTGGACTAGCAGCCTTTCTGGTTCAGGTGAGTACTGCCCGGAATTTCTCAGCATTTTCCCTATTGATGTGTATAGGACCTTCGCGCACAACGCTATCCACAATGACAAGAACGTCCCCACAAACCACCAGTGCTACCGATTCAATTTGCTCGGGAAGATACGACAGTGTCATAACTATTACGCAAACTGCATCCTATGGCTCCATCATAACGCGAGAGTCATTCATCACAATTCCCGGTCCCACACAGACGTTGCCGGTGTCCACAATTTACTTGACTTCCACGATTCCTGCTTCAGATTATACTCGAACAGAGTACATTACTATCTCAGGGTCCGGCATAACCCGGGAAAGCTACATCACAATTCCTCGCCCTACGCAAACGCTGCCGGCATCCACGATATATGCAACGTCCATCATCTCTGCTTCAGGATATACTCGAACGGAGTACATCACCCTTCCTGGGTCCGATATAACCCGAGAGAGCTATGTGACGATTCCAGGTCCTACACAAACGCTACCGGCGTCCACAATTTACTCGACTTCTACAATATCCGGTCCAGGCTATACGTCAACCGAGTACATAACACTTCAAGGTTCTTTTATAACGCGAGAAACTTTCATCACTACGCCTGGTCCAACTTCGACCATTACACAATTCCAAACCACGTACATAACACAACAACAAACGCTGCCGGGTTCCGTTATCTATGTGACAACTGCAGGACCGGTATCTACCTTGACTCTATCGCCTAGCCCCCAACCAATATCGACTTTGTATGTCACTCAGACAAGCGCAGGATTGACCTACACAATCACGCAACCAGGCTCCACGCTCACGGTATCTGGCAGCCCTCAGCCTGCGTCTACCTACACTGTCACTCAGCCAGGCTCCACGCTCACAATATCTGGCAGCCCTCAGCCCGCGTCCACTTTGTATATTACTACTGCAGGACCAATATCTACCTACACGGTCACTCAACCAGGTTCTACCTACACCCAGCCAGGTCCAACCTCCACTATCTATTTGTCGGCCAGTCCTCTACCCCCTTCAACATTATATGTGACCACACCGGGCCCAGTCTCCACCTACACTCAACCAGGCTCCACTTCCACTATCTACTTGTCCACCGAAGCTTCCATTTTAACAACCACCATTACTGCTTCAGGCAAGATTATCACACAGACTGAGCCCGGATCTGTCTATACTTCATATTTGTCGAAGTTCATAACCGTAGCCGGCCCAACCATCACGCAGGTCATTGAACAATCACCTGCAGTGATCACCAGTGCAGTGACTGTAGCTGGGCCGACCATTACGCAGTTCCAGACTGGACCAGTCTCCTACATCAAATCTTTTGTTACCAGGTATGTCTTTTCCGTTGGGCGTTCGGCAGTGTTTCAGTACTTGGCATCTTCACCTATGTGTTTGAAAAACAAATACCGAAGGCATTCGTTGGCATGCATTCTTTCATGTTCCCGAATGCTTGCAGCGGATGCCGAGTGATTCGCAAATTTGTCATTTTGAGCCATCTACGGATGAGAAGGACTCTCAACTCTGCAATTCAGAGATTGCGTTTCCTCTCTCCGTCTTCCCAGAAGTTTTTTTTTGACCCCATCGAAGCTTTAAGTCGTGTTTTCTCTATCTCAAAGCTAATTCTGACTCAGTTATGTCACTTTGGACGCCAGCAGCGTTACCACGACTGCATTCGCAACCGTAAGTACCTATCCAAGGACCAACCTCGGCTATATTGACCTTGCTGCAGGAAACAAGAACTCTTTCTTACACGGAAACGTCTACTTCTACCGTCCGGGAAGTCTCGGTTCAACCTGCAACTACTACCATCTTTACTGGCGGCACAAAGACGGAGATCTCGACCTCGACGATCTCCAGGACGATCAGTATCCCTGGTGAAGATCGCGTTTTCACTCAAGTTCAATATGTCACACGGACCGCCTCACCATCCACGATCTATGTGACAGAATTCCAAGAGTCCCCAGAGCCCACGACAGAGATAGTGACCTCCGTCATGACTAGCACCATTACCGAGGACTTGCTTACCACGACAACAACCACATCGGTATCATATAAGACGGAAACCAAGCCCCCAGAAACAGAGACTACCACAGAGAGAGTGACTCTTCCACCTTCAACCACTACGATCTACTCCACTACGACATCAGTTGTACTCAAGGAAACAACAGGCACAATTCGATCCCCACCGGAAACCACGACACTGACTGAAGGCCCAGAGACCATGTTTATCACCAAGTCAGGACCTACTACTTACATTACGCAGGCATGCTCTAACTCATTGGTGACTATAATAACCACATCCACCCCAAGCCCAATTACTGCCACACTGACTGCCAGCCCGATTCCCACAACATTGACTGCCAGCCCCATCACAACCACAGTTACCCCCCGCCCCGCTACTTCCACATTGACCGCCGATCCAATTACCACCACAATAACAGCCATTCCTAGCGTCTCTACCAGATTCATCACATCTACTACACGTTTGAGTCCAATCACGCTTGTGTCCACTACCACGGAACAAGCTGATCCGATAACAAAGACTACAACGCGGGTGACAACTACCACCCCTCGGACGATTACTTCCACGAGGCTAGACACCGTAAGTAATATATTCAAGATAAGTACGGACCGCTTGAGCTGACTTCACCCAGACCACTGAGACAGAGACTGAAACCCGTCTCTCAACTCGCACGCTTTCTCGCTTCACCACCACCAGAATCGAAACTGATACAGAGACACGCACGCGTACAATTACATCCACTCGTTTGACCACCTCCGTATCCATTGAGCCAACCACTATTCGCCGTACCATTACAAGCACTTCTACTGAGGTTCAGCCAACGACCAGAACTATTCGCAGCACTGTTAGCAGGATAACCACGGAGACTGAAACGGAGACGGAAGTTTCTACAAGAACGATCAGGAGTACGTTGAGATCAACATCGACTACTACGGCTACAATCACGTCAACTTCCGTGTCTACTTCGATATCAGTGCGCCCGACGACAGTCACGTTCCGAACCACTGCGACTATCAGGACTACGATCACGGCTCAGCCTCAAGCGAAGCGCGCACGTCGCTGGCTCATCTAATTTGAGGATGTTCTGAGGATGTTGGGGGCGATAGAAGAAAACGAGGATGAAAATGAGGGAATGAATGAGGGAGAATGAAGCAAAACGAATGCCATGATCATGAGACACGCCAAATTGAAACATCCATCTACATGGTATGGTGATGAGAAACGAGATTAGGAAGAAAAGCAAAACCAGATTGGATCTTGACGTTGAATAGTTGGTGCGAGGCATCATCACTTTAATATTTCATTTATTCCACTTGCGTTACTTGTGTCAGCATATTAGTTTTGTAGCCACTCGTTTAGTTTAATGGAATAGGAATTGTTTTGGGGGGGATTTTGCTAGTTTAGCTATTGAATCTTCTCGTGTAAGTGACATTGGTCGCCGCCATCAGTTACATCGGGCGCAACACAAGTGCAATGATGTTTGACTCCACCACGCTGACAATTGACTTGAAGCAATTGATGATGAGGCTAGATAATCCAATATGTTTGAAACTCGCTGCCCGTCGACTCTCTTCTCTAATACATAAACTCCTTTTAGGTCCACTTCGTTCAAGTATCTGTACACTTTTCCCTCTAGAATTGTGAATAGCGGTGAAAACATATTGTACAACCTTTTTTACATACATATATACCAATGTCGCCAACCAACAAGAAATTCCCTTCACCCCGCACCCAATGGTAACAGGAAGGAGCAGACCGACCCCGACCGGTAGTTACGTATCCCCCGCTCCAACCAAATGAATACTGTGTTCATGACTTTCTTACCTGACCGCCATGATATATATTCACATTTATTCGATCAACCTACATCAAATAAGTCTCAAGGACCGGTAGTTTAGTGGTAAAACACTCGTTGCTTGCCGATATCCAGAAGATCGCCACCTTTTAGGTGTGAGTAGAGCCTGAGATAGGAGAAAGCTGGCCAGCAGTCTGACTCAACGAGAGACCTTGGTTCGAATCCAAGCCGGTCCACATCTTTTTTTTTGCGTTACATGCTTGAACTTTTGTCGTGTTGCCGAGACTGAGGCGGAGGGCTCGGCGGTGACACAAAGACGAGGATGCTCAGATGTAGCGCCAATCAAACGTTTTTTCTTTTTCTTTTGGTGTTACATGTCCCTCCGATCATTTCCCGCTCGAGTGTGATGTGCACCATCACCGCAGCCTCCTTGTGTTAGTTCGCCGCTGATGCTATATATGCACATTTCATAAATCCCTATGCATCAATCAATCTCAAGGACCGGTGGTACAGTGGTAGAACACTCGTGAACTACGTCGATTCACAGGGGCCCTTTTCCCGACGGGGTGAGGGGCTCTTGGGGGTCGTGGAAAGCTGGCCAGTTTTCACAACGAGAGACCTTGGTTCGAATCCAAGCTGGTCCGGACGAATCTTTATATGCACGTTGCATTTTGTTTTTGCGCATCGAGGTAGATGGAGGCGAGTGAATCACTTCCACTTACGTATCATTATGTTACTCTTCCAGCGTCAGTATACTGCAGATGCGATGGGTTTGCGCGTATTATCGGTCATACTTGCGGCCTCAGTTAATAAGATGCTTCTTCCTCAACACATACATCATCGTTGGTAGGGCTCTAGAATCTCAATGGAAAGATATTATATGTATACACATGTGCAGTGATCTGCGGAAGTCTCTCGCTCTTCATTAGTGCGCCAGTCAATCATGGTAAAATAGCCCAGATGATCTCGAAGACGGTCGCAGACATCTATTTTAGGGTGACGCAGTGTATGTACTCGCTTGTCAGATGTCATCAACAAATTTCATATGAGACAACATCGCTCCGCGCTCTATTTACACTTCTTGACGACATCTGGAGTAGTACGCAGCGAATTACGCATGCACTGAAGAATATGCCAGGTAAGTGATCAGAGAAGGGATATCAGAAGCGGGCCGATCTGATTACCGAATTGTGGAGTGGAATAACTCGAGATTGTTCATTGAGCCTTGGGGAGTACCTATGTAGGCACGGTCAAGATGTCGTGGGAATACCCAGAGCGACATATATATTTCCGTTTCGGGTATAGGCCGGTCTCCACATGAAGCTCCATGACTAGCGCTGACGATCGCAAGGGACCTAGCCGAGCTTCGACCACCATCCAACCTCCGTCCGATGTTCTGATGAATAGATACACGTACAATATATATCTGCGCCGTGGGATTTCCAACAGCATTCAATTGCCGTGGATTCTCATTGTCCCAGTCGCTCCTTCATTTTTCATTAGCTTCGGTCCTCTTTCCTTGGCAGGCTAACGCGTCATCTCAACCCACCACCATCCCACTTCACGATAGACGACTGTAGTTCCGGACAATACACTCTTCTTCCCGGTCAACGTACCCTCCATGTCTCGCCGCCCTACCTCCTCCGAATTCGCGATCAACAGTGTCGCGTTCCGGGTGTTGCTGTGTTCTCCCTGAGCAGGCCCTTTCCAGCCGCGAACAAACCTCATCCATACCTGAAGGACCGACAGGAAGGAACCCGGTCTTCCGTCTGATCGCAGGTGGAACGGCCAACCAATTGTTGCCTGAAGAAGCTAAGGAGGGAGTCAAGGCACAATTAATTGATACGGAAAGCACGTACGATATTCGCAGGCGCCAATCAAGACAACCCCGCAACAGTCGCAAAGGCCGCCATTGACAACCGAGTCACGATACAACCCCTCAACCACCCGTCGCGTTATACCTCAGCCGGACGCAAACGAGGCTCGGATATACCAAAGAGACGTCACTTTGTTAATTAGCAATTCCGGTGCTGCTACGTACAGCACTCCGTGGCACAATGGGTTCGTTGGCGCTCCAGGACAGCTCATCGGACAAATACGCTGCCGAATTCGCTATCAAGAGGCGGTCGAGGATGCGCAATCCGTGGGCTATTTCATGGGCGACTATAGCCACCTTGTTGTTGGGTTTTGGGGCCCTTTTCCTCATGGCGCAGTCCTTCCTCACCCGGCAATTGGACGTCAAAGGCTGCGAAATGTCGTACATGTGGCCTTCGCTCATACGCTTTGACGATTTTGACACGGAGCATACTCGCTTTGCCAGCAAGTACTCGCTTCATCTGTATCGTGAAGGCGGTATAGATGATGATTCCCGGGTTCGTACACGCACCATCGCAGTATTGGGCCAGTAACTGATGGTGCATGATTGTAGGTCAAAGGCGTACCCGTCCTCTTCATCCCGGGAAATGCCGGTAGCTACAAGCAGGTTCGATCACTGGGCTCTGAAGCTGCGCACTACTACCACAATGTTTTCAAGAACAACGGGAATGCAATCAATGCCGGAAAAAGGCCGCTCGACTTTTTCACTGTGGATTTCAATGAGGATTTCACGGCTTTTCATGGTCAGACTTTGCTCGACCAAGCCGAGTACCTCAATGACGCCATCTCTTTCATCTTGTCTCTCTATCACGACCCGTCGCGTTCATTACGGGATTCGCAGCTGCCTGATCCAGCCTCTGTCATCATAGTGGGCCATTCAATGGGAGGGATAGTCGCCCGCACCATGTTGACGATGCCCAACTACCAGCCAAAGTCTATCAATACTATTGTCACTCTGGCTGCACCTCATGCAAGGCCGCCTGTATCGTTTGACGGCGACATTGTGCGCATCTACAGGACGATCAACGAATACTGGAGACATTCATATTCGCGGAAATGGGCCATTGACAACCCCCTGTGGCATGTGACCCTCATCTCCATCGCTGGCGGTGGCCTCGATACAATCGTGCCCTCTGATCTTGCGAACATTGCCTCATTGGTACCTGATACGCATGGATTCACCGTCTTCACTTCTTCCATGCCCAACGTGTGGACAGGAATGGACCACCTGGCGATTATGTGGTGTGATCAAGCTAGGAAAAATATCATACGTGCGCTGTACGATATCGTTGACGCCTCAAGGCCGGCCCAGACGATTCCCCGCGCTCACAGGATGCGTGAGTTCAAGAGATGGCTACTGTCGGGCCTCGAAGACACTATCGAGAAGACATTACCTTACACGGAAGCCAAGACGCTCCTCACTTTGAATGAAGATAGCGCTGTTGTACCCCAGGGCCAAAGGCTTGTGCTGCGAAACCTTGGGACAGGTCTGCAGACACCGAAGGCTTATCTCATGCCTATTCCACCGCAGCACGCGGCGAGAGACACAAAATTGACACTCTTGACGAATGAGAAGCTGGACTCGGTGGGGGAACATGGCCAGCTTGAGATTCTTTTCTGTAGTGCTCTGTCGCATCAAGCCGGCCAATCGACTACGATCTTTCAGATGAATATGGACCTCTCGGGTGACAGCCCGGGACCGAACAAGCTGGCTTGCAAGAATGCCGCTTCTGATTCCATCGTGCTTCCAGCTTCGACCCAGCAGTCAACTTTTCCTTTTAAACGAGACCTCCATCCATTCTCGTACCTTCAGTATGATGTGAAAGACCTGGCTGAACATCAATACCTGGCTGTGGTCGACAAGGCTGCACAGCACAGTAGCGGATGGGTCATTGGCGAGTTCAGTGACTCAGCACAGTATCTACATCAGCCTGATATGAGTCTGATCCGTCTCCTCACGAAAGGCTTAAGTTTGAAGCTCAACGCTGGTCTAATGAACGATATCAAGTTGCCAGCGGCCCAGTCAAGTTTGCTTGCGTACGATCTGGACATCAAACAGGAGACGTGCACCACAAGCGAGCTGTTCGCTCCACTTGTACGACAATACGTCACCAATGTCCACGAAAGCAAGTACTTTGTCAACGCGCAGCAGGCAAAAATCAATATGCATGGGGTCACCCCGTACATGCCTCCCTCGTTCTTTATCAAAGACTCTGTCAACGGGCTGTCTTTGCAAATATGGACGGATCCAGAGTGTGGTGGCGATGTTCACGTTTCCCTGAAAGTCGATATTCTGGGTAGCATGGGTAAGCTGTGGATGCGCTATCGTATTGTGTTCGCGGCTTTCCCGGTGCTCGTCGTCGCTCTTGTCTTGCGCCAGCAGTTCATGGTTTATGATGAGACTGGCATATTCATGAGTTTTGCCGAGGGGCTGAACCAATGCATCAAAGGGTCTCTTCCCATGACTTTAGCAGCCTTGACTCTACTATCTATCACGTCCGGATCAACACGTGCTCGCTCTATGGACACGGGGTTCACCAACACGACAACCACCTTCAGTAATGCCGACATTTTCGGCAACACTGACCACGAACTGTTGCTGGGCCTGCGGGATAGCTTTTTCTGGTTCCTCATCCCGCTCTTCGGTTTGATGTGCGTGGCCATGTGCATAGCATTCAACTACGCCGTCACAAGTCTCATATACCTGCTCGCGTTGGTTTACGGACTATTCTCGCCACGAACGACGCGAACGGACGACGACAAGCGAACCCCTGGCTCTTTTGCCGTGACATCACCCCGTCGGCGCATCCTCACTACGTGTATCCTGTTATCGCTAGTATCGACGGTGATACCATACCATTTCGCCTACGTGGTGCTCTGCGTGGCCCAACTCCTGACATGCGTCCGTAGTTTCCATTCAGCCCAAGACTCCGTAAGTACATGCCCTCGTCCTTCTCAAAATTCTACAGTAAACAGTCACGCTAACCAACCATGTAAAAAAATCAGAAACACTCACCGCATCATGACGCCAACTCAACAACCCTCGCTACACAAACATCAAACTTCTCAAACTACACCCACGCCCTCCTTACCCTCCTCCTCTGGCTCCTCCCCATCAACCTCCCCGTCCTTGTCGTTTGGCTCCGCAATCTCTTTGTCAACCACTGGCTCACGCCCTTCTCCCCACACCACAACCTCATCGCCATCACTCCATTCCTGCTCCTCGTTGAGTTACACGGTGCCGGTATCATGGTACCTCGCGTTACCTCTGCGTGGAGACTGGTCACGAATGCGCTGTTGAGTGCTTTCGCCGTGTATGCGGCGGTTTGCGGGGTCACGTATGCGTTTGTTTTGTACTTTTTTGCAGATGTAGTTGTGGGGTGGATTGTTTGGGTTTGTTGTTTTGGGGGGTGTGATGGGGGGTTTGGAGGGTTTGGAAAAGCGATTTTGAGGGAGGCTTGGAGAGGTAGCTTACGAGGAAGAGGGCAAAGGGGGGTCAGGAAGGATGGATGAATGAATGATTGGGAGTTGGGTGAGTGAGAGAAAGGTTGAGAGTTGAAGTTGGGCTGAGTCTTTGTGCGGCCTTCCACTCCCCCTCTCTCTCTATTATGTATAAAAGCATGTGTCGTTCTACATAATAAATCCCTAAGCGTAAAATAAGCATGCAAAACGGGAAAAACAATAAAAGTAAGCTTGTAAAATAATCTTCTAACTCTTGTTTTCTCCTCTTTCTTTTACCTCTTATTAGCTAAAATTGTAGTTTTTAAGCTCTTCTTTTACTTACTCTAGCTATTTATAAGTAAAAATAAGTAAAAGACTAAAAGGTAAAAGAAAGTAAGTAAAAAAAAGTATATTTTTTTATTATTTATTATTTAAGTTTAGTTTATTACTATAAACTTATTACTATATATAAAATTACGTAAACTCTAACTTAAAAAAAAAAGTAAAATAGGTAAAATAAGTAAAATAAGTAAAATAAGTAAAATAAGTAAAATAAGTAAAATAAGTAAAATAAGTAAAATAAGTAAAATAAGTAAAATAAGTAAAATAAGTAAAATAAGTAAAATAAGTAAAATAAGTAAAATAAGTAAAATAAGTAAAATAAGTAAAATAAGTAAAATAAGTAAAATAAGTAAAATAAGTAAAATAAGTAAAATAAGTAAAATAAGTAAAATAAGTAAAATAAGTAAAATAAGTAAAATAAGTAAAATAAGTAAAATAAGTAAAATAAGTAAAATAAGTAAAATAAGTAAAATAAGTAAAATAAGTAAAAAAGTAAAAAAAACTAGAGGAATAAACTAAAGAATTTTACTAGCTAAATAAGCTTAAGTAAAAGTAAAAATTGTTTAGTCTTTTTAGTTATTGCTTATTTTTTTAGTTTTTTTTTTTATTATAACTTATTACTATATATAAAATTACTTTAACATTATCTTAAAAAATAAAATAAAAAATAAACTAAAATAAAAAACTAAAATAAAAAACTTTAATATAGGAATAATTTATTATATTTTTATATAGCATAAGTACTATATATATATAAATATTAAAAATATAATAAGTTTACTTATAAGCTTTTAGTAAAATATATATTTTATAGTTTATAAAACTAATATAAAAGTAAAAAATAAAAGTAAAAAACTTGAAAGTAATAAACTAAAAAGTAATAAATAAAAGTAAAAAACTAAAAACTAAAAAACTAAAAAGTAAAAAACTTTAGTAAAAGAAACTATATAAAAGATAGTATAAAAAACTTAAATAAAAAATACTTTAAAAAGTAATAAACTTAAAAGTAATAAACTAAAACTTGCTATAAAAGTAAGAGACACTATAAAAAGTAATAAACTAAAGTAAAAGACTATAAAAGGTAAAAGACTAAAAGGTAAAAAACTTAAGTAAAAAAAACTACATAAAAGACAGTGTAAGAGACTTAAATAAAAGACACTTTAAAAAGTAATAAACTTAAAAGTAATAGACTAAGACTTGCTATAAAAGTAAGAGACACTATAAAAAGTAATAGACTAAAGTAAAAGACTGCAAGAGGTAAAAGACTAAAAGGTAATAATTACTATTAGAGGTAAGAGACACTGTATAAAGTAGAGACTTCCTAAGCATAAAACTCTCTGAGCATAAGATATTAGTAGAGAGAGAGGAAGGGGGGGGGGGAACGCCCTAACTAGTCTGTCTGTTTCGAAAAAGCGCTTTTTAGAAGAGGGAGGGATAAGAGGGGGAAGGGCAAGGTATGCCTTCTAACTGCTCTGTTTTGAAAAAGCGCTTTTTGGGAGGGGGGGGGATAGGAGAAGGGAGGGCAAGGTATACCCTCCAAACTAGTCTGTTTTAAAAAAGCGCTTTTTAGGAGGGGGGGAGGGAAGAGGAGGAAGAGGGAGGGGGGGGGGGGCAAGGTATGCCTTCTAACTGCTCTGTCTGTTTTGAAAAAGCGCTTTTTGGGAGGGGGGGGGAGGAAAGGGGGGGGCAAGGTTATCCCCCTCCAAGTGCTCTGTTTCAGAAAAGCGCTTTTTGTGTACTACATATACGGGCAGTACAGAGAGGGGGGGGGGGAGGGAAAGAGAGAGAGAAGAGGGGGCAAGGTATACCCCTCTAACTGCTCTGTTTTAAAAAAGCGCTTTTTATGTACCTTATATACGGGCAGTATGGAGAGGGAGGGGAGGGGGAAGGGGGGGATACTATATACAGGCAGTACGGAGAGAGGGGGGGGGGAAGGGCAAAGTTCCAAAAAAGCGCTTTTTATGTACCTTATATACGGGCAGTATGGAGAGGGAGGGGAGGGGGAAGGGGGGGATACTATATACAGGCAGTACGGAGAGAGGGGGGGGGGAAGGGCAAAGTTCCAAAAAAGCGCTTTTTCTGTACCTCACATACATACAGGCACAGGCGACACGAATGGGAATTGCATATGAGTACGTTATGCATACATGTATGTACGTACGTATGTATGTAGGTAGGTAGGTGGGCGTAAAACAACAGGTCCATCGCATTGCCCTGAGGAGATAATTGCAATGTATGCATAGTGCGCACATTTCGCTCCAGTAGGCAGAACCCAGAACTCACTTTGCAAACAACAGCAACAGCAACAACAACAACAACGCTACAAAACTCCAATCAAGCATGTTAAGATGCCTGACATGACTGAACAAAGACAAGCGCAAAATAATGCATAAGTAATCCCCCCCCAAAAAGTCGTTACGGTCATTGTCGTTGTCATCGTCATCGTGACGGTTCCGCGCGGTGGTAATACGCCGTTGCAGCAGCATGAGCGTGTTGCGAATTCGGCGGCGGAGCTTGCGGAGCGTGGTAGATTGGAGCGATATCCGCGGCTTTGCCAGGCGCAGGGTATGCTTCAAACATGACGCGTCGAGGCGTAGCCATGGCTCTCGCTGCACCGTCGGAGGCGGAATGGGAAGGTGGCACGCGTCCCGAGTGGTTAGGACTGCTCATGAAGAGCAGGGTGTCCACTGCGTCCTTTTCGGCTTGCTGGCTGGGCATACGGAGGATTCCTGCGCGCGGAGTCACTGGGGTTCGAGGGGTGGTACCGGAAAGATCGCTGTAGTGCTTCCTTTGGGAAGATCCGAGCAGGGGTGGCGGGTGGTAGTGTGAGATGGTGCTTGATCTACGTTTTCTACGGGAACTAAGGTCTGGGGCGGGACCGAGCATTGGGGTTTCGTTTGAGCCAGTTACACTTATGAGGTTGACGGCTGCGTTCATGGTGGGGTTGGTGCTTGGTCGCCAGTGTGCTAGAGTGTTTGTGTTAATGCCTGCAAGTATAGAAAAGGTGGACTGGGATCGTACTAGGAGGGGAGGTTGCGAGAGATCGCGAAGGGTCCGAATTGCTGTGGTTAGGAGACATGATGATGTGATCCGACATGTCTGAGACACCGCTTGGACGTCTTGGGCGTTCAGTACCTAGAGGGGAATCGAACGTCGGGCGCGAGCCGTTGTTTCTGCTGACGTTGGAGATGGGCGAGCCCTGCTGGGACGTTTGTTCCTCGAGTTCCTCCAAGGACTGCTTCTCCCAGCCATTCTGCACCTTGACCATGGCGTAAGATAGTCGTGTCTTGAGCTGTGCGGATATCTGCATGCAAAGTCAGCGACGAGAGAACAGGTACCACGCCGCGGCGACTCAACGTACCTCTCCGATCCGCGAAGTATCCATGCTCTTGCTCCTCTTGTGCGCGATGGGGTGCGCGACCGGGGTTCCTGCTAATGCTGTTGAAGACTCGAAATTAGCACCTTTCACAGAGCCGTCGGCGGATCTCTTGAAGCCGTGGGTGACAGGCGAGCAAAGTGACATGGGGCTCGCTGCTGTGTCACCGGTTCGCAGGGCGTTGGCAGCATCGATGCGGAGTGATGCATCTCGGTCTTGAGCACGAGCTCGGTTCGGTGATAGGAGTGGTGCAGAGGCAGGGTTTTGCGCAGACAGTTCCTGGAGCACGGGGATCTGGGACAGGGGCGGGGTGGTCAATTCGGTGTCGTTGGTGGTGGAAGTGGAGAGGTTGCTCGAGGAAGATGGCAATTGGGGTGGAGAGAAGGTGCTGGAGACGGCCGAAAGGCGGGATTCCTGGGAGGCGGGTAGGTCTGGCTTGTACAGCGGAGGCAGAGAGGCTGCATGGGTAGGGTCCATGTTTACTGTCGGGAAGTTGTGAGCGAGGATAGCTGTTTGGAGACGCGACTGCTCACACATGGTAGCGGGGTAGGAGGCAGCCCCGCCGTGTATCATGGAACAGCAGCGATAGGGTCTAGGTCTGCAAAGAGAGAGCGAGGGTTAATTGAGTGGCAGGCGGACCAAGGATATGTGTGTGTGAATAGCAGAGTGGTGGAGGGAGGGTCGGGTGGTGGTGATGGCAATTGGAGGAAGACGTGTCTCGCGCAAGGCGGCGTGCGTGGGTGCGTGCTCGGTCGGGTGCGTGGCAGGCAGGTGGTTGTTGACGCGACAAGCGCGGTTGCAGGGGACGATGATGAATGAGATGCAGACGGGCAAGGCAGATTGTATAAACAACGAGCAAGAATGGCTGCAGACGGAGGAGAAGGTTGGAATCGCGGCGAGGAGAGTGGTGCCAGGCAAAAGGTGAGGTCAGGTTGCTTCCACGAGGTCAGCTGTTCCGGGGATGCGCGTCGTCGCTAATTGGAGTGGCGATGATGGTAATGAGATAACCAGGACGGGAAGAGACAATAATAAATCAACTCCAGTTGGTTGATTGCACAATTCTGGATCGTGCCCGTATACACATGGATATGCAGATTCGACTCGTGTATAATTCGCAATGCGTCTGCCCAAGTACCTTAGATGTACATATGTACATAGTCAAGTACCTTGGTAACCCGAGATACGGAAAAAAACGCGCGTGCAACAAACCCAACTCCCGCAAAAGGAAACGGTAATTAACGCTTCATCGCCAGCCCGTCTAATCCCTGAACCTCCCTTTCCCGTTTCCTACATGATCCCTTGAAGTGAATCGACGATGCGTTCGCATGGGGGGAGGTGAAGCACTCCGTGAAAGCGTGTTGACACATGTGGTGTTGGCCTCCATCGCGTTCGCACGTGCTGCAAAGTTATGGATTGCCGCCGCCGCCCGTTGGCCGAACAAGCCACTCCCGCTCATGCCAAGCCCGTCGATGCGCGTGCTTGACCATTGCTGCACGACATCATCCTGACCCTGCACATCCTTTACACATATTACCCATGACTCTTTGTGCTGTTCATGTCAACCATTTTCTTGTTAATTTGCTTGTTGCCGTGTACGTATATACGTTTTAATGTGCATCGCTTCACAGACAAAATAATCAAATCTGCTCGCCATCATGCCATTAACCCCTTGATTATACATACACATCCTCATCGTGCTGCCTCTACTTGTACCAAATACATTGAATCCAAGCACACGAACAAAGCCCGAAACAGCAAGCAAAAGAACAGAAAAAGAAAAGGGAGCATGCAGATCCTGTAAATACCCCTGAGTCGATCATGAGAAAAAGCAATAATGCATGCTACACACAAATCCCCACGATATCATATCACTGTGCCCGAGAAAACAAAATGCAAACGCCCCTGGAATCAAACACCCATCTCTCTCTCTCTCTCTCTCCCTGTATGTGTGTATCAAGTCCCTTCATCACGCCATCCCACTCACTTTCCTATACGTCAACCCTTGCCCAACCTCACCCATCGCCCATCGCTCCGCCAACCCTCCTCCTCCTCTGCCTTCCTCGGCAATCTTGCCGCTGACGTCTCTCCTACGTCCCGCCGTCCCCAAGTCCGATGCATCGTCATTGTACAGCCGCCCTTCGTAGTCTACACCCGATCGACTCACCACCCGAGGGGATTGTGTTTTCGTGGGCGTAGCACTCGCCGCCGCTTTCTTGACTTTGGGGAAATTCTTTCGGTCAAGAGAGAATGGGGACGTGTGGTTGGGCTGCTGGGTGCTCGGCGATGCGTTGCTGGTGTAGTTCTTGACGGAGCTGGGATATGTTGGCGTGCCGGCCTTGATTGGGGCCGCCGATGGAGGTGTGTTGCGGATGATGTTCTGCTGCGCGGCTTTTAGATCTCCGTAGAATCGTGCTTTTGTTGGTGAGCGATTGGGCGACATGTTGGGGGATGGTTGATAGGTCGAGTCGGTGTTGATTGAACTCATCGTTTCCATGCGTTTGATCGGAGTCGACGTCTGCGGGGGCGGGGTAGCTTTGACTGCTGGTTCTCTGGCCATTTGTGTCGGAGGAGGTGTGGGAGGATTCATGCGAAGGGGTCCGGGTACCAGAGGCTGGTCAAGTTCGTCGTCGGATACATCGTCGTAGGCGTTGATGGACGTGTAACCAGAGTTCTTGGGAGGGAAGAAGAAGGGCTTGGGAGGCGATGGTTGAGCTCTCGAAGCAGAAGGCTCGTCGTTAACGAACCAGTAGTTGGTTCCAATGTCTTCCCGGTCGTTCTGTAGGCCAATATCTCCAGATGGTTCAGTCTGGTGAGGTGGTGGTGGTGGCGGTTGTGCGTCCTTGTTGTTCTTGGACGATAAGCTGTGCATCGAAGCTGGTCTGGAGCTGCGTTTGATAGCTTGTTGCGCCAGCATTTCCCGACGCTGGGCCAGTGTCTGCTCCTGTGGCTCATCCCTTCGCAAAAGATCATCCCGCGTGTTGATATCCATACGAATCGGCGAACCAGCCTTGGGTCTGGCAAGCCACTCACGCGTTTCATGTGCCGACTTTGGTGTGTGCGGCGAGTAGGTCAGGCTGGAATTTCCTCGTGTGTGCATGAAAGACATGTGCTTGCGTTCTGGGGAAGGGATAGTTCGATCGGCCATGAGTGGAGAAGATTGGTTGTCCGATAACGCGCTTTGCCCGCTGTATCGTTTCTCGGTCTGCGTCAGAGGAGTAATGGCAGAGATGGACGAGTTCTTGTGCTTGTGCTTTGTCTTGCGACGTGACGTCAGGTTGTCTTCCAGCGGATTCATGTCTGGAGGCAGGCTGGCGATCTTTCGGAAAATAAGAGTCAGCCAGACATCCAAGCACAAAGACGCGCAGTGGAGGCCTGCCACCGTGACTGCGCACAGCCATTCTGTCATCAATACTTTGTCAGTGTCCTCGTCGGTGGGGAAGAAGGTTCTCCATCGGCCGGAAGTCCCTGCGTCAATGTCCAGATTGCGCTTGGCCAGCAAGGCAGTAAAGACATAGAATGGCAAGAATCCCGCGTCCATGACCAGAGCGAAAAAGTGGTAGCTCGCGGCACTGCCGGGGGGTCGAGATGTCGGTTTTCGCAGAAGATGATAGACTGCGTACAGTACGAACACAATATCCACTCCAGGCTGTGTTTCGGTTAGATGATAAATACACGAGGAGGTAGAAGTGACAAGCTTACAGCTATCCGCATGATATAGCCTTCTGTATCAGAAGCTCCTCTAACAAAGATGGCGCACAGAATGACGCCAAACGCACCCAACAGGGTAAGCAATCGAAACGTGAATTGGGTCCATCTGACAGCTGAAATGGCCGTCTTGGTCTTGGAACTCATAGGCTTCGCATCTGTCTTGCCATATGGGAGGATCAGAAAGCTATCCGGGTGCTGGTTGAAGCTGATGTAGGGTCCCTCGGGCTTCTTGACCGGCGATGGAGGCGGTTGACGGCTTGCCATGGTCACCGCCTTGGGATTGAAGGTCGTCGGCACCCCCATGGCTGAGTCCCTTCGTGGAGCATCGTAGAGGTAGGGTGGTGCGACCATGGTGAGGGATCAACGACGCCGACGCGATAGAAGGCTAAGGAATGAAGACCTTCAACTCGCAGTCGCAAAGGCAAAGAGAGGAATGAACAAGAAGGTGGCTAAGCGATATTAGTTGGGGACTGCGGGTAGATGTGAGGCAGGGGATCGAGTAGGTAGTCGTGGCGGTGGATGTAAATACCGCGTTTCCCCGGCAACAATCGATATTATTGACACATGAGCTCACACCTGTTGCGACATGGGGGACCGAAACCTGAAAAGAAGGAAGTGATGACATTATAATATATTCCGCGATGCATCATGAAGGAAATGTGTTTCGATGCCAGCAAAACTGGCGTGAATTGGGCGGTACAAATGTGCGCTTCTGCATGCTGGCCATGGATAAACTTTGTTGAGTGCACTCGGTCCCAGATGTGACGAAGGAGGAGAGCGGCAAGCCCCGTCGTGAGGCTCGGAGCCATCAATTGGCGTCCAGGCGACGCCGTCAATAGTATCGTCTGGTGGTCTATATTGCCCCACATATGCCACGCGTGTTTCCGTCGCGAGGTCAAGAATGGGATTGACTGAACAGGTGGAGTGGTGGGCATGTCCGCGCGAATGGAGCTGCTTAGTCAGCGAAGAATGACGCAGGTTTCGGGGAATGCAAAAGGCAACTCCTGCACTTCACGGACAGCATGCTCCCGACATACAATTATGTTTGTGCAGGCTGCATCCGTCACGCGACAGCTGCACGTTCGCTTCCGATAAGATCCTACACGTCTGTACCGTCCTTTGCCTCCGTACCGTCGAGAACTCTACCAAAACCCTCGTCTCCGCAAACCCCGCTCTCTCAACATGCATACAGCACTACAGCACGCCATGGGCCGTTCCGGCTGGCCATCATCGGTAGCGGTCCCGCTGGTTTCTATACCGCCCATAAATTGATGAAGAGTGTCCAAAATGCCACCGTCGATATGTACGAGCAGCTTCCCGTCCCGTACGGCCTCGTCCGGTTCGGCGTCGCTCCCGATCATCCCGAAGTGAAGAATTGCGAAAACACCTTTGAAGAGGTAGCAGCCTCGGAGCGCTTCAACTACATAGGGAACGTCAAAGTTGGGCAACATCTACATCTCAGGGACATGAAACCCCACTACGATGCCATCCTCTTTTCATATGGCGCTTCCGAGGACAGGAAACTCGGTATTCCCGGAGAGGACCTGCCTGGCGTCTACTCGGCGAGGGACTTTGTGGGGTGGTATAATGGACTGCCCGAGTTTCGTGATTTGAATCCAGACCTGCAATCCGGCGATCAAGCTGTCGTCATTGGACAAGGAAATGTTGCGCTGGATGTGGCACGTATACTTCTCACCCCAGTAGACACCCTGCGCAAAACCGACATATCCACACATGCTTTGGAAACCCTCTCGGCGAGTAAGATCAAATCCGTCAATATTGTTGGCAGACGTGGGCCTATGCAAGTAAGTCTGGTTCTGGACCCATTCGAACCTCAATCACTCACAAAACACAGGCTTCATTCACCAACAAAGAAGCTCGCGAATTGATGAACATCCCCGATGTTTCCTTCGCACCAGTCGACCGATCACTATTCCCTTCGGAACTGAAAAAGCTCCCAAGAGTACAACGAAGAATAGCAGAAACCATCGTGAAAGGAACCCAAACCACCCCCGACGACACCTCCAAATCATGGGCCCTAACATTCCTCCATGCACCAAAATCCATGCACTCTGACACAACAACAAATCGCATTGCCAACATCGAATTCACAAAAGGCGTCTTCTCCCCAGATTCAGATCCCTATGCAAAAGATGCCCGCGTCAGTGCTACCACAGAAACTATGATGCTCCCCGCATCCGTAGCCTTCCGCTCAATTGGCTACAAATCTGCCCCTCTCCCAGGTCTCTCAGACATCGGCGTATCCTTCAACGAGAAGCTAGGTATGATCCACGCCGATTCTTGGGGTCGCGTTCAGACACCCCCTTCTTCTTCCCCCGAAGTCATCTCGAACGATGGCGCGCCTGCCCATGTTCATGGTTTATATTGCGCGGGCTGGGTCAAGCGCGGTCCTACCGGCGTCATACTAAGCACCATGGCCGATGCCTTCGAGTCCGCGGACGTGATTGCTGCAGATTGGCAGAGAGGACAGCCATTTCTGAACACGACGAGCGATGGGGCCCAATCTACTGGGCTGGGCTGGGATGGTGTCAAGGATGCTATCATAGAATCCGGGACTAGGCCCGTTAGTTGGGCGGACTGGAAACGCATCGATGCCGTGGAGCGAGAAAAGGGAAAGGCACTCGGAAAAGAGAGAGAGAAGTTTGTTAGTGTTGAGGATATGTTGAGGGTTTTGGATGGGTAACTGTCCTAGAGCGACTGTAAGTGGAGATGCTACAGTAGTAGCCTAGTGTAATTATATAGCGACATGTACGAATAGGATATCCCTTCTTTCTCCCATCTCTTTCTAAGTTCGCTCTATGCAAGGTCATTGTTGGATACAGAAGAAATGAAGCGCTGGAACGCAATCTTTCTTGTACAAGGAACTCACGCGATTCCCCACTGCTTGTTAATCATAAACCTACAGTCCCAGATAACAATCCGACGAGGATTTGAATTTGGGAAACACTTAAGAACCTACATCTTGATCTTCCTACTAGACAATTCCATCTCCACAACATCACCGTGCTTTCCCCAGTCCCTGTTCTTATTCCCTTCCAGTATATAGCCCGGTCACGCTAAAACCTACTCATTAAGTATTAGTATTAATTAAGATGGCTTTTTTGCATTCTGTTTATTACTCAGGGATATGCATGCGGATATAAAATCTTGTGGTGTACTTCCTCAGTTTGCGCAGTTCAAACCCCCTTCTCAATACCTTATATCTAGCCTCTCAAAGCAAACTTTCTCTCAAGTCTGTTAAAGATACCCTAGCTTACAATTAATAGATGGTACGGGTGCATAATGTACCTATGAGAAGTAGCTCGTGCTGTTTGTGTTTGAGTGAGAATGTAGCAATTGATGAAACCCGGCATGTTACAGCGCAAAAGTCAAATCAGAGAGAAAAACTACAGTGTACTCAAAGACTTGAGGGAGATACATGTTCCGGAAGACTATGCAATACTAAGTTCCTACACAATTCATGGTAGCTAAGTTAGACAAGGATTTCGCAAGAACACTGAAACTATAGGTGGACTTTTTATTTCAGCCTGCCCTGCGCTTATTCGCGCTTGATTTGACGCATGCAATTTCTGGGAAATCTTTTCTGAGTGCACTACTGAGTAGAGAGTTAAGTACAACTCAAGAATGTCGGAATGTGGCCATGATGTTCAGACTCGGGGAGCAGGTTTTGTGTTGTTGCTGGGTGAGTTAGAAGCTCAATGTTCATCCTCTTCAGCCTTGATCTTGACTTCATCATTCTCTTCAGCCTTGACCTTGACTCCATCATCCACATCCTCGGCCTTGATGCCCTCTTTCGTCTCCTTATATCTGTACTCATCTCCATCCAAGTCCATTTTCTCGTTCTCGTTGTCTGCGTTCCGATCAAGCATTTCTTCGTCTCCAGTATCATCCCATTTGTTGTCCCTTTTCATGATGTTGGGTGGAGCTCCGCGTCCCAACTTCGCGTTCTCGAAGATCTCGAGTAGGCCTGCGTTTCCCTTTTCTCTCGCTTCCTCCACCAAATCTTTCCGCACGAGCATCAGGTACTTTCCGAGATAGTTTCGACCGGGCCAATGGGACGACCCGGCGGCTTTGGATCGGTTTTCCAAAAAGCGCTTTCCTTGAGCTACACTGAGACCCACGCTCCAACGCTTATCCGAGGGGTTGCAGGAATAGATGGGCGCTTTGCCAGTGGCGACTAGCTTTTCCTGGAGTTCCTTCGCATTCTCCCCGAGTTTGAATTTGGCGAGTAGACCACATTGCATACAGGTGGGGAAGACTAGAAGTAGTTGAATCAGCGAAGAGCAATGATAATTTCATTGGAGAACTTGAGAGCTTACCTCTGTTCCATCGCACTTTGTCGAAGTTCTTTACCTTTTTACCCCATCGCTTTGCGTTGGATGGTGATGCAGATTCGAAAATTGCCTTCATTGCGTCCTACGAAAAATCAGTGGGTGTAACGTAAAGTGGGGTTGGGATACGACTCACATAGTCTCTAAACAGTCGGGCTTTCTCATACTGGTAATATTGCTCCATACTTAGGTACGTGAGACCATGGATTCGGAAAGTGGAGGGGTAGGAGTTGGACATCCATCCCCATTCGCCTTGGTTGCCGAAAAACAATATGGCGCGTTCATCCCATTCGCGACGATCGAGTCTAAGTGGGAGTTCTCGTTTGATGCCATCCATTTCCTGTTCTTGCTTTGTCGATCCAGCTGCTTCCTGAAAAATCGCTTTTTCCTGTCCCATCGACTCCATGTTGTCGGTAGTATCGTCGGTGGAGCCCGCCGTGGCATCCAATTGTTCTGTCGGAGTAACATCTGTCATTTTCTCGTCTTTGATCAATTCATCTGCAGCGTTTTGGGTTCCAGTAGATGGGGAAGAGAGCACTTTTTTGGAGTCGCCGGATTCTTCCCAATCTTCCAGGCCAGGAAACCTCGCAAGTGGACAAGCTGAAGAAGTGGCCGGAGCATTGGACTTCGAATCTGATGTGTTTTTTGTCTTTACCTCATCTGAAGGCTGTGACAGTTCGACCCTGTCGGTGTTCTTCTTGGTGCACGGCTTTTTGCGACTCGTGGGTTGATTCGAGGTGGAGGGCGAAGGTGGACGCTTTGCATTGTCCTTTCCGGGTTTCTCTGGTGATTTGGCAGCTTTGGGATTGCGGCGAGCCATTTTGCGGCGATACCCAAGGATCTGAGTGGAGAAGTGGAGGGTGTGGTCAGTGGTTGTCGCCGTGAGAAGAGTGGGATCGTAGGCGGTATTTACGTTTCAATTGAGATGCAGCGGTCGATATTAGCTGCGAAAACTTCAAGAGTCGGTGTGCGTCCTAGGTAATGTGTGGACAAGAAAGAGAGATTTTAGGCAGCATTTATGGGTGAATTGAGATGCAGCGGTCGATTGTACCTGCGAAATTTCAAAGAGTCGGCGTGCGTCCCAGATGGTGTGGGATCAGGAAAGAGAGAGATCTTAGGCAGCGTTTATGTGTCAATTGAGGTGTAGCGGTTAATATTATCAGCGAAAATTTTAAGAGTTGACATGCGTCCCCAATAGTGTGTAGTTGGGACTCATGAAAGAGAGAGATTCTAGGAAGAATTTATGTGTCAATTAAGATGCAGTAGTTAATATTACCAGCAAAAACTTCAAGTGTCAGTGTGCGTCCTAGATGATATGTGGACAAGAAAGAGAGAGATCGCAGGCAGCAATCGCATGTCCAATGACACGCAACTGTCAATTTCACCCAGGAAAATTCGGTGTCTATCATGAATGATATGTGAGAGAGCCATGGGCAAGTGAATTACCGATACGGCGATCATGATGGACGAACATGCCGAGATACATATCAGCTTGTCCTTTTACCTGCACCACGTCTGTCATAAGCATTCGCTTCTATTCAACTTGAACGGTAATAGTAAAAGCAGACTCGGCGGTGAATGAGTAATTTCAATTGAGGCCGTCCTTCTGACATGTGACGCCAGGCAGCAAACAAAGTAAAATTGGACTTTGCCACCTCACCACCCAACCCTTGACTACTACTTAAGTAACCCCCCCGCCCTCCACTTCTCTCTTTCTCCTCCACCCCACAATCTCTCTTCCACTCTACGACTTTTACCATGATTTTTGCAGTCAATACACTCGTGCGACCGTCTCTTTCTCATATTCTACAACTCGACTGCCTCTCTGCCGTTCGTCCACCACTCGTGCAACCGCCTCTGATCCACCCTCTTCTTCCACGTCGCAGACGGTCTGCCAGCTCACGACTGTTTCCCGGTCTTTCCATCAAATACAATCGCGCGACCAGCTCTCCTCATCTTCTACCACTCCACTGCCCCTCTGCCTTTTGCCACGCCATTCGTGCAACTGTCGCCCGTCACCACTCTTCCACGTCGCAGACTGTCTGCCGCAGCCCACCCCATTCCTTTGACCATTGTCAATAGAAGCGATTGACGAAAGGTGAGCATCTCCGACCAATCATGAATAATTCTGACCATCTATCAGGCTGCACGCAAGGACGATATGGCGAGACCCACCAGAAAGCCTCGTCGGAACGCCCGAGCTTCATGGACACAAGAGAAGGAAATGAAATCCGACGATCGGAGTAACATGCGAACTTTCCTAAAACTCGAATCAACCGAGAGCAGACTTGCCGCTTATTGCGGTTACCAATTTCGTGAAGATTTCCGGCACTTCGCCATGAGCGCATTTGTCCTCCGCGCATACATCCACGCGTACTCTGGGTTTACGACTGGAGACCAGATGCGACAGTCGTACGTGTTAGAATACATCCGAGATTTGAAACACGAAATGCGAAGCGACCAAACACCCTCTATCGAGTTTCCTCACGTCGAGGTTTCTCATACCCCAGATAACGGACAAAATAATCATTTCCCACGACTTATGGCCCTGGCCATTTGTCCTCCGCGCGTACATAGACGCGTACACTGGATTTACTACTGGCGACCAAATGCGACAAGCGTACGTACTGGAATACATTCGGGACCTCAAGTCTGAAATGCAAAGCTCAGAAAAACCATCAACCAGATTCGCCAAGATTGAGGAGGACACCCACAACACCCACTTCCCACGCAGCATGGCGTTAGCCATCTGCCAGGTACAACTAGCGGTTGAAAACCATTCGTCAGACCCTGGATGATAAACAAAATATTCATTTCCCACGCAGGATGGCATTAGCCATCTGTCAGTTGCAGCGTGCGATACAAAAGTCGCTTTCTGGGGAAACCGTCATCACCCAAGCCGACCAGGATCAGACGGCCAAAGAGTTCGAGCTACTCACCTCATGCAAGCCACCACCCGTGAAGATTGAGGAAATCAAACTCGTTGATCTTGAGCATTTGAAAGATACCAACAATGCGGATTATCTCGAGAGCGATCTAGAGACGCCGAACCGACTCTTCAACGTTCTCGCCTATGTGAAATACGCAATGAATACCTGGGACAGGCGTTTTGGAAAGGAAGATTGGGATAGTCATCTAAAATTCAACAAAGATGATCTACCGGCGTGGATGAGACTAAAGATTACCGAGATGGCAGCTCTCGCACCAGATCGACGATGAACAAAATATTCATTTCCCTCGGATTACAAACCCACAATGCAGACTGTGTTGAGAGTGATCTGGAGACCCCAAACAGACTTTTCAACGTACTTGCGTATGTAAAATACGCAATTAATACATGGGACAGGCGATTCGGGAAAGACGACTGGGACAATTCCTTCGAGTTTAGCAAAGATGATCTCCCGGCATGGATGCGCCCAAAGAGCACTCAAGTAGCAGCTCTCGCACCCGATCAATGACCAACAAAATATTCATTTCCCAGGGGTCACCAACCCCCATCTTGAACTCAATCAAGATGATCTCCCGGCCTGGATGCGGCCAAAGACTACCCAAGTAGCAGCTCTCGCACCAGACCAACCGAATCCCACGACAACCAATCCTCGCCCGACTCGCAAAGTTCAAGTACACTGGAGGAGGCACAACAAAGGAAAAAAAAATCAGGCAGCCTTGGAATGCATCGACGAGAACTACGAAGATTTTCCAACGGACGTTACGGTGGATATCAGCCCGACAATGACCGGGGCGTACGTGCGTGATGTGATCCGCGCAAAATTTGGCATGGAAGAGTGCGACGTGCAGATAGGGAAGTTGATGACCGTACCCAAGCGAACAAATGTCTTCAGCAAATGGAGAGCGATACAAGAAGAGCTATGGGGTGAAGGAGGTGCCGAAGTTGAATTCATGCTGTTTCTGCGGCCACAGACGGACGGCGAAGAAACACTTGAATGTGGGAGGGTGGTGAAGCCCCAAGTCGTCAGGTTATGAGATTACATATGTATATCAGAGACGGCACCAACATGCTTCTGCAACGAATAAACTGAAAATTATATATGTTTATACTAACCTGAGTGCCTAAAACTGATGAAACCCCGAGCAATGTCATGACCAACCAGCCTCCCTATCACTCTTTGACGTCAAATGCTAACATTTGAAGGTAAATAGAGTAATTCACGCCATGCCTACACGTGATGGGACTACCTACCTAAGTACATATGTAGGTATATGTACGTTCGAGGGCGTAACTCACTGCAAGATAGGAACTCGCTGTTCTTTCCGCTTTGAGCCTCCCAACTGCTGATAACCAACGCGCCTTCCATAGTGTGATAGTCATTCACAGGGCGCGTCTTCCTCTCTTGCAGCCGCGCCAAGACTTTTGACTCACCTGAATCACCGCCACCTCTTCCTCCCCCATCCCACCATCCACCAAACACCACCCACCGCAGTACCTCTCCTCTCTTCACTGTACACCTTGTTTGTCTGTTTTTCTGTCCACGCAGCGTGTCACGATGCCATAACCACTCGATCTTTCTCACTTCATCCCAAACGTCATCAAGGCTTGGGAGACTCTCCGACGAGTCCGCAAGCTCAAGCCCTGGCATGATTTGAACTATGGATGGACCGGATAATCATTGGACACGAACACAGAAATGCCAGACGGCAGTCTGACTGGTGATTGCGTGTTCTTCCAAGCCAATAACAAGATGATATCCACAAAGAAAAGCCGCGTGGATTCCGACTGCACACACTGCGGAGCCGACCATGAACTGATCGCGATCCCATGGCTAATGGTGATAAGTTGTGGGGGTGTGAGTTATGAACAATGGTTCGGATTTATGGACGGAACAATGATGGTATCCAGTCTATGTGGTCACTCTCTGTGCTGGGAAAGAAGCCACATGATTGTGGAGAGCGTTTCCAGCAACAGGAGGCGCATCAAATACCTCAACAAGGCAGGAAAATGCAGCAAATCAGATCGATATCCCCATCATTTACATCAGAGCCCACGCTCTAAACATGAGGCGGCAACAAAGCGGATCGATATTCCCATCGTTTACAATGCGAGTTAGCTGTGGGGGTTTGAGTTACGAACAATGGTTCGGATTTATGGACGGCACCATGATGGTCTCCAGCTTGTGTGGTCACTCTCTGTGCTGGGAACGAAGCCACATGATTGTGGAGAGCGTCGCCAATAACAGGAGGCGTATCGTATGCCGCAACAAGGGAGGGGCAGTTTGCAGCTGCCAAGAAGAGACAGGCCACCAATGTCTCACGCAGATCAAACGGCTGAGCGACGATGAGCAGGTCCAAAAATCGAAGAAGACTGCCGTTTCTTCGACAGACGAGTGCCCGTACTACCCCTATCAAAACGTCAAAAAACATGCCCCTGCAGAGCATGACACGGCGGCACGACAGATCGATAACCCCATCATTTACAATGCGAGCTGTACTACAGCAAGGCAGAGAGGCTCTGCCACTGCGATGACGAAGCTGAACACAGCTGCTTCACGTGGGTAGCACGATTGAGCGATGGCAAGCAAGTTCAAAAAGCGAAAAGGACTGCCGTCTCTTCGTTAGATAAGTGCCCGTACTGCCCATATAAAAACGTCGAAACACATGCAGCCACCGAGCACGACACAGCAGCACGAGAAATCGACAAACATTGTCAGAGAGGTGGACACCAACAAGATCTTCCCGGTGCTCTTACGGCATGCATCTTCACGACACTGCGGCACGTCAGATTCACCTGTATTGCCAGAGAAGCAGACACTATTAAGGTCTTTCCGATGCTCCGGATGCATTATCCTGTCATTCTTTTCCGTCTTCTTACTGCCAGCTGGCGTCTTCATGTCTTTTCTGTGTTCGGAGTTTATGTAATGGTGGACACTCAGTGCGGGCTAGTCTCAATCCTCATCGTCGTTTTTTTGTTTCACGAAGCATTATGTATGCATACTCAGATGTTGGACGAAGCGGATAAGAATCGGGAGGTAGTAGGACTTGAAGAACAATTGATTTGAAATTACCCGTCTACATGATGACCCTTGTGTTCCAACGCCCCAGTAGACCTCCAGAATCCCAAAAAGAAAGAAGGCAGCCCTCACATTTGTTTCAACCTCTCACACAGTTGATCTCTCCCACAACCACTACAACTTACTCTTGGGACCCGCGGCGTCATCATCGACCAAGCTCTTATAATCCCACTTTGGCAACTTCATAGTCCCCTTCTCATGCAGATGCTTATGCATATCAAACGAATTCCACAGCAAATGCGGTTCATGACCCCACCCTTTCCTCAAGCACTCAAACTCGGCCTTGTCAAAGTAATCCCTCAGAATAGGCACATAATCCGGATGCGCGCACTTCTCGATAATAACTCTGGCGCGCTCGCGCGGACTCAACCCCCGCACATCCGCAAGCCCCTGCTCAGTAACCACAACATCGAGATCATGCTCCGTCTGATCGACATGCGTGCACATGGGCACAATGCAACTCACGCCCGTGGGATCCGTCTTAGTCGGCCTCGTCGACGGCGTATGCATGATGCTGTACTTCGCGGAGCGCAGGAAATCGGCCGACCCGCCTAGTCCGTTGAGCATGCGCGAGCCCATGACGCACGTGGAGTTTGCGTGGGCGTAGATGTCGACCTCGACGGGGGTGTTCATGCCGATGACGCCGAGCCTGCGGATGATTTCGGGGGAATTCGAGACCTGCTGCGAGCGCAGGAGCAGCTTGGGCGCGTAGTGGTCCCAGTTCTTGTAGAAGCGTTGGAAGCCGTCCGGGGAGAAGCGGATCGAGGTTGCGGTTGCGAAGTCGAGGTTGCCCGAGTCGAAGAGGTCGAGGAAGGAATCTTGGAGGACTTCTGTCCAGACTTGGAGGTTTTTGAAGTTTGCGCCGCCGGACTGGTTGGGGTTGTTAAGTGTTTTGTAATGATGGAGGGATTGTGGGGGGGACTTACGGCGAGGCCGCCTACGACGGCGTTGGCGATGTTGCCGATGCCGCTTTGGAGGGGGAGCAGGTTCTCTGGAAGCCGGCCGTGCTTGACTTCGTGTTTCAGGAATTCGATTAGGTTGCTGGCAATTGCTCTGCTGCAGTCGTCCTCGGGGGCGTTTGGCTGCGTCTGGTCGGCATAGTCGCTCTCGACGATTGCCACGACTTTTTCGGGGTCGATTGGGATGTGGGGTGTACCGATGCGGTCATTGGGGCTCATGATGAGGTATGGCTTGCGGCGAGGCGGGAGATCGGTCATGGTGATGTCGTGGAGACCTTCGAAAGACGGCGAGGCTGTGTTGACTTCGATGATGATCTTGTCGGCCATCTGGATGAGCTCGGGGGAGGCGCCGACTGAGGCTCCGGGAATGATGCCTCCGTCTTCGGTGATGGCAGACGCTTCAACAATTGTGACATCCAACCGGTTCTTGGGCTTTTGGAGGGTGTAGAAGCCGTACATCAAATCGACAGGAAACATGCTGAGATGCTTGTCGAAGAAGTTGATCTGGCCATTGTTGATGCCCTTTGCAATTTCCTGTGACCGCACAAGTCAGCCAGCCGCCTCAGTGATGAGACCAGAGTGGGAAAAAAAACTCATGCCTTTCCAACTTGATGCGGACTCCTCCGCTCGATCATGTTGAGTCTTGCCCATCGGTTCTCGGTCTCTGCTCCGGACGACGCACCCACGAACAGGTTGTACTTCATCTTGCCCTGCAGATTGTTCTTCTCGACGTGGTCCGCGAGCGCGGTCGGGATCTTCTTTGGGTACCCGACACCCGTGAAGCCACTCCATCCAATGTATGCTCCATTCGGAAAGTGGTGGAGTAGATCCTCTGCTTTTGCGAGCTTGTTCAGGTAGCTTGGACGCCGCACCCTGCTTTTCAACAGCGCCGAGGCAGACATGTTTTTGTGATCGCAATAGACTCAATTGCACCTGAATTGTTCAATTGAATGTGGTCCAAAGCCCGCCGCGTTCCGAGTGATGTTTCCGAGAAAGAAGGTCTACGACGTTCACAATCTGACGTCTCAGATATCGCAAAGGGATGCTGGGACAGGCAACGGTGGAGTAGAGTTGAGTAGGAAAAGCGGAGGAGATGGGGGAAAAGAGGGGAAGAAGAAGGGAAGAACAAAAAAGGGCGTGGGGAACAGCTCGCCAGCTAACGAGGCACCGTCAGTGATTTAATAGTCAGACTACAAATCGAACGATCCACCGACTACAACTGCATGACGTCGGAACGAAGGTTAAAGGCCATGTCAAGGGTCGTTAGCTCCCCACTTATCTCCCCTCGGAGAAATGGGTAGGGATTTTTTGCCCGAGGTCCTTGTCTCCGACTGCGAAGACCCGGCGACTGTAGTGTGAACTTGGACATGAGAACGCCCAGAGTGATGACAGGTATACTGTCCTTGCAGGAAACCAATTCAATATCCAACCCCATCTCATGCCATCCGACGCGGTGATTGACAATGAAGCTGTAAGCGAGGCGTTGAACGTGCGAACCTGGAGATCAATGCTATTTGCGGATATCCCGAAGGATCGCCGAAGCCAATGCAGCCCTCATGCGTGTCAGGTCTGACCCCTGCTTCCGAGCAGCCGCTAGCAACGGCAAGGTTTGCAGAATTTCAAGACTTCAAACAGGATCGACAGAATGCACAGCGCAATTAAGCAGGCGTAAACATGTATGTATATTTCAAATGCTGAACTAGAAGAAAAAGAACCAAGACGTATCACAGCAAGACATTCATCGAACAGACTCGTGCAAGATAGGGTATAGAACAGGATAGCTCCTTCTTTAGAGGTTAGCAAAAAGAAAATAAGTACTGATGAAGATTGAATCAGCTCAGTCTCGGTCATTCCAGGCATTGTGCTCGTCCCTGAAACTTCCATACTGCGGGCTCGTTCTTTCGTGATCATTGGCGGGGCCACCAGAGTGATCGCGTGTTTCCCACCGTCTAGCTTCTTCATTTATGGGCGGCGATATATCTTCGCTTTGTTTGCCTTCTTCTGTGGTGAAGGGATAGTCGAGATTGTGAACTGCCTCTGGGTTCTCCGGTTGCGGATGATCAGGTTCGAAGCCTTCACGAACTTCTTCTTCCCTCCCCTCTTCCGGATATGCATGGCTGTCATAGGTCAGATCTCAAGTTCCAACAAGCATCGACACAGATAATCTTACACATAGTGTTTGGCAGGCACTTCATTCCAGCCCGGGCCGCCCTCTTTGCGCGCTCGTACACGCTCGACCTCTTCGGCTTCATGGTCTTCCACCACGAGATTCACCAGTTGACTGTGATCCGACTTCTTGGAACTGGCCGACTCAGACGACTTCTGGCGTATCAATTTACTGATTGCAGTCCTATCGGAGCTAGAGTTGGATGGCCCCCCGGTGCTGCTCGAATCGCTGCGGTTCTTTCCCTTTCCGGCTGCAGCCTGGATGTCCTTGATTCGGCTCTTTCTTCTTTTCTTGTTGTCCGCAGTGGGTTGCAGCAGGTGACGATTCGTTGATCCAGTGATGATGGATGGATTGCCATACATGTGGTCTTCGCGAGAAGGTCGGTTGGCTTCGATAACCGGGTACTGTGATAGTGAGAAGGTGTAACATCACGCAAGAGGGAGAAAACCTACATTCCAGTCGCCAAATTCTAGAGCTCGCGCGTTGTCAAAGAGTCTTTCGTCTTCGGCATTCAACTCTGGTTCTTCATAGTCACTGGTACTTCCATACTGTGAAGCTTCAAGCGCACGGTGAGCTCCAGGACTCATGGTGCGGGCTCGGCTCGAAGTCACTTTCGAGAGCAGAGGTTCACGGTCCGAGTGCCCGGGCTTTGGTATCCAGTATTTCCCCTTGCCACCTCTTTCGTACCGCATTCCCTCAGCCATACGTGCAGTTCTCGATGAAGATTCTTCATGAGCGAGTACGTTATCGTTTGCGTCAAAGTACCGATATTCGTAGTGTTTTCCGCCAAAGGTATCCTTGGTATCCTCGATGAGGTCGCGAGGGCCGAATGCATCTCGGAGGGCATATTTGACAGGCAAGCGAGCAGCAGAGATGGTGTTGTCGGCATAGTCGTGCCAGGAGAAAGCATACCAATGGGCCAAGGAGAAAAGAGGCATTTCAAAGCAGATTAGAGCATCTTGAATTGCAGCGGCAAGATTGTCGGCAGTATAACCGGGAACATCGCCAGGAATGGCGCCCAACCAAACCAGAATGGAAAGGAAGAACCCTTGCCAGTACGAGGCGAAAATGATGCCTTTGATGCAGAGAAACTTGGGCATTGGACGAAACGGTTTAAGATCTTGGACCATACACACCCAGAACATGGCAAGGGCGTAAAGACTGATGGTGATGCTGACATTGTAGATGATGCCACTCCAGAGGTATCCAGAGTCGACACCCAGATAACCTTCTTTGTACACATCCAGGGCCTTCATGACAATGGCGGCCAGCGAGAGCAGTGGTTTCACCCAAGTATACTGCAGAATGCCACGCTTGATCATAAGGAAGGTATGGGGGTCGGAGATGTCTGCTTTCGGGAGGACGAGGTTCAGAGGCCAGAGGTGGGAGACGGGGGCGCGACCGGTCATGAGGACAATCAGGGCTCGTTCGCCGCCGATGAAATTTATGAGGAGCTGAAAGAAGGTGTATATGGTAAAGGCCTAGGCATAGAGCATAAGCAAGTGGGTATAAGGAATATAGCAAACGTATGTGTTACCTCGTAAACATCTCGTAGGGGGCCTATCCAGTAGGAGGCCTGGATGGATACCAGACTAGCCCAAGATGAGGCCGAGTAGATGGGGACCATGAGCAGGATGCGCACGACATATCGCTGGAGAAGAGGTTTTCGGTAGTTTTTGCTAAAAGGCAGCTCAGTATGTTTCATGGGTATGAGGTGGATGGAAACTCTTACGTCTGTAGCCAAACGGCGCTATTCACTACGTCAGTGGGATGTATCAGGCGACAGGCAGAAGCAAGAGGAGCGGGGATATACATAAAGGTCAAGAGACTGGCAACGAGAGCTGCCACACCAGCAAGAATAATAATGGTGCGAGCAAAGCGATCTCCGGTGCCGCTGGGCGATTTCTCCGACGACGCGCGCACGGCTATGAGGTTGCCTATCGCCATGATGCGGAGAAGAGGTGTGAAGGCGGGCGGCGGACAACAGCAACAAGAGGATCCAAACAGCGGCAAGGACGGGCGAGAGGGACCTATGAAGCGACCGTGAGCATGGCGATGAAAGAGACCAAGTGTTGTAGAGCAGATCTGTCAGTTTTGCAAGGTAAATATCGAAAACGGACGTCTGCTGTGTTGTTGACAGATGATTTTCGGAGGACGACGATATGATGCGAAGGAGAGACGATACAAAGTACGGGGAAGCTTGGGCCCCCGCGCGTCATTAGCTTGCCGCCTTAGTAGCGCTCCTCCAGAAAGATGCATGGAACACATCACATGCATCATCTCCAATCCAGCAATAAACAGATCGGTTTTCTGGGGGATGAGATGATTGCAATTAATACTGTCGTTACTCATGTAATCAGCCCGTTCACGTACAGGTAGTCAGGCCATGCGCGCCCGCTTCCTCTCCTTCCACCCCCGACCGCGACCCGTATACTGTTTGCTGCTACAGAGTAGATGGCGCAACAGACGCTCACGCCGGAGCCTCTGAGGCCGCAGGTCGAATTCAACTGGTAAGACTTTGCTCCTTGTGTTCCAAAGTGCATCTCTCACCTGCTAACGTCTTCGCTGTGTCTAGGGTCTACCTCGTAGAGCTCCTTATTTGTGGCATCCTGACAATCTTCTTTCTCTTCTACTTCAACCGCCTCTTTGCCACCCTCGTCTCCTACGGTATCCGGGCCTACACCTGGAGCGCCTATCGTGCATACATTGACATCCAGGCTTTGCAAATCTCGGTCCTCGGCGGTCGAATCTTCTTCAAGGACATACGCTATCACGGCCACAATGAAACCATATTGATTCATGGGGGGTATATCACTTGGAATTATTGGCTGCGCAGGGTAAAAGAAGCCGACGTCCAGTCGACTTCATCCTCAGCAGACCCGGTCACCGATCACGACGCATCGAGCACCTCTACTCGTCAATCTGGTAGCGCAGAAGCATCAGTGGATAAGGCTGAAAAAGGAGGGAAGCAGACAGTTAAGAAGCTGCCATGTCGCATTTCGGTCAAGATATCCGGCGTCGAGGCCTTCATGTACAACCGGAGCCCCGCCTACGACGGTATTATCGATGCAATCAAGCGCAAGACTGAAGCATCCCCTCCTGACGATGTCCCACCCGCTTCTGAACACGGCCACACTGCCGCCACCAGCTCCTACCGACCATCCATGGATACATACAAGGACAACAACCAGCAGAATAGGCTGAGAAAACCATATACTGGCGAATTCAGCCGGGATACAGGGCCTTCACGTTCAGAAACGGACCCTTCAACGTCGAAGAAGATCCAAAAGGATGATATACCCTCCTTTCTGCGACTTCTCCCCGTTCATATCGATTGCAACAAAGGCGCCATTGTGGTCGGCAATGAACATACCATGTCCGTCATCACTGCCCAGTTCGAGAGAGCAAGTGGCGAATTCGATGCTGCTTCGTGCGGACCGCTGGATGTTTACAAGCAGGTGTTCAATTTCCAGTTCACACATCCGGTTGTACATATGAAACCCAACCAAGACTACAAATCGTCCCAGTTGGATTCCGCTATGCGCTTAAAGCAGACCTCTGAACAGCTACCAGAAGGTCAGGACGTTAACGAAAAGGAGCCTCCAACTCAGAAATCACGATTCTGGACACCTCGTTTGCCCCGTATCCCTCGTATTTTCTCCAAATCTTCGGATTCAATTCACCATGTCAATGCTACCAGTGCGAAGAAAAGCAGCACTTTTGTATCCCACTGGCAATTTCCTGGCCAAGAGCAGTGGAAGGGACTTTCGCGTTACCTCGACGACAGTGGAAAAGATGGATACAGCGAGTGGGATGCAATGGATTATGCCAGTACTTCTCTCATCGTTGACAGTCCCTGCGTAAAAGTGAGCTTTTACTGGGATGTTGTTGGCCCCGTACCGAATGAAATCGACAACAGTGCGTACATTGACCCAACTCGTCCCGAGGATATTAATGGCAGCGCCCCGCCCGATTACGGTATGGATATACAGGTTTACGGAGGCATCATCAACTACGGACCATGGGCTGATCGACATAGGGCTCGTTTCCAGAATATCTTCTTCCCAGGAGCCTGTGTTGACGCGGTCCCTTCTCCATCCTTGAAACCTGGAGATGCAAGAGTGCTTTCCGGCTTCAAAATCTACATCAGTATTGAGGATGAGACTGTCCTTCGCATTCCAACTCGCGAGTCATCAAAGGACTGGAGATGGAAAGGGAAAGCACGCACAGTGGCTCGGAACAAGGAAGCAGCCGACAAAGCCAAAAGTAAATCAAAATCAAGGCGAAAATCTATCCGAGGAAAATCGCGCGATGCTGCGTCTTCAAGTCAAAACGTACGTCCTTTTGGATGGATTGATATCAAAGTTGCCGGAAATTCTTCCGTCAACTACTTGATGGATATGGTTGCCTCTGAGCGTGGATATCAAAACAGATTGGACGTTGACATTGCCAGTACAGAGATCTCGTCGAGTGTCAACCATGGCTTGCTGTGGCGTTCGGGAGCTATTGGTATCGACTGTGATCTCTCCAATCCTCTGGGTTGGAACACTTTGCGCAAATGGGGGTTCGGAATTACTTGTCAAGACCTCGAACTATTCCTGCTACGAGATCATCTCTTCTTGTTGACAGATCTGGTAACGGATTGGGGTTCTGGGTCTGCACCTGATTATTTCACCTTTGTCCCTTTCCAATACCTCCTGAAGGTCGATTTCACCAATCTCAAAATATACCTCAACACCAACGATTCCAATATAATCAACAATCCAACAGAGTTCGACGAGAATAATTTTCTCGTATTGCATGGCACACATTTACATGGCGACGTAGTGATTCCTCTTGACAAGTTCAAGCCGGTTCAAAATGAGATTCAATTTGACGTGCAAGGCCGAGACATGGGCTTGGATATCAGGACTTCATCGCAAAACACCATCAGCACATTTCTCAAGTCAGAAAAAGTAGCAAAGCTGGGTGGTTTGTTTCTGACAGGCAGTCATACGTACTTGAGTGAAACTTCCGCCATGAACACTGACAGATTGTTCATGGACGTACGGGGCGAAAGGTTATATGTTGAGCTATATGGCTGGTTGATCGATCATTTCATGAAGATGAAGGAGAACTATTTTGGCGAGGACATGCACTTCAAAACTCTGGAAGAGTTCCAAGGACGCCCAGCCCAAGTCCTCACAGCGGATGGAGTTGCACCAACTGATCAACCGGCGAAAGTAACGAATGATCTCGACGTCATTCTGAGCATCTCTGTCGAGGATACGAGTGCGCTATTCCCTTCGAATCTGTATTCGGCGGAGAACAGTCTCCGAGCCGAGTTGCCCTTTGTTTCTGCCGACCTCCGATTCACGAATTATTACATGGATCTTATGGTGAACTTCAGCCCTATTGGCCTGTCCATCGGCACCTCGGCTGCTAGGCCAAATGTTGGAGATGATGATGGAGGGCATACGGAAGTTTTCATCGACTCAGTCGTTATCTATGGACATCGTTTATTCGGTCTTCCTCCTACAGAACCTACCTACGTCTGCAGCTGGGACTTTGATGTTGGGAAAGTTTCTGGCGAATGCACGACTGATTTCATCGAGAAAGCTGTGGGTGCTGCTCGTTCTTTTGCGTTCACGCTGGACGATGATGAGAACACGCTGCCAATCGCCCATCCTTTGATTATTCACGACTCTACTTTTCTCCGCCTTCGAACAGAAGACATTCATGTGTGGTTTCATGTTGCCCAGGAGGTGGTATTGATTAGCACCGGGCATGTCAAACTCGATTTCAATGATCTCGCAGGCACCACGTTCTCTCAGCGTTTGAATGTCTTGGTGCCAGACTTGACTTTAGGGGCTGTAGACGCATTGTCTGCCTCCCGCCATAGAACTCGAAAGGGGGAGAAACAGCTGGTCGAGACACATGCATTCTTGCAGACCACACTCACGCTAGACATGTTGACACGCAAACTCAACTTCACCGAAGAACGAGTGCTCCAACAGGAGCACATGAAAGAACATGACCAACGAACAAACCGCACAAAATTCATGTTTCTCGATCAATCGTTATTGTCCTCGCATCAAACCCTTCGGAACCAAGCGGCTTCCCGTCCTCCGGCACTACAGTATCCCGAGATCCCCCATCCCATCTTTCTTTTCCAGCCTAGTTCTAGTTCCACATCTTCCTCTATCTCCGGATACTCTTCCCAGCCGGCTTCGATGCATGAACGGAGGAGACGTAACCTAGCCTCTCAGTCTTCGTCTTCCAGTTCAATTCGTAGTAGTGTACGTTCTGTGCACACCCATCGACACAAGACACTGCCCAGTAACACATTCACCCACACTAACCAAATGAACCAACAATATCTGTTCGTCAGTGAAGAGGAAAGGGCACAGAGAAACCTCGCTCCATCATCTGTCGCTCTCGCCAGCTCTCTTGCTGCCCCTTATTTCCCTCTCGATCTTGTTGAGCCGGATATGACAGATGTGCCCGATCTTCCCGAATTCTCGTCTGGGTGGACCGAGGACGAAGGAGATGATGCTCTTGTCTTCAATGACATTTCTTCAAAGAACTTTGACGAAAGTTTTCAGCATATGAGCTTTCTTGTCAGTGCCGAGCCTGGCTTGAGGCTATACTGCACACCGGATTTCGTCCGATGCACATCGAAATTGTTGGAATCGTTGCAACCTCGCCAGCCAGAAGATCTTCTAGATGCTTTCCAAGTGAGCGTCATGACAAAAATTCTCGACCACCAGAAGCGCCGGGAAGGCAAAGGAGAATCCATGGAGTTCAATGTTCGCGTTCCATTTACCCACATCCGATTCCAGAACCAGTTCGACCAAAGTAAGGACCAATACGATATCATTCTCAATCAGCTCAAAACGGCGGCTCGCATCAAGAACTTCCCTGGTGAGCGAACAGAGGAAAATTCCATCTCTATGCACACCACTCTCGGCTCGCTTGGGATCTCTATCACGGAGCGAAATTCACAGGGTGGCAACGAGGACGTGGCAGTACAAGCTGAGATAAGAGACTTGCTAGTCTGGATGAAGAAGGCTCATGAAACTTCTGTCAACATCAATTTTGAAGCCTTTGAGATTGCCACTGCCAGCCAAAAGATTGAGTACCTGGCCTCGCTGATTCACAGGACGACATTGTTAGGAGAGGAGTTGGCTACTGAATTCGCCCAGAAAATTGAGACACAACAAGTACGGTTACGTTATCTTGCTTGGTATCTCACAAGCGTACAAGATCGTTACCAGGATCCAGCTTTCTTGACCAAGGCTTCATACACGCTTCGTGCAGTCAGGGACCATCTACGCAGCCATGATTCTTGGAAGATTCTATCACGCTTTCGTTACACTTGGCAAAGTTTGCCAGACTCTGAGAAAGATGCCATATACGATCATTGCTCTCAAGACTCAGTTCAACAACAATGCCCTGCCAATGCAGAGGAACAAGTCATCGCCATGTGGGACCAGTGGCGTGCATGGGACTTGGCACATGTAAAGAAAAGCTTGGCAATGAAGATGCTGTTTGGGCGATTCGTTGATCAAGCAGAAGTACCTAATTTTCCGCTCAGTGTTCACATTCGATCTGCTGGTATCAAGTTGATCCTCGACCCTGGTCCGAAACAGAGCGAAGTTGGGCTACAGCTTCTAGCAATCGATGTCACCCTACAACCGCCACCTGAGGCCACCGGTCTCATGGTCACTGGATCAGAAACCCTGCAGCAGACTACAGTCGTTCAGATCAACGCCGTGAACACGTTTGCCCATATACGTTGGGAAATATGCGAGCTTGCTGAGACTCTCATTGGCATGTTTCAAAGGGAGAGTCTCAAGCATACGGTCGACAGTCCGTCCCGCCCCGCAGCTAAGCAAGAAGTAAGGGCTTTTGATAGCAGTCTGCAGATTGTTTTCGTCACAGAACAGGCCGAATTATCGCTCGATACGATCAATCTACAGAGTCTCTTCGTGGGTCAGAGCTTCCGGTTATCAGTGGTCGCCTTGGATCGCCAGGCTTCTAAGCAGGGTCAGACAATGACTGCACATGTGCATGCAGAGCAAGCATTGGCCAAGTTGAGCTCGCGGTCGCGTTCACTACTGCAGTCTCACTTCAATCGCCCAAGTCTATACTTCTCACATCATCAACATGGTCCGGATAGTGGCATTCCCGATGAAATTCAGGGTGCTGGCGCTAGTCAGATGATCAAACTACGCGTCGAAGAGAGTGTGCTGGGCCTGATTGAAGTAGCAGACTTGGTGGTACGACACGAGGTCGCGTATCTGCATGCTCAAGCGACGACAATGCAAAAAGTATCCAAATCGATGTCTGGATCATCCGGCACAGACAAAGAACCAAAGCAACTCCCGCATGTCACTCTAGCTCTACTCATGGACGAGTATCAGGTCGAAGTGGCATTCTTGCACTCACTGACTTGGGCAATCACGGGTTCTACTGGTCGAATCTCTGTCATACCTTCCCTTGGTCAGAGCGTGACATTACGAGTTGACTACGATCTAGCAGCACATACACACAGATTGCTCAGCAACTCCATGGAGTCATCAAACGTCGTTAGCTCGCTTGAGTTACCTCCGCTGAACGGTCGAATATCAATCACCAACACTGATAAAGAAACGAGATTGTCGGCTGCAGGGACTATAGAAACCATCAATCTGCAGGCCTCGGAAGTCCAGGCTTTGGTTGCAACGGTCAACAAACCCGAAATCTCAAATGTGATTCGTGCCATTCAAGACGACATTGACGTATTGAAATCGCATATCGAGGATATTTTCCCTCCGAAAACAAATGCGCCGGTCGAGAAAACTCCATTGTCCTCCAGGGAGATAGTCTTCGGGGTACAGTTGACACTCTCTGGGTTGAATATACTTGCCACCGCCCCAGGACAGCATCACGACTCGCCCACCGCCAACCTGGCAGTTCGACTCACCTCTGTTCAGCTGAAGGCGTCAAATATTGGGCCTGACAATACAGTTTTGACTTTCCCAGAAGCAGTGGTTCTCCTGCATGAATTCTCTGTGGAAATGGCTCTATCAAAAGACGGCTCGGACCCGCGACGCTGTGGAAACCTCTCATTCAACGCCATGTTTCAAGCCACCGCTCAAATGAATGAAGGGTCGACCCGCAGAGTGTACCGAGTCAAGAGCTCTGGTCTAGAAGTCAATATCTTTGCAGACACTGCATCTGCGGTTGTAGATGTGATGAATCATTTACAGGACAAGATCAAGGAGCTCGATTTATCCAAGGAGAAGAAGTATTTGAAGAAGCTCCGTGACAAGAAAAGCGAGATTGTTCGCAAACGAGCGCAGAGCATGAAGAGCGATGGGAACACCGATTCACAAAGCACGAGCTCTAGTGCACTCTTCACCTCAACATATTCTCTTGAATTGCTCAATATCCAGGTTAGCTGGATTGTAGGGACGTCAATCACTCCCTTTTCGAACACCGAATCCGAGGATTTGGTTCTGTCATTCAGGAGAGTTGACCTATCAACACGAAAAGACGATGCAGCCCGCTTGATGATTGAGGATATGAACCTTCAGATGGTACCAGCGTCAGCCGATAAGAGTGTACGATCTTCGAACTCTGCTCTGCTTCCTGAAGTTGTTTTCAATGTTACGTATGGCTCTACCAAGAACGCCCGCAACATTGCCTTCCACGCTGCTGGTAAATCGCTCAACCTCCAACTGGATTCACGCTTCATCATGCCTGCAAACGTGATTGAGCGATCAATTGCTCTGGCAGGGAAGAAGTTTCGCAATGCGTCTGCGAACTGGAACACAACCCCCACGACAAGTGGTGCTCAACGGAAGAATCCTTTTGGCAATAAGCGACTGGCTTCGCTTTTGGTGGATGCCAATTTTGCAGGTGCGGTGGTTCACATCAACGGCAGTGACTCGACAGCCGATCCTCAATCTAAAGGAAGTCGGTCGCAACAAAAGGGGCGCTATAGCCAATTCGTCGGTGATTCTGCAAAGAGCAGCCTCGATCTACGTGCTCCTGGAGTAGCGATCAAAGTGGAATATCGCGACGAGACTGGACACGAGCCGTCACTAAATGCTGAGATGCGAATTGATGGGTCAAGTAATACTTTGTACCCAACCGTCGTACCCGTTATCATTGAGATATCGGAAAGCATCAAGGAAGTTGTTCGTGAAAAGGATGAAGAATCACCAAACTCTGCGTCGACCCCGGCAACATCGCTCCAGAAGCAGATCGAGGCACCAAAGCCATCAGAAGATGAAAGCAATCTGATCACCGCGGACCCAAGCACTTTACTGGGTCGAACACGATTGAACCTGGGCATGCGTATCTGTAAACAAGAGTTCAGTTTGAGCTGTCAACCCATTGCAAGAGTGGCAGCCATCGCCAAGCTGGAGGACATCTACATCACAGTCAACAGTGTCAAGTCCCAAGAACATGGGCATTTCTTTGCGGCTTCTGCTATCTTTGAAAAGTTGGAAGCCACGGTCCAACACGTCTACTCCAGAGAGTCGACTTTTGGGTTCAACGTCGATTCTGTAGTGTTATCTTTGATGAACAGCAAGCACCTGAGTGGCACCAGTGGAATCTCAGCAATTCTGAAAATCAATCCCATGGCTTTGCAAATCAACGCCCGGCAGCTCCAGGATTTTCTGCTGTTCCGAGAGATCTGGATTCCACCTGAGATACGACAATCACCCAAGACGCCAGCGGCGAACATGACCCAAGAGCCGCAAGAGTATCTTATTCAGAGATATCAGCAGGTAACAGCCGCTACAGCTTTTCCGTGGAATGCAAACGTGGCCATCGCCGATGTATCAGTAGAGCTCGATCTTGGACAAGCCATCGGCAAGACCTCACTCAGTATTCACAACATGTGGGCTTCTTCCAGGAAAGGAACGGATTGGGAACAAAATCTCTGCATAGGCGTTGAAAAGATTGGTCTAGAAAGCACCGGTCGCACCAGTGGTTTCGTTGAGCTCGCAGGTGTCAAAGTTCGAACCTCGATCAAATGGCCCTCGCAGGAACTCGCCACCCGACAAAGTCCTCTCATTCAAGCCTCTATCGGATTTCGCCAACTACGCGTCAAAGCAGGGTTCGACTATCAAGCGTTTATCCTTGCTGATATTGCCAACTTCAACTTTATCATGTACAACGTTCATGAGGAGGATGGAGGCGGGCGCAATCGTCTGGTCGCAATTCTCGATGGTGACAAGGTTCATGTGTTTTGTCACACAACAAGTGCGGCCCAAGGTCTGGCTCTTTGGCAAGCTATCGAACGTCTGATTCAGGAAAATCAGCAGGCTTACAAACAGTCCCTCAAGGACATTGAGAAGTTTCTCCGCCGTAAATCTTCCATGGCGCAGCCATTCGGTCGTAACCTGTCGCAAAGTATGGTCTCTTCAAAACCTGACGACGATGATGTGAAAGCTCCGATATCACTGCATACAGACGTCGTCGTCACACTACGGTCCATAAACTTCGGCGTCTTTCCCTCTACCTTTGTCGACACGCAGATCCTTCTCCTCGCCGCTGCGGACGCCCAAGCACGCTTCGCCGTCGCCCTGGAAAGTGGTAAAATTCATTCCGGTCTCGGTCTCACACTGGGTCAACTCTCCGTAGCCCTTTCGTCCCTCCCATCCCCCAAGAAAACCACCACAAATCCCGTCACAGATCTCACCGTGGAAGATGTAATGGAGAACGTCAAAGGCGCCCGCGGAGGCACCATATTACGCGTACCCAAAGTCATCGCCACCATGCACACATGGCAGCAGCCGCGCAGCAGCGAGATTGAGTACGTGTTCAAGAGCTCGCTGGAAGGCAAAGTCGACGTAGGTTGGAACTACAACCGCATCTCCTTTATCCGCACCATGTGGTCCAACCATTCCCGCACATTGGCTTCACGTCTCGGCAAACCACTCCCAGAATCCAACATCAAAATCAGTTCCAACGAACCCACCGCCGCCCCTCCCACCTCAACCACTACGCCGAGTGACAACAATATCATTACAGCTACACCCAACCCTGCATCAACCCAACAGCAAAAAACTCAAGAATCAGGAACTGCGGAAACAGGACCAGGCACAGGAAAAATCACAGCCGTAGTCAACGTCCCTCAAAGCAGATACTCGTACACGCCGCTCGAACCCCCTCTCATCGAGACCCCGCAACTCCGTGACATGGGCGAGGCGACACCGCCGTTGGAGTGGATTGGTCTACATCGGGATCGTTTGCCGAATGTCACGCATCAGATTGTTATCGTTACATTGTTGGAGTTGGCTAGGGAGGTTGAGGACGCTTATGGGCGGATTTTGGGGAGTTCGTAAGCTGTGACATAGCGTAGGAGAATGTTAGTTGATAGAGTAAGGCTAGCCAACCAAAACTTTGGAACACTACTGTTATGAATAAATTTTCTTTCCTCTTATTTTACTGAATCTATAATCATGTTCATATTAAATAGCAGAATGCATAAGCTGCTTGCTTAGAGATTGAGATGTGCAAAATTGGCTTTACTACGTGTTGCCACGTGTAGGCTAATCTGGAAGAGGAAGTTGATATGAATGATTTTTAGTTAGGAGTATCCTTCATCGTTTTAAACAGGTCTGGTATTATGCTCACATTAAAGTCCTTCCCTCGGGCTCTTCTACTTTCTCCCTTCACTACCTACTACCTCCACCCCGTTATTGCGAAACTCAACACGCATAACTAACAATGGAAAGTACAATCCATGTCTCTAATACCCTTGCGACCACATCCTGTGCCAGGCACTGATGCCCATCCACCGACTGAACACCACCCGTTTGAATTGCCCTCTGGAAACTCTTCCGTCCTGGTATTCCAATGCTTGTTTCCATAGTTAAAATCAACGTAGCTACCTCCTTCCTTGTGTCCCGTGATTACCAGTGTTTCTTTGAGTCGGCTAGTCATAGCGAATCCTTCCTCAATTTGTTCTGAATCCGGCATGCCGCCAATCCTCAATTTGTCGTCATCAAGTAGTGGCGTCAGCAACGCGTTAAGAGTACGCGTTGTTGTTGTTGTTGCTTTACCATCCTGAAACCCACTACGACTGCAGGTAACTTCTTCCTTCATGTGGAAGCTGCACAAGCCCAATTCTACATCATACGCACTGTTGCGCCGTTGTTGTCGTATTTTCTTGTCAATCGCTAGGCGATAGGCAGTCATACCTTTGCTTTTGGGATGAAAGGATCTGGTGACGAGTCCGAGTACCGCATTCTGAATACGCGGATCAAGAGCTTTGGTGGAATGGGAGGCTCTTGCGTAGTCGCACAGATAGTTGAAATCGTCGTCAGTGGAATATCTGGTGTCGCTGGCGCAATGTGTCGCATTCAATCCTGCGAATTCCGATCCAGATGCGATAGCGGTTACATTGGTAGCCTCATCCTCAAAGGACTGCGTCAATTTATTGTCGTTGTCTCTGGAGAACGTGCCAAAGATCCAGATATCATCATGGCGGAGGCTTTTTATCTTGTCCTCGCAGAAACGGTGTCCATTGAATTCAGGGTTCGGGTCAACGAAAAAAAGTCGCCTATGACCCCATTCCGGCGATCCTGGATTGTGATGATCGCTGTTATACCGTGCAATCGAGTGCTGCAACTTATCGTTGAAATCTTTGATGAGTTTGTTCATTCGGCGACGCAAGGATTTGTCCAATTTGGGCCCGTTTATAATATTGACATTGAAGCCGTGTGAGTCGCACCAGTCCGAAGACTCGGACCCTACGTTGAAAAAGGTTGGGTATCCGAGGTGGTAGATTTGGTTGTGCCAATCAGGCTCCATTTTTTCGAACATCTTGTTCCAGACCTTGTACATCCTGTCGTGCAGTGACTCGATACCGTCTCCTTTTAATACTTTTTCAGCATCTTTAATCGCAGCATCACAAGAGTTGACCGATATCTTTAGGAGGCACCTCCTCAAGATCGAAGAGAATCCGAGGTCGTTTCCTCCCAGTGTGAGAGCAGCAACATTGTTATCAAGCGACATTTCAGGGATTTGATGCTGGATGAAATCATTGGTCGTGTGTCCGAGGCAGGGCAAGAACCGGTTATAGTGGAGAGGCCGGTTGTAGAACGGCCAGTTGACGAGTAATGTCTGGCCCCAAGCCATGCTGAACTGTCGGCATTTCTTTGGGTAGTTCGGATGATACCTGTCTTTAAGGAGATCTCCAGCTCCGGGGCCGGCCGAGTATGAGTCTCCCATTATTTGAAGGGCAACATCGCCCTGTCCCGGCGTGAATTGGTCAACAATAGAGGGTAGAGGTTGCGGACTTTGGATTTTTTGGTTCGAGTCATTCAAGGCTGCTCCTGTATGATATTAGTAAATGATGCATTGAATCATGCTATCGAGCATATCGAGATCGATAGGCCAGGAAGTTGTTTGTACAATGATGGTTGGTGGACTGACCACAAAGCTTCATCAACGATGACACTAGCAAAAGCTGAAGTAAACTGCTCGAAATGATGTGCATCTTGATTATAATAACGATAAATAATACGGTAGTGATAGAATCAGAACGAATATGGGAATGATTCAAGGTATATTGGCGGGAACAAAATCGAAGCTACACACGTATTTATATTTTCTACCCTTCGGTTAGGAGCTTTTAGTTCATTTACTTCGAGCAATGAAATTGAGAGGGAGAGTCTCAACAATGTCTGACCGGATTGTGCGTATTTTTAGGACTTCCATGAGACCATAAATCAGCGATATCAGGCCAGCGACTATCCCACCAGGTTCGGAGCCACTGGCATACAGAAGGCTCGTGCCATGAACCCCAGTAAAGTATGATGAACGCTCCTATCATCTATATAATCTGAAATCAACAGTATGTAGCAGTCGCGAAGGCGTTGTGACTGCTTCGCGGGTGCAGCTTGATTTCAGCCGCTGATCGGCAAAAGCTGAAGTGACACCATGACCGTCAACACTATGCCTAAGCTGAACTTGGCCACCTTATGAGAATTTTGCGCATGTAAGAATTTTCAGCTTATAGCTAGAAATGCTATTAGGATGCGGCGTGTTATCTCTTGATCATGATTCGTTTTTTGTGCTTGCGCCCTTGCGTGCCTTACTATGTTATTTCTTTTTTAGCATCAATCTGCGATCTGACCTCGCATTTCTTCCCCTGACCGGACCTAATACCAAAGGCAGATAATTCTTCGAATACCCGTCCTGTAAGCGTCTTACTGTGATCGCTTGTTTGAGATCTTATTTATACAGTCTAAAAAGACATCAAGGCATACAATCCTCAAAACTAATTTCCCAAATTGACGTGCTTGTAGCGCATAGGGACGTATGATTCATCGGAAGCCATGTTTGAAAGCTCCGAGATCTGAGTCCTTAGGCGCCCAGTTTATATGTCAGGTTGTTCAGCTCGTGAGCGTACATGATGGGTAACTTCTCAACATGTCAAAGCTGGACGCCTTGATAAGGATGTCCATAAAAGGTGGCTCTACAGCTTGCATCTGGATAGCTAAATCTTCACTTTGGTTCACCTTGCTTCACCCTGCATCATGGATCTCCGTCTCTTTCTAAATTTATTTGCCGTCTTTCTCTACAGTACTGCTGTAATTGCGCAGAGCTCTGATGAAGCAGCGCGACCAGGGAAGAAAAAGAGTGTGGTATTCATACTCACCGACGATCAAGACCAACGCATGAACTCTCTCGACCACATGCCCGAGGTTCAGAAGCTCCTTATCGATGAGGGAACTTGGTACCAGCGACACTACGCACCCACTGCCCTTTGCTGTCCCGCCCGCGTCAGTATCTGGACAGGCCTCCATGCCCACAATCACAAAGTAACTAGTGTGCACGGTAAATGGGGTGGATGGCCGAAAATTCTACAGCAGGGTTTGAACAGCAAGTATCTCCCGATCTGGCTAAGAGAAAATGGGTACAAAACCTACTATGCAGGAAAACTGTACAATGGCATGAGCGAAAAGAACGGAGTGGAGACGACGACGGCCAGAGGCTGGACAGATGCTGTAAGTAGATACCTAGACACGGCTCAAATTCATATTCGGAGCAGTTGATAATTGGATAATTAGCAACTCCTTTGCGGAGCTTCGACGTATCAGTACCACGACCCGCCTTTTCAGCACGTTAATGAGACCAATTGGAACAACCCACACAAGATCAACAAGAATTTCAAGGGCAATTACAGCACCACCAAAGTGGCGGATTTCGCTTACGAGTACCTTCGGGAAGCAGTAAAGCATGACGACCCATTTTTCTTGGCCATTGCACCAATCACACCACATGTCCAGGTTGGCAAAGATAATGGTCCACCAGTACCGGAAAAGAAGTACAAGGGAACACGCCCCGACGCTCAAATCCCCCAAACTGATAATTTCAACCCAGGAAAAGTAAGTCGGTTGACTGCTACTAACTAGATTATGAGGATAAGCTAATGAAAAAAACAGAGGTCCGGCGTCAACAAGGTCTGGCACCTCGATCGCCTAAACGACCAAAAGACCAAGCTGCTAAACGAGCACTATCAAGACCGCACGGAAGCCCTGCTCTCAGTCGACGATATTGTAGCGCAAGTCCACAAGATTCTCAAGGATAACAACAAGCTCGATGATACATACATCATATACAGCAGTGATAACGGGTTTCACCTCGGTCAGCATCGCCTCGGGGCGGGTAAAAAATTTGCTTTCGAGGAGGACACAAACGTTCCGCTCATCATCCGAGGGCCTGGCGTTCCAAAAGGCAGAAAAACGTCGATAGTGACTGCCCACGTAGACCTCTCGCCCACGATACTGGAGATGGCGGGAATGAAGCAGCGCGACGATTTTGATGGGAGAAAGATCCCAATCACTGACGGCGATCTCGACCAGCGAGAGAAGAGCGATGCCGATGAATACGCGAATGTTGAGTTTTGGGAGGGCACATCTTTCGGCTGTGAGTAGTACCTCGTTGTCGCCATTTGGTGTGCTATGGATAGACCAAGGCATAATGCTGATTTGCCCTTTGCGACCAGTCAACACGATTCAAGGCAAAAACGTGACCGGTAAGTTCGTTAACGCGTACAAGTCTCTCCGTCTCGTCGGGAAGAGTTATGATATCTCGTATATAATCCACTGCCACAATAATGCGCACGAGCTCTACGATCTCTCCAACGACCGCGTGCAAATGGAAAACCTACACCCCGCGGCTCCCGCGCCTGAGAGCGAACAAAACGCCTTTGAAAGCGGAACAAACACCTTGGCTGGCTTTCCAATACAGAAACTCCTTCAAAGAATCGATGCCGCCCTCTTGGTTCTCAAGTCATGCAAGGGAGACGAGATACTCTGCCATAAGCCTTGGGCGCAGTTACATCCCCAGGGGAATGTGAACAGTCTTCGAGATGCTATGAATACCCGGTGGGACGAAAAGTACGATGACCTGCACTCTAACTATAAAGTTGGGTTTACGCAGTGTTACAAGAACGGCAAGATCGATGTCGAGGCTGAGGGGCCGCAGTGGACGAAAACGGGGCCGAAACCTGGAAACCAAAACTTGGTATCCTTCACCAACGAAAACGATCCTGATAAATGGGCTGTTTCAAGCAACGACACAGACGTCGATGAGAAATGGACAGTAGGGAAAGATGGCGAAGAAGAGGGCTGGTGGGATGATTGGGAGTAAGCGGGCACGCACGTCGTCGATAGAGAGTGAGAAAGAAAAGGGGAAGAGGATTATCTTTAACTACAGCTGCCACAGATTTTCATGAGCCCTAGAAAACAAGCGAAATTCTGTTAAACATCACGATGCATCGAAAGTCAGCAGAGACGCACCTGTGGATTCGTCAAACACGCCTGGCTGAGACTGGCCAAGACTTTGGGTCCTCTTGGCTATCAAATAGGTGAGGTGTGAAAAAAGATTATTTGTCTGCCGTGTGATTCCGTCAATGCTTTCGTTATAAAATCGCAAGAGGCGATCTTCAGTGGCGATCCGATCGATGAGTTGGTGTGAAAGGGCTGGGGTTGCCTTCTTTAGCTTTGGATATTCCTGTTTGGCGTATTGTCACCATTCGCCTTACATATGCTGTGACCAATCTTACTAGCCACGATGCCTTCATGTCTCCACGTCACCGCCCTGTCAAGAATAAGTCGGGTAACTGGATCATACAGGCAAGATTTCGATTTCGATTCAGACGACCCTTTGCTGAGTACGCTGGAGAATCAAAGCACAACACAACATCTTTCAATTCCCGTTATGTTACACGTAGAACAGCAGTGAACTCGCTCTTCCCGCATTACGGCGCCAATGAAGCTGAGTAATGCTCAACACCATCAACAACCAATAAGACGAAGACTGACTTTTTTCCAACTCCTCGAATTAATCTATCAAAAACTACATTTTTCTCAAGTGGAGAGGGCGGAATAAGTACAAGAAAAGTAGGAAACAGTATCGCGAGCCCTGGTCTCCGCAAATGCACGTTTCTTGCTTCTACCAAAGACGTGTGTTCCAAAAATGAACTAATTAATAAGAAGGGGGCGGGGTGAATTGGAGCACTATTTGATCCAGCCCGCCGCCCTAGCCTTGGCCTCGATCGCGGCACGTCTCTCTTCAATCTCTGCGTTCCGCCTCTCCTGCTCGATGCGCTCACGCTCCATCCTCCTTGCATCCTCCTTCTTGATCTGATCGTACCTTCTTATGGCGATGTCCTTGGCTTTGTTGTCGGAGAAGAGGAACTTGAGCCCCTTCTCGATGACGTAGCAGCACACGTAGTCGAATACCATGACGCTTGTAATCATGACTTTGAAATCGTACGTAAAGGGGACGAGACGGAGCTTCTCGTTGATCTCGGGGATGAACTCGGTCGCGCAGCTAAAGGCAACACCACTGACGGTGACGAGACCCCAGAACATACCCTTGTTCTCGCGGATGGACTCGCGGAAGGGACGACCTTGGTAGTTGATGGAGAAGGTCGAGATTTGCTGGATGAGCTGCAGGAGGTAGATGGCAGAGTTGAGGAGGGAGGGCTCGAAATCGCCTTCGAGGTCGATCATAGACTTCTTGGGTTCGGTGCGCTGGACGTATTGGGAGACATAGATGAGAGTAACGATGTGAATAGCGAATTGCCCGAGGACAGATCCGATAATGTACAAGTTGAAGATGTTATGTTGGGGTCGCTCTTTCGAGAGCGCTTCGACAGGCTGTCATGTATTAGTGTTGATCGTTCTTGAAAGTCATCATTGGCACGTACCTTGGCTCGTGAAATCGACAAGAAACACACGCTCATCATCATTCCTGATATGGTGTGCTGGCCATCACCAAATTTGATGCCGTCCAAGTAGAGAACGGACAAACTGTATGCCGAGATCAAGCAGTTGAGCGCCAAGATCTTGTACATCTGAATCGTTGCGACAAGAGTGCATCGCCCTTGACGGATGATGTTGGGAATGGCGACGACGTTGGCCAGCTTAGAGGTGAACGGAGCGGCGACTGAGGCATCACCAAGCTTGATTGTTGGTGGCTCGCTATCCAATTCTGCGAGCTCAGACTCCATCATCTTCTGAGTGAACTGATCGGCGAGACCAGCGGCACCTTGTTTGGGCGTTTGCTTCTCAGCAACTGCGGTGTTGGTTGCCGCTGGATCCGCACCGTTTGCGGTTGGGGGAGCAAGGCCCTTGGCTTTTGCCTGGTTCTCCACAGCCTTCTCGTAGTGAGGGTTGCTGGGGCCAGGGGGATAGAGATGGGCAATAACGATCGGCACCGGAGGCGCGGGCTGGTTGAATCGTTTCATGAGCTGAACCTGCTTCTCATACACTTCTTTCATCTTGGTATTGCGGAAATGCTCTCCAATCTTGTTGAGGTCATCTTGGGTGCCGTTCAATAGCGCAACACCAATATCTGCCTGCTTGAGAGCGCCGACGTCGTTTGTTCCGTCGCCGCACATAAGAGTGGTGTAGCCGCATTCCTTCAGACCGATGAGGATATCCTCTTTTTGCTTCGGCGAAACTCGGGCATAGACCCATGTGTAGCGGAGGAGTTGCTTGAAGCTGGGCTTGCCGAAGAACTTTGAGAGAGCGTATCCAGTAACGCAGATGTCGTTGGTCTTCAAGAGGTTGAGGTCCAGATCTTGGTTAGGGTCAACCGCAACATTAACCTTGTCGTCAACGCTGCGCCAGACAATCTTCTCGCCAGAATCATCGTTCTCGGGTGCATCAAGGATCAAGCATTCACGATCGACAATCTCGACTTGTTTAGCGACGTGGACGGCGGTAAGCGGGTTGTCACCAGTGATCATGACCACACGATGGCTAGACTCGTTCAACATGCGGACAGCCTGGAGAGCATCATCCTTGAGAGGGCACTGGAGAATAAGAAATCCGGCAAAATGAAGCTCGGACTCCACCTGCTCGCGCTTCAAGTCGTTGATACGGCCCATTCCTAATTCAGCTTCCTGGGAAAGATATTTGTAGGCGAGAGCGAGGACACGGCCGCCATTCCTGGTGTAGTGCTTGAACGTTTCCTCGTAGTTTGGCGGGGCATTGACCAACATCTTACGGATCGTTTCGGGGGCTCCCTTGACAGCAACGAAGGTGCTCTTGATCCTACGCTTGCTCTTCTTATCGTTTACAAGAACAGTGGCAACGGAACTTTGGCGCTTGAGGGCGGATGAGAACTGGAAGCGACGGCGGATCTGTACCAACTCGGCATGTGATTTGGCAGAGCTGGTCTTTGGTTGAAGAGTGTCCGAAGCACCAAGAGACCAACCGAGCGAAGTGAGGGTGGCCTTTTCCATGGGCTCACCAACGATGTCACCTTCGTCTAACTTGACAAGAGCATGAGCAGTGGCCAGGACAAGAGTAGTCTCGGTTCCGACTTGGTCGACAGCGCTGAGATCGATATGAGCTCCATCGGGGCCAACTTGAGCTCCAGGTTGTCCGAGCGTAAGTCCAGCGATACCGTCCACGACGAGATCCTCACCAGTCAGGGTACCAGTCTTATCGAAGCAGGCGACATCCACGCGTCCAGCATAGGGAATACGGAAGGGTTCGGTACAGAAGATGGCATACTTGCTCAAGGCCGCAAGACTGGTGTTGACAGCCAAGCTCAGCTCCATGGGCAATTCCGGTGGCACGACGCTGGTGACGATCAAGATGCAGTCGAGCATAAGCTTGGAGCGCTTGCGATCCTGCTCCACACCCTTGACCCAGACATACCAGGAAGCGGCGATGGCGAAAACACAGAGGAAGAGAATAAAGAACAAGGCCTCGACGTTGTTTGCAGAGACGGGTTGGGTAGAGTAAATCATGGTCCTGACGAGGCTTCCCTGGCTGGTCTCGAATCCAGTTTTCATCACAACCGCGATGGCACCCTTGTCCGGCGGCGGTGGAACATTAGAGGGGAGCTTAGCGGCCGAGGCGTTCTCGTCTTGCGCTGTGTTTCCATGGGAGACTTGAAGAACTTTGGTTCCTCCGTAGAGGAACGCGTTCTTGTCAAGCCCTTCGGGTTCGATGGTTGCGTCACCAGGACGCAATTGAACAGATTCTTTGAGCATGGGTGTGCTCTCTCCAGAAAGCATAGCCTCGTTCACAATAGCAGAGCCTTCGAGAAGAAGCATGTCGCAAGCAGCACCGGAATCCTCCTTGGTTCTGCCGACGCTGACAACATCGCCGGGCAACAGTTTGTCGCTCATAATCTCTTGCCACTTCTTCTGTCGGTAAACAAGGATTTCGTATGGTTTGATGCTCATGCCACGGAACTCATTCAAAGTCCTCTGGCGCTGCCAAACGACCGTACTTTCAAACATGACAAGCATGAAGAGAGTGAACAGCGAATAGTACCAAGAATCGTCCAACATCCACAAGCCAACACAAAAGACTTGAAACACGAAGAACGGCGCAACAGCGTGGTCCTTGAACAACTCCGTAAAAGTAGGCACGGGGATATCAAAGCTGTTGTCTCCATAATGATGCTGTAGCTTCTCGATCTCCGCCTGGCTCGTCAAGCCTCTTGTCTCCTGGAATGTCTGAAGCTTCGGCTTGGGATCGGCATCGAGAGGGTAGGAAAGAGGGGCGAAGGAGCCATTCTCCGGGTCGTAGAGAAACCGGCGTTTCTGGAAAAGGAATGAGATGGTCTGTTTCCCATCAACGGTTTCGCGGATCAAGGGGCAGATTTCGGCGGCGCCGGCGTTGGCGGCGGGGAGGACTTTGACAAGCTGGGCGGTGCGTACGTCGCGTGCGGACGAGGTAGTGAATGCGCTTCTAACATTGACATTCCAGTGAGTGGAGAGCCAGGTGAGAGCCTGGATGGTACAAATGCTGCCGACCCAAACGAAGGTCCATTCTGACGACTGGATGTGCTTTTCGTAGCGTTCTTCAGAGAGATAAAAGGAGAGGAAGATGGGCCAGATGACGAGGAATGGCCAGACGTATGCGTGAAGTTGCAAGGGCAGCGGCGAGTGCAAGCTCGCCTGCTTAATTTGCGCGTTGTCGACAAGCGGCATCGTGCTGTGGTGAGGTGGTCGATGTCGAAGGTCGAGATGTCCGGATTTTTGGAGTCGCATCCTACAAGTTAATCAATCTGTCCCCCGCGCGCCACCGCCACGTTTCTCACTAGCCACACTTGAGCTAGTCTACAATAGGTAATCTCTGATGCGATATTGGTTCGATGGCCTTCCATCTCCACCTACTTTGATCAAGTCAATACGTGTTCAGAATGTCGTATTAGTTATCTTTTCAGGCTTAGCTCATGTGCATGATCGTACCTTGTAGATAAATCGTCTTGATTCATTTTGTCTTGCAGGCATACCGCAGATGTTTGCCACCGAACCACCATATATTCCCCCACAAACTACCATCCATCCGTCTATTCATCCCGTATAGCCCCAGCGAGCAATGACGTCTCCACACTCACTAAACTCATCAAGAAATTCTTATAAAGCAAAGGACCCATGGATTGCTGCTCGAGTCCGCACGCGGCAGTCGTCGGAACCATCGGAAGTCAACGGAAACGCCATCGATCGGTCCAACCGCGTGCATGAGAAACCTCAAGCAGGGGATTCGCCAGAATCCCCAGGAACTCCCATGTGCAAGCCATGATGTGCGAAACTAACAATCGGCTTGTGATGACGGTTCAAATCGTATGTATTGTTCGGTAAGTGGCGTTGCGTGCTTGGAATTTGCAACCCGTGGTTCCCAGTTGGTTCAACGGGCGGTTGCTTCTTCGCTGTACTTATACCTCCTTTTTATTCTAGGTACTTAAGCATATGCATCTACTATCTTCATTGCATTCTTCTTCCACTCGCTCGATGCGAGGTGGTCTTTGCGTATAAATTCTCACCTCCTATGTATCTCATTGTTGTTCCTAATCAACTCTTCAGAGCTGGTGGAAGCACTATTTCTACGCGCAAGGTCGTTTCGGACACTGCAGACCTACCGTCGATACTAAGAAAGACATTTTCACTTCCACAGCCCCATTTTCCGCCGCAAAAATATACGTAAAACAAACCTCGAGAGTCCACGACCTTCAAAAAACTTGGAACAACATCCACAAAACTATCATATCCAGTCAGAGCCATCGGGCCAGCCCCTCAAACGGCTTCCATCAAAAAGGTCCCCTGCTAGATTTACCTACCAACGAACTCCAAACCACAATGTCTACCCTTCTCACCGCCATCTTTCTCCTTTTTTGTCCGCTCCTCGTCTTCCCAACCCCACTCACCCCAAAACCTCCTCTAAAACATTTATACGCCTCCCTCCGCGACCCTCCATCCCTCGTCCCCTCGTCATCGTATATAGTCCATCTTCGATACAAATTCCACAGAGCATACTACTGCTACCTAATCACGTTTTCTGGTTACATGCTCAGCGATGAAGAGCGCCTGGTTCTGGATTTTTCTATCCTCTTATTGGCCGTGGTGACGGTGTGGGTTTGGTGGGTTTTGGGTGGGATATTGGCGAGAAGTTTGTTCGGTACGAGACTAGGGACTGAAGATGAAAGAACAACGATTGGTTTGGGCGAGATTGGAAACTGGAGTTTTGGGGGGCAGGTGGGGAGCTTGGGTAGTGATGGGGTTGTTGTGTTTGGAAATTAGGGTGGAAGGGGGGACGTCAATTAGATAGACTGATCAAGGTCAACTTCCATGTATTGTTTCTGGTGATGATGGGAGAGGAAGGAGCTAAGAGATGGATAGTGGTTTGTGATGGTATGAAAAGAAGGGGTCTGAGAAATGAGATTGTTAACTCGTGTTACGAACCTACACATCTCGACCAAAAAAATGTGTCCAGGGCGAATGCATAGATCACCAAAGTTCGTTGGACTTCAGGTTATGGGATCTATCACAGGAATCATATCTAACTAACAACTTCGAAGCGATGATCAATTCTACATCTCGATTCAGTGCAACTTTCTTCGACAATTCACGCTTTGGTGCTAACATTGGAGTATTACCAATGATGAATAGGACTGAAGCAAAGAGGCGCATCTTCGATTGGCGTGATGCGCCTTCGGTGAATGTGTTGGAGAAGAATCTAAGAGCCGTAAGCATTAGGTCTTGATTCGGGCTAGGATAGATGTTAGTTGGAAGTGTTCGTGAAATCATCCAATAATACCACGTGACTATCAACCGACCTGTACACCAGTCGCACGCGGTTCCAGATTTTCTTGGTCGCAAGCGAGCTAGAACATCGATAATCTAATCTAGGATGCTTTTGCTATCATTTCGCTTCCCCAATGTAATTCAGTCAATATAGGCTGCAACACCAGAAATTTTTGAACGGCATTGATCTTATGGAAATGGCCATATGTAATCACAACTTCAATTCATGATGTGGCTAGACTGCGCTAATCAGGCTCCATGTTTGGACAACATCTTCAGCGTGAATCGGTTGACAGTTTCATTCATTTTGAAATGCTTCAGATCTTGACCGCTGTTCGTCCTATTATGGCTGATTAGACATAAAACAAACGTGTCATGAAATACCCAAACACAATATGCGTGATTATTGTGCTTCTCATTTTTTTCAACGCCAAACACTTACAGCCAGTGTAACTGAACATACGCCAATTGATTTGAGGCTCATGCTTCTTTGGATGTGGATCGTGGGTCGCCATCTTGAATTGTATCTGAGGTTTGCATAAGAACCGCCCTAAAGTCAAGTTGAATGAATGTAAATTGGATAATCATCGTTTTATACGTCCACTATTCTTTTGGTACGAACAAAACTTTGCAGTATAAGCACACACTAGTGCCTGTATAACTATTTGTTAGTCTAGCGGGCTCTTGAACTACAAGCTTTTTTAGTGACGCAGAATACGAGGATAGCCTAACTGGTTATAAGAATTTGCAACTTGTACAGTTTTTAGAGTTCCATACTATGAATAGTTAGTGGATTGAAGGGATTCAAGAACCTGTGAACGTTATACGGATATAACAGTGCCGTGGCAGACATGATAAAACTGTTCAAGCTTCCAAGTCTGGATGACAGCTTGTCATCTTCTCTACTATAACCCCGAAGATCGCGAATTATACAGCATTATGTATTATGAGGCGACGATATCACTTTCATCTCTGTACGAATAGACAAATGAAAATTCAGTAGCTCGTCCCAGTTTGATTCATCCAAGTAAAAACATTCGCTTTGGGTTCTGTGTATGTTTTATGTGTCTTACAACCATCACTAGAGAGGGACGATGACAGGCGAATTGGTTCTATCACGAATGTAAAATCCTCTCCCTGGTATCCTGAAGTTGTGAATGACCGTCAACATAACAATCAACATCTGGTTGCGGTCTGTCAGGCCTGCGTATACCTCGTCACTGTTTCACTATAATCTCGCTCAACTGATACAGATAAAGCAACAGCCCAAAGGAAATTCTCGCGGCTTGAGCTACAAGAAACTATCGGTGATTATAGATTACGGGAGGAGCGGTTGAGTGAGCATTCGTGGCTTCCCTGCCACGGGTTACTAGGAGCATTAGCGCGACTCGCACCCTGAGGTTCTTATCTTAACTTTTGCTGTCTGAAATTTGTTTCCCCATGATTTTGCGAGCTATCTCGTCTCGTCGGTTGCCAAGTCGAGAGACAAGATATCAACGAACTGTCTGTCTACTCAGTTCGCAATGTGTCTACGCTTGGACTGTTAGTGTGGTCGACCTTGAGACAGGGGGATCAAAGACGCAGAACCCAACCTGAAGTCATGCTTGGCCTCAGATACTTCTGCGGACCCACAAATGAATTCTGCCAACACAAAAAAGACAATAAAAACACTTGATGGCTATCTCAATCGCCGCCCCAAACGGTCGAAGAATGCACTACCGTCCCCGAATGAGTACTCGGGCACAGGCGTCTGGTCACACTACTCCAGTAACGAACCGGAGGCGCCCGATAAATCTTACGGGATTATAGATTTCGACCTCATCCAGACATTACCGACAAGCCAAGACAGCAAGTATTTGAGACACGCGGGGTCGTATACAGCCCTGACAACGGCCGTATTGAATGAAGAACTGGCCGGATCGTGCGCCCTACGCAGGGCCGAATGGCATTATCTAGAACGCATATGTATCCATGTTCTGTGTTCGATGAACCTTCGCATCCTCCACGCTGTGTAGAGGGGGGACAAATCTCGAGCATGTCGGGTGGATGCGACCACGAGAAGCCTACTACAATTTCTCATGCCTAACCACCGCGGAATTGACCAAGAAAGCATTCAGCCCGTTATTCATTGTAACATTCTGGTAGACGAAGATGGATTCGGTCTAAATGCATCACAGCGTTAACGACTTACAGAGGGTCTGGAATGCTACATTAATGTTCGCGAGCGAGATGAGGATTGCGACTAACGCGCGGAGTGTTGATGTGAGGCGAGCGCCGCATAAATGGAGTCAATCAAAATCTAAAGCCGGACACTGCAAATATCTTGGGGACGATAACCCCATACAGGATAGGGTGCAGGATGTCGCCTTGTTTTGCGAAAAGCTACGCCAGAATACAAACAATAACCCAGATAACTTGTCACCTTTACCCACTACGAGAGGTTGGGTACACGAAAGAGGCGACTGAACGGTTACAACGCCATGAAAAACACGAAAGCAGCAAAGCGCTGACGAATCTGATCCAAGTCGTATGTGAGGTTGAGTTTGCCTCCAGGTTCAGACTAGACCAATTCGTCCTCGCGTGGATTTTCGAGGCAGACCAAGCCCTAGTTGCAAAGATCATAATCACTCATCTCGCCCGGGGGTATGTTGATTCGGGTGTCGATATGAATGCACGCGACGTTGGTCGAAGCAATAGCAGTGCCTGGACATTCTCAGAGAAAAAAATGGATGATCTCAAACAGGAAGTCCCCGAAAAGAGTCCCTTCATATATAACTTTAAATGGGAATGTGAAAAGCTGAGACAGCTTGGCGTGGAGAACGAACAAGAGCTGGAAAGGGAACGCCAAAGGAACATTATGGAATCCAAAACTCGTCTAGAGGAGACTCTCGTGGTAGTCCACATTTTTAACGAGTTGCAAAAGGAATGTAGCCTGCCGGGTGATTTGTGAGTCTGTTGCCTTTAGATACTACTGCTTCGCCATGAGTGTGTATTGCTCATGTCATCTATGGCAAGCTTGATGAGGCATGAGTGGAGATCAAACGAATTTCGAACTGCGCTTGAATGAAATATGAACTCAATTGGCCTTGACCTCAATTTTCCTTCTTCCGAAGTGTGAAAAGAATCCATCCATGCTTTTCAACTCCTCTTCGGATAAAAAACCGGTCACATCGCCGCGCTTCCAGCGCGTGAATTAGACTCCCGATCTTGTCTTCGTGTCACTTAAAGCCTAAGATGCCAATACGGTGCGCCGCGTTCACAGACGAAAATTTATAGCTGCCTCTGACGGGACTGAAGCCAGAATGCTAGGCATTGAAGAGACCGAAATTGTACTGGCCTTCCCGGTAAAAAATAACTTAGGGACGTATACGTCCTTGAACCGGAAGCGGAACTTTGTTTTTGCTAATCTGCCTCTGTAAGACTTTGGGTTCAAGGTACAGTGCAGTATAATGTTTCAAATGCTTCCTTCGACGATGCATAGTTCATCATTCAAGACGAGTTTCTCACAGCGTCGAATTGGCAGTCAGTCGACGAAAATAACTGTGGGAACACAAAAACTGCATATGCGATCCTGGACGCCTTTGAAGTAGCTTCCAATGATTTTAATCTCAATGATGTGAATTGACCTAGCATAAATGTGACCACTATATATTACCTAGCTATATCAAGATGCGTTAGTTATGTACAACACCGAGCATAGACGTTGGCACCTAATAGTAGAAAGTGACCTATCCCCATTTAGGATGAAGGTCAAGTTGTTAAATAGACACCTCATATGTAATATCTAATACTATCTTTTCCTTGCGGATTTTGGAGTGATGTTGGAGTCAAAGAGAGCGTTTTCGATGTGTATCTGAGTACTGAAGTAATGTGCGATTGTAGTCAATGGTGTAGTGAAATAGATGGGGCTAGATTATACACAACCATTAGCTTCCATACAAAGGCAGCTCAACGTGCAGACAAAAGTTATTTGTCGATAAATACCTTATACATCAACTCATCTGTTCCGCTATCTGCAAAAGACTTATTCTGATCAAGATATCCACAAAGTATCTAAGCTTCTCTTGAGAACTGAAGGTACTGTTGGGATGTTTCTGACCTTTTTATCCCGGTTCAACAAGAACACACAACCTGAAAGCCTTATTATATCAGATCTCCCCAGCTTTTCTTTAAGAGTTAGTAACATTTCATCGAACATTATCAAGTCGAGTCCGGCGCAATGATTATTTACCTGCATTTACCTTAATTTGGATAACGGCATCATTAGTGAAGAGAATATTAGCCGATAAAGTTGTTACGCAGGGAAGATGTGAAAGTTCAATTTTCCTCGTTTGCTATTGAATTTTCACATGGAAAATATTCAGAAATTGAGAAAAAGGAGAAGCTTCAGCAATGCAGGATCAAAAACTCCTTCCCCGAACTCCTTCTACTCAAAAATGCAACATGTGAACTTGTGTGACAAAGGCCATTGCGATGAATGAGATCCGGCACACGCACCGGCTCACAGCACATACATGCCATCATACCACGGATCTTTATATCTATAAGCGCTCACATGCAACCGATCCCAATGAGAGCCCCGAGCCGAAATCATCTCGTCCAAATGCCTCTCCCACAACGCCTGACCCACTACCCCAAACCACTCAACCCACACAACCATAGCCAAAGCGACACAAAAGAAAAAAGGAAACGATATCACGCTTCTTCCACCCGCGATCCATTTGTTGCCAAAAATCGCCACTTTTCTCATCCGCCAGGGCAGGAGCCGCGCTAAGAAGGACTCGCCTGCGAGGAATCGAGAGCAAAACGACGTGAGGATCATCATGACGCTTATGTATGGTAGGAGAGGAGTTTTGAAGATACCTGCCCTCGCGTACGGGCTGGCTGAGGAGGGCGAGAATCCCGTGATGTCGGAATGGCCGATATGAGAAAAGTCTATGATGTCTTTGGTCTTTTCATGCAGGAGCCAGAAGAGGTTGAGGAAGTCGGGGTTGAGGTAGGCCATGAACGCATCTATACAGGAGATTGAGGTGTGTAAGAAAATAGCGCCCTCCATGCTGTACTGATCGTGCACTGGGAAGAAGTGGTCGAGACGAGCTATTTGGCGGTTGTTGTATGCTTCTAATCTGTGGCAGATTGACCTTAGGGGTGAGGTCGTGGAAGATAGTTGGTGCTCTGCGCTCATGTAGGAATGCAGCGGATTATCGGGAATATGTACAATTGTTGTTGATGATGATGAAGATGTCGAAGAAGATGGTTGGGTGGACTCAACAACGTCTGCCGTTGACGCTGTGTCAAGATGCCATCGCCACTCCAGGTTGGTCAAGGCGAGGAGCATACAATTCACCACCGCCGCCATACCGCCAACGACCAGATGGAAACTACGCTGGTCGATAAATGTGTATGAGTTCCAACGGTCGCCAAATGTAGTTCTAGCTCGGTAACGTATCCCAAAGCTCGCCATGTACTGGGCGAGAAGCGGAACAAGCATGCCGAAGCTTCCGAACCATCGCAAGCTATATCTCATTCTACTGTAGCGAAGATGAGCCGGATCGACTGCGTGCACAGGGACGATGCACCTGTCTCGCGTTATATGAACATGACTCCCGAGACAGCCAGTAACCCAGTGCGAGAACGAAAAAGTTGGTCTCCGATACTCTTGCACGCTAGCTCTGAAGATGTGCAGACATAGCTGTCCCAACGAAATTTCCGGGACGAGGAAAAAAAGAACAAGCAAGAGCAGAGCACGTGGAGGGTGAGCGGTAACTCCCTGCATACTCAAAAGCCGGCCATATGAAGCGAGTGAGATGATGTGGATTCCCAATGATCGTATCAAGACCTCCTTGAAAGTGCGCTCTGATGCATCATCCGCCTTCAAGAACGACGACAGGCACTCGTATACCGCCTCGTCTTCCAGTTCGCGACAAATTTGAATCACGTGGCGGAATTGAGACCGGCTTAGATTCGACATCGTGAATATTTCGCTAAACTCCGAATTCCAAGGCGTGAAGGAAAGGAGATCGATATGGTTGGTATTGCGGTCACTTAAAATGATTCTCGGCAGAAGCACTAAGTCTATTATTTGATTATCGCATTATTCATGCGGCACAAACACTTGGTATTGAGAAATCCCACGATAAATCTGCCTTTGAGCTCTAGCCAGGACACATGTTCCGTGGTTATCACGAACTTGGCAGAAGCACATCCCAGCTGCAACCCCATCGGCGAAGCCGGGATATTACATATCGATTAGCTGCAGCGAAAGTGCATAAAACATAATGCTTTGTGGCCATTCCTCTCACTGTCTTGATTAGAATACAATTTGGTCCCCGATGCGGTCGGTGGTGTTACGATTACGCGGTCGCGGCAGGCTGAAACACCATGTACAGATGTGCTCTTGGACCCCAATAGTCATTCCATCGCGTTAGAATGCGTCAATTCCAAATAGTAAGTTGACCAATAAACGTCCAAGCAATCCAGATATCGAGTCTACTGCCACTTTAATGATTACGACTCTTATTTAATGCTCTTGAGGGAAGTGATAAAGTAATAGAACGCAAGAACTTGATATCGACATAAAGATAGTGATCCCTGAGCCCAGAGAAAACCATGGGAAATGGTGTAAGAAAAACAAGACTCACACAACCTACGTCTATTCTCTATCCAGTCTATATATAAACCGCATTCGATCCTCGAGCAGCGACATCAGATTCACTCTCATCCACCGAGTCACACTCCCTAGATATCTAATAGGTAGGAACAAAAAGAAAATAGAGACAATTATCTTGCACCACTTCTTTTATTAGTCTAACATCTCGGACATGATGACCATCTATCCAGTAATAAATCTCGATGCACGAAATTCAAAAGACCCACCAATCTCCACCCAATCAAACTTTGCAACTTTTTTGAGGAGAGGGGGGGACGTATTCGCAGTAGATTCCCATTAGAAAAAAAAAGGAAATGTCAGACTACTCGGCTATCTGCCTGATGCAGCAGCCCTACTCTTCTCAGCGAAACGAGGCACACATCCCATACCCCCCAAAAAAGGAAAACATTCGCAAATGGCATGCCCAAAGAAGAAATCATATCCAAACGGCATTTCAAATGCCGGTGAAAGAAGCACCCCCACCCCACCCTAAACGCACAGCACAGCAAGTTGCGTGCCTTAGTGAAGGACCGAACCCGCACCAGAAAGAACCCTTCCTAACCCCCATCGTTTCCAAACTGCAGGTGAACCACCAAGACTTGCTGTGGGGGCCAAACATGAATCCCTCCATCGTCGTCCCTCAACCCCAACCCCAACCCCAGCCCCAACCCCAGGAACCATCCCACAAAGCTGCGCCACACTCCCTCGCCTTCTGCCAACTTATCCAGTAAGATGGCGAGCCTTAGTCCTCCATGCGCTTCATGTAAGGCCAGCCTCAGACCAGTAGGCCCCCACAGAAGGTATAGGCTACACAGGACACGAGAATTGTGGCTCGTGGTGCCATGGGGTGCAGGCCGAGTGGAATCATGTTTTTCATGCGCGGTAAGTCATTCGGTGTCACTGTTTCTGAAGGTGCTGAGCGTGCGTGCGTGCGTGTGTGAATGTATGTCTGCCTACTTCATGTACGGCAGGTTGCATGAAGGTGTATGTTGCCTGTTTGCCGCTGCAGAGTGTGTACTGCCGCACGGGGTTTGATCTTGTTTTCCTGGAGTCCGAAGGGACGGTTGAAACAGAGGGAGGGAGGGAGGGGTATTTACCCGCGCGGCGCGGCCTTGGTTTGTGTTGTTTCGTCCGCCTGCTGCTGGTCTGGTTGCTGCGGGCAATGCCTGCCTGCCTGCTTGCCTGCCTGCGGGCGTTCCAGGAAACATGGCATTGCATATCCTCGAGGGCGACATGCGCATATGCGCGGTAGTTGGTGAGCATGCACGCGGGGATGAGGGACTCGTGTCAGATAGATGAAATGTGTAGTAATAACGTGATTTGATTGACTCGAAAGGCCATCGAAGCCTAAAAAGCTGACCTCATGGATACGGACAAGACCAAAAAGGAAGGGGAATCTCAGAATAGGATAGAGTGGAAAAAAGAAGACAAGAATAGATAAAGTAGGTAGATAGACGAAATGAGAGAAGAAGGAAATGGGACGAGAAAAAGCTCGAAAAAGGTTGGTGGAAAAGGCGGACCCCCGATGCGGACATTGTTCCCTCCCTCCCAAGAAAACGACCTAATGCATACCCATGGCTCCTACGTAGATGCAAGGATGGTGGAAAAAAGAAAGCCAGAGAACGGGAGGAAAATGAAACCACCAACCGGCAAAGCCCCCATGGCAAAACGAAACAACTAAAGCTCCGAAATGAAAAACGGTCATTGGCGAGGGGCCAGGGGTGGTGAAGGATGTAGGCTAAGGAAGTAAGATCGAGCGCCTCGCCAAACGAGCAGCCGACTGGGGTATTAGTGGTGATGCAACCGAAAAATGTAAGAAACATGATAATGCCCCGAAATGAACGCCAGAGAAAATGCTGTATTGCCATCCGAAGCCCGAAAGTGTCCGACATGCCATCATGATAAGTTTCGTAGGTGTAGGAGAGGTGGGGATGGAGGGGAAGTTGATGGTGGTGGTGGTTGCATGTCTGCAGCAGCTGACTCCATTATGGTGTACGCCGTGACCCCGATGGATGAATGCCGCCCGATAAGAAGAAAGCGCAATGTATCGAGTATATCGTCTAACGCAAGCGCCGCCGTCCGAGGGTATTGGGTGTGAATGATGCGATCCGGTGCCGACCGTGATGAGTGACAAAGTGTAAGAAAGAAGAGACCAGGCCTGGCGAGCGAGGACTGAAAATAGAAGAGATTGTGGACGGAGGATGGGCGTGGGCAAGGGTGAGAGAAGGAGCGTGCGCGCGAGTGAGGCGAGGCAGACTGCGAAGACGAGGTGGATGTGTGGTGGAGGTGGTGATGCCCGATGTGGTTAGACGCCGCAGGATCATGCGGACGCCGAGCAGATCACCCGACGTACATTGGCACCACCACCACCACCACCACCACCACCAAAGGCGATGATACTTGCTGCTCCACCATCAGATGCGCGTGGTATGCTGGCCGTAGGCCTGGTACGGGTTGTCGGCGAGCACTTGGCTTTGGTCGGCTGTGACGTTGGAGCGTTGCATCTGTTGCATCGAGTGCGCCGCCCCAGGCACTCCCGGGGCGGCAGAGGCGTTCATGTAGCCGTAGTCCCACGATTCGCGTCCCGTCTGGCCATGCCCTGGTGTGTATTGCGCTACTTGGCCATGTGTACCGCCTCGCCAGGGAGTCATCCCCGCCAAGCCGTGTCCAGATGATCCTCCGCCGAGTCCTGCTGATGCCTTGAGGTTTGGGGATAGGCTGGTCGACGAGAGAATGGGTGTGTACGCCGTCGAAGCTGTCGAGCTCGCTGTCGATCGCGGCGAAGTGTTGCGATGCCCATCCCCTGCGCTCTGCGATACCCCCACCGGCACGTAGCTGGAATGCGAGCCAGCAGGCAACGAGCCAGCTGCCGCCGTGGACGAGTAGTTGGCCGTCTAAGCACATGTTAGCTTCGCGCTGTGCCGCACTGATGGATGTGATGAAACCTACATATTTGCTGATAATCTTCTTGAGTGCGTGAGAAAGTATCTTCCAAGGGAACACCTTGACGTCCTTCTCGATGTTGCGCGGTTTCGGATTCGGGAAGCCCATGATGACTTTGAAGAACTCGGTGCTGTCCTCCTTGGCTTTGGATACCGTCAGTGGCCGGAACCCTTCGAGGTTGCGCCGGATGCGATTCTTCTCCTCCACAGTAAACCGCACATTGACCAGCTGTTCCAGCAGGTAGATGGTGTCCACGCTGGTAATGAAGTACTCGTTCTTCTCCTGCCACCAAATGCAGCTGATGCAGATGCTGCGCGGCGGTCGCGCCTCGAGTGTTATGGGAGCAAACTTGGTGCTGATGGTGCTGCCGTGCTGCGACCTCTTAAACTCCACCAGACGCCGCCTCGTCTCCTGCTCTTCCCGCGTCCAGTTCTCCGTCATCGTATCCAGATCACCTTCGATTTTGAGCGCTGCTTTTGTCGGGTACATCAGGTACGGGTTGAAAGGCTGGCCCGCAGGAGCACTGCTCGCTTGAGAGACTGTTGTTGCGCGCACCAGAACAGGCGTTGGCAGTAGCGAGGAAGACGATGGTAGCACGGCCGGCTTAGATATACTACTATTCTTTCCAGTATGGGACATGGAGCTGTAGCTGCCGTACGATGGGAGACTTGGAGAAATCTGTGGAGGTTTCATGTCTGCCTGTCCCAGATTCGTGTTAGAGGGCAAGGCATACAAGCCCTTTGCCGACATTGGCGGAGTGTAGCTTCCTGGCTTGGAATAGTCGTACCCGCCGCCATAGCCGTAAGTGTTGGTAAGAGATGATTGCGTGGGAAGTGGGGACATGGACGAGGTCGAGTACGCATTGGATACGGACCGCGGCTTCGCTTGGAATCGAATCGAGTTGTTTCTTTTTGTCGCGTTCTCCGAGTATTCCTGGCCGTCGGAAAAGTCGCTCGAGAATTTGCGTTTCTTGACGAGCTCCGGAGAAGGGTGGTACGTTAGGCCAGGAGACATGTCTGTGAAGGTGAATCTGCCTGCGTCGATTTCGTTGAACAGCCTCCCGTTCTTGTCCTCCATTTGCAGCTTGAGCATCATGGTCGGATCCCAGGAGTTGGTGAGAGGAAACGGAGGAACTTCGACGCTGAGGGCATAGTTGTAGAACTCGTCATCGGGATCCATCTTCTGAAGTGCGGTGGGGCACTTCTTGGTCCCGAACATGAGGGAGAAGGATGGTTGTTGATAGGGAATGGTTAGGTTTTCCTTTGATCGGATGTGGAGTAGAACAGTAGAGCCAGCGGTACCTTGGGACGGCGTAACGTATTTTGTTATTTCCGATTCAGTGATGGGAGGTGCAGCGGGATGACGAGATCTTGCATCAATAAATGAGGGTTCTGCTTGGTAGGCTCCCGCGCCGCGTGACGAGAACGGCGAACTGGGGACCAAGGGCAGCCCTTGGGTCGCGAGTTCATGCGACGAACGCGTATGCGCGTCGGTGTATTGCGAGGCGAATGAAGGCTGTGTAATGCCTGCATACGTCGCAACCTGATTCGGTCTTGTGGTCTCGGCGTCTGGAAGGGTGGGCATGGTCAGTCTAACTTGCTTGCTAACGCTTCTCACGTGGGCCAGCTCGGGAACCATCCGACCTGCCCGTGCCATCCACCATCAGATGAGCCTCCACAACGTACCGTATGAATAGGGCTCTTGGCTCTTGTCGTACCCAGACATGGACGACAGATTGCTGGCTGTCACAGGCTGCACAATCAGCGGGTCGTTTCGGAAACTTTGACCGTACTTTGCGAACAGCTGTTCAGCGTCCTCCACACTTTCGCCGACGCCTAGAGAAAAGGGCGCGCGCTCGCTATCAGGCTGTCGCAAGACACATCGTGTTAGCAGGTATTTATTTATTGCAGCACGGGGCCGTTTCTTCGACCATCAGGCAGCAGTGGAGGACCTCTGGGGCCAAGTTCCCCACCACGCCAAACGTCTGACGAGTACGAGGGGCAAACACACCTGATAGCTTAACTGTACAGTACAGGCCAGCTTGACGGTATTTTCAAGTCGCCAGTGTATGTATGTGCATAAGCAGATGGAACCTGTGGTGCCACAGAGACCTTTTGGATATCAACAAGTGGAAAGAAGAAACGAGAAGACGGAGAGGTGTCTCGATCAGAAGTACAGGTTGTTTCGAATAGATGTGGGTAATAAGCAGCTGTAGGTTGACGAGTTTGAGTGTTGCAACAAACGTATACTAGAAGCTAAGTTGGAGGAGGAAAGGGATGGAAGAGACTGTGTTGGTGGTGTTTCGGTGCGTCTTGTGACAAGAGAAGCCTCTCGATAGATGGGCAATAAATGTGTTCAAATAACGATTCATGCGGGATCGACACAGAGCTTTGAATGTCTGTCTGCTACGCGACCAGACCAAGAATTTGTCCCAAGGCAGCTCAGACAGGGTGGCCCCCTAAGGACGAAAGCGGGAGATGGGTGCGCGAGACTGGCAGCAAACAAGCGTGATTCAGAGTTTGAGAGCCGCTGGCAGGTGCTGAAATGCGTGTGAGTTAGATTGGCATAAAGGTGTCGCACATTGGCGACCCGCATTTTGTCACGATATTGGGGAGAGGACTGACCTGGCAGACAAAGAGAAAGAGACATGGGCCTGGGCTGGCCAATGTGGACGAGGCTAGGCGAGCGTGAGGGAGGGACGTTTGAGACGGGAATGGAAAAGAAAATATGGAGCTATAGAGGAGCTATGACTGCGAAGTGAGTACGAAGGAGGTATGCAGCAGGGCGTGCGGGGCAGGGTAAGGGGAAGAAGAAGAAAGAAAAAAAGGAGAGTAGATATGAAGTGTGGAATGCCGGGAGAATGGTTGCAGTGGGAAGACTGCTGGAAATGACGATGGTGATGAAGACGGGGAAGACGACGATTGATGAACCGGCGGGATGGTCAGAGAAGAGTATGCAAGGAAGAAGAGCAGTGGAGGGAAGGGTAGACTCTTTGGGGGTGGTGCGTGGGCGATGGGGGAGCCCGACAGAGTGGTAGACCAGGTAGCTACGGCGGTGGACAGACTTGGTAGCAATCCAAGAGAGAAAACAGAGCCAGGGCCGGGGTGCAGGGTGGTCAGTGGCAAGGTAGCAAGGAAGGCATTGGGGGTAGGGCAAAGGAAAGGAAAGGAAGGAAGGAAGGAAGCACGCCTAAGCCGCCTCCGCCGCCGACGATGATGATGGTGATGACGATCTCACCCGTTGGGCGCTACGTTGTGCAGCGAGTGCCTGACAGCAGCAGCAGCGCTACGCTGCGGACGGACGATGAGGCTCTGGTCAGTGTATGCAGAGGAGATGGCGCAGTAGACAGGCAGGCGGGTAGGCAGTCAGCTCAGCAGCAGAAGGCAGCTGCACGACGGCCTTGTCACCACAGGTGGCTTGCTTGCTGGCTTGCTGGGTGGAGCGAAAGCAGGTGGGAAATTGCGATTCCACGGGGAGTCTGATGCGACCGACTGCTCGAAACGGGTAGCGGGGGCTCTAAAACGCGTGCAATGGTAGAGCGAGGGGACAGATGGGCACGACCAAAGCGGCGAAACACAGCTGGCGAGGCGTTCGGCGGACAGTGTGGACCAAAGGGGGGGGCGGTTTATGTGTGCAAGATGAGATGTTGATGCAAGCAGATTCCAGAGTTCGGACTGGCCGGAAGGGAGGGGGGAGAGTTGTAATGAAGCAAATGTGGTCGCGTAGCAGTGCAGTTGTTGCAATCTTGAATGGTAGACAGACGTTGAAGTCTGGGGAGAAGGAAGAGTGATGTAGCAGGGGGGATAAGACGGTTAGATACGATGATGAGCAAGAGAGAGAGAGGGAGTCACAGCGTGCTATGTAGATGGGGTTTGAGCGTTGATAATCATCGTTCACTAAACAGATGGTGCGGAATTGGGCTCTTGGTCTCTTACTCACACACTCTCGCTGCTACTGCTGCTGCCGCGATGATTACTACTGCTGGCCATGGTAGTATCACGTAGGGTCCGAGGCGAAGCGATTGACGACGACAGCCTAGGCGGCGGGCGGATCGCGGACATGTCAAGTTCATTTCGCATGTTCGCGCTGGGGCCAGTGCGCAGAAGTGCGACGGTTAGTGTAGACGAGCAGAGAACGGGCAGCGTAGCAGACGGGCTTGGTGGTGAGGGGGAGGAAAGGTGAGGGTGATGATGCAGGGCAGGGCAACAGTTAGCCATCTCTACGCTACCAAACCCGGCCGGCGCCCGAGCCCGACAAGCGAGCCAATGGCAGCGACGCGCTAGCCCCAGCGAACGGGCATCATCTATTCCTGGCGTGGCTTGCACCAACCTTAAATCAGCATCCTTGCAACGCAAAAGCCACCCCCAAACCACCACCTCTGAAGGCGATCATCTCATTCCTCTCCGCTCGGACAATCTCCAGGCCCCGTCGTAGTCGCCGCCGCCCGTCAGCCAGCAAGTCCAGCCAGCCATCCGTTCCCTCTCGCCGCCTGGGAATCGCATCTTTATGCCAATCGTGGGAAACATCGTCCATGATCACAGCTTCCCTGTGGGTGGGTGGATGGCTGGATGCACGCATCATTCATTCAACGAATGGATGAATGGAAGAAAGAAAGGGTGGATGAATGAATAAACCCCATGGATGATGGATGCAAGAAATGTTACGTTGAACGGTATTGCATCCATTTCACAAATCGCTGTCCGTCATGTTGCAGCAACCCTAGCGACCACGCCATACCAGTCGCTTGCCTAGCAGTCGCCCCATCAAACGTCAAAGCGAATGCTTCATATTTCTTTATTTTGTCCCACTGCGGCGTTCTCGTGTACCCACACACGGGCCGCGGACGCGTTCGGGACCACATGTACTTACCCAAGATGAGATGAGACGACCTGTGATGATTGATGATGATGATGATGATGCCAAAACGATACCAAGAGCTCGCGGTTCAACAGAAGAATGCAAAACTAAACAAACCCATCGCATAACCCGACGTGCATCAAGCAGGTACCTACCTCCCAAACACCTCGGATACGATGCAAAGCAACTACCTGCATCGTCCTGTCGGGGGTTAACTAAGCCTTGCCTTGCCCTCCCGCCGCACTGTCGCCTCCAAGCAGCCAAGCAAGTCCATAGTCACCGAGAAACATCTCACTCCATCCAATCGCATCTCCCCATTTACCATGACATTTACCCATCCACCACCCTACATAGGTTTTTATCCTGGGTTACCCGTACCTACCGTACGATGAAGGGGACGGTTCAACCCGCTCATCAGTTGAGTCCGTCGGCTCCTTCTTCGCTACGCCTCATCCCCGACCAACATCGACTTCTCTCCCGCTCTCTCTTTCTCTTTCGCCATTCTACACTGCCGGCTACTCGCTGGCGGGGGAAGCAGCTTACTATGGCCGGTGGCCGGATTTGCGCACCCTTTGCCTTGTTTGCTCTCTCCACTTTGCCTACGCCGCCCGCAGAGTCCCATTCCATCATCGTTCTCCACTGCAATCTCTGCTTTCTCTCTGTGCCATCAATCACCATCATCGTCATCACCTTCTGATGATTTAACTTTTAAAATTGCAATTGCAGTTATAGGCATGGGAAGAATATCGGCCCGGCGGCACGGGATTCGCCCGTCCACCCGTTCGACTCAAGTACGCCTAGCTAGGGTCTTTAGCGACGGATGTCCACGCCTGTCAATGTTAAATATACACAGTACAAGTCTACGGCAGCACGCGTTCGCAGATTAGCAAAGTTTCAGACGTGTGCAGCTATCTCTACTAATGCAAGACTGAGCCGTGAATATTCATAGAATAGATTGCTATTAATGCGAGTATTCTTAGAAATGGTTGTCTCTGTTTTCTCACTCGCCTGCACCCGTGGTTTCCATTGAGCGTTTGTTTCCTCTTTGGGAACCGCAGGGCTGTGTGCATGCGACGACTACGTGTATCGTGGTTGGTAACCCACCTCGGCGCTAGTCCATCTCACATCGCCATCTCTCATAATCACACTTGTCAGCATCATTGTCATCGTCGTCGACTTCGAGCCAAATTTTGCGAAAAACGCGTTGCTTACCTACGTGCGGAACGGGAAAGTGTACCGCAACAGCGCGGAATAAGCTCCGAAGGTGCGGATGAGGATGACTACGTCCTTAGTAATGCAGTCTTCTCTTCATGCTTCATCTTTCTGACTTGCATATGGACTTGTTTGAGATGCGTGGGATTTCACGATAATCAGAAGAATTATAATAGTTTCCAGCACTTAAGGATGGGTTGTCTAAGCCTAGACTAGGTTCATGGGTACTTTGGTTTCTTGCTGTGATTGTCGCACGGGAAGGATCTCGACCTGCTTTTGATCGGGATTATCTATTTGGAATTGATTCTCAGACGACATGTTAATGTCTGCCTTGGTATAAACGTCACAGGATGACGCGGTTGATGGTTTGGTATGGCGACGAGATCCTTCTTTGTTGTTGTTGTCGCACGGGAACCAAGGGAACTGATTGGTCGGTTTCGGCATCCGTTGTCAAAAACGACCTCACCTTCACCTGGAATCGCACGAGCCATTTTGTATGTCTGATTATTCGAGATTGATTTGGGTCTAGCAACGACTTTTGTGTTGTCGCACCGGAACGAACCTGGCAATACCACATTAGCTCGTATAGCTACACCAACGTTTTCTCCCTCGGAGCCACAAAATACACTCAATGGCTGGCTCGCTGGTCAACCTCCCACGAGGTCCGCACAAACACCATGGCCCCGGGTTCTCCAAGCACGTACACGTTAAACGTGCAGTTGCGGATGCACACCCTCGCACCTCACGCGCCTTGCACCATCTCCTCCCTCTCAACACCCACAAGCCAAACCAAAACAAAAAAAACGCCAGCTTCAGTATTCCAGACTACTAAACATGTAACCGCCACTGCCAAACTTCTAGCTCGTTCCAAAACTCAGATCAGTGTTCGTGCGACATGTAATTCTTCTCGATTGGCTGTATCTTCTGTGCGACAAGAGATGAGGTAGAGGTATCGAAGAGTTACATTCTTCTATGCCCGAACGAGACGCACCTGCTTTAGCAGGGTGGATTTTGGCGCCGCCACAACGTCCTGGGTGTACTGACTTTTGGTGAGAATGTACCCTTGTTTGAGGCGCCCATCAACGCCGCTCCACACGGGAAGCGGCATTATCGCGCTCGAGGGTGGCGATGGGACAGTGTGGGGAAAGCTTGTTCAAAGTTAGAGGGGAGAATCGTCCATCATAAATTCTCGGAAATGAAGTTATCGTGATAGCAACAGCAGCAACAATACTGAATCCACTTCTTTCATACTCAATCTACTACACCACAACCACAACAAGAAGAAACAACCCAAAAACATTCATAATTACAGGAATTCAACAAAATAAGCACGTCGCATCACCCTCAAACCCATTTTCCACACTCAGGTAACATATCCTCACTCTCCGCCTTACAGGTATCCAGTCAAAGACACCCGAGAACTAAGCTTTCCAACAACCTTGCCCGCAACAAGTAACCCATAGCGACTACTTACCCTTCCCAGCCGCATGTGCGTATCATCTCGCATTCCACCCCTCGGCTTCGCCCGAAAAGCAAAAAAGTAAGCACCCAGGTTGCTGGGCTTTTCGCCAAGGAGAAAAGGGTTACGCAATCGTACGGCTGCAGCGAGTAGCGATGCAAGGGAATGGTGGGTGTTCCGGATACCAGGTCGTGGAGGTACGGCTTCGAATGGGGGTGCGTTGATAGTGCGGGGAAGGGAGCTGGGCGTGTTATAGCATGTTTGTTCGCAGACGAGGTACTTTCGTCCACTGCTATGGGAACGCTATCAGTCACATGCACTTTCCTCATTAGCTTGTAACTGGTATCCGGTGAATTCGAAGTATAGTCATGATGTTCGAGTATCAAGGTGTCGAAGAACAACCCACTACTTGCTCATCGCATCGTATCACCCGCTTCCCACAACATTACCACCACCATAACCTCTCATCCCTGGTTCCTCCCACCCCCCTAAGCAACATCCCTCATCCAGCAGCTCGAAAACCTCCATTCCCTCACCAACACAGCCACCACATCCCACCTCACTCGCCACCACCACCCCTCCCCCTCCCTCCCTCAAGCTCCCAGATCCAAATCTCCGAACCACTCCCCCGGAACACGCTTTTCCCTACCGATCCAACATATCACCGTCCCAGCAACACTATACTACCAATTGCCCAGTCGAGAAGGAACTGCAGCACCCGCTGTACGACGCTGTCGGCGTCCTTGTTTCGACAAGCCACTTGGTAGTACAGAAGTAGTGGGATATGTGTATCGGCTGGTCTGGATGGTTTTTGAGGGGGATTGCGGTATGTGGTTTATTTTGGGGGTTTGAGAGATGGATTGTTTAGACGGTGACGAGATGGGAGTGAGCTGATTGATAGTTTTGAGTGGAATGTTGGGATGGGCGGTGTTTCGGGGGAGGAGGGTTGGGTTAAACAGTGTGGAAGATCGGAGGGTAATGTTGTTGATTTTGTCTCTGTTTAAAATTGAGGAGACTCTGTAGTTTTCTTGCGTTTGCATTTCGGTGGGAGGACGACGGTGTGCGTTTTCCATTCAAGTTGTGTCTACCACAGAAATCGACGAAATTACGCAACAGCGACATTCCAAACATCCCACTTCCCTAAGAAGTATTGTACGAATCATCCAAATTCCCACAGATCTACCAAGTCTACGTGAACTAATTATCTCCGCTTATTTGGACGCTCACGGATACACCAAACTTCCGATTCCGTCACCTGTATATCTAAGCAAAAGTCTTCGACCATCAAGCCATGACGATGCTGAATAATTACAGCATCAACCTAATCTCGAATAATGCTATACGATGAAGCCAATTGCGAAGCACATACACTGGAGATATGGGGGCTGCTATTGGTTTACAGGATCTTGGCTAACATAAGCCAAATGAGCCCACCAATAGGAACTACCCCACGGGTCCCGAGCACGCTCCTTCGAGCTTACCCATTCATGATTGACGTCCACGAGATGTTTGAGCTCTTTTTGCGACTTTTCGTCCGTTCGTATGAAGATGAGGAGAAACCGAAATGGGAAATCAGGAGAGCGTGGAATGTCGCAATGCCTTTGTTTGATGGTATTATGGGAACGGATTTGTTTATTCATTGGAAATCCACATACCCATTGCACGGAGTTAAGTGGAAATCCTCATATATAAAAGAATGCCTTTGAACTTCTGTAGACCAAGAGCACATCCGCAATTCTTCTTCAGATCTCGAAAAACACAATCAAGATGCAAATCTCATTGACAATGTTTTGGAGCAACTTTCTTCTCTTTGGAGCCTGCGTAGCAGCAGATCTCCCCACCGCAACAATCGATGCAGGCGCAATAATTGGCACGACGACAGCTTTTCCTTCTTCATCCACAACGGTGAATAAGTTTCTGGGAGTCCCATTTGCTGCACCGCCGAAACGTTTCATGCCCGCTGAGAACCCCGAGCCATGGATAGAGCCACTTGATACAAAGATTGCCTCAGCAGCGTGTATCCAGCAATTCAGATGTGAGAATCCTTTGTTCCCTTCACTATTGCCTCTCTCAATTCCTCTATACTATCGAATTTCTCAAAATATCGAAACATTAATATACTGGCAGATCCGGAAGACTATCGTAACTTAACCCTCAGCTTCTTGAATAATCCGGCACCAGAAGAGAGCGAAGATTGCTTATACTTGAATATCTACGCCCCAGATAGTCCTTCTCCTGGCAAAGGTAGAGCAGTCTTGTTTTGGATCTTTGGCGGTGGCTTATGGCTCGGTCATGCGGCGTATCCCACTTACGACGGCTCTCACTTTGCTGCGTACGAGGATGTGATCGTAGTAGCGCCGAATTACCGCACTAATAGTACGTTTGCACATTCTCTTCCCTTGTCCAATACCGAAATATCAGACCCTCAGAGCTCCATGAAGCATGTCATGATTATGATGTGGCTGACTTGCAAACAGTATTCGGTTTTCCCAACGCACCTTCCCAGAATCAGAACCTAGGCTTCCTCGACCAACGCCTCGCTCTCGACTGGGTACAGCGCAATATCGCCTCTTTTGGCGGCGATCCTGCAAAGGTCACAATTTTTGGAGAAAGTGCAGGAGCTTTCTCTGTTGACGCACTGATAACAAGCTACCCTTCCGGCACAACACCCCCCTTCCGTGCAGGCATCATGCAGAGCGGTGAACTGAGCTATCGCGGTGCTCCCAATCCCGGTCTCAAATATCCTGAGGGAGCTCTAGCGTGGGATGCTATTGTCAAAGGTCTAAACTGTACGAACAGTACCGTAGAAGAGTCGTTCGCGTGCGTCCAGAACGCCCCGGCGGACGTTGTTAAGGATGTCGGCGAGCGCCAACAACTTCTCTTCACGCCCGTTCAGGACAATGAGACTTATGTATCGGACTTCAAAGCTCGCCGCCAAGCTGGAAATATTGCGCGTGTACCTCTAATAATCGGCACCAACCAGGATGAAGGGAGTATCCTCGGCGGGCTGTTCTTTGATGACTTGAATACCTATCTGACGACAACCTTTGGTGACAGACTCACGCCAGAGCTTCTAAAACGTATTGAGGAAGTTTATCCGCTCGGGAGTGCAGAGTTCCCGACTACTTTCAAAACTATCACAGCGATTGAGGGCGATATATCCATGTTGTGTGGAGCCGCGCTCGTGGCTAATGATACCGCGGAAAGCGGGTTACCTACGTGGAGATATATTGTGAGCACTGCTCTGGTCATAACGACCATCCCCACCATTTCGCTTTATCAAGGAAAATCTTTCCCTCGCTAACACTTCAAAACCGCAGTACAACGCAACGTTCCCTTCAACGGCATTCCTCCCAAACATAGGCGTTTGTACGTGTCACTTCGTTTCCTCTTGTGAACAATCCTCGCTGACATCGCTTCGTGTAGACCACACCTCCGAAATCGCAATGGTTTTTTCCACCTACCCAACTCCCGCGAATCCGAATACACTACCCACAACGCAGCAGTACTTCCTCTCAAATCTCATGCGCTCCGCTTGGGCGCGATTTGCGAAAGACCCTATTTCTGGACCAGGCTGGAATGCTGTAGGCAGTGGAGCAGATTATCTAGAAGGTGATAAGGCAGGGGATATTGCTGTACTTTGGGAAGAGGGGGTAAAGGTAAAGAAGCAGGAAGATGTGGATAGAAGATGCGCAGTTTGGAGCGAGGTGTTGAGGGGGAAGGTTTAGGCTGGGGCATGGAACTTATCTGGCTATTTTTTCTAGACTTTTTGTCTTGTAGAAATATGGCCGTGTTGAGATTTGGGTGTAATATCATGGTGGCTGGGATCATGGTGCGGAAAGTGTTGTACCATGATATGTGGTTAGCACGAATGACATATTGTCATTTAGTATTGTAAGCTTGAAGCGTTCATCGCATTTGGCACAGCATATAGACTGAGGGTCGATGACATACGAGTGTTTGTAGGTACGAAGATCCGTGGTATATTATTATGTGCATAATGTAAACCCTTTATATTCCTGGTGGGATTGAGTACGAGGCTACCTGATAGTATGAGACAAATAATACCAAAAAGCTACCTTGGTGAATATAGAAGCTTAACATAATAACTTGACACACAATTGATTCCCAAAACTTAAGATAGCTGGATTCTGTATATATCAATAAAGAAAAGCTGTTTTCTGATTATTCTTCGCATGAATTGAGAGTTACAGTCCACACGAGAGCGAACACTCTACATGTGTAGTGCCGCGATACTCATACCATGATGATCTTGCTGAGTAATCCACCAGAATATTTATCATCACACTATAGAGGTATCCCAAGACGTTCGAATCGATCATCTGAACCTGATATTCTTCTCAAGATAACAGACCAATGGTAACAACCTGCTTCCACCAAGACTCTCAACGCTAATATAGTCCAGTTTTGGAGGTCCTCATCTTAGACCTAAAACGGATATGTATCGGAATAGAAAGCGGCCGCCTTATCTTCGTAGAAGCTATTAGAAATTTCCACTGCCTTTTCGCTACGACGAAGCATGTCCGTTGAATTGACCACTTCCACAGGTCTTGTTATGCCCGCAACAGTTAAATCCCTTTTGAGACAATGCCCGTATTGATCGTTCTCGCTAGGAACATAGTCTACATTCAGGATAGTAAAAATATAAGGATACCGAAATCGCAAAAGGTTCAAAGCTGACTGAACGTACGTCACGTGATATCATGCGACCCGACTTGAATCCCCGCGGTCACATCATGTATCTACCTAGGTAGGTAGGTATATAGGTTAAGGACACCAATAATATACTTCAAAGCAGATCTTCAAGCTTTCGCGCACTAAAAAGGCCATTGAATAACTGAAAAATATGTGCCACGCGTCGGACTAGCTTTCTACATTGCTACATATACTGTAACTTTCTTTATTACTTCTAGCATACTCATCTCGCCTTATTCTTCCTAGTCTCTCGTCCTACTTAGCACAGATATAGATCATATTCGTATTAAAGACCTTCCTTTTTGTTTTAGATGGATTTAAGCAGACGCAGCATCCTTGCGATTTCACAACTGCACAATCATCGCAACTTTATATTGTTACGACTTTACAATTATCACAAGTTCGCATCCGCAAGGAGTCATCATAACCATCACACCCGCCCCATCCCCTTCCTCCCCCCTAAACATTCCAACAAAAATCCACAACAAACAATCTTCCATTACTATCAAAAACAATACAAAACGTCTACCTAATCTACCTAACCATCTCCCTCGCATCCCCACATCCCCGCATTTCTCAATTTGGTCCATTTATGAACAATATCAACAACAACAACACAACACCTCTATAATGTTATCCTCTTTGTGCAGAGATGCATAGAACGGGAAAAGTTTAGGTTTGTGATTAGATCTGCCTTTTTGCCAATGGGAAAGGAGTAGAGAGGTGTGTGTGAGAGTGAGAGAGGAGATGAAGTCAAGATGAGAAGGATATAGAAGGGGGGTTGAATAGATATGTAGGTAGGTAGGTAGGTAGGTAGGTAGGTGAAAAGAAAGGACGAAGAAAAGGGTATAATATATAAAGCAAACACAAACACACACATCTTCCCCCCTCAAAATAAAAAAACCTTACTCTGTCCCACTTTCCCGTCCACATGTCTCGAAAAAGAGAGAAAAAAAAACGAGGAACAGCAACTATTGAATATCCATCCCCACACACTAAGTAACCATTAAGCCACCATCGCACCTCATGGGAATGAATAATACGACGCTCAAAAAGCAACGCCAACAGCCCCAGGACTCGGAAGCACCTTCTCGTTCAACCCGCCATTCATCAACACGCCTTCCTGCCGCGCACAAATCTCCATGCCCCTCAGGATGCCGTAATTCGGGCTCTGAGGCGGTTTCAAGCTGCCCCTGCGATACGCGTCCCTGCTAGCCCTAGACGAGGTCGAGGAAGCGAAACTCCTCGCGCTCCCCAGACACGCTTCGATGCGGAGGTCTTTGTTGTCCTTGGCGAGGACGAGGGGCGCGGGGACGCGGCGGGTTTTGACGGGTTTGGCGGCGGGCGTGGAGGGGATGGTCGCGGGGTACGATGACGAGTCTAGGGAGGAGGTGGGGGAGTGTGAACGGATGGATGTTAGGGATGGGGTGGAGGGGTAGGAAGAGAGGATGGTGGCGGCGCTGGTTTGGCGGGTATGCGTTGTAGCAACTTCCGTTACTGTCATTGTTGAGGAAGACGCCGTGCTGCTGCGGTGGGAGGAGGGGTGTTCCATTGCGAAGTACTGCTGCGAAGGGTCTTGGTGGAGGGAGGCGGGTTGGCATTGGTAGAAGGGGGTTGAGGGGGTGTTTGTTTTAGAGGAGCGCAGGGATTTGATGGATTTTGCGGACTTGAGGGACTTGAAGGATGGGGTCGAGGGCGCGGTGCGGAAGACGGAGGTGCTGGAGGGGGTTGGAGGGAGAGAGCGCTTGATCCATGCACCTAGGCGGTTGGGAATGTTGGGGGTAGGAGGGGTGACGGGGTTGGAGTCTAGGGGTCCGCTGAAGGTGCGTTTGGGGGGCTCGAGACGGAGGGGCTTCTTTGGTGGGGTAGGGAGGGCTTTCGTGACCAGAGGTGCGGAGAAGGCGGAGCCAATATCGGACAAGGTCTCTGAGCGCACCTTCATGCGGAGTGAGGGTGCTATGGCGGGAACGTGTGATGAAGGGGACGGGGGAGGAAGGTTGTCGAAGCGGGAGCCAAAGTTTGCGGAGCGGTAGGCATCCGCCCGACGCTCTTCGACGATGGTGTTGAGCTCGCGGATAGCGGCATCGACGTCGTCAGAAGGGGTATCTCGGTCAGTCTTGAATTTACGGAGACTGACAGGACGAGAAGAGGGTGCTGTGCTAGAGCGGGCACGTGATGGAGATGGCGAGGACAATCTCGACAACGCTCTTCGTGACGAAGAAAGAGTCGAAGAAGTATGTGAGCGGCGAACCAAGGTAGGCGTGCTGACATTGGAAGATTCGGGTTCTTCGAGCAAGAAGGGCAGGACTGAGAAAGTATCCGATGGCGGTCTGGATTGGCTCGACTGCGTGCTCTGCACACTTGATCTTCGAGACCCAGATCCCACTGGTTTTCGTTGAACCAGCCATTCGGAAGCTCCTGAACCAGATGATATAGAGTCGGTAGCCGAGTCTCTGTTCCTGACGAGTGCTTGAGCAGGCTTCTTGACCCATCCGTCTTCTTCAAAGTCTGGCAGTGGGCTCAATCGTCCGTCGGGTAGGTAAATGGACAGCTCGAGTGGTCGGAAACTGCGACGGCGGCGAACAGGTATCGTCGCCTCATCAAGCATGCTTTGAATGCCGTCGACGCTGTTGGTGTGCCGGAAGTCGGTGGGGCGGCCAATGGAAGGACGGGCTCGCGGATGTGATTTCCGTGGGCGTGTGAGACTGAGGGTATGGACGCTTGCTCTTGACGAGGCTCGTGTGGCGAATTCACGACTCTGGGACGCCCACTGCGAAAGATGGCGACTCATTGTCGTGGAGCTAGTGGGTGGCCGTGCTATTGTCGGAGAGGCAATGGGCTGTGAGATTGGTTGAGGTTGTTCATAGCAGATTTGCATCGACGTTCCTGTATGGCCTTGTTAGTATTGCAAGATTTCAAGAGGGCGTGGTTCTCAGCAGATGAACATACCATTGCTTTTCAACGCCCTCGAGTTCTCGACGTCTTCGGAATCCACCAGGTCCTTTTTTGACGCACAGCATCCTGCCATGGTCAAGGCCAACCACGGTGCTTTTTCAGTCTTTCCTGCCATTATGTGTATCGATGGTATCTCGTGATTCCTTTAGGCTCCAGCAAGCATGCTTTACTTGTAAGACTATATTTTTGTTTTTTGTTTTTCCACTTCAAGTGTAATGTCGGGCGCGTAGTAGAGCAACGAGGAATCCAGTCCTTCGTCACAAGTATTGCCAAAGCAAAGAATAAAAGGGTATCAGAAAAAAGGATAACAAGCGAGCAAACCCGTAAAGCAGCAAAGCCCAGCGGGGAGGAAAGATGAAAAAGAAGTATAAAGTTGAAGAGAAGAGAAAGAAACGAGGCTCGGACCTAGTTGGCAAATTCAGCCAGAATGTAGGTGTCGACTAAACAAAGTCTCCTTGACGGCCGCGAGTCCAGATCCCGTCAAACAACAAACAGCGAAGCCATGTCATAATAATATAGAGCAAACGATCGGGGGGGTGTTGGCCCCAAGCGCCCAATGGAGAGCAGCCGTCACTCTATTTTTGCGCATGTCTGAGAAAAGGCTCAGAACGGGCGTCGCATATGGCCAGCCCCGCCGGGCCTGTGATTGGACGGCAGCGTTTGGTAAGCGCTCGGGGCCTGCAAGCCACGCATCAATAGCGGCTGCGCTGGGGAAGACGACAGCCAACGGTGCCGCGTCGATCGTCCTTGTTTCTTTTCAATCTCCCTTCACACACCTCGAGAGCCTTGCGTGCTTGCGTGCCGTGCATGTCTGTCGTGCGTGGAGTTGGAGTGGGGCCATGGGGTGTGAATGGCCGTCGTGGTGTTGGTGATGGTTGTTTGGTTCCTGCAGAACATTGAGGGCTTGTCTTGGACCCTGGCGCCAACCGCCCTGGACCAATGGGAGCATCCCGTTCGTTGGCTGCATTCTACCAAAGCATAAACATTTCAAATGGACCGAGACGAGGATATGCAAACACCATGCTCTCTTTAGCCTTTTGTGAGCATCAGATATACACCAGAATAATGCATTCGTTGCGCTTCATCTTGGATAAAGAATGCACAACTCCCTCGGTGCGACTTGCTCACAACTTCGAGGATCCTCGCCTTCTTCATCCTGGTGGCGCCTCCAGATACATGACACCATGCTCTCAATCACGAGGAGCGTCATCGAGAATCAAATCATCCCAAAACTGGCCAATCTCCCCAATCGCTCAATCGCTAACATGAATTTCAATGCACCGCTTTAATCTCCTACTTATCGAAAGCGTCCCTTAGCTTCTCAAAATGCCTCTTGGTGTCCTCTCCTAGCCGCCCTTCCACATCCGTCAATATCGTACACACAAGGCTGTAGTTGTTGCAAAGAAACCGCTCCTTTTTCCTCGCATCGCTGATGCCTTTGCCCGCTCGGTTCAAATACACCTCGTATTCGGACCGCAGCCTCGCCACAGATACACTGACCGGCTCGTCATCTCCAGCCTCGCTCGACAGCGCCAGGATGCCCTGCACGAGATTGGCAAATTTCTGTGTCAGTGGCGTGGGTGCCGTCGAGTTCCCAGCAGCCGCCGCTGAGGACAGCAGTGCCGCCCCGGCTGATGGTCGGTTGGGCAATGAAGCCGTCAATTTCTGCAACGATGTACAGTGCAGATCCAGAATCTTTTGGAATCGTGGCCACAGGAGCATGCTCGTTGCGTTGATGTATCCCTCCACTGCCGGCACTTTCCGCCTCTGCAGTTCAAACGCCAAATGTTGATTCAATCGAACACACAGCAAAACCCCCAGAGTGTCCGTCGTGTTCTCAACGAGCTGTTTCGTCAATGCTTGGCCCAGTGCAAATGTTGGCTCGAAGATGGCCGCAAACGTGCGCATGACGGCGTGATGCGTTTGGCTGGGCGAGAAGTACGAGGTGAGGAACGTGTACTCGAATGATGCATTGTCAATAAGAGCAAGGTTGAAGCTGCGGAAGGGGTTCTCCAGGTGGTGTGCACCCTTTTCCTCCTCCGCCAAATGAGCTGGCAGAGCGTTCATAGTGCTCGTTTTGAGCATGTCTATGCGGCGTCCGAGCGAGAACGCATCGTATGACGCGGGCGCGCCACTTCTCTTCGCGCCCAATAGAGTATTTCCTCGCTTTGCATTGGCGTCTTCACCTAGAACATCGTAGCTATCCAACACATGCAATTTCAGTTTTTCAAGGCTTGTGCGGTAACGCGTGAAATGGTTCAGGTAATACCACCTCATCGTGAAAATGTATGCCTGGCTTATTTGCGACGCGAGTTCCGGTTGGTGTCGGGCGAGGAAAGCAAACAGGTCCTTGTATTTCAAAAGGGCTTGCTGCTGTATTACCTGTGCATTCATCGAAGGTGAGCGTATGGCTTTTATTTGTGCAACAATGTGATCGCGTATGCGCTCGATTGCGCGATTGATGAGGTCGACAAGAAGAGGTTTGACATCTTCGAGTGCTTTGATGTCTGGCTGGTCTTTGGTCTTTGTCGATATGATCTTGGATCGCTTCTCAATCTCGGCGAGAGCGCGAACAAATCCCTCATCGATGGGTCCCTCCGCTATCTTACGGACGATGACAGGGGCTATGCTGATGTCTTCCACTGCGGGACCAAGTATTCGTTCCACTACTTTGCGGTTCTCCAATTTGGTGTTGAGCGCTATGGAGCGATTCTGGAGAGATTCTATCTCAGCAGACACGGCTCCTAGATCCGCCTGGAAATTGGTGAGGTAGGTTTCCACCGACTTCAAGACTTCGTCGCAGGCCAATATTGATTTGTGCAGATCTTCGAACTTGTCCTTTTCTTTATCGACTGCGATCACCATAAGCAAAGATGCAAAGGTCGGGAAGAAAACACGTACATTCTTCGACTGATTGGGCACTATATGTATGTACAGAAGAAGACTGCTGTGTGTCGGTCATCGCCTCAGCTTCCACCGCAAAGTCCTTGAGACTCAAGCCTTTGAAATCTATATCCTCCTCCACCTCTTCCGGCTTGTGTATGATTTCTGTTTCCGCATCATCGTTCTTCAAAGACACTGGCTTTCGGGGAGGGCCTCCCAATATCGTACTCAACACCTGAATGGGATCTGGCACGTTCAAGGGGATACCGCCGTTCGGTAGGCGGCGGCCAGCGCCATTGGGAACACGTGCACCTAGAGGCAAGCTTGCGGTGGAAGCATTTGGAGATACGAGCGAAAGTGACGACGACCGTGGATTCAGACCCGGCCGAGGAGGTAAAGGGCCCGGCCCTGGAGGGTATGCCCGACGGGGAGCAGGAGAATAGGAATCGCGGCGCGGTGGAGGTGTGGCCGAGCCTGAGAGAGTGGAATTGGGAGTAATTCTATCAAGTCCCCACATGATTTCAGTCTCCAGGCGGATCGTCAATGGTGCATCTTGCAAGTCGAATCGTGGATAGCTGTCGACAGGTACGGAGAGCGGCAGTAGCCATGGGGCTTGAGCTGACGATGACGCTTGACTGCATCCAGACTAGCAGGCCACAGTCACGTGGTTGGTGGTTTGCGCACGCGACATCTCCAGGGCTGAAATCAGCTCGGTCTGAGGGTACCGTTTCGCTAATGATTCTAACGATCAATGGATTGAAAAGCGGAGAGTTTGCGATCAGCCACGAAAGACTAGGTCCCGACTCCGTGTCATGTCTCGCTATGTTTTCGGATCAAATGTCACCAATGGTGGCGCGACAACGAAGATATATTTGAGAATCCAACTCGAACTATTGGTCGGGACGCTGTTTGCACAGAATTATCCAGCAACCCTATCGAAAGCTCTCACCATACTTTGCCTTTACTGAGAAGAAGAAGTTTCATACTTTGTTCGAATGTCACGTCGATTCGAAGCTATTACCAATCGCACTGTCAAAGCAAGGCATCTTCGAGGCAACAAAAGCTCACCAAATCCGAAGCTCATAAATCACCACAAACATGGCTCATAACATCTCGATCGTATCAACCTTGGATCTGTTTATCCAAAAAACGGTTTTCTCGACTCAGATGAAACCAGCAGTACAGAGACACAGTCATCTCTGTGGCGCACTTGACATTCTTCGAGGGCGTTATAAGGGCGGAAGCTGTAGTGTCGACCGGAAATTCTTGCGTTGACCCTCTGAGCAAACATATAAAAATCTCGACTCAGTAGCCAACAGAGCAATACCTAGGCTTCTCTCACCTTGATTACCGAAACTTCAAAGGTGATCGGCTATCTGGTTAATCCGGCCGGCACTAAGCAAGGGTACGGTTACTAGCGTACCCCTCCGCCTCCCAATTCAAAATCCAGAAGACTTCTTCCTCCCCCATAAAGACCGACCCATCGCCCTTCTCCTCATCTTCCAGCCGAAAACACCCTCTAACAGCCTCTTCCTCAAGCCCGTCCAGACCTACACTCTTTAATCACCATGGCCGACGACGCGCAGGTACGTCTCCCTACAGCCCCGCACCCTTCAACATGGAATTTTTCTTTACCCCGCGTTGGCGGTTCCCACTCGCATGTTTGCGCCTAGGCTTCCGACGCTCTTCTCCCGCGCACAGCTTCATCGAGTACTGGCTAATCGCATCGTGTACAGCATGAGCACACCTTCGAGAGCGCCGATGCCGGTGCCTCCTTGACCTACCCCATGCAGTGCTCTGCCTTGAGGAAGAACGGCTTCGTCGTCATCAAGAACCGCCCTTGCAAGATCGTCGAGATGACCACCTCCAAGACTGGCAAGCACGGCCACGCCAAGGTCCACTTGGTTGCCATCGACATCTTCACCCAGAAGAAGCTCGAAGAGTTGTGCCCTTCGACCCACAACATGGATGTTCCCAACGTCCGCCGTCAGGAATACCAGCTCGTGAGTTTTGCCACGCTTATACGGCCCAAGTCTTGGCCATTTTGCTGACCACGAATACAGCTCGACGTTACTGACGACGGTTTCTTGTCCTTGATGTCCGACGATGGCTCCACCAAGGACGACGTCAAGCTCCCCGACGGCGAGGCCGGTGACAAGATCAACAAGCTCTTCACCGACGAGGGCAAGGACACCAGTAAGTTTCTACCCACAGGCATCACCCGGATACTCAATCCATCTCTAACCAAATTTCAGACGTCATTGTTCTCACTGCCATGGGTGAGGAGACCGCCATCGATGCTAAGGAAGCCCCCAAGTCCGGTTAAATGACCTACTGCACCAGCCAGGGTCAACCGCAGGATGTGTTTGGCTCGACCTCGGTAGAAAATACAGGAGTCTCCACGCACTTTTTGGTGGAGCCGCAGCCTGTCGGGTGGCTTTGGTACCTCCAGCAAAGTCACCCAGCACTTTCTCTGGATGCAACCAATGTTTTTGTGGTTCTTCGGACGGATTTGGGTTTCTCTTGCGTTGCCACTTTATGTAGCGAGGATACGTATAACGAATCTCCTCAAGATATATCCTTTGGCGGCAATGAACAAAAGACATGACGGCACGTAATGACACTTTTCTGATTGGCGAAATTCGACCGTATGTGTGATTACCAAATGTGGTCTAGCGGTGGCGCATGACTCGTAATGTTTCCCAAAAAGCTTTCAAAGTTGTAACCCAACAAACATGTGATGCGCCTTGGACCATGCAACGTGCGATGATTGAGAGCATTCTGGACTGATCAAGCGTTATTCAAAAGGAAAAAATAGATTTTTTCAGTACTACAACAACGCATCCCCAACCCTACTGACTCTTCAGACATATATGACTATGGCGGGATCCGGTTCGACCAGAGGCACCGTATGCGGCATCGAGAATTGCCGCTCAAGGCGATACGAAGAGGGCGAGGATGGCTACCTTTATTGTGAAAATGGCCATCGCAAGGGCGTACGTATGCGCACAGTCAAGAGGTTCATCGGAAGCTGATTATCCTTTAGGAGCTGCTTGCCGGATCGGATGATGAGATGTTCGAGTCTGCCGCAAGGACTCGAACGAGAAAGAGGGTCGACAAGGATGATAAGAGCGCATCAAAATGTCAGTTAGCGCTAACCTGGTATTAGCAGCGTGTGTGATTGTTGCTTGCCCTCATCGCTGATAACATGTATAGATCTCAAAGGAGCTCAAGCTTTGTCCATGCACCTCAAGTGCCTACAATTAATACTACGACGTCAGGTTTGGTTTCTCGTCCATGAAAGAGGTCTACCAGAAGAGCTCGAGGCAATTGTTCATGATCTATGGGCATTGCGAATTATGGGTTTAGAAAGCAAAATCACGGAGCAAAAGCAGGAATTCGATTCATCACAGGCTGCTGCGGCTTCTGATACGGGTACCGAGACTGATAGAGGGCCCTCAAAATCACCCTCACATGTGCTCCAGGACACACCAAATCTTGTCGATTGCCTTGCACTGTGCTATCTGGGCATCCGGACGCTTCGTTTGCCGATAACGCCAGGCGATATCCACGCATGGACAACAAACATGAAGATGCCGTATCGAGGAGCGATTAAGCTATTGGAAATCGACATGAGGGACCAGTTGCCAGGTACTTATCGCGACGTACTGGATCCAAACTCGCTCCTATCATTCAAGACCTTATATTCTTCACTCATTAGTATACAAGCAGCATTCGAAGATGAATACGGGATTGAATGGCCTCCTCTCAACGTCCCAGTAATTCTCTTCCGCTTCATGAAAGAGCTAGCATTGCCGTTGGAAATTTACCCTGCGACACGTCGACTGGCGACGCTGCTTCAATACGATTTCACGTGCAACTCCCAGAAAAGAAAGATTGTAAGCGTGGAGCACTTGCCAGAAGCCCATCTCATCGGATGTCTCGTCGTTTGCGTGAAGCTCCTCTATCCTTTTGATGGAGCGCGCCGGTACCCGACATCAATCGATGAGCCCGCAACAATGAAACTGGATTGGAACCAGCGGGCCTCAATAATGCGCAAGTCAAAGCAACCAACGGAAAACTCTGAGAATAAATATATCGCCGAGGAGCTGATAAATCTACGCCCAGAAGACGTTCCCTTCATGAATGGTGATCAGATCGATCAGTACCTGGCCTTCTATCAGGAAAATTTCGTGGATGAGCCGTACATTAATGCAGAAGGCAAAAGCAGCGACTTCCAGCGTGCCATGCACGACATGTTCCCGATCCAGAGTAATAAGCCATCTCAACCAATCCAAGAACTACCTGAGTCGCACATGCAAAGAAGTTGGGAAATCGTGCAATCAGTGCAAAGTATTCTCGAACCGCAGACGGTAATCGCAGAAGATGACGGTCAGGGTATTCGGCGTCCCGGGCGAGACTACGTCGCTTACAAGAAAGAGAGTGACCTACCCGAAAACGCTCAGGCGTTCTACGAGGAGGCAGCGAGGATAGCGGGGTTCAGTTTGGAGATGCTGGTTTCGGTGGTATTCTCTACCGAGAGCAGGATTCGAAGATGGAAGAAACAACAGCAAGGTAGTGTGGCTTGAAAGAGCATATCACGTTGTGGTTGATGTTTTTTATGCCAGAAAAAGGTGTCTGATAGGTCGTATCGAATTACAATTGTCGTTTTCCATACCGGAGAACGCTCCTTAACATTTTTAGTAAAAATAGCGATAAAATTTGATGAATATTAAGAGCCTGCCAATGTACTGATTCATCGATATTTGAATATGCAGTTCACCCAATTTTATAAAATGCTGCGTGAGAGGTGAGGATTTGATTGGCTACAAATGTAGAAACCGAACCACAACGTGTATTCCGCCTAGTTCATCGAGTGATTGTGCCACCAAAAAAGTCGAGATAAATCAACTCCAAAACAAACTATCACCCGAATAATCAGGAATCTTTTGGAATGTAGCAAGCTATGACAGAGATCGTCAGAGTGGTCAGGGCAGAGATGGGATGACGACGGTTAGGCCGGACGCCGCGCACGGGCCACCTCGCTAAACAATCTTTACTAAGCACACTGGAGATTTCGACGAACAGTGCCTCACCTCCATAACGTGAACTCCAAGACAAGATCGAGCAGCACCGACAACATGCAGATCTTCGTGAAGACCCGTACGTACAGACACAGACTTACACTCTCGAATCGTTAGCACTATACTGACTGCGAATAGTGACGGGCAAGACCATCACCCTCGAGGTGGAGTCTTCCGACACCATCGGTACGAAATCCCTTTATTCAAACCCTCACCCGCCTGCGCCGTTGCGCTTGGGTTGCGCAGTTTCCATGCATCGTCGAAAGTTATGAATAGCGGGTATTGACGAGTCGCCAGACAATGTGAAGTCCAAGATCCAAGATAAGGAGGGCATTCCCCCAGACCAGCAGCGCTTGATCTTCGCCGGCAAGCAGCTCGAGGACGGCCGCACTCTCTCCGACTACAACATCCAGAAGGAGTCCACCCTGCACTTGGTGCTCCGTCTCCGTGGCGGCATCATTGAGCCCTCGCTCAAGGCCCTTGCCTCCAAGTACAACTGCGACAAGATGTGCGTCACCACCATTACCGATCCTTCCCACGAACCCACTCGGGAAAACTCAACCTTCTAGACCTGGGCGCTAATGACCGTGAGCAGGATCTGCCGCAAGTGCTACGCCCGCCTACCTCCCCGTGCCGTCAACTGCCGCAAGAAGAAGTGCGGTCACACCAACCAGCTCCGACCCAAGAAGAAGCTCAAATAGATTATTCGCTTATTTGGGGCGTCTGGCGAGATGTGGGGATGGATTGCGGAACGACTGTCAATGACTCTGGAATGGAAATGGGTTCGGCATGCAGATATCCGGCACACGATTTCTTGATAAAATCGATTTGTGCGTTACAGCTCGACCTCCAGCAGCATTAGGGACTGGACATGTAAAGTGAATGAAAATCTTCCACCTTTCCTTTTGATGATCCTGTCGGTCTGTACTTAATCGGCGCAATCGTGGTGGCCATTGCCTTCTCTTCACGGCTTTCCGGATATTTCTAATGGCCTTTCAAACATTAAAGGCTCGCTTCGTTCATCACGTGATACCGCGTTGTGCTGATCATGACGTCACCGTCATCACGTCTTCCCTTTCGCAAAGTGGAAAAACGTAAACAAACATTGTCAAGTTGCCGCCGACTACTTCCAAACGCACCAATATGTCTGCTATTCACCACCCAGGAACTAGCAATGTTTGCCTGCACTTAATACAAGTCAAAATTCATAATATCCAGCACAGCAATTCAACTCCTATCCTCTATGCACCTCGCCCGTCGCTGATACTCCTGTGTACATTCTATTTATTTTAAGTTTAAGTTTAGGTGTTCCTACAAACAGTGATGGGTTTTAACAATAGATAAAAAAAAATGAGCGATTACAGCGACATCAGTACGATATACATGGCATACAAAAAAGAATACATGGGATACATCAGCATAGAATGATCAACAATGCTAACAATAACAGTACACTCGTCTCCGCATTCAACTGCAATGTTCTTCAACCCTTTGTATCTACCATCAGGCGACGACATGGATTTCCGTGCAACGAGCTCAGATAACACTAACACACATTACTTCTACATACAAGCAAACAACATACCTACATAGGTAGGTATACAAGCCCACACACTTTTAGAAGAAAAAGGAGAAGAAAGGATTACGTAGTTACAGAAAGAAAACAACTACAGCCCTACTGCCCTTGCTAAGAACCTTTTATCCTATCCTACATGTTCTATAATATAACAAAAAAGGCTTATTTGTGTTTTGTTGGAAAAGCTATACGCTTTTTTTCCTTTCTTCTTTGCTCTTACTCCTTTCTTTATATTTTTCTAGATACATACACATTAGTACATAAGTATAGTTTAATATAAAAACAGTGTAAAAACTACTGCCTTTTTCTTAGTACTTTTATATTATAACTATATTACTGTGCGTAGAGACACACAGGTTCCTATTTAAATGTTTGTTTTTTTGATTAGAAGTTACAGTGTTTCCTTTACCTAAAAGGCTAACAAAAATGTAATAAAAAGTAGACAGGCATATAAAGGTTTATAAAAGGTGTTCTTTTTTATATATATATATATATCAAACAGTAGAAAGATATTATTATATATGTACTTTCTACATATACAAAAGTAAAGAGATAGGATGCATACCTAGGTACTTATACACGCGCACGTACTTACAACGTACACACAAAGATAAACACATTTAAAACAAGAATAAAACAACATTTAAGAAAGAAGCAAAAAAAAAAAAGGCATAAAGAAAAGGACAGTAAGATGACGCAAATTTTTTCCATTTGTTTTCAGACTTAGAGTACAAGTTGTTTCTCCTCCCTGACGCCTCCTACTTTAAAGGTCCCCCCCCCCCCCCCAGCTTCTCTCTCTTGCTGTTATGGTGTGCAAGAGCGGAAGGGAAGCATATACGACGCAAATATTTGAAGCTACAAAAGCACAAGCACAAGCACAAACACAAACACAAGCGCACAATCATACACGAGCAAAACAGAGCAGAAGACAAAGAATTTGATACAGAAAGAACCCTTGGAAACAAGGAGAAAAGGCTAGAGCCTCATAGGCGGAAGCCCTGAACTTGTTTTCCCTTCCTATTTCCTTCTCCTCCTCCTCCTTTTTCCTTTTTCCTTTTTCATTTTCCTCCCATTGCATGATCCCTCGATTTGAAAACGGAAACGCAGAAAAGAAAAGGGGTGGAAACATTGAATACAAGATACCCAGATGCCACCGACACGATTCGAACCCTGTACATAGACATGGCAATCGTGATGTTGTCCCTCCAGCGATCAAAGCAGATGATGAACGTGAACAAAGTGGGTAGGAAGAGAAAAGAAAAAAAGTGGTATAATCAACGCCTCGCTATGCAAATTGAATCGGGAGGAGGATGTGTAGAAGAGAGATTGAAGGCCGTTGGCGACGAAACATTATCGATGTGCGACATTGTTACCCGGAGACATGTTACATCAAAGGCCATGGCGGCCGTACAAGGGCTTGGAACGTCGTGGCCGACATTTATGATTGGTCAGTGGACCAGTGAAGATGAAATTGCAGTTGCTGATGTGAAAGAATTGAGCTCAGACACGAGGTTTTTTCCAGTAGTATTGCTATAGTCAATTGTTAGCACGAGCCGCAAGCTCCCTTGACGGGCTAAGTCTCACCTTGTGTTGCTTCCTCACAGCACGAAGACCTCCAGCACCGCGCATTCCCATTGTGATAGTCTCGCGGCGAGCCGTGTCCGCGTCCATTTCAGGAACGTAGTAGAATTCGTTCTCGAGAGGTTGACCGGCAGCGTCCTTACCAGAGCGGGGAATCTCTCCAACACATGGGGTCTCATCGAGGAGCTTCTTCAGATCTTGTCTGCTGAGTTGAGGGACCGGCGTTGTTTCTCCACTGCTGCCCGAAGCCTTGTCATCCGAGTTCTTGGTGATGGGTGCCTTCAGGTCGGCGGGCAGGTTGGTGTGAATGACAGACAGGGGCTGAGAGTGCAGGCGAGAGTAGGCCAATTGGTTGATGACGTGGTTCTTGATCGGCGAGGTCTTGAATAGAGCATTACGCGAGCTCGGTGCTGCGGGTGACGAAGAAGCCAAGGCAGCGCGGTGGCGGCGTTGGGTCGGGGTATTGCGTTGGAGTGGCGTAGCAGTAGAGAATGAAGCGAGACGCGGCAGGAGATTCTCGCCAAATGGACCGAACGAATGCACAACCGGATCATTCTCCTCGTCACCGTCGGAGAAATCCTCATCGTTGAAGGACGAGAAAAGGCTGGCCTTTGACTCGTGCACTGCACTCTTGGATGGAGAGCGAGATGCGGACTGGGTGGGTTGGATAAAAGTGGTTTCAGCGGGGATGGGGCTGGTCGCAGGAGCATTGGCCTTCGCGTCTGCATCTTCAAAGATTTTGACGGAACTGGCTTGGACGGGTACGGCAGGCTCGGTGGTAAAGACGGGCTGACGCATAGGGCTCTGCGAGACGGGAGAGCGAGGGACAACTGGGGGGCTGCTAGCAAAGTGGTCCTGGGTGGTTTGACGTGTCGGAGTAGTGTCGTCCTCGGATTCCCACGAGAGTTTCTGGGGGATCACGGGCCATGCAATCATGACGCGGGTATCCTGAACATCCAGCATAATCTCAGCTTCGGGATTCTCAGAGACGTACGTGTCTCCCTTTTTCAATTCAAACACACAGCCTTTGCAATGAACCATTGCACCGTTCCAGCCCACGCATTCCATCTCGATATACCCGTGGGGGTATGACGCGCTCGGCGCGTGGTAGGCGGCTTGGACGTGTACGCGTGAAATCAGGCGATTTGCAGACAGCTGGTAATCAGACGAATTGGAGGATCTGCCGATTTTGAGGATTTCTCCGTCGGCTGGTAGGTCAATGGTCGGGACAGCGCCAAGCGGCTGTCGCTCGGAGAGCATGCTAATGGACCGCTCTATCACGGGACGAGCATTCTGAGGCGAGGACGGCAGCATACCAGTGGAAGAAGTAGGCACGGGAGTGGGATAGAACTTGAGCTGCTGCTTGGGGTAGCTGGGCGAGTCTTGATTGAATTTCCTCTTGGACGAGGTGGGACGCGGAAGGATAGGCGAGCTGGAGAAGGGCTCGAAAGCGGGGAGCAACGAGGGCTTCCGCGACGGCTCGAGCGACTGGCGTTGAGGCTCCATGGGCAATTGCGAAGACAGACGGCTAGGTGAGGAGTCCATGGCGAGGGCCAGCGAGACCGACGCGCGGGACGGGGACGTGTGCGTGTCTGGCAGCGGTGTCTTGTACTTAGGTTGGATGGCGACGTGAGGTGCTGCGGGCAGACAGCCGATGGGCAAACACGGTGTCTTGATGAGAAGGAAAGAACAGAGGTGAAGGAAGAGAAGAGTGGTCGGAAAGAAGGTCAAGGAGAGGCGGCCATTCGGTCGAGGTGAAGAAGACTGGAGTCGGGGCCAAGGACAGGCAAGCAGGCCGGCAGGTTGGGATAGGATGAATGGCGTGTGTCGCGACGCGAGGTGGAGGGTTTAGACGCGATGGACTGAAGCGCTTGGACGGAATTTCTGCACCCACACAGTTCGATTCAATACAATAATACTGTCAGCGACCACGACTTGCAATTGTTTTGTTTCGAAATTGAAATCAAAGGGCTGTTGACGGCAGCATTTGTTTGCTGCTTTGTTGACTAATTGATTGATGGATTGCTTGCTTGCTTGTGCTCTCTCTCTCTCTCTCTCTCTACTGGGTATTGGAGGTCGGCGAGGCAGCACGAGCACAAACCTTGCAGCTGCAGTATTCACTTACTGTACATGTATGTAAGTATGTATAGAACTGTACGGTATTCGTCACATTGGTCGGCACGGTTCGTTAGTCAAATTAATTTTCGGCCATGTCCTGTACTTTTCTGCTCTGTTCAGTTCTGCTGACCCGTCCCAGCCCCCCTCTCGTGCTGCGCAGGTGAATTGCCCGGTTTGTTTGCTATTTTTCCTGATTGCTTGCTTGCTTGCATGCATTCTCTGCCGGTAATCGTTACGTGCAGTGCAACTAGCTCATCACCGCTACCCATTCCCACATTTCCCGTCTACTAACATACATAGATACAATACTTGACATGTCATATATCTCAGGCTGATAATGATGATGATCATGTTGGCGCAGCGGAGTCCGCAGCCATAGCCATTCCTGTACGGTAGCTTGTGCACCTCTTAGGAAGCTCTCTAACCGTGTTACGTGCCCAATCGGTTGTATATTGCCCTTCCTTGCGTCGTGGTCCACGCCACCTCAGCCCTTCTATTTGCTGCAGCTCTCTTTGCTTTTGCCGCCTGCAATGAAATGTCATGCAGATGGCCAGGAGACATGATACCCATCTATCCATCTAATCAAAGTGGGACCGACTCCAGCAGGCCGTCACGTCACGTACCACGCGGGACGAACTGAACTGGAAAAAAAAGTAGTTCGGTACAGCAGAACCCACTCTGGCACGTTTTACGGCATAGCCCCAACTCTTTTTTTTTTCTTTCCTGCTCCTCTTCGCGTCCATGGGCATCGCGTCTATGAGTGGACGCGTTGAAACGTACCGCGAGGGTCAAGGTAGAGCTCTAGGGCGAAGCTCGGTCTCTTCGGTTTCGGCTTGAAGCAATCAAGAGCTGCCGACCCATGGTAGTTCCCTTCCAGGCACATGCTCCGTTTCGCTACGGGTCTTCCATCTGTCGTGATATACATGCCCAGGTGTGCCTAATCCTGCATCCATATCAATTCTTCCGCAATACTCCTCCTGCTCGTGAGCACAGAAACATTGTTAAGTAAGTAAGGACTGACGTTGCATGTAGAATGAAGGAATTGATGGATGACACCGCCCACGGCATACATACATCAATCAATAGTTTGGTCTCACTGCATGATGACAACCCTCAGATGAACCGGACAGTCAGTCTGCTGCTGCGCAATAATCCTGACCGTGACTGACGCTAAATGAATGAATGCATCCGTCCAGCCCGAGTCGCGTGTCTCGAGAGCAAACGGCCGCTCCACGCGCTGATTGGCCCCGTCTGTCCCGCTTTCCGGAGAATCGTTGTCCCGCCCCGTCGAAATTTTTGGAAGACCGCTTGCCCGAAATTTCCATGGCCCTTGGTTTTGGCCCGCCGAACTCCCAGTGAACTTCTCTTCACTCACAATCCCCGGAACTCCCACAATGGCCAAATCAAAGACTCTCGTCAAATCCAAGAAGGAGGAAAAGAAGCCTGTCGAGGCTCCTCTCACCACAAAGGTCGCCAATGGCACTCCATACCAGCTAGACCCGGCCCAAGTAGAAAAGGCGGCGGCGGCTCTTGTGTCGCATATGCGCAAACATGCCCAGGCCCAGGAGGAGAAGGCTGGCAAGAAGAGTTTGGTAGCCGACGAGGATGACGCAGAGGATAACGACCAACCCATCTTTCTCAACGTTGCCACAAAGACCCATGTCCACGACAGCCAACGCTTGAAGCCCACCAAACTGTGAGTTCCTCCCGCCCGAGAAGATTTCAAAATAAAAACCACACAACAAGAAACCTAATCAGTGTATACAGACCCCTCCCCCACCCCATCATCGGCGACAACGTCCGGATATGCATCTTCACCAAAGACCCGCAGCGCGCCTACAAAGACCTGGTAGCCTCCGACTCGTTCCCCGCACCCCTCCGCTCCAAAATCGGCCGCGTCCTCGGCCTCGACAAGCTCAAGAAGAAGTACAAGAGCTACGAATCCAAGCGCCAGCTGCTCGCCGAATACGACATCTTCATGGTCGACGACCGCATCCTCAAAATCGCCGCAGACTTCCTAGGCAAAACCTTCTACGGCACAAAAGCGAAACGCCCCCTCCCCATCCGCCTCACGGCTGGCGCTCCGTCCCCGGAAAAAGGCAGCGCGAAGAAAGCCGAGAACATGGTGGGCACGCCGCAGGGCGTCGCGAAGGAGATTGAAGCCGCGCTGCACGCTACATATGTCAGCATGAGCCCGTCGCTCAACACGTCCATCAAAGTCGGCACCCTCTCCATGACGCCTGCTCAGCTCAAGCAAAACATCGAAGCCGTCGTCGAACGTCTCGTCGACCGCCACATTGAGCACAAATGGCGCAATGTCCGCCGGTTGGAGATCAAAGGGCCCACCACCAAATCCCTGCCTATCTGGCTGTTTGACGAAATGTGGACCGACGAAGCGCAGGTCCTCGAGCACGCTCCCGTCCTGGGTCTCGGCAACGGCGGCGACAAGAAGGGCGAGAAGAAGAGGAAGTGGGATGAGTGGGAGGAGGAGATGCTGGACGAAGAGGAGCTGGCGCAGATCAAGGAGAAGCGCGCGCGCAAGAACAAGTCGAGCAAAAAGGAAGCGAGTGGCGACGGCGGTGCGGGCGCGATCAGCAAGGAGAAGAGGAGCAAGTTGAAGAAGGCGGCGTTGCAGTCTGTGCCCGAGGCTCTGGTTGCTTCGTCGTGATGCTTTTGATTCCATCATCATGGCACGGTTTTGTTCGGCGTTGCAATAGGCGTTCGTTCGTTGATATGTATCAAATCTGGTTCTGTTACATGGCTGCTATCTCGTCCCATTTCAAAAAAGACTTGCTGCTTCTTTCTCAGCCTACTTCCACATAGAGAATAGTAACGAAAGTGACCAATTCGGGGGATTTATATATCTTCTTATTCTCTGTTCTACATATTCTTCCTCTTCCACGCCCTCTTCTTTATCTTCCCAAAGCTACCGCACTTCACCTCTATTCTCCCTCCCTCCAAAGAAACTTAATCATGACAACCAAATATGTCATGCAATATGATGAACCCTGCCCTGCCCTCGTTTATGATCCCAAGCCGACCCAAGAGAGAAAAAGAACACCGTAAACCTCCCCCCATGAGCCTAGGTTCGGACCGAACAAGGTGGATATAACAAAAAGAAACAAAGAAAAAAAAGCGAAAGCTCCGGGGTAATGCAGGAAAAAGGAAAACAGGTAAAAGCAAAGGAGGTACGCCAGGGCAATGGATCTTGAACAAGACCGACGGGACAAAAGGAAAGAAAAGAAAACAAGATAACAGAAAACGCGATCCTTTCACAGAAAGAAGACGGAAGAAGCAAAGGAAGCGGGTGCTCCACCAGAGATGGGGACATGGAGCCTAAATGTCCATGTCCAAACACACTCTCACAGTTCCATATTCTCCAGCCGTTCACGGCCGGCCTGCGCCTGCGCCTTGGCCGTGTCTACCTCGGACCGCGACCCGCCGACGTCAACGGGCGCAAAGTACGTCCGGAAAGCGTCGACCAGGACGTCGTCGTCGTCAAACTGCATATGGCCGCCCTTTGTGGAGCGAAACTCGAGCCCGCCTTTCCGATCCAACGCCTTCAACCCGATCCAATCCTCCTTATAAATAGTGCGATTCCGCAACGGCGTGACCTCGCCGCTCGTCTCGTTTGTCTGGGCGAACCAGCCGCTTTCCTTTGGGATGACGGTGGTGTCGTCGTCGAAGACATACATGGCGAATTTGTGCAGGGAGGCGAGGTTGCGGGCGTAGGTTTTGTTCTTGCGGGCGCGCTCGTTGTTGATGTCTGCGAGGAAGTTTGAGTTGTCGAGGTATTCGGGGGACGCGGCGCCCGTGGCCTCGTCGACGGAGCGGAAGTACTGCGAGGGGACCAGGTGCGATTGCACCCACGCGCCCCATGTGTTTGCCTTGAGGATGCCGATGTAGGCTTTGCACAGCCAGTCAGTTGCGCCGCAGATTTGGTACTTGGTGATGCCGTTGTGCTGGCTGCCGAAGGTGACGAGGTTGCGGACGGGCGGGTTGTTGCAGCGCTCGACGTAGGCGCGGAGGAACTGGCCGCCTTGGGAGAAGCCGAGGGCGTTGACGGCGGGCGCGGTGGAGAGGATGGGGTGGGTGGCGAGGTCGGCGCAGACTTGGGCGACTTGCTCGGTGAGGTTGCCCAGGAAGGTTGCGGTGCGGTCTGTGTCGGGGTTCTCGTCGAGGCGGATGTAGTAGAGGAAGGTTCCTGGGTTGGTTTCGTTGGCGAGGTCGCCCACGGATTGGAGGCCGTCGGCTTGGTAGTTATCGCCTAGGCCGTGCCATATGAGGAGAGGGAGTGGTGTGGCGAGGATGCGCGGGATGAGGAGCAGCGTGGAGATGGGGAGCAGATGCAACAGCATGTTGGTGGTGGTTGTGGTGGCGGTTGTAATCACTGCGCTCGTTGGGTGCCGTGTGTATTGCGATTGTGACGTGATGTGGTGTAGGTAAGTACCTAGGTAGTAGTGTAGTGGAGTGCAGTGCGATGTGGTGATTGTAGATGACGATGTGATGCGATGTGATGGGGAGGTTGGGAGAGTATGTAGAAGAGTAGAATGGATGGATGGATGGGTATCCAGGATGGAGCTCAGCTACTTGAATCCGGACGTGCATGCATGCATGTCGTCAAGACGTCCAAGCAATCGACACTGCGCATCCTTCCTCCGCTCCGCCTCGACGAGTGACGGATGGTGAGTGGTGCGTGGGGCGTTTGCCAAGCCGGGGAGCCTGATAGTCATACATGCTCCGTTTCTTCTGTTCAACTGTTGTTTCTCAAGCCTCACCCATCACGGCACATCCAGTCCTCCCTCTATCTTCTATCTCCTATCCTCTGTCATAGTGTCATATGTCCCATGTCCTCCTCTCTTACTCTGCGTACGCCCCATTCAGACTGACCGCTTGCCCAGCCACTTCCCTGAGCTGGTTCCGCCGACATCACTGCACTGCTGCGGCGCTCCAGACCAAATCTCCATTCGCGTGTTTCAAGACGCCCAGGTACCTTCGCACTACCAAACATGCACACGACTACAAGTCCCACCAGCGTTCGGAATCAGTTTCTTCATTGCCGTGACTCGCTCTGCTTTGGCGGGGGCCAGAACCTCAGCCCTACACCCTTCTCTTCCGCTGACTGCCCGACTTCTCTCGAGCGATCAAGCAACTAAACTCGTCAACCAGGGCGTCGTCCTTCATCACATAATAAGCAATCGCCAATTTGTCAACTCTTGTCCTATGTAATCGGATCCACAATCTTTAGTCGTCGGCGTGGGTCTCTTTACAAAGAATGTCACTCGGGCCTAAAACGGGCCACCACGTTGTCCCATCTCCCACTCCATCTCCAGCGTAGAGCAGTTCATCCCTTAACGGCACCGGGGCATTTCCATTTCAACGCCCTCGATATCACATGCTGATACGCCATCAACACCATGTTGTAGCATGTGGATAGGTCCTCCATTAGTGCATGTAATACCACACCAATTGAGACTCTAGTGACCTTCCCCTTTGACGACTCTCGCGAACCACTACAGGGACGCCTCCAACCTGTCCCACCTACCTCTATTAGTTTACTTGCATGGTTATCCACCTATTTCCCCTCGTAGATCCCGGACAAAACTATATCTTGAATTCGGGAATGTAGCAATTGCTTCCATACATAAGCCTTTGGCATTCACCCGAGAAGATGGCACCCTCTCTAACTTGCAATCAATTCTCTTCGAGTCACAAACCGAACTGCGATATATTTATGCACAAAAATTAGCTGTGTGATACTTGGTGGAACGTTCTTTATCGTTTGGGTTGTTTCTCTGTTTTGTGTTTACATTTTTTTGGTTCTTTTTGCTTGGTTTGCAAGCCGTTGCTACCAAAGAATGCACGATATATTTTGCCTCGAATCTTTCATTCAGTGATTCGTCAAATCTGGTAATTACTATACATTGCATCCATTCCACTCAACGCGCCCTCTCAAAGCTAGCAGCGGATTTATTTCGACTTGTCCTCCCTCAAACTGACAATCTGATTCAATACAATCTTATCTTCCGTAGACTCGACATCGACGCAGAAATACGCTGTGCGCATGCCCTGGAAGCGCACAAGATCGTCCGACGCACCGCTAGGATTGAGAGTGTGCTCCTTGATAAGACCCTTCAACCCCCGCTCAATCACTGCGTGTTCAAATGTGACCTCGGAGTTCGGGTTGAGATCGTCTGCCCAGCCACCTGTCTTCCAGTCGAGGGTATTCGGGGATTCGGATTTGAAGAGCGAGTTGTACTGGCGCGCGATGACTGGGATACCGGTCGCAGCATCCACCCACTGGATGTACGCCTTGGACTTTTCGCCTGTGGCTTTGACGGCCCTCACCTCAGTGACTTTGCCGCTCGCGTCTTTGGAGAATGTGGTGGCGCGGATGGGGAAAGGGTAGTTGTAGAGACCGACGGCCTTGTTGGGTGCAAGACGGAAGTACTCGGGGCTATCTTCCTCGCGGAAATCCGCACGATCAATGTAGATTTCCTTGCCCATCTGAACCTTGCGCTCGCCGGGAATGCCGCCCTTGGGATCGTATGGTATTGTGACTTCCTGGTTATCTTCGTCTGCGAAATCTTCGATGATGATTTTAATGGGGTCCAAGACGAGCATCTGTCGAGGAACCGTGCGTTCGAGGTGTTTTCGAATGGAGGACTCCAAGCGTATCGGCTGGATCTCTGTAAGTCCATCGGTGACACCAAGCTCTTCGACGAAGTTGAGCAGCGCCTTAGCGGGAATACCACGACGGCGCAGCGCCACGAGTGTGTAAAGGCGGGGATCGTCCCAGCCTCGCACCGACGGCGGAATCGTGCGTGTCTCCACTGTGCCATCAGCATTCTTCTTTTCTGCTTTTGCACCTTCGACGAGCATGAGAATGCGCCTCTTTGAGAGGATGGTGCCCCCGACGTTCAGACGACCGTATCTGTCTTGATTAGCCTCTTAAACCCACGCAGCGAGATGATACTATACTCACTCTCTCTGCATTGGACCTTTCTCCTCTGACTTTGGAACCTTCATGTCGAGCTTCTCCAGTAGCCAATCGTACGATATTCTCGACTGCTGGAACTCAGTTGTGCACATGGAGTGAGTAATTCCTTCCAGGGCATCACAGATGCAGTGCGTGAAGTCGTATGTTGGGTAGATTCTCCACTTGTCACCCGTTCGGTGGTGGTGGTTGTTCTCGATGACTCGATATGCTGGCAAATCCCACATCTGAGGGTTGCCCTCTTTCGGATCATCCAAGCTCTGCTTCATTCGGAGATATGCCTCTCCTGCTTTGTATTTTCCATCCCGCATGGCTCGGAACTCGGTAATCGATTCTTCGATGGGACGCGTACGGTGTGAGCAGGCGTAGCGAGCAAGTGTGTGGTCCGGACCTCCGCGCTGCTTGTTGACCTCCTCCCCTGCACATCATATCAGTCACGATGTTACCATGTCCAGTTCATGCTGTGGGTACTTACTCGAGCAGTGGCAAACATATGCGCCATCTTTCCTGATCAGCTCCTCCGCAAGCTCATACAACTTGTCAAAGTTGTCGCTGCTGTGTGTGATCTTGTAGGGCTCAAATCCAAGCCATTTGATAATATCCAGTATGCTGGTGAAGTACTTCTCCTCCTCTTTCTCCGGGTTCGTGTCGTCGTATCGCAAAAAGCATACTCCCTTGTGGTGTTTGGCAAAGCCGAAGTTGACCGCGATAGCTTTGCAATGGCCGATATGAAGATAGCCATTGGGCTCGGGGGGAAACCGCGATCGCACCTCTTTCACCGGCTTCTCTTCATATGTACGTTTGAGCCAACCCTCGGTAAAGATGTTGACAGGCGGGGCGGCGGCGGGTTTCGCAGCAGGCTGCTTGTTTTCTTTTGGTCGCAGCGCGACTTCAGCTTTGGATTCAGCTTTCTTTGCTTTTGCTGCGGCTTTCTTTGCAGCTTTTTCGAGAGCGCGCTTCGAAGGACCCTTTTCTTCGGCGGGAGCGGCTGCTGGGTCTTTGGAAGCTGCTGGAGCGGAGGGTTCTGCCATACCTGGTATGCGTTAGCGGGGTATAACAATAGCATGTGCACGCCCTGACTGCGGAAGGAAGAAAGTAGATCACTCAGAAGAATGATAGGATGTATGGAAGGGTACTTACTGTTGATTTCCAGGTCTATGAGGCCAGAAGTTGAATCTGTGTGGCAGAATGCTTGGTCGCATGAATGTGTTTGGAGTTTTGGAGGGGTCGATATTGAGTCACTAGCTCCATACTATCGCATGCGCCACCTGCGCCACACCTCCCTTACCTACGTCAATTCATTCGTTCATCGATATCAAACATCACTAGGGCAAGTACACCACTCAAAGTTCAAATGGATAGATACAATCGATGAGAGACAGTTTCCTTTTTTTTTGATTTGATATCACATCAAGAATGCTACGTACGCGGTGGAGCGGGGACACTCAATGGCACTTGACTTTCCCATCACGAGCTCAAGTTCTCCCAAAGAGATGATGAACCAATTCCTCGACATACAATAAAAAGAGTAATGTGTTTCCATGCAAAACATATTTCCGCGTCCCAAGTTGTGTTTCCCCTACACATATTCAATGATATGTCATAGCCAATGTGTTGATTACCAAACTTGTTAGCCTGAATCCTCGCGTTTTTGCTCTCACTTGGTGTGCTTTCCATTTTGATAATTGATAAGTCGTACGGATCTACCCATGAATATGGTTGTACTGCGCCGGCTTCCGCAGCTATACGTGCTGATGCCACTGACACGTGCCCATGTTGGCCCAGCGTAACAAGCTGCATTGAGTCGGATTTCGAGCAGAAGATCTCGCTCCAATCCGCTGTGATGTCATAAACCCTTTGATGAATTTCTTTGCGTCAGAGGACTCAGCTTTCATGCATAGCTTGGTAAGCATCAGGTTGGTGTGTGTGACCTTCAACAGATCGTAGATGAATTGGTGGAGCCCTACACCAGGCATCGTATGATGGAGAATGTAGATAATTGTTTGAATGTCGATATGACAATCCTTTTTCGTGCGTTCGTGAAGTTCCCCGATAACCGCATCTGCTAGGCCTGGAATGCCTCGCAGGTCGGCGAAGACCCAGATCCTGCAAAGCTCCAAGGAGCTAGTTGCTGCTAGGTTTTCTATGGATCCCGTATAGATCCAACAGAGTAGTGACTCGAATGCTTTGATGTTGTCCTTGATTTCTACTACCTTGGCGCCGTTCTCGATGAATGGACCTTGTGGGGCAAGGGCCGCTTTGAAGTAGGATGAGTGGTACCGCAGAAGTGGACGCATGACTTGGAAGTCGCGGACGAAGAAGTCTCCGACCAAAGAATCCTTCTTCGAAGAATCACTGGCAGTAGACTCGTGATGTGGCTGTCTTTCCATGGAGGAATCGTGTTCGGCCGACTCGCTCGCAGAATGCTGCTCGATCGACGGATTTCCGGCTAAAGAACGATTACTTGGTGGCTCAGCGACAAGAGGACCATCGAACTCGTCCCACTCGTTGACTCGGATAGTCACTACATCGGTCATGTCGTAGCAACAGCTAGTAATGTTAGTCATGTAAAAATTCAAATTCGTCTCATTGAGCAGTACTTACAAGGGAGCCTTGACAGGCGACGAGGTACACTTCGATCCCTCAGGGATTTTAAAGGGGTTCTTAAGGCAGAAATAGCATCCGCAGAGAGCTGACATGGTTTTGGATAGTGTGGTGGTTGGTGGTTGAAGGAGAAAGGTGACTTGAGGCGAGGCGAGACCGATAATGATAAGAATTAATAGATATATAAGAGCAAAAGTGTATAAATCACAATACACATTGTTTTTGGTTCCTACATGGACTGTAAACCCTTCGCTTTGTGTAAGATCACCCAAATCCAACCCGAAAATTATCCACATTGTGTTGCCACTTGGACCATATCTCATGAATCGCCATGGCCTCAAAACAGATTCAAATACAAGACGTGCATCAAGCACTAAGTCTATTATTTGATTACCGCATATTCCATACGGCACAAACACTTGGTATTGAAATATTACATGATAAATTTGCCTTTGAGCTCTAGACAGGACACGCATGTTCCGTGGTTATCACGAAACTAATAAGTCATTATTATAAATGGCTGAGTCTGAATATAATCTGTAATTCCTACCAGACATTCCTCAACCACGGTGATTTTGCTACATTAAATAGCCGTCTTTACATATTTGCCTGTCTCACCTCTGCGTTGTGACAGAACGGGTTCATAGCAATGACAGAAAACAATCGCAAACGATTGTCCTCATGAAGGTTAGACGTGGCACAAGTTATTGGGGAGAACAATTACCTCACGCATGAAAAGCGAGGCAGCATGGATGTCTGGAACCATATGTCATTCGCAGCTTTGCGTGCTTCAATGCTTGCAAACATGATGCTAGGTGAAGATGACATTTATAGGCGGGATAACCTAGCCCTACAGCTGGTCAACATAGGCCGAAATTCATCTGGGCAGAGCGAGTGGCATGCACATGAGTTCCTATTGGCTGGATTAATTGGCTAGACCCAATGAAACGGATCTAACCAAATGTAGTCGTGTCGCAATTGCTCGTGAACAAGGTGTCTTGCAGTATACAATCTGGAGTATGCGATGAAACAGGTTCTGATGCACCTTCGCTGTCTCAAAATGCTAATCGAAATGGAGAATGTATGAACCGTGACCTTTTCTACGATGTTCAAAGAAACTTGCAGGGAATCATTATGAACAATTACTCGATTGTAATTTTTCTGTTATTCGAAAGCTACTTGATGGAGGGACAATGAAGAATGCGGGGAGCATTCGCCGACATGTCGCGCCAGTAGCTAACGCCGTCTTGTGATGCGTAAAGACCAGAAGTAATCCCAAGTTCCAGTTCCTCTCAACGCCCGAATATGTAATCGTGACACTGTACTCAGTGCCTGCTCCAAAGATCGATGTATCTATCGAAGTCTGTACTTCACTGTATGAGGTCATTATAAACCTCAAACTGCCTGCACCGCTAAGCAACGGCAAAAGTGTGCCCAATTCCTGAACCTTTCGATGCCCACCCACAGCGTTAATGTTGATGCCACTGGCATCGATCTTCACGCGCCCATTCAAGACGTGAAAGATTCTGCCATTCTTCATTCCCATCTCTGTCAAGCTTGAGCTTCAGAATACTCATCAGGAAAGATGAAGATTCGAAGTCGTGTAGATGAACATCCACATGATAGGCAATGCCGGCTGAACTTTTGGTACGCATAAGCATGTCATGCAAGAAATTCCACAAACATGACTCTGGGTTTGTGTTCCGAACGGTGTAAGGAACAATACTGCGCGTGTCAAGCGACCATATCGACACAAGTCTTTCATGGAGCTTGTCAATAGTAGCGTCTGCAAGACCTGGCAGACCTCTCTTATCGGCCAAGACCCAAACCTTGTAGAGTAGCAAGGACATCAGTCCTTCTTCATCTTTCTCACTATTACCACCCTCATTTTCGTTGTCGTTGTTGTCTCCACTGTATTCGTCCCCACCATCGTTAACGTCGGTGACATCGGCTGCATCGACAGCAATATCATCAAGTGATCCGGTATTGATCCAGCATAGCATAGACGCGAAAGCGTTGATATCGTCCTCAACCTCGACGACTTTGGCTCCGCTCTCTTTAAAGTGCCCATTTGGATCAAGCGCTACACGAAAGTATGAAGAGTGCCAACGAAGCAACGGGCGAATGACGAGAAACTCCCTGATTTGGGATCCTTGTGTAACCCGTATGGTGACAAGATCGTGGAGGTCGTGGCAAGAACTGTCAAATTTGGAGTAAGTTTGTATCCAGACCAAATGTAGTGGGAAATCAGGGTATAGTTACTTCGGAGCTTTGGCTGGAGGAGAGCGACAAGTTGAGAGCGTCGGCATAACCCACTCCGTCTTCTTCTTCTTCTTATTCGTCTTCTTCGCCTTAAGAGATGCCATTTTCTCGTCTAGATTCTGGCGGCGCCAGAGTGAGGTAGTGGTTAGAAGAGCAGAGCAACAGTAGGAACGTCTGCTGTTGGGTTACGTAAGCCAACTTGTTTGCTTCGGTAGGTGTGGTCCGCGCACAGTCAATCCAAGGTGAAGACGGGTAAAAAAGTGAAGGTGAAGGTTAATAGATACAGAGGATAGTCAAATGGTTTGAGGCACGAACGACTTTATCGGCTGCCCAATTTGACAGGCTCTCAGGAACTGTAGACGTGTCGGACATGATAGAATGGATGTCACTCTGGCATTGGATACAGGTGCTGCATCTATACGAGGTGGCGAGTAAGAGCGCCCTGTGTGTCCTTGTAAGTGAAATCAAATACTTCAGGGAAAAAGCCAAGAATCCAGTAAGAGAGCGCAGCGAGCGAGTTCAGATTTCTTCGCCCGTGAGCTCGGGCAGTTCGAGCGTACCGTGTCGCAAGGTATATACTTGAGCGAGTGTCAGCTTCTGACCTGAGTAGATGTGGCGATCCAAGCTGTCCAAAAGACTTACCAACAGTTCTCTCAAATAGTCGATTTCGAAGTCACGGGCTGTTGCCTGTTCGTTACGATTCGAAATCAGTGCTACCGGTCGGTATTGGCTGAGGTTGACCTGCACTGGCGTCTACACAGGAGCAGGATCAACGGGCTGGACGATCTCCCACAAGCCGCGCATGTCAAAAGCACTATCACCACCATGCGGGCCGTTTTATCCCCCAAAATCAGACGTGATGGCCGGGTTCGCGTTTCGGACAAAGCCTTGGATGCGCTCCATGTTGCAATTGCGGTTATATGTTCGACGCTTTCTTCAACGACTCCAGCATCACAGCGATAAAGAAAGGCAAGAGTGCCTCAACACCCGACTCACCCAGAAGCAGATTCCAACCCTTGAGGTCTTTGTCTACTTCGATAGCACAATGTTTCGGCTATCGAAGTAGACGAAGCTTCGTGGAGGATATCTGGGGTGACCGTTCGTGCACCAGATGACAATCACAACGAGAACGCGGAGCAACGACGCGCAGAAGGTTCGTTTCGATGAAACGGGCGCTTCAAACGACATGGACTACAGAAATCTGGGGCTCGTGCGACTTTGCTACGGTCAACTTCGGAGCTTGGTTTGGGCTGGACCGGCTTGCCTATTGCAACGTTCCTGGGTGACGGTATTTCTTGATTGATACAAGATGCCTAATGAATTGAAAAAAAAAAAAAACATTGAAGTCTTGCTCTCTTTTTATTCTAGGAATCAATTGGATATGTATGTACTTGCTAGCTGCGGGGTGATTCCGCGTTTTGGCGCAAGTTCATTGTGCATAGTTGAGTCTTGTTTTATCGTACTAGGACGCCTGATCGATAATTAGAATAGAGTCATTGTACCACACCCTTAAGGGCTAGCTACAGACGAAGAAGGACAGAGGAAATGAGTTAAAAAAAAAAGGGCCACCTCACGTGATTAAAAAGCGTAAAAAAGAGGATCTAGAAAAAGTTCGAAATTGCGCCCTTTGCGATCTACGGTAAACCATCTCGATAACCATATCGCCGACAGGCCTTTCTAACTGCTGCCTGCCTCGCAGGCAGGGACAAAAGATAAAAGGGAGGTGAGTGAAAAAGGCGCCGGCCGGCCGGCTTTTTTTTTGAACATCAATGGATTACATGTAATTGCGGGTAGCTCCGTGTCTTAGCGCCGTCTAGTCCTGTTTGGATCTAGTTTATTCTACCACTGCTCATACCACTCTCTACATGTCGTAGACGAATGGATAATCAATCACACAGTGTATATTGATCGACCTAATGCAGCAACTGCTTCCGCACAGAATGGTGTGTTAGATAACATCGAACACCGGCGCGAATCACGGTGGGCCCTTCACGGTATGCTGACTTGAGATACCATTGTTGTAAGGACGGTGCGCGGACAGACTTCGAGGTATAAAAACCAGAAACCAATTCTGCTCGCGACTGTATAGACATCACGCGATAACTTTACGACGAGCTTTCGCACAAAGAACCAGTGCACCGGCACAACTCGGGAAGATTAGGTACAGCACAACTACGGCGACCACACGACAAATTGCCCAAGTACCCCAAGCAGATACGCATATGGCGTGATAGCCACTTGTTTCGCACGCTGTCATCGACATTCGATAGAGAAGCCGTTACAATTCGGCCCAACTCGTCACTTTGCACCAATCCGTCCGCGAATTTCTCGTGTATGACGTAAATAACTCAGCTGGAGAATGATGTTTTCCTCCGTCGCGCAAATTTCTGCCTGAATTGCCCACTTTCCAGTTCACGCTGGCGTCACTGATGTCTCACAAACACTGCTCTTGGAATCATTTATCGTTCTGTAACCCCTCTTTCTTCCGCCTTCCGTATCTCCATCGAGCCGTATACCGCTCCCTTCTTCCATAACGGAAGCCTTTCCTTCGTCACGCAACCTCACATGCGTAGCACAACTCCTCCTTATCTCCTATTTCCCCCTCTCCAATCTTCACTCTAGCGTCCCTCACGTTGCACAGATACTTTCCTTCGCGTCATTCTTCCCTACTGCCCCTCTCTTTCCCGCCCGCTCTATCTCCAGCGAATCATACACGCAAAATAGGCAACTCAGCAATTGTGTCGCTGACAAAGTAGAAGAAGGTGGCGGGTATAAAAGCTCTCTGGCTGTCGCTGCTCGTTTCTCTTTTCCTTTTTTCTTCGGCACACTATGAATATCTTTTGAACAATTGCATTTTCCAGGTCATGTCTTTTGGAGGAGAGAGAATTTTTTTCGGTAACATGAATCATCAAAAAACGACTTTAAACTTTTCATGAAACATTTCACATATTTTGAAAGAATAGGTATGAGGACGACGAAAAACTTGATTTGAATCATTTGAAACTGCTAGAATGAAGAAAGCTTTTGCATGGAGAGGAGGGATCTTTTTTTTTTTGAACAATCAACAACCTGCTACCATGAATTGAGAATTATGATGTCTTTTGGGGGAAATGGGGTTTGGCACGACGACAACTTTGATTGAAACATTTTTACTAAGATCACATTTGGGGGAGTTCGGAGAGCATGTTGATCCCACAAACAGTGGGTTTGAATTTTATGGTGTCTGCACGGCATGCAAGGGTAGTGGCTGGAACATTAGATGGCCATGTTACGAATGCGAAGGAAAGAAGGTTGTTGTGATAAATTCCCCGATCAAAGTGGTCATGAAGCCAGGCATGAGAAACGGTACCATTGTACGGTTTCCCAAATTGGGCAATCAGTCGCAGAGCCACCAATTCTTGGATGGCGAGGTAGCTGTTCGGATTGTGGTGGATGGCCAACGCGACCCCAATGAATTCATGTTACCAAATGCGGCTTGTGAGCAAAGCATGAGAAATTTGGGCTGGGATAAGGCATAGCACTGTGTATGGTATGGCTCATTAGCCTTAGCATCTGGGTGCCTACTTGTCATTATAACTTTTCATCTTCGCACCTAGTGCATAATGAGTAAAAAGCAGTTTGTTGGGAGACTTCTGATGAGAAAAAACATAGATTTAAAATTTTTATTGAGAGAAATAAGGAACATTATATTGACAAGAAGCGTGTACCATTGACACGTTAAATCTGTAATGAGGTCCAGGGAAAAACTTGTGATAAGAAAAGACATGGATTCAAAAACTTTATCAAGAGAAATGAGGAACATCATATTGATAAGAAGCGTGTACCATTAACACGTTAAATCTGTAATGAGGTCCAAGGAAAACACGCCCAAACCCTACCCTGGCAGCACAGCGGTGAGCGCTTTTCCCTCCATCTTCATTTTTTTGTTCACAGGTGCTGCTTGTTGCTCTCCGACAGCGTGCCCATCTAGAGGTTCTCTTTTTCTGTCTCTTGCTCTTTTTCTGCGAGAGCCGCCTCCAGGTTCTCGATCCTTTTTTTTCTGCTCCGTCCGATGCTCATTCATCTTAGTGATTTTGGCACACGTCATTGCGAGCAAGTATCGCAGAGGAAGAGGCCGCAAGAGGTCGGGTGTGTCGATGGAGCGGTACGCGCTCCAAAAAGTCTCATTGGTTTGGGTCATCGTTAGCCTGGAGCCGAGCGAATTCGGTCGTCGGGTCTTCTGGTACAGAGCCCTCTCAGCTGTCTTCCTTGTCGCCCGGGCTTGCATTCGAGCCAAGTGGAATTCTTCCGGGTTCATGAGCGGTAGGCTCAGAGTGGCCTTCGTCAGCGCTGGACGCCATAGGAAGTGCGGGTAGGTAGTCGGGCGTGGTCGACTTTTTACGTGCTGAGCACTGAAGTAGGAGCTGTTCTAAAGATCGGGATGTTGTAAAAGGCCAACCTGATAGATACGTAGTCCGGCACGTTACAATAGTAATAGTGTCCGCTCTTTTCCCGTCGACAAAGACGTATTTCACGCTAGCGATAGTGATAGAGGCGTCTTGGCGCTTGTCGCTGGTCAACGAGCAGGCTGCCTGCTCGTCCTCATCCAACTCTCGTCAACCATACACATCGCAAACAGCTGACTGTGCGGAACGCTTTATTGGGTTTGCATGACTCATCTCGTGCTCCACATATTTCTCTGTGTGAGTCGCTTGCTGTGCTGCGGAGAGATTACTTGCTGACAGCACCTCAGCTTCACCTGGCAGGAATATGGAGAGTTTTTATGCTTGGCTTCCTGCCGATAATGAAGAGCCACAGCTGCTCGGCGAAGATATGTTTCGAGTTGTCGCTGCAGCTGAGGGATGGGTCCTTGATCCGTCACGCAGTGTAAGAGACTTCCTCAGTTCAATAAAGAGACTGGGCATCGATGAGGGATACATCAAACCCAGCTCGCTTAATCATTCACCGTCAATGTCACCGTGTCCAGCTCGTCGCACAGCAGCAATATCTGTCACATCTGCTGTATCCGAGCATCCCGTTGACGGCGAGAGCCACGACACTGCGAATGCTCTAGACAATACCGGACTTGGTCGCACCGAAAACACAGGCGTTGTGCTCGACAGCTCAGACAAGAACGACCTGGATGAGGACGGCTCAAACAACATGGCTTTTGAAGCAAGACAGGAGCTACGAGCGCTACCAGTCGACAACAGATACGGCGCCACAGAAGACTCTATAACAGCTGAGTGAGATGATCATCTCCCCAAGAAGAAGAGGAAGCTGACTAAGGGCCGAAGGCGACCTAATAGGAATTCGAGGCTAGCTCTCACGCGCGTTATACGAGAAGGATGAGACTATCAATACGAACGCCTACGACCGACAACCAATACAAAAATTTTATGGCCGCTTGGCAGTGCTCATCCTTCAAAGATCGGAGTAAAACAAACTCCGCAGCTTACGAAGACGTTTCTAGTAAACAATAAAACCAGTCGCTGAGCCTGCATGGAAAGACAAAGTCAGGCATTTGACTTCCTGGTATCTTCATTACACATAAATCCTCAAGATGACGAAACATGTTTCAGCATTGCTCTTGGCACTATCAGCGTCTGTCATTCAAGCGCAGGACAGTCCTTGTGTAAGTTTGCTCTCAAGAATCGTCTATTGCATAAGTTTCAAATAATAACAAAATTAGTGTGAAGCTCTTCGATCGTCTGGTCTGAATGTTTACTTACCAGATGATGCTGCCTACCAAGACCGCACCGACTCGTACTTCTCTATTAGTGCGCAACTGCACCCCTGGTGCTTTGTACAGCCTATCGAAACTAAAGAGGTGGCTAGCGTTGTAGATACACTTCGTGAACATCCTTCCTGTGTTGATACCAAATTTGCCGTCCGTAGTGGAGGCCACGCGCCATGGGCAGGTGCCAACAACATCGACGATGGCGTGACCGTTGACCTTGGGATGATGAACGCTACAGTATTGGATCTACCTCGCAATGTCGCAGGCGTTCAGCCTGGATCTCGCTGGGGTCGCGTTTACGGAACTCTAGACCCATTAAATTACACAGTCGCCGGCGGTCGTGCCATTAGTGTTGGCGTCGGGGGTTTTCTCACTGGCGGCGGGAACTCATTTTTCAGTGCTCGATACGGCTTTGGCACTGATACAGTCAAGAACTTTGAAGTGGTTCTTGCCACTGGGTATGCACCCCCACTTCTAGACATCTTTGCTGGTGAAGATTTGCCATTAATAAATTGAGCAGCGAAGTGATCAACGCCAACAGTACTGAAAACACCGATCTTTTTCAGGTTCTCAAAGGAGGTTCTGGATCCAACTATGGGATTGTGACCAGATACGACATGCTCGCTATCGAAGGCAGTACACTCTGGGGTGGAACAGCATTGTACAATAAATCGGAAGGCCAGAAACTCATTGATGCGCACGTTGCCTGGACCGATAATGTTCAAAACTACCCTCCTGGCAGCGCGGTTTTGATTTTCAATTACGAGCGCTCCTTAGGAGACATTGCCGTTCTTACTTTTTACCACGACACCGAAGGCCGTGAGGCTCCGCCCGCATTCGATGAGTTTTTAGCTATACCCCAGACCTCGAATACATTAAGGTTTGCAAGCCACCAGAACATGTCGGGTGACTTGGACATACCATTCGGATTCCGGTTAGTAATGCATTCACCCTTTGTCAGATTCCCTTCATAAATTGCTCACTCGAGAAAAGCAACATCTGGCATACCACGACCATCCGCAACGATCCCCGAATTTACAACAAGTTTGTCGAAATCCACGCGCAACTTGTGGACGAATGGAAAGCTGAGGTCTCAGATCCCGAATTCACCGCTGCGATGAATTTCCAAGCTATCCCCACGATCTTCACTGAACACAGTGTTGCCAATGGCGGTAACGTCCTTGGTCTTGATCGTGTGGACGAGAACGTAGTAATGATTCATTTCTTAATGTCTGTCAAGACTGTCGAGCTTGAGGTCAAGGCAACAGAGAAAATCAAGAAGTATGGTGCAGAAATGGACGCTTTTGCTGCCAGCGTTGATGGTCTTGTGGAATGGAAGCATTTGAATTACGCAGGGGGCGACCAGGATCCGCTTGCAAGCTATGGGGAAGAGAATAATAAGAAGATGAGGGCTGCGTCTGCGAAATATGATCCTACGGGATTTTTCCAGAACAAAACGCCTACTGGGTTCAAGTTGTCGAAGAGCGGCACTGTCTAGAGCGGCTTTGTCCATTCCCTTCGCACTCGAATGTAGCGATCCCTTGACCAAAATTTACCACAATTTCTCGAAACACCATCTTGAAAGCGTCAAACGTGAAGCCCGACTCTGGCAAGCCCAAAACGACTGCAGTGGCTCGTGGAAGATCCAATCGTTCACCCCCAGGTCGCCAGTGCTAACGACGGTGGCGTCCAGGCCACGACCTTTCGTGAAGTCAAAAATCTGCTGATTGACCTCTTCTAGCTTGCGATTGATGTAGAGATCTAGACCCAAGCTATTTAGAATAATGTCCATGTTAGAAGCGTTGTCGCGGCTGCCAATAGCAACAACACGGTAGCCCATTGCCTTTGCGAATTAAATTCTGAAAACTCTAAGTCCCCTAACACCCACAATAGCTATCGTAGACCCCTTCTTTGCTTTAGCTTAGAGAATAGCTGTTTATATTATGTAACTAGCGCACATTAGCGGTGCTGCCTGCTTAAACGGCAGCTCCTCTGGAACCCGCATGATGGCATTGTCAAAAGATATCATGTACTCTGCGAACCCCCTGTCTGCCTTTACAAAGAAGCCTACCATACCAAAATTTCCCACAAGGATAAGCTAAATGCACGATACTGCAATAACAAGACTATAGGCGGAATCTTAAACTTGGTAGTCCGTGTAAAAGGAGCTTGCTGCGACATTACAGACCAAGACCTCGATTCGCCGTGGCTTAGGGATGGGGATTTTCTCGAGTTTGTAATTCTCCTTTAACTGGTTGATTTTGAGTTGGAGTTTAGGCGTTCCTACACACAGCGATGATTTATGACGATGAAGGTACCAAAAAACGAGCAATTACAACAAATTTATAACGATAGACCTTCACACAAGCTTTTAAGACAAGAGCAAAAGATCAGGGGCACCCCTTGGCACCAGTCCGGAACGGGCTAGGGCCGGAAATACCGTTGTTTCCATCCCGTTCTCCCTACCTTGAACTGGTTTCTCGTCAAATTCATGTGACACCCCATGCGAGTTACAAGGGAAGAGACCCACTTTGTTGAGCTGGAGGGCATTTATGTTTTCTGGGACTTAAGACATGGTGATGTTTGAAGCGTGCGATATTTTCTGGTGAAAAAGGTGTGCTAAGATGTTTGGTTCCGTGTGCAATTTAGTGATGAATTATTGTTGTGGATATTAGGTTCAAGAACGAAGCTGGCGCTATACTCATGCATTTCTCATTCGAGTTCTATCATACTCCAGTAACATCACAACAAGAACAATCATCCATTTTTGGTGGATTGGTGATGTGACCAGCACCCCACTGTAGTAAAGTAAAGTAAACAAATAGTAAATTCTATAAAAAGTAAAAAAGTATCAAATTCATAGAAGAAAATGTATACAGCCTCTATAAGTTTAATATATAAAAAATATAACAGAAAGCATGCAAGACGTAGAAAAATGTAATGAATGCATAGTCTGCTATGTGAAGGTTGGAAGCAAAAACAAAATAGGAGCCTAGATGTTAGCAACAACTGGGTCCCATCTGCACATCTATGAAACTAAATTCCTGGTAGCCTCCTAATGCTAAGATCGCCTGGTTTTGGTCTTCGTGCTGGTCGTCTTGGTAGAAGACTTGGTTGAGGTTGTAGTTGGCTTGCTAGTTGTGCTAGTTGTTTTTGATGTAGTCGACGACGTCTTAGAAGTAGTCGATGTCGAGGATGGCTTAGTAGAGGAGGATGACTTTGGAGGAGAAGGAGTTGGTTGACCGGAAGTAGATCCATTAGTCTTGGTAGACGTTGCCGAATTTGAGACTCCGGTTCCAGAAGGGAGCTTCACGGAAGATGAGGAAGATGTCTTGCTGGTGGATGTCACAGTTGAATTGCGCGTAGTTCCAGTTGGATTCCCAGTTGACGAGATAGAAGAAGAGGGTACGTAGCCACAAGCGGCGGCGGCGGCACGCTTCCTCATGGGACGCTCGGCGAACGTCGAGTGAAGTTTCTGGATCGACTCATCCACTTCGCGCATGAACTTCTCAAAGTCCTTGGTCTTGATAGGTGTGAGGTCCCTAAATTCGAAGAGAGGGGCGGTGCGGGTCAACTTGTACATCCTCTCAACCCGTTTTCCAAGACCTCCAATAGACTCATCGTAATTCTTGTCAAAGTTGGTCAACATATCAGAAACATAGGAGCTATCGGGGCTATCGGCGGGGCTTGGACTGCCTTTGTGGAGGTTCTCGATCCATTCCTTGATCTTCAATTCTTTAGGGACGCCTTGCTTGCCGAATTTGCCGATATACTTGTACTGGAGCCCTCCGAATTTTGTACCAAGCTCGGGCTCCTGTACAGTACCTTTGCAATAAGTTTCGTCAATACTGTTTGCTGTTAGCTTGGTAGTTGCGTCTACAGGTCTCTTAAGTGACGCACCTGACTTCGAACTTGTTGTTCTTGAAGGTTGTCTTGTAGCATGCAAGTGTGTTGAAGATGTCGAAAAGTTCGTTCTCGACGGGGAAGAAGGACTTAACCGCCTTGTAGATTGTGTAGAACTCCGTTCGCGGCATAAAAGGGAGCCATGACTTTGGACTCATTTCCTGGGTGTTTGGATCGTTTGGATTGATGGGCTTGTTCGCAGCTTTGGCGTATGACAAAACAAGGGTAGCGAATCCAAGCACCGCATCGTTGATATTTTCAAGATCAACCTTGAGTCCGAGGCTCTGGAAGTAGTCTTTGGTGACGAGGTTGGTGTTCTGACCCCTGGATACTGGAATATAGCCGTCTAGAACGTTCCTGTCTGCATCGGGGGGGTCCTCCACGTTCTCTTTCATCAAAGAGTAGAGTGCCTCCAATGGCATCGACGCAGTGACCTGGGGAACCCAGTCGAACTCATCTGGCTTTGATCTCTCTGAGAATTCCCTGACAATCCAAGGGTCTTTGCATTGCGGGTAGTTTTCGATGATGACCTGGTCCTTCGGGTTCTCAGTCCAGGGCTTCCAGCCCGCCTGCGTATGTTAGTTATGTCGATATCGAAGTGCGTCTTTCGATGTACTCACCAGATCATCACGGGCTGCTTTTCCAGCGGCGGCAGCACTACCGTCTCCGACTCTAATGTTCCTACCATCCAAGACATACTCGGCACTCACTTTTCCCTTGCCTAGCTCAACTGAGGTGTCTGCAGACAGCAAAAAGTTCTTTCCAGTGCGACCCTTGATTGTTTTGCGTTTTGCCTCAAAAGTGTCTTCCAGATTGCATTTATTGTTCGTGAACAGGATGTTAAGAGTCTCGAACTCAGCCCCAATACCAGCCTCTCCAGACGTAGTAGGCCCATCATTGAATTCGACCATGACGATGTTCTCGAAGAGGTCTTTGCAGCCGGGAGGAGGTGCACGCGGAGCAACCGCCGGCAATGCAACCGCATTGGCGGTTGCCAAAAGTGACAGAGAAAGCGCGTAACGCATGTTGGGCAAGGTTACCTATCGAATAGTAAAGAATGTAATCCAGTTGGAGTAAAGAGCGTGAGTGTGTTCTGTTTGGGAATCGTTCAACAAGACGCGGAACTTGGAGATATATATATATATGATTCCTTTGAGATGGGAAACGAGTAAAAATAGCCTCTGTTTCAGCCTTCTAATTTGGATTCGCACATTGGTGTAGCCGTGAATAACTTTGATGTTCAGCGCACGCGTCATCTTCGTAAAGTTCACCCTTTCGACCCTGAACGTACGTACGTTGGATGTCAGCGTGTGCGGATGATTCGGTTGGTACCAGAGCCCATCCGTATTCTCCGCCATTCTGAGACAAGTAAGCAGGCAGATCAGTCACATATTCTTGAGTGATTTCAAAATTCTCAGGCATAGAGCTTCTTGGAGTTAAGAAAACAAAATTTGAGGGGCCAGCCACCTCTCGAAAGTTATCAGAATATGCCAATTTATTCAATCACCGTTGTTGCAGCCACTGATTTAAATGCCTATTGACATTAAAGGCTGTACCCTGCTCATGTGACATAAAATAGAAGTTCCAGTTCAGCGTTGAAAAAAGCCAAGAAATGGTCTCTCACAGGAAATTGGGAATGAGCAAGATTATCAACCCCGCGAAGTATGCTAGTAAGCGGATGTATGCTTGGTCCCATAGTTCTAATGTTCACATCGCAACCCGCGTGTAGGATTCTACCAGTACTAATGCGGTAAAAACTAGAACGCTAATCTAAAAGCGGACGCCGAGAAGCTGGAGTTGTTCAGCACAGGGCTGTGTCTAGGTGAGAAACTAGATATGGACACGATGGACCGTTTCGTCACAGTGATAACTTCCTTTGATTATCATCGAGTAATATAGACTATACTTAATTAATCCTTGATCAAACCTCGTAAATCGCATATTAGAGTTCTGATCATAAACGAGAGAATTCTGTTAGGTGCGTAAGCGGTGCATCGCTGCTACGGAGTTTTTCGTGCTGAGTGAGCAGCACTGTAGTAAGAAACTGGTGTTTCCAAAAAGGTATTTCACAAAGGCGGGCCAACCTAATGACTGAAAAGACACGGGTAAATGCCACAAAAATCTTCACGAAACCACAGTTTAACCATCTTGACCATCTTAACAATAGGCATCTCAACAATGGGCATCTCGGGACTGACTACTGCCTGGCAACAGGCAAAGGATAAAAGTGCATAGCTGCTAATCCCAGTCTTACGCCCAGACGAGCGCTATTTTCCTATCATGGCAGATTCCTACCAGTTGCTACCTATCTAGGTTGATGCTCACGTTGGCGGAGTCTTTTGGTGGAAATTGCTGGGAGTGAGAACTTCGTAAACGTGTACCTTTTTGGGTGTAGCGCTGACTCGCGAATCCTACCTAGCGTGTATTCCAAGCAAATGGACTACGGGCTGCGTATTACGAGGAATGTAATGATTCAGATGGATTAAACAGCTGATCAATGATCTAAATATACAATGCCTCTGTACAATACTTACCACTCTCCATATATTTACTGCCGCGAGCACCTCATATCAAGAACGTCTTTCTTAAACTTTTCACTGTCATTATAAGGCATGATAAAACCCCTGCCCATAATGTTCCCTGTCATAAAAATCTGAGCGTCTCCACAGTGCATTGGGATCATATACCACCTGCAACGGCCTTGTAAATCCCAATCCTTCTTCCAACTCACATAACTCCTCAAAACCCATCGCGTTACTCTGCCTGATATCCCCCATGTTAGATGACCCAGACAGTCTCGGCTCCTGAATCTCTCCCCCAAGATTCGCTTCCAGACTGGTTTGAGGGTGATCCATCTTTGCCCCAATCTGTTTCTGTAGCCGGGTGCGGGAAGCTTGCCGAGAGCGGTTATACCAGAGCTCTGTTGCGGCGTGGTTCTGGGCTTTTATGATGGTTGAGCGCCTGCGCTGGTGCTTGCGGTACATGCGATGTACGAAGGAAATGGCGGCGGCGAGTAGGACGAAGCCGAATGTGGAGTTAATTATAATGCAGACAACTGTAGTATGTTGGGGGAGTTGAAGTACCATGATGAATGCATGGGTGAGCTGTAACTTGTATTGCGGTCTGTGTCGGATGATCAGCGCCTATTCGCATTTTCTATACTCGCTTGAAGTATGTGTTGTGGAGCTTCTAGAAGCTCCAACGGTGGTGTTGTGTGATGTTGCAGACAAAGGGAATGTTTTTTTATTTTTGGAATAGGGCAGAGAACAAGGAATATCACGAGATTTTGAGCGACGTTTCGGGAGGTGCGCGTTGTGAGTGCACACTGTATCAAGTTTGATGTCGGAAGATGAACAACGCGGGACGGCAAGGTTCTGTAGGTATTATTGCACAGAGAGATGGGACAAATTGAGCAACGTAAGACGGAAGGCCCGCACGAAAAACATTGCAAAGATTTTGATCTATTCCATCGTGTTGGTTTGATGTGATCGTAAAGACTTCTTTCCAGGTACTTCCCACCACCTTCCACGTTCTTTGCTCCCACTCTCTGTCCCCAGATCACCCCCATTCAACGCTCCGGGTTTGGAGCCATTGGCCGCAGTTCGATGTACGTAGGTGGCATCTCGTCTCCATCCGTCTCCGTCTCCTGTGATGAGAAGATGTCCTCGTACCTCGGGAGTGTGTCCGAGCTCTCGTTGCTGCGGTGGAGGGCTCTAGGAGGAACTTCAACCTCCTCGACAGCAAAGTTAGCTGCATCCAGCCCAAAGGAGATTGCAAACTCGGCGCGTCGCTGGGCTCTAGCCGCCTCAAGGCGATCGGTGGCGCTGTCGTAGCTCCTACGGGGCAGATTGTTGTTTCGGCGGCGTTGGGATTGTGTGTAGCGGTAATGGTGAATGAGGCGCCCGGATATCCACCACACGAACATGAGGCCAAATAGACCAACGATGACGCCAAAGCTTATATGGGTGGCGATCTTCTTGATGAAGCAGCCTTCGCATGTCTCTTCAGGTAGTGGTGCCATTGTTCAGGTGCTGTTCTCAAATAGTCACGTTAGCAATGGGTTCAAGAGGGAGTAAGACGGGTAAGTTGTCCGTTTGAGTACAAGCAAGAATCTTGTGGTTAGTTTTATTGTTGAATTGACCTCGAAGGGCGTAAGCGCTGTGGTAGTGTTGTCTGTTTGTTAGCTTCATGCCCTCGATCGAGCACGATAAAGGTCACCGCAGTGGTTGTAGTTACCGAGTGGGTGGATGTGAAGTATCTTCTTGAGCTCAGTAGCTTGGAAAAACGCGGGGCTTGTTTGAGAGCTATACGCTTCTGCTGGTACTGCCTTGTAGATTAGAAAGGTGTGTTCTGTGATAATTTGACGATCTGTTTTCAATTAGCAAGGACCCCTGTCGCCGTGCTGAGCGGCAAGCAAAAGCAGTTTGATGGGGGGGACTGTACTCACATGGACACGAAGGACGCAAGTGGACAGCCCAGACAGCTTGTTATGTAGTTTTCTCTGGGCACGTCCCTCCCGATATGCTCTTGGCGGGTTTTCTGAAGTTTTTCCGCTCCGTGATGTTGTCATAGGACACAACTGACACACTGACCCCAAAGAAATTTCGGTATTGTAGGAGAAAGCGGCTTGAGGTCGAGATATTTGTCAGGAAATTATCAAGCATGCATAATTCAAGTTACAAGTAAAGCTATCTCCAACTACTCTTTCCTCTACGTTTTTGAGGAAATGAAAGCAAGTATAATCATAGCGAAAAATGAGCATCCACAGACTTGAACTACCAGTCAGAAGCGGATAAGATGCCCTAGTGTGGCTGTTAGACCTGCCAATCTGTCGCTTTCAATAGTATCCGGCGTTAATGATGCGGTATATATACATATGATTGCTGGTGGTGAGAAGGAACGTAGATACGTTCTGTCTCCACGGATTAGATGATCTTCTGGCAAGAACCTTGATGGACACTCAGTCTGATTATCAGACTAAGATTTACTATCTAAAAAGTTCTACCTCAGAGGGAGGAAGTCTACATGGTCCGCTCTAGTTTTGCTCCTGTTTATTATAACCTGTCATTCCGATTGAATGACCTATGGTATTCTGCCAACCCAAACACAGGGCTTTCCTCGCCATCACGCGTTCTCCTCCCAGTTTCTACTCTGTCCTTAAATACATCAGCATCCGCAATACTCCCCTCCACAGACTGCACCCCTGACAAACTACTCTGCCTAACCCCGTTGCCCGTAAAAGCGCCGGGTCCCATCTTCTCGACAGGGCTCCCTTCAGGAGGTGATACCAGTTTCACAACATCATCATCGTATCTGCTGGATTTGTAATCGTAGACACGAGGTGAGAGCACGCGATCACTGATTGCAGAGGCAGAAAAAGGATCGGGGCTAAGTGATGACAGTTCAGGAGGGGTATTAGATCGCAAAGCGAAAGACGACACGGGGTCTGCACCACCAAACTTGCGGACTTGGGTTGGCCAGTCTATATGCGAGTCCTCGCGACCGTAGAGCTCGTGGGTTTGTGGGCGAGGGCGCTGGTCATCGGGGGAGAGGGCTCGAACGGCAAGGCTTGGTTCGTATGGTTTTTGAAACACATAAGGCTCTTTTGTGTCTGATTGATCGGTACGGTTTTCAGGATCGTTGGTAACGGTTGAAAAGGTAGTGATTATGGCGGGGAGAGGGGTTGTGGATTTAGCAATGCGCATTTCCAAGTATTGACGGATGAAGACTACGGTAGTGGCCCCAACTTGAGTGATAGAGACGAAGCTTACAAATCCGACGACAACGGGGGCCACGAGAAAGGCATCGACAACGCAGATGCTGATAGCGCGGAGAAGTGAGAAGCCTTGAACCCAGGCGAACATAGAGAAGGCGAGGGTTAGCTGGACCAATATGGCAGAGATGACGTGGATTCTGCTCTCGCCTTTGAGGAGCGCGGGAAGTTGCTTGATGCCAGAAAAAGCTGAAGGTGGGGGAGACGGTGATTGGGGGCGAAGTCTGAGGTAGGACATTGCGGTTGCGGGAATGAGAATGAGAAAAGTGAGCAGTCCGAACACCTGCATCTGTTAGGTCTCTTCACCGTCACGGAGAACTATAGGTGATACATACCCCATGCGAGGGCGCAAAATGCCGGGCTTTCCTCATGCCGACGATTCCAAGCACGATACCTATCAGAGCCGTAGGTATGAAAACGCCCAAAAGAGTGAAATTTCACCACCATTTGATTTTCGCGTTGTCGAGGGGATGCCCGATCATAACTGAGATGCGGTGGATAGCACCGAGGGTCACATAAATAGGTAGAGCATAGAAAAAAGCTATTGTCATCAAAATGACTAAGTCTCATCAGCGGCCTGTTCCAAGTCTATATCAAATGGTGTTTTGGGGGAAGCACCTACTGTGAATAGCTGTTAGAACAGCAAAAGGTACTACAGGCAGTCCGTTGATCGTGATGGAAGTAGAATTAGTGATATTGATAACGAAAGCTGTATCTCCAGATCGGATAGTAATGGGGTCCTTAGGTAGAGCTGCAAGTGTTGACGGGTCTAATGGAGGCGAATTCCCCGTGTTACCAGTAATCTTGCTCTTCAAAGCAGGATTGCTGAAGAGACCTAATCCAACCGCAGCGAGGCCACCGACACCGCCGCACGTAAGCGTATCTGTTCCGGCTTGTGCAAAACTTCCCAATGTGGCACTGTCGATGGCAAACGTGGGGACCATGGTCATCTGAGTTGGCATAGCCTGCCGGGATATCAAGCTGTCGTGTTCTAAATCGGTTAGTGAGCTGTGCATCGAAGGGGGAGGGAGCCGTGCCTACGCTCTCAGCGACGTTACGCTTCAGCAAAGTCGAATTTTCTTTGGTCGTCTTGATAAGCTGCGAAACCAACAAGATGCCCTCCCCAGAAAAACCTCTTGTAAAAGCCACAGCAGATCCGTTGAGCGAATCGTTGAAGCTCGTAAGGGGCAGTGGTGGGAGGCTGTAAGCCAGTTCTAGTGGGAAATCGCCAGCAATTACCTTATGGAAACCCCCAGCTTGCGAGAGCGCGTGTATAGAACCTTCTACGAGCCCCCTCGCTACGCCCTCTGCAGTTTTCGGCAAGTCTACAGACCTTGTCAAACCACCTGCGTTGGAAGCGATCGCGCCACCCACAGATTCGACACCACCGTTCTGCAGAAAGCTGGCCAATAAACCCTTGGTGAACTGTTCTGCGATTCTTTCCTGGTCTGCATCAATCCCACTTTCGTTAGTCGCAAAACTTTTGACTGATAGGTTCTTGGGGACCTTTTTGTCCAGACCGATCGCAATTCCTTCTCCGATACCTCGACCGGCTCCTGATGCGAGCGATACAAAACTTAGATTCATGCCCCCAATGTTTCCATTTCCACTGTTAAGTCCCATAGAAGCAAGCGCCTTCTGGATGTCGGCGGATTGCAGAAATGACTCGGTGAGTCCAAGGGTAAAATTGCCGACCGCGTCAGGAATGTCCACCGAGTCTGAATTGAGAGGAGCTTGCCTTTTTCTGGGTAGAACACCTGCTGGGCCTACTTTCGCAAGACCTAGTCCCCTGCTGGCACCTTCTCCAAGGCCAAGACCTGCTGATGCTGCAATCTGCGGTAGCTTCTCCGGGGAGAATCCCCCGCCTGTACCAGCTTGACTCAGAAGGCTCTGAACATCAATGCTCGATGCTATCGGGGTTGAGATTCCCAGACCAAGGTTCTGGGCTATTGTGGTGAAGTCTGAGTTGTTTACGGGGTCGACCTTTTTTGTCGACAAGTTGAGGCCTGCAGACGTACCCTGCCCTATACCCTGCGCAAGGCTGAAGGCTATCAGACCAAGGGGAAGCGTCGAAAGACCGGCGCCGGACTGGCTCATCAAGCTCTGGAAATCGATGCTTGAAGTTATAGGAGTGGATACACCCAGCCCGATGTTTTGAGCTATAGCCATGATATCGGAGCTGTTTACTGGATTGCTGGTAGCTTTGGTAAGATTCAGGCCTATGGAGGTTCCTTGGCCAACTCCTTGAGCGAGACTGAAGGCGGCGAGGCCGATGGGAAGAGAGGCAAGAAGCCCTCCATTGGTAGAGCGGTCGCTATCGTTGCTGGGACCGAATGCAGAGGACAGTTGCCCAGCAACACCTGTTCCTAGGTTTTGGGCAATCATGTTAATGCCTGTAGGCTCTTGACCCATAACCTGCGCCAGTTTGACAGCCTCCGACTGCGCTTGCTCCGGCGTCGAAAGATTGAGACCATTTTCTACCCCCATTCCAACACCTATACCAAGGAATAATGCTGGTGTTGCGAGGCCATCAACTAGACTGTTCCCGATTCCTGACAGCCCCTGTGAGAAAAGATCCCCCAGGGCACCGGTGATATTCCCCACACCACCTCCAGCACGGCCTCCTCCGGTTATGAGATTCCCAAAATCTTGCAAAAGTCCTCGTTTTTTGTTCGGCTGCGTTTCGGATTTCACGCGTGCGACCTCTTCCGAAAGCGATTTTCCGAACTTGATCCAATTTGTAGAGTGGCGATTTTCCCCATACCTCGTTGAGGCTTCGGCTACGGCTGTAGACAGCTTCAAGAATGCGTCTTGCAGGTTCTTGTCCTCGTATAGCGCGTCGATTGTCGCAGGCGAGAGATATGCGTCGAGGGCATGGGGAGTACGCACATGGCGCCCGCTTTGAATCCACTCGGTGAACCACAGGCCAATGGTGATGTAGAGAAGGAAGAGCAAGGTAAGAATAGAAAATGGCAGGAACCAGCCTGACTTCAATGAAAACATTATGAAGAGGCTATCGCGAAAAGTGGAAACGAAAGAAATGCCACCTGTGGCAACCAACAGTACGGCAGCAGGCCCGGCTGGTGGAGAGAATACCTCAGCATCTTGTACCAAGAGATGTACAAAGAGCACCCGGCACTAGTGATGATTGAGCTGGGAGTTCGCGAAACGGGCCAAGTGTCATGTTTACCTGAAATATAGTACGGAAGTGGCGTGGAAGGAGAAGTTGTGCCTTGATTCTGGCTGGGATCGCTGTGCCGTTTCGGGTGGTGGGAGCGAAAGAAGATCGGTGCATTTCGAGTTTGAGCCAATCAGATCGGGGGAAGGGTCTAATGATGGATAGGGTGTGCATTGAACCAATGGAGAGACAAAAATACACGCTATGAATCGAATAAACAAAACGGAAAGCGGATCGCAAGACGGTTAGTTGCCTTAGTGCGTTGTAAACTCAACTGGCGCATCGAGGTTCCGTCCGACCAGTGGTTCTTCCGTGGGCTGATGAGACACGATTGAGACAACTAGCGTACTGGTTGGGAACACCGCAGCCATTACCACATTAAGAAGGATTTGAATGGAAAGATTCTATATTTGACCACCGGTTGGATACTAAAGAAATCGAGGCTTGACATGCCATCATGGCTTTGAAGGTCTTGAATGGAAAGAGAGGGAAGAAAGAAATAATGAGCACCTCTCCTCGGAGCAAGCAATGCCACCCAAGTCTTTCACGTCGTCCCACTTAGCGACGATGCGCGTCATAGTCAGGCGGTGCGGTTGGATGTTCCGCTACGAACCGCGGACGTGAAAAGTTGGAGGTTGGCCCAATGGGTATTTGGTGCTCGAGAGCATCGTCTTCAGTGTATTCTGGAGGATCCACATCATCAACACCAGCAACTTCCTCATATTGTGGCAGAGTATCATCAGAACTATGCTCATTGCGAACACGAGGATAGCGCAGAGCAGCATCGGGACCATGACCTGTATGAACAAGAGGAGGCAGGCGATCGTAACGCCAAGTAACAAGGCGGCCTTGCTGTCCAAACCAACGCCCCTGCTGCACATGAAGTGGCTCTGGGCCTCTGGCTACAAAGCCGCGAAGCTCAGCAGTCGTGACACGACGGTGTCTACCTTGGTGCCCGGTAGCGATCCACAGTTGCGGATGACCTTGGAATCTGCGGAGCGCGATTTGCTGACTTGGCGCTGAAGCCGATGGCTGGTCTGGAGATAGACGGAGAGCGAGGGCATTGTGAAGAGGAAGGATCGAGTCGTCCTGAGAACGAGCGCGGCTTCTCTCCTGTTTCCTCGTGAGTTTGTGGACCAAGACGAACAAGCCACAAACTGCCGCAACGCCAACAATCGACAGAAAGGGAATAATGACGCCTCGTCTCCAGCGGGGAGGTTCATCACTGTCCTCGACCATTTCGGCAAGGGACTAAGACACTGGGGGGGGGGGGGGGGGGATTCTTGCTAACAAGCAGCTTTTTGGTGTGTGTGAAAAACAATTCGATCGCTGTCTGGTACTCTACCCGCACTCGCGATGATTCTTTGGTAGGGGATGATCCTGATGATCGAGGAAGAAGTATTTAGTCGAGTAGCTTATGAGCGATGTTCTCTACCATGTACATGATTGAGGGTGCAGGTTACAAGCACTGTGAGGATACAATTCCTTACTTCGCTTGGATCCCTTCAACTATCGAGTTGCAGGCGCCAGAGGAAAGCCCTTGATAAACAATGTGAGTGATGCATTGTTTACAAGTCATTTACTCGTTTGCTGGTCGGTATGCCGTACCATTTCTCTGCGAGTCCAAAACCGCTGTAGGTGATGTATCTACCACACTGGTTCTCCTCGAGTGGTGGGCACTTCTGCTCAAGGGTTCCGTAGCCGAACTGAGGGGACGTAACGACGTTTGGAGAGGGAAGTACTCGTCGCCTTCTCCTGGCGTGGTAGGGCGCGTTGGCGTCCTAGCCCGGCTTTGGAAAGGACTCATCCGCGTTATCTCGGGACTCCAGCTCCATCGATCTTCGCCGGTGTGTCTGCGCTGATGGCGTCTGGGCGTTGCCAGAGGAAGTTCCAGTCTTTTGTTCAAACCCATCCATAGAGCCTCTTCTTCTTCGCCATCATAGAACCTCCAGCCACCAACACCCTCGAAGTCGCGAGTGATATCGCCTGATCCTAGCAGAGAGGCCGAAGAGCCGCTTTTGGTATGTATTCTGGCTGGCGGAACAACCGTCTCTAGGGAGGACGAGCTGCTGCGGCGATGGCGCGTACGCGGCGGTGATGGTGTAGACGGAGGCGCATGACGTCTTCGAAGCTGCTTCGTCCCCTCGGGGAAGACATATGCGTGTAATAGTGCGACCCCTAGCTCGAAGTAGACGACAGAAACGCGGACGGCGAGGAGAGACAAGGCAATGGTGGTGGTGACTGAAGTAGCCGGCACAATTGTCAGCAAAGGGAGATGGATCTAACAATGTTCAAATGTTATGTACAATGTCATGCCCAACTTCACTCCACGTGGTGGGTCATTACATGATACATGTGCCGGTATCTGTGCGACGGAACACTCGGGACGGTTATACGTACGACACGCAAAGACGGCCAGTGGGACAGACACCAGCAGAAGGAATGGCGGCCCCAGAAGATGCAGCGGCTTAGGAAAAACACTCATTTTGACGATAAGATATATTGTGGTGATGGATGACTTGGAGAAGACATGGTCAGCCGCTTGTAAGTAAGTAATTGCATGTATGTGGTTATATATGCCAAATATGTCTGTAGGTAGGTAGACGGTCTTGTTGAGCTCTCAAGCATGTGAAGCTGCGGGGATTGGCCCGATCCGGAAGAGCTTCGGACTGATCGATTGCTTACGTAAGTACCGTCTCAATCACGTGCATTCACCCTCGCATCTTGAATGTTCCTAGACCTCACTGACTAAGGCTACGACTCTTGCTTCTAACCATTGGGCATTCAAGTATTCGCACACAGATATTGATGGTTGTTCTCAATCCCCCCGAGTACCCAGACAAAATCTATGTCGCCGACAACCAGGGTTTGTACCTTGGACTGCAACAAAGAGAATCCACTATGGTCGGCGTTGGTGGAAGACGGCGTTCTCTTTGACATGGGAACAGTGAATGGCCAGCCCGTCTAGCTTCCCTTTGTTGGTCATTTTCTTCGTTTGCTATACGAGAACAAAGCTCAAGCTCCTTCCAGTTCCTCAAAGTTCGACGTCTACTCATGCCCAACAACTCAACTTCCCTCAACTTATCGCAAATCTAGTTCCAGCTTCAATCCGCCAAAATGTCCGAGCAGCAATCGCTTCCCATCCCCACGTTTGTGAGCAGCCCAAAAGGCGGCAACTTCGTCCCACCCGTCCAGCAATCTCCTCACCATACCTCTCGAAAGCAATCCCGTCACGCAAAAGCCGAGAAGCGCGCGTACGCCCGTCAGCAACAAGCCGCCCAAGGATCAAATTCCTCATCTAAGCATGTCCGCCGTGCAAATATCATCGGTTACGCGCAGTATTCGCATGCAAACCTCACCATCGAGCAGATCGATGATCAGATCAGCCTACTCATGCAGCTACGTAGGTTGAAGACCCAATCGTCGCTCGAGTCGCGTATCACGCGTGATGAGGCTCCCAAGCCGAAAAAAGAGAAAAAGGAATTGACTCGTCAGAAGCTTGAGAAGATACAGAAGCGTCGTGAACAGCGTGCTGCAAAGAAAGCGGCTTGGTTGGCTAAGAAGAGCGCGGAAGGCGATGGGGCCGTCGCTTCAGAGCCATCTGGTGTGCCTCCAGTGCCCGTTGTGACAAGGGGTTCTATCACCGAAGACAATATTAATTGGGACGAGCTTTGAATTAAACGTTGGCGTGATTGAAGTAGCGGGTGGAGCGATTCTTTTCAATGATCTTGTATCTATCCATCTCTTGGGTTAATTCTTTCCGGCTGTTCTGCCGACTTTTTCTCTTCTTTTCCTTATCTCGATTTCAGTTATGTGGTCGCTCACTTAATCACTCACTTAGACGTTCATTTTGATTTCCACGAAACTACTCTACACTCGTTGTACGCTCAATTTACCTTAAGATCTAATCTTCCAATGTATATTTGTTATTATTGCTTGCTTTTCAACACATTCTACACACGGCACGAAAATCTGGGTTATCTGATAGAATAGTTCAGTCGGAACAACTGTAATACTGATTATCGCTTTTGAGGCACGAATTATCATTAGTCAGTCTACATAGTTAAGTTTGTAATGTATGGGGTCTGGAATGGAGGAAGCGTTATCCAATGGACTGTCAGGTTAGCAACAACCATGATTTGTTTCGTCAGCGCCTCGAGTGAATAAGAGTTTTCCCGTCTGAAAGCGAGCCATGGTACATTGAGCGAACATCTTTTCGAACAGAAAAGAAAACCGTAGTGATAGAGAGTCTCAACTGTCGCTTACCCACTCAACTCTCATTATCTCTCGATGCACCTCTTATCCCACCCACATAATAAATCGAAATCTCACCCGCTACATATAGCATACACACACCAAAAGCAAACCCAAAACCATTAACCGCGAGTGAGTCGCACGAACAAGCCCCCAAATTAAACTTATCTTGTACTAAAACACAGCATTGTGTAGCATCTCAATACAACATACACATCACTGAGATATGTCTAAAACCCACAAGCATCACACACTTACCTCATCAACATCCCTGGACCTCCTCGCTTTGATGATCTGTATTCTATTCACAGCTTTCATCTACTACATCATCTTCAAAGCCTTTGTTTCCCCCACGGTCCCCCAACCTACTTTCCGGAAGAAATTAGAAACGCGACTCTCTCGGCAGAGCTCTTCCAGTGCTATCCCATCATATTCTTCGCCTCCCTCAGTTTCAAGATTTGATATCAAATCAAATCTAGATTGGTTGATGGCTTGGATGAGACCGAGATCAAGGGTGCGGACGCTGGATGATCTGGAGATGGGAAGTTCGATTGAAGGTAGAGAGGAAACTGGGTGTAGAAATTAAAGGCCGATGGAACCGCATGAACTGTAATCAAAGGAAGGTGAAACTGACTTCACTTGATTCCCAGGTCGGTTGCTACCGATATGTGAAGGCAGTGAAAGTCGTCTCACGTGATTTACCCCTTCACTCCGTTTGCTAAGTGGTCAGCGTTGACTGGCTCGCGTAAAAAAGATTGGCGATAAATGACCCCGACTTTGAGTATGCAATGTTTTCTTAGGTATCAAGGTATCATGCGAACATTGCTAATACTATTCCGCCGCCAACCTCTTCATTAGACCAATGTCTATTGGTGATCCTACTTAATAGTTTAGCAAATAGCAGAAGCTCTATTATTCACGGGCAAAAACCTCGATCTTTCTCCATGAATCTTTGCTCAGATGATTGTAGTTTTCGTTTCCCGTTCGGATGTTCATGTTTCTCGTGCTCTCATCACCGTTCATCTCCATACATGGCCAGTAATTTTCACCTTCATTTTCCAATTGGACTTGAATCAACGACAGGAGAATAAGATTTGGGACATAGCACGAGAAAATTTCCCTCGCTCGGTGAAAGGCATGCAGCGATTTCCTTGAATAGTCTTTCGCTTAAGCCACCGGAGGTTTTACTCGCTTGAATCATAGCGGTGGATTCTAAGACAGTTGTGCAGGGTGTAGCGATGCGAACTCGCTTCAGCCAGTCGTCACAGCGAGCCACCATTGGAAATCGTACACGTTAATCTTATCTTTAGGCCAGTTGTTTTTCTGGTGGTGTCTTGTTCTCAGCGTGGATTGATGCATTCTGATAACTGCCGCTTTTCGCTCAGCTTCTTACAGCGAACGGCTGCTGATCAACTCTGTTGCGATGACAGATGTAATATCTATGGTTGATTGTTTCTCTTGGTATGAGCAATGCGATATCAATGGTTGAAATTTTTGTATGTAGGAGTAAGCTGAACAGGCTTGGGATGGCTTCTATTGGCCGATTTATCTTATATAGCAATTATTGCAGCATCCTGCTGACACGCGCTTACTTCACCGACCTTGGCGCGTTAAATTTGGATCCCCATGGATGAAGGGCGACTTATTCTGTGTCCTGATTTGTTGGTCGCGGATCACGTAGGTAAATAAGCCTGTCTCTCTTAATATATAGATACTGCAGGTAGCATGCCGGCTGATAATCTTGCATACAGCCAAGCCAAGTGACACTTGGTTTTATTATGTATTATGACAACAATAACGCCTTTTTTGGCCTACATGAGAGAGCCATTAACACGTTTGAAAACACAACCTCACTGTGATTGGGGGTTTCAATACGATTCATATATAGTGCCTATCTAGGCATGATACGCAACCTTGCAGGGTCAGCTTAGTACATGTTACCATACTTTCGTGTAAACAGTGGCAGCGAGCTCTCGGTGGTTCACTCATCAGCCCATGGATGAGTGAAGCTACATCGGGGTGATAGCAGTGATACATGCACATGCAAATCTGTCGGGAACCAAGAAAACTCGTAAACGCGGTTGAACCAACAAGATAAATCTCTATAATTATACTATTCTAACTGGCAACAGTATATATCATCGTCAGAGAAGATCTTTGGGGACACCTTCTCGAAAACTTAGTCCATCCCAGACATAGCAGAGATGATGAAACTTCCAGAAACCTCCACTGCTGGTACGTAATCCCAGGTCAGATTTTCGCATCTATGGAGACGAACCTGAGTTGAGCCTCATATATTTGTACTAACCTGTCATCTATGTGCTTAGGCACCCTCCAGGGAGTGGTCATAGCACTTACAATTCTAGACTGCCTGGGAATTGGACTGCGACTGTGAGTGATACCTGTAGTGTAGATGTCTAGGCTATCGAGAAAACCGCGTTTCGACGAGGTTCGAGGTTTCAACAAACAGAACTAGACTGCTTTTCGAATTCTGACTGATTCGTACCCGCAATGTAGGTACACTCGGAAAGCACTTGGTCATCGTATCAAGGCCGACGACTGGCTTGCTCTCGTTGCTCTTGTAGGTCCAGCTCTTCCCCATGATGTTGGAGTGTGACTAAGCCTACCATAGAGTTTTGTTATAGTCCTTGCAGTCTACTTTCTGATCGGCGTCTCAAAGCGCTATGTCGGATATCCCCTGCCTGCGGACTTTACCGGCAAAGAATATCATCCCCTCGTGTCCGGAAGCTTGCAGCACTTCTACATCTGGCACTTTGTTCTTTTCTTTACGCTTTGGATGATCAAGACATGTTTTGTTCTATTCTACCGCCGTGTACTTGTATGCGGATTTAAGGATTGGGCAAATGTTCTCGTGTGGTCTACGTTCGCTATTGTAACAGCCTGGACTATTGCTTTTACTTTCGCCTGGGGGTTTGCGTGCCATCCCATCAAAGGGTTTTGGTCGTTCCCTTACGGATCCGATGAAGGGCCTTGCGTCGATACCTGGAAATTGAACAGTGTGATGGCGATTAGCGACACAATCATCGACGTCATCATCCTATTGGTTCCTGTGCCGCTGGTCTGGAGGTTACGCATGTCAACTTCTCGAAAGCTGGCTGTAATTCTAGTGTTCTTTCTCGGTGGGCTCGCCGTAGCAGCGTCAGTTATGCGGATGGACCGCGTGCTGTATGTTGCTGTAGAGGAGGAAAATGCTCCTGACGGGCTTCGTAAGTCGTGAACGCCGCCCGTGTCCAGTGGAGGCTGAGCTTACAGTGAATTAGTACTGAATACGACTGTACTCTTCTGGGGCATGCTTGAAGCCAATCTTGGGCTTCTAGCCGCCTGTCTTCCTACCTTGCGCGCTTTGTTCAAGTCATCAAACCTGGATAGTGTGGCAAAAGGTTATCGGGGAAGAACTTGGCTACGCTCTACTCAGCCGTCATCCCCGAACAACGTAATACCAAGTTCAAAACATAGCCCAGTCGCTGCACCATCAGAGAGACATAGTCCTTCTAGTCCTAGTCTACAAGGAGAGATGACCAAAACTACGTGGATGTATACTTCGAAGACGAAGGCGGCTACACAGGTAATTGATACATCCGAGATTGTATGATAGAATCTAAAGGAGGCCTTGTGTTGCGAAAGTACATGTACAGAAGCGCGAGGTGTGATTTGAGTCTTGGAAGCTTGCCTTGATGTTTCTCTTCTTTTAGAATTACAAAGCTGACAGATACCATTGAAATTTTTATGTCCCTAAAACTCTCTCATCTTTTCTATTTGAGTTTGATTTTGATTTCCAATCAATCACGCATTTCCCGTGTATCCTTTGTCTTTCTTATCACTGGGACGGAAAAAAAAAATTAAAGAATCTCGTGTCAGGTTCATGTTTAGAACCTCACAGGTAGCAAAAAGACCATTGGTCTCTTTAATGACATTCATCCCGGTATACAGATCAGCCAGCGGATAAGCTGCTAATGTATAGAATGCTGACTCGTGCCCAAACGACCGGCCAACGCGATATGATTGAATCCATCCCATTCACTCAGCGAGATCAGCTTGAAACACAATCTCTCGTGCGTGATCGTGCCCTCTCTCAGCCGAATTTTTGTGTGGGGCCGGCTTACAAATATACTACCTTATAAAGACAGATCATTAGAGCGCGACGAGTCCATAAGTATGCTTATCCTACATCTTACAAGCAGCCTCAAATGAGCTAGACCCTCTATCCAGCACGATCTGACATAAAATGATTTCCATTGCCATTATTCTTCCGGTCAAGGTCCCCAATTCATGATTCTCTCCCAGCCACTCCCCCCTTGTTTCACTGTTCTCACATTCCTGTACTCAACCTTCGCTCCGGTAGTTCCCAAGTATTCTATGTCAATGTTTCGGATCCTGAGATGCTCAGGTACGACGAGCTGGCCAGATCCCCCAGATACGCCGAGCTCATCGCGAACACTCTGTTGTTCAAGACGCACAGCTTCCCAAGCAATCTTCCCAGCGATGAGACCATCCCAAAACCCTTCTCGTCGAGGATACATCAACATCATTGAGATAGCTTTCATCCTGTGTGGTGTAGAAAGGGTTTGCTGGAAAATCCACCACAGAGTGAAAAGTATGCCGGAATTGAAGGAGAAGACCGGTTGTTTGTTTGTCGGATGTGGGAAGCACTCAGACTTTGAACTCGATAGTGCTTCAGATCCAGGACCAAGAAGATCTTCAAGCATCTCCATCATTCCCTTGAAGGGATTGCTTTGGTCGAAAATCTCAGCTTCTTCTTCTATTGAATTCTCCAGACGTCGCACTTCAAAGGCCTTGACACTGAGATCGACCGCTGCATGGAGGAGGCGCAACGCAGTACTGGCCGATTTGTATCCAGCTACATTAGCAGTGGCCTCTTCAGATCTCGAGAGAACTGATTCTAGCAATCTCGCTCCTTCTTCAGCCTGCGATTTGAGTTTGTAAAACTTCTGTGTAATGGGAACCATATCTGAGTCCGATACAGATGGTCCTGGTTGTTCGAGGCTTTGGAACCAGGCCATGAATGCATTCAGAGTGCTGGACAAGTGGAGCTGCGCATCCTCCAAATCCAGCCCACCTAAATCATTATGATCGAATTTTGACATATTCATCCCGTGTTTCAAGGGCTGCTCCCAATCTTGTCTCTCCACATGGTTTCTCATCAAGCCCCGGGCTTGTAAGTCCAGTCCTATCAAGATAATTCTCAGACTTCTAATCCGAACAGGATGCTCTACTTTTTCGATCACTGCCGAACAGCTGGGCATCTCTTCTTCCATCTCTTTGTCGATTTCCCGGAGAAGTTTAAGTCCGCTGCGTAAATGTTGTCGCGCTTCTTGATACCGACCTTGCAGACAAGCCATGCAATTGAACAAGATGCACAACGTCAGCACTAATACTTTGTCAACTCTACTACCTGCTGTGCTTTCATGAGATACTATCTCTCGAATTGCCCGATTGCTCTGTCTCAGAGCAAATTTCAAGTCATTTTCCGCCAGAATTTCGTCGTAGCCGTAGCACGACTGTATCTCTACACTATCACGACGGTGCTCTTCGAACGAGAACGAGACTTTGCTCGTTGACTCGCTAGTGACGTATCCTGCTATGTATCGTCGATACATGGCACCCACAGCTACAATAGCGTGACGAATTGCAGGGAAATAACGTGCGGCAATCAGCAGCTCACGAGTCCAAAACGTTGATGTGAAGAACCCTGGGAGCTCGCGCGAAGCGTAGGTTTCGTAAAAGTGGAAGGAAGAGCGCTCCTCGGGAGAAGACAGCTCGAAGTGAAGGCCAAGAGACGAGATTGTACAGGATATTTCTCTCGTAGATGCGCGTTTGCCTGCAGGTTTGCGCAGGGTGATGCGCTTGGTGTGGACCGTGTGGTCATTCTCCAGTTCGGGCTGTCCTGTCAACACATGTGTCATGGCGGGTCGAGCAGACGAGAAATCGGTCCTGCATAGCAATCCAGTGGACTCTACACGTGAGAACAGCCCCGTTGTTCGTCCGATACGATTCATTGGCGGTGCGGAAGACGGTATAGCGGATGCATACCCGTCGCATTTCCGGCCCGTCGAAGTGCAGCGGTGGCAGTGAGGTTTCGATTCGTCGCATTTGATTTTCCTTATCCTGATTCTAGCATCAGAAAATGACTGTGTTTGCGAACCAATTGGTAGTAAAATCAGCATACTTGCATGTCTTGCAACCGCAGGTCGTCTTTGGCCTATACGCTCTCCTTCGAGCATTTGGTTTAGGATATGGCATTTTCTGATTCGCGAAATTGGCACGAGGTTTGTACGAAGGGGCGAATGAGCAAGCAAGCGATTTGTTTAAGTATCTCTGCTGTTCTGACGTCTAGCAGGGAGCTTGAGCACGAGCCGTCCTTACGAGCGGACCAATAGAATTGTTGGTTATAAATGCACATGGCTCAATCGAGATCTAGTGGGAATCTGGAGCTGACTAGGTGGAGGCGGGAGAAAGTCACTTAAGACATCCAACGTCCAAGTCGCAGAGCACTAGATCAGTATCGCACCCTCGTGTCGTTGGGACAACCTCGTTCCCCATATCCTCCACGAGACTTTCCATTCTTCATTTCCCCTATCCTCGCATCTATGCCCACCTAGCTCAGAGTCGCCGTGACACGTCCGCATCAACGGAAACAAGAGAAAAATGCTCGGTGCCCAGACTCAAAGGGTATATGTATATGACTGGGCTCGGAAAGACACACAAGAAAACAAAGAAAAGTCTGATCTTCAGCGCATACTCCACCGCCATACCCCAAGCCAACCCAAGCCAACCAACATATCTGAGAAACCAAAACAAGAAGAAGGAAAAGCATGGAAACCCCACCACTCATTCTAGAAGAAGAAAACCACCTGAAAATGACAACATTGAGCTTTACTCCGCTTGAAATGCAAAGGAACCACTCCAAGCACTATTCATGCCAATTCAAGATTCTTCGCATCACGAAACCCCAAAACCACACCTCATCTACCCCCTCTCTCTCCGTACTCGCTTAAGCCCCTTCCATCACTCCTCCCGGCACTCGAATCCACCGACGCCCCTTCTCTCCCCGCCCAAGGAGGCGGCAACGGGAAAGGCGGCGACGATGATCCCAGCCCCAAAGCCCCTCGAATCGGCGACAGCGTAATCCGCTCGTTATCGTCGCGCTCGATCGACGGTAGCGGAGCTTGTTGACCATGCGCAAACGAAGAAAAGTCTGGTGCAGTGTGTCTTTTATTCCGCAGCGCCGTAGCAGTGCCATCTGCCAGACCGGCAAATTCCTCGTACTTGTCGCCAAGGATCTGTCGTAAAGCGGATTGGTCTAGGTTTTTGAACGCGCGGTGGACTTTCTGGGAGCGTGTGTTCCAAATCACTCTCGCATCTTGGTTGGATGTACCTTTTCTGGGTTCTGATGACCTGCTTTTCTCCGAGGTAGCGGGTTCCATCCACATGTAGTCGTGCAGCACCCGGTATAAGAGCCCGTAGCAGTATTTTTGCAACACCATGTCGTCGTATCCGATACCGTAGCGCGGGAGGATCGGAAGGAGGCGCTCGAGCATGGGGAAGTGGAGGCGTGTGAAGTCTGCGAACGCGTGGGCGGGGAGGGATTGTTGCATGTTCCAGAGGATGCTGCGGACGGCGTCGGGTTGGTTAGTCGTAAGGTAGCGCGTGAAAAAGAGAGCGAGGGATGAGCCCGTGAGTTTGGGAATACGATGGGGAGGTGGAGCAAGGGAGAGTGGAAGCGGCCGGGCGGTTTCGGAGAAGTGTGTCTGGGGAGACGTTTTCGTTCTCGAGGGATGGTTTGGTGAAAGTGGCGTGTGCGTCGTTGATGCATGTGCGGTCGAGGGTCTTGAGGTACTAGCCGCGGATTGTAATTCGGAGGCTTCTGTTGCGTCTTCGTCTTCCTCACTGAGGTCGGACCCGATTCTGTCGTCTTTGAAGAATATGAGACTCAACGCTGTCTTGACTGCCGCCATGACTTGTACCCTCGCCTGCTCACTAACCTCATCCTGCCCTACTCCCTTGTCAACGCGCTGTACGAATGTAACCGCAAAACTGGGATTTCGCAGTATCCGTCGTTCCAAGACTGGCAAAAATCGATCGAGGAGAGTGCTTCCGTACTTATTGGTCTGGAACGACAAGAGCGGGACCAGGATCTCAATGTCTTCCATATGGAGCTCGCTCATTGTCTCCAGACATTGTTGGACGCGGGTGAGGACCCAAGGCGTGAAATGAGTGGTGTTGTCCCGAAGGATGGTTTGTGTCAAGGGCGCATTGGTTATGTGAGTCAAGAGGGTATTGAAGGTGGACAGCCGGAGTGCTGGATTGCGGTAGTGGGTTGCTGATTCGAGCCTGGCGGGTGGGAGTTAGCGAGGACGAACTTTTCGATGTTGAGTCGGGCTCCTCATCATTCTTGCTTGTGAGACAGGGGTGTGAGAAAAGGAATGAACCAACAATGTTTGTATCTTTGGAAATGGCTCGTGGTGAAAGAGTCGTGAAAGATAAGCGATATACTCCTCATCTTGGGCCGTTACGGGCGGTGACGCTTCGTCTCTGCCACCCGACAATAGGGATTCATCGTCCAGCTGCTCTTCCTTGATCCGGGTTGTAGAAGTTTGCATAGTGGTGAGGGAGAGACAGCTAGTCAGTCATTCATATCTTAGACTGTCGATGTCACTTGGAAGTCGGTAGACTTGGGCCTAACTACAATCTGGAGTCAAAACGTTGTCAAACTACGACACCTCCCGCGCCGTGCTTTTTCCCTTTGCCTTTGTTTTTTCTTGGGCTCCGGAGGGGTTTTACCGATGGATTGGTGACCTGTCATAACTTAAACTTCCATGAATAAAAAGCCACTCGGAGAATATATCCACTGCAGAATGACCAACAGCGGAATGGCTGGAGTACACCGCAGTTTTGGGTTACATGGGCTGCGTGGGTGTGGGGGCGCCACGAGATCCTAGACTGATAAATTAACTCGATTGCATGAGGACAGCACATGCGGATGGCATAACTGGTGCGCAATAGGGAGTAATAGAAAACCCAAAGTGCTCACGATGAAGACATAACCACGCTAAAGGTATGCAGGGATACTAACATCGCGTTCGCATTCGCATTGGTGCGTACAAACTAGGAAGTGCGCCTGCATTGTCGCCCACTCACGCTGCGGCATTTCGGTTTCGCATCGTAAAACAGCAGTCATTGAGAAAATCGAAACATCGTCGTGGGGTTTCGCAACGTTCGAGCAGGGTTCTCCCCACCACGACGTGACGGGACGGTCCACGCTACTCAATAGGCTGCTCCCAACGCGAATCCGAGAACATAAAGAAAGATGGCTGGTGAGCTAAACCACTTTGTGATTCACCGCTTCACCTGCAAATCGAAAGAAGCCATAGGTGCACCGCACTTATCAGTCCAAGTCGCCGATCTCTAATTATTTCCCTCGATCTAGATCTGCCTATAGCCCTCTCATAAGCTCGTCCAGCGTAATCGGTTTACGGACAGCGTTGGAAAACCCTTCGTGGAAGCCGACCCAGATGCGATTATCATCGTTGCTCGCATTCGCATTCGCCTTCGACGCTTTCGCTGTCGTACCCTCACCCAAAGGCGTCGTCTTCGGCACAATGATGCGCCCGAAGAAGTCCTTTGGCACGGCCTTGTTGCTTGCTTGGGCCACCTTTTCAACGTCCACAGTTTTTGCTGCTTCCACCACGCCTGCGTTATCCACTTGCCCACCTCGGCGCTTGGCAGCTTCATGATCAATCCTCGCACTCTCTTTCTTCCATTCCGTTTCCAGGACACTACGGATTGCGTAGCGCACCTTCTCATCCTTCTTTCCTGTAAGCGTATCGAATCCACCCAAGGAGTCGAGAGGTGGTTCCATGCGCAGTACCCAGCCTCCGTTGCGGTTGGTACCATCATCAAACTCGACTCTACTTCTTTCGAACCGCACACCGGTCGCGGCCATGGCTTGAGCAGCCCTTCGAACAAGTTCCTTTTCACTTGCTTTACGGACTGATGCTGTGGCAGCGGATTTGGACCCGGTAGCGCCAGTGTTGACTAGAACTGGTTTGACATCAGGTGATAGCATGCGCAAGATATATGGAATAAATTCGATCGCAAGTTCCTGTGGTGACCGGAATAGCCGGGTAAGCGGCAGACTAAGTGTAGACTGTAGACCCATGAGCGCGGCACGGCTCGCTTTAAGCTGCTCCGACGCCATGTAGTTCGCACTGGGTCCTGTAAAGATAGAGGTCTGTGCATCGGGGTCGGCCACAGGGTTGGAGTTCTGATGTCTTGGCGATGCGAATAGGCTGTGGAAAGCTAGAACGGTTTGTGAAAGGTAGGGTGCTAGCTCCCATTCCTGTGAGCCGTGGACGGCAGAGGAGATTGAGTCATGGAAGTGTAACCACTCATAAGCGGCGCTAGGCTTGCTGAGTAGCGTGTCGTCTTGATATGGTTTCTCGGGATAGACAGTGAAGCAATCTGAGCATAGCTATTAGCACCTGGTGGTTTCGAGGGAGTGATGTTGACGTACCAGTGACGATCCGGTCACTTTCACCACTCGTGTCTGCCATCTCTCTGAGCCGCATCATAGCTCTTCGTTTGGCAGCTTCGGCAACGCCGATAACACCAAGCTTCGCTCGCGCACTCGCTGTATGCACATCTGTCGTTTCTGCTTGTTTGGGAAAGCCGGCGCCTTCACGGAAGACACGTTCAACAACGTCCTTTGCACCACCTCTCCCCAAACTTCGCGCCGCTCCACCGCCATGGTTGAGCTCATTCGTGATATTGTCTTCGATCCAGCGTCGAGTAAGACGTGGGACATCCTTGATGTTGGGATCGAGCGTACTCCGGAAACGACTAGCAACCCATTCGCTGACTACCATCACACCACGAATGTCGCCCTCTCCAGTGCCACTCCCAGAACCACCTTCCTTCTTGGTGCTAACACCCCACGTAGCTTCACACAATCGGCGTGCGGCATCGGAATCGCAGGGAAGACCCTCGCGTGTGAAAACGTCTTGTACTCTTGAAACCACCGCATTCAAAGCGGGCTTGCGGATGTGTATGATTTCAGCAAGTGAAGATTGTCGCAGCGGTCGAAGCGAAGGATGATACACATCGTTGCACACGAGGATGAGGGGCCGCAGTAAGCGAAATCGATCGCCCTTTTTCTGTCGTTTTGTTCCGGATGAGTGTTGTCCCATATTCTTTGAGTTCCTTTCGTCCAAGTGAATCAAGTCAATGAGGGCTTTGACGAAGCCACCTTCGCCGCCGCCACCTCCTCCACTGCCGCTGACAACTCCATCTACTTCGTCCACGACAACACATACAGGCTTACCCGCTTTCCTGACTTTCCCAGCAGATGTTGAGGACGTGATACCTCGTACATTCTCTGTGCCCACCATATCTCGGATACGTCCTTTGACCACATCCTTGCTACGCTCGTCGGAAGCATTGATCTCCTGTACCTCATAACCGGCCTGACGAGCACATACATGCGCCAAAGTCGTTTTTCCAAGACCAGGAGGTCCAGTCAAAAGTAGAATCTTGCGGTGTTTCTGCTCCTCGTCGCCATAAGCGCTTTTCAAAGCCTTCGCTTTCTGCTTGCTGACGCCAGGGAAGACGATCGGATCCCATCCCTTCAACCATCGCAACACTGAGCGGTGCGTGCGCTCGTCTCCAACCAGATCTGTGAACTTTTTGGCGCGGTATTTTTCAGTCCACATGAGCGTGCGATTGGACTTCGCAGAGGTGGGCTGCTCGACTGACTTCTGCGGCACATGGATTTCGTTGTACTCCTGTTGAGCATTCTCCGCCTCGACAGTCGCCTTTGCCTCGTCTATCAATTTATGGATATTCAAGCCGTAGTAGCTTTGTCTCGCATGTCCTTGTGCGCCTGTAGATCGTGATGCAATGAGTTGTTCAAAGGAGACGGCATCCTTTTTGACTTTCTTTGGTATGTAAAAAGGCTTCCCTGACGCTGTTCTGGCGATTGAGCCTTTGTATGGCTGGGCAGAAGTCGGTTGTTGAATGTCAGCGTGGGATTCAACCGCAGCTGTCTCGATAGTATCCGTGGGAAAAGCGACGGGGCCATCCTGGCTTGCTGGTGGGGTATAGTCGAGAATGTCGTCGGGAAAGGTTTGGGCAGTGGTGTTGATAGCTCTCCGCTTGAGAGCGTGCTCATTCAACAGAGCGAGGTCATCCTCGTCATCCGATTCGTCCAGAAATGCGCCTGCTCTCTTGTTTGTGTTGTGATTTGAAACATCTCCTAGGGGGCTTCGATCGGCGTCAGACCGCTTTCTCTTCTTGAGTGACGGTGATGGTGGCTGCGGCGCTGAGCTTGCGGGGTAAACAATGGGTGACGAGATGAGCGGCATGAGGGGCGGCGACGAAGGTAAGTCGGTGTTGGTGGAGCAGTCGGTTGGGAAACGCTTGATTGCGATTCTGTGGTTTTGTTTGATTGGGGTATCTACAGATATCAGAGCCACTCACAACAGCAGCGGATGCAAGCTGTTTGCAGTACCAATTGGGTGATCCTCTTCGCTCCTGAATACCTCGTGGATATTCCAAACACGATGCTGAATCACGATTCCACGTCTGGTCTTATCTGCCTTGTCTTCGGCGACGCACTGAGCGATGGCTTCGAGCTCGTCGGAATGGGAGACGGACGGTGGGGCGGCGTCGTTGAGAAGAAAATCGGATTCGGATAGGAGGGCGGGATCATACGACGAGGGGATGTCGGACGGAAAACTGGTCATTGAATTGGGAGGATTGTAGATTCGTCATGGGGCAGATGATGAAAGTGGTTGTCCAAGTGGATACAACGCGACGCGTTGAACGCGCTTGCGCTAGTACATTTCTGTCTCGGATGCTCTTGGCATGCCTACAAACATTACTTACTTACAACTGTAGTTGGATTTGTTGGACTGTCACTCTTCCAGACCGCTTACAGACAACTTTCAGCCCCCATTTCACCTACGTCCTGTTTTTGCTGCTAGTCTGCCTGTCTGCCTGCCTGCTTGCCACCATGGCATGAATCTGAAGGATGCCGCGCTGACATCCTGCGAACCCTGGACGATGACAATCCAAACAAGTACCTTGCCCTGTATATAAGTCAGTCCGTGGAATTCGAGTTATTTCCATCTGATCAGCTATCGCAACTGTCAAGATTTTATCATCTACCGCTGCGTGGCGCAGTGGGAGCGCGCCGGAACTATAAACCCGGAGGACACCAGATCGAAACTGGTCGCAGCCAAAATACCCGTTTTTTGTTGCTTTTTTGTCCATTCGTCATTTTTTTTTCCTAATGTTATGTGCATCTAGGGCTAAGCCGCGTTGGTGCGATGACTTCATGCTTCCAGATTTCATCAGTCGTGTTCGAATCGCCGCTGGTGCCTACAGTTCAAAGTTTGTGTACATCGCGTTATAGTATCCCTTTGTTCACGTCATTGCGAAACGGCAGTCATTTTAGAGTTTGTACATCTCTCTATATACTATGAATGGCTCTCATCATGGTATGTTATCAAGGAAGCTAAGTAGAGCAAAGATAGGCACGAAAGTGCAAGCTGTTGCTAGATACATAGATGTATATATCAGGACACAACTATTCTGATCACACATGTATCTCGAACCGTGTGTCAACCGGTCTTCAATGCGGTCCTGCAAATTGCGGGCTCATAATGAGACCTCACGCTTATTGTCTCCTCCCATTTCTATGGCCGCCATTCCTCTTGCCGTTGTTCCTGGGGGTGTTGCCTCCTTTATGGCCTCCTGCACCTCCGCTACCTCCATGACTTCGACCATCTTCATCTCTTCGTGTTCCATGACTAGACTTATCTCCATGTCCATGTTTGCTTCCGTTACCATTATTGTCCCTATTCCCATTACCTCGATCTGCTCCATCATATTTCGTGCCTCCATTGCCTCGTTTGTGGTGAGGCTGCGGTCTCGGCTTGTTTTCGACCTGATCTCTATTCCCTTTCGCTTGGTTTACATACGGCTTTTCACGATCTACGTTCTCAGTTCGTTTGTGCTTTGCGCCACTCTTGTGTCCGCGCTCGTCTCGTTGCCCTTTCGGCTGCGACAGACCTGCAGGGGAAGGATGACTTCTTGCGCACTCTGTATTCTTACAATTCAGCGCAAACCTGCATGCCGGAAGCTCCGTGTTAATCACAACATTGTCGCGAGCGGCAGGACCGCTGTGCGCCCATGAACAATTTACGTTGTTGCAGAACCGGTCGAAATTGCAGACTGTGATTAATGGGGCTTTCGGGGTTGGCGAAACGGGGTTGATCTGGATCTCATCATCTACATCTGTAAAATCTAGACTATCTTCGTCGAAGTTCGGTGTCGGGAGAAGAGGAGTGGAAGATCTAAATGGTCTAGATGGTACACGGAATTGAGCTACAGAGGGGGAGCTCATCGGCACGTCGTTTTGAAACCTCTCAGGCCGTATTTGTGGGACATTTGTGGGAATATGGTCAGCGTCGGACAGTCGGAACGGAAACTTCTCTGGGTGCTTAGAGGATGCTCTAAGCATATTTGGGGCGTGGATTTGGCGGGATTGTTTGATCCTACGAGAGAAGGGTCGGTTTTCGAATTCATTAACCCACGGTGCTATGTAGCCGTCGGCTTCAGCGACGGATGCCATTACCGGATATTTAGGGAACTTGTACGGCTTGACTTTGATGTTTTCTGCAATGAAGTCCATGTCAATTTGCGGATGATCCCCAATCTTGTAATTGGGATCGAAATGGCGAATCGCATGCTGCATCTTCATCATCAACGGCAGAACCTGGACTACGGCCGCGCTTTGGTCCATCATTTGATGCGTCCCGCGAGCTAGATTGATCATGCGTGTCATTCGGTAGAATAATCGGTCCCAACCTAGATGTCTTATGTAGAGCGCGATACCCGGCCATCTGACAGCGTGGTTCGGAAAATATATAATGAACTCTTCAATCGAGATACCCTCGATATTGTCCCAAGGAATTTCATCGAACCACTTAGGAGCATGCGTGATAGGTTTCAAGCTTTTCTTTTGCGCTTCTTCAATCAATTGTTGATGATGACTCGCTCTCCATGGTCCGATCATAGGATCCCGCTCGTTGAATGCCTTGTGACCCACAGGAATATTCCCTTCTACGTCGTGATATAGTAACGTGGTAGTCCGAGAACTGGCTAAATCTTGCATCTTCATCGACAGGAATACATTGCCACCAAATTGCCTGATGTCCATATTACTAGGTAAGCCCATTTCTTGCAAGAAACTCTTCTGTTCAGGCGTGACTTCACCCTGCACAGGAGTTGTCTCGGTAGCTTCCCAATCCATATAATGACTCGGTCGACGCAGATCTGATGCCTGGAATGACGTGTCTGTCCGAAGTCTATTACTCGGGGGGGACTTTGAAAATCTCATGGTGCTGGAGGAATTGGAAGAAACGCGCTTGGTCCCCCTCGGATTTGTTTGTTCTGTCGAGCCACGCGAAATATTCCTCACCCAATCATTCACAGTTGACCATGCAGAGGTTTGCTGGCTTGGAGAGGGATCCACTTCATTCGTGATGTTGGTCGAGTTTGACACAGTCTCACATCTTGCGTTGTGTGGGCTAGCGGACGGTTGGTTGGGTCTAAAGTCACATATCAAGTCAGTAAAGTTGAGGCAAGAACGTTTCAAAAGCTCATCAGGTTTTCATTTGTTGCGGCTTTCATTGGAGTTGGACTTACTCAGACTTTGGTGCGCTCAGATCGGATTTTTCGGACTGGTCGACGTCAATGACAAAGAAAGTTTTCTTTGTCTCGAGATAGGGAAGAACATCCGGATCAGGCGCAATACCTGACCAATGGTATGCATCTAAATTATGGATCCAGACAATGCCGTCCCAATCACGCTCAGCCGCGTCGGTACTCGCCCTCCGGTAAGTAGAATCGACACTCACTGAATGTCGATCCTCGGCATGTTGGGTCACCACGCCGAACCCGAACTCCAGACCGTCTGCTTCTCCCAAGATACGGAGAGTCGCGCTGAGGTGGTAATGCTCGAACCAATCTTCACTCACTTCGGGTGCCTCCGAGACAAGATCCACTGCCCGTGATGACTCTCGAAACAACTCTTCGACCTGCGAAGATTGCGAGATCTCATATAGCCGCGAAGCATCGGGGGGGATCATACCATACATCTCATATATGGGTGCCAAACTGATCTGGAGAGCCCATATACCACAGTAACCGTCTGCGATTGTATGCTGATATTTGTAGCCGGCGTGGAGGTAGTTGGTCCACCAACGAACGTATTTTGCTGGGCCGAAAAATTCATGTGGTTGAAGTGTTCCATACTGGTCCATCGCGACAGAAACCTTGGTGGAAACGGTGTTTTCGCCACCCATGTGTTTCCACTGCAGTGTGTTGGGGTGTTCCTCATCTTCCCACCACTTTGGGGGAGGTATGGTGGCCATTTTTTTTTTGTTGTGCTGCCGAGTATTGGGATGCAATCGGAGTTCCGATGTAAGCAGAGTATCGTAATGAAGTAGATGGAAATCGTGTAGAAGTGTAGGGAACGCTATGCAGGTAAAAGCACGGGAATGAAGAGAATTGGGAAGATGTGTGGGAAAACGAGGAGAAGGGTGGATATAAGTATGTATGTCAAGGACGGTTGCTTAACACTGGCATTGTGACTGACTGGATTTCAAGATGATTTATAGACAAAGAAGTTCTACTAGTTTCTTTGTCGCTATCACTGAGTGATAAATCGGAATCTTTCAATGGATGGACATGTTCTCTATTTGACCAGTCATCATTATTTAGAGCGGAGAACAAGCCAATGAGTGACAGTAAAGTGCGTTCAACCCAAATTCTTGGGTAGAGTATCCAGACTCTCTCTGTGGGCGGTGCATGAAATGTACAAATAGGAGACGATACTTTCGTAATGTGTAGGCATGCGGGTTTCAATAAGTGACAAATATGTAGGCGGTGCGTTACTGTGCCATAATGAAGTTGCCAACAAGTAGTCAAGTTACGCGCACTCACTTCTTTTGTGCGATAATGTCACAGATGGTGCGTATGGTTACAAATGCTCACAATATGATTGGAATGAGATACTCGAAAGGTGCACTGCCACTGTCGATCGAGGTATAGTCTGCTCAACCCATCTCTCTTTTCCAATGATAAAATATTTTTGGACAAAAATCAGTTCCTCATAAGAGAAATGAACTATGGTCGCCAGTAATCAGGTTGACCCGCCTTTTTGATATTGATCCTTTCATTACCTACCTTTTGACTTCAGTGTACGCCCATTGGCTACATTTTGTCCTCGAATCTTCGCTTGTTTTACCTCAATAGGTATTTGAGGCGCTAGCTAATTACATAAGCGTTTGCGCGTCGCGACTTGCATCACGGTACTCCACTACCCGACCCGTCTCTTGACCGCCTTTACTGCAATTTGTCCTGTGCAGCAACGCCTTTGTCTGCTCTCACACACATCGCAATGTCTAGCAAAAAGAAGAAGAGTGCGACGCCGAACCCGTCTTCTGCGGCCAAGAATTCGCCGCCGCTTGTTTACGACAGTTACAAACGGTACAAGAGTGATACTCAACGTCTCATTGCTTGGTTGGTGAAGGTTGGCAAAGACAGCGGTTATCCGTCTCCCATCAAAACGTGTACGTATATCCCCGCTGCAATGTGTCATCTCAAACATCGCACGGTGTAATATGTTGACACACTGATTTCCCATCCAAACGTGTCTACGAGCATCGCACTGACTTCATACATTCCGGTCCAGTAACGACCTTCGCCAGCTAGCTAAAAATGTTTCTACGCATGCAGCCTCTATCCTTCCGGCATCTATCCTTGCCATTGGACGAAGGGCAGTCTCTCTAAGGAAGAAAGTCACCGAAGCGTTTATGAGCCGGGGCCCGTCCCGGAGCAATAAAAAGCATGCGTACTTTGTACAAGGTGACATTCTCTCACTGGTACCGAGTCTCTTTATGCCATACTGACTCTACAAAGTGCTGGAAGAAATTTTGGACATGTTCAAAACACCCTCCGATGACGAGCAGAAAAAACAAAACTCTGCCAATGACAAATCCTGGCTCAACTCCTTCGCCGCACTCGCTGTCGAAGAGTTTGAGGAACTTTCAGATGGTGATGCCGGCGTGGATCTTCCAGAAGCAGCCAAGATAACCAAAGCTTTGGATGACGAGAATTCAGAACATGACAGCGACGATGTGCTTTCCCGCGGCCTCTTCCAACTTCTCTGTCTTTTTTATGATCTACAGCAATGGCGGTCATTCATTGCTGAGACAGTGAGTTCTCTCTCCTGGGATTTAGTGACTTTCCAGACTGATGATGTAATTACAGTGGGCAGAATACGCGAGATCTGAGATCGATCTTACTACTGCCACCGTTGTCACGGACCAGGCTTTGAAATTCGGACGAGAATTGATCCAAAGCACAAAAGATCGTTTGCCCAAGCCTCTGCCGGAGACAGACATAGAGCTGCAAGGTATGCTGATGAATTATATGATCCAGACTTGTGGTGTAGATTCTCCTGTTCCATGGCCTGGGATTGTACCTTACCACGTGAAGAATGCTGGTTTGGCCGACTATTGTTTCCTTCCGTCTGGAATTCTAGTCAGCTCATTCGCCAATCAGATAGAGAAAGGCACTATATCCAGGTATAACCAGGGCTTCTTCGGCACTTACAATCCAGAAGCGAATCGCGCCAACATGACTGTTACTGAAAAGTTCAAGGAGGACAAGATATTGATCCTAGAACTTCTTCCGGAGTATTTCACCATCGGAATGTCCAAGATTCCGCTGCCTATCTGGGATGAGACTACACTCGCATTCACAGACCTTGCAGACACCAGGAAACACACCATGTGGCTATCGTTCGTAGCCCAGGTGTTACTTGACTCTATTCACGCTACACGATACATGAGCAAGCAGCCATTCAGCGATCTTCGAATAACAGCTGCGCGCATCCGTCGCACGATAGATGATTTCTGGGAGCTTTCAAAAACACACCCCCCTCCGAAATTCTGGCCTGCTGAAGGAGATCAGATAATCAAAGCTATCCGAGAGGATATCGCGGGTTTTATCGACAAAGACGCCTATATACCCATCAAGAAGGCTCTCGCACATTCGACTGACAAAAAAGACCGCTCCCCAGACTTCTACATATTCATTCGGAACCCCGGACTCTGCGGGGCGTTCGCTTTCAACCTGCAGCTCCGAATGCAGACCATTGGGCAGGACTTGTTGAACCAGTGGTTTGACGTACAACAGTTGGCATTTCTTTACAGTCTCGTAAATGAAACCCCTGGATATGAGAACCTCTCGTGGCCAGATATGGAGCTGTTCATCAAGATTCATGGTGAAGACCACATTTTCATGGGCTCGCGGCCGCGAAATGCGGAACAAGCTCTCCATCGAGTGGAAATGCTTACTGGAGCATCATCTGCAACAAGGTTTGCAAAGGACTCAAGGCATGCAAAGTCGGAGTGGCATGTTCCTGATGGAAAGTCAGGAAGACGATTGACACCAACGACCAAAACAGCGGATCTCATGCGCCCATATTACTGTATGAAGCGTATAGGAGCAACACCTCGTCAAAGTATCAATGACACCGCCCTTAGCAGATACTTGAACGAGCTTTTGGAGAAAACTGAAGCCACCTCGACAAAGTCTTCATCCAGCAAAAGCGAGATCAAGCAGACCGGGGCTCATAAAGTATCAAGTGTACAGCAGTTCGTTGGTCGGAAATGGCGCAATCAACATAGCCTTGGCTTTGTCCAACTTCTCACATTGTTGAAAACGCAGCTGTCTGAAGAGGAGCCCTACCTTCAGTTCAATTATTTCGCAATGCACCGCCGTTCCGTGGAGCTGCTCCGTTTAATTCGCGACAAGGAGCACCACAAATTTGTGCAGTACTTCACAGAGGCATATCTACCCGACGAAAGCTTTGTCACCAACATTGTGATCTACATTCTTCATGTCGCTCGCGGATCCGCCAAAGCTGGCAACGACTTGGGCCTTGCGAATGTTGCACAAGGCTCAAAAGTAGCTAGTCGCATGGTTGGTAGCTGCGGTGAAGTCATGAAGACGTACCTGGAGAAGAATGGGAGTCTGATGCTGAAAGAGCTGAAGTTGTTCTGCAGGAATAAGGCACCGCTAGAGCTCCATAGCACAAAAATTACCGAGAATGGAGACTCGTCGCAGCGCCAGTACTATTGGCTGGGTATGGACGAAGTGTTGAGTCCCGCGCAGCTGGAAGTACTGAGAACTGGAATTTCATTGGCATAGGAAGGAAGGAGGGAAAGATACGAAAGGGATATGGTCCAGGTAAGAAATTCTATATGGTGGTTATCGGGATCTTGACATGTAACGCGACGAGATGTCTCGGTGTCATATATCTCTACATTTGATCCGACCTACATCGTTGTTCGGCACAAGACAGCTGCAATCTCACTATAAAAAAGAATCGGAATTCAATTGTCTTCGATTTTATTGCGCATCAGCTTGTCGATTGAGGTACCCGAAGACCGTCGTAAACTCCACTCACATCCCAAGCTAGTATGAAACTCCATTACTACAAGTTGACCTTTCCGATCCAACGCAACCACAATCGGATGCAAAACTCTCAGAAGCTCCCTTTGATTCTCCAGCCGCGGAAACCTCCTCTCCTTCCTATATACAATAATTCTAATCTTGACCGAGGTGGCTGTCACCCCTAGAAGCTGCTCAAGACATTTTCTCACAGCACCTACAGGGGATCTCTCCCCGTCTGCTAATCGGCCATGGAAAGCAAGCGCATTCGCATTACATTCGCAAGTGAAACTCTCGTCCAGCACAATCTCGATGCTACGTACGAAATCGGCGGGACGCACACCACTTTCGAATCGATCCACAGTAAGGAATTTGTGCATAAGGTATAACTCGTGGTAGTCGAAGTAAAACTCGTTGATTGTGTAGTATACTCTAGCCATCTCGTGCGCTATCTGTGCTCCGAAGCGGTGCGGATCGATGTATCGGTGGAGGGGGGAGGGATTCCAGAAAGAGTGATGGCTTTGTGTTGTATTGCAGTGTGAGCGGAGACGGAGTGGAAGCTTGCCATCGCATATCTGTGTGTTTAAGTCTACAATTAGTGAATGTTCATCAGTGCTGAGGCAGTCTGGGTGTTGTGGGGTATCGCGGTGGATAGAGCGCGGACGCGAGGGTTTGGATAACATACGAGAGGTGCTTACTGTTTCCTTTTCCCATGGTACACTCACCGCATATGTATATATTCGGTTTCGAAGTTCGTGGGGCAGTAATCTGAGCATGCGTTCTGCCAATTCGGATGAGTCGTGTTGAGATACGACATTTGTGTCAACGGTTGAGTTCCTGGTGATCGCAAGTGAGTCACGTACTTTCGCATTCATTCAACACATCTAGCCTACTCTGTCTCTCGCCGTGGAAATTTGGGCGCGATGAGTAGTCCTTCTGTATCAGACATATCGTCTGGTGGGGTATCTTGGGGTGAAGCTTGTGATGATCGACGCCTGTTTTTGGAATCGCGTTTTCTTTTGCTTATCTCTCTGTCAGTATCTAGACACATTCAACTGTTTATCTGCAACACTGACCGAATTCCATCTTCATCACTCCGCTCCATAATCACGCACAGATACCAATAGTGCGAGCTCCGTCCTCATATGTCGCCGGGATTTTTTTCGATCGTGGAGCGAACCCGGTGGCCTGTTTTGGTTTCATGGTCACCCAGAGATATATAGGTCCATGAAGCCTTTTGGCCACATGAGCTGTTGTGGGCGAAAAGCATGCATGTATGCGAACACGACCTTGCCGATCAAGATATTTTTAGACTCATCTCGCGACTAAGCTGAGAGGGTGCGGTGAGAGACGTGAGGTCGCACAGAGAGATCCAACAATAGCATACATTCCACTCTGAATAAGCATGAACAATTTTTACTCAAGTTATTTCAATCAGCAGGCAGCCATTTTTACCCATTCCACGCGACATTATCTAAGATGTGCTTTGCTCATCATGGCAGCGACACTCCCGTAAACTTCTCGCAGATGGACAACAATTGATCTTGGACCTTTTCATCCTCCGTAATAGACTTTGGTGTCGCTACTTGTCGCGATGGCCTGAAATATCCTCCACTCTTCTGAGCGGCAGGTTCCTCGCCCTCGGCTAGCATGACATAGGTTTCGGCGGCGGCATCGGCAGTCTCTGTTGCGCTGCTTCCTCCCATTTTCGTGGGTACCTTTTCATCAAAGTCATCAGTCGGTCGTACAGCGTAGCTTGGAGAAAGGGAATAATTACCCAGCCTGGGTCCAGAGAGGTAGCGATGACGTCTGGCCAACGCCTGGCAAACGCCTTGGCGAGCAAAATGTTATGCAACTTGCTTGCACAGTAGGCGGAATAGTCACTCCAGCCCTGCTCCCCTCTTTGTTGCCACAGCACATCATCCAAGTTCCCATCATCGCTATTGTGCATCGACGAAGACAAGAAGACAATCCTCTTGGGCCGGTGCATGAGGCAGGTAAGAATATAAGGCGCCAACACGTTGACGTTGACGAGCGCCGGTACGCCATCGACAGTTTTGCGAAACCCGCCCTGGAACAATCCAGCATTTTGAATAACACAGTCAAACGTCCCAAGCTTGTTCAGCTCAGCAGCGAGCTGTTTGGTTTCGGCGATGGTACCCAGCTCGCCAACGGCGACAGTCTCGGCACCAGGGCAAGCTTCTTTCGCTTCATTCGCTCGTTGCGCGTTGCGTGCATGCAAGACGACCGAATGACCTTTGGCGATCAACTGCTTTGCAGCATTCAAACCCAATCCCAATCCATCAGATGATCCGGTGATGAAGATTCGCGCCATGATGAATGTGTTGGTGGGGTTGCAAGTTGGGTGCGCACCAGGGAGATGGACGTCTAATGTACCTTGTATGTTTGGCGGAATAGAGCGGGGCTGCTTAGAAATTGATTCCTGATACTCTCTTTCTGGAAAGCATCCGAGAGCTTACATCATGTTTTGGAGGACACACACACTTCTGGCTTCCAAGCCACATGATGTGCGTCTTTAATTATGTATTCGCATCCAATAGCTCACTACATGTATGCACGTTTGCTTGTAATTTTGGCATGATCCTGGGTTACACATGTACACACCTATGGTTTTCAGAAAAGTCCGGAATAGTCGGGCAATAGCATCAGATATTGAAGAAAAAGAATAATATCAGAGTGTACAGTATATTATGTCTGTATGAATGATACATCTAGGTATCTACATGTAGGTATAAACTGGTAGCCTCAAGTGCTGGTGTTGTCTGGCTCACGTGATCTTCATTCATACACATGGGCAGATCATATACCTGCCTACATATGTACCCAAGCAGGTATATATATATATAGGTAAATGTGTATAGAGAAACTTACTGCTTCTTCATTTCACCCTGATTGATTGAACATCTTGAAATGCATTACATCCAATATTCTAAGATGGTTTATGTGACGGAACGTCTCGACACCACCCACAACTCAGAATCTTGAGGAAAGGAGCATGGACAAACAGGAAATAGAAGCTACATCATTTGGACCGTGAATGCTCGCAGGCTGTAGTTCAATTCGCGTACTGATTAGATTATCAATGGAAGGGTCTGTCCATCGGAAGCTCATCGTAGAGCTAATGAACGGAGCTTTACACGAGTCAGTCTCATTGGACTTGATTTGCTGGGGTGATCTACAATGTACGTAAGATTACTAGAGACGTCTATAGTGTGACCGATGCAGTAAGCGCTAGACCTCCATTCGTATCTCATAACCACCTCTCGTATAATACAGGATATCGCTAGGGTGATCCAACACCAAAATCCTAACCACAAGACGGAAAACAATCAACCCTAGAATGATGACTACTCAAGAAAAGGAGATAGGAGATAGTTGCCAACAGCAAACACGAACTTGCTTGAAAGATCCTTTCGAGTATGAACGGTGTGAACAGGATCCTGCTCTGATTGGCCCGCTGCCTACCTCCTAACCTTATCGACCAAAGTATTGAGCTCCCGCGCGAAAACGGATTGATTCCATGCCCGGCGTGAGTAATCAACGAAATTAACTTGAATAGCTTGCCTCGTCGACGACCAGGAACAACCGGGATTGCTTCTTAACTCCGGCTTCATTTCATGCTGTGAAGACGAAGAGTCGGGCACGGAAAGACCAATTCCAGCCGAGCCCTTTTTAAGTAAGAAGAGCGAGAAGATACATAAGACGAGCTGATCGGACCCGAAATCTCGAATCTCTACTCATCAAGCCCACTCTTCCGACTTTCTTCAAGATGCACTTCAATACTTTCAACATCAATGTATTTGTCCTATTTTCTTTGGTGGCAGGTACTCCTACGTCACTACACAAGAATGTCGCTAGGAACGAAACAACAGAGCCATTGCTCCCAAGTCAGGATCCGTTCTACACTGCACCTGTAGACTGGGAGAATACCTCTCCAGGAACCATTCTTCGCATCCGCACAGCTCCAGGTAACGTCACGACTGTGATCGCGAACACTTCAGCAGCCTACAACATCGTCTTTCGGACAACCGACTCAAACTACAAGCCCTCCTGGGCCGTTACGACCGTCCTCGCGCCCTTTCAAAATGCCACAACTTCCAGGAACAGCACCTACAACTCTCTCCTCTCACTACAAATCGCGTATAACACCGCATATCCCGACTCTACTCCTAGCCTCATGCTTTACAGCGCCGCTTCAGAGCCAACATTCGGAGGCCCATCAACCGCAGATGACATTGCCTACATGCTGGGGAACGGGTGGTACGTCACTATCCCCGATCACGAAGGCCCTCTAGCATCCTTCGGACTCGGAATCCAAGAAGGGCACGCGACCATCGATTCCATCCGCGCGACACTGAACTCCGCTATACTTCCAAGAGATACAGAAACCAAGACCGCTATGTGGGGATACTCAGGTGGCTCAATAGCCAGTACGTGGGCTGCAGAGTTGCAGGAACAGTATGCCCCCGAGTTGAGGTTTGCGGGTATGGCAATTGGCGGCATGGTTCCGAATATGACACAGTCGTTCCCAATACTTTCCGGAACACCAAACGCTGGTCTGCTTCCAGCCATTATGCTAGGGAGCACGTCGCAGGATGCGGAAGCACGTGAGTTTCTGCTGTCGAGGCTCAAGACCGATGGTCCATTTAACGTCACGGGGTTTCTTGAATCATTGCACTATGATGTCTTCACTTCTTTTTTGGCATATGCAGGACAGGATATTGGAGAGTACTTCATAGGTGGACTGCAAGATCTGAGGGCGCCAGTTCTTGAGCGAATCGCGAGAAGCAATTGGTGGCAAGGCTATCATGGTATCCCGCAGACTCCTGTGTTTGCATACAAGGCCATCAACGACGATTTTGCTCCAGTTTCAGATTCTGATGAGTTGATCGAGAGGTGGTGTGGAATCGGAGTAGATGTGAGGTATGAGAGAAACGAGGTCGGGGCGCATGTCTCGGAGATTGCCAATGGGAGAGTTCGGGCGCTGGCATGGTTGAAGACCGTGTTCGATGGGACCTTGGAGAAGACGGGATGCGATGTGAAGAACGTATCAGTCTCCCTGATTGATATCCCTGCATAATAATGCGATATTTGGTAGGAAAACTTTCTGCTATATTCACACTATGCACACAGGACTACATTATATCCGGCCGATCATCTGACGACAATCAGGCGAAAGGAAGTTGGGATACGAAATAGAGATTCGTTCTCAGCGAACACTCAAGACGGATCGAGTAGTCGCTATAGCAGTTGCATTCTTCCTCTTATCAGACACCATATTGTACCAATGTGAAATCTCGACTTATACTACAGCGAAAATACACATTCCTTGCTCATATTCAACCATGTACTGTGCGGTCTGCATGACGAATTAATCGAATTAGGTTGTTTCTACATCCCGTACGATGAGTGTGAAGTCTGCCACACGCATTGTAGGTCGCATTGTTTGTGCCTTCTTTGAGACACAGCAATCATCCGCACCCATACAACAAATACACATGTAAAATTCATAACATGAACAATGAATTGTATTTCGAAAAATACACCTTCACTTCCCAAAGCATTGTAACGATCCTGTAATCACTGCAGCTGTGCGCAATCGGGACTTGACACAATGTGCGAGCGAAAGTATTTGAGCTGAGAATATCTCAATTTTGTGGTGGAACATACTGATTCATTATCCATGAACACTTCCAATTATACGTTCTAGCCTGCTCTACATACCAATCGAATCAATTCGGAAACATGCCGACTGTGAACAGGTATGAAAGCAGGACCATGGGTATGGTTTATCACCTGGGCCCACCACCATTTTCTCCAATGCCTACTGTGGTAGCCGCCCTTGCACCCTTAGCCGCAGACCCTTTGACTCTTGCAAAGGCCTGTCGATGGCTTACGACTGCTTTGGTTTTCGAGGTAAAGACCGAGTCTATCGAACGTACCCAACTCATGAATGATTTACACCCCTGCTTTAGCGACTTGTTGACCGAGCTGCAGCTAGAAGGGAGTGCTGAATTAAATAGAGCGGTCGGAGCAATCAACCCTACCGAATTGTACGAGCCAATCATAGAGCACCTCGTGGAAAGTAAGCAGCTGGAGAAATATGCGATGGCTGATGCTTTGAGATTGTCTGATGCTATGCATCAGTGGTTGCAGCTCTGTGTCATGGAGAGTCAACCCAGTGCAGAGTTAAAGAGCGCGCTGTTGGCCACATTGAATCTGCCGTATATGTCGCCGTACACAGGAGTATTTCCACAGGAGAACCCGGATGATTATCACACTATTCATAGGTTGGGTTTCACAGGCCGGTATGGCTCGACGTATCAACAGTATTGTTTTGAGGAGGTCGCTTGTGCTTTCAGTGAATTGCGCGATGCAACTGAACGCCGCCGTGGAACTCGTAGACTCGACAACGACGAAGTATATCATATGTTGCGAGAGCTCGCACGCATTTCAGTCAACGTCGTGGACGCATACCTCGCCCTTCCAGAGGTGATTCGTAACGATCTGTGGGATGATAGAAACTTCTTTCTTCACGCTTCCGCGCATGACAGTTACGAGTCTACGGTAAGCAGAATGTTGGACCCGGAGAACGAATGTCCCGTAATCGTGAAGCAAGCATTGATAATGGCGGGTATAGAGGCCACGGTGGGTAGATTGCTTCTCCAAGCATTCTCTGACATGGCTCTCATGCGACGACTCCAAGGAGTTCCTAATCCCGAAGATTCTCTGGGGTTTATGCTCTACAGGTTCGTCATCCTTGCTGCGCTACAAAGAAATGTCGATTTCGATGGGCAAATTCGCGCTGTCGTGTACGAACGTTTCGACGATGTGTGGGAGGAATTCGAACCCCAACGATTCCCGCAATGCTATAGGCCCTTTGGCTTTCCGGATGAAATGTCGCCACTTCGTGAAATGCTCGACTACCGACTTTACAATGGTAATGGAGACCGGGGGGTTCAGTTTGAGGTCGTCGATGTTCCCATCGAAGCTGTGGGCCCGCGTATCGACCCATTGACTGTCGCAACTATTGTGCCCACGCCTGAAAGGCCTGAAGAGGACCAGTGCAATATTTGCTTGGTGAACTTTTCGAATGATGTAAAGGATGCTTGTCTACAACTGGCCTGTGAGCATTTCTTCCACGAGTCGTGCCTGGACGAGCTGCTGAACACGGCGTACAGAACCCCTTTCGTTCCCTGTCCCCTATGCAGGACTGCAATCTGTCCTGCTAGGGACTATCAGGGCGTGACACGATAGAGCTGCCTTGAAGCCAACAAAATGGAGCGAGTCGGCCTAGGCAGGCTGCTGGTCAGCCTGATGTTTTTTGCAATTAGACATAACTGAGAACACTTTTGCCCAACAAAGTATTTTCCCTGAGACCATAAGCGATTGATGAATGTGATGGATTTTTTTCTTTTGATTCATAGGCGAACTTTGGAACAATGCAGAATAGAGAGGAGGGAATATTTAATGATGGGGATTGTCATCCGGGACCGTGACGACTGGCTGACTGAGCTCGGCATGGATCCCGACGCGGATTTAGGCGGCCTCGCCGAACAAACTCGTATATCCCCATGCGAGCCCCGCTAACTGTACAGTAATCACATCAAAAGTACAGGTAGGCAGCGCGCAGCTAACAATACACTCTATACCACTTGTGCTCCACTGTAAACGATGCTCGGATGCCAGTAGGTAGTGGTACTCGACGGTTCACCTAGTGACGTGACCTCCAACGACAGAGTGGATCACTCCCACCGCACTAACCTTGGAGATTGAACCATCCGAACCCACGACAATACACCTGAACGAGAGTAGGGCCAGGAGCACAGGCGAATTAGGTACAGCGGTACACCAGGGAAACGCGCGGTGATGATGCAAAGTCCTGAATCCGCGACCACGGAGCGCATGTCGTCGGAAAAGCCCCTGGCTTTGCGGCCGCCACGCGAATATGAATTCTTGGTCACCACGGAGCAGCCTCACCAGGCTGAAGGCAACGAGCGACGTCTCATACGCCAGAAGGTCATGAAGAATTTCTTTGAGGCGCAGGAAGCAGGACCCAAGACTGCGACATCAGAGACCAACTCGGTATCCACGGTGCAGGCCAAGACAAAGCTCAAATCCAGATTTCGGCTGTCAAAGGTCGGTCAAGACTCAGCAGCTGCCAAGTCAAAAGGAGGCAGTGGGAAAACGGCACAGAGATCAAATCAAAAGAAAACGAAGAAGATCAAATCAGAAGAGCAACCGCCTACCGAAATCTCCAGCTCCTCACGGCCCTCCGAGAGTGAACCTGATAGTACGCGCACAAGCCGTTCGTTGTCGCCGGTCGAGAAAAGCGACTATATCATCGATAATATAAGAGAGTGGGAATCAGAAGGCTCCCCATTTGGTCTCGACGTCCATCGCATGGATCCTTTCGACGTATTGCCTGTGCCGAATACCACCAAACTGGAGCTACTGTTCCAACTTTGTGAGTCTTACTCATGGGTTCCTGGCTCCTGATCCCAACTCGCTTTCTGTCAAGAAGCTGCTCTAACTTTAGAATAGACAAATCGGGTACTACATTGACCTCGGTGAACGTCAACTGTATAGGCACGTGGTGGCCGTTCGTAGCTAGTGATCCTGGACTACTTCACGCCACGCTGGCATCATGGGCTCTATATGGGATTTTGATGCGCGGGGCCCATTCCGTGCTTCCCGATATGCTTTCGCACAGGAACGAAGCGATCAAAGAAATCAACACGAAAATCAATACATCGAATGGATGGATATCGGATGAACTTGTCGGAAACGTGTTGATCCTGGCAACCTTTGAAGTAAGTCCCGGATAGCGTGCACGGTCGTAATTGCTCGTGGGAGATGACGATGACTGCAGATGGACTGAACTGACTTGGAATAGAATCTATATGGAGAATACGACAGCGCGCTTCTTCATTTCGGCGCGTTGAAACGGATGATAGACGTTCGCGGCGGCCTCGACTCGTTTAACCACAATGGTGGTATCTTCCGAGGCATCGTGTGGTTCGTTCCCCTTCTCTCGATTTGTGACACAGAACATCCACTGACATGCTCGACCTCTCATCCACAGGGTCGATTACCACAATGCCGTCGCTCTCCGTCGCCCCCCTGTATTCCCCCTCGTCTTACTCGAACCCATATCACCGCCTCTCCCACAAGACCTCCTTGACGAAGCCACACAAAACTCGCCACTTTCCCTTCTCCAACTCCCCGTCTCACCCGTAGAATGCTACAACATTTTTCATCAAATGCACCGCCTTGCACTGGCAACATCATCACGCTACGTCCCGACAGTCGACAGACTGACCTTTAGTAACCAGCTCTACGAACTCGAATACAACATTCTATGTACCATCGACTACTCGCTCGATCTCGACTCTCTTATACGAGACGTAGATGGCCCACGTATGCTCTGTTATAGTAGAGATAGCCCAGAAAGCGAAGCGAGCGACAACGACTACGCGGCCAAAAACTGTCTCAAAAATGAAGCTTCTCTCGTGACCGAAGCTGTACTCGTCTCTGCGCAAATCTTCATTGGCGCTGCCATGCGTGACATCCCGTCCAGCGCGAAACTGTATCGAATTCTACTGAAACGGCTTCGTGGTGCGATCGACCGACCTGGGGCTTCTATCATCAAGACTTGGAAAGAATTGAATAACCTGAATATTTTGCTTTGGGCATTGGCTGTTGGGGCATGTGTGGCTCCGCGGAACAAAAGGTTATGGTGGGTGGAAAAAGTTGCTGAAGTGATGAAGGAGCTGAGTTTAGAGGGGCTGGATGGACTTGAGGGGATATTGAGAGGGATTGCTTGGACAGACTACACTTTTGCAAAGGCATTGAGAGGGGTCTGGGTGCAGGTGGAAGGTCTCACTTCGGGAAGGGCCTAGGAGGGAAGCCGGTGGGGAGGCGGTATCAAGCAAGGGGAAGTTTTCTCTCTGTTTTGGATTTTGATCAAGCGAACAAGTTTTTGTTGTATGTATGTCACAATCTATTGTGTATAATTGGATGGATGCGTAACCTACGGGCTTCGTTTGAAACTCCCGAAGGTCTTGTGTTCCAATCACGTGATGTTCATAACACTGCTAACCCTCCACTGGCTCAATACTTGCAATATCCAATGGAGCAAACATCTGCAGGTGCGCAGTTTCGAATCATGGAGTAAGCAAGATTGCGTCTTGACGAGTTGGTTTCTTTCGCCGTTGGGCGATTGAAACGTTAAGATGGTATCCCCAACCATTCCCCCTGACCATTCCGTTTTAGTCCACCACCTTTTCTTTCCACCACACCGCCACCCAACCTCACCGATGGTGAATGGGGAACTTGGGGAATCTGAATCTATAAAGTCTTGTTCTGCGCCGCTCAACTCATGACTCCCAACACACAAGGCATTTGCTGCGAGGCCAATTCGCTGTCACCGCCGCAGAGCAGCTGTCAAGCGGGAGAGGACGTCTGGAAGGGCATACCCAACGCGGCTGAGGAGGATTCACCTGTCAGCAGCTGGAAAAAGCAGGAATCTGCGTGTATACGAGATGTTCCCAACGTTGTCTTTGATTCTCTAACATGCACGCTGCACAATGTAGGCTGCGTGGTGGGTTGAGTTGATGAGATGCAGCCAGAGAGGGGACATTGAAACAGCCGCGCTGGGTGGACGACTGTGTCGCCCGTACGAGTGTTTCATCTCCCATTACCCAAAGAGGCAGGCACCACATTCAATAAACATCAATCGGCTAGACGCATCTGTGTGAGACGGCCAGTCACTTTAACCGCACATGCGCTGCTGTGCCGGAGAGGTGCTTGGGACAAGAGCTTGCCGACTACAACTACGCCATGAAGCCACCGTCGCGTCTGCCAAAGTGCGGCGAGGGGGTACTCGGTGGGATGAGAATAGCAACTACTCGACCACGACATTGACAGGCAGTCAGCTATCAAGTGCCAGCTCGACACTGCGGCACGCAGCTGTCTACGGGGCAGTGAGGGCATGATTCACGCACGACAGGACCGCCAAAGGATGACTGATTCCGTTGGGCGCAGTGCTCCGCGAGGCGGAAAAATACGATCAGCCACCACGCATGAGGAGCGGAAATGGGCAGCTGTCAACCACAGACGGCGGGGCCCACGGTAGATATGGGGATTTGGGCCCACGCAGGAAACATGAATTTCCTACAATTCATGCGTGGGAAAGCGTTTCAAGGAGTTGCCCAAAGAACGACCATCAGCAGCCACAGGCCGACTCGGAGACCGTGCGGTTGGCTCTGGTTGGTTGTCTTTACGACGATGCGGCATGTTTCCCCTTTGCTCGGACCGCTTCCCAGTCCGTGTGCGAACTCATCGTCTGGGCGGATGCGTGCGTCTGTTTGATCGCATGAATTTGCGAGTTTCGAAACTTCGACAATGTTGTTTCCTGAGGCCTTGAGACTAGATTTGGTTTCCTGGAGAGCATTCTTGGAATGCTTTGATTGGAACAGGACGGGCCTCCAAGAAGGTCCACGGGCTCTTCGCCGGTCCTTCACTGGCAGGGACCGCCTCGACTGTGCCGGACAAACAGCTCGTCACCACGGGGGAGTAGCAAACCCCGGCATGACGAAGGCAACGCCAACCCCTGTGATAAAGTGGCATGGGCATCGCCAGCCCGTCTTAGTATCGTACTTATCATGTTGTTCGGACACCGCGTAGGCCGCAGCTTGCAGATCTGCAAATCCATTTCACAATACAAAGACCCCTCTGCCCTCTGACCCTTAAACTCAGCTTCACCAAACGCATCACCTTCTGATTATCATCAAGTCCTTCGTTACTTTGCACTCCACTGGCTCTACCATCTGACTCGCACCATAATACCAACCTCAATCAACAACCTTCCACACATATACACACACACTCCGCATCAATTTGTATAACATCGACTCATCCTCAACAAACACCATGTCTGCTCTTCCTCCCAACTCTCCTTTCGGCGGTCTGCCATCCTCCCCAAGGGCCTTCCGTCAAACACTCGACCCCATCAACACCTCTCTCCGACCAGCAACATCTGGCAACCCATCTCCCTACACCGACTCAGCTTCCGAGAAGCAAAGTCCCCAAAGCTTCATCGACAACCGCCAACGCAACCGCGATTCTCTCATCTTCGCCAACGCAACCATCCCTCTGAGCCCCAATGCATCCCCAATCATGGAGTACAAGGAGCAGCCCTTTGACGGGCTCGCACCACGCCCTCGCAACGGCCTAGCGCGACTTTTCTGCTGCTTCGGACGCGAGGAGCGCGCTCGCCGACGTGCTATGCGGTTTGCGGAGTACGAAAAGGTCGGCGAGAAGTGCCACTGGACTGAATTGTAAATTCCGATGACAATTCTTGGTCGGGATGGTCGACTTCCGGGGAACGACGCCGACCCCGACTCATACCAAACACCAGTTCACAAACGTTTGATCTTCAAATCATGCGTCGTTTGTGAGCAGAGCGCTGCAACGCGTTTCACTTCACTTCACTTCACCTCCACTTCATCTTCATCGTGATTTGCAATCACCAAACACCTTGTTCCTCTTTCCTTTCTTGTAACAATACTTTTCCCTTGTTCGTTTTCCTTGGTCAACATTTTTTCCTTGGGACGAATGTTATTTCTTTCTTCTTGTCAATTTGGAATAGAGCATTCCTGCACCACTCGCTACAAAACAGTTTTCCTTCTCTTTTCTTTTTCCTTTGTTTTCCATTTCGACCCTAGATAGAATTTTCTTCCTCTTTCTCTCTTGTTTGATCACTTGCATAGCGATGGCGTTCGGTGGTTTGACTCAATGGTGGCGTTCTCTATACATTGATTCACAAAAACAAATGTAAGAAAAAAAAAGAAGATGCCCGGTATTTGCGGAATTCATCCGGTTCGATGGATGGATGACCGACCGGAAGGGAAGGATGGAGATGGGCGGAGGAACAGAACCAAGAGTGTTCAGCCAATACCCCCAACGGAACTATTTCGAATCAGATTCTTGATTGTATAGCTCGGTCGTAAGATATATCAATGTATCACTTCACCATGTGAGATACTTTGCTTTTTGTGAGTCGTGTCGCAATTGATGTTATTCACTGTCTAGCTGGCCAGCATCGAGCCGTGTGTTGGAATGGCTTGTGAGTTGATTGTCGACTTCATATTCGCGGCTACTTCTGATAAACTGGAGGTGATTACATATCGACATCTGGAGTAGACAGCAGCAGTAGCAAACTGATGAAGCCGGTGGCAGGCAGACAGACAGACAGATGGATGGCAGCCAGAGTGAGGCCAGAATTGGGCTAGCGTGACAGCCAAAGTCGGTCGGGTGGGAGGAAGCATTGACAGGCTTGGCGTGATCAAGTCAGTTGGCAGTTGCGGGCGGAACGGAAAACTCTCCAGCTCGCATTTCCCTAACATCATTCTTTCCTCCACCTCCACCCCAATCGATCCACCTCACCACAGATTTCATCACCTCTCCCCCTTCATCAATCTCTCTCACACACAAAATGTTCTCCGCCAGGCAGATATTTACCCAGGCCCAGCGCCGCGGCTTTGCGGCCTCGGCCCGCGCAGTATGTTTACCTACTATCCACCCGTCCAACCCACGCTTCAAAGTTATTCCATCTCTCAATTGCCGTGTAATTGCTGACGGAATCGCCTCTAGTCCTCCAAGGTGACGGTTTTGGGTGCCGCTGGTGGTATTGGCCAGCCATTGTCCCTCTTGTTGAAGCTCAACCCCAGGGTCAGCCAGCTCGCTCTCTACGATATCCGTCTAGCTCCCGGTAAGCTCCTACGACGTCCATCGCAGCCCTCACACACATGTCGCTGACAGATTCCAGGTGTCGCTGCCGACATTGGTCACATCAACACCAAGAGCGAGGTACGCCACCTTTCCCGGCACAATCAGATTCGTTCGCTGACATTTTGAAGGTCCGCGGATACGATGCCACCCCCTCCGGTCTCGCCGAAGCCCTCAAGGGCTCTGAGATCGTCTTGATCCCCGCTGGTGTTCCCCGCAAGCCCGGCATGACCCGTGATGGTATGGAGAGAGCTGCTTGCGAATCATTGACATGTGGCTGATTTCATCCCAGACTTGTTCAACACCAACGCCTCCATCGTCCGCGATTTGGCCAAGGCCGCCGCCGACCACGCCCCCGAGGCCAACATCCTCATCATCTCCAACCCTGTACGATTCCGTCGGTCGAATTATCACGATTTGAGAAACTAACAATACCCAGGTCAACTCCACCGTTCCCATCACCGCCGAGGTCTTCAAGTCTAAGGGTGTCTACAACCCCAAGCGTCTCTTCGGTGTCACCACCCTCGATGTTGTCCGCGCCTCCCGCTTCATCTCCCAGGTCAAGAGCACCGACCCTGCCAACGAGAACGTCACCGTTGTCGGTGGTCACTCCGGTGCCACCATCGTTCCCCTCCTCTCCCAGTCCGGCTACAACCTTTCCGGTGAGCAGCTTGACAGCTACGTCAACCGCGTTCAGTTCGGTGGTGATGAGGTCGTCAAGGCCAAGGACGGTGCCGGTTCCGCTACCCTCTCCATGGCTATGGCCGGTGCCCGCTTCGCCGAGTCCCTCCTGAAGGCCGCTCAGGGCCAGAAGAACGTCATCGAGCCCACCTTCGTCGACTCTCCCCTCTACAAGGACCAGGGTGTCGAGTACTTTGCCTCCAACGTCGAGCTCGGTCCCAACGGTGTTGAGAAGATCCACCCCGTTGGCAAGATCACCGACCACGAGCAGAAGCTCCTCGACGTCTGCTTGGGCGACCTCAAGGGCAACATCGCCAAGGGCATCAAGTTCGTCAAGGAGAACCCCGGCAACTAAGCGTATGCGCCGAAAAATACGAATTGTACAGTAGTAGTAATGAGTGGCGGCGAGAGTACGTGATGGCGATGGAAAAAAAACTCTACGCTTCCAGGCGCTTGTATTATGTGTCCGGACTTTCTGGAACTGGGGAATTTTGGGGTTCGGATTCGGATGCATTTGGTACCTTGAGCGTTTGACGGAGCACCATGTAGATCTTTTTTTGTTGGTGTAACCTACGCGAAAAATATACTCCCTCTTTGCTCTCTTTGTAACAAAGCGTGTGCTGATGAGTATGACTGAATGATTTCTGAGGACGTCATTGCACATGATTGATCGATTATTGGAACGGGGTAGATGGAGTAGTAATGGTAGAGGGGATCCGAGCCAACACGCTAGCGGAGCGCAATATGGGTAACCAAGCAGGACCAAAATCAAGAAGGCCAGAACAGAAATTGTGAAAAATGTCTCGTCTAGATTGTTGTAACAAAATCAGGGGGGGATATATACAAAGACAGATGGTGGCGATGTAACCTTTTTGCTCAAATGTTCAAATGTTCCTTCTTTCCAAACATGACCCACTTCAAGATCCCATGTACACGTTCCTTTTCGCACAACATACGCCCAGCAGCTTTCCAACTTTTCTTTCTTCGGTTCGGTACGGTGGAGAATCTATAGCTTCGCCTTGGGGGCGTCGAGGGTAGGGAGCATGATGTCGCGCATATCGCCCGCCGCTTCATTGAGGTAAAAGCTCATCTTCTCCTACAATCATTCACACATTAGCACAACCACAAAAAAGAAGAGAGAGGGGGAGGAAAAAGAAAGAACTTACAGCGCCCAATCCCTTGGAAACAATGTTGAACTGGAGGCTGTTCTCATTGATCATGTACGCGATACCCCATCCATCGTCCACAACTTGACTCCATCCGTAGCCGTTGAAGTACTCGGAGCTGAGCTGCGAGCTCGAGATGAACCATTTGCTGCTGTACGAGAAAGCAGGGTCCTTGTAGATGGCAGGAACGTCCTCGCCCTCCTTCAGACACTTCTTGAGTCCAAAGAGGTGACGATCCACTCCGCGACCATCGCTGGCGTCGGTAATGTATTTGACGTGCCCATTGATAGCAGCGCGGAGAAGAGTCTGGAGGTGTTCGGGTGAGCTGTCTGCTTCGGCCATGGCGCTGCAGAAGGCGACGCTCTCGTCTGATACAGTACGGCAGGTTTCGGTGCGGCCAAGCTGGAAGCGGCGGGTGGCGGCGGATTCGTAGGTAGGACGGTTCTTGCCGTAGAACTTGTGGTACGCGAGCTGAATGATCATTTGTACGTAGGCGTCTGGGCTGCACTTGAACTTCTTGATGAGGCCCTTGCCGTAGCCCTGGTAAGCTTGCACGCGGAGCTCGTGTGCGCCAATTTGCCGTGAGAAGTGCGCTTGGGCGGCGTCGATGTCTTTTTGGAGCTCGGGGGTGATGGTGAAGCGCAGAGGGGTGGGATTGGGTAGGTCAGAGCGGGTAGTGGTGTCGTCGAAGGGAAGGGCGTTGGTGAAGATTTGCTGGTTTGCGTAGTCGTTGAGGCGGTGGGTAGGTGTACCGTCCATCATCGAGTGCTCGCCCATGAAGCCTGAAGTGCCATTGTCGTTGATGATGAACTGGAGAGGCTTATCGAACCAGCGGTTCTGGCCATCGCCGTGCCAGTATTGGCGTGCGCGCTCCTCGAGCGTCACGGGCGATGCGTCGTCTAGACACACGACGAAAGAGGCGGCTTCAATGGCTTCAACGGAGGCGGCATTGACGTCGGACACAGCCTTTAGACGAGGGTAGACATCAGTCCACGCATCACGGTTCTGCGAAGTGAGGATTCCGACGGCAGGAGACTTTTCGGCACTGTCGTAGATGCGCTGGAACTGCAGCTGGAGCTCGGCGGTGGTGAGCTGCTTGCCGTTGATCTCGTGAGGCACCTTCCAGAACTGATTTTTGCGGATCACAACAATGTGAGGGTTCTCCTTGAAACCATACTTGATTGTTGTGTCGGTGCCGGCTCTGGGCACGCGCGAGCAGTTGAACATGTACTCGTACGAGCTCATGGCAATGGGCAAGCTCTTCATGTACTCTGGCTCCAGCGTGCCGTTGTCCACCATCTTCTTGAACTCGAGCACGGCGGTAGACATGGCAGCAGCGCGCTTCGCCGGGTTACGACGCTTGCGGTCATCGCGGTGTGAGTAGAAGTAGCTGACGTAGGGCACAACAGGGTCTCGGTAAGCCATGTACGCAGCATCATCCCACCATTCGGCGATCCAATTCTTCATGTCTGGCTGCTCCCGTCGAGCTACCAACCGTTTTTGAAGAGTCTCGCCGGCACCACCTGGGGCAACGAAGTCGTTGACTGCTTTTGTGGTTTCATCGTACTCGGTCTTGGAGAGGAGCGGGTGAACGGATTTGAGGTATCGCTTGGCGGTTTCCTCCAAAGTGGGAACGGGCAAACGGGGGAGAGATTCCTCGAACCGCAGCATGGGACCTTTGCTGTGGTCCTCCTTGTAGCCTGCACGTTTCATTGTTAAAAGAGGCGTATCTGTTTCTTGTTGTTGCTGGGGTGGGTTGGGAGGGAGAATTGGAAGATGACATGTGAATGGGATGATAAACTTACCAGCTGGCATGGACGACTGCTGGCGTCTTTGGGGAATTGGAGCCATTCTGAGAGTTTGAGTCTTTTCCGAGTTAGCAAATAAACTGTGCCATATCTATCCTTTGCTTTGATCTGGTCGTACCTTGGGAACGAAGAGGGAGGTACGTGAAAGTGAGGCCGGAGCTCGCGCGCGGGCTACTGCACTGAACATGGGCGACGACTTGTTACAAGCACGAGAAGAAAAGGAGAAGAGAAGAAGAAGAAGAAGAAGAAGCCAAGGGCGACTAGAGGAATCAAATAGCAACGGAGTGAGTGGGTGCGGGTTAATTATGCGACCTATGTGCGGCTTGGACTGGTGGTAGGTAGATATGTTTTGAAGGAAGCTCTGGCGGGCGCATCTGGCTAATACCTGCCAGGGACCTCGGCATTGCCGTCTCGGAAGTGCGTGACCTCACACTCGAGAGTTCCACCCTGGGACAGCCGCTTGCCCGGCCTCATCATCTGCCAAGTGCCAAGTCGCTCTCCAGTTCGCACCCTTCTTCCACATCATCAACCACACACTGCATACACGGTGAAGATACCACCCCTTGATTCATCGCGACATGGCAGTGTCCGGAGCCCGCTGCCATTATGGACACCCGGCCCCGGACTGCACCCCACATAACAGCTTTCGCACGGGCCATTGTGCACAAAAGCCGAGGCATCTCCCGCTCCAAGCCGACTGGATGCACGCTTCCATCTCCATATTGGACTATTCGTGGCATCTACGCAACAACATTCTTGAATCAGCTCCATATATCAAGACAGGCACGTTCCGAAGGGTCGGCCGAGTCTCATGTATGCTTGCTCTCTCTCTCTCTCTCTCTCTAGCTTGAAGCTTCGCGGCCAGTACCGCACGTGCTTGCTTATACCTCTCTGATGCCCATGATGACATTCGGCTTCCGCCATGCTGAATGACTTTTGCTTCCAAACCTTCTCTCGGTACTCACTTCTATAGTCTCATAGTCATAAAAATCATGGCCGTGATTCCAACTCGCCAGCTCGCATCAACTAGTGTGTAGGTATCTGACGGCAGAGCCATTCTTGGTGAATACATATGTACCAACATATGAAAATATTTGGTTGAGGCCATAAACTTGACTTCCTTGCCTTCATCCACATACATGTATAATTGTGACAATCAACGCACGTCTTCAATCAATGATGCGGTGGACTGACAAGGCAGTATTCGTCAATTCTGGAATATAGAGGGATACCCTTCAACATTTCCACAAGGCATGGTAATTGGGTGTGTGTCTGCCATCTCAGACATTCTACCCAATGGATTCACGCAGTCACTATATGGATATTTGTAGCTCACATCATATCTTCACTGTTGTATTTTTCAATATCATGCTCAATACAGAGAGGGATTCACCGGTTTGGGGAATAAAACCCCCCAGTTCTCCTTTGATGTCAGTGACAACCCTCATACCAAGTCTATGCCCGATCTCCCTACCGAACATACACTATGTCGTCCCCAAGCAGTCTCCTAAAACGTCCAAGATGGGCCAGCCTCCTACGCCAAAGAGACTACCTCACCCTCATCACCGAGGTCCTTGACCGCGAATCATCCAGATACGGTAACAGTGCCCTCTTCTCCGCCCAAGAATACCCAGTCCTCCTCCGCTCATGTATCCATATCCTCGCCTCTTCTAGTCCTGTTGTCCTCGCAGCTATCGAAGGCACACTATCGCGGCGACTCCTTACTGATCCACAGCTGCAGGAGCAATATGCCGTTATCTCCAACCAAGCCCATATCCAGCCCTCGATATACATGCACGAACTAGTGGATGATGATGGCATAGCGCCGACTTTCGCCCAGTTTATGCGCGTTCGAGATGCGGTGATGCGGTATGTTGATGTTGAGAACCAAGGAAACGGCGAGTTCGCATGGCAGGTAGATAACACAACTGCTCCACAAGTAACAAGATCGGCCTCCGATACAGGCTATAGAAAGTATCTGAGCTCACAGCGAGTTTTTCGGTCCGATACACGTGTGGAGACCCTGTATAAACTGTGTAGCGGCATCCTCTGGCGATGTTCAATAGTAGCAACGGAGCAAGAACGCAGCACACCGTTGCTCTTCCCGCCAGCAGAATGTGGATACTCCATAGACTCGCATAAACGTTTAGCTCAACACCGCTTGCGAAGATCTTCAAACTATGCCATGAATCTGGTCGAAGATATATGTTCCCATCTCTTCGCGACCCGCGAGTTTGGGCAGCGCTTCTCCATGCATGGCCACATCATCTACCTCATCTACCGCGAAGAACAAGCTGCCATTGCTGAAATCTTGTTCTCGGGATTGCTCGATGTTTGGGTCGATGACGGGGGCGGGTTCAACGCGTATCCGGCCGGACGTAGCGTAGCTAGCATAAAAAATGTAAACAGGCAGAAGTGGATGGAGTTGGAAAGGTGGGTCCGGGAGCACAGCGAATTAGTGAGTAACCTCAACGAGCTACGAGAAAGAACAGAGGCGGATGTAAAGCGGGTTAGAGACGAAGTGGGGGATGCTTGGATAGTTGCATTAGAAAGTAGTGGTGATGAAGGGGAGTCGGGAGACAGAGAATATGTAGAGGACGAGGGCGAGAGTGGCGACACATCGGTGGAGTCGCAACTGAGTCTATTTCACATCTGATCTGGTAGATGTAAATAATTTGTCTGGTTATTGGATATCGTCTAAGGAAATTTTGGTACCAAGACAGGAAGACACGGCCTAGGTAGTGCGACATAGCTTTTGACACTCACCACCATCACTCTCTTACTCTCACCACACCGCCGGCAAGGCAACTCCCATTCATTTTCACACCTTCTATCATCTTCTAAGCCGCTCTCTCCACCGGCATAACACCTCACACCCACCATCACCACCTGTCCTTCAACATCAGCAAACAACATCCATCATCACACTACTCATCCACATCCATATCCATTTCAACAGCAACAACCACTCAACCTCTCAATATTCCCAACCCGAAACTCTCATCCAAATGCCCGCCAACAACACCCAATACTACGAGAACGAAGCCGACAACCTCGGCGGCAAGCGCGCGGACGGCGACTGTGCAGGCTGGGGCGACCGCGACGCAGCCGGCTACATACCGCACCCGATCCTCGTCCCCAAAGGCCGCCCCATCAAGGGTACCGAGGAAAAGGTGATGGAATGGAGCAACTTCAAGCACTCGACATCGGAATACAACGATGTTGAAGAGCAGAAGGACGAGCTGCACAAAGGAAACCTTCACCGGGAGAACCGCGTGGCGCAGCAGATCCTCGAGGGCAAACATGTCCCGCAGGACTCGTTGTACGAGCAGCCTGGGGCCGGAGGTAGGAAGCGTGGGTATGGCGGTAAAGGTGCTCAGGCTGGCAAGGGCAAGTTCGCGACGGCGATTGCCGTGTGTGCGGTTGAGCCCGAGGGGGAGAAGGTCCCGCCGCTGGCTAAGGGGTATCCGGTCGATGTTAGCAGGAAGGAGGCTGAGGAGCTGTTCTGGACTGGAAAGATTGGCTGAGGCGTCGATGCTGGCGTGTTCTTCGGTCAATTCTTGCCCGGATGATGCACGATTTGGGTATGCATGTTGGGTGTGGACATTCACGGGGTCTTTCAGGGTCATGAATATGAATTCGGCTTGATGGGGCGGAACGAGGATTGGGGTCTGGTGATGAATGAATACTTTTTAGGATCTTGAAGCGGGAGGGATGAAACTTTGATAGTCTCTTGCCCTCACTTGAGCCATTGACTGATCGGTTCACCGGGCCATGGCTGTATGCTCCAAAATCTTCGATCTGGGAAGGGAACATAAGTATGCATGAATGATTGAATGAACTCCACAAATTTCAAGGTGCTTATCCATTAATTGAGCAACGTGATAATCTATCATACAGCGTAGAAGAGATCAAGTGAGACGCTCATGCCTATTCCTCCTACGTGTTCATTCCAGATCATATCTTACATCCCGCCCGACTCCATCCAGTCATGCAATCACTCAATTCATCAGCCTTTCTTGACTCTCCTCACAACCATCCCACAGAAACTCTCCCAGAGTACCTGATCCCTCCCTCTCAACCACTCCACCACGACTTCTTGCGTAGCTGGAAGCACTGAAACGCGGAAAGCGAGGGCGACATTGGGTTCGTTCCCGACCATACCCACATCCCCAGCATCCGAAACCTGCTTTGCCTCTGTTTCCTTCTTCTTTTTATGCCGATACGCGCGATTCCACACATTCCCACTTGCCTCGCCGACGCCGCTCAGCGAGTCGTGGTTCCAGGACCAAGAAAGAAGGTCCAGAGGCGCGAGGAGGGTGTTGAGGAGGGAAGATATATCCTCCACTTTACCACCGTCATCACTGTCCATGACATGGTCATTCTCGCCTCCATCTCCACCATTCTCCAGCTGAACCCCAAACTTCACTTTGACCTCGCTAGGGAACGGCAGAAGCTCATGCGGCACCCCCCATACCCTCGCTACATCGACCGCTGGTCTCAAGTCCCCAAAACTCCAACCCACGACCCATCGCTTGGTTTTCCCGCCGGCGTCGATGGCGCAAACGGCCCAGTTGTTGATGTCGTGCTGTTTGAGTAGCGTGATGAGTTGTTTCGCGGAGTCCAGTTTCCCAAGGAGTGTGGTGTACCAGCGAACTTTTTGGCGGAGGGTGAGGGATTCATGCAGGATGCGAGTCGCGAAGCCGAGGTCGCCACCGGGACACACCATTTCCACTTCCGCACCTGTGCAGATTGACGACGGTGGAAGTGCTTTTTTCGAGCCGGCGAGGGAAGAGCTCATTTCAGCGGCGGAGGTGAAGAAGGGCGGGTTGCAGATTGTGAAGTCCAATGTGGAGTGGTGGTCGAGATGTTGAAGGGGGATTAGAGGGTTGGAAGGGATGGTTTGTAGCATCTTGGTGCGAGTAACGAGGTTGTTGAGGGTGAGGTTGAGGACGGCGGAGCTGAAGCTTTTGCTGTCGATGTCCGTAGCGCACATAGTCCAAGCTGGGCGTGTGCGGAGGAGCAGCATAGTGTAGATTGCCGAGGCGCCCGTGCCAATGTCAAGACCTGTAATAGTGCGGGTTGGGTCGTAGGCGTTGGAGTAGGAGGGGCTAGTGGAGTCGATGAGGTGGTGGATCCAGGAGACGTAATTGTAGCGGTTGGGGATAGGTGGACAGAGGCGGTCATCTGGGATGGAGAGGGAGAGATTGAAGTCTGTCTTTAGAAGAGCTTGGGCAAGGATGAGGATTGTAGTTGGATCCTGAAAGTTAAGGCGGCCGTTGCTTTGTTGTAATATGGTGTTGAAAGCTTCATCTTTGCTCGCAAGCGCTTTGAAGTCGGTTGTAGTGTATGGGGGGAGATTGGCAAGATCTTTGTCGGACATGGCTATGGGAGAAACTTACTCTTGGATCTGGGTACTTAATTTTTCATGCAGCTCTTCCTCCAGCGGTTCCCGGATCGAGAGCTGTGTGTTGATTGTTTGTTGTTGTTGTTGTTGTCGTCGTCGTCGTTGGAGTTGATGAGGTTTTGTCAAAGACGTTAGACCAAAGAAGTAAAGAAGCTTGGAGCTTGGGCCACCAAGGCGTTCATTGGCGGTAGACTAAAGTCTGCACTAATGAAGTTGGAGTACCCAGGAGTGCCTGTCATGCGCAGGGAAGAAGTCGGGTCCGTGATAAGCTGCCATCAGAATACCATTGGAAATGATAGTGATTAAATATTCTTTACCCATATATCCAGTATGCAAACTGTGTCCCGAGTTCCCTTGTAAATGCTAAAACCTAACTCCTCGCTGAGATCAACGTACATGTACTTGGATATAAGTAACAATCTAAATCAAGAAAGGGCCGTCATAGGCGCCATCGGGTTCCTGCAGGCGGACAGTGTCCAAAGTGGGGACCAGGTTCGGGCTGTAAAAGTCGAGGAGCATTTCCATGTCTTCCTCGGTCATATCGCATAGGTCATCGAGAGTCCACTGTTCGCACACTTTGGACATCCTGATAGACGTTAGTTCTTCATCCATGCGGATACAGAGTCTAGCTTAGGAAGCATACCACTGCATTCGTTTGGGTCCCTCCTCGATATTGGGAGCAATCTTGCGCAACTTCTTCCGCAGCGCACCCACTCTCTGGACGGCCAGACCGATATTGTGAGGTAAAGTATCGGCAATTTGTCTCCGTACGATGTTGGCCAGCTTGGGGCCATTTCCGTTTGTGCTGACCATGATCTGCAGAGGACCATCGCGATGAACGCTTCCAAAGTAGAAGTCGCACTCTGGAGGGACGTCGGCAATGTTGGCGGGAATTCGCTTCTCGTGGCAGAGCTTGTATATCTGGGAGGATGCTTCGGGGTCGTCGACGGCGGTCAGGACCATGTCGACGCCATCGAGATCAGACGGTTCGAATTTGCGATCGACGTGCTCGACCTGCTTCCGGGCAACGCGGTAGGCAACTTCGTCGTTGAGTCCTTCACGTGGGCAGACGACGGTGACTTTGGCATCAGCATTGAGGATGTTTACGATACGACCGGCAGCGACCTGGACTTGCATCAATCATCAGCGAGCTCTGCGACGAGCGAGTATGGGAACGAACCTCGCCTCCGCCGATAACCAGAACTTTTCTGTTGCGCACTTGCCATGCTAAGATCAGCGAGCCGCCGCCTTGGATTTCAGGGTATGAATTCTTCATGGCGATGAGTGTGGAAAGGTAAGATGCGAAGTGAGAAGGATTGCTAGATATATACTGGGGATATATATGCAGATTGCATCGAGGAGAAGGACGTGTGGGCGGAGATGTTTGAACAATTATCTGGATGCAATTGGGTCCATGACGGGATTCAGCCACATTGGGCGCCACAGCCTGCAACGGCTGGCTCTGATTGGGCCCGTCTTTATCGATAGCAATCCCTCCCCGCAAAAGCAACTAGCAGACACGGCGATACCGGACAAGTCAAACCAAAAACCTTTGTTTTCTCTCTCTCATTGTGAACCATCTGTGCCCGTCTAGCCTTCGTTTTTCGAGACGGTTACCTGGGCTACATGATACGTGGCTGGGTTGTGCAATGCACCACCGCACGATCCATCAAGATCAGATGCCAGACAGGCAGTCTTACTTACTTACTTACTAGCTAGCTACCTCTATCTCTCTTAGTGCGGCAGGCGGCAGCCGACCCCCCAACCACCCTCCCATGCCCGTTGTTATAGCATAGCATTACTTGTTTACTATCATGTATCCATGCCGCACGTCCTAGCTCGCATCCATCAACCCGCTCAATCAACCCGATACACGCTCGCCGCCACGCCCCTTGGTCGATAGATGAACACCCCCGCCTCCCCTCCCCCTTCTCCGGAACCATGACCTCGGGCAGGTCGCTGGGCGGTGGACGAGTCCTGGGGAGTGGAAGAAACCTGTCGCCCGCCGTCTCCCCGCAGCCGCCTGCCCATCACCGCCGCAATGCCAGCCTGCTATCTCCCTCCGAGAGCTCCCTCTCCCTGAGCTCGCACACCTCCAACAGCCCTGCGAGCACCGCCGAACCGCGCGACGACATCGGCAGCAAAGTCCTGCTGGCTGGCCAGGACAATGCCGCCGCCTCGGCCTCCAGCAGGCTGGTCTGTCCCATCTGCAATGAGGACATGGTCACTCTGCTCCAGCTCAACCGCCACCTCGACGATAACCACCAAAATCTGGTTGAGGAAGAGCAGGATGAGGTCAAGAACTGGTTCGAGATGCAAATGGAGAAGGCCAAGAAGTTCCAGCCCCTCGCCGTTCTGAACCAGAAACTCAAGGGACTGGACGTTTTCGAGTCCAACGATGCCCCGACGCCCACCCCGTATACCCACCCTGCTGCCTCCGCCTCCACTCACGAACCTCCACCCGTCCGCCGAGATCCCGACGAGGAAGTCACGAGAGCACATTGGCAGAGGCCCAGCTACCGCGATGTGTGTTCAGACCCGCTCTGCGGCAGGCCCGTCACCGCTTCGCAAATGGCCCTAGGAGGCAACGCCCCTGCTGTGAATTGCAGATGCTGCGGCAAACTGTTCTGCGAGGACCATACCATGTACCAGATGAAGTTATCACGCCAGGCCAGGCATGATCCTGTTCGCGGTTTCTGGTGCCGAGTATGTGAAACGTGTTACAAATCGCGAGAAGGTTACAACGATCACCACGGTCTCGAGCGCAATCATTTCGAGCATTTTGCTACCATTCGCCGCAAAAGACTAGACAGAGAACACATGGAGGTCAGTAGGCTGGAGAAGCGACTGACCAAGCTCACACAGCTTCTGGCGAACCCTCCCCCGCCTGAGTCAAACCCTTCGTCTTCCGGATTCTGGCCGTTGTCGGGGGCCAAAAACCAGCGTAAAATGCTGGAGCAGTCCATCATCACTTGGGAAGAGGATGCCACAGTGTCGCATTGCCCGTTCTGCCAACAAGAGTTTTCAAATTATACGTTCAGACGGCACCACTGCCGAATGTGTGGTCGTGTGGTGTGTGGTGACCTCAAGACAGCTTGCTCCTCAGAAGTAGGGTTGAATGTGGATGCAACCAAATCTGAGAAAGGGGGGTCCGCGCAGCTAAACGTCGATGTCCGCATGTGCAAAGATTGCACACATACTTTATTTAGTAGAGGCGATTTTCAACGTGAACTTTCCTCCAAGCCCACCGACCAGCGCTCCTATGAAAATCTTGCCCAGTTCGAGAGAGGAATTCGACTTCTTCTACCCAGATTCCAGAAACTACTCATGGCTTTACAGGACCCAGATAAACCACCCTCGCCTCAACAGCTCACCGATGCCACCAAGGTGCGTAAGCGTCTCATGGACGCATTCGCACAGTTCGACCAGGCTGCAAAGAGGATACGAGATCTACCTACAGAGTCACCCACACAATTACGACTTCAAAAAGCAGTCTACAACCAGGCCTACAATTTTCTCAGCACGCACATGCTCCCCTTGCAATCGTTACCCCGCGTACTCAAACACGCCGCTCCGCACGGCCAGAAATCCCAGAGTCGTTCTAACGGAGGGGGAGGGGCCCTTGCTTCTATCAAGTACAACAATCAAGCAGGAAGTGTAGTCAGCAGCAGCAGTGCCGTCTCAGCGTTGGAGTCGGAGGAGAAAGATCTCCGCGAGCGCCTCATCATCCTAGAAGAACAGAAGTTCATGGTTTCTGAGATGGTTGCGAACGCCACGAAACATCGTCGCTTCGACGAAGTCACCAGCTTGGCTCAGAATCTGGAGGATCTGAACAAGGAGATTGACCAAATCAATGGTCAGTTGGGGTCGTTGGATTTTGCGGGCGCGTATCGGAGAGAGATGGCGAGTCCAACACCTGGGTGAAATATCTATGCTTTATATGGGAGCATTTTATCATACAAGCATGCTTTATGAGAAGCATGGCCGCAACAGAAGGGCGGGGCCTCGAGTGCTTACCCACTCCTCGATAGTCAGAGGATATTAAACGCCGAGCTCTACCATGGGATTATGAAGATGTGGCCTCACATCATCTAATAATCGGGGGTCTAGGAGGTCAGTGACCATACCACGAAGCAATCCGCGAGAATAGAAGTAGACGAGACATATACGGTACCTTTCGGTCTCGACTCGCAGCGCAGATATCATTTTCATTTGTTTTGATACCACCATCATAGCCAGAAAGGAATGAATTCATCGTCATTTTGAGTAACATCTTCCCATCCATACGTTTCTGCATTTCCTCCATACATGTATACGCGCACATTGAAAAAGAGAGGGAAGATTTCGTCGAAAAATAGAACTGACCCCCTTAGTCAAGAAGACCGTCTCATAAACAAACAGCGTGATGAAAGGATATACACGCAGCTGATTCTCCCTGCTCCTATGTTCGTTCTCTCAACCTCGATCGACAGGTAAACGGAACACCACGACAACATGTGCATCTGGTCCTCCCTTTTCCCTTCCCCCCATACTCTTTCCCCATGTTCATTCCACCGTGCGAAGATATCAACAAGGCGCCTCCCCACACCAAGGAACCCCCGCACACCCATTCCCATAAACCTTGGTCCCAACTACCTCCCCATAACTCTTCATCAACTCGACAACGTCTTTTGGCACAAAGGCCGTGAACCTATTTATCCCCACCACCCCAGCATTAGCTTTTACAGCCTTTCTCGCACCAACACTCCCCTAAGGAATGGGATGTAGAACGGAACTCACCCAAAGTTATTAATCTCGTTGTGGATCACAGCACCGCTGGCCCTCGCAGCATTCAAGAACATGTCTCGTTCAGAGGTCGAAGTGTTTTTGCCGTATTGCACAATGATGTCTGTTTGTGCATGGCCCGCGCAGTTTTGGCCTGGGGACGGGAGGAAACATTCTGGTATCTTGGAGAAGGATTGTAGGGCTGTTGATATTTCGGAAGGTGTTGGGGATGAGGATGTTGGAGTAATGAAGAGGAGGGGGAGGAAGAAGGAGAGGGTGTTGAAAAGCATTTTTAGGGGCTGTTTTCCAGGGATTGTGTTGTACTGCGCAGTGTAGGTAGGTAAATGGATTGTCAAATATGGGATTCACAAACAAAATATCTTTTTTTCTCTTCTCCCTGGAGAGGCGAAGGTGGATGCGGAGCGCTTGGATTGTCGCTTCCTTCGTCTTGAATCTCTCTGTTTTATTCCTTTTTACCCTTTCTCTCTCTCCCTCTTTTTTTTTGCCGGTATTCGTATATTTATTTCTCCCCTAATATCCTTCTCCCCGTGATATATATCGAACCCCATCCTCGATCCCAGCTCCACTTGTACCTATCATCTCAGAAAAGGCCACTCAACGACCCCTCATTCGTCACCCCCATCACTCTTCTCCCGCCATTCCAGAAACCCTATACAACCCCACGCACTAATTCGCTGCCTCTAGATGACGACTTCATATGGCAGAAATGCCATAATTCCAAAACAGGGAATCCCTGCATCTGAGATTAAAAGACGTAATTACTTAGTTTGCAGTTAGAGTGTAGGATAGGGGGTTAAAGGTAATTGGCTAGAGATGCAGTTTATATTACAGTTAATAAAACAGGTCTGTATAGCAGCTGTTATTAGATGCACTTAGCAGATTTAAGGTGTATGTATGAAGAGATTGTTTGCACTTTCTAGCTCTTTTTTGCTTATATTAATATTTTAAAGCTAAATTAAAGTATTTATCTACATAAGTTCTAGTTAATTTAGATATAATTTAAAAGTTTAAATTTTTTTGTAGTTTATTTATTTTAAGTTAAAGTTAATATTAAAAGCTTAAGTATTATATAAGTTAAAATAATTTAAAAGTATTTAAAGTATATATAAAAAATATATATTATTTATAAAATTTACACTTTATGTGTGAGTAAAGTATTTTTTATTTTTTTATATACTTTAATTAATTATTAATATTATTAATTAAATTAAGCTACTTACTAGCTTAGTAGAAAATATTACTTTTTAAGTAAGTTATATATACTTTTTCTAGCTTTTTTTTTAGCTTAACTATTGTACTTTTAAAAGCTTTAATAAAGTTTTTTTTTACTCTAAATTTTCTTTAAAGTTCTTTTTTTAGTACTTTAATTTAATATACTTTTTTAGCTTAAGCTATTTATAATATTTAAGCTAAAATACTCTAAGTTACTAAGTTTTTTAATTAAAATAAGTTATAAGCTTTGTTTATTATATAGTACTTTACTTTTTATTTATTTAAATTATTTAAAAAAGCTTTACTACTTATTATAAAGTAGTACTTTAGTAAGCTTATTTATCTTAACTTACTTATATACTTTTTACTTTTTTTTAATACTTTTTTTTAAATTATAATTTTGTTTTATCTTTATTTATAAAAAGCTATATTTTTTATTTTTTTATTTAAGTTAAAGTTAAGGTAATTCTACACACAGCAATAGTTATAATAAAAAATTAACTAAAATAATAAGTAATTACTAAAAAAACATACATAGTAATAAGTAATAATAATAAATAAACTAAAATAATAAGTAATAACTAAAAAAAAAAAAAAAAATTACTTTTACTTAAAGAAAGGTTAAAGAGTACTTTTTAGTACTAGTTTAAATTAAAGTAGCTTAAAGCTAGCTTTAACTAAGCACTAGTACTAAAAACTAGGTTTTATCTACTGTAAAAGCTCTTTTTAATACTATTACTATTATTTGCTAGAAAACTACTAAAATAGTAATAAAAACTATAACTATTATTTATTTTAATATTAAAAAAATTTATTTTAAAATTTATAATACTGCTATCTTTTGATACACATAAATATAAAACTTAAAAAAGCTTTTTCTTTAAGTAAGTTACTTAAAGTTCTAGCATTTTACTTATAACTATATAAACTATAATACTTTATAGTATAATAAAACTACTTAATAATTATTAAATAATTATTAAAATAGCTAGTAATAATATTAAAGTTATAGTTATAAGTATTTTTCTTTACTTAGTACTTATAATAATAATAAACTAAAAAACTAACAGCGTTGCTGTTAATTAGCTTTATATACTAAATATAAGTCTTAACTTATTTGTGTGCCTTTTGCTTTTTCTTTAATACTTTAATTACATATTGCTTTATTATATTTTCTTTTTAACTGTTAAATATTATGCTAGTAAGTTACTTTTAAATATTAATTACTAATTATACTAAGCTTATATAAGTGTTAGCTATTAAGTAAAGTGCTTTATAGTAATATATAGTGCTTTATAATAATAATTATTTTTTACTTACTATTTGTTGCTATTTATTGCTTTTACCTTATAATATTTATTTTTTACTTGCTATTTATTACTTTTATTTTTTAATATTTTATTTTTATTTTAATTAATCTTACTCTTACTTATTTTTTAATATTTAGTTTAACTACTTTTACTTTTACGTTTATTATTAACTTTTTTAAGTTTTACTTAGTATTACTGCATCTAGTACTACTGTGTCTAGTGCTTTTACTATTAGCTAACAACTGTTATTTATTTAAGTAATAAATAGTACTTTTTTTACTTATTTTAGCTATATTAGTAAAACTAACTTTAATTTAAAATGCCTTTTAAAAAGGCTTAAATTTAAAAAAAAGCTTTATATGCGTGTATACTTTATAAGCTTACATAAGTATATATAATACTTTTTTACTTATTTTTAACTCTATATATATATATATATAAAGCACTTTATTTTTTATTAAAATAATAATGCTATTTACTGCTCTACTAATTATATTTTATATAATTATTTATATTATTAATTTGCTCTAATAAGTCTCTTTAAAAAAGTAAGCTAGATATTTACTAGTACTATTATTATAAAGTATAAAAAAAAAGTAACTAAATTAGCAAAGTAAATATTAATTATAAATATATTTACTATTTTAACTAAGTTTAATGCTAACTCTAATACTAACTCTAATTTAATTTAACTTTTAAATAGACTTATAATAAATAAAGCTGTCTCTATAATAGATTAGCTAATATAGAAAAAATAGAGCTAAAAGATTTTTAAAGTCTTTTATGTATAAAAGTATAGCAAGTATTAGTATTATTATAAGTTTTAAATATTTATTTTAGTTCTTTTATATTATTATATATTTTAGTTTAAAATTTTATTTAAATTTTATTTTTAGTATATAGTAGTTGTAGTGCTGTTCTATTTTAAGTATAGTAGTTAGTTAAAGACTTTAAGTTAATTTAAAAATAAAAAAATAAAGTAAAAAAACTAGTTTTCTAGCGCTAGTGCTTAATTAGAGCTAGTGCTAAAAAGTACTTTTTAATCTCTACTTTTAAGTAAAGGTAAAAATTGTTTAGTCTTTTTAGTTATTACTTATTTTTTTAGTTTATTTTTTATTATAACTTATTACTGTGTGTAGAATTACCTAAACTTCTTCTTAAGAAAAATAAAGGTGTAGTAAGCGCTGCTATAGGTTTCTATTATTTTTCTAGTATTTTTATATTATAATAAACTTTAAAGTCTTTTATTATTTTAGTAAATAATAGTTATAGTATTAAAAAGAGCTTTTATAGTAAAAAATAAATCTAGTTTCTAGCACTAGTACCTACTTAGAGCTAGTGCTAAAAAGTACTTTTTAATTTTTACTTAATAAGCTTCTATACTTAATAAGCTTAGTAAAAGTAAAATTATTTTATCTTTTTAGTAATTACTTATTATTTTAGTAAATTTCTCTTCTTAAACTATTGCTGTATATAGAATTACCTAAGCTTTAACTTAAAAAATAAAAAATAAATAAATGATAAAGTTTTAGTAATTATAAGTAAAGTATTTTAAATTTTTTTATTACTATATTTAGCGTATAGTAATTTACGCAAATATATAGCTTTTTACTAAGTTTTTTTATAATAAGTATAAGTAAAGTATATAAAAATATGCTAAGTTTAATAAACTTTTTCTTAGTATATTATTAATATATACTTATATAGCTTCTATCTTTATATAAGTAAAGCTATTAATTGTTAATTTAAAAGTTTTCTTTTAGTATTATATTAATTATATAATTTATTTTTAAGTATTACTATAACAGTATATATACAGCGTTTTAGTTGAATACTTATAATTATAAGTAGCTATTATAAACTTAAGTAAATACTTTAAAGCATACTTTTTTTCTAAAAGCTTTAAGTATTTTTTTTTGTATATTATTTCAAATTTTAAGTAGTACTTATAGTATAAAAGTATTTTATTTTTATATAAGCTGCATTACTATAATTTTATTTTAAAAGCTTTTTTAATTTTTTTTTGTATTTTAGTTTTACTTATATAGCTTTATTAAAGTTTTTAATAAAAGCTTTCAACGCAGCCTCTATAGTTATAAAATATATATTATTTTAAAGCTAAAACTTTTTTAATTTATTATATAAAAGGTTTTTTTTATATATTACTTTAAACTTACTATAGTATAAGTATTAAAAGTAATAATAGCTAAAGTTAAAAGTAACTATTTAATAGTTTTTAAAGTATATAGTTAAGTGATGCTAGTTTAGCTAGTTTATACTTACAATAAAGTTATAACGTGTTTTACAAGCGAGTTGCCCACCTAAGTAAGTTGCCTACTTTTTACTAGCGCACTACCTGCGCGCAATAATTGCGTAATGTCTTAACTATAATAAGCTTAAAAGCTATATACTAAAGCTAACCTATAGCTTGCTATATTTAATATTAAAGCGCAACGCGTTTAGAGCATTAGGTAAGCTATAAACATATATAATATACTTTAAAAAACTATTAGTAACTAACGCGCTAGAAAGCGCATATAATATAACTATAAAGCAAACTTAAAGCGCTTAATAAAACTAAAAGAAAAGGCTATAGTTTAAAGAGTTTTTAAGCAGTCTGCATAAGGTCTTGCGCCCTTAAAGTTTATTATATAAAAAATAGTAGATAGACTTCTTAAATTATAAGGTAGCAACTCTGTTAGTAAAAACTAAGTTAACAACTTTATTAAGTAGACTCTTAAGCTCTGCAAGCGCTAGAGCTGTCTATATAACTATTAGCAAGCTGCCTATAAAAATCCTACAGCTATCTAGCGCTAGTTTA